AATAATCTACCTATATCTAATACTACTACCTAATCTAAATAAGCTATAAGATAAGTAGGATAATAATAATAATACTAACTTTAGTAAGGACTCCCCTAATATAGAGAGTATAATTAACTTATCCCTTATTTCCCTAGGCCTAGTAGACTATATGTGCTATATATAGGTAGCTAACCTAGATAGTAACTCTAACTACCTGCTAATTAAAACTAAGCTTAATATAAAATTTTAATCTAAACTACTAGTAAAATAGCAAAACTAGATAGCTATAGATACTAATATCCTAAATAATATACTAATAGAGAGCCTTCTTAGTAATAACCTATATATATACATCATAACTAAGGAATTAGATTAGTATATAGCTAATCTAGTTAGCATACTCTAATATATAATTAATACTATAGTCCTATAGCACTACCCCTCTAAATACTTCTACCCTAGATTCACCCTAGAATATTGCGCCCTCCTATATAAAAAGAAGAGAATTAAGCATGCTATATCCCTATATTAAATATAGTATTAGATAGAAGTACTAGTATCCCTCTGTAGTGACCTAGCCTAAGTAGCCAGGGTATATAAACATATAGTCTATATATACTAATATATTATATTCTGTTAGTGGATAACTAATATTAATAACATAGATAATGTCTAGCAGGCTGTCTAGTAGACTAAGAACTAGGGACTATACTAGGCCTATACCCCCCCCCCCTTACTAACCTAGTATTAGATAATCTAGTATTCTAAGCTAAAGATAAAGCATAGCTCCTTATCTAATAATTCTTCCCCCTACCCCTGCCTACTAATCTAGATAACCTCTATAATTTTACCTACCCTAAGCTAACTTATATACTACTATTCACTAAGTATAAGGTCTGATATACTATCTATATACTAAAAGTAGATAAAGCACCTAGCCTAGATAGCATTACTAATTAGGTGCTCTAGGTAAGTATAGGGGTAGTAGTAACACCCCTAATAATATTTTTTAACTAATATATCTATATTAGATACTGCCTAAACTACTTTTATATTATAGCTATTATTATACTTAGGAAACCTAATAAATTAGATTACTCTACCCCTAAAGTATATTAATCTATTACCCTACTAAGTATAATTAGTAAGGTGCTAGAAGCTCTTATTATAGCCTAGCTTAGCTACCTAGCTAAGATATACTATCTACTACTAGATAACTACTTTAGTAGCTGTAAGGGATAAGATATAGAGATAGTGCTCTATATAATACTAGAGGCTATCTATATAGGATAAAAAGATAATAAGATAGTATCTATGCTCCTCCTTAATATTAGTAGTATATTTAATAATATCTCCTATAACTAGCTCCTGCATGACCTCTATATATGCTAGATCTCTATATAGTATATTAACTAGTTTAGCAGCTTCCTTCATAACTAATCTATATTACTAGTACTATCAGAATTCACCCTACTAACCTAATAGGTGGATACTAGTATCCCCTAGGGCTTACTACTCTTACTAATCCTATATATCTTCTATAATACAGATTTAATAATATATATGGACATGAATGATGCTATAGTAGTAGATAATACTAATAATATTAGCTATATTAATAATATAACTATACTTATAACTAGTGAGTCTAAATCTACTAACTATACTAGGATCTATAAAAACTATTAATAAATCTACCTCTATTAGGCTGCCACCTATACCTCCTAATTTAAACTATCTAAATTCTAGCTTATTTACTTCTATCTCCTGCACTACTAAGGTAATACTAATACTAATACTAAAGATAGTATACTACTAGACCTAGGAGATAGGCAGATTATCTAATTAAGTAAGATAGCTAGGCTGCTTAATATTATCCTTAATTAGTATCTTATATTTAATAAGTACCTAAAGCATATTAATATAGCTACCACCTAGCACCTATAGGTAATTAGTATACTAGGTAGGTCTAAGTAGGGGCTAAAGCTAGTAGACTTATAATATATATATATATAGTATGCATCACCCCTATTATACTCTATGCTGCCTTAGCCTAGTATATACTACTAATCTATAGTCAGAAGCTTTACTATAGCTAATAGGTAAAGATGCTTAACCATATCTAATACTAGGTAGGAAAGCTAATTAGCAGGGCCTTCTATATAGTTAGTAGAGATATATTTAATATAGAACTCTACCTAATATAAATATCCCTCCTCTTCTAATAATAATATATCTAGACCCTCCTTTAGACTATAATAACACTAGTATATTAGATATATATACTAGCCTACTACTATTATTATTAAAACCTACTACTACATATACTAATAGAATCTGCAGAGAAGGAGGTAGAACTAGTAATAGATATTAATCTATATAATATAAAAATATAGCTTCTATAGGTAGTGCTGCTATGGTGGGTCCCTCTAGAAATTAATATTAATAAGACTAAAGAACTCTCTCTTCTCTACTATTAGATTTATATAATAATATACCTAGAAGTAATCTAGATCTATACTAATAGATTAGGCATAGATAGCTATATTAGAATAGTAGTAGTATACCTAGACCTACTAATCTACTATAAATAGTATCTAGGTAGGATAAATAAACATAATATAGCTATTATAGAAATTATAGGGCTGGTCCTCACCCTATATCTTATTTAATATAAGCTAATCCTAAATAGAGCTATTACTATAGTCTGCTAAGCTGTATAGAAACATATTAAAATATACTCTAATAACTAAGGGGCCCTCTGTATACTAGGGAATCCCTAATAGATAACTAAATAATATCTAATCTAGATTATTATTAAACTCCTTAATCTACTTAATCCTATAGTAGATATCTCTTTCTATTAGTTAGCTACCTACTATAGGATCCTAGAGAATAAGCTAGTAGATCTATGCACTAAGAAAGTAACTAAATAATAGAAAGATAGTTAATAATAGGGCTTAGCTATAATTATAATATCTAACTACCTAATATAGGGCACCCTAGAAATATAGATCTACTAGTATACTAAGGACTACTAGGAGGAGTAGTAATAATAATTAGAATAAGATAATTTACTCTATTATATCCTTCTAGAGGTCTTAACCCACTCCCTAGAAATCTATAATAGCCTACCCCCTATAGAATACAGCATGCTAGCATAGATATAGATAGGGAAGATTAGCCTAAATTAATATCTTTTAATTATTAATTAGATAGATAACATAATATACTTATATAGATAGGCCCCTAAAATAATCTACTATATATTATTTAACTACACCTACTATAATAACCTATACTAGTAGATATAGATAGATAGGCTCCCCTATAATATAATAATAGCCTTAGTAGAGGTAAGGAATGCTAGATACACTATATAGTTTATATTAAATACTAGCTATCTAATATACCTAGTAGATGTTATCTAGCTAGGCTAGCTTAAGCTAGACACCCCTAGTAATACCTGACTTAGGGCACCTATAGATAATGGCTAACTTTCTATTTTTACTATATTTTCTTATATTATACTCTCCTAGTAGGAAGCGCCAGTGCATAGGGCCCTAGCTAGTAGATATCTACTATACTAAATACTAACTAGTAACCTTATATTACTAGTGTATCCCTAACCCTCACAGCTTAGGAATCTATAGATCTATCTAAAATAAGTAGTAATAATATAGGGGTAGGGGTAGCACCTAGATAGGTATAGAAATATAGGAGATATATAGGTAATAGAGAAATTATAATAGTAAGAGAGTATAGAATCCACTAAGTAGTAGTAGTATTATTAGTAGTAGTAGTAGCTATAGTAGTTAAAAAATAGTAGGAAAGGAGGGAAATATATATATGTCTAGGTGTCCAGTCCTCTGACCCTATATATATATATATTCTTATAGTAGTACAGTCTGAATAGGATGGCTATAGGTAATGCTATAGTTAGTACTACTCACTAGGAGCCTCTGGCATGGCCTAGCTTGGCGCTGAAACAGAGTAAGGAATCAATTAATCAATCAATCAATCAATCAAATATCTTTATGAATTAGTATTAATCTATAAAAGCTACTCTCTCTAAGTATTAAATAACTTAATTATACTCTTACTAAATAATATTAACTAATATTAAATAATACTTATAAATAACTAAATAGTAATACTTTAATATTCTTATACTATAAAATAATAATCTATATAATAATCCTATAATTACTAGTACTAAGGATGGGCTTTACTTTAGATAGGGAAGGATATAATATTAGTAAATATATATTAGTAGTAATAAGAGATAGATATTTAGATTAATCTTAGTAATCTAAGGTTAATAGTAAAATCTCTATAATATTTATAATTATCTATTATATAAAATAACTAAATAATATAGATATAAATAAGAGTACCCTCTCTAATAGTGAAAGAGGGTAAGGCCCAGCCTACCTCTCTCTTCACCCTTAGTGAAATCACATAACCATGGCAATACCAAATAAGTATTATTATATGAATAAGTATTCTAATACCTAATATATAAAAGATATTGAATTTAAAATAATAATTTAACTAACCTAAACCTAACCTAAATTTAATTATAGTAAGTTAACTCCTAATATAAATAGATTAATTATATTATGTTTTAAGTTTTAAGGTGAAACTTATATTAAATTATATTAAGTTAGGGTAGGTTCTGAGTCCTAAAATTTCAACTTAAAACCTGTGGTTTAGTGCCAACTGGCCATGAACCCACCTGAATCCAGACTGAATGCAACTCTATTATGGAGCATATGGCACTGACAGTATACATACACGGTAGATAGGACCTACCAATTTAGGGTTAGTGCCCTTTACAAATATGATCTTGCACTGTCTATTATTCACCAACACTCTGTAGCAATGGTACATATTGACTGTGTCCCCTACATATAGTACTAATTCACTATATTCTACCCCACCTGGCTACGGTGACTCAGTAAGTCAGTGGTCTCACATCAGAGTTCATGCCACTGACTAGACAAGAATCAAACAGGATGACGTTAGAAGCAATAAGGTATAGCACAGGCAAACTGGTTATAATTGACCAGTTGCAGCTTCCTTATGTGGAGAAATATATTGAAGTCCCGACGTCTAAGGATGCGTGGCATGCAATTAAGAAGATGCGAGTCCGGGGCGCGCCCGCCATTGCTATTGTTGCGGCACTCGCACTGGCTTCCGAGCTTCATACACTGATGGCCCACGATAAATTATCAAACAGAGCAGAAGAAGTTAGGCTTTTCATTCAAGAGAAGCTAGACTACCTCGTGAGCAGTAGGCCTACTGCTGTCAATCTCAGCGATGCTGCACGAAAACTTGCGGCACATGTGTCAGATCATGCAGAGATGCCAAACTCGACCGGGCGTGCTGTCGCAGAGGCCTTTATACAGGCTGCAGAAGAGATGTTGGCTAAGGATTTGAAAGATAACACTAATATTGGCAAATACGGAGCTGAATGGATCATAAGAAATGCACTCGCAGGGGGGAGATCGAAGGCCACCATCCTGACACACTGCAACACTGGGTAGGGCACCCGTTTAGCGCAATTGAGTGATGATTAAATACTGAATAATGACCACAGTTCCCTAGCTACATCGGGCTATGGCACAGCATTGGGTGTGATTCGGGCACTGGCATCAAAGAACGCATTGGCCTACGCCTATTGCACAGAGACGAGACCGTACAATCAAGGGAGTCGCCTGACGGCATACGAATTGGTTCATGAAAATCTCCCAGCAACGTTGGTGACGGACTCAATGGTGGCTGCGCTACTCGCCAAAGCAGAAGCCGCTGTAGACGCAATCGTGGTTGGAGCTGACCGGGTGGCAGCAAATGGGGATACTGCTAATAAAATTGGGACATACGCCCTCGCCGTACTTGCTAAATTTCATGGCGTCAAATTTCTGGTTGCTGCACCTCTTACAACGATTGATCGTTCCACCAAATCAGGCGCCGACATTGTTATTGAGGAAAGGCCAGCTTCTGAAGTCACAACAATCAAAGGGGCCGTCGAAACAGAGTCCTCATGTGACAGGATAAAGCTGGAAACTGTGCGCATCGCTGCAGAGGGCATCCATGTTTGGAATCCAGCATTTGATGTCACGCCCTCCGCACTCATTGACGCGATTATCACCGAAAGGGGCGTCGTTGAGCGCGGTACGGATGGGCGGTATAACTTCGACGGGATTTTTGAAGATCACTCAGCATTCTGATCATCAGTTTCAGTCGGCGTATTCACGTTTTCATTTCGAGTCTCCCTATCTTCATATTTCAGAGAGGCTGCAAGAAGTTGTTCCAACTTCGTCTCTAGGTTAGTCAAATGGGCGTCAAGTGCTTCAATCGCCTTTTCACCACTGGACAACATTAGTCGAGTATCTTCACATGACGAAATTTCTGGGAAACCGACGCAGCAATTTCTTTAGAAGCCTGTTAGCTTTTGTATCAGTACAAATTTCTGACTTTGGAGACATAATCAACGAATGATCCACTACATGCTGAGGAAAATCTCGAACACATGGAGTTCTTTCTGCGAGCATGGAGAACTATAACGGGTAATACATTTGAACTTACTTGTACGTAACTGGATGTATGGTTATCTTGTGATTCAGACATTGCTATGGCTGTTATCATCAAATTGTTGTGGATTTCCTGGTAGGAATAAGGAGTTTCCATAATGATAAAAGTGAAGGCGGGTCTATTATTCACCCAATACACTAGCAAGGTTAGATCACACATGCACTCACTGTATGTGCGCCTATTAATTTTCACTATGTACACTATCTGCCCTGGCCATAAATCAAATTATTTCCCATGAGTATTATTGTGGAAATCTGTTCTACCATCATGGTAAGGCTCTGATTAATTGTGGTAGAAAGGTTTCATTAACACCGTCACTATGAGATATGTCATGGGATCAAGTGCCTGATGAAGCACGTTCTCATGTCTTTTCGGTGCAGCATTTCTTCAAGGGCATCTCATTTTTTTTTGAATGGGGAGGATTTGCATATGTAAATGAACGCTGTCAGCTGCATGAACGTTTCATTTCTCCTGCAAGAAAAACAAGACCAACTAGAGCCACGTCAACTGCAACCTCGTAGCTAGTGGCTTTTGGTCAATTCGTTCACCTTCAAAAGTGTCGCTTGCTCGGGCGTTGAGATTGTCCACAGCATCGGTGGATACAGCAGTCTCCTCGGCAGATGCAACAAGTCTTCTGAACCAGAAGTCAAGTTGTCCCTTCGTGATTTGCTTATGCAATACCTCGTTCTCTCTGCTCAAGTCGCGATTGATTCTACTGCGCCGCTCCAACGGAAATCGTGATAGGATAACTTCGACCTCCGACTCGCTGAGCAAGACGTCCGAGGGTGAAGATGGTATGTAGATTGAAGGGGGGTTCGTGCCTGCAAAATGTCCTATACATAGCATTAGTCAACCGTCTAACAAACAATTAGCGTGGGTTCCATACGGTCCTTCGTACACAAAGAGAGTGTTCGGAAAAGGGCGGTGTTATAAATGGGATCCTCCAGTTCATCCCTTACACCGCCCTCAGCTTCTCTCATAATTTGCCAATCATCTCGAATCATGCAACGCCGCCACACAAGTTTTTGAAACGGGACTTGATAAAGCGGATCGCCCTGTGAAGAAGCGAGACGGATGACCCTTAAAGCCAGGTAGAACTCCTTGCTGCTGAACTCACTCAGGATGTCGTCTGGAACCTGACACCCGTCCATCAATGTCAATACATTGACCATCTCATCGAAGGTGAGGATGTGCCGGTTTATCACTTTCGTGAGCGCATGGCAGAGTACTTCACGAAGCGAAGGCATGTCGACCACAAGTTTTCCGAATTGATCCATGGCTAATTCTATCTCAGCCTTCTGATCAATCGCACCTTGCAATGCTGGCATGACATATGAATAAATGACTTCCTGAACGGCGTCTATTTCGGCCAAATCCTCTAAACGTCGTATTTCCTTGTTGAGGATAGACTTGTTCGCTCCATCATCCCCTTCCAAGGCTGCCAATTTAGTAAGCTTTGATAAAGATAATTCAACGCGGTGGCTCCAGATATCGGACTCATGCTCGACTGCCAGTGACTCCAATGATCGACCTGCCACCTCGTAATTATTCTCACCAATTGCATCATTGATCCAACACAATCGTGCATATGTTGGGTACTTGTGCAAGAAGCGAGTTATGAAAGGCTGAAATTTCCTCATCGTAAACAAGGTACCTGACTGGCCCATCGAAATTTGGCGGGAAAAGAAGGCATCCGCCCAGGATTCACCAAATCTCTCAAAGTAAGTAGATATTCTCTTGCTGAGCTGCTCCGACTCGCGATTTGTCGATTCTGCAGCATCCTCTGAATCCAATGTCTGATCTTGGAGCTCAATAATAAGTTCCACCAATGCACTCATGTCCCGGAAGTTTTCGGCCAAAGTTATTGCATGTTCTAATTGTCCAATGCCTGCCAATTTGAAGAGCTGCCACCTGCGCTGTTGGATATGTGCTTGCTCAATTGCAATACTTTCATCGACCAATTTAGGATCATCTTGGACAGAGAGCCATCGGACTCGTTCACAGTGCACCAGACTGAGCACACGAAGTTGCCGGGCGCTGTTTTCCGCGATTCTTCTCAAAGCTTGATGTTCTGGCAGCTCCAAGGAGGGCGTGGTTTGCTGTATCCAAGCTCTGCATGTTTCTAGCTCCAGATCCAGAAGATGTCCTGTTTCAATATAGATGATTCCTTCGGATGTCCAGAACTCCGGAAGACCACCGTAATCGGCCGTCGACACACCATCCTCAATACAATCAATAACAAGCCCGTACTGACGAGCATGCCCATCTCGATAATGAAAGGCTGTTTCTAGAACAGCCAAGGACAACTCACTGGCTTCTACTATCTCTTCAGTCATTATTCGGCAATTGTTTGCTGAGTGACTCCGCTGTGGTTTAATGGCTTTGAAAATCCACGGGACAATATGTTCCATCCGGAATGTGTCATAAAGAAACCAATCGCGCACTTCATCGGCGTCCCCAGTTTGAGATTTTGTTTTTGTTTTGAACTTCTCATTCATTGATCGAATCACGTGAGCCAGAAATGTGTGTCCTTGACCTTTGGCCCTTCTAGAGACATCTTCGACCTTCCACAAGGCCTTTTGAGCAGCGAGTTTCTCGGCACTCCAGAGCAACTCATATCGCGTTTGGCGACGTAGATTTTTATGATGTCGAAGCAACAAGGCTGCAAGATCTTCAAGAGCCTTTGATCGTAATCTTAAGTTCTGGTCAAGAGTAACTGATGTGGTTGGAATATAAGAGGAAGTGGAACGCAGCAGCTCTTTGCATATGTCCAGCGCAGCCTGCTCAATCTCGTTGAGAGGAAAGTCAAGTCCACCTTTGTCACTCAGATTCAACGGATTACCAAGCTTTGTGCCATAAAATACAGCTTGTTCAAGCTTGGTCTTGGCAGTGACATGTGCGTCATCAATGCCATCCTCATTCTCTTGTCTGGATGTTATTGTGATGCGAATAATGCCAAAATTTCGAACCATGATCAAGCATGTAGGGCCTGGATCCAACTGTGGTGGATTTTCAAAGCCGCTGGCGAGTATCTTGTAATCATCTCCGCTCCTAAAGAGGATCTGGTCAAGGAACGGTGGGGGAATCCGGTCAGAATCCATCAAGAGTTGCTGGGTGGGCGAGTTATCAAAGGACGGTAAGGAGAGTAAGATCACCGACTGGCCGATCACGACAAAGCCTGTATGGCCAGTTTTCGGGATGAATACTTTGGTCTTCAGATGTGAATCGTGAACTGATGTCTCACTCAGGTTCAAGCCTATCGTACTAGTCGACACCACGCGCATCTCTTCGGAGAGTATGACTTGCACAACAGAGAAACCTTCGTGGATGGCCTCTCTCGAGGGCGCTACAATCAAACAAAGGCGCCATGTTTCTGCTCCGGCGTCCTGGGAGTCTCGCAAGTTGTTGTCGCAGGTCATGACAGAGAAGTCCAAAATTTTGAGGTCAAAATCGCTTGCGCCGTCTGCAAACTCCCGCCCAAGAGAACTGCACAGTTCTCGTCTGATATCGAAGTGTCTCTTTAACATGCTGCCGTTGCTCCAGTGAGTGTCCCAAACCTCAAATACCCCGGTTGACGTAGCGATGATGATATCTCGCTGTCCTCTTTGATGCGACTGGGCAGCCTTGACAGCAGCAACATCTTTCCTCCAGCAACCACCACCGAACACGCTTTTTATGCCGCCCAAAATCCCACCATTCGTATTGGGACTTCGAAGGAAATAGGCCATCAGGGCTGGCCTGGCTTGAGAATCTCGGAGAGTGAGGTGCACAACCCGCCCTGAAGATAACGTGATAACGACACCGGAGGGTTCGCAATTTATGATATCTGTAGCATGTTCACCGGAAAGTAAGCCAGCTATGCAACCATGATGCCCAGATTCTTTCTGTCTTGGTAACCCGAGAGATCCAGCATTCAAAATTGTTTCCCAGTAAGTAATTCTTCCTGTGATTGGCTGAACGACCAGTAGACCAGGCATTTCGCCAGTTGCATTCGACAGGAAAACGCCAAGAGGCACCGTTCCGTGCGAGTCTCTCCATGATTCAGGAAATGCAATTGTAAAGGCATCCAAAGGATTTGTTGTTGGTGCGGAGGCATGATAGGGCCAGATGATGGCATATGATTCTGTCAAGGCCAAGGCATAGCCGTTATCTGCTCCAAAATATCCACGGAATTCTATAGACCCGCATTAGTACCGCGCTTGGGGTTGGTAGCCTCAGCACTTGCCTGAATTCGAGGCGCAAAATTTATCCGGAAAAGACGGGAGTTGCGAGACAGTGTATAGGTCTGTCCTTGACTTCAGAAAACTCGGCGTCAGTGCAGTGACCAAATGTATGACGAGACGGAGAAAAGGCCTGGACCAATCTTCAGCTTATGGAACACTTACAAGCACGATAGGTTCATCAGCCTTATTTGCTGAAGCCTCAGTCAATTTCAGACCTCTAATAGGTATTGACTTCTGTAGACTAGTGTTGTCTGTGTTAGTTGGGGCAAATCCGATATCAGTTGTGCCCAGCTCCTCGTTGGGTAGTCTGTCTTGAGGATCTGATAGCCTTTTTGAGGGGATTTCGGAGCCTCCCTGACGCAACGTCGATCGCTGTCTTTTCGCATTTGGTGCTTTTACAGACTCCTCAGAGCTTGTGCGTTGACGCCTTCGTGGATTGCGTGAAGGAGCTGCCGATGAGAACCCGGCCTTTGGCACGAACATTGTTAGGTTATCAATGTATGTTAAGGAAGTTTCCCAAGTGCCAAATTATTATAGTCAATTAAGAACGCAAATAGCGGTTATGGATATCAGTACTTGGTTGACTTAACCAAGACTGTGCGACATATTAAGGAGTCAGTTTGCATATAGGTTTTTTGTTGTTATCACCGGCTGCTTGAAGGATAACCAATCCAAGAGGATCATATAAGGAAAGCGGTCAGTCGAATTTGAAAAGCACATTGTCCAGAATGTTGGGTAACGGAAACCACTGTAGGTGAAATACATAAAAATGTATTTACGTCTCCCTGTATGTAAGGTATGGATGTAAGACTAGGTAAGTAAGTATTCCACATACAACGATACATGGACCCGAGTTGAATTAATTTGTAAGTAGTCTCCAAGCTCCAAGAAAAGTACACAGTGTCGTAATACGTAGTACCGCTGTCCACCTCTATATACTCTACCTACTAGTAGGTCCTAGACACTGTCCACAGGATCACATGACCTGAATATGCCATTACCTATAGACTACCTTATCAGTCCCATAGGTACCTAATTTTTAGACAGTCAGTACCTAGGCACTACCTACAGAGTAGTTATTATTGCGCCCAATCTCAGATGCCACACCTGACTGAGATCTCTGCCATGCCATAAAGTTCTGCTGATATCAGCCATTAGGTTACTATCTGAGGCATTTCCACAAGTAATGGTTAGTAATCTGGTAATTTGTGGGACTTCCCTATGAACTGGCCTACAAGCCTGCCTACTGCCTACTGCCTACAACCTGTCCACAGAGCTCCCCTATCAACAAGCTTGTATCAGAGGCTTTTCCTACAGGCTCACATAGGCTCACCTACTGGCTCGTCTATGTTGAGTTGCTGACATATGTGGTGTAAGCCTCTAAGAAACTTTATCAACCCTAGCTCAACCTTATTCTATATAGCTATTTCAGCATGATGGAGAAAGAGGAGATAAACAAATTTACCAGCTTCATTGTTATGAGTTGTGACATTCCATCATATAATTTTCTATGCGGTTGGTGTCGTAGGCTAGAATACAGACTGAAAACATACACAGTATGTATCTGACAAGATATTTGTATGGCACCCAGATATTAGATGGTTATTATTATTACTAACCCACACAGGCAGTAACTAGCCCAACTTCAAACCAACGAGAGTAAATAACCTCACTATATTGAGTTTACTTCTGGTAACTATTTTTTACGGATTAATAAGTATACCATGCAATACATATGATGACTTTCAATCTGACTGCGCTGATGATTTTCATAAAAAGACTGTCATGATTATGATGCTTTTTATTCTTTAAATGATGCTATCTATTCCTACCAAATTCAAATACACAAATACTGTTATGCGCTTTATCCAATGTCATTCCATGATAAGACTATCAAGACCTCAACAACAAAGCCATGCCTTATATTCCACAAAGACAACTCTACACACTGCCCTTTTTTTCCCTGGTACACATATCTGCTCAGTAGTTGAAATCTAGCTTGGCTGATTGAATAATAGGTCATGGCGTACAACGCGTGGGAATGGCCAGCTCCTGGATTGACAAATTTCCGATCACATCAAGGCTATTTTTAAATGAGATGAACGACATTCTAGGATTCAACCTATCTCATATTATATCAAATGGCCCAAATTCCGAGCTTAATAAAACCGAAAATTCCCAGCCGGCTATAATGGCCACATCAGTATTGATCCTTCGCATACTGGAGAGGGAGTTCGGGTTCGACACGAAATCACGGGTGAATGTAACACTCGGACATAGCTTGGGCGAGTTCTCTGCTCTGGTTGCTGGCGGCTATCTTACTTTCAAAGACGCGCTGAAATTGGTTCGTCGACGGGCGGAAATCATGGCGGAATGCACGCGCCAGGCTTCTAAACAATCCGGGGAGGATTACGGCATGGTGGCTCTGGTTTGTGAACCAGATCACCTTGAGTCCTTACTCTCCACCATATTTGAATTTACAAGCCACACGTCGTCCAGTTTCAACGATGACTTGAGCTTCGGATCACCCCCAATTCAACAAGTTGCAGTTGGAAACGTCAACTCCAAAAATCAAATAGTACTGAGTGGAAGCATGTCAAAGATAAGCACTCTTCTCATCCAAATTCGTCAATTCGGGGGTCACGACCCGCGTGCAGTGAGGTTAAAGAGCGAGAGTCCGTTCCACAATCCAATATTGGCACCAGCTGCAGGGTACATGGGACAGGAACTAGACAATGTTCAAATAAAATTCCCTGCCCATATGCCGTGTATTTCAAATGTGTCTGGTCGGCCTTTCAAATCTGCGGAAGACCTCAAAGGCCTGTTGTCTAGGCAATGTGTTGAAACTGTAAGATGGTGGGAAAGTATTCGTTATCTTGACCAGGAGCGGGGGGTAAAGAGATGGATTGGCATTGGACCAGGCAAGGTTGGCAGGAATTTGGTCGGCAAGGAGGTTGGCAGAATCAATGGTAAAGGTGGTGGTGTGTGGGCTCTTTGTGATCCGCGGGAGCTGGAAAACATAATGACAGCACTGGGAAGAACAGAAAATGAGGCTTTTCATGGGTAACTGTTGTATGCTGTCTTATATTTTAGCTCCCTGTTGGCGATAAATTGATCGTATGATAGGATTATTAGTTGAGCAAGCAACTTCTTAAAAACACCTACTAAAACATTGATATCTTTCTTTATTGCTGTTCCTATAGGTTCAGTACCTTATATAATGTAGGAAGTGTGAGGTAGATGCTATGAGGCTCTCATTGAGAGGGCTTATTCTAATCTTTGTTAATGAGCCTTGTATTTCTCTTACTAGATGCATGGAGATTTGGTCTATATATGGTACCGCATGAGGCACAATGTGAAAGGTATTGATGCACTGTACGAGATATGGGCTTCGGGGGCTCCTGTAGTACACGGAAATTGTGCATTTCTTCAATGACTTGATATTTGACCTATAATTCCAAGTTCAACCCTCCACTGTGGTCCACAAATCATTTTCTCACCCTTGTTCTCTCTGCACAAAGCTGGTCGAAATGATTTCGCACTGGAAACTCTAGGGCCTGGAGGATGATGCGCAGTACTATCTCAAACTGCAATCATGCCCAGGGCCCAGGAATCACCAATGCGTTCTATTTCCGCGATGAATTTCTCATTTGAAATTTGTAAAGGATTAGACGTAGGCGTCAAGATTTCATTCATAGGCGTGTGATCATCTGGAGAGTAGAATGGGTTTTGTAGAAGTTGAATATACGCATTCTGCATTGCCCGAAAAGCCTACATGCCTCCGTTAGTTCCTCAGAGATTTGGAGGTGCATCGGGCATGACGAAAAGGGAAGAACATGCCGGTCTCAAATCCGATTCCCTCAAGGCGTCCATTGCAACGATCACCTTTTCGCCCTCAACATTCGTTGATTGCCCGATTAGATCCACTAGAATCAAGAACTTCACACCAGTGGTTGTCAACCATCCATATGCCGCCAGTCGCTCATCGAGTGCATGTAACAGACCCAAATCCTGGCCGACGGAAGTCTGCTTTTGTCTCAACTCGAAAACATCAAGACATGAGTTCAATAGGAATGAGAAGTCAACTGTCGAACTCCGGTATGGCGGGAATAATGAGATGTGGAGAGGGTTATCCTTATTGATCATTATTAACGGTCTGAAACTTGTAGTATAGATGTTTTCTCACAGCCTTCCCAATCACACAGATACAAGCAATCCTTGGACCCGTCATTATCCGCTGCTTGAGTTTCTGTTCATTGGCTCTTTGCAATTAGAACAATCTGCACTTCTGGGGAACTTCAGTCTGTTTTGAATTGTAATAATATGTGAGTATTTGAAGTACTGGGAAGACAGTGAGTGTGTCGCAAAGAATGTTTACAAACAGAACCTTTTCTGATTGTGTTGATTCTAGCGTTGCCAATTGGCCTTGAAGGTGTTGAGGTTAGTAATTCACCTATTATTTGAAGCCAAAAGATGCACTTGCTTACACCTGCAAGACAAAGCCAAACTAATTTAAGAGGTATTATTGCAGCTGAAAGGAAACTCAAGATAGAAATACTCGAGATTGAAGACATGATGAAAGCCAACATCTTTTTACTCTCGTTTCTAGCTAATAATATGTTTTTAACCATTGATTTCCAATTTCTGTTAACCATGATAATCTTAAGAATCCAGGAAACTGGCGACCAGCGAATTCTGACTTTTCTGTTAGTCAGCCGAGCAGACGACTAAGCCGGGACTCCGGAGCCGCAACGAAACGTCTCTGATTTACCAAGTAGAGAGTCATTGCTTCTTTTTCTCGCCTCAACCGCTTCCTTGCCACTGGCGGCTTGAAGCAAGTTTCTAAACCGGAAGATAGGCAATCGGTATCACCTCAAAGTCCAGCCAGTTTATTGCATCTCACGTCTTCGAAGAAAAGGTCTAAGCACCATTGCTCAACATGCTTTTCGCATCTCGGCGCGCCATCCCTGGCGCTCTTCATGGTAAGGATGTTTGACCGCCGACGGACCTTGACTTTCAGTAGCTCATATTATACAGGGCGACCAGTCCGAGCCTCACGCCCTATTAGAGTCCAGCAAGCCGGGCTGCTGTCGACATCGTCAGTGAAATCAGCGACAGCACTTGAGCATCGATCTCAGTCTGGTCAACCTTTGACCGTCTCTGGTAAGGTACGAAAGGAGGTGCCTTTGCCAAGCCAGGAGAAGAAAGAGGGTGCGATGCAATATGTCCTGTTCGTCTCCCTACGGTGTCCCTTTCTCGTGCATTGAATTCGGGTTGTACTCATTGAGGAAATCGCAGGACGACGCTTGACCAAGTTGCCAACTGGGCGCGTCAGAGCTCCTTGTGGCCCATGACTTTCGGTCTCGCCTGTTGCGCCGTTGAAATGATGCATCTTTCGACACCCAGATACGATCAAGATCGCTTAGGAATCATTTTCAGAGCCTCACCTCGACAGTCTGATGTGATGATTGTAGCTGGGACTCTAACAAATAAGATGGCGCCCGCCTTGAGACAAGTCTATGATCAGATGCCCGATCCTCGCTGGGTCATCAGCATGGGCAGTTGTGCAAATGGTGGTGGTTACTACCATTACAGCTATTCGGTCGTCCGTGGGTGTGACAGGATCGTCCCAGTCGATGTTTATGTCCCTGGATGTTTGTGTTCCCCGGCCAATTACCTATGGATGTTTGTACTAGATATTCTGACAATGTCAATAGGTCCTCCTACATCCGAGGCGTTGATGTATGGAATTTTCCAGTTGCAGAAGAAGATGAGGCACACAAGAATCACACGCATGTGGTACCGACGTTAATCTTGCGTTTCAAATCCCTGAGCTAGGTCTGGAAAATGGTGGGTTTGGGAGATGTCGCAGGTGTCGCCTCACTATGCCAGAGAGAAGTGCCTAAATAGATCCAATCTCACGACACCGGATCATATCGTCCGCAATCTTCTCCGCCATTTCCAAAATCCCATACAGTATTATGTATCATTCACCAGTAATTTTTATTTTTGGGACATATTTTGTAGTATAAGGTACGTATGGGAGTGATTTTAGTAATTCGTTCTCGAGGTTCACAAGCCTCGTTTTCCTTGGATCCAAGATACATCGACATGTCTCCTTTGCTGATTACTTAGCCATTAATTATGACACCTCCATTGGGATGCAGGCATTGCCCAGAAATGTAGCTGCTATCGTGGCTTGCAAGGAAAACAAAGCAGGTAGCAACTTCGCTGGGTTGGCCTGGACGGCCCATGGGGACAGAGCTGAATTGCTCCATTGCCGAGGTAGTCATAGTTGAAGGTATCAGGGGAGTCCATACTACAATATCGTTTAGTGAATTGACAAGCGGTCTTCGTGAATTGGCCAGACTTACTTGGACCTGGACACACGCAGTTAACGCGAATACCTTTTCCAATCTGTTGATTGGACAATGCTCGAGTAAACGCAACAATTGCACCCTTTGTGGATGTGTAATCGAGCAGATCAGATCGACCAATGTAGTGATTTACCGATGAACAATTTATGATTGTTGAACCGCTCCGCATATGAGGAAGAGTGTACTTCGCCAGATAAAAGAAAGGATGGATATTCGTATCGAAGGTTCGTTCCCATTGAGCCCTATGGTATGTTGGATCCAGTATCAGTCCAATGAGACCTTGATACAACAGTCTTTTTCTTTGGTTCTGTCCCTTGAGAGGCAGGCACAGGGGGAGAGGAGCATACTCATCTAGCTCACTGATGTCCTGGACCATATGTTGAAATGCAGCATTGTTTACTAGGACGTCAACACCACCCATATATTGAAGGGCAACATCAACCACTTTCCGACAATTTTCCTTTTTGCGTAAATCGATTGCTAGGCAGTGACATTCTTTGCCAATCTCCTGCACTCTTCTCTTTGTTTCCTGGGCATCGCTCTCTTCATCTGGCAGATAGACAATTAGGCTAGATGCCCCTTCCATGGCAAACAGAATGGCAACTGCGCGACCAATCCCGGAGTCGCCACCTGTGATGATCGCTCTTTTCCCAGCTAATTTCCCAGCTGCTTTGTACGTCTGATACCCGTTATCATCAGTTGGTATACGGGTAGACACAGGCTTTGGATCCTCCAGTTCTGATTGTAGGCCTGGCTTTCTATGGTGTTGGATCGGGATGCAATGCCCTGCATCACCTGTGAGTATCACCGACAGGCTAGTCCCAGGGACTCGAACTCACCAGGTTGAAACTGGGACTTGGCACCACTTGCTGGTTTTTCTGTGTATTCCTGCATGTTGTGGTTACTGTTGCAGGCGCAATATTGATAATCTCCCGGACAACAAGTCTCCTGCATACCAAGCAGGCCAACGCAGACTATACTGGATTATTAGAGGTGATTAGGGCAGTAAATTTTGCAAGCATGGGACACTAGCTTAGACCCGGTTTATACTCGCTTCCAGAAGCTCGGCCTTGAAAGCCGTTGCCTTGCAATGTCTTCGTCAGGGTGACGATGTCGCCAATTCCTGAACTTAGGCTTCAAAGGCCACCAAGCATCTGGTGCTTCCTCGGGTGGTTGACCTGGTATGTCATTCTTGCGAAAAGGTCGTGTTGTTATATGGTTCAATACCTTGCTGTATTTTGGGCCTCGAAGCTGGTGCACAGTGTCAGTATGAAATCCAGAGATATATGTTGCAACTAATAGGGTATATGCAATCAAATCAGATGCTTGCTCTTCCTTCTGTCTCAGAGGGGATGAATTCCAAAGGCATTTAGTTCTATGAATCGTAAACGACGTGGCTTTGTGGAGAGGGAAGGTGAGCTTTGACATCTGATATAACATGGCTGTGCATGGCTGGCTACCTGTGTACGAGTATAGCGGGTGACAAGGGCAGATACACTTCCAACTTTTCAAGTGAAAGCCCTCCAGCAGCCAGCAACTCCAGGCAGTCAATCCAATATGTGTATTAACATACTTTTTGAATCGTAACTTGTTCTGATTGATAACTATCTATCACATACATGGGGTAAAAGAAGGGGGAATTTCCAAGGGATACATATATCAAGTCCTTGAATTTGCTAGGATGAGGAGATCATGAGCTACAGCATATATATAACCTATCCCTACGCCATAGCCTATCCAGGCTAGTATATACTTTTAAGATGATGACTGATGAGCTCCGCCTAGCGAAAGTACTTAGCTAGGCTCTTTAGGGCAGGCTTTCAGTCTCCTCGATTTACAGAGTAAAAGACGGGAAGCTTGGCACTAACTGGTTTTTGGTTTTTCCTCCGCAAACTTTTTTTTTTTCTTTCCGCCTCCTCTTGATTCACTACTCACTCCATGATGTGCATGCTTAACATTAAAACATACATCGACAAAGCTTTTCCATTCTTTGACAGTTGTGGCTCCTGTCAGCCAGCTACCCTGCAATGAAAAAAGCCATATCTATCGTCCATGCTGAGCCTCCAGCTTTCAAAGCAACCAGCCATGAGCAGGTACCCCTGGAGTCGGTCTTGTCCCACCCATGGGATTTCCTTCGCCCGACAACATCGCTCCATGCATCTGTTGCCAAATCGGCGAAGCATTTCCTAGATCACCTTGCAACTTCCGTCAGTGACTCCCAGGTTGCTCGCCAGCGCATCAGCCGGAAACGCAAGCGATCAGATTTTGAGCAAGAATTGTCACAGCACGCACTACAGCTCAGGGAACTATGCGTGCAAGGGTTTGCTTCAAGTCAAATTTGGGAGCAAGCCATAAGAATCCTGGACTCGTCTGAATGGGAAATTGAACATGATTTTGCACTACTCGCCCACAGTTCGTTGGAATTAGGTCTTTCGCACTCCCGATCTGGCACGGAACGTCCCGAGGATATCTCACAAGACAACGATACGGTCCTCTCCACAGAGCCGAGCATAGATGACTCAAGCTCCCAGAACGATGATGGATCTGATATGGAATCCATACCGGAGTCACGGGATACACCCGAAAAGAATTCGCGGCTGCAAATCGAGTTGTACGATGACCCGGAAAGCGAACACTCCTCACTGGATTTTGAAGACAAGGAAGAAAGAGGTGAAACTTACCAGCAAGACCCGTTTGGTTTGAATGACGGTTTCTTTTCAATTGATGAATTCAATAAACAATCTGAACTTCTCGAGAGGCAAGATGCGAAAGGCGGGGCTGCTGACGACGTTGACAGTGACGAGGAGGAGGTAGATTGGCATACAAATCCACTGGCCGTCGGTAATACGGTTTCTTACAAGGTCGCGAAACAAGCCACACAAGGCCCAGGAAAAATGCATACAGGTGGAAGTGAGATCGATGACAGCGACGAGGAGGGGCCTACTTTTGATAATGCCCCCAGTCAAAGTGACTCGGATATGGATGATGCTGATGCCTACGCGGATGAAGCTGGCGGTGCGAACTGGATAAATACGAGCGACATCAAATACTCTGATTTCTTTGCCCCGCCCCCACGTAAAGCCATCCCGATGAAATCACGGCCTCTTCCAAAGACCCAGCCTCGTGTGGCCATCGAAGAAGTTGATCTTGATCGGGCAATCGCTGATGTTCGGCGTGATTTGTTCGAGGATGATATCTCAATGCATGAAAGTGATGCGTCCCACAATGGGATTTCCCCGAATACTCAGCATTCCGCCCATGAGAAGCAGCGGGCACGCATCGCTGACGAGATTCGTCGGCTGGAAGCAGCCAATGTTGCTAAGAAAGAATGGATGCTTGCTGGTGAAGCCCGAGGCGGCGAACGGCCTATTAACTCTCTAATCGAAGAAGACCTGGATTTTGAGAGAATTGGGAAGCCGGTACCAGTTGTTACGACGGAAATTTCTGAGGGAATCGAGGATTTGGTCAAACGTCGAATACTCGCCAAGGAATTTGATGAAGTGATTCGTCGCCGTCCAGGTGCATCCGATGTGCAGGGTCTGAAGAAGGGGAGGTTTGAGCTGGAAGACACCAAGCCACAGCAGAGTCTCGCAGAAATGTTTGAGACTGATCATCTTCGTACTACTGATCCGAACTATATTGATCCCAAGAGTCAGAAGCTTATGAAAGAACACACTGAAGTTTCCAATATGTGGAAAGAAATAAGTGTTCGCTTGGATACACTCTCGAACTGGCACTACAAACCCAAAGCTCCCCAGGCGACCATCAACGTGGTTACCGACGTGGCGACTATCATGATGGAGGACGCGCAGCCAACGAGCAGTAATGCCACGTTAGGGTCGGCGGCTCTTGCTCCTCAAGAACTATATGCGCCAGGTGATGATGGCAAGGTTGCCGGAGAAGTAGTCCTCAGAAATGGAGGATCAATTGCCAAGGAGGAAATGTCGCGCGAAGAAAAGTCGAAGCTGAGGAGAAAGTACAAGAATGAACGAAGAGCTCACGGCGAAAATTCCAAGCAACACTCTGGAAAAGCCGCCGAGAAACAGCAGATCGTCTCAACATTGAAAAAGGGCGGTGTTAAGCTAGTTGGCAAAGAGGGAGGTCTTACTGATGTTCATGGTATTCAAGCTCGCCAGAGCGGCGCGAAGACTGGTGCCGATTTGCTTAAACTTTAAAAAGTATACTCCACATTTAGACCATTCGGTCGGTACCTTGCTGGTTATAGCATTACGAGGATATCCCAATACACATAAATATTCGATTGCGCAGCGCATGACGTTCGTCAGTGAGAGCTTATATCATATTTTTCTCTTCCTAGCATCTGTACGCGGAGGCCTTGTTGTCGAACTGGCTGTTTCCGCTACCTGATTTCAAACGAATGGAGCATAGAAAGATATTCTCTTTCTTGTACATGTCTAAGTCAGGGTCATCCTCAACGTGCTTAATGTCAAAGATCTTTTTTGCAGATTTCATAAATCGAAGATCTGCTCGTCGGCGTCTCTTGAAACAGAAGTAGCAGACTGAATCAGGTCCCAGCAGATCTTGCAATGTAGAGATGAGGAGGGGAAACGCCGGTTCAAAGTATACACAGTCTGCGGCAAGTATGATCGCGGGGTGAGTCGGAATACAGTCTGGAAGAGGTTCTCCCCAGTTCAACACAGTCGCAGCGACTGCAGATGAGAGATTGTTAAGCTCAATGTTCGTTTTCATCAATGGTAACATTGGCTCCTGGTCTGTGACGTAGATAGGGACAGAGCCAACATTGCAACCCCGTGCTACTGCAAGTCCTACAAGGCCAACACCAGCCCCCAATTCAACTCTTACCAATGCATCAGTAAGCTCATAACGAGGAGTTAATCCGGGTATTGGGAAGAAAAGAAAGACGGTAGACACACATTGTTTTATCGAAAAGGTCCTGGCGATGTTTTCGCAACATGTATTTGGCCAGAACGATGCCTGCCGGCCACAATTGCCCACCACATCCTTCTTTCAAGTCTTCCTTGAGGACTAGCGGCTCTTCTAATAGCCCATCGAAGGTGACCGATGAATTCCCGGCCGATTTGAGCTCTTGTGGAGGGACTAGAGACTCGCTGACGTTGAAGTTTGCGACGTCAGGGAACGGCGGGTTAGAAGAAATGTCTTCCATTGATGCGTTTCTTGTATCCACACAAGATATCGTGAACAAAGTAGTCTAAACAAGGAATCGGGAATGCTGTAGCAATTAGCGGATTTGTACTTCCGCCAGTTCCGAAGCTGGAGAGGCCATTTTCGAAAAGGTGAAACAACTTAACAAGAAAAGAAACCTGGAAGACGCAACCTCTTCCCCCCCACCCCCTAAAAAAAATGAAAAAGAAAAATAAAACAAGCAAGAAACTTACCACAGTGCTCCAAAGAAGGGGACAAGAAAAAGAGGCTCAAAGCCTAGGAAGGTAGTGGTATGGTAGGTTAGACCCCACTTTTGTAAAAAGATGAAAGTTGGAGAAATGAGGGACAAAAAATTGTGAACATAAGAAACACCCCTCTTAACCCTATTTGCTTAATGTCTTGATCAATTTACTCCAGACTAAGGCACGTACCTAGAAACTTGGCTCTCAGCCATCTGTCTGGACTCTGGAGTCTGGATTCTCAAAGCCAAGACAGGGCCTACCTCACTAGCTGCCTAGGCGGGTGCTACCTATTGGGCGGTCTTGGTATTATGGTATACAAAACTTTCCTAGTTTCTACTTCGTAGGTAGATACTATTTGCTCACTGCCTGCTACTACCTTGCTCTGAGGTAATCAATATGCTTTCTGTATTCTACCTACCTATGTTCCATAGGTAATCGTCCGAAGTGACCAGTATGAAAAGTTCTATTTGCGACGAATCGCAATCACACTGGTTTCTGGCAAGTTTCCCCCAAGAATCAATCAGTATCAGTTTCCATACGGAGTACATGGTCTATCCGCTACGTCATTGAATAACTTCCTTCACTAAAGTCAAAGTATCATTCTACATTCCTATCCATCAACCTTGCTGGAGACGATATTAGGAGTAAGAAAGATAGAGGAAGAAAAAGCAGCACTTGAATCCCAAGCACGGTATAAAGACAAGGGACAGTCAAGGTGGCTGAGATACTTACAAGTATACGACTACTAGGCAATCAATACGGAGTAGTTTGTTATCTAACTGAAGGTACGGAGTACTACTGTCTATTGCCATTCGTATGTGGCTCTCTGTATCCGCTGCTTGACGTCATGTCCTTTAGTTTTTCCCACACCAGACACCAGGTAGTAGTGAGTAACTAACTAGTCACAGTAGTAGATATCTTGCCCTCAGCATTCTTGGTGGGTTTGGGACTCTGGGGCCTTTAGGCCAAATCTAGGTTCTTACTCCAATGGAGGCTGCATCGAACTATTGGCCCGCAACATGTATTACCAACCGATCTCCCGTCCTCCTATGTGCGGAGTAAATGGAATTCCTCCATTATCCTTATTGCAGTGAGCTGAGATCCTGTCTTTAGATCATGACGACGTCACTTTACACCCAGCCCAGGAGCAAGTAAGAAGATGGCAACCCCATGTGACCTTGTCAAAATTTGTGTTCAAATAGTCCTTCTTGCCCAGGTGTCTTCAATCGATTAGTTGATTAGAACAACAGTCTACATTTTTCCCAAGTATCGCCAATTCGAATTCTAGATAACCACCACCAACCAAGATGACCACTCTTCACTGTAAGTACACTTTCTATCGCTCTCTTCGAGCAACATCGATTAACAGCTTTAAAAGATTTACCCCCCGTGAAGCCCTCTGCGATCGCGTTGGGTACGATCTTCACCCACACAGCCTCGCTGGGTATCCTCGCACCCGTTTTCGGTGATGCTTATCATCGTGCCCAAGCCGCCAACTCGAAAGAGGAATTTCTCAAGTCCAAGGAGACGGCTGGAGCAGCTGCGGCTTGGGGTAGCTCTCTAGTCGGCAGTGCGGTACAGACATACGGGGTTGCAGCTTTGATCAACGCAACAGGCACCCTGAGCTATAAGGGTGCTGCGTATTTGGGTAGCTTGATTTTCATGGCAAGCTCTGCACCAAGTGTAAGTCATTAAAGTGTGCGCGCCGGTTTTGCTTGCCCGTATTGACATTGGGTCTCAAACAGTTCATTAGCCAGATCTTCACGGAGAAGAGACCGCTCGATACCGTTGCTGTCGGTGCAGTTAGCAGAGTGTTCGAGACAGTGGGTCTTAGTTTGTTCCTTACTTGGTGGGGCACACGTACGAATCCCTTTGATTAAGAGGTTCCTAGCTTCGGATACAAGGTTTTTGATGTGTAGTATGAGATTTCGGATGTAGATCAATGCAGAAGTTTGCAATTTAAGAGTTCTTACTATTTGACGCAACGTAGTTGCTAGTCCTACCAATTGACCGATATCTGGAGTCACCTTCCAGGGCAAGAAGAGCTCGGAAAAAAAAGTATATTGACTGCGATGAAGAGGCCCTAAAAGGATCAAAAAAACACAATCACTTCAACATCATAGAACCTGCAGATTTTTACACACGGCGGGCGGATGGTTTATGGACGTGATCTATTCGGAGAGCTAGTTGAAAGATGGAGCGCAATGACGGTACTGTATCCGAGGAGCCCTGCTGCAGAACGTTCCAGGATGCTGGGCTCGAGAAGTAATAAAGCACATCTATGCTCATACAGCTGGTAGCAAAGAAAGCACCATCAGCCAAATGCGTACGATGCATATGTCTAATGCTAATTTGGCACAACTCAACCTTCGTTATCGGTTTTTCCTCAGTGAAATGAGATTGATTGCCATCAAAGACTAAAGGCTAATGACAGAAGCGAAGATATTGGATTTGACAGACTTCTGGCTATCAGATAAAGGTTCGGCACGGATACCTTTTCCCACATTAGTAATGTAGAAGGTGATGCATATATGAACTTACACAGCAGGATAGCCTTGGCCATGACCAAGTTGGTACTTGGAGCTTGACGCATTCAGATTACAAGGGGCTGGCGGCAAACCGGTGGCACCCAGAACGCCTTGGATGTTCTTCTTGCCCTGTTCGAAAACAGCAGCCAGGCCACGCTCTTCTCCCTGTTGTTTAACGGCAATCAATTGCTTCTCCCCGGCCTCTCCAATCTGGAGAATGTCATCCTTGGGCGCCGCACGACTGCCAACAGTAAGCAGTCCCACAGCATCTGCCTGGTTCACTGTGCTGACTCTAGGATAGTTTCTTCGTACGTCGCGCTTCCAATAAGGGTTGTCGGCGATATCCCCCGCAGGAACGGTGACAGGATCATCGTAGGATAGTGGAGGCAGGGAGCCGGGAGCTGGCAGGCGAAATTGGGAGTTCAATGGCACACCAGTTGAGCGGTTGGGATCAACGGCTAGGAGACGGCGAAGACGCTCCCATACGCCGGTGGACTGGACAGTGTACTTCTAAGAGATATCGTTAGATGTCTAATTATCGAGGTACTGTTGATCTTAACAATATATGCCAACCTTACTGATTGCTACCACGTTCGACGCGGACTTAGCGGCTTTCAGGATATCGCGAGCCATGATGATATCCTGTTCAATGAAGTGATCAGTCTCAGTGTGTCACCACCCTCCAATATAGATTGGCGATATACTCAGAGAGAGTCCTCGTACATACCTAGGCCCAATGCCCCTGAGGTCTGAATTTGCAGAAGAATATGTATGTATGTTCTTCACTGATGAGTGTCGAACCAAAAACCAAGATTGCGGGTTTCAAACGGGCAGGCCAGGAACGGATCAAGTATATTTCCGACATCCCGCAGAAAACCGATGATGCTGATTATACAGAAAAATAAGTCTCTGTTGATGAAAACTGTTTAAAAGCAACTTCAAATAATCTTGCAATCCAGCGCGGCCGCAACTGTTCAACCAGACCCTGGTCAACCACGACTGGTTATTTGGTACTGAGCATACCTATCGATTGGCTTTTGGCATTTCAGCGATTTCCAATAAACCATGATACATGGATGCCAATGTTATGTCAGGAAAGCTGTAATAACACACAAACAAATAGGCGATATGGATCGATTGTACTGATTTGGAATAATATATTAATGCCTATTATTGTTTTCTTGGATCATCTGAATGCTCAATTTGTTGCGCAATTTTCAAGTATGAGTGAGAGATGGTATCTCTAAGGAACGAAGATATCAATGCAGAGGCTGGCTTAAAAGCTGTCTCCCATTTCCAGTCTCACTCAAATAGTGAAAGTTTGTCTCTGCAACTTCATTGACTCATCAATTTGTACTTTTTCCTGGGCTCACACCAGTCTCATCTCCCGTCTCTCCTTGATCTCTCTGAGAGCGCATGGAGACCAACCTTTCAACAGCGTCGACGGTTGCGTCGGGTCCCCCCGGCTGTAAAAGTAGGACTTCGCCCTCCTTATCAACAGCAAAAACACCTCTTGTTGTTCCTTTGGGCACCTTTTTGAACCCTATGGCTGAGATAAGGGTAGATGCTGTATCACAAAGAAGAGGGTAGGGCAGATTCTGCTTGGTCTTGAAGGAAGTGTTGGCCTTGGTGGAATCTGCCGAAAGCCCATAAATTGCCAAACCGGTCGAAATAAGTTGATCATGCTTGTCGCGGAACATGCAAGCTTGTTTCGTACCTACGAGGGAAGTGAGCTTCGCGTCAAATGCTCTGGGAATATTGGGTTCAGTTTGGACACGAGAAATCATCTCAAGCTGGGTTATGAATGAAAATACACCCAGGGATTTCTTGAAGTACAGTTGAAGAACTGGATAGAATTTCACGAAAGGAGATCTACTCACAACCAGGGGTTGAAGCTCTAGGGTATGTGAATAACACAACGCCCGATTTACTCTCTTCGACAAGCTGCTTGAGAGTAGTCTTGGTGCCGTCGTCCAATTCTATCTCCCCACCGAATCCATCCAAAGCAATAGTGTCACCGACGACTGGACAGGTGGGAGTAGTGGCAGGAGTAGCAGGCTTCTGTTTGTTGCTTGATTGCGCCGATGCTTTTGCAGGTTCCCGACTCTTTTTGGTCTTCTTTTCCGCGCTTGGAAGCTGTGTTGGTGCTTTTCGTTTCCTAAGTTCCACCATCGTTGATATTTATTAATATATTTTTGAAGAATATGGATGTCGAGGCAAATGATCAATCTGCAGTAAGTGAAGTTTGTCACAGCTCAAATGAATTCTGGTGGAGAAATCAGAATCTCTGTAGGTCACCGGGGTCAAAAACCAATCTTGTACGCCTTTTGAGCAAATACGTACCTACGGAGTATGCTACCTCCTAATTTATGATCCTTACAAAGCTACTGTATGCCTTTGTTAATTGCTTTCCTAATGTACCTACAACACTAGACAACAATAATGTATGAGTTGTTGTCTTGTCATATCTCAGTAGAACCTCGATAGATAGTAAATACCGGGTCCTCCACCTGATACTGTACCTCAATTTGTGGGGTCTTATTCTCATTAATTGTACTCCATCTATAGATAAAGTAGTAGCCTCGTGAGATGTTTATCTTGCTAGTATTGTGCTAGAAATTCGACGTACCGAAAAATCTGACTGGTAGTTGGTACATCGTATAATATAGTACATCGGACACTGATACCTACCTAGGTGTCGAGGACTCTACTCCGTAGGTATGGAGAACTGTATGGTCAACGGTGTACGGTGTACCCTACTCCGGAGTCCCTGGGACCTGGCCCTGGGTACCGAAAAATCCCGACCCCTGGCCAAGCCCGCGTTTTCCCCGGGTTCCTTCCAAAATTCGGTTATGCTAAAATTTCTTCTCCCGCCTTCCATTTTCATTGCATGAAGAGCTTGTAATCGCCATCGAGTTTCATCATCCTCAGCCTCACACCCACTACTCTCTGGAGCGTTCTTTACTCATCCTGTAGATGCATATTTGCCTCTGAGTTTACCCTCATTTTCTCCCCGTAGTCTCTCTTTAGTCTTCAAATAGATCTGATACCCACCGCATCATTTCGTTGGCCGTCGCAGTCAGTCTTGTGTTCGGTTTGTTCGCGCTGCTTGTCCAAACACGAAAATATCAATTACAGCATCCATCAAGTCCTCAATTTCGATTCGTGCTCCTCGGCCACATCGATCATCACTCTCAGTTCAAGGTCCTGTCTCGCCTCTCTTGACCTCGCTGAAAGATCGCCATTATGAAGGTCTTCTCCTCGACTTGCACTTTCGATTATTCTTGGGAGGAGGTTACGACAGCAAATTGGCGCAAATACTGTCCTTGGAATGACAAGTCTACCCATGTTGTGGCGGTAGATACACTCTCAAGATCAGTCGACCCGATGACAGGCATTGTATGCTTCATTGTCCGCCTCCAAGATATTCTAAAGGATACTTGACTAACTTGCTATCGATCTAGTTGCGTACAGAGCGCCTTATTACATGCCACCAATCAGTGCCGCAATGGGTTCTCTCATTGTTTGGAGGAAGCCCAACATCCCATGTCTATGAAATATCTTACGTCGACCCGGGCTCGAAAAAGGTCACCATGTGTTCCACAAATCTCACTTGGTCCAACGTTCTGAATGTCAAAGAAACTGTCACATATCAACCATCATCATCGAAGCCCGATTCGGTCACAGACTTTAGTCAAGAGGCAAAAATAACTGCTCTCTGTGGTGGTTGGCAGAAGATCAAGAACAAAGTTGAGGAGGCCAGTGTCGAAAGATTCAGTCAGAATGCGAAGAGGGGGAGAGAGGGGTTCGAAACAGTCCTCGAGATGAGTCGCAGAGTCTTTGGTGAGCAACGTGACTTTGAGAACAAGAAGTTGCAATCCTAAATTTCCCATTTCTTTTTGTGACATGACTACATCATATTGTCTCATTGAGCGTTTGCATTTCCGGCGTTGTTCTTTTGCATACGTTCAAGCCGGCGTTTTTCTACCCATCAATTCCCCATGTTCTATAGGGACATTGCATTCTTCTTGGCCATGACAGCTTGTTTCGGTGCTTTTCACGTTGTCATATTATGATACTTATGGCTCAAAAAGTTGTGGATTTTTCTGCTGTGTGGATTCCTGCGCTTATTCAAAAACTCGCCTGTCCATAATCTTGGTATTTTGCCCCGTCGCAGTAAGCCGTCTGGGAGCATTATTGTGTATTTCCATCTCAGAATTGACTCGCTGCGTTCTTACAAACACGGGATCTTATATAGATGTATATCATGTCCCTCAAGCCCGAAATATGATACCTATATGCGAACGCCCGTACTCCGTCGTTATGGGATAAGGAAAGTTCCTCATGCTTCCATGTCCTTCAAACATTGCTCAAATGGAAGAAAAGATGATTAGCCAAGGAGTCCACCCAGGACAACACGACTAACACCTGCAATCTCGTTCTTGGCACTGTTTCTGCTTGCATCCTCAAATTCCCGAACCACCCCTGTCACCATAATTTTTCGGAGCTTTGCATCTGCTTTGGAGAACATCTCACCCAATGCAACTGTACAAATCGATGGAGTGGAGACCAAAGAGGTAAGTCGGGTATAACAATCTATCAATACATCGCATAATGTGGCGAACGTTTCAAAATAGTCTGGCTCGAACGGCAACGAGGGCGTCAGAAGATAGGAATATTCCTCTCCGGGAAGAAGCTCGGAAGCTTCCGTATGGGGGAACGAGACTACAGCGGCTGCTGCCGTGGTGGATGTGGCAATGTTTCCGGTCATGGATTTCAAATCCGACGGATCGCTAGATTGCATGGGTAGGCCGATTTCGGTTGCAGAACTAGCCCTTCGACCCTTGGTTCCTGCATGAGCAGCTCTTTTGAACATTTGTGGGATACGTGCTCTGGCGAGTGTTGATGACGAGCTGCCATCAGGGGGATGCACTTGTTGGAACGCCTCGAACTCTATCAAAAGGGCGTTCAAGGCACGCAGATACTCTGACGGTGTCGAACTAACATCCAAGATTGACGGTAACGACAGGCCAAGAAGCAAATAATTGATGGCACGGCGAGATAATTTCCGACTGTCAAAATAGGAGATTCGGTTGATGTCTGCTCGTGAGAAGTGTACAGTGTTGAACCAATAGATGCGACCTTCATGACTATGCACCCAGAAGTATATAAGTATATATTTGCAGAACAAAGAGCAGTGAGAGTGGTCGTCAGATGTGGACTCACGTCTTTCGAAGGTAATCCAAAGTAGATATTCGCTTCGTAGCCATGTCGTGGATGTGCTGATAGATGGCGCCGGCGCTCTGGGGCCCAAACGAACCCCCTCCACTCGTTAGTGGAGGGGGGATGCTTCCTCCTGAACTGTCATGTCCCACACTTGATTTGCCAGTGTCCCTGCGAGACAGACTGGGTGCGAAAGTCGACGATATCATCTCTGACTGGTTGACAGACTGCGAATAAATCTAGAAACAGATGAGGCAGACAGCAGAACTCTGCCCCCTCAGCGAACAGCTGGTGATATATCCGAGAATATACTGCACCAAAACCACAGACTCTTTATGACGAAATGCAGACTAGGCTTTGAACTGTTAAATAACATCATGACCTGAGGGAGGGAAAAGGGTTTCGTTTCTGTTTAGCACCGTTGCTCCATGTTGGAAGATGGCCGGTACGGGGCGTAAAAGTCGAGCCTGCTGCCTTTGCCCCTGGCCCAAGTTTAAAGTTAACCTATCATTATTGGTGGCCGTTGTGCTGTTGGTCCAAAAATACAGTTACAGACTTACAATACATTGGAGACCTACCTTACGTACCTACTCCTACCTAGGTTGTGGCCGACCTCCACTAGAGTATATGTAATGAAAGAGTGTCGGTTATACCTAGATACCTGGTAACTGCAGCCCCTACGTACCTAAGTAAATACTTACAGACTTACCTACTCTTACAGTATACCTTACAGACTAAGAGTACTCCGTACTTATTATGGACATGATCTGGACAATGGAACCCCATCAGGTGGACTCCTAAATTGGAATTGATTTCCAGCGGAGGCGACTTGAAGAATGAGCGAGCATACATCATAATCATTCTCAACATGGATGTCCATAAGCCGTAAGATTTTCTAACAACAGAAAATGATACTTAAGGAAATGATGTATGCTCATTAGAGACAGAATGACATCTAGTCGGGGGAGTAATATTACGATGCAAGGTACCACTGACAGGGATACCGTACCGTATTATAGTATTATAGGTTCCACGTCTTCTGGAAAAGTACCGAAGCACTCCACAGGTACTTGGTACAGGCTTTATCCAACTGTAACTAAGCAGGTGCTGACCTCTGGTAATCGGTACAGTGTACCAGAGGGTACAGGGATAGATAGTACCTAGGTAAGTATTCCTTTGTCTCTTCTGTGTGTCAGTTAAGATACTAGTACTCCCGTAGATCATTTTGTAGTGTACCCCGCCATGATATTTATTGTTGTCTCCTTCGTCGGTTCTCAAATTCCTTCTCACTACTCAAATCGCGTCTTTCTCATCCAGAACCTGAGCTCCGAATACAAGCTCTTTTCCAGCCATTCAATACGCATCTCCACCAAAGCGATCAATTGAGCTACCGATAACGCCCACGTGAAATATGCCTGCGCCTCTGGAGGATGCAGTTCCTGCATCTGGACAATGGCCCGTTGACCCTCAGGATGATGTGCCCATATCCGAGGATCGTATCTGGGTAGATGGTTGCTTTGACTTTAGCCACCATGGTGAGAAGTCGACCCTCTACAACTATGAAATTCTAGCTTCCTTTCCTAATCAAAGGCGATTGGAGTAGGACATGCTGGGGCCATGCTTCAAGCCCGTAGACTGGGGAATGAATTATACGTTGGGGTACACTCCGATGAAGCAATCCTTGAGAACAAGGGCCCGACAGTAATGACGTTGGAGGAGCGGTTAGTCCATCCTTTGGCAAAGCTGGGATAGTTCATTGAGTGGCTGATGTTGTATGTTTGCACTTTAAGAGTAGCCGCGGTGCAAGCCTGCCGCTGGGCTTCTTGCTGTGTTCCACAAGCCCCATATGTGACCTCTCTTCCTTGGGTGTCACACTATGGCTGTCAGTATGTCGTCCATGGCGATGATATAACTTCTGATAGCAATGGAGAGGACTGTTATCGCTTTGTAAAAGCAGCTGGGCGCTTTCGAGTGGTCAAAAGAACTCCTGGGATCTCAACAACTGATCTCGTGGGCCGTATGCTCTTATGTACCAGAGGACATTTCGTCAAGGATGTGAATGATACACTTGCAGGATTGGAGGGGTCTGGAAATCAGGAAGAAAGAAAACAATTTGGGGCGGAGCTCATGCAAAGAATTCAAGATTACGCAACCGATGAGAGTGGCCTGCAGCCTGGTCCCGAGGTCTGGGCTTGGAATGGCTCAAAGTCGGCAAAGCTTAGCAACACGGTTGAAGAAGCCGGCACGTTCAAAACACTGGTGAAAGGGAAGCCGCCGAAACCAGGGCAGCGCATTGTTTATGTGGATGGAGGTTTTGACCTCTTCTCCTCTGGTCATATTGAATTTCTCCGGCAAGTATTGGCCCTTGAGGAATCGGAAGGCCGTCAACGGGGTTGGTATGATGCGCAGCAGATAGAGGAGAGGCTCCAAAAGTTTGGGGAAGATTATCCTCCCGCATATGTCGTTGCTGGGATTCACGATGATGATGTGATCAATCATTGGAAAGGTTTCAACTACCCTATCATGAACATTTTTGAACGAGGACTCTGTGTCCTTCAATGCCGTGTAAGCTATCTTGCGTTGCCCGAGTCGAATACACGGTCACTAACAACCTCTATTAGTACATACATGCCGTTATCTTCTCTGCACCCTTCTCTCCAAGCCAATCTTATCTGGAGGCTATGCCATTAGGCGTCCCGGATGTCGTCTATCATGGACCGACAACTTTCATTCCACTGACCTACGATCCTTATACTGCTCCTAAGAGGATGGGAATTTTCAAAGAAACAAGCACACATCCTTTCCAACATGTCAATGCCGGTGATATTGTTAGAAGAATTTTAAAGAGCCGTGAGGCTTACGAGGAGCGACAACGTGCCAAATTACAGAAGGGCATAGTTGAGGACCTTGTTAAATCTCAAGAAGAGTGCATAGAGGAGAAAGGCAATGCAAGATGAGCTGTTACCCCAGTTTTGGTCAAATAGTTGTTCATTATTTCTGGATGATCTATAGAGATCAATGCGGTGTATCTTACTGCAATGGTTAGTCAATGATCCGAGGAAAGTCTTTAACTCAGAACAGCCAGGCGCACTGGTTTGTTCCATGCCGCCGTTAAGGTGGAGCCAGACATAGCCCTGGTTGAGAAATTTGAGTAAACAGTATAACTACCTTATCTCACTGAATGTTATTATAGTACAAATCATACCATACAGAGTGCATCGTGTAGTACTACCTTAGGCTATGAGCACATGATTCTCAGCTTGGACCTTACCGTGTTGCCTAATCCGCTGCCACTAAAACGCCTTTCTCTTCAAGTAGCTTCGCAAGCTCTCCATTCTGATGCATAGACATCAGGATATCACAACCCCCAACAAATTCCTTGTCCAAGTAAAGTTGAGGTATTGTCGGCCAATCGGAATATTCTTTGATACCTGGGAAATGGGCGACGAATTCAGTCAAATTGAAGACATACGCATAACAGATTTGATATACGTACCCTGACGCAGTTCTGGATCCCCCAAAACGTTGAAAGCAACAAATTTTTTGGGATCTACGCCCTGGAGGCCCAGGATCTGTATGCTAGCTCGAGAGAAACCGCACTGTGGAGTTTCCGGTGTACCCTTCATGAACAGAACGACTGGTGCAGATGTGATTGCCTTGTCAATTGCTGATCTGGTTTCAGCTGACAAGAACCGAGCATGAAGGACATGAGGCACCAAAGCTGAAGATCGTGGTGAGAGGATATGTGATGACCGAGAAAGTGGTCGGAACGCCTTCAATCAGGACATGTGAGCTGAATATGACCTAAGTAAATAGTGTAAGGAAGGAAAAGTTGGATAACTCACTGAGGTGAGGAACCTTGTGGAGAACATGGCTTTAATCGAAACTAGCCACAATGATATCGCAAGGAGAGCTATTCAATTGACGGTGATCAGATCCAAGGTGAGAACAAAGGATGTCTACTGAATGCTCAGGTAAGCAGTATGAGATCATGTGACATTGGTGACTGTTATGACGTGCCTTGAAGAGTTTCTTAGTTCTCAGAAAAAGACCAAGATATGCTGTGCTAAATCACTACGTAAACTGATTCCAAACTTCCTTGAAGGTCCTGTCAATTTCAAATTCTGTATATGGGCCAATAATGCTGCCAACAGCGGTATTCGCTGAATATACGCTGGAGCCCGTCAGATGGGAAAGACGAAAGTGACACTTAAAAGGTACCTCGGAAGTTGATCTTATCGTTATGATCCACCAACCATTCTCCCTCACCACTTTAAATCGTACTCCAAGGAAAATCTGCCGTCAAGTATCTATTGTTGTATCGGCACCTGTGTGGAGTGGACAAGCTGGGTAGACCTCTGTTATTTCACGAGTCTCAAAGCGAGTTCATGGAAGGCTTTCAACCTCTCTTTTTTGCTCAAAAGCATCTCCATGACAACAAAGTACATATCCTCCTGGCAGCAAGTGGGAGTGTGGCAACAATCAAGTTGCCAAATATTACAGAAGCCCTTGCCCGGCACGAAAATGTATCTATTCGCATCCTTGTAACAAAGTCCGCAGAGAGGTTCCTCGCGGGACAAAATTCGGAGCAACCGCTGCTCGATTCGCTACTGCACATATCTGGAGTTGAGGCCATTTATCGAGACGAAGATGAATGGAGAACCCCTTGGACCCGCGGTCAGCCAATCTTGCACATTGAGTTGAGGAAATGGGCCCATGTCCTGGTGGTTGCTCCCCTTTCAGCCAACACGATGGCTAAAATGACAATGGGGATTGCGGACAATCTTCTTCTTTCCGTGATTAGAGCTTGGGACACTACGGGGAAGGTGGATATCGGTATCAAGGACAAGAAATCTGTCGTGTTCGTTGCTCCAGGTGAGTAAGATAGCAGCGTTCCCTTGTTTTTGTAACAGTTACATCGAACCTGATTGTCGCATTATCACGGTAGCTATGAATACTGCGATGTGGAACCATCCAGTCACTAAAGCACAGCTCAAGATTTTACAAGAGGAATGGGGGTTAGGTGAAATGAATGAAGGAGGCTGGGTTTCCGTTCTCAACCCGACGGAAAAATCTCTAGCTTGTGGTGATACTGGAGATGGGGCGATGATGGATTGGAAAGATATAGTTACTTTATTGGAGCGCTACATCGGACTGAGAAGTGTATAGATTCATGAGAATGGCTGGGAAGATAGGAGTTGGTTGTAAATGCGTTTGATTTTGGGATATTTATATGGTGTCTTTTATAAAATTTCGCTGTCTGGCTTGTCGTACAATCCAGAAATATGAGCCATGTATTCGAGGAACATCCCCAAAGTGATCCCTCCCCCCGTCAATAAACAGCCGTTTTTGAACCACCACCAGCAGTCCTTAACATTTTCGAGTTGTACCTTCCAGATCATGACCCCGAGGGAAAGGGCCGCGCTGCCACAACTGCCGACGAAGAAAACAGGACCAGCACCACTTGCCACGCCAGCAGTAGCGAGCAGGGCTACCTGAACTACCGCCAGACCAGAGAGGACTTTCTTCGTGTTCTTTTCGTGACGAAGAGCAATGGACTTGATTCCTGCAGCGACATCGTCTTTTATATCCATATGTGCATAGATCATATCGTACAGTACTGTCCAGGCGACACAGCTTGAATATAAGGCTGCAGCAGCTCCCAGGGCGGTCGGATCGCTTAGCAGATCCACGCCCAAGGCTGGGAACCCCATGATCGCGCCCCAGGAGAATGTGAGGCCCAAGACAGCTTGAGGGTAGTAGGTCACGCGCTTGGCAAGAGGGTAAGCCGTCACCAAAACCAGACTGGGAATTCCATACCAAAGGCATTGGGACGGAAACTGAAGCAGGACGCCCAATCCAGCTAGAAGCTGAGAGCCAGTGAAGACTAACGCTTTCTGAGGAGACAATGCGCCTCGAGCAATTGGCCGAAATTTCGTGCGTTGCACATTTGGATCCAGGTTCCTGTCCCATAAATCATTGATGGCGCAACCAGCGCCCCTCATTATGAATGCACCGACAAAGAATAATCCAGCCGTGCTGAGAACGTGTAACGGTGTTGCACAGGATGCCATTGGTGCTGCTAGGAGCGTCGAGAATAAACAGGGGAAGAAAAGATAATATGTACCCGAGGGTTTGTCGAGGCGTACTAGTTCAGCGTATGGGATCCACGTTCTCGGAAGAGAGGCAATGAAACCCCTCTGAGGAGGAGTGTATCGTGTAGCAGCCTCATTGTCCGCCGCCAATGATGTACAAGCCGTGGATGAAGGCGGGATGAGAGAATGTGAGTTGCGTCGGAACAGTGGTGGTGCTTTCGTTTGAATCGCCAGCCAGGACCTAATAGGATATGCAGAAATACATACTGTGGACTTGGCCCTCATAGAATGACACAAGGAAGGATCGGCAGGACGTCGAAGACAGAGTGATGCAAAGGAAAGATTACCCTGTGAACCAGAGCATCTGTAAACACGGCTGTGGTGGAGGAAATGGGAGCATGAGGATGGCAACCTCATCTTTTACACCAATGGCAGCCTCTTGATGATGATATTTCTTCTTCCAATACTGTCTCTGTATATGTTAAACTTGGTTCTGACACAGTATAAGACGCACAGTCAGAGAGTCGAGTCTGCTTATGAGTGAACACTCTGCAGAACAGCTTTTGCAACAGTTTCTTTGAAGGGGGTACCTCCGATAAGATAAAAGTATGAAAATTTAAAATGTACTCAGTAGGTTGGTAAAGGCTGGCCAGAGCCGCCAGACTTTCACTATGCAAAGCCTAGCCGCCTATAGTGTATTCTGTACAAAGTAAATTTGCACATGATGATCCTGGGGAGAGTATTCATCTACCTATATCGCAGGTCTTGCAAGATCTTGGTCTTAACCTCATTACATTCTGGCTGAGGCAAATGATGCCTGGTGTACCGAAACGGAATGGTGTCTACAACACTTAGTAATGATTAGTGGTAATAATAAATGAAAATACATACATGTACCTGCTTTACAGGACATACTCCGTGAGTGTGCAGCAGATCAACACAACCTTGGTACTTTTGTTTGAAGAATATCCGCATCTCAACACTCATGATCTTCTCCCTCAAACAGTGATCTATCTATCTTCTAGATGAAGCGCCTCATGTCCAAGGTTGTTTAGGCAGGCCTACCTGGTATTTTACTACCTAATAATTGCTGGAATATCAATCGAAAACATCTTATTATCTCATGACTGTGTTATTCCAACACATCCCCTCATGTCGCGTCATATATCTGTGGAATTCTGATACTGGCACTTCTTGCTAACTGTCTCTGAAAAGATTTTTTTCAAGAGGCATTCAACATTCGAGAAGACATTTCCGACTCGTGATCGTCGTTCCTGATAGGAATTGCTTGAAGACGTTACTGCAAGTTATGTGAAGCATTTGACTCGACAGATTCGGTACAATTAGACAATGCGCGATTACAATTTCCACTCATCTCCGTAAAAAGTCGGACATCATTGATCACGCATACCAGATAAATCAAGAGACCATCATCGCTTCGCTTCTTCGGGGCAAATCATAATGCCTGCTCAGCGACCACGTGCAGCTTTTGAGCCCATCCCGCCTAATTTGGATGTTGCGGCGCTTGTTGACTCGACCCCAAATTTTGAATATGTGGTTAGAATCGATTGTAACGCCATTGATGAACATGGGCTGGGAAATTTCGAGAAACTTGTTCGCTTGCACGTCATCTTGGGCGGAAAGCCTCTGGTTGTGGAGGGGTTCCATGAAAGACTTGACCACTCTGTGTTCTCCGAAACATGGCTAAGGATGCATCATTCCGACAAGAGTAAGTGCATAAGCTTGCTGATGCTCTGCCGAACAGTTCTTTTCTGACTGAGACTTTCCCCTTCAAAGCGGAGACTGCCCGAAACCTGAGCACGAAGTCCAATCTTGAACTTTCAATCGGTCATTACCTGAAAAATATGCCGCTCTTAGCAAATCGGTGGACGTCTTTAAACTACAAAGATCCTAGTGGACAGCGAATCTACCTTAAGGATATTGATTGTCCGCAAGTTTGGCACGATCATCTTAGAAGCCTGATACCCCCACCGCTTTTTTATTTGAATAAGCATCCAGAAGCATTCCAAGGGCCAGGGGCAGAGTTCGCTGCAACTTCCAACGATTCCCAGTATCATCCAGATTCAAAAAAGAAGACTGGGAAACCAGGAGATCTTATGAGCTGCCTTCCACCCAGCATGCGCGCTGAGAATCTGATGTGCTACATTGGTCACGAGGGCACCTACACCCCTGCGCACCAAGAAATGTGTGCTAGTCTCGGTCAGAATATCATGGTTGAGGCATCGAGTGGTTCAGTGGAATATGGCATGAAGACTAAGCCAGGATCATCTATCTGGTTTATGACAGAGAGCAAAGACCGCGGGGTTGTTTCTGAATACTGGCAGTCCACACTAGGCCATGACATCGACATCGAAGATCACTTTGCGCAGATAAATGCCTGGAGAGCAGCACCGTTCAAGACATACATTGTTGAACAGAAACCCGGCGACTTCATCCTGATTCCTCCTCTAGCAGCCCATCAGGTGTGGAATCGAGGAACAAGGACGATGAAAGTAGCCTGGAATCGTACCACTGTGGAGACTTTGGGCTCAGCTCTGAATGAATCTTTACCCCATGCTAGAATGGTATGCCGGGATGAGCAGTACAAAAATAAAGCAATTGTTTATTACGCACTCGAGCATTACTCGCAACTCCTTCAAAGTGTCGTTACGGAGGATAAGACCAATACTCTGCGGCAAATATTGGAAGATTTTGACCAACTCTTCGCGCTCTACACTCAGATCCTGCTGTCTGAGAGTTTCTACCAAGGCGAAAAAAGATACAATGACGTTGAATACATACCATTTGACAGTAATATCACTTGCTCATATTGCAGGTGCAATATATTCAACCGATTCCTGACTTGTCCGTGGTGTGTGGGTGCAGATGGCGAGGACACTTATGACATCTGCATGGAGTGTTATGTCATGGGCAGAAGCTGTGCTTGCATATCCAGATTAAGATGGGCCGAGCAATTTCGTTGGAGCGAGCTGACGGAGAAACATGAGGAATGGAGAATTCAAATTTGCCAGTCAAAAGATGGTCAAAGCAGGACAATGTTCGGATCCCTCACAGAAGAGCGGTCGAGATACGGGAAGAAGACACTCGCCGAAATTTGCCAAGAACAATTGACGAGGCGTCCATGGATAGATATCACAAAACCAGTCATACGAAAAACCGAAGACAAGCTGAGCGATACAGAGAGCGTGAGCCCAGCGCGGAAGCGAAGGAAGACCCGCTTGACTCACGAGGCTGAAGACGGTGGTCGCTGCCATATTTGCAAATATATTGAGCCAACCTGGAAACTCGCCTCTTGTTCATACTGCAATCAGAATTACTGTTACGGCAGTCTGTTCAGGGCCTTCAATATCCAACCACGGGACACTATGGAAGTGTATTATTGGAAGTGTCCAAAATGCCAGAAGATTTGCAGTTGTGCAGCATGCCGCCGAGATCCCGCAATGAATCCCTTTGAGCCGAAGAGCCTGCTTCTTGGTCACGATACAAGGAAGATAGCAGATCCTCGCAGCGTAGAAAGCTTGGTGGACTTCCGCCAATCCAATCTCCGATGGCTGAAGAAGGCCGGCGATGATGAGATTGGCAGACTGAAGAAGCACCAGAAAGATGCGGATGATAGACGCCACCAGGCTATGATCGAACACTGTATTCAATTGGAGGAATCTCCCGAGTCAACCGACCCCTCCACAGATTATGGGGACATACCAGTGGACCCAGCATTGGAGAAGCTAAGTGGATCAGTGCTAACAACCCCGGGCTCAATTAGTTGGTGAGAAGAGTTGAGGAGGTCTAAAGGGGAGCTTTAATACTTTGCATGGCTATCTTGGTGTGGCCGCTACTTGGGCGTCATGGGCAATCTGATTTACGGGCTGTATTAAGCTAATACCCAAACGATTTTGTGAGGAACGATCCATCAGTTTCTCAATGAGAGTATGTAGATGATAATTGCAATGAATTTCGGCCTGCCAACAGCAATTCTTCCCCGTGAACAACCACCGATTAAATCAGGACGGTTGTAGGAGACATAGCGAAGCCAGTAAACAGGTCTTAGAGGAATAAAGGCCATTCGGACTACACAATATTTGTTTAAGCCCCCTTGTATTCATACCGGAGGTTCTCAAGGTGTTTGATGTCAACAGAAGCCATCACTTTATGTGCGATCAAAACCATCGAGAGCATTACTATAGGTCATGAGCCATCAGCCCATCGCGTTGGAGAAGATGTTGGACCAAGAATGGCCAGGATAGCAAGAGAACGACGCTTACCTGCCGGGATACAATAGGTGAGTGCGTGACTGCGTGAAGCTGAAATCGCTGAAGATATGGTCATGGATTCAAGGACTAACAGAGTGCACGTTACCACATTTACTGGAAGAAGGTATTTGTGGAGGGATGTGGGTAAGCCGGTCTTCGTCATGAACTTCTTTCGCTTGGGATCCAATTGCTCCCCAGGTTTGAACTTCATAGTGTAGGCCGTGGCCAACAAGGACAGGACGCTTGCCAATGATGATACCCGTTCAAGAAGGCTTGATACGGTCGAGAAAATTGGCAGAGCAAAAACGCTTATTAGACAAAGTGGGATGATCGAGAAGATTCTCTATCCAGACGTAATCAGGCATGGATTTCAGTACACACGACACCCGAGATGCCAGGGATTGTGCTCACGCTGTATTCGCAATTTCGCTGTTCGTTCAGTAGTTGTAGCCGCTTGATTACGTTTTCTTGCTCTGTATATGTGTATCAGATTGGGGTGAAGCTGGAATGGTGAACTACTGGTAGGTAAGAACAACAAACCCTCTTCGTCTAGCTCGTCACGATCGTTTTCATCGTCGCTCGATCCATCTGGGTAGCGAAACACCCTGCGAAGCCTTGTCGTAGCCATGCCTAGGGGCTACGTGAAGCACGAGTATTATAATAGGAGACCCCCAAGGGAAATGGGTTGAAAGAGAAGCTCTGACGTAGAGAGGAGCGGAGGATTTTAGTTGTCTGTTTGTCTTGTTTGACCACTTGTGCTTTCCTCCGAAACATTCTTCCATCTGAGCTAAGATTTCCTCCACGACCCTTCTCAATCAACTTCATTTCCCTCCCCACTGGCACTACCCGTTCTTCAAACTAGGATGATGTTTCAGGTTATTCAGAGGCGTATTGGCGCCCCGCGATTTACCTTGCCTCGTGGCCGTACCGTGCCTCGTCGCAATCTCATCCCCGCCCCAAAGGCGAACTCGGGCCCTTTGATGGAGCGACGAGCGGACCGTGAGCTTCCTTCAATCAATTCAGAGAAGCGTCGATGGATCAAGACGCTGCCGATATTTACAGTAGTCGTGGGTGCTGCAATGCTCGGTATTTTCAACTACCAAAAGTCATCTTCGAGCGTGGTCAGCAGCACCCTTTATGCCTTGAGAACATCTCCGCGTGCCCGGGAGATTCTAGGAGATGAAATTTATTTCGCGCAGCAAATACCATGGATCAGTGGAGAGATGAATCAGTTGCATGGTCGCATTAATATCTCCTTCTGGGTTAAGGGCACGAAGGGTCAGGGTAAAATGCGATTCCGAAGCATTCGACCAGACCGCATGAGCTATGTGCGTTTTTGATTACTCTACTCATTTATATGAAATTGGCTAATGATATTCTTAATGATTAGTTCCGCACCGAAGAATGGAGTCTAGAAACAGAGGATGGACATGTTATACAACTGCTCGACCAGGGAAGCGACCCATTTCGTCAAGACAACTGAACCAATATTCGAGCACGCTGAGCTCGCCCTAGAATGATTGGGTCAAGAATCTTCTCGAGTTTGTAAATACGGGTAATCTTCATGCATATAGGGTCGGGCGTTTTAACGGTTTGAACAGTGAGCTTCTGTTGTTAAAGTATGGAGGGCAATCGTCCCGGTTGAGTGGGAACAAGTTTCCCAACGAGGGCAATTGGAGATGAACGAGGAAGAGGATATCATTTATGTATCATATACAGACGCCGCTCTAGAAACAGTATAGTGTAATAGTACATTCAGCGAAACAAAACCCGAAACGTCCGTGGGCTATGCAGTCGCTTCGGCCGCAGGTACAACCTCAGGCCATGGCTTCTTGATTGCATCTTGGATCCTCACAACGCAGCCTTTAGGTCCGCTGACGGAACCTGAAAATAGATTAGTGGAACTAATTCAAGGCAATATCAGACCAAGAATTGTGATGGAAGAAATGCATACCGTTGACGACGACGATTCCATTTTCGGGATCGACCTTGAGGATTTTGAGATTCTGCACCGTGTTTTGTTCATTGCCCATGTTTCCGGCCATCTTCTTTCCAGGATAGACTCTGGAGCCACCACCTTGACTGGGACCTGCCGAACCAAGCGAACGATGCGTTAAACTGACACCGTGACTGCGGTCCTGACCATGAAAGCCGTGTCTCTTCATCACGCCCGCAAAGCCTTTACCCTTGGAATTTGAACGGGCATCGACGTATTGGCCTTCCTGGAACCAGCTTGCGTTGATCATCTCGCCAACCGGTACAAGGCCACTTTCATCCTTGATTCGAAACTCGTAGATGTGCCTTTTCGGTGAAACACCATGGGTCGAAAAATGCCCCAAGAGCGACTTCGTGACGTTGCTTGGATGTTTCCATCCGGCGCCCAGCTGTACCGCATAGTAACCGTGTCTTTGCCGTGTCTTGTGAGAGACTACTTGCACTCGATCGAGCTGCAGCACCGTGCAAGCGATGCGTTTCCCGGTCTCGGTATCGTATACAGCAGTCATTCCTTTCTTGATGGCAATGGCGCCAGTCCGTAGAGGCAAAGTATTGGCTTTGCGTTCTAAGGCCGCAGTGGAAGTCGATTTGAGCACAGGCAACTCGGGACCAACATTGAACCGAGAGGACTTGGGTGGGTTCAGTGATTTGATGCCGAAAGTTCGAACGGGCACACTGCTAGCAGGAATGAACAATTGAGAGCCCCAGAGGGACAGATGAAGCTGCGTCAGCTTCCCCGACAGTCGAGGAGACATAATGGATATGTGGGTTGAGAGGAACGGCTTCACCCAGATAGAAGGCCACTTTCCTTCCAGTCCTTTGAGATTTTCAGGACTGCGGAGAGTGCTCGGAGATGAAGGCGGTCAGAGTGCTTTGTGCCTGAGGTGTCAATCAGCCATAGTCATCAGCCAGCACTTCACGAAGTACAATCGAAGTCTTTTGGACTTACTGCTATCTGAAGCTCCACAGCAGGTAGATAATAGTCTATATTAGAAAAGAGCTTTCCGACTGATCATTGATTACGTCTGACCTCGTAGAAATATTTCTACAAGCTTGCAACTACCTTCCGCTATCATTGGTATTCCGGAGCCCGGACACGCCGGCACGCCAAGCAACAGCATTTGTATTATATTATGATTATTGTTATTCCTTTTTTTTTCTTCTTCTAAAAAGTCTGGAGGCATGTCATAGTTTCATTTTCGCAGAGGCACTATATCATATCCTCGTGTCAGTGATTCCCTTGCTCCATTTCTACATCTATCAACCTCCGATGCAGCAGTCAAGAGCGAAACACTGAATTCCTTCAGTAATCATGTCGCTCAAATCCAAAATCACGTCGCGATGGATTTCGCAAGCCATCAGATTCCCATCATTTGTCCCCAAGGGAAATCTCACACCTTCGCAGGCAATGTCCATGCCTAACTTTGCCAGCTCGATGTCTTCTTTCCGCACAATTTCTTCCTTTCCTGCGCGAAATCCCAGCCTGAAGGGTCTCCAATCCTCTGGCCGAATAGGATCAAGACTCAACTTTACGCACAACTTTCCCGCTTCCTTGCAACGTTCGACCTTCCGACGCTTCAACTCATCACGACCGAATTCAAAGGCGCAGTCGGGGCAATCGGGGTCCCTTTCCCAGCGCTTGAAAACGCTGTCACGGGAGTATGGCTGGGCTGCGTTGGGGGTGTACCTACTGCTCTCGGCTATGGACTTCCCATTCTGCTTCATAGCTGTGCGTCAGCTGGGCGTGGAGAGGATAGGTCACTATGAAGATATCGTTGTCGGAAAATTCAAGAGCATTTTTGGGATGGAGAATGGGCCGGAGGAGACGGGTGAGGGAGTGGCCTCATCGGCTCAGTCTGAGGGCCAGCAAGCGGAGGAGGCCCAGAAGAAGACCAACGGGGACGGAGCAAGTAGGTGACCCGTTGAAATGCTTTGATCGCGGTCCCTTGCGGAATGATTGCTAAACTTTGCGGTTTTTCTTTTCAGGTCTCTGGACTCAGCTTGCTATTGCGTATGCGGTCCACAAGAGTCTTATCTTCATTCGTGTCCCTCTAACGGCGGCTATCACCCCCAAGGTTGTCAGAGCCCTGAGAATATGGGGCTGGGATCTTGCCAAAGGGAAGCCACGGGGCATGTAGGCTTCATTATCACACTCCTTAACGCCTCGCCACTCCAGTCAAGCGATATATTGTACTTCTATCCAGGGTGATTTGGAGTCTTGCGCCCATTCGCCAAAGTTTCTTCTCTGATCTTTTTTCATTGGTGCATAGCGGTTTGTGAAACTAGACAGTTGTATTATGGATGTTTGTATATTAGCTGTTAGATCCAATATCCCCCTCCCCCCCAAAAAAAAAACAATATGTGACACAACGTTTATCCTCTTTCGCCAATTTCCAACTGGGGTATTCTGCTTATAGCGAGACCATCAAGTAGGACACAATAGGCTACTTCCGAAGAGCTAATAGGAAGGAAAGCATATAAGTTTCCCATGACGGGCAAGAGACACTGAGAGAGCTGCTGACACAACGAAATGATAAGAAAAAAAAAAGCAATTAGACGGAGCTGAATTTGAACAACCCGAGGTGCCTGGTCGAAGATGGCGTATAAACCAGGAAATCAGTGAAGGTAGAGTGACTTGGATACCAGAGTAAAATCAATGTTACATGTCAATCATGTCGTTAAATCTCAGAATGCCGTTGGCCTTCATTACACCATTCACACCATCAGGCATACGGTATGCCCATTCGGCAACACCCGTCGAGTTTGCAGAACTCAAAGGGTTTGACCCTTCTGCTTCTTCGGCTTCATCGGAAGTGTCGGCAACAAGGACAAGACCAAGTCCTTTGATTGTTTCGACAAGAGCAGGCACAACATTCTGTGTGGTGTGTCAAACGAGGACAATGTTAGCCAAGTCTCAGCCGTTTTCTCGGCGCTGATTGATCGTTGTGAAAGAAAAAAAGATAAAAGGGAAAAACGCACCAGAAGGCTAGAACGACATATCAAGCCCATGAAATTGTTACTCTGGGCGATCCGAGCTGATTCCTTGATTGACATTGATGCGCGGCCGCTACTGTCAACTTCTGGCATGGAACCAATGTCCCGAGCCAAGTCCCGAACTTGACCAAGATCGTTGCAGAGCAGTACAGGGACTAAACAAGTTCACTTGTTAGTCAAAGGAGGTTAGAATGTTATGGAGATAAACTCACAGTTCGGCTGTTTCCAGTTCAAGGCAGTGCATATATTATGATTATACGAGGTAAACACCACCGAGCGCAAGAAATCTGGGTTCTGTTCTCTGGTAACACGCGCATGGTCGAAAACTTCAGTAAGAATAGAGTCTGCAAAGGTGTTGACGTCCGCTAAAGACGTCAGGTGTAAGGTTTGCTCCTCCGCAGGTGATGGATAAAGGATTGATAGGTTGATGTTGACACTGATAGGAAGCTGCTGAAGCACTTCCCGCAACGAAAAAAAGGATCTGGCAAGGATGCGATGGGTTTGCGCTATGTCGTTGATTGCTTCCTCTTTCAAGAACCGGGTTATCTCCGAAGGGTCCACGCCCCTTTCGGCGCCCACAGTCTTGAACTCCTTGAACGTCAGATGGCAGATGGGTATCTCCACGTTATGATGGTGAATGATAAACTGCGGATACAACACAGGCACTCTATCCCTTGTGAGCTGCACGAACAATTGAGCATGATCCCCTGACAGGCTAGATCCCGTGACCAAGCCATTATGTTCAGAGTCGAGCGCACTAGTCGCTTTCCAGTATGTCGCGAAGTGCGTAATTTCAAGAGGATCACCGTGATACGGCTTGATGACCTGAAAGCCAAAGCGTAGCTGGCCAATGGATCGTAACCTAGGATCAAAGAGGGGCAGAGTGCATGATCCAGTGCTAGATGTCTTGGCTCGGAAAACGGTTGGCAAAGCAACGGTCTTCGCGATTACCTTGGAACCGAATGTAGGGAAAATTTCGAAATCGACAGCGAAAGAATCGAGGTTATCAACGTGGAAAGAGATGGTCCGTGAATCTTCCTGGATGGGAAGCATAATAGTTCGAGGAATCAAATCTGAAAGTTTTGACGAAATCGTTAACCTAGCAGCAGGATGACGACCAGCTTGGTCAAAACAGAGAGAACCCGAACTACCGGGATCAAATAGGATTTGAACAAAGATCTTTTTGTCCAGGAAGTTGTGTCCGTAGCGTCTCAAAGGAATGATTGGTGGAGGGAGAGAGAGATCTGGAATGCCATCGGCGATTTCCATGTCACCAGAGGTTGCAAACTCCTGATCCATGGCAGTGGAGGCTGGCTCTTGCAATCTCAAACCGTTGAGAATATCGAATGGCTTCTGAGGGAGGGGTGATTCACTGCGATGAGACCACAGGAGGAGCATACATTCCAGATGTCCTTCCCACGCAGCATAATACATTGCAGATAGGCCCTTCTCATCGATAGCGCCATCGTCGACTCCAAGTTCCAAAAGAGTGCGCAAGCAGTTTACGCAGCCTTCACTTGCTGCATGGAAAAGCGGAGTCCACTGATATAATTTGTCCCTCTGATCCATATTGGCTCCGTGCTGCTTGAGGAGTAGCAAGAGCTCGGGAGATTGCGAAGCACGTGCAACCATGTGTTGGGGATAGAGACCTTCGGCATCTGGGAGCAATTGGGCATTTCGTTGAAGAAGCATCTTGACTATTGGAATCGATCCATGCTGGCATGCAAGATTGAGAGGGATATGATCAGACTCTGATCCAGGGCCGATCCGGGCATTGTTCTGGAGAAGTTGCTCGGCACATGCCAACTGATTCTTGACGATGCTGTGAAGCAGTGCAGTGAAATTGTTGTGATCCGTCATGTCAACTGTATTAGGGCCAGCAGCCAGTAGCTCGCGCACCATATCCACCCTACCATGTACACAGGCATAATGTAGAGGAATCCTGCCATACACATCTGACTGGGCAACGTCGATTCCTGCAGCCATGCCAGCCTTGAAGACGAATTCTCGGCCTGAGATCGCGGCCTCATGTAAACAGTTCCTTTCATTGATATCGTCTTCGGCATGAATATCAACCAACCCACTCTCCAGGAGAACTGCCAGCACTTCATCCGAATACTCATTGATTGCGGCGAGAAATGTACGGGTGGCGCGCTCCCGAGCATCAGGAGCAGTATCAAGTTTTGCCGTCCACTCACGCAGTGTTTGCAGATTGCCGGTAGTAGCAGATTGCAGGACTTGCGAATCGAGGTCTTCCTCATCTGTTCCAAAAACTTGGGTAGCCCGATCACCTGGACGGGAGGTATCAAACTGGATATTTTCGCCCTCAGCCCAAGCCTCTAGCTCGAGACGTGCGGTCGTGGCCCGGTCCGAGAGATCACGCAAGACATCTCGGTTAAAACAGGGCTGTACTTCGACGGCTCGGTGAAGATATAGTTCCTTCATGCGCGACTACCGGAGGGGAGAAACAACTAGTAAGCTCAACAGCACTGAGAAGAAAGGCAGGGGAGCTATTCAGAAGGGTATGAACCGGTTCGAACCTTTGATGTTTTGTCCCACTAGTCGTCACGTCAGTTCTTGATCATTAACACAGTGCGAATCTCTCTGTTGGGATGACAAACCTTCTTCAAAATCTTGGACATGGCAGTCTCATTGATTGCCACGAATTGCTGCCGCGGGAAGAAAGATAACGTATTAGGAACATAAAGTGGTACAGCATGTCTCAATCAAGCAGACTCACCTGCAGTTTATTCAGGTCGCCATCAAATTGTTGAAAACCTTCAATCAGGGCCACGAAATTTGCCGGTGCTTTTGAGTGTGACACTGCCCGGGACTGAACCACCCGTTTCTTGTCCAAGAGTGTTTTTAACCGCAAAGCGAACTAGAATGCGTCAGGCATGATCCATCTAGTGTACACAGAGCTTCAAATGAGATAAAGTATTCGTACCTCGGCTTCTTTTTGTAAGTAGAAGGCATTAACCTTCTCGATTTCACGCTCCTATTTCACCCGTCACTTATTTTGGCAAAAAGATTAATTGTCATTGGTGCCATACCAGCCGGAAAAAAAACACTTCTTTATTTGCGCGAAGGGCGGCTTGAGCATCTGGGACATCATGAGCAGCTCCCACGGTAGTCTGCGCGGGCAGCTTAGGAGTGGCGCTTAGTTGCTTGATGAGCTATTTGCGAAAGATGTTAGAGAAGATGAATTGAGGCAGGAGACCTCAATAAACCGACCTTCTTCAGAGCCTTGTAATTGACAAAACTAGCGGCATACTCCGGAAGATCGAGCTGTCTCCGCTGAATCTGTTTTCCAAACTTCCTGCATAGCACGAACCGCCAATCAGTCTAAACATTCATAACCGATAGACAAAATGCGTCGATAATACTCCTCAACAAGCCGGTCTTTGGGCTTGGCTTTCCAAACGAGACCAAGGTATGCGGAGAGCACTTACATCTTGACTGGCCGCGATGCGAAAGCGATTGCTCTCACGAACTGATTTCAAAATGGCCGTCGGTGAAGCAAAAAGAAGATCTGCAATATAACCGGCTTGCTCTATCGAATCGACAGCGGCGAGGATATTGTCAACCGATCGCGTACAATGTGGATGAGCAGAATCCAAATGCAGAGGTGAACACCGAAGGCGGCGAGGAAGCTCCCAACCCCGCTCCGAGCTCTAAGAAGTCGTAGGGAGGCGACCAAGGTGAAGGATCCAGGTGAAAGATGATGTCAGGCAATCCGGGGTCTTCAACTAGCACCGCAATGAGTTATGTGTTCTTGGCTGTTAATGAATAGGCATGCGCGACGATCGACCACTGTCAATCAGGCAAGTGTGTGTCGGCAGGTGAAAGAGAATATGGGCGGATGGTATAGTCGAGATCGATGGTCAGAGGAAGACGAGAAGTTACACCTCCGGACCTGACCGGAGAATCAGGAATATTGTCGAAAAGCGTGGCCGGACATCTGTCCCAATGGTCCCTCTTTTTTTTCTTCTCCCTTAAGGGTCCCAAGGTCGAACACGAAGGGCACGGGGGGAAGGAATGCAGTGATAGGTGAATTGAAGGCGAGACTAGATACAAGGTCCGTCAAAGATCAAGTCAATTAGGTAGCAGAATGTCGATACGAAGGGGACGACTCACAGTCTCACTGGGCTATTTGGGGCTAAGCAGGCCGGTGGGAGGGGCTCACTGACCCCGCTTATTTAGAGGGGTCGAGACAAGTGGATAGAAGTGGTTGTTGGATGATCCGTATGTGGTTCAGACTTATCGGAACAATGTTTGAATGGTAGATAGACAGACGCCTTAGTGATGGCTGATATTGAGCAAGTAAAGCTCACGTCGCAATAGGGACCAGTAGTAGCACTGTGGTAGAAACTAGGTATGTACTACGGGCCGAACAAGAGAGTGGGGACTCGGATTGCATAGAGCTAGGTGCAGCAGCCAATGACGAGGGTCGATCTTCCCACGTTCTTCGTCCAGCAGCCGCATCTGGACTACAAAACAATCCGACTAGTTCACTCAGGTACCCTAGTTGGCTAGTCAATGAAGATTGGGATGATCAACTTAGGGGCAATGACAGATATGACAGGCACCAACCACCGTGTGCTTTACAACAACGTGTTTGGGCGGGTTGAATGCGATTCTGGTTTTCACAGTGGAAGTATGGTACGGGTGTAGGTATATCTAGATATCTAGGTAGTAGAGAGATAGAGAGATTGATAGATAAATAGATAGGGTTTTGTTTTTGTACCTTGCGGAATTATTGAGACTCTGTGGTTTACACTCCATGGCTGGAAGTAGCCCCAACCTCAACCTTGTATGGACCATGGAGAGTAATCTTAGGACAGCCTGTAGATCGGCTCTTGCCTTAGATCTCGGAGCTAGCAGGGAATGCGAGATGAGACCGATACGCCACTCGAGATGTCGAAGGATCTTCTTAGTCCTTCCTACCTAGGTATCTACTGCAATAACCGCACAAGGCATCTCGTATCTAGTAAGTGCCTACCTACTTGGCTCTTATCACTTTGCCTGGATCTGCATAGTGCGCAACAACGAATTGCTCAAATATTGGATCCCTTGGCTGTGAAATCATCTACCCAGTCCGATGTCAGTCTGCATTGAATTGATAACATCCGCCCAGAATGAGATCAACCCTAAGGTACCCCGCGCAGATCATTTCTTGTACTTGTGTCCAGTAACGGTTTGACCAGTCTCAATGGAGAGATAGATCACGCACCTGAGTCGCTGAATATTGAAATTAGGTCAGATACAATGATATCATTGACACGCCTCTAGCTTTCAGTTCAAGTTATTAGATAGATTAGTTACCTTCCATGCTGTGGCTTGTCGTATCTTGCTTTTAGAGAACCAATTTCCAAGTCTAATCTTCATCGTGCAGAAGCTGTCCATAGGTCAATACTGCTAGAAATATGGAAGTAGCTATCACCACTGAATACTATTCCCGTTGGCCCAACCCCGTGGACAACTGATCCCCTCCTCAGGTACGATTATCACTTGAGTATACTTCATTACAAAATACACCTACTGCAGAGTCCAACATCATCAAGTGCCAGAGTTAAAATCAGATGTATTTTGAATGCCCAATCCCAACATAAGAAGTACAAAGCCATTGCGTCCAAATATACACAGGTGGGACGCAACGCAGTGTACACTGCTGTCACTATATACCCAGAGCCAAATAAACGAAAAGAAAAAGGAAAGAAAGGACCAAGTCGCAGGTAACTGTATCAAACGGAACTATTCATGCATGTCCAAAACCAAATCGGGATTTTCGAAAATCATTGGATGCCAACTCACAGATGCAAAGCCGAAGCAAAACAATCCGAAGACCAGACAGTATCTGAGAGAGAGGCGAGGGGAGGTAGAAGAGAGACTAAAAAGTCAGAAGAGGGCAGTGATAAGGAGATAAAAACGACATGTTAATAATTGTGGGGATATAAAATTTCATCAAACGCAGCTGAGAAAGCAGACACATCAGACCGTGGAATCCACAGAAACGATCTGAAACGAAAAGGCTGGAGATAAAGAAGATGAACATGAAGAAGCCGGAGGCTCCTAGCATTTCGAGAACGCAGAACAAGAGAAACAGAAAACCAGCGGTAACCATCAGCATCGAGATGACAGACTATTCTGACAACGTACAGCACAGGGAATTGGCAAGATCACAAGTCAGTGCCGGACTCTTGGGAACCAAACTACCGGTCATTCTGCTGAACTGACACAGAATAAATCCGTGACCGAGCCAGCGAATGACCCCAATGCCAAACATGATAGAAGCTCAATATAACGGAGAATCCTCTAATGTCATGCTTTAGAAGTTCTGGGCAATGCCGGCATTCCCCTGTCGCGGAAAGACTGCGGGGTTCTCAATTCGCGTGTTACGCCGGGCCTGAACATCCCGAATCACAGGTTGACTTGGAACATACGGCCCATCTCCATAAGCGCCGTATTGTGGTTGCACATCGCTATAGTACGGGTTGTCGTCATAGTAACCACCAGTGGGATGAGTAGCCGACATGTGGCTTTCCTCCGAGGCTTCCGAACGATTCGCCGCAGAATACGCAGAAGAAGCATTAGACGGACCACGGTGGATGTCAGTTGTGCGATTGTTGGAAGCTGCGGGAGCAGCTCCGAGGACCCCGATAGGTTCACTCTCAGGAATCTGCCCTTCAGAGAATTGGATGGTGCCATCACTGGGGGTTGCGGCGTGGTGATAGGCGGGGCCGCTCCCGGCTTCAGACATGGCCAATCCAACACCCGCACCACTCGACAGGTTAGTCGATGCTTTGCGACCAGCAGAGGTTGTGCCCCATCCTCGGTAGCCGGATGTCTCATCCTTGGGCTCGTAAGCACCACCACCCATGACGGGTGGAAGTGTTGGATCGTTGTTCGGATTGAATCCATACTCCTCCACCTCCTTCCTTCGTTCTTCCTCCGCCGCTTTCTTTGCTTTCCATTTGCGCCAGAAATAAAGTGCAGCCAAGATGATCAATGCCACGGAAACAACAGGCACTACCACCGCTACCGCAATGGTGCCACCAGCAGAGAGTCCAGAACTTCCCGAGTCTCCACCTGTCGCGGATGCAGCTGCGGATGATCTTGTCGATGTAGCAGTCACACCATTGGCCGAATTTCCTGTAGGCAGCGTCGGGGAAGCTGTTCCTGTAGAGGTCACATAGATAGTCGTTGGGTCGTTGGTTGGGGTGGCCGCGGTGGCTGTAGCAATCGATGTGGTAGTGCTATCAGGAGTTTGAGAGGGTTCAGGCACGGTAGGTTGTGTGGCCTGCGAGTTCGAGGTAGACGTGGTACTAGTCGTACTAGTCGTACTAGTCGTACTAGTGGTGCTTGTAGTGCTGGTGGTCGATGGTTCCGTCGGAGCGGTCGTTGTCGAAGAGGTTGATGATGTGGACGAGGATGAAGTTGTGGGTTTTTCGGTGGCCGAGGGTTCAGTAGGCACCGACTCGGCTGCGGTTTGGGTAGGCGTGCCAACAGGAGCACTTGTCGCCGGCACTGGTGCTTGTGCTATGAATAAGAAAGTCAATATACCGCATGGCAATAATCATAAATGGATGCTGAGCAGCATCCTTCAAAAGAACATATCAGCCGAGCCATACCAGAAGCCATGTTAGAATTGTGAGGAAATTATTTCTCTCTCCTTGGCGATACAAAACGCTTAGCAGCGCCAGTCGTCTAAGTAGGTTTTGAGGATGGATTGCGACCGTCCTGACATTCAAGGCCCTCTAACAAGATCACCGAAATCTCGAGACTCAACCAACTGCCGGTAGGCCCTTAACAATGATGATACTTTAGCAGACCGAATGATCACCGATCAGAACTTAGTGGATGGCGACTTGAAAGATGACTTTGGAGTTCCATCAACCAACTTTTAGTCGAAGATTCGGCGGAGAAGAAAAGGGAGCACAGGCGAATGACAGTCCAGGGAAAGAAAATAAGGATAAGGAATGGCAGTCGAAATCAACGAAAGGAAGGACAGCGCGCGCAACTGTGATGGCGTTGTTGTGGATAGAGAAGCGGGAATAATAAGCGCGAGTGGTCAGCAGAATCGAGGCTGAGGAATGTACCAGGACCCCGTAACAAACTGGTACTCCAGATGGTCTGCCGGCTGACGATCAGGGGGGGGGAGAAGAAGGAGTCAACCGTAGACGAGATGGACAGGGTCTTCTTTCAAGTCTACAGGGGCGCCATCAGACGAGAAGAAGATGAAAGGGGAAAGATGGATGACGGTAGTGATGAGGATGAATGGACAAAAATCGAAAGTGGATTTAGGCCAACAGGACAAAAAAGAGAGTCGTTAGTTAGTAAGTGATCTAGTGAGCAAGAGGACGAAGGAAAAGAAAAGGAATGGAACAATAATAATAATGAGTGGAGATGGTACAGAGACAAGAAGGTTACAATTGATTGATTGATTGCAAGACTCAAGTATTTTAGGAGCTTACTCATATAGTTAGTACAGAGTAGTACTCTATAGTATGGAGGAAAACGGACTACCTACGCCAGTAGGCAGTGGCAGATGATTCTTCTTGGTCATTCCTAGTGGCCTTTGTTCTAGTGGATTCACCATCTAGAGAGGAGGTATTAATATCATTTTAGGCTGCTGGATGGAGCACTCTCTAGTCTCTACGGGGCTCTCCATTACCCATTAGTATTACACACTAGGTACTCAAGTCTTGACCTGATTATCTTTCATGATAATTATGTGTATTGGCGAACCTGTACCTCATGGATACCTATCTCAGGATAACTCTTCATCATCGTCATTAATCTAGGTTGATTCTGTGATATGCCATGAATGTTCCTAGATGGGGTACGAACAGGGGCAAAAAATGCATGCGGAATTGCGGATCCTAAGGGGAAATCCGGCGTTATTCCTGCTGTCCTCCGTCAACTCACAGACCGACCACCGAACGCACAGAGAGGACTTGGGCCACAGCCCAGAGTAGTATTTACAAGATGAAGTGGGATTGTTTTTACGATTATGAATATTATGACAAAACCGGCTGGATCGAGTCGTAAACAGGAGCTAAATTTCATTTGCTGCTTGCATCAAGTGTAACTATGGTATCATAGAATCATGGAATTCAATTCTCCGACCCATCCTTTTTCCAGAGTGGTTCTGTTGTGCACTTGTAACTAGTACTTGTAGGTAACAGTTGAGAACTTAGGCTTCAGCGATGAATGGATCCTATGGAGATAGATACCGATGAGCATAGTAAGAGTAGTAGAGTACCTATTGGGCACGGAGTACGGAAAAAAAAGCAATTTACTTAACGGCCTTTACCTTAGAAAAGTATGTTCTCTCGTATGTGGTCATTGGATCAAGGGAAGCCACTAATTCCATGCCAACGTAAATGAAGAAGTGACAGACATCTGTAACATCAAGGCTATTGGCAGTTTAGCACTTAAGTCCCAAATAGGACTCTGAGGGGAAATGGTATGATATGATTGCTGCTATATCATTATTGTCGTATTGTTGTACTCTGTAATTTGTCTGCTTTAATTAATTCCTCGTCTCTTCCTCGCTCTCTCTGTGCGTGTTTGTGTGTTGACTATTTTTGCCCTTGGTGTACCATGGAAAGTATCATCCAGCAAAGCAGATTCTCTGGCACTTGGGAGAGTCAATTCCAAACTTCGGGATCAGTGGGTTTTCGGGCCCGGAAACTGGTTAGATTTTTATGGTAATGAGTCGCTATCCATGAATCATAACCCGGAATCAACGCTATATATTTATGAACTCTTTCGATTTGTGTGTATAGGACCCACGCAATACATAACCAAAAATCCAACGACAAAATATGTACGTAGTTTGGCTTCAACTGAGCCTGCTGGACGTCAGAGACCGGACAAAATCTCATAGTTTAATGCATAATAGCAACAGCCAGGAAACACAGTCCATTTCTATATCATATTAAAGAGTTGATCCCAACGAAACAAATAGATCAATGCAAAGACAATACCATCTCTACTTGCTGCTGCTATCGGCAGTTCTTGTTGAAATTCCCGGCCCGAGGCAGGAAGAAGCTACAACTATCAGCACCGGTCTTTGCGCTTTGTCTCGATGAATACTCCAAGCTAAGTATCGTCGAGAGTAGCGGAGAGTCCGCACGGGTGTAGGGTCATCGCCAGCGAGGTTACAGTCATGTATCTCGAGAACAGCATAGCTTCAACTGGAATGCTTAAGGGAGCCTCTGATGAAGAACATTTGAAGCTAGATCTATCCTTTCACGACACAACTTCAAGCCCCTCGAAGAGAGTCAATGATATAACCCAAAACGCCCGCCCTCAAAGGGAGCATGCTGGTGCTAGAGTTACTCCTAGTCACACATACTCGAAACGAAAAGGTTCGTTCCCAGACAAGCCTTGCAATTCTCAACTTAAAAGCCAAGACCTCCAGAGCTCAAGCTCGAATGGAGAAAGAAGAAGAATAGTAAGGGGTGGGGAAATATCCAGCTCCATATTTTCTATCCAAGCCACGGGTGTTACATGAAGAGAAGAAAAAGTCGGTCCGAATCTCTCGAGCAAGGATTGCCCGAATCAAAAAAACAGGAGTAAGATAAAAGGTCGTGAAATGGCCTAATATGACACTGGGTTGAAAAATGAGGTCATCACTTAAGAGAACTGAAAGACTGAAGGCTAGATGAGAGTTCTAGGTTTGCTGCATATCCCATGTAGGACGAAGGTTGGACATCAAGTCATCCCTTGTACCTACAGTTCCTGGGGGAAGCCGACTGACACGATACGCACCAGTGCGAATATTATGCAGATGTGTGGCTGAAATTCCAGTGCTGGTGCTGCGGATGCTGCCCGCGTCGCTTGCAGTCTCAGCGTTTTTAAATCGAGGCGGCGGGGCAAAATCAAGGATGTCGAAGGCTCCCGATTTGCGCAGAGCATGTCTTCAACCTGGTTAGTGAACTGTCACTGTTTCTAGAAAATTATCAAAAAACTTACGGGCTCGGCATTGGGGTAAGCTCATCAAACACTGAAGCGAGCGGTGTATGAACTGGCAAAGGAGTAAACGCTCGCACCCCGCCAAGAGGGGTCTCGGCGCGTCCTTCTCTTTGGTCCTTGATGTTCCTGCCTGGAGCATACTCGGCTGCGATCATAATTGAGTCGTCTTTCAACAAATGAGGAGAAGGTAGGACTTGGAGCGGTGATGGTGGTGGCATAGGCTTGCGAGGCGCTCGAGGGCCAGGGAGTCGGTTCGATGCCGAAGAGAAAGCACGAGGCCCGGGATAGTCACCAGCACCACCCATAGAGCCGCTCGCCATATGTCTCGCTGCCCCTTGAAACCGGGGTGGTGCACGAGGAGGCGGAGTCATAGCACGACGAGTGACGGGTTCGGCGAACGGTGCTGGAACCGAATCATAGTAATCTCCAGTAACAGAGTCATAGATATAGCCCCCTTGAGAGTACGTTTCTGGGCCGAAGTCTTCATAGTGGGTCTCCCTGCCTGTCTTGCCGTCGTCAAAGTATTCTTTGTAGAACGATCGAATACGGTTAGCACGCTGCTCGGGATTGTCAGATGGATCCTCTGGGGGCAGGGGACGAAGTCCAAGCGTGAACCGACGGGTGTCGCGGCGGACATCGAGGCTCTGCTTCTGAGATTGTGATGGTTCATCGGGGATTGGAGGGGCTGCGATGTGTCCGGGGCCTGGTTCATGCTTCTGACCACCTTCGATTCCGTGAACGTTCACTACCGGGATTGAAGAATCGCGAGCTGTATGATCGCTATAGTCACTAGCTGCATCGCTCACGGGAAGTGAAATCCGAGGCGTCTGAACGGGCAGCATCTGATTAGAGCCTGGGTAAGCGTCAAGATGAGGTGGCAGAGGATCCTGAAGGGGAAAATTGGGCCTTTCGGTGGTTTCAATATGCAACTTCGGGGGTATGTTCGTAGCGTTCTTGGCTGATTGTTCCTGCATATCACCATGGCGCAGATTCGAAGGTAATTTATCGTCGTTGCCCTCAGGACTAGTCGGCACCGGACTCGGTCCGCGACTGCCATTAAACCCTGGTATGTGGACGGGGCTCAGACTCCTCGGCAGATTCAGCTGCAAGCCCGAATCCTGTCCTCTATCCTGACCAACTGGGCTGTGCACACTGCCGCCATCAGGGGGGGTATTGTACAGTGGGGGCGATGAACGCGACATTCTCTGGGCATTTTGCAGAAGACCTTGGTTCATATCATCACGCATGCTGACTTTGCTCTGGGATCGGGAGTATGTCATTGCATCATCGTGATATCCCCTGGGTTGCGACCTGACAGAGGCATTATCGCCCAGGAATGAAGTCGCATGGCGATATTTATCATCATCTCCAATGACTGATCTAGACAAGGAGTGCAGTGACTCGCGGGAACCGTGCAAGCCAGGGGGAAGAAGATAAGGACTCGGGACTATATCAAGAGACATCCCTTTGGCATGCATAGGGTTTCCTTTCTCTGCTTCTCTCATTGGCTTAGATCCCGCTCTGGGCTCCAGATCCAAGCCAAAATCAAGCGATTTGTGCTTATCATTGGCATCTTCATGCCGCAACTTCTTCACATTTCTTCGATGCAGGTAGATCAACACGATGATGGCGCAGACGATTGGGATACTGATCGTTCGTCAGCCCAGGAGATAGGAAAGAGGTAAAGAACAAGGGCCAACGTACACTGCGCCTAAGATGATTGGTAAGGTTGTTGTACTGGACGTACTCGTCGGCTTTTCACACATGCTCGATGTGTCTCCCGGAGGACAACGAGTGCTTTCAGCCGTAGAAGTTGACTCAGGCGCCCTTTTCACAAGAGTAGGCTCCTCGGTTCCAATCAAAAACGATAGACGGTCTCGCGGTACAGCATCCGGCCGTCGTGGTGGTGACCGTATTTCCATGTGCGCGCCATGACGGGCTAGATGGTGGTGCTGATTATGATGATAATGCATGGTCGTCCTAACTCGTGGCGTCGATAATCCCGGAGTCGGACGGCCCGTCGAGGGGTCAAGGGAGGAAAAGCACAATAATCGCTAAACTGCCTCGAAAGGCTGATACTGCTGCAATTTCGGACAAAAGCTGACGGCTAGGTCGAGGAATCAACGCTCACAAATCACGAAGCCCAGTAGATAGATGACATTAGACGAGCAGGCAATTAGTTAGTTAGTTAGTCGGTGGGAAAGCGGGAGGATGAATGCGAGATGTTTGATAGATGGATACGAGCAACAAGTGCAGCAACGTGGATACAACGCGGGGAATTAACACTGCTAGGATCTGATCAAAGAGTGAACGGAAACATAAGTTTCCTGAAAGGAACGGAAGCCAGAATGGCAGAGTATTCTTTGGGAATGAGTGTGAATGATCTCCGTGAGGAGACCAAGTTGGAGGGACTAGGAGTGGTGTTTGAGAGAGCGGAAGAGATCTAAAGCAGAGCAAAACGAGCAAAAAGGAAAAGACAGGATGATAGGTAACTAAAATGGTGGAAAAGAGACAAGAAAAGAGAGAGAAGTTGAGTAAGGAGAGAGATAACGGTCTAGTCCAGGTACGGTGTAGACTAGCAGATGGAGACCCAACTTAGCGGTTAGTTGTTACTCTGTACTGTGTAAGTATCTAGTATCAGCGACAATAATGGGGAGACAAATGATACTATCATACTACTAGTTACTAGTTAGCACTAAGGTGGGTGGGAATTGGGATACCTGGCTAGTGCATACAGCGGTACCTTATCAAATAATATCAGCAACAGAACATTTGACACTACCAGCCTGGTTAGGCATGAGGAATTGCCCAAGAGATGGTGGTTACTGGTTAGTAGTTTGATACACGTTGATTGTATGCTTGCTGGTGTGACAACATCAATATCCATTGCATCAGAGATTTATGATCGGTATAGCCAGAGGGGATCACCACAATTCCTAACAAAGAGAGAGGAGAGTCATCTTGAGGTACAGAGAGCATGGAGGTACAAAAGCCACTACTCTGTATAATTGACCTTGCAAAGTATGGGGTCGGCCCACTGAAGGACGGCCAGGTAAGGTGAAATGTCGGGTGAACTTGTTGGTCGGAAGATCATGGCCGATCAGGGGTTTCACAATAAGCAGAGCAATCATATGGAGCTTGGAGAGTTACAGATATGTAGGTAATAGGTACTACCTTAGGTACTACTGCTCTATAGCTGGCTCACCTTATATCTGAGCTGTCAGGAAGCATGGAAGCTTTGTGGTCCGGGTACTCTGGACTCTGTAGATAGAGGAAGATGGCAGTATTGCTATGAAGAAACCTTCATAGAGTAGGACTAGGTTGTTGATAATAACGTGGTAACTTTGGTACGGTGCCTGGTAAAGTGGCAAAAGCCTAAGTTTCAGGAGCCCCACTTGGTGCCCCTTAATTGAAAATAATTGGCGAACCTGCGATGAACTAATTAATATAAATAGCATGTCAGCTCAGGGGTAAAATCCTTGTGCAACAGGCTGTACGGAGTAGAGTGTACTCCGGTATCTATCTAGCCGATGCTCACTCCATTCTTGTTGTTCCGAGTAGTAGTCGAGGAGCCTAGGCTGAGTGAGGTATCTCCTGGGAGCCATTAACTAACTACGTAGTAGATAGAGATCACTGGACAGTGGACACTGAGTGTGCTCCTCTGGAACTATCTTAAACATTCTTGAGTGTCTTGGATAAGCTTCTTTGTGTACTTCGGAACTTCCTGAAGGTTAAACGCTCCACAGATCATACTATTGGTGCCCTTCGTAGACTGCATTGCTGCAAGTCACATCTTTGCTTACTGAGGAATCTGATTTGATGCTTGCTTACTCCATACATCAAGAACAAGGACACTCTCAACTCCGGCAGTTCGTCCATTCTTGGCGGCTTCGCTGTTCTGACACCAAAGAGAATATTGAACAGCCGATGAGCCAGCTTTATATCTTTTGATGTCGACTGGGGATATCTCGGAAGATTCAGGCCACGGAGTGATACTGGAAGCAATCCAGTGGCGGCCATTAGTTATTGTTATATTATTGTACAGCCTCATTCTGGAGGGGTCTAGGCCCCTGGTTCAAAGTACCTATGCAAGGGCCTCAAGTCTCAGCACCAACAATAGCTGCCCTTCTTGCGGTCAGGACTCTGTTGATGTGGGTGGTGGCATTCCCTCGGTAGCTAGGCCTGAAAATGCATCGAATATCTCCACCCACCTCCCCCAAGAAGGGTAAAACTGATTTTGCATCTTCGAAGAGACATGGCATCTATCTCAATAACCATATCTCCTGGGTGAAACTGAAAAGTAGAAGTGTGGTTTTGTTTCAAAGACTGATGTGGTAATACACTTACTGTTCAGTAAGTATATTGAAGTCAAACAAGGATCTTTTGTCGACCATTGACATTATTATCATCTAATGTAGGCGTACAGGGCGAATAGTCCTCGATTGTAGCATAATTAGGACAAGGCGTACCACCAATCTACGGAGTACATTTATCGCAGCGTGACAAGATAAAAGAGCACTTGGTATGCATCCCCTGTATACTTGAAAGCTCGAGTCCACACTGAATTATGGGAGTAACTCGAGTATACTGAGAAAGATCACTTGATAGGCGTTCTGACTTCTATTGTTATTATTATTTGCATACTGTATCTACTTCTTTGCCATCAACATGTTGACTGACAGAATGGGCGTCTATGTCTTAGGTCGGGAAAATGTAAAAGAGCGAGCTGACTACAGAGTCCTCTCAGGCCATCAGGTCATGATAGGACAATTTAGAATATACTGGGGAGTGCCCGATGTTGCGACACTGATGATGCTGTTATTCTTATCATCATGATCATCAACGGGAGTATTCTCTACGGTCTGCAGTATGACCATTGCGCTACTCAGTACCGTACTTACAGCAGAGCGAGAGGAAAACTCTGCAGCAGCATCGTGACGTCAAAGTGCGTCTTGGGCTCTCAGAGTCAGGCGGCTCCTCATGTGACCGACGCCATCTCGGAGGATTACCCTATCTCGCCTATAATATTACTTCCATTATTCTACTCTGTACCTGCAGCCCATTCCATCCGACATGCAGTATGATATCCACATGTGCTTCAATGAAGGCACGTTGGAAGGAAGTCTCAACTTCTTATGCCTAAGCATTATTTTTCAGGTCCAGAAACTCTACCGAGGATATGCGCCATCTATCTTAATTTTCAGTAAATATTTGCCCTCAAGAGGGCAACTAAGATTGCCTAGTCAACTATGAGAGTAAGTACTGTGTGAGAGTGATCGCCTTAAAATCATAACCAATGGGTGCCTGAACGATGCAATTACCATTTCGCGCCTCTTATCTTTCTTTGGTGGATTGTGAAGAATCCTACCTAGTGGGGATTATGAATGGAGCAGTGTTTGCTGGTGGGATATGAATTCGAACTTGTATAATGAATTGTATTCACCCAAGCGGCACACAAAGAATAAGATTGGGAAGAAACAGAAAGAAGGAAAAATGAACTTGTCTTCCCCGTGCCGGGAACATCTCCGAAGAGATTTGAGATCATCTTCAAGTTCAGTCGCCTCCGTAGTTGGGTTACAATCTAGAAGCCCACTCGCACAGCTGGCTTCTCGCGGTCTGGTCCCTCTTCTTTTTTTGCCTCTTCACGAGGATGCCTAGGTGATGATGTTTCTGCTACCTTGCTCTATCTTCTCATTCATCACTGCCCAATACTTTTTAAACCCCTCCCCTCCACTCGTCTCTCACTGGAGACGAGAGACTTCGATACGTTTGCCATGACCTGTTGAGCTTGATATCCTGCTCCCCCTACTTCCCAATTGTGAGTCGCTGTCTGTCATGGATTCTATATCTCGGGATCGCGAGAGGGCCGAATTAGAGGCATATCGTCCTCCAACTCGTCGGCAGAGTCTCGGTCATGGCAGCTGTGCCTCTCGGTCCGACTCCTTCTCGTCCTCGGTCACCTCTTCCAGTAACTCATCCCAACTGGACGAAGACGTATACTATCTTTCTCAGATTCAGACTGCGCAGACGCAGCGAGGCAATGGTCTTGAACCACACCTCACAGCGCTCAGTCGTATTGCAACTCAACGGAGCCAGCAGTGCTACTGTGGGCGCTCTCAAACCACGCGTGTCAAAGAAACCTCTACCAGATTTCGGTGCAGAAAAACCGTATCCGCCAGCTCTCCCAGAGAAAGAGGAATATGTCGTCGAATTTGTCGGTCCGGATGACCCTCTGCATCCCCAGAAATGGACTCTCAAGAAGAAGTCAATCAATGAATCCTCGGTATGCCGATGCATCTTTCACAGATGTGTTGGTTGCCTAGGGAGGACGTTGAAGTCACCTTTGAAGTCACGATCGCAATATCACTCATGCTGGTTTACACGACATTTAATGTGACGTTCACCAGCAGCATCTATTCTGCGGCCAATTCTGCTGTGTCTTCACACTTTCATGTCTCGAACGAAGTCGATACTCTGGGTCTATCCTTATATGTACTAGGATTTGCATGCGGTCCGACGTTCTTCTCACCGTTGTCGGAACTTCAAGGTCAACGACTTCCCATGCTGATTGGCATGTTTGGTTTCACCGTCTTCCAATTCGCAGTCTCTACCGCGGAGAACCTACAGACCGTCACAATCTCTCGCTTTTTTTGGAGGCTTCTTCGGGTCATGCCCTATTGCTGTCGTTGCGGCAGTGTTTTCAGATATTTATGACAATCGCCATTGAGGTATCACCATCACTCTTTTCACAATGACGGTGTTCACTGGGCCCCTCTTTGCCCCATTCGTCGGTGGCTTCATCGTAGAGAGTTACCTGGGTTGGCGCTGGACGGAATATCTCACTGGGATCACAGGCACCTCGGCTTTTGCCCTGGATCTATTCTTTCTGGAAGAAACGTATCTGCCGGTTGTCCTCATCGGAAAGGCTGCTGAACTGCATCTACGGACGAAGAATTGGGGCATCCACGCAAAACAAGAGGAAATTGAGGTGGAGTTGGGTGAGCTCATTCGGAAGAATTTCAGTCGTCCGCTGCGAATCCTATTCACCGAACCAATCGTGCTCTTGCGGGGTATATACATGGCATTCCTGTACGGTTTGCTATATCTCTTTATGATAGTTTATCCCATTGTTTTTCAGCAGATCTACGGTTTCGGTAAAGGTGTTGGTAGTCTGCCCTATATTGGGATGATCATTGGGGAGTTCCTGGGAGGCATCTTTATAATCCTGCTCCAGCCATGGTACAACAAGAAATTGGATGCCAACAATGATATACCCCCCGACAGTGCCGCTTCTGCTCTGGCCGCAAATAGCGTTCTGCGTTCTGCAGCTGGCGCAGGATTCCCTCTTTTCGCACCGTCTATGGTGGGTGAAGCCATCCCTTACCCAACGTAGTCCATACCGCTTGAGATCCGCCGCTGACTCGCAGCACAGTTTAACGCTTTCGGCGTCAACTGGACCGGAACCCTGCCTGGCTGCGTCGCTGCGCTCATGATGCCCATGCCGCTCCTCTTTTATCTGTACGGACACAAGATCCGGGCTAAGAACAAGTTTACAATGGAATATCTTCCAGCTGTTCAAGCTCACAATGATAAGCACGCGGATTGATACCAATGTCTCTTCTGAAGGAAGACGACAGTGAGAGATCAACTGGTCGGCACGTGTGAAGAGAAATCGCAGAGACCACGACTGCCAGACCAGTGCCTGCTGTCCGCATATTCACCTATCACTGCCACGAGGCTCGTGGCGATCTGCGTCGCCTACATTAGACGTGTCATTCCTGGTTACTGAGCGCGCCGATTCTTCATAGATCACCGGATACTATTTTGTCCAGAACAAGTTTTCTTGTTTTGATACGATACCCCCTATTTGATTTCTTCTCCATTGGATGGATTCGACATGACTGCATTGCATACCTAATTTTTTAATGCCAATGTGTATCATACGTTCTTGCGTACATTGTATATCTAGGTCAGGTTGAGTGCACCAGAGGCCAAGATACCTTCAATTCATTTTCCTGTTCTTGATTACATTATGCACCATTTCCTCTATTATAACAAAGTATTGTCAACTTCCATCTAGAGTGACTTTTTCCTTTTCAATCAACATTGTCAATGTTGATCCCGGTCTTGCAAGATATGCACACCACTTCCCTAGCACCTGCTTTGTGTGATGCGGTTCTGCGCCTTGAGCACCAATAGCCAAACACCTGAGGATCCTCTGTAAAAAAGCACCTGAAATGCCATACGAGTGCATCCAGCATAAAAAAAAAAGAAAAAGAAAAAACAAACATGACCACTGTTATGACAAAAGCGGGAGGTCAAAGGAAGAAAACATGAGATTAAAGGAAATGTGAGACAGAAGAAGGAAATACAGAATGGTGGAAACAGATAGATCAGCACATCCCACAATGCGCATACAAAAATAGACAATAGAAGAGAGACCCTTCACAAAAAGAGGGAAAAAGTGAAAGAAAAAAAATTGTACACCAACACTTCACGCATATAGAGTGAAGAATAAATCTGAGGAAGACGCATTCCAAGTCATAGTTGACCGATATAACATTTGGAAAAGGCGTGAGCACAGAAGAAGGGAAGCAGCACGGATCATAAGAGCCAAAGAAGAGGAACTGTGCCAGTTGTTGCATTTCACGTCATGTCATATTCTCAAGTTGATCATTCGGGATGAAGGACATAAAGATAGTATGTGAGAGAACGGCGCGGACGGCAACGCTAGATGAACCGCAGCCGGTCGAGGATCAGAAGACCTAATTGATACAGCGCGCTTCGTAGATTAGGTGGTCGTCATCAGCAGGTTGATCGAATATCCGACTGAACGGAGGGTTCGAAGACACTGATTTATCTTCTGGGGTCGGCATCACTCCTTCCGCTGTGCGAATAACCTCCTTCAGTGAACGGGTCACCGCACCGGCTCGAATAACAAGGTCGCGGAGAGATTGAGTGTCGAAGGGCAGTTTTTTTGAGCGAGAAAGATGGGAATTGCGGAAAGTGGGGTCGTGTGAGACGCGTTGTTGATAGATCAGATCCAGCACTGTTTTCGCCTTGGTGGACGTATCATTATCCTGCGAGCACGACGAAATAGTAAGGCTCGGATGCAGCTTTTCTGGGAGCGAGGCTCGCCAGGAATCCCCGCTACCACGTTTCGCCGCATCCGCTGCGTTGGAAGACTCGCCTTCTGAATCATCGAAACTGAAGGTAAGAGACGATGGTGATCGCGGTGGTGAGTCGTTGTTCTCGTCATCGTCAAGTGTGGCTAGGTTGACGATGCCTTCGGCCTCTTTCCACAACTCATTTGAAGGTCCTTGGACAATATTGAGATAGCTTGCCCGGTGGCGAAGTCGTTTGAGCTCTTCAACCAGCAAGGTAAGTTCCTGGACCTGCCCGAATTGCCCGTGGAGGCTGGCCTGACGCTCTAGAATGGCTGCAGGGACCACCATTCCTTGTTGAGATTCAGCCCTGTCCGGTTTCAAAGCCTCACTACCTCCGTCCGCATCGTCGAACTCAAAGTCACTATCCCAATCTTCGCTGACGCCCTTGCTGCCCAGACCCCAGGTTCCAAACTTGCCTGAGCTTTGACGCGATTCATTAGCGATGATCGGGTCTCTCGCCACAGGAACGCTCTGGCTGCGCAGATGCAATGCATTTGGCGCCCTTCGTCCCGGAGGACGGCTACCGCGCATCTCCGGTCCATGTTTTCCATGAACGGTACGCGGCCGCTCGTCAGATCCCGTTACTTCGCGATCATTTCGCGATTGTTCTGACCAGTCAAAGATGTTCATCTTCGGATACGACTCCCGATATTCCTGGGTTCCTACACGTGAATCGTCCTGCAGAAAGGTCTGGTCTGAATTGAGCGACAACTCTGCGAACATTCCAGCATGAATATCGTGTCTAAAAGAATGACCCGGAGTCTCCAGAGATAGATTGAGGCGGCGGGGAAGGGTGACTGATGAGATCGAATCGCTAGGGAGTGCGGCTACCATGCTGCAAGCATCTTCCTCTTCCGATAGATCTGATGGAAAGGATATTCTGCTATCCTCACCACCATCGAAACTTGCCCTCTCCTGGGATACAGACCTTGCATCAGCAAGGGGAGAGAGATTGGTTTGCAGGCTGCAGAGACACGAATCTAAGGTCCGAGGAGCAATCGAGCCACGAGAAATGGTTTCACCGTACTTATTGACCTCGGGGTTGGCACAACCTTCTGCTGGACTCTTGGAAAACATGGATTCAATCCGGGGGACCCGAAAGCCCGAATCGCTGCCACTTGTGATGTGCGTTCGGATTGAGCCAAATGCCGTATCAGTCAAGAAATCCATCTCATCTTCATCACCGGACGTGAAAATGCGTGTGTCGTCAGAACCGATTGCGGTTGATGCCGGATCAGAAGCCGCGATCGAGTGTCTTTTGGGACGGTGCTGGAATGACCATGAAAACGTTGAGTCGGAGGCGCAAAAGCTCTCATTTTGGTATGCCGACAGAGGTACTGCATCTGAATTAAACGGGCGGTGACTGCCATCCCGGCACAGACCTAGCTCCGGTCTCGGGGGAGTAACAAATCGTCGTGATCCCATGAGGTTTGCGGTTAGGAAAGCGGAGGATTTTGTTTGGGATAGTGTGGGAGGGCGACGGAAGACGTTTGGATCGGTGATGTTACGCCTTCCATTCAACTGCTTTGAGTCGAGAAGGGTCGTATTCGGATTTAACACCCCTGAAATTGGAGTTGAGGCTGCTCTCCTTTTCGGCCACACCAATGGAACATGACATGGTCTCTCTGTATCTGCTGCGCCTGAGCTGGTTACTGATGACTTTGGATCTGCTTCTTCAAGGACGACTGAAGATGGGCCATCCTCGCTTTCCATAGGGGAAGGTGCGTCTAGCGCATGCTGAGAATCAATGGATTTGAATGGATCGCGGAACTGGACCGGTGAGGAAGGAGCGGAGACATCCAGGTCTACGCCCTTCACAGGCTCCTTGCTGATTATCGAGGTGGCCAGAACAAGCGCAGGCACCGCATCTGAGCTGGGTAATATTCGTCGCAGCGTGTGTTCTCTCGGCTTGGGTGTAGTCGACAGCCTTCGAGCGAGTCTCTCAGCCAACCCCTCGGAACTGGATTTCAAATATGGTTGCCATGCGTCATTGTCGCGAGGAGATGGGCAGCCGAGCGCGACAATTCGCGATGAAGGACTGACGATAAAGCTAGGTTCGAAGTTTAAGCTATGGGTTGCTCTATGTCGCAGCGCTTCGGACCGTTGATAACTTGTTGCAGGTCTATGTGTGAGAGGAGGTGCCAAGGGGGATGAGGGCGTCTGTGGGGACGGAGGTAAGGCATTCGCATGCTGTGATGGCGGCCGTTTCACAAGCTTGTTCGGTACTCTGCGCTGGCTGGAAGGTCGCGAAAAGGCTGGACTTGTGGGGCGATTGGACAATGGTGACCAAGGACCCTGACTTGGGGGGCGGTTCTCTGGCGGTTGGATTGATAGTCGGCGCAACCAGGATGAAGACGGTCGTCGGGAATGTGAGGCTGCTGGCGACTCCTGATTGATTTGAGACGGCGGACTAGTTAATGTATGACCCCTGCGACGAAGTATCACGCCCGCGAAGGAGGACTTTCTGCGAAAAAGCCGACTTCCTGATTGAATCTCAGCGGAACCACACAGCTCATTCGCGGAGGCGGGCTCTGGAACAGGAACCGGGGTTGACTCAAGGACTGTGGGAGGGAAATGAGAGGATTTTGGAGTTGTGGGCGATATGATATTGTTTGGCGCCGATGCGCCGTGATCGCGGAGGGTAAGGGTGTTTTTACGGAATCGTCCCAACCTGGAGGATGGCCGATCCACGCGACCGAGAGCAAAACCCGTCGCTGCGATACCAACGGTGCTAACCGCACAGAGCTGAGCGGAGAAAACAGAGATTAGAACTAATCTCTTCGGAAGGGCTAATCGCAGACCATGGAGGTTGGGCATGGCAGACCGCATAGCGTCCTCAGCTTCATGGCACTTATACAGCGCATCGAGCTGGAACACCAAGCCTGGCTAACCTCTCCTCTGGTCGTAGGGAAATAAGGGACCATCGAAAGAGAAAAGAGATAGACAACTGCGATAGGAGGGAGACTCACGGTAGAAACATGCTCCATCCTCAAGGGGTGCTGAAAACAGCGTCAAGCACCACAGAGCTCAGTTCAGCAGCATTGACAGGCAGATGTGACATTCCTATGAACATAATCATGCACAATCAGGACTAATTTGCTGAATAGGTCTCAGAAGGCGAAAGGGGACAAGAATGCGACGGCGGAATCGAAGCAACCAGAAGCAGATTGGACAAGAAGGAGGGGTTTAGAAAGCTGTATTGTATGGAGATTTGGCTGTCGTCAATCCTGCGAAGCGGAGATGTTCTTGAGGGGAAAGAGAGGGGCCGTTGCAGCTAGGATAAAATGTCAAGGCAGGTGAAAATAGGTGCGCAGCAAGGAAGCGAAAAGGAATGGGAGAGGGTCGGCGCAGAAAGAAGCATAAAAGAATGTACTCCAGAAGAGAGTAAGACAAACAGCAGAGGGAGAGGAAGATCTCAGGAACAGAGAGCAGTGGCTGCTGCTGCTGCTGCTGTCGGCCCTCTTCCTCCTCCTCTCTTCTTCAATGTTGTAGAACTGCGAATGGAGGATTTCCCCCCAGACTCAGAGTCAGCAGCTGGGAAGGAGAATAATGACATTAACTACCAGGGAATAATAACAGAATAATTAGCGGTGAATCAACATACTTAACAGGAATAAGAATAAGAGTAAGTCTGTCGGACAGACAGACAGAAGGTCGACCAGAAGAAGTGCGGGATGCGGCCGCTACAAGTAGTACTGCATATTTACATAGCTTCGATTGGGTCTTCTGAGTTCTATCTAGTCAGTTAGTAACTTAGTTGTCCATCAGATCTCGGGTTAAACAAATAATTTTTAGCCTCGTCTTTGCTCCCATGGTTGACAATAACAATTAACAATAGTAAATCCAGTAGTTTGTGGTTACGCTAGGAGGTCCACTCTAAATACAGCTCGTCCAGTTGTCCTTCCCCAGCCAGGAAAAAAAAAAGAGAGAGAGAGAGAGACAGGGAAGAAGAGAACAGCATCTTGTCACTCTTGTGAGGCTTTTGATCGAACTGCAAGGCATATTTCCCAATGACAGGTGGCTCGACTAAGAATCTAAGTCTGACTATTTATCCCTATATTTACTGGAGAACGGTAGTTTATATCCTTCTACGGATTATGACCTTCAGATTAGCTATGGATTGTCCCTAGGATGATGGTCATCAATGTTTGTTTACTCTCTGACTGAACCAGAGCATGGCAGCTTCATGATGGGAGTATCTATGGGGAACTAGGAGGGGATTTAGTGCTACAGATGTAAGCGATCATCTACACACTTCCCATTGTTATGGAAGCACTGCAGTTTCATGCAGAGAATCTCAGCACCGAGTATTGCTTTGGTAACCTTGAAAGATCTGGATATCACTCCATGATCATGGTGGACTTCCTTGGATAAGGAAAAAAAGGGTATAAAACAACAAGGATGATTGTTTGATCTTATTTAGATATCTAGTTAACTATTTGTGATGGAAAGCAGGAGGAGCTGCAAGTTGCAAATTACACTTGGCGCGCACGATCCTGCTAGCAAGGAACCTCGATCCCTGGAGAAGAGAGATCGGAATTATTACCTACGGAGTATCTATCTAGTACACCAGACTACTTGCCTACTCTGTATGCTCTCTGCTTGTGCTGGACTCGAGGACCTAGCTAGGTACACGAGAAAAAAAAAATTTCCCACACAGAACCTCTATCAAGACAATCTCTCAAAGGCTCTTTATGCGGCGCTCGGCGGTTCGAACTTCGGATCGAGATGAGAAGCTAAGCTGGAGCTGGAGCAGTCTAGGCGATCCCCGATCCGGACGGGCTGGAAAAAGTAATCATAAGCCCATACTCCGTAGTCTCTCACACGGAGGAGGATTCTCCACTCGCTCAGGCTTTTTTTTTCCTCATCGATTCGGCCGGCTGAAAGGTTGAAAGACTGGAAGAATCAATATAATAGGCTCACAGACCCTAATGCAGTTCTCCGTACTCCGTAGTCCGTAGTAGCTAGATAGATATCTATCTATCTAGCCCACTTGGACCTGGTAGGTAGCAAGCGAGGAGGCGTCTATCTACGGAGTATTATTCAGAGTAGATACTACTCAATCAATGAAGTGGTATCCAGTCTACTAACCAAATGTGAATTTACCCCTGCATTGAGATAGCCTGGCTCTGAGAGGTAACTATCTAAGTTCAGTGTTTCCAAGCAAGCACGGAGAAATAAAAAGAGAATGTTCAGAAATTAAGGTATCTGTCGGTCATCCGGTTCCCTGGAAATATCAACCAGATTTCCAGTCTTCCTGGCTTCCACATATTGAAGTGGATACGTTCCAACGGGCAGTGTTCCATGTTCCAGGTGACATGATCGTTTTCTACGGAGTAACTCCCAAAGTCAACTGTTGAGGGAACCCGCGGGAAACGAGATGGGACGATTCCCGATGGATCATGGAACATGGATCGCCGTTTTCCAGAAATCCAGATCCTGCCTTTGCTGTTCTCCCTTCCTGTTTCATCCCACTCCATGTGGAGGATGATGACGACACGGCAGGAGTCAAGGACAGAGACTCTGAAATCCGTAAAAATATGAAGCACATAGGGAATTAAGTTATTAACCTAGGGAGAAAGCAGCACATTCCATCCGACATTCAGACCAGATAGGCAGTATCCAAGTGCTGTACAACAAATCCATGTAACTGATCTGATCTAGTAATATCAAAGCAGATCATTGTGATAGATCCATTGCATTCCATCAGTAGGTACCTGCTCCGTACGGACATATCAGGGGTATTTGTGGGTGAGAACGTGGCCTGCAACCTGCAGGTTCGTTTCCTCTCTCTCTCTTTACTTTCCTTTTCCTTTTCCTCCCCTCTCCCTTTTCACCAAGGTGGGAATATCTCCGACCGAGGCCGCTTCTGATGGGTCTTATGTTGTGAGAATCTTAAGATTGCGAGATTAAAATGTCATCATCGTTGCAACACGGACTCCTACACAGTCAGTGCACTTGCTTGAACCACTGTATGGCTGCGACGAGGTTTTCACCGCTAATATTCAGTCTTACTCCAGCTGGATCATGTTTCAGTCTTGCCTTCAAGATAAATTTGCAACATTCCAGCCTTCTTGGAGGTCCTCCTTGGTCCGCTACCCAGGTTACAATGCGTTAGCCTGCTTGCAATTATTTTACAGCTAATTATCAGACCATCGGGATGACGACTAGATAGATAGATAATCCTTAAAACCCTTAAATGTTCGTCCTCCTCTGTACGGAGTATCCCGTCCTGCCCCTGTTTCCGTGGACAATACCCTTGTTCGATGTCCTTGCTGAAGAAGCCTCGTCAAAGTCGTCACACCCGGGACTCCTAGACAATCTACATTTGTCTTCAAGAATGTTTGAAAAAACTGCGACAGCAACCCTTGCCTAACCTATAATTATCATAATCAACCAAGAGGAGGATACTAATTTCGCAAGGTCATCAATGCCCTTGTTCAGGGATGAGAAGAGGGTAACTATCACCCCGGACAACAAGCATCTAGGGGTGCTGTCAATCTATGAAACTTTCATACAGCATACTCTCTATCCGCTCCCTGGAAATTCACGACTAATAGAACTATAATAATGATGTTGACCAGCATTATTATTATTAGAACGCAGAATTCAAGGACATAGCCGCCATTGCTCTGTCAATTGGATGTCCAACCAAGCCAGGGTCGCACGGTTCCCTGAACAACTGTCCGGATGCTGATCATAAACCACAATCCCTGCTGTTGTTTCCTATCGACTTATTCTGTCCTACTACACAGTAGACTCCTAGCCGTGGGCTTCTCGGACTCCCCGCAGGGTGCAGGATGCAGCAACCCTAGACCATGCGAAAAAGTAACTGGCATAGGCGGTCTGTGTTTCATGATGTTGAGTCAGCTGCAGCTTGAATGGACAAGACTGTTGCAGGCTTGCAGCAGATCTTGGCTGCTTGGGCTGACTGACTTGCGCGAGGAGAAGCAGTATAGTCCTGTCAGTACTCCGTACGCACATTCGCATTTCTCAAAGTCGCGTGGTATGATTGTCCACAAACTGTAACTCTCTTTTGGGTCATGCCATCTCATGGACTTTTTTTTTTTTTTTTGCATTGTTCACATGGTACGAAGTAGGAAGCTCTTGTTTTGTCTTGTCCACTTGTGGTTGACTGAAGGCAGATGTTGCAAAGAAAGAAGGCGGTCAGAAGCGGCATATCTCTTCAATTGTAGTAGGCGAGATCCATTTCAGGTGGTTCCGATTTGAGCTATTCGATTCTGAATCAGTTGCTCTTTCACTTATATGTATATTTTTATATATTTTGAAGGGTAAATTAGAGAAAAAGAGCCTTCACGTAGAAGTATACCTACTGTACAAGGTGTCTTGAGTGCTCTCATTCAAGTTATCAAGCCGCCACTTCGGCACTGTTCCACCTCCACAAATCTGCCACCTCAAGATTGGCTGGCAGTGAAAAAGACATTGCTTGATCTGCATTACACCAGCCGGAGATCGAAACCCTGTTGGAACAACCCACACATCTATCTTCTGGAGTTCTTGAGAGCTCCTCTGATACTTTTTCTTCCTGCCAGAACATTTTCTGCTAGCGCGGTTTCTGCGACACCGAAATCGTCAAAATGGAGGCAGAGCTCCAAGCCCAGATTCCCGGTCTGGACCGTGTGATCTCGGAATACTCTGTGGTGAGTACAGCCCATCTATCTGCAAATACAGTCCTTAACTGATTTTATCCAGGGCTACTTGACGCATGCTTCAAACGCTTTCGTTGAAGATGTAAACGCCCCGTCGCCACTGTCGGAAGCTGCCGACATGGTGACGGAGCTTCTCGTCTCTGCCTCGGGGGATTTCTCGGATCAAAATGAGAAGGCTATCCGGAACTTGGTTGAGAAGTTTATCTCCTCACTGAGCGCTTCTAATGGCATCGATGCTGAGCGCAGGCAAATGCCTTTTACCGCGAAGAAGCTGGACCAGGCTATCCATGTCGGCTCCCAGAGGAACATGTCTTCCACCCTGGGTCTTGCGGGAGGCAATGTGGACCTCGAGTCAGCCAATGCCAGAAAGGTAGAGTCCCGCGTTGATCGTAAGAAGCTCGAAAAGGCAGAGCGGAAGATTCGGGCCAAGCAGGAAAAGAAGCAGATGAAGACAGTGCAATACGAGGCTTCCCGTCTCCTGAACGAGCCGGACAGCACCATGTCCTACGAAGAATTCTATATGGCCGTCAATCCGCTCCAGTTGGGCTCCGACTCTCAATCCAAGAGCAAAGATATCAAGATTGACAGTATTGATATCTCCGTGGGCGGCCTCCGTATCTTGACCGACGCGTCGCTCACTCTCGCTTATGGACGTCGGTATGGTCTTGTGGGTCAGAACGGTATCGGAAAGTCTACTCTCTTGCGTGCCCTCAGTCGTAGAGAGGTCTCTATTCCCAGTCATATCTCGATTTTGCACGTTGAGCAGGAGGTACGCCATCCGCATTCACTACTCCACTAATGGGTATCGCTAAGTATATCGGCAGATTACGGGTGATGATACCCCAGCACTTCAAGCAGTCTTGGACGCAGATGTGTGGCGGAAGCGTCTCCTTGCGGAACAAGAGGTCGGTCCACCCGTCGGGCTTCCCTTTTCCAAGCTACTTGGCTAATATCGTGCAGAAAATTACGAAACAGCTTGCTGCCATAGAAGCGGAGAGATCTTCAATGGCAGATACATCGGCAGATGCCGCAAGGCTGGATCATGAACGAGAGGGTCTTGACTTGACTCTGAATGACATCTATGCCAAGTTGGCAGAAATGGAGTCCGACAAGGCAGAATCTCGCGCAGCTAGTATCCTGGCTGGTCTCGGTTTCTCACCGGAGAGACAGCAGTATGCCACAAAAACATTTTCTGGTGGTTGGAGAATGAGATTGGCATTGGCACGAGCCCTGTTCTGCGAGCCAGACTTGCTGTTGCTGGACGGTATGTGCCGCCCAAGTTCCGAACGAGTGAGAGACGATTTTGACTAAATGATGCAGAACCTTCCAACATGTTGGACGTCCCGTCTATCACTTTCTTGACCAATTACCTTCAAACGTATCCTAGCACCATTCTCGTCGTTTCTCACGATCGAGCATTCCTCAATGAGGTCGCCACAGACATTGTGCACCAACATTCTGAGCGACTTGACTACTACAAGGGTGCCAACTTCGGTAAGTATCTTTCTTGCTAAATATCTAATGGGATTGGCTAATCGTTTGCAGAATCCTTCTATGCCACTAAGGAGGAGCGGAAGAAGAACGCTAAACGCGAATATGAGAAACAAATGGCGGAGCGCGCACATCTCCAAGGTTTGCATATTCTTTTTAGCATTATTACCCTTTTGTTCTCTTTTTGCTGACAGCACTCCCTAGCCTTCATCGACAAATTTCGGTACAACGCGGCCAAGTCGTCCGAAGCCCAGTCGAGAATCAAGAAACTGGAGAGGATGCCCATTTTGGAAGCTCCGGAGAGCGACTATGTTGTGCACTTCAAGTTTCCAGATGTCGAAAAGCTTTCTCCTCCTATTGTGCAGATGACGGATGTCAGCTTTGGCTATACTAAAGACAAGCCACTGCTCAAGAACGTTGAACTTGATGTCCAGCTTGATTCCCGTATCGGTATTGTCGGACCGAACGGTGCTGGTAAGACCACAGTGCTGAAGCTCCTGACTAATCAACTTCAGCCAACATCAGGTCTCATCTCGACTCATGCGAGGTTGCGGATCGGTTACTTTGCCCAGCATCATGTGGATGCTTTGGACCTCACTACGAGTGCGGTGAGCTTCATGGCCAAGACTTATCCTGGCAAGACAGATGAAGAATATAGACGACATTTGGGAGCGTAAGCTGCATCTTCATACCACGAAGACTAGAGCACATCAGCTAACACTCGTTCTTAGTTTCGGTATCACGGGCACAACTGGCCTCCAGCGCATGGAACTGCTGTCCGGAGGTCAAAAGTCTCGTGTGGCCTTTGCGTGCTTGTCCTTGACCAATCCTCACATCCTCGTTCTCGACGAACCTTCTAACCATCTGGATATCGAAGGTATGGACGCTCTGTCTGAGGCGTTGCAAAAATTCGATGGTGGTGTTGTGATGGTATCTCACGACGTGACAATGCTGCAAAATGTTTGCACCAGTCTCTGGGTTTGTGACAAGGGCACTGTGCACAAATTTGATGGCACTGTCGATGCCTATAAGAAGATGATCAGTGCCCAGGCCAATGAGGCTGGTGTGGTAGCACAGCACTGAGGTGATGTAGCATATAGGCTATAAAAAAAGAGTACAAGAATGAATTCTAGATCATTTTGCCCTTCTAATATGTATCTCTTTTAAGATACTATAGTCTATATTTAAGGGGTATGGTGCAGCTAGTGGGTTTTATTCTATATTGAAGCTGAAAGGGTTGGGCGGAGTGGATCAAACAGCCACAGAGTACTCCTTAAGTTACAGCTCTTAGTAAACGGTATCTGATCTAATCCATACTCCGCTTCTGATATTGCACTCCGTATCCGTACTTCCCCCACAAAACTCCCGACACCGCCGTTAGTTATGGTCATCAATGTATTTGCTGATGATTACCCCGATGAATCCAACGCTTGAGCCATGAATCGTGGGGATGCAAACGATCAGTCGGCGCCCGATGCTCCTTTACTTCTTTCGCATCATTCGGCCATTGCTGATGCTCTCATTGATGCCAATAACAGACCATCCAATCTAGACAGCGAGCATTCAGGCGGTCTGTTCATATGGGCCCTGACCTTTTCTGCAGGCATCAGTGGGCTCCTATTTGGCTACGAGTAAGTTTGTTTCCATGGTCCCGCGAAGAAGAGCCATTGTCCATCTCGCAGACTAACTAACATTGCACGCTTGATGTAGCACAGGCGTCATTTCCTCAACACTCGTATCCATCGGCTCCGATCTCTCGAACCGTCCCCTCACCACTTTGGACAAGAGTCTCATCACATCGTGCACTAGTCTTTTCGCCTTGATAGCGAGTCCCTTGGCTGGGGTTCTGGCTGATAAGCTCGGCCGGCGGAGGGTGATACTCGTCGCGGATGTCTTGTTTACTCTGGGGGCTCTAATACAGGCTGTCACCAGTCATGTATGGGGTATGATACTAGGGAGAAGCGTTGTCGGTCTGGCGGTCGGTGGAGCTAGTCTGGTCACTCCGTTGTAGGTCAATCTCGCAGGCCATGGGTCTCCTAAGACGACCTGAGGATGATGGACCCAGAGGAGCTACCATCCTGGTGATATGCTGATCAATTTTCTTCCAAAGATATATCTCCGAGCTGGCGCCTTCGCATGCTCGAGGCAGACTTGTGACTATCTTGTGCCTGTTGATCACTGGTGGTCAAGTCGTCGCTTACATCATTGGCTGGTTGTTCTCTACAACCGCAAGCGGCTGGCGCTGGATCGTCGGGCTTGGAGCTCTTCCAGCCGTGATCCAGTTCGCAGTTGTTGTGGTTTTTCCGGAGACTCCCCGATGGCTGGTCCAGGCCGGGCGTGAAGCCGAAGCTCTTCATATCTTGTCGAGGGTTTACCAAGGTCATTTTGATAGCCACCGGGTCGCCAAACAAGTCGTGCGTGATATCCAGCTAGAGGTAGCTGAGGAAGAAGCAGAGATGGACCGCATCAAACCTCCTGGAGGTAGGATGGTATGGCTTGGTGCTGTCTCGCGACGTGCTCAGGACCTTTTCCGCATCGGGGCAAACAGAAGAGCACTGGTAATAGCAACGATGCTGCAAGGACTGCAACAACTATGTGGCTTCAACAGTCTCATGTACTTTTCCGCAACGATCTTTTCCATCCTATCTTTTTCCTCGCCAACTCTCACCTCGTTATCGGTGGCGATTACCAACTTCCTCTTCACGCTCCTGGCCTTTGCCCTGATCGACAGGATCGGTCGCCGTCGCATTCTACTATATTCTATTCCTGTTATATTTGTCTCCCTATTGGTATGTGCCTTGACCTTCGCCTCCATGGAACTGCCAGGCCTGTCCCCCTATTTGGATGCACAAGCGCAGGCGGGAGGTGATGCCACAGATCATTCGTTTTTACCCGTGGCGATCCTTCTCTGTCTGATAGTATACACCGCCTCTTATGCCTTGGGGCTAGGAAATGTGCCCTGGCAACAGTCGGAGCTCTTTCCGTTGAACGTGCGATCTCTTGGCTCAGCGCTTGCGACGGCAACGAACTGGGGGTCCAACTTCATCATTGGGCTTACCTTTTTACCCATGATGGAATGGCTCTCTCCCGGCTGGACTTTTGCGGTTTATGCAGGCGTGTGCGCCGTGGGGTGGACTGGGGTATGGGCCATCTACCCGGAAATGAGTGGCCTTAGCTTGGAGGAGGTCAAGGGGCTTCTTGCTGACGGTTGGGGAGTCAGAGAGAGTCTGGCGAGGAGTCGCCGTAACACGTCAATTGATTAGACTGGCTCAATCTCTATCCTTGTAAGACTGCTCCACAGCATGGGATGCTTTCAGGAGACTTTGCGATTATCATGGAAGTAGTTGAGGTACAAGACATCAGATAGTATAGAAAACTGTGAGGCTTTAGCAGACCGAAGAATCGGAAGATGCGGACACATGAAACTTGATTGAGGATCAATATAATCTCGGCTGGCAAAGGGTATCCCGCACTTTACTTGAGATATACCCATCTGTCTTTCACAATAGCCTCACACTTGAAGTACCCTGGATATCCACATACCAAGCCAGTATCCCTCAATTGATTGATTGATTGATTGATTGATTTGATTGGTTCCTTACTCCGTTTCGGCGTCGAGCTGGGCCATGCCGGAGGCTCCTAGTGAGCAGTAGTCTCACGCTGTAGGCGGCCATCCTATTCGGACTGTACCGCTGCGGATATAGATATAAAGAAGACAGGATACCTAGACTAATGTATACCCCTTGCCCATGCCGCCCCCGCTGCTCGGTGGCGCCATCATTCCCTCAGTGCCGTCAATCCCTCAGTGTCACCGTCAAACTAGTATTTCCTCGGTGTCCTCCCACTTTCCAAGCGCTTGTCTCCCTACCCCCTGTCCCCTCCTATGTGACTACTGGCTCAGTTTGGATTCACGGGTCCCCAAGTTGCGAGGGTCAGGGGGCTACTGACCCCCCCTGCTGGGAGAGATAGAAATATATGAAAATATAGCAAAAATGGGGTGTCAACTATTGTCGGCTGGTGCCCTCAGAAGTCAGGCGTTGCTGAGGCGCCTGGCTGGCTTGAGCCATGCTGGTTAGGTGGCCTAGGCCAGGTATGCCAAGGGCTGGTGTTCAACATGAACTGTCTGGCCTGTCAGGGGTTTCTTACCACCGTCAAGGCCTCTGCCATATTTCGGGGGGTCCCATCTGCTCATATTCAGCAGCGGAGGTCGTCGTATCAGGTACAGCTAAACAGCCTGTGGTGGATTGTCTTGGGGGGCTTGTTAGGATGATCATGTCGCGCCATCAGTTCAGTTGATCATCTTGAGATAGTGGTTGAGGCTGATCTTACCTATGTAAATCTGCGCCAGCGCACTGCGCTCTATGGGGGTGGACTGTTCTAAACATCCAGTCAGTGAGCTGTAATTTCTGAGAGGAGGTGATGGAGCAAGCTGCCCTACTCTAACTGCCGCTACTGCTCCCCCCGTCTATCTAGTCAGTATCCCTCAGTTACAGAAATATTCACTGGAGCAGTCATTAAACAGACAATCAAACAATATTCGGTACACTCGCTCAAATCCAACCACGAACCCGAGTTCATCTATCCCACTCTTTCTAAGATAGTGAAGCCAACAGCAAGACCCAGTCTCAAGCGGTTATGTCAAGCAGCTCCAAACAGACGAGTCATAACAACCCGCAGAAATGCCAACCAGAAGCTAGCAGGCGAAAGATAGTCCGGCAACCCAACATCCGTCCAAGAGCATCAAGCGCCCTTTTGGAGCTCCCAACAGAGGTGTGTTCTTCGCATCAATGCTTCGACAAGCCATTCACTGATAAAATCACCTCAGATCATACAGTATATCGCATATCTCCTTCCCGATGATGCTGATATAGCCAGTCTCACGTTATCCAGCATCCGTCTGGCCAAGAAAATTCTACCAGCTCACTCGTCTGTCTGGCGCCAACGATTCAAGGACCTTTATGGTCTAGCCCAAGAACACTCCTCGGCAGAGCTCAAGATCGAGTATCAGATTCGGTCAATCGTGCTATCTCAAGAGATCAGCTTCAATTTCGGCCAGAATGACGAGCAGACATTGTGGCTGGAGGTGCTGAGGGACATGCTTCTCGAGACATTTGCCAATTCCCCAAAGGACAGTAAGGCTGCTTTGAAGACTCTTGGTCAAATTCGTAAGACGCTCATCCATTCGGAGTTCCTCAGTCGGCCTCTAAGCGGTTATAACAATGCGAAACCCGATCCACCTTCTGATCTCTTTTGCAGTGTTCAGCTTGTGAGTACAAATTGCCCCGGCTAAACTTCATTTCAAGATTGAGAAGAACATCATTGACGAATTTGCGGTAGTGTCTCACTCATCTCGCTTTGGATCCGTCAATGTCCGCCTGCTGCCTTCGCAGTGATTATGACATCGGTACCGTCTACTCTTATCAGACCGACATCGCCGAGCCTTTCGTGAGTCTGGAGAAGCCAGACCTTGGGAAGATATTGGATATTCGCAACTTTTGGCTTCGCCATTTCCTGAATCCCAATGAAGTATCTTTCCACAATTCTTATGTAAAGTTGCCCCGGGGCCAGCAACCGGGACCATCGAAGATTCTTGTCGACGGCAGTCCTAGTCTTAGCACTCACTGGCTGGGTTATTATTGTCAGTGATCATCATTCTTGCCTTCTCTCATCGTCCCAAAAGAAAAAGCTGACATAATGAATCATCGTTCGACTTACAGCATGCATCCATCCGTATCCAGACACTCTGAGTATCCTGGAACGTCGTCAAACATGTGCGGACCTAGAAACACATTTACCACAAATCGACCCTATGGTAAGTCCGTCCTACGTACACAGTCGGCGAACAAACTGACTGACTTGAGGCTCGTATCTAGTTCCTGCAAATCAAGATGGATCCCGACCCCTCGAATTGGCCAATGTTGTTTGAGACTGTCATTCCCCTTATGGGAACGCAAGAGCGTCGTTTGTACTTTCGCGGAATTCAACAGCAGCACGGATCTGATGACAACTCTATATATCTGGTGCGCGGCTTTGTGGAATCTATTGTCGAACCGCAGGGCGGCTTTCCTGGTTGGCGTCGTTTCTGTTTTGCCATTTATGATCCTGATAGAGAACAACTTCCCCTTCTCTCGGAGGAAGATGAAACAACAGGCAAGCAGGATCAAGAAATGTGTCTTCCTGAGGAGGTTTGGCCACCCTATGATCTGGAAATGGAATTCAATTGGATCCACGGGTATGAGGGCCTGATCCTTCCCAGCGGCACGCTCATGATCGGACGATGGATTGATATGGTGGATACCGATGCTCGAGGGCCCTTCATTTTCTGGACCATATAATGCGCCACGTTGTTCAGGCGTCAGCTTGCGCTGGGGAGGGGGCGCACATCGTGAATTTCAGTAGCCAAGCTCCTTGTTGCTTCGATAATAGTCTAAATCATCCTCACGGATCCAGTGCCCTGCAATGCGGACTTTTTGGTGATACATAACGTTCAAAGCAAAATTGGGTGAAGAGCTTCGTGGATCCGTCCATTATAACATTTTGAAAAGAAGGAAAGTTGGGATATGATAACAGATAATTTAAAGAAACGAACAGAATCAGCAGGTCTACTATTCCTCGATGTCCTTTACCTTTTCCCATTGTCCCTTCAGGTTCTCCTTCCACAGACTGACTTTGTTGTCCCCTCCGCTTACGGCAAGTATGTTTCCACTGGGGCTCCAGCTCACTCGCCAGAGGACAGTGTCGAATTCAAGCTGCTGGCTAGTCCACTGGCCGGGGTTCGATGCATCGGAAGTCCAGATGCGAACTGTCTTGTCTTGAGATGCAGAAGCAATGTAGGATTTGGAAAGGATGCTGGGAGACCAGGCGACGTCACGGACCCAGTCGGAGTGGCCCTCCAAGGTTTGCGTGATGTTGTAAGTCTTGCTTTCAGGGCTGTATCGGTCGGCGGTTAGCGACCTAAAAGAATGCGCAAAAGTATTCCAGAGGTACATACTTGTAGTCCCAGATTTTGAGGAGGTTGTCACTGCCGCCAGTCACGAATCTCCGCTGCTGACCGGGTCCAGGGTTGGAACTGATCAAGCTGCCGGGAGCAGCAGCAGGAGCCCAGCTGATGGAGTTGACGCCCATCCCGTGAGCGTGGAAGATCTGATGGGTCCAGCTGTTGTCGCGGAACTCGAGGACGCTGACATGGCCATCCGAAGAAGCACAGGCGAGAAGACATCCACTTTCATGCGGAGCCCATGAGACCATGTTCACCGAGGCAGTGTGGAGAGAGAAGTCAAAAACCTTTGTCCAGGCACTGCCTGCAGCTGGAGAGGTGGGGCTTTGGTGTTGTTCACGCCAGATAAGCACCTTGCCATCATATGAAGACGAGGCAAGGATCGTGCCAAACTTAGGGTGAGCCTGAAAACATGAGCAGGAAAAAATTAGCTAGAAATTCAAAGAGCTAAGATAGAGCCGAGCTATAGGAGAAGTGCTTGGACTTACCCATGCTACACACCATACGGCGCCTTCGTGTCTGTCTCCCGATGCGCAAATTAGCGATTAGACGATCGACGCAGGAGGAATCAACTAGCTTACCCCTTCAAAGTCTCAGCCAAGCGATGTGTCTCTCCCTCAATCTCAAAGATCTTTATTGTCTTATCGGACGAGCATGTCGCTAATCTGCGCCCGTAGTAGTCCAATCCGGCGTCGTGCTGTAGAAAGAGGCGACATTAGCCTCGATAGTCGTTATATGCAAGAGCATAGGGCAGACTTAGCATCCCTATACATACAATCATATCATCGTGCCCAGAATTTGAGATCACCTGAGCAGCTGCCTGCAATAACACGGGGTCACGACGTCAGTAAGAGCACTGTGTGAAGCTTAGGGGGGGAGAGAGATGAGAGGGCAAACACACCATATTGTCCAGTGGGGTACGTGAACCAAGTTCTACAGCAGCACAGAATTGCGGGGAATAGTAGAATCGCCGTGGATAGGGATATATCGTTGAATTGGGCGTTCTAGACAATCAGAAGGAGGGTCGGAATCAACACGCAAGCAACAGCTCAGAGGCACCGCCAGCTTGGCTGCTTTGCTGTTAGAGCCGCACCAGTGTGATCTTATCTTATCAGCATGAGTCTGAGTCAGCAACTTCTCCGGTCACGCTTCAAGGCACGTGAGACAGGCCTCGGCTTTATCCTCGGTCGGCTTATGGAGTACCCCACGGGCAGCGTTGACTCTCGGTGACTCCAGCGATATTGCATTTGACTTCCTGGTTGCGTTCTCCTATGTCTTCGAATCTTCTTGTGACTGTGTGACTCGAAAGCTCCGTGAGCATTTATTTGTTCGTGTCTGGCTCCATATCCTTCTAGGATTCTCATATTTTGTATCGCTTCCGCCAAAGATTGTTATTTACACACATCACAAAACGTCCTGGATAAACAGACTACCCCCGCGTTACTCTTCGAACTGTGAACCATCGGAATCATGAGTGACACTCTCTGCGGACCCTCGAATGCTCTGCAAAATTTCCAGAAGCATGCAGCTGTTGATCGAACACTTCAACAAGATCGACTGATTTCCCGGCAGTCACCCAGTCAGGTGAGCGTTCTATCGAGGTTCTCTATCTTCTTCTTACTAAATCATCTTGTATTCAGGGTTTCAGATCCCAAAAACCCAGCGAAGGAACGCTTGACCCCGAATTTGCTGCATTTGAATCTAATGTAGCTGGACTACCACTGCCGAACCTACAACATGCTGGGCCTTTCCATGCGCATGCTCCACAAATGCCGATATCTGGTCCTGCTGAGAGCATGAACTGGGCAACGGACTTTCAACAACTGCATATCTCAGGGCCGTCGCATCCTGTTCAGCAGCACCGCGTCCCGTCTGCAGCGCCTGCATCGTCACTTTCCCAACAGGGCTGGCACAATGAGTTTCTGAGCCAACAGCAGCAGCGGGCTCATGTCCAACAGCATCAGCCGTTTTCTGGAGGCTTTCAGCAATCATTATCACATGGCTATCCCATGCATGGAGCGACAATGAATGCTTTTCCCACCACACAAGAGACCGCGGCCAGTCAGCAACCGCTAGCGGAGACATTCGATGAATCGGCGTTCGAGGCGGCATTTAAGCAAGCGAGAGCAGATATGGCGGTGCAGGAAACAACTTTGACGGCGGATCAACCTGAACAGACTAGTGCAGAGGTGCAGTTGGACCCGACCGCTATTCAAGAAACACCCGAGCAGATCAAAATTGGGTCAGATACCATACCACAAATTGATAAGAGCGACCCGCAAGCTCGTGTGAATGATGCGGATGAGCTCGCCAGGACTGCTGGACAATTGCTTGACAGTGTCAGTCATGATCAAAGCGAGAAGTTCCGACAGAGCAATTTCCTTGCGCTGATGCGCCGCATTCGGGACCGTGAAGTCCAGATCGAGGGCGACAAGTTTCGTGAAGTCAGTACCAGTCCGTGACTTTCTCACATTTCGACTGGCGTCGCGTCAACGCTGGTAAAAAATGGATCTGTTCATGTGGACTCTTTTCCTTGCTAATCAATGTTCAGACTTCGCAGCCGTTACATCCTGGCGGCAAATATTACCCGGATGGCCAGTCATATAAGGCGCAACAACAGACCTCGATACCAGCGCACCAGGATGGGCCCAATATTATTGCATCCAGCAACAATAGTAAGTCCGACATCCTGAAGGCAAACACCGCACTCTGTTCGGAATGAGCGTGCTCGTATTGAAATTTCAATCTCGCGGTTCCATGTTCCTGACGCATTACAACCTGCCAAGCAGATCATCCCCCAGAAACGCCTTTCGCTCAGGGCACAGTCGGATTTACGCAGCCCCCGGAAGAAGCGTCGAGGACGACATCCAATCCATCGCTGCATGATGCAGGAGTGGGGGATGATAATTCCCTTTATGCAAGCTGGAATTATGGCGGCATTTGAGCCTAGTCAGTCATTGAACTTTATACCCGATTGGATTTTTGCATTTCCTTTCTGAAGCACGCGGCATTGGGAGTCATACGGAGTGTTCTAGGCGTATTCATTGGATTGAAGAGGACTGTGGATGTCCATATTTTGGCAACACTTGCATACACCTGTCAATTATCTGTGCATAGATACTGGAAGGGTGGCAGTTGAATGAATGTCTCAGCATCTTGCTGCGGATACCCATCCACGAGCTCCATTGAAGTGGCTGTATCAGTGGAATAGAGAACAGAGTACACGATCTTCCCTGTTTACTGATTTCTTTTTTTTCTGCATCCTCCCTTTGGTTATCAATAATCTCACTGGATTGATGGTTGGGGGTGACAAACAGCAGCCTGCACGTGATCCTATTCTGGCTATTGACAGACGGAAAAGAACAATACCAAGTCAATAAGGAAGTTGGGAGCATTGTTACCAACCACACTCTATTTCTTAGCAAACTCACACACATGCCAGGGTCTATTGATGTACTATTATTTCCTCCCGTCACTATTGGGAGGATTAGTAGGCTGTCATCATTTTGGCTGCATCAATAATACCTTGCATGCTATTGTTCTGGTTCATGTTGATCCTCAGGGCGCTTAACATCTATGATATGGTATATAAAAGGTGTGCTCTTGTACTGAGAAAAATATTCTCTCAACCTATCTTGATTTCATCTTTTGCTACCTTTTGAACCCTAATTTTATTTAAAATCATCTTTGAAAAGTCATCAGTGTCTCGCCTGGTTATTGCTTCACGTGCTGTATATCTATACTAGAATCTTAGTACTTCTATCAGAAAGATGCAACCCCCATCGGATGCCTTTCTTCACCACTCCCACAAGCTCAGAGAAGCGGCTGCCAACCTGCGCAATCGCGTGGCCTTCACACCACCTCCACCATACTCCTCGACAGACACACGAGGTCCAATCCAAGAAGAAAGACAAACTGGTGTTGAGAATGAGGACGACGACTACATCTGGGACGCCAGCTCGAATGTCAGCCCCAGCCCTATCACCATCAATATCGACGCATCCATCAATGTCGTGGGGAACGGCAACACGATCATGATCCCTTCAATGACCGGCCAGGCCCAGCAAGGGATCAGCAATGCTTCCTCCCGAGCGACTCCCCAGGAGGCTGCAACCTCTCCGTCACCCGCGGGAAAATCCGAGCCCACTACTCTACGAATAACCCAGAAGCATCGCCAGGCAAAACTAACCGAGATGGCCACATCGATCATAAACGCGCTGTACGAGTCGGGCCGGCTAACCGCCCCCGGGGAGAACTGCGAGTTGGCGCCGGTGGAGATCAACATCAACACGGGCATCAGGGTCGAAGGTAGTCGGAATGCGGTCTGTGTTGGTGTTCCGGTTCGGCTCCAGAGCAGCAAGGGTGGCCAGACGGGGGCGGAGAAACAGTACCTCAACTCGAATAGAAAGAGACGGGCTTTATCAGTATGTCTTTATCTTCCTTTACTTCTGGTAGAGTGTCTGATCCTTGGGGGTGATGGGTTGCTGACCATCTATTGCAGGAACCTCTCGAAGTACCAACCTCTAAGAAGAACTGCTTGACATAGCTGTGGGGATTATTCTGTCTGTGTGCTCATGTGTTCGCATCCGCCTTGACGCGGTTCTGCTGGTCTCCAGAATACATCAAGGCGTCGGTGTTAGAGGAGGAGGTCTCGCGTAATCATTGATAGAGGTAATTGCTTTCTTTCTTGCTCTTTGCTAGATATGTCTAATGCCCTTTGCTGGATACGCTTCAGTTATGTATTACTATTTGATGAAAGAAATGATACACGTATTGCAAGTCTTTGATATACCCCCCCATGCAATTATCCAGGTCGTCAGAAGGGCAGGAGTGTGGCATATCGATCAGTGTAATCGCATGTAGGTACTGACTAAAATGGTCAATAGAATCATCGATTTCCTTGCGAATCCAATCCTCGCTTAAGACATGCCCTGACTCTTCCAGCTCACATTGCATCTATCATTTATCATAGTGTTTACTAAGACAGGGGGATATAACAGAATAAAAAGAAAGATTACAAGACCAGGGAACAACAAACCATCACCCTTTCCCCTATATTAGTACAATACCTGCGCTGTGCTGGTCGTACTCAAAAGAGGAAGAACCAGACATGAAAGCCAAGCCAGATAAGTAAGAGAGACAGGAGATACGATGGGAGCCTGATCCACTGGGGCTTTCTAGGTCGAGAGAAGTACATAGTAGCAACTGCAACCGTTCATAGGAAGAAGCAATGGTTCCCCACAATTTCGAAAGCCAAGCCAGTGAGCTGACAACAAGAAGTGTGGATTAGGACGGGTAAGAGAAAAGAGGAAGGAAAAGAAACAACAAAGTCAGATTCAGATGCGCCGAGTCCTGCCTGGTAAAAGGTTCATGAGAGATATCGTGGCCAAACTAAGAAAAAAGTAGTACATGACTTATGTTCCCAAAATCATATAGAAAGGCTGTATGGTGGAAAGAACCAGCCTTCTGGAGCCAGACATGATGGATCAGGATGCCAAGGGCGTTGTGCTAACTGGATAGCTCGGATTATGGACAGCTTTGACATATCTGTGTCCGCCCAGACGAACTCACGCCTTGGTGATGACGAAAGTGAGTAATGAAATTGCCTTGCAGCCAGGTCAAGCGATCACCGACCGACTGGTACATCATGCCGATGCAAGTCTCTAGACCACTCCGGCGCAACCTTGTCACGTTCGTACAAGAGACCGCAATTATGGCAGAGGGTCTGAGCCGTGAGTTAGTAAGATAATCAACCAAAATGACAAGAATCTTTGCTCACCCTTGGGCCAGCTGGGCCATCCCGTACGGCCCAAACCGCAGTGCCCCATACCATACAGTTGCTGCATCTCCAAGTCTGGCGTTCCCTGATAGCGAAAGAAGACATACGTTAGCATCCATCCACCAGAAAAGCACGCGTGCTTAGGTATCATACCAATCCGATAATGTTCCTCCGCCTCCACCATACCCAGCTCCTGAACCAGTATCGGGAGTACCCCGTCCACCAGGAGTACCACCTCTGCCCGATGGACTCAAACTGCGGAAGCGCCTCTTCCGTTTGCTCCTTTCACCTCTACCTAGTGGCGTCTCACTGTCCACATCGAAGTAGCCGCTACCCTGTCGCGATATGTCGGGGGTAATGCCCGCAGTAGAGGAAAACCGGGCTGTTTCTCGCCGTAGACGTCTAATCTGACGCTCGCGATCTCCCTCCCGTTTCTCAATCTCCTCTTTGGAAAGAGTCTCCACCTTGGGTTCCCATTCGTCGCCGAGTCCTTCGGGATCATACCGCCAGCCAGCCTCAGTACCGTTGGCAGCTTGGTTGTCAATCTCCGTCGCGTAGCCTCCAATGCCACTGATCATGCCTCCGCTCTCACATACTTCTTTCTTTAACTTCAAGACAGCTTCGTAGATGCCGTGGGCGATAGCGCCAACCCACTCGCCGCCCAACCCCAGATCAGCGCAGGTGATTTGCGCGAACTCCTCTGCCATGCCGGGAGGATGCAGCAAGGACCACTCGAATTTGTCCGTGTACAGCCTATTCTGCAAGTTGATATTGAGATTGATCAGGCACCGGTATGCGTCGTCCGGATTCAGGATGCTGCCGTTGACTAACGGCTCTTTTGTTACTGTGATTGTGTTCGCTCTGCTGTCAGGCGTTGCCGCTTGAGCAGGAACCGGAGTCGCAGACACATCTCGGGAGGGATCTGTATGCGAGGAAGCTTGTTTTGACTGCGTGCTCTGGAACAGCGGATGTAATGCAACACCAGCGTATTCTTCTAACTGCTGACGTATTTGAGTACTGATGGCCAAGGTCATCGCCTGGGGATTTGGAAGGTCCAGATCCCGCACGAACCCCATCGCGAACTCTTCCGGGGTCGAGAGAGCTTCGTGGAGGTTCCAAAGAAATGTGTCCTTGATGCGAAACGCAGGTAGCGGGTCTGGTCTGCGATATCCGGGAAGTGTAGGGTTGATGCCAGGGTCTACCACACCTCGTGGCATGGGAAATGGTTCGAGAGGCTGATGCGCTGGGACTTCCAGGTCGATACGAATAGGTATGAGGGTGAGCGGGAGCTGCGCTTGAATCTGTAGTTGGTCTGCACAACTGTCCGCAATAAAAAAAAGAGTCAAGTCAGCATGGTCGCGAACGCCCATAAATAGGAAAAGGGGCATAAAAACTCGGTTCTAAAAGACACATACGCTGGTCGCAACATCCTCTTGATCATCCAGTCGCGGAAAATCCCTTGGACCTCAACAGGGCCATGGATCTCCTTCCCCAACTTCTCCGCCAAGGGGGTCTTATCAGCCGTTGACTCCTCTCGTCGAAGGCTCCTCAGCCCCGTAGGCCGTCGAGTACCTTCACTCTCATCAAAATCTTCATCGTCAAAGCCGTCTTCTGCATAGTTCACCGCGGTAGTGCCTCGCTTCGTTGTTCGCGGCGTAGGACCAACTTGGGTCTGAGGAATGACCGGCGTAAGTAACGCGTTTCCGTAATGGCGTAATCGCGGAGGATAGGAAGTGATATAGCCTCTGAGAGGGGACATGTTGGCGTTTAAGAGGATGTGGACATGCCCCTTTCAGATCCTGCGAGAAGAGCTTGCCGCAAATGCGAATCGATGGTACCCTCGTCCACTCTCCACTTCAATTGATCAAGAGCGAGAAATTTGTCGGCAACTGAACTTAAGAGCGGGATCAATCGGATCGCCTCAGATTCCCGATGGCGCTAAATGATCCGTGATTCTGCGAATTCGGTCTTGCGACTTGAAACCAAGCAATCCGATTTTCAAGGTAATGATGCTAGAGCTCCTTCTGTATGGTGATCGCGGTCAATGCTCCGCCTTTTTTGCTCTGTCGCGTTTCTAATCTACACTAGGCCTATTCTGGCATCAAAATCACGTGCATTTGCACTCTTTGGCCTCATGGCATGAAGGGAGATTTGATACTTGTATTGATGAACTTCTTCTAGCCTTTCAACTGTCATGATCCCTAAGCTATCTGGCAAACTAAGTGAACTCAGATGTGAGGGACTAGTTGTATTGAGAGGGCAGCAGCCATTGAATGCTCTTAGATCTGTAGCCATAATATAACTAAGTATTCTTGGGTGATTTTGACAGAAAAGGCTGGGAGGAATTATGTGTCTGACAAAGGAAAAAAGGGGTGAGCAAAGAGGATAGTGCATGGAGTCCCGCCAGCTAGTGAAAATAGTGAAATGAAGTACAGCACCCAGTAACTGAATACGCCATTCTGCTTGTTCGACGCAGACTTGGAAAAAGAAGCAGGGGGATATCGTCGAATCAGCAGGATAAAAAAAAGAAAAAACAAAAGAACTGAGGCAGGACAAGAAGGACAGGCGCTGATTTTTTATATCTGTACAGCATTTGCTGAGGAATCGTGCTGAGTATGCGATGACAGCGAACGTGGGGTCGAAAACGAGGCGTAGACATGAATGTCTCGACAGAGGCTATCTGAGCCCAATGACACTCTGTTTAGACATTAGAATAAAGATGATACATTGCGATGAGGTATCTTACCATCTCCAGCGTCCATACTCTTCGAATCCAGACCTTGACCTTACCCTCCACCCCCTCAACGCCGTCCAACTCAATACCTTCCCACCAGCATCTTCTAGCAGGCTTCCTCCAGAAAAGTAAGAGTTTTTCAGCCATTCCAACCGCGTTTTTATTCGAGAGATCACCCCGGATGTCGGTGCGAAGCTTAGCCAAGGCAAGGCTGCAAATGACCGCCTTGTTAGGCTCGGGAGCACGATGGCCCCATCGGTCATCCCTCTCAAAGCCACTGCACTTGATGAGCATATGTGTGAGGATGGAAAGGCATGATACACTTACCCCGCAGTCAGCATTTCAATCAGATGTTGTTCCGTCGATCCCGCTTCATCACTCTTCTTCAAGCCAGAGAATATGCCGTCCTGTTTTAACAATGCCTTTCCAACAGCGCGTTTCACGTCTAGCATCTCCGTGTGGTCGATATCAGGACGTGGTGGTATCGCATAGAAATCAAGGTCTTCGCGCAGAACGATGATCCCAGCCCGGTCTTGCAGTACATCTCTTGGGGACCCTAGCACATGCTCAGACATCTCTAGATCCGGAGACGTAGAGCCAGAAGGCGAGGACGACGGAATTGACTGCGCAACTGTACGGAAAAAATCGAGCATGTACTGAAGAGAAGTTGGGTCATACTAATGAAGGAATGTGAGCCTCGCTCGGCAACAAATGTGAGAGATGCCCTAGTGTTCACTTACATCGACGGGGTAAATATCACCCTCGTGGAATGTGCCCATATGTCCATCGGGAAGAAGGCCGTTTGGAAACAGTGATAAAAGGACGAATTCAGGGAGTGTCAACAGTTCATCTCTAGAGAGTGTGAACCGAGTACCACTGCAATTGATATCAGCATCACTCAATGCCATTTTGCAATAGGATAACCGGAAATCTCCTTACCGTAGCTCGAGAGTAATGTGTTCATCTCCACCGATGTCTATGGCCCCAAGGATGTGGTTAGCAAACACGAGATCTTGAGCCATCTTCTACAACAGCTCTGTTGCTGCCCGTGAACAGCGGAATCTCCATACCTCCGAGTGTATTGATTGGTGGGCCCCCTGCTTGTTGCACCTGAGTAATGATACTCGATGGACCTCCTGCAGCAGCCATCACGTATGTAAACGAGTCAATCGGACTAGACCCTTCAGTATATGGCGGGGGAGGTTCTCCGTCGTCCGCTGCCTTCCCTGATGTTTCTCCTTTCTGGAAGAATGCCTTGGTTTCCGCAACGATAGGCGACGAAGAATCGGGCTGTGACGGCTCGTCGACGAGTGGCGGAGGAGCTAGTACTGGGAGAGACTCCGATAAAGGCTCGGTGACGCGGACCTTTGCGCGATTCGAATCAATCACCGCGTTAAAGACGAGTGATGAGAAAGGTGGCGGACGCGACGAGACAAAGCTGGAGGAGGAGGCTTCCGAGCACGGGGAATGCGGCGGCGGCGCGGTATAGAAGTCGTCGTCGTCTTCCTCCACTTGAGGATCAGTTAGATGAGGGGGCCGCGCCGTGGTGGGCGAGCCAGAGCAGCTTGGTTGCGCCGACAAAGTGCCAAGTATTCCTGGGTATGGATTTGAAAGTGAAGGGCGGCCTTTACTCCTGCCTAAAGTTGCAAAGGCGAGATCGACCTGGTCAGTGGCTCCGTTGATCTGAGGAGGATCCAGACTCTCGAGTTCGGGCGATCAGGAGTTCCTAGAACTGGTCACACGTGTGGGATTATACAACACCCAGAGATGAAGAATTCTTAATTCACAGAAGATGAATTCGCCCTTTATTGCGAAAAAGATTAAACGATTAAGGTGAAGAGTCAAAAGAACAGCTCAGAGTAGAGTATGCTTGGCAAGGGCGATCGAAGAGGAGAGAGCAGAGGGAAGCGCTTAGGGAGAGTCGAATGGCAAACCATCAGTAGCGCAGTTTCCAGGCACATCTTGTCACTCTCTAGCTCTGCGTATCTAGTAGATACGCGGCTCAACTAAATCAATCAGCGATCCGATATTGATTAACTCTCGATACTAATGGAATTAACATGATATACTAGACTTGGAACAGGTTACTCATTAAAGGGAATATCATATATATACTGGAATTGTTATGATTCTGTTATCTGCCCCAAACGGAGAACACTATGCATACATACATCACCACATCACACGATTCGAAGCTGTATGAAAACTACGATTGTTAAAAGTTTCTATAGTGTAATGATGCCCTTTTATGCTATTGAGCTGCGATAGATTAAATAGAGACGGGCAGAGAATTACTCTGGGGCTAATGTGTCTCGTTGGTATCAACCACGTCGATAACTGATCGGGCCCTAATACACGTGCTGGTGTTTGTATATATAAACATAGGATTTACTTTATTCCAACACGGTGTCCAGATGCCAGTGACTATTGGATCCCGAATAATCCATACAGTCCATTGTGCCTGGCTTAAACATGGCGCTCAACGAAACTCTGGATCATACCCTCCAGCGTGGGTTCGTACTCCTTCAGCGTCACCTCGTCCCCTTCCAAGATGGTGTTGCCCTGCACGAAGATCTTGCGAGGGATCTTGTTCTTCAGGACGATATCGCGCACCTTGGTTCCCCACCACTCATCCACGGAAGTGATATCATCATACAATTGCTTGCCTGCTTCCACGTCGGCAGTGCTCTTGTAGACATGCAATTTCTGTAGATATCTCTCCACAGCGGGTCGTCCGTGAGTCAGGATCTTCGAACGATCCAATTGAATCTCGAGGTCGGACAGATCTTCCTTGGTATAAGCAAGCTTGACAAAGCCATCTCCGGCGTCCAGGAAAGTGCGCAGAATACTGTAACGAGCTTGCATATGAGCCTGTCCCCATTTCTGGGTCTTTGGATCCCAGAACTCGAGGGCGACTAGGCCAGCGCGAGCCATCTGGAGATATGCTGCAAATAGCACATCACCAGCCTCGTTGTTGAGGTCAACTGTGCCGTCGCCGAATCCGAAAATCTTGAGAATACTGAAGTCGCAGCTAAGAACCATAGCTACGCACTCCGCCCGACACTCTTCATAGGAAGATGCGATAGCTCCAAAGACAGAGCTCCAGGTCTGACCAGGCTTGTACCAGCTGGCCACGGGCTTGTTCGTGACCGGGCTTACGGGAGGGTTTGACACGTCGAAATTATACACTCCTGGAACAGTTTCTTGCAACAGCTTGCCTGTTCCATGTCCCAAAAGCTCATGAATGCCGACCTGTACTTCGAATGCTGGGTCACGGCATCTGCGATAAACCTCCAGGTCCTTCTCAGGGATGAAAGGCACAGGCTCATTAGGAGCCTTGGCACTCAGAACATTTCCAAGGGAGACGTTCTTGAATCCTAGGTTCTGACGAATATCGTCATAGTTGGGCAAATTGATACCAGCAGGAATACCAGAGGATTGGAAGCTGAGAACTTCCAAAGATGTGAAATCAGGACTAAGAAACTTGTCCTTCTCAAAGTCCTTACCCCATGGGAGCTTGGGGATCATGCTTTCGGCACTGTCCACAAGCTTTCCAAAGGCACGAGTGCGCTCGAGATTAACCTATTTGATGTTAGCAGCCCGACGAAGATTGATATCATGTCAATTCACCACTTACCAGTGCAACGAACCCTTCCCACTCTCCACGCACTCCATGGGGATCTCTGTATGTTTCCACAAATCCGAGATTGCTTTCCAAGATCGGCTTCTGATCCTTGACCCAGATACGCTGAGCCTCCTTGAAGGCTTCAATAGATCCGGAAGCGAATGAAAGAGCATAGGCATCATGCATTCTCTTCTGGTTGTCGTTGGCTGCGTTCAGCGAAGCCAACTTGACGCTATGGGCGATCTTCGCCATCTCTTCCCTATAATCACCGAAAACAAGATGAACATTTTTCCCTTTCAGCGCTCCGCCCAGCTCCAGGGTTGTGACGTCACCAAGATCGCGGTCCCTCACTGGAGGTGAGGATACACCCGATGCAATCAAGAGTTCGAAGTCGCCCGAGGGGCCCTTTTTGATGCGCGTATTCTCCAAGGGCAAGCCCTTCTGCTCCATCAAATCTCCAATGGCTGTGATCTCATCCTTGGTGATAGTGGGCGAGTCAGGATAGTAGGTAGTCATATGGCCATTTTCGGGATAACCCAAGTGCATAAGGGATTGATCATTTGTCTCGTAAATTCCCCCTCCGATGCTGTTAGCCTTTTCAAAAGCTTGCTTCGTCTCTGGTGTTACGGAAGCCAGGGCCTCCAACGCGGTAACAGGCAGCCGTGGGATAAACTTCGAGTCTCCGAATCCCTTGTAGTTACCACAATTTCCGAGGAACTGCGCAGCATATTCCAGGAAGAAACGAAGGTGTTCGTCGCTCACACCAGTCTTCTTCGCTAGACTGGCCCAATCTCCGTCACAGGCATTGTGAAGGGAAATGATAAGATCGTAGATAGGCTCGGATTCAGGCGAGACTTGACGCAAAGTGATGCGGGTACCTTCGAATGCAGCTCTATATTCAAACGATTGATTAGCGTCAACGTTTTGTCTTTGCCATCAACTGAAGAATCCACCTCTCTCTTAAGACGAATGACGTTCTGGAGCGTGCAAGAAACGGACCTGCTCAGGTAATGGGCATATTTTCTTAGCTTAGGATCTCTGAGTGAATCAAAATGCGACTTGACTTCGAGTCGAACTACTGTGGGGGGCGAGTCGGCCAGATAGTGCTGCTTGACCTTGTCATCCATCTTGATACGATATGAAGCTTCTGGTATAGCAGAAAATAGAGGAAAGGCTGAAGAGAAAGCAGCAGATGAAGATAGAGTAAAGGGTCGAGAGCGCAGCGAAGAGTGAGAAAGATGATTATAGAGGGGTAGGAGGGATGTAGAAGAGGGGTGGTGGACGGGGAGCAACCGCTGTTCCGACGGCAAGCGCCTCGAGACAGCTCGTAGAGATAGCATTCCTGGAGCTGCTGCAACCGCATGTCACAACTTATCAACTTAGGAGCAGTTACTGCCACAACTATGGATCTCACAGCGTAGACTTTTTTAGGCTAACCTATCATTCGCTGATCTGGCCAATGTTATCTTGGCACAAGTGGGGAGTTACCTTCCGAGCAATCTTAATCCATTATTATTATTGTTCCTCTTCTCCATTCGAAGCTCTTCGACCTACGTAGTATGTCAATTGGCATCACACTGGGGTATCTTGTCTCTATGGTTGGTAAATATCGGGAAATAGTGCAGTGAGTAGATTCTATATGTCGGTATCTTGGCTTCCAACTCGCTATCAAGTCTAGAGTCGTGAAATCATGGGGAATCTGAGTGACCCTGTACAAATAGTCCTAGACGCACATGGACATCCAGACAACATAAATCGGGAAATGACGTTGCAAACAAGGAGGATATCAAAACATACCAATGAAGAATATAGAGGTACCTGCTCATAATAAGCTTTCATACTTATCGAGCCCTTCTTTCTGGGTATTTTGGGGCTGGGGTGGGCTGCTGATAAACGAAGTGGTCGGTGCTGGGTTGACTTGCCCAAATAGAGCGCGATTCACATGGGCAGACGCTCCTGGACCAGTAAATGATCCCACGTTGTTTGAAGTAGATGGAGGAGGGGGGATCGAAAAAGCAGAGTAATTAGGAGCTTGCTGTGACGTTTGTCCATACATCGAGGTGGTGGACGCCTTCATGTTCGCCAATGCTTCCATAGAGGCACCGCTCGTGGTTCCCATGTTTATACTCCGTGCATTATCTTTGTTGTTCGCCGTGACGGGCAGATTCCAAGAAGTCGACGGTGAAGGTTGCAGGGTGGAGAATGTTTGAGACATTGGGGACTTCTGCCTTGTTGCAGGTTCTAGTGATGGGAAAGCACTCAAATTGTAATCGGGGGTCACGGAGCGGGCGCTTAGATTCAATGGCGAGGCTCCTTTGCTGGCCGCTGTAGCGCCATTTGAAGACCAAGAAAAGGTTGCGGAAGGCGGTTTCTGGGAAGAACTTTGCGTTGCCGATGCCTGAGGACCCAGGTTCTGCCAAGGATCAGTGCCTGGACTGCTCGATGCCCCGGTTTCTCGACCAAGAACGAGACGTTCGAAGTTATTCCTTGTATTATCCAGATCAGACTGCATAAGGTCGTTTGTAGGGCTGAGGAAACCGCCAGAACCGTTTTGGAAACCGGCAGTGTCACCCCCTGAGGAAAGTTCTTGCAGCTTCTTTGCCTGTTCACGTTCGACTTTCCACGAGAGGCTCTTGATCAAAGCCATGAATTCTTCGAACTGACGAAGATTCAGCAGCGGTCCAAGACTGAAGCTCCACAAAACGGGCAAAACATCCAAAGCCAGAAATTCAGTGTCAGCAAGAGTGCCGATTTGGCGGAAAACTCTCAAAGCAGCCATCATAACAGCTGGTTCTTTCGTCTTGATCGCTTTCAGTGATGGGACAAGCTTCTCCTGTATGGTGTATTTGTCCAGGATCGAAGGCTTGGCGGATGGTGACTTATTTTCCCTGACCACACCGGACAGATCGTCCTCAGAGGCGGCGCCGTCGCCAGCTGAACCGCCGCACAGGACAGTGAATGCTTCTAAGCATCGCACTTTGATTGCCAGACTACTTGTCCGGCTAAAGGTGGTGGCAATTGAAGGAAAGACTTCATTCTTGACAGTGCTGAAATCAAGGACTGGAAGGATAGCTGGAAGGCATTTGATTGCAGCATCAACAAGGGAGTGAGTAGGTGAATCCAAGCCCAGACGAATCAGCGGTAGAATATCTGATAATGTCAGTCACAAATATATGGCAATGATGAGATGCTGACTCACCGTCTTTGAATTCCTTTCCGGAGCAGTTCTCAGCGACGAAATTCATGTTCTCAAGGACTACCATGAGACCTGCATCCTTTTTCGAATCGCGATCTGGAACAGGACCCTTTCCTGGTTGCTGCGCTGCAAATACTTCCTTCAGGCGAGGGATAACCTTCTCAGGAAGAGTGCGACGTGCATTCGGAATGCGTTGTAAGATTGCGAAAACATTCTGTAGAATCAGAGGTAGAAGCTCGCGATCCTTTAATTCATCTAACAAGGCGCCCAGAACTTTTCTCTCTAGGACAGTTGGCGGGAACTCAGGCAAAACTCGTTGTAGCCCTCGCATAAACTGCGATTTCTCGTTTGCGTTCTTCGCTGGAAGAGACTCCAGGAAGCGAATTGTAGAGACAAGTACATTGTCAAAGTATTGTGATTGCTGAAACTCTCGAGCATTCAGACGCTGTGCAGGTCGCCTAGTGATCAACCTGGGTAGAAGGTGTGTCAAAAGATCCTTCGGAATAGTGCCCGAGCATAGAAAATTATTGCTTTGCGATGGTGTAGACGATGGAGAGCTCAGTAATTTCTTGTATGAAGTCAGGTTCGAATGCGCCTGCAGTGGAGACACATGGGGAGAGTTATAAAGAGCGATTATGACGAGCCCTAATGAAAACATGTCTGCAGCAGTGGTGACATTGGAATCCAGCGCGAAGTCCGGAGACGTAAAATCGAGATTTAACTGCACCGAGTGCGGAAGCCTTGGCTCTTGATAGAGAACCTCGGAGATAGCTAGAGGTGGCAGAGACGATTTGGCATCTGAAGAGTCAGGAGGCCCAGCAAACCCAAGTCCCGAAATTTTCCAGTCGGATTTTGCGTTGATATAAATAGCCTCTGGGTTCAGATTCCCGTGCACGAGGCCCGCAGACTCGTGCAAAAACTCCAGGCCCTTTGCAACCTGCAAAAGCCCCTTTTGAATCTCTAGTTCATCGATTTCGATGTCTTTCCGACGCCGTGTTCCGTCAGGCTCTCCCACAACGTAGCGGCTCGGCCTGGAACCGCCTCTTGATGTCCTTTCTTGCTCTTCTTTTGCCTGTAAGAGGCCGGCAAGAGACGTAGTGATCGATTCCGTAGCAAACATGAGGCCACCTCCGCGCGTCTCCTCCACTGGTTCCAACACTTGGAGAATCGATGGATGCCTCAGCCGCGCAAGGTTGCCGGCCTCGCGCTTAAGCCGCTCGACCACATCCTCCTGCAATTTCTTCAATGCTGAACTCGACCGATTACCAAGCCCACTTGATCGCGGCTCGAGTACTTTCTTGTCAAATATAAAGATTGAAGCCGCGGTCCCAGTAGATTTCTTCTTCCCATCATGGATTCTCCAAGGTCCGGAAACCGCTGTTGGATGCGGAGAGATCTGATAATTGGTCGATATATTGGAACTCAGCGACTTTAGCGCGGAGGAAAACATTGTTGCTTTTCAAGGCTCCTCCAGCATCAGAATGGGCAAGTTGGTCCTTCAATAATAGAGTATGGTTTAGTCTAACCTGTCTCGGCCAGATGCACAACAAGATGTCACAACTCAGATGAAGGACCAAATAGAATGATCATTGCTTATTGTCGGATAAATGGCGAGTATATTGATGATAAAATTATGACATGTAACCAAGACAGTTTGAAGATCGAGATATGTGTGATTGATCTTTCTTTCATCTCAAATCGAATGTTGATGCCCCATGCCTGATGTGGACCTTCCCTTCCCCCATCAGAGCTGCATGTTAACAGTCACGTGAAAGGGACAGTCCATTGTCCAATCACACGTAGTTAATCGATAAGTCTTCCACGTGACGTAGTCTGTCACCTTAGACTGATGACTAAACGGCTATTGCCGGTATCCGCTGTATTGGGCTGGCCGACGTCGGCCATATCTTCGTTTTCGCTAGGAGATATTTATTCCCTCTCCCTCTGAGCGTTATCCTGCAGTTTGCTTCAGGATACTGAGTACCAATTGACTCTAGTCCATCTTTGTCTTAATTTAGACATAATCCAAAGTTACAGGTGTGTGTGACGCATATTTCGCATGAATAGTGGCTCGAGAATTTGTTCTTCGGAGTTGTCCCTAGGGTCCGGCAGGTAGAGTCATAACCTCCGCTTTTCAGCTCTATCGCCCAGGCCGCCTATCGTTGTTTTTCCTCTTTTCAGTCTACACAGTTGACAGATATACGTTGCTAACATCGACCTTCCTCCTTTCAGGTCCTGCTGCTGGTCGACCTTAAATACATAATGAATTCACTTCGTCAATTGACCCGCCAGAGGGCGTTGTATAGCTCTGCGTCCTCGCGGGTGCTACGAGCTCAGAGCCCTGCGACATATCAATCATGGCAGAGATACTTCAGCGCTACGTCAGCTACTTCGTCTCAAGGGGCTCCCCTTGATCCATCGAAGCTTACAATCACGAAGACCACTACACCCAAGGAATTGCAGGCCCCGCAGGACCTCGTCTTCGGAAAGACATTCACCGGTACGGGCGCGTTTGTTGTGCGGGATTCGGTCTGTGCCATTCTAGGTCCTAATGCATATCTTTCCCATAGATCATATGCTATCCATTGAGTGGTCAGCGGCCGACGGTTGGCACGCTCCTCGCATCGTTCCCTATCAGAATCTCAGCCTCGATCCTTCCGCCTGCGTGTTCCACTATGCGTTCGAATGTTTCGAGGGCATGAAGGCCTACAAGGATAAGGAGGGTAGGGTCCGTCTCTTCCGCCCGGACAAGAATATGCAGCGCCTCAACAAGTCTTCCGCGCGTATTGCGTTGCCCACATTTGACAGCGATGCTCTGATCAAACTCATTGGAGAGTTTGTGAAAACGGACAGTCGATTCATTCCTGAGTGAGTAGATTCAGATTGCTCACATACCAAAGCAATGAGCTGACCTCTTGCAGGGCTCGAGGCTACTCTCTGTATCTGCGACCCACTATGATTGGCACTCAGAAGACCCTTGGTGTCGGCCCCCCTGGCTCTGCGCTGCTCTTCGTCATTGCCAGTCCCGTTGGCCCCTATTACCCGACCGGCTTCAAGGCTATTGCTCTTGAGGCCACCGACTATGCTGTCCGTGCCTGGCCTGGTGGTGTTGGCGACAAGAAGCTGGGTGCCAACTATGCTCCCTGCGTCCTCCCCCAGCTGGAGGCTGCCTCCCGGGGCTTCCAGCAGAACCTGTGGCTGTTCGGCGAGGAAGAATACGTGACCGAAGTCGGCACAATGAACCTTTTCATTGCCCTTAAGGACAAGGAGACCGGACAGAAGGAGTTGGTGACCGCTCCTCTGGACGGAACCATCCTCGAGGGTGTGACCAGAGACTCTGTCCTGGCGCTTGCGCGCGAGAGACTCGCCCCTAAAGGCTGGACTATCTCGGAGCGCAAGATTCGAATGTCTGAGGTCGCCGAAGCTGCCGATGAGGGACGACTTGTTGAGGTCTTCGGGGCTGGTACTGCAGCCATCGTCAGCCCTGTGCGGACTATCAGCTACCGGGGCAAGACGGTTGACTGTGGCTTGAAGGAAGACGAGGAGGCTGGTGAGATTGCTCTCCAGATGAAGAACTGGATTGAGGCGATCCAATATGGTGATGACAAGCACCCCTGGAGGTAAGTCGGCCGTCTCAATTCAACTGATATGCATGAAGTTCCAGGCTGACTTTTTTGATAGTTATGTACTTCGCTAAATGCACAGCCGTTCCACCAACGCCTGGCCTCTAACTTGGGTTCCGTTTGCCTCGATGGGTCTGAATTAGAGGCAAAGAAAAAAGTGGGAGCAGTCGAATTCCTTTCTTCGTTGACTTGTCATTTTGTTCGCGATTTAATTACCCTGTTTAGCATGAGCGCTGTCATCAAGCTTATAGGATATGCTTGTGATTTTGAAATTCAGTTTGGATCATCAACGAATCAAAACGGATACCCGATGAAGGGAGACGATCGCACTTGGTAGATCTCCGGGTTCAGCTGATAGGTTGTGAATTATCAAGTAACCGCCCCTTCCCAGCGCTCAACCTGTAGTAAACAACAACAAGAAATGGGCCGATCGAGTCCGCGGAAGAGCCGCAGCCCATATGGGTGACGCATGTACGGGGTACACACCACACAGCCCGCATGAGGGGGAGGAGAGGGCCAGGAAAAGGACGATGCAGCTTGCCGACCATGGACGGGGGCGTCCTTGCAGATTGTCACAGTCGTAAATTGTGAGCTGTGAGTTGTGACAAGCGGCCGACCCTTGCTGTGCGCCAAAGCGAGAGTGGGACGCCTGAAGCACAGCGCTCAGCCTCGCAGGCAGGGCCTCCATTGGTGGAGCTCAGGGGGACATCCAGATGGTTGATCTCAGGAGTCGGGGGGGGGCAGGATGAATAGGAGACCGGAGATGAGGCCGGACTTGGGCACTTCCCAATTAAGTCATTGGTAGGCCAAGTGAAGAGATGCAGACTCGTCCTGTCCTATTGGGTAGAAGGCGTTGCTTTCATAGCATTGTTATCGTAAGAGTCGCATTGAGGCTCGTAGGGCTGAGGCCAGCCAAATGGACTAGATACCTAACCGACTATACGACTCTTGACTGACCAACATAGCCCATAACTAGGTAGACCTATCGCAACGACTTTCCTTCTTATCCGGGCTGTACACTATGGAGTTTCCATCGAGCATATCTGGGTCGAGGACTCGAGGACTACTGGGTGAATCATGGTTATCACCAAATCCATCAAACTTACCTGACAGGTACCGTTGTCAGCATCTAAACCTAATCGAGTAGCCAACTCAAAATACGTCTCAAAGAAGACCAGCAAGGCTGAGAAAGAAAAAAAAGAAACAGGAAGTGATTGTCGGGGTGCGAATACTGAGCGATTCCTGTGCCCATAAGCGCAACCCCATTCTCCCGTTTTCAACCCAGGGGGGGGGGGGGGCCTTGAAAATCGCGAAACACAACGATGACAACCCGACCAGCTGGATGAATCTCGGGAGACTTGTTCTGTCCCAGACTCCCAGGCAGCCACCAGATGATCCTCCACTGCGGCAGGATCCGTGACAATTCGGACCAATGTTTTTGTCCGAGCCGGTAGGTACTACGGAGTACTACAACTGTATCCTACCTCTTTATCTCTCCGAACGCGATTTCTAATACCATGATGATGCGACACTGGGTCTTGATAGTGTTCACCCGTTTGCCGTCCCTCTTGGGGGAAAAAAAAATAAAAATAAAATAAAATTAAAAAAAAAGGAATTTTTAATCATCTTTTATCAGTGAAATTAGCGAATATGCGCGCAGTTACTCGGTGATACCATATGTGGACTAGTTAGACAAGCATCCTGATCCCCACGAAGGCTGTGTCTGGACAAGGTGGGGGGGGGGGGGCCATAGACTTAGGTACCTAAGGAGTACTACCTACTCGCTACTCAGGAGTAGCGAGTCCCGACTTATCTACTGAATGACAAATTGGCGCACGTTGCTGATTAGTGTTCAGTCTATGGGGTAGATCAGTTCAGACTTCAGATTATCTACTCCGTAGAGGACGATCTTCGTCGGACAGATCGCGAAGTGGGCGAAAAGGGGGAAAGGACGAGGCAGTAGAGGCACTCTGTGGAAACTTGAGAGAGGGGGGCTCATCAGAGCCTCATCTGTCAAGATTCTACAGTTCTACAGAGGTACAGGTGTCTATTTCCCCTCGATAGGACGATCCGTCCATTCTTAGTCTTTCGCCAATGCGTAATTTTCACGGAAATTAACAAATCTTCGAAATTCAACGCCCATAAAACTAAAGATTAAAACGTCATGTACTTTTACAAAGAAAGAAGGGGAGGGGGGAGAGATATCTCCATTGTACGAACTGCATACGACATTCTGCTATCGTCGTATCTTGGCGGCATGGATGTCTGAAGGCTGAATGCTTTCTCCGTCCGAAATATACCGGAGTTAAGACAGTGAATCGGCCGGTCTCCTGGGTCCAGTGGACAGTGGAGTTCTGGACAATGACTGGTCCTTACTAGGAGCTCCTGAAGACTCCGGCGGCGAGTCCGCACTTTTGATTGAGAGCATTTCGTGACGACGGAATACTAACACTGCAGAGTACGCAAATGAATCTGATTGACGCAATATTGCGCTCACCGATATGAATTCCTGAGATGGAGTAGACTATTCGAGTCGGCTAAAGCCGAGTCTGCACCCCCCAAGAGTAAGGAGAGGTGTGAGGCTCTTGCAGCTGTGCACCCCCGCGAAATGTGATTCGAGATTTCAGTTCTGGGCAAAGACCGGGCCATGCCGCGCCATGACCACGGACGGGATGTTTCATCTGCCAAGTCACCCATGACCCTTGCAAGGGTCGACAACTCGACACAGATTGGAAGTTGGTACTTGGTACGGAGTACTGTATGGTTCCATGTATTTCGTGCTACCCACCATGACGAACCCAGGACGTGTAGTCCGCCAATGATACCTGATAATCATCGAAGATAATAGGTAGTAATCCACTCGTGGATGCTATTGAGTGTCTCCATGGAAAATGATTATTCTTGTCATTTATTATTAATCTGGAATTAGCATTTCGCAGGGCAAGAATCAAACACGATGATTAGTCGGATCTCCAGCTACAGAGTACTTCACCTGACTCTCAGCCGCTGCGGATGGTGTACGGAGTAGAGTGACTACGACTAGAGTAGTCTAGCTGTGACTTCCTCAGGTTAGAGTCCCCGCAGTCTTCCAGTTTCAGCAGCCCAGGACCACAGCATTGAGCATTCTGACAGGTTCTCTCAGATGCCGGATCAACTAGAGCCTCAGAGAGGAATGAATGAAACTCAGACTCGGATCTCACTTACTTTGCTGTCGAACGGCCGTCAGAAGTCAAGTTTTTTGGCGTCAGTTCTTAGCATATTGTGTGCATGTGCCCGTGTAAATAGCGGCGGAGCGATGAAGAAAGAAAAACGCCTCGGGGCTCAACCGGAAAACTATTTTGAGCAGCTGCAGAACGGACCATCAGTGTACGCAGTCGACACTGCAGAAACAATGGTAAGGTACTTATGAGAACGCGTCAATCTGAATATTCTTCTGGGGTGTGCGACTGGGAGCGCCTAGCGAGGAGAGCAAGAGACGTCATGATAATCCGCATTATTATCTAGTATCAATAACGAATTGACAATTCTGGCCAGTAGCTGAACAGCATCAGATTGTTATTGTTGGTTGGGTGGGGGAGTTTGACAGGGATCACGGCACGCCTAATCAATAGAAATGCTAGTCTCGTACTCCGTATTCGTTACTCGATTCCTAACATGATCTTTAGTTAGAGCGCGATAGAATAAGAAGAGTTAATTTAAGCCGCCAGGCAGTGGTGTTGGTAGCATCCGAGCATCCTACTTGTTGGTGGAGGGAGACAAATTACCACCCACTAGTACCGAGAAGGGAAAGCCTTGACCTACCCACGACTATGAGTTTCAGGCCCGAATTTCAACAGAGATCATGATTGAATGTCTCAACTCTCAAGAGTCAAGACTCATGGAGCCTGCAGATTGCAGATCCATGCACGGATGTTACTTCGTAAAGGAAAAAAAAAGAAAAAGAAAGAAAATTTCATTTTGAGAGCAGTCAGGTGGTCAGATACAGATAGGTATGAAGAACGGTGTTTCGGGTCTTCCTTGCCCACCGCCAGGGGAGCGGGCTTCTGGATGAGCCATGGAAGGTTTTGTTCACCAAATCATACTGTCTTCGTGGTCTCAGTGGTTCAAACCCCAGTGGCCCAGTCAGATGAGATCTTACGCAGTAGTTTTTACCCTATGATCTCCGTGGCAGCAGCGGTGAGAATTTATTTTTTGTTTTTGTGACAACTAGTTATCCGGTTGCTTATTTTACTAATCGGTGTAACCTTACCCGAGTCGAAACTCGAAACACAACGCTCAGCCAGGTCATTAAAAGCCTCTTAGCTTCTCTATGGTCGATCTCATCTGCACCTAAACTAGTAACTAGGTAGTCGAGATATGTACATAGTAGGTTACTTTAGTTTATGACTTACGAAGTTACGAGGTGGATCTGTGTACTAGTACCAAGTCTAATTAAACTCCTGAGAACCAAGATTCAGAATCAGAGCTGTATGGAACTACCTACACAGTTGGCGTACCTTAAATTGACCACTCAAGTCTCAATAATACGACATGGGTAGCGGGACTAGACTTATATTGAACCCCGAGTCCAGCTTTGTAGATAAATTTAAAATTCCTCGGTAAGATCGGAAACTCATTGGCCCAGGCCATGAGACAAGCCTTGCCTGAAATGGAATCTGTCATCACGCTAAAGGCAAGGACCAATAACTCGTGGTTTTCTCAGCCCTACAGATGGAGACCAGGACTGGATTCTAGCAAAGTACCAGTATCTACATTAGGAATGCACTTTGCCCTTGTGGGATTAGGTTTATCTAGTGGGGGGCTAGCGGACTCTAGCGGAGAAGTTACAATACGGCAAGTTTGAATGCTGAACAGCCTGAACTATTGATCCTTGTCGCAAGAATACTACAGAGTGCAGATTGCTCAGTAGTATCAAGAGCCGGGACTGAGGTGCTGGCGGTGGTACACTCTAGCAAACAGCATTTGTTGTCTCCAATTGATGATATCTAGGACCAAGCGTGCCGAAGGTTTCTTCCATTTGAACACAGACCCTGCATCGTGCATAGTACGGCCACGCAGTAGAAACGTGACAGAAGTTGCCCGGTCTCAGCTCTCCATAATCTGCCCTGTCACTCGTTGACAGTGACACTCGACACATAGTTATTTCCCAGGCTCCCAGCCCGTCGAGCCAGGATGCTTGGGATGCAAGGTAGGGACGTAGCGTTCGGTCAGACAGCCAATGGGAGGACTATCTTAGCCTTCCTCTTCTCCTGAGAGATTCATCCTGCCTTGCATGAGCTGAAAGAAGAAATAATGCAGAGAAGATTACTGGAACAAAAGGCCACGCGGGCCGTAAGGCTGTTTTACCCATTTGCTTGTGAAGGTCCAATGTCAGATGATTTGATCACTGCCTCTACGCTGCACTGCGCCCGCATTCCAGCGAGCATTGCAATCCGTACTGTTCGGCTTCTCACTCCGGCTACGCTCGGGCACCGAGGCTGAAAGTTTGACGAAGGTACACAAAGTGGTCCAACATTTATTGTCTATAAACCTCGTGTTTTGATATTTCAGAACTCTCTCAACATGACACGCCAGACTACAGAGTAGAGACACATCGAACCGGACACTGGTTATGTCTGCCTCTATCCGCTGGGCTGGAGAAAGGGTGAGATCTTTATCCTTAGTTTATTGCCAAGATCTAGGGGGGCAACGTGGCCGAAGTTCGACCTTGACCGTGCGCTGATTGTTGTGTCTCATGTAGGTAATTTTGGTATTATTCGAAGCGAATAGAGTCATGCCATTTGCTAGGTTTCGGTGTAATGATAAATCCTCGCACTTTTTTTTTTCAGCCTGCAGGCACATTTGCGCAGGGGTCCTTTTGATCGATAGAGGGCAATCCATATTTGGCAATTGGTATTTTCCAAGCGCGTACGTATGATAGATTGAACTTTAGTGCAGCTGGCTGATTCAATTTAAGGTGTCGAGAACTTGTGGGTACTGAACAGCCATGATTCTAGCAACTCATTCGGCCGTAGGTAAGTACCTAAGTCAGGACTCAGAATTAGGTAACTTAGTACGGCATCGGATCTTCCGTCTAGAGTCGCAATTCCACTCTGAACCTTGAAACCCACCAGAATGTGGAGGGATAGTGACCAAGCTCTATCGAGAGACTGGGCGTTGTTCGAAGCTGTACTTCGACCGAGCTTCTCCGCCGAAGAGTATCAAGAATTGACAGGGATCACAGAACATAGTGCACGCTATTATTCCTCTCGATGGACCCCATTTCTCTCCTCTGTACGCTGTGTTCTACGATGCCAAGCTCTTATCAGTCTAGATGGGCGGCTAAGATTGGAATGATAGATTATTACTCATAATGAGCTCCATGCTTTTTTTTTCGTACCCATGGATATCCGGTCACTGTAACAAACTGTAAGGTTGGAATGTGATTCAGATTCAGACAAGCACGTGGTTGGTACGGTCGTTGCTGATCCATGCATGCTCTGGCTGGTCATAAATCATAATAGGTATACCGTATATACCTTGACTACCTATGGGGTTGAAAACGACTTTGTTCCAACTGAACAAAGAGAAATATGCATATCGAATGACAGACATACCCGAAATAGACGATAATCAACATAGCCTGCAGATTACCTACAGACCATATGGCGTATCTAGCTCGAATTGGCGAAAAATCATCAGCAATAGCATCATCATCAGCACTCTCTGTGTAACTATAGGTATTCTTCTGATATTGGGGCTAGTGCTCTTATGATTTTATGGGGGGATGCTCTATGTTGTGAACTTGTGGCATGGAAGACATCATCCACAAATGATGTACATTATTCATTTGATTCAGCCCCCTCCTTGCAACGACAAGCCACCCAACATGCTGTCCGCTTCTCTTGTTTCAACTGCGGGCCACTCTATTCTGAGTTGTTGGACTGTATTGGATTGAAGTCCATTATTAGCTCACATGCGTTACTCGTATCGTAGAAGCCACTCGTCGCCTTGGAGTAACCTCAACCTCGTGGTGCAGACCAGGGATACTTTGGGAGGGCAGCCTTGTGCAGCAAAAGCAAAGATTCGCAATGCCAATCAATAGCGGGGAAGGCGCCAGGTATCCGAAGGATGAAATGAACCATGTATCTATCTAGCGAATGACTTGAGAGATTTCTCAACCTCCCCTCGAATTCCACCATAGGACGCTTATCGATCGCTATGGGATTCCATCAAGTCGTCAACTCAACCAATAATTATATTATCAGGACTTGGTCCAATATCTGGGTAGTACCTCCATGCTTTGCCAAATCAAGACATTGATTGTAATTGAGTGCATACTGTGCATGTCCTGATAGAACCATTTTGCAAACGCAACATGCATGGTCAGGCATTCCGCGCGGACTACGATCCTCAAGCCAAGATAGCACCATGCTTCTATTTTTCGAAGCACACTTGCAAGAATGTTCCAGGGTGCGTCTGCTGCATGGTGCATCTTGAAACAATCCTGCCCCTACAGAGAAGGCAGATTACATCCCTCGATGATTTGCCAGAGCACGCTTGGGAATTCCTGTGCGACATCAAATAATGTGATGACTAGAACCACATGGTCATGGTCAGGAAGGAGGGGGGAGGGGCTGTTGTTGGGGCAGAAAGACCCAGCAGGCCAGCACTGCCTGAATTCCCTTCCCTCTCTCCCAGTCCCTGTCCCTTCAACCCTTGTCTGTCTAGGCCTCCTCTCTCCAGTAGGTATCCACGCTCGGCCGTCGGGGTCGGCCTAATTTCTAAAACAGCCTCACACGCTTGAGATTCCTTCAGCTCACTAATATGGTCTAGCCATGTTGATGATTTTGATAATTACTAGTCGTGACGCAGCCCTGTACATCTGTGCATCCATTCGGGAAAAGTCCCCTACCAACACATGGTTTTCCAAGTCCATGCCATGCGCAGGTGGTGTTTGCCCCAGAAGGCGAGCAGGTAAAGAAGTATGGATCATGGTACAGTATTTCCACTCACCCCTCCTCCTCCTCCAAAAATAATCGACGAGGGAAAAAAAGTAAAAAATAATAATAATAATAATACTCTAAACTGACAAATGATAATAGATTACTGAACAATTCAAAATCATACCATAATAATTAAAAGTGAAATAGTTCAGAAAAATAAAAAAATAAAAGTAAAAAAAGAAATATTAAAATATTAAAAATCAAATTAAATAATATTCCCTCGGAGCACAGACAAGAACTGTTATCAAAACGGTTCAATTCATCGTCACGAATTGGTTTCGGTCTGGAAACCGGGGGCTTAGCAGTCCATAAGCTATACGCCTGATTCTCCAGCTGATCGACCCCAGGCTCAGTCTTCGTTTAAATACGCTGGATGCTTCCTGTCTCTTGTTTTGAGTTTTGGATGATCTGTTTCTGATCAGACAATCATAAGGCTCAGTTCGTGAATCTATACCAGTCTTCGATATAGATATCCTCCAAGTCCCCTCTATCTTCCCCAACTCAAGTTATTTCAACGTGCTTGCTAGTTACAATATATCTTCCCTACTTGCAACTATACCCCGACAATATACACATTTGATTCTACCTTGCTCTTTCTTCAGGATGCATCGCTCTTCCAACAACCCATACAACGAGTCTTCGAACTCGAGAAGCTCATCCAACCATAGCACTAGCAGTGCTTTCAGCCCTAATGCCAACCCCAACGAGGACTGGACCAAGATCTCTGATCTTGCTGAGCGTCGCCGTATTCAGAATCGCATTGCTCAAAGAAATTACCGTAGGTTACATTCTCGTTTTGCCTAGCACATCTGCTTGTTTCCCTTCTGACCATGGTTCGTCATTTCAGGGAAGAAGTTGAAGCGTCGTCTGGAGGATCTGGAGAAGCGAGCTGCCTCAGCCTCAGAATCTCCAGAACGGTCACCGGGGAAGACGGAAACACCCAAGACACATTCCGTCAAGACTCGGGCCAGAAACAACCGATCCTCGAAGTCGAGCTCCGATACGAACAACCACTCCACTACAGAGCGCCTGCCTCCATACGACTGCTACGGGAGCCAGGATGAGCGAAGTGGCATGTTCTCTCACCAATGCACACGGCAATTGTCGGCGTCGCCGCCACCCGTGTTCTCCTACCCCTCTTATCCACACCTGGATCCTTACAGACAGTCCACCTATGGGCCGTCGCCGGTGTACAGCTCTATCGCCAGTACGTACAGCGACTTGTCGTCATTCCAAGGCGAGTACGGTACACCCGTGCCATCAATTTTGCCGCCCACAATGGCTTCAGGGCCTGTTAAGCGGCCTCACACATACGCGGATGAAGAGATCATCAACCCTTTCAGCATGAGCTACGCAACCATGGCTGGTATTGACTTGTGCCCGGCTCCTCACCACTCTGCTGAATCCAACATATCTGTATGTGGCTCTTCGGTTGGTCAATTATAGCTTGTGAGCCAAGATGCTAATAGTTGTCCACCAGATCCCATCTCTCTCACAAATCTTCGCCGATGACCACTCCACTCCGTCGACACCGGCAGAGGGGTCCCTCCTCGGGTGTCCACTCACACCTGAATCGGACCCGTGCTCTCCGCATTCATTTCCACTGTTGTGATTAGGTGGCTGTTATTTGGATTATCCAAGCCACGAGTTCTCTCTCTACCTTACCTTCTTGACGACCTGTTACGATATATATTTTCTTTGATTGGATGCGCTGTTTCCAATGTTTGCTTTGTGCATTCTTTGTGCTGTTACTCTTCTCCTTTGTCCTTTTCGACCTTCGTTTTCTTTAACAAGACGTTTGGGGCCTGCGGAGGTTCCCATGGGGTACTCGCGGGCGAATTTATAGATGCATTACTCGGGGCGTTCACTTGCGGCTGGTATCAAGAGCTGGGGTTACATTTTTACAGGATGGAGACGGAAACCAAGAGCTTCTTCTCTGCTCATTTCTCACTTCGGAATTGTGGTTTAATTAGAATGCTTTCCATTGACCGATCTATTCGAATCTACTATCTACCTAAGTGACTCTTTTCCTTCATCGTCGGACTTTGCATGTTTATCTCCATGATTGATCGTCTCTACCGGTATCCCAGGCACTAACCACGGGGGGACCCACGGCAATTGGCTCCTCCGACTCCGAGAGTCCGAGAGCCCGTGACGGGAGAGAGCTACTGATTGGTGGTAAGTGGATAAGTTAGTACCTCTGACGCCGGTCCCACCAGTTGATGAGTTTAATTCTGTTTTGTTTTGTTTTGTTTTACTTTTTGGCCCCCAAATTCCCTCCACAATCAGGTCGAGAATTTACATCACTGGGTGCGTCGTCTCTGTTACGCAACCACCGGTGTAATTTCGTGACACGATCAATACCTAAGGTAGATACTCCTTCCAATAACATCATCAATCCGGTAATATTCTAGATAGAGGGTCTCTAGGTAGGTACCTATTTTTTTTTTTTTTTCAAGTGCCGTCAGACTGTCAGTACCTTTCTAGCCCACTACCTAGTCTATCAAGACTCAAGAGCTGATTGGGATTGATCCTCTTGACTTAGACTACTACTACTACTACTACTACTACTACTACCATGATACCATCGCATGTGCCAAGACCTTTCCGTATCCCATCTGGCTGCGTGCTCCGAAAGGATCAATCTCCTAGACAATTCCAGGTATCCTCAGCTTCTATCTTATAGTCCAATGATTTGATGAATCCAGCGAAGCTTTCTTGAAGGAGTCAGTATCGGCGCTCCTTCCCGGAAATTGCGGATAATAGCTAGATAGCAAGAACAAGAACAATAAGCATTACCCTAGATACTCCGTGACTCTGTGCAGTCGATACAATACTTTGTTCAAATAAAAGAGTTTTCCAGAGTCAGGCAGACAGCACAGAGCATTGAATGAATGAATGCTGCTGCTGCATACGATACTCCAATCCGACGCAACCCGTCCTCTACTAGGTACTACTCCGTAGTCCGTACCGCTGCAGGTTCCCAGCGCCAGGATCAAACCAACAAAATGCTCTGATTTGTTCGTCTCAGACAACTCGTTTTTCTCATAGGCCCGAGCAGCTACCGACTCTTACTGAGATATTGGAATTTCTCGAAAGTGACTGGGGTGGAGCTCCTGCGCAGAAAAAGGACGAACTACCATGGACCATGGCATGGTTATTCCCCATCGATACTACTTAGTACTTACTCGCTATATAGTATATAGTTTAGTAGTAGTATAATAATAGTTATAGCAAGTTACCGACATGCTGCGCCTCCACAGCTCAAGCCTGATGTGGTACAGTGCATTGAACATGGACCACTGGGAAGAGGAGCTGGTTCGTTCCCCATTGATGGATTTGCAGACCAGTGGGTGGCCTTGAGAGGCATGGACCTACGAGCTACGACCTTGGCTCTTGGGCTCTGGGCTTCAATCCGATCTACGGAGGATTGGCCTTGTGTGACATTATTGATGGTCGGTGATTTGGATGTTCCAATGTTCATCTCGTACCCAACTGCTATCTCTGGTAAATGGATGGGGGGAAGGGAGATGAGTGTGACACTTTCGACTTTCGAGGTGATCAGCGTCCCCGGCACTCGGGATCGTTCTTGAGTATTTATCTATCCGTAGAAAGTAGTGCACAGTGCACACAAGGTAGGTTGGATTTTGACTTGATTAAGCTCCTACTGTGCATATTCTGCAGCAAGATTACTCATTATTATGAAGCAAGCTACGACCAGTTTAGCTGTTCATTTTTTTTTTATTTTTTAAGCACAGAATGAACAATATTGCTCCCTGCAATCTGCACGCCATCTCTCTATATAATTCCATATTCATCAATCAACCGATATCCTTATCTGTATGTATCCTTCAGTCCATGTTTCCGAACGCGGAATTTGACCGACGTGGAGGGACACATTTGATTTCTAATTCCACATCCCCCCTCCTTCTCTGTCTGATTCATTCTGTCCAATCCATGAGGAGTCCAGACCTCTTGGGGGTGCAGGCAACACACTGAATGAACTACAATACAAGTTTACAACTGACGCCTCTTGCCTCGCTCATCGAATCACTTGCAAGACTCGTCTAGGCTGCCACCACTGTCGACGACACTTAACGCGGCGTTCGACGGGAATTGACTCACTCGGATCGACGAATACCGTGTTGCCGTTCCGAGTTGGTCCTGGAGTCTTGAGTCTTGACTCCTGAGCCCTTGGGCAAAGTTTTGGGTGCAAGCCAACCAGAGATCCTGTCAAGTACGAGCTTGCGTTTAATTTCACTTTTTTTTTCCCCTTCCTTTTTCTTCGGCCAGTAGCGTTGAGCATCGTGCTATCTCCTTTTGGCGTTGTCCGTGGGGCTTGATGTTCGACAGATACAGATAGCCAGATACAGGGTGAAAATGAACCTCTTACAGCCACGCTCGCACCAATATTCTTGAGACACTAGGCTCATAATCATAGAGCCCTCAGCCTTATGTCTGTGCGGATGATGCGGATGATGCGGACGATGCGGAGTCTCAAATCTGACAAAGGTTTAGGTGACAGACTGACAGACTGACAGTGACAGTGCATCCTTAGCTTTCATTTAGCCCATCCGTCCGTGACAGCTTTTGTTCCTCAATGTAAGGATTTTGCGGCGTCCAGATTTGGAATTAAGCTTGCCAAACTGAATGCTGACGATCCGTTCCTGTGGAATTCGTTGTTTTAATCCTTCTTTCTTATTTCTCTTAGTTATCTACTTATCTGCAATATAGTTCAGTTCAGAGTCAGACAGGTTCTTTTTTTTTTTTTTTTTTTTTTGCCATTCGAATCTTCGCTAGAATGGATGTTGTTTGTGCCCATCGGCTTGGACATGGGAGGATCAAAACCCGAATGCCCCCTTCGAGGCTGAGATCTAGAAACTCCATAGCTTGGGTCTAATCCGTAATTTCCCTTCCAACCCTCCACCCTGAGAATAATGACTCAAGTGATCAAGTCTCGACTCTCGACTTGACCAGGGCAAGAAGGGATTAGGGGGAAAATGTCGCACTGTCGAGCCAGACGGGTTACATGGGGCTGAACTAGTCGGCGTCGACTAAACTATGCGGATCGACCTGGTTTCTAGTTTGCCCAACCAATTGCCTAGAACCGTGCGACCTTAATTCCATTCGAACTTGTGGACGGGCAGTGTACACTATTGACTATACACGGTAGAGAGCCAGTAAATTCAGTCGCAGCTCCACAGTTCTCACACATTTACAGTGATGACTGGAGTGGGTTATTGCATTGATTATGTTGGGACTTGGGACTTGGGAGGATGGGGTCTGGGTTTGGGTATGGCTATAGAGAATGGCGACTTCCTCTGACCAACAATTTGTCATCCATCCAGGCGATTAGCGAGAGAATGTACCGAAGCGGCTCAACTCGAACCCGCCAGTTTTCATTTCGAAACTCCGTACGCCTACAGCTAGAACCTCGACTCCCTCGCCAGTCGCCAGACTGAACTAACTTTGTCAGTTGTCACACTGCCCCCCCTCCTCCGTTGATCGTTCCCATTCACTCCACCACCTCCCCCCCCCCCGTTCCAAGATCCCAAAGTTTAAATTGGGTAAATGGTAAATGGCTTCCATCCTGAAGATTACGACGGGATTTCCGACTCCCGACTTCCGACTCCCGACTTGTGTCAGACTGTCAGACTGTCACTGTCGTGAGGGTCAAGAAAAAAAGAGTAAGAGTACAGACAGAGTAGGTAAGGTACTCCCGGAGACTACCTAATGACACTCACCAGTGACCAGTCACCACTCATAGGCTGCTTCGTCTAGAACGGTCCACCGTGTTATGTATCATGTACGGAGTATGTATGGGATCGGGGAGTACTCCGTAGACGAGTACCTACATACCTACCTACCTATCTACTTAGTGTGTCCCCTCCACGGCTACAGCCTACAGTGTCTCAGTCCCATGTGTCAGGGTTGAGTCTTGACGCCGGACATTTCTAATCGGCTTCTCGTGGACTCGGGAAGTGATCTACAGGAGTCGTTGAGTATATATCAACCGAACGCGGGTGACGCAGTGTGCATGCGGATGTAGCCGATTCTAGGAGTTGGATAAGGGGATGGCTTCAACGACTCTCTTCGTGGATAGTAAAGTAGCAGTATTGAGAGTGTCCCCCCCCCCCACCCCTTTCCCAGGAACAGACAATCGCCGAGTAATTTGTCGATCCAAAACATATCTAATATCTACTCCTGTAGATAGTGCTAAGAAATCTACCATGAACCGCAAGCGAGAGAGTTAAAAGTAGAGAACCGGACCATGTGATTTTCTTGTTTTTTCCCCTCTGATAGAATTACTATTCGCCAACTTGACAAGCTGTATGCCAGAAAGAAAGAAAGAAAGAAAGAAAGAAAGAAAGAAGGAAGGAAAGAAAGAAATGGATAAGAAACAAACGCAGGATAACACAGGAATCAACGACGACGCCTTGATGCAGGTCAAAGGAACTAGAGATAGCCAAGGATCGGAGGAAATCAATGAACCTTTTATGTTTTCCTTCCCCCCGGGAGATTAGAGTACTAGCCTTTTTCCCTTTGAGACCATGAATATGAATGAGATCTTCCCTATGAGTAGGGGTAGTCTTGAGACGTTCTCTCTCTCTCTCTCTCTCTTTTTCTACCCACCTCACGGACACACTCACACAAAACATCAGTAGATATGAACCAAAGTGGAATAAGAAAACTAAATAGAACAAGCAAAAGGAATCAACATTGGAGCAATACATTCCCTATCCACATCCATCGACAAAGCACAAGTGACATACTCTGGATGAAAAAAAAAAAAAAAAAACTCCTACTTCCCCCAGTTCCTCATCAATCAGCCTTCCGCCCCGTTGATGCTCATCTGGTCAGGATGCTGCCGACGTCTCCGCATGGGCGCCTTCTTCCGTGCTGCAATCGCCGCAGCGCTCTGTGCTGTCCCCGGCGTAGTGCCCATTTCTGAATCGCCGTCGTTGGGGCCAGTGCCGTGGACGGCCTGGTACCGCGCCATCTCATCCAGATCACGGATATCCGTGGGTTTCATCCGCAGCCACTTCATGCGCGGACCGGCCCTGGAGCGCTCCGAGACGCGGAACCCGTAGATCTTCGACTCGTAGATCCGCCCGGCGCCCAGGCCCGGGCAGAAACTGATGGTGCGCATGCCGTTGATCTCGGCCGGCTGGTTCTGCGGCGTGCCCTCCGGCATCCCGCGGTTGGCCCCAGCTGTCAGAGACCCGGACGCGCGGGACTGGATGTTGGCGTGTGCGGCGGAGTGCGAGGACACGGGGGCGTCGAGACGCGGCGAGATGTCCAGGTCGGGGAAGGTCATGAAGAAAAGACACCCGAACGTGGTCCCGAAGAAGGCGCCGTCAACCGAGTGGAACCGGCTGTTGGGGGGAGTGTACAGATCCTGGCAGCTGGGGCAGAACAGCTTCACCGTCTCTTGACCGGGGGTGTCGGAGCAGCCCACCGGCAGAACCTTGCACCCGGTGCAGTAGGCGCGCGGGCAGGTGCCGAAATGCTGCATCTCGTACTTCTCGAGCATCTGCTGGATACCCGGCCGCGAGGTGATGTACCGCTGGTGGATCAGGCCATACAGCAGTTCCGCCGAGCTCTCAATCACACTCAGGTCGCTGGCCACCCGGGTGTGCCGCCGGTCGCCCGCTCTGCGGTAACCGGGCGGTCTCTCGTCGCCCAGGATCTCGTCATCCTCATCCTCCTCTTCCTCTTCCTCCTCCTCGTCTTCGTCATCCTCCGGCTCCACGTCCAGGATCATCTCCAGCGCCTCCTTGTACATGGGCACCTGCGACTGCAGCCCGGTGAGATTGAAGTCATCCTCAATAAAGTCCTCCGACACCTCGGCGAAGAACTCGTGGCCCATCAGCGAGCAGAACGAGGAGATCCAGGACTCCGGGGCCCCTTCCGAAGACGACATGTCGAACGAGCCGGACTCTGAGGACGATGAGGCCGTTGATTCAGACAGTTGACGCAGATCCAGCCTGTCCAGGCCGTCGGCCAACGCCGAACCTGTCTCTCTCGACACGTTGCCGAGGTAACGACGGGGTAGAGAAAAGGGGAAAGGGAGTCGATCGATCGAAGACGACAGCGGCCGTGCTCTTCGCTTTTATGCCTCCACGCGAAGCCGATCGGGCACAGATGTCGAGCCCGAGTTGTCCTGCTAGACCAAGGAACAAGAAGGGGAGGGGAGGGGGGGGGCGCCAAATAGCAATGGGCCGTATCTAGGCCTGGAAGTCTGCCGTCGAGATTTCGAAAGTGAAGGTTGTTAAAAAAAGAAAAAAAAAATTCGCCGATTCGTTTACTTGGCTCGAAGGGTCATGACAATGTGCGGGATGTCGGGATTCGTTGTGCGATGAGGAAGCGTTGACGCGATGGCGCTTGAAGGTGGAATTTCCCCCACTAACACAATCAATCCTTTGTCTCTTCACACAGAGGTCGAGGGCATCCAGTAAATTCCTGGTGGCAACTCCAAAGTATCAATCCAAACGAGCTCCAGACGCAGCGATCGACGAGAGTAATTCTCACAGCGTCCGACGACGCCAGATAGCTCTGGTCTTCTTTTCTCGTGCAGTGGTCGATCGACGGAGTCGAGAGGGGGTTCCGAGTTTAGGCTCGTGGGGCGGTGGGAAAAAAACGAAGTTGCTGTGGTTGTGAGGTTTCGCGACTGTTGGTGGGGAATTCTGGTCGGTGGGAAGTCAGGATAACGAGGATAACAATTCTTCTGCGTCGTTCAAACTGATGGTCATTGCACGATAATCAGCTTGGCCGTCCATCTGGTTGTGCCGCTGGTCAATGCGAGGGAGAGTCAAAGTCAGACAGCGCAATGGCTGGATACAAATCACGTGACAATATCCATCCTGAAGGTTTTATATCTACAGAAACGCAGAACAGATACTAGACAGATATGTATCTGCATCATGGTGATCGACTTGACTGTCGACGTGGTAAGCTTCTGCAAGATATGATAATGCTAATCAACCTCGCCGGCGCAATGATCATAATGTATACATGCTATATATAATGCCAGCACTTACGTACTAATATCAGAACAGCTCTCTGATAACCCGTGAAAGCTCTCCCTCATCACCAAAAACGCCCGATAATCCCTCACCCGTATTCTGGATCTCGCCATCATGGCCCACAAACCCATTGATGCCTTCGGCGCCGGTGCCGGATGTAATGAAATTGCTGAATCCTCCGACAGCCTCAAACAGGTTGGTGAGCTCATGGCTCATCTGCAACCCGTTCAAGGGGCTATTGCCCAGCTCGTTCACCCCATTCATGGGGCCGTAGACCGACAGATCCTCGATGGGGTGACCGGCCAGGCCAGCCATGGCCACGGCCGCTGTCGAATGTGGGTCGTTTGAATCCGATCCAAAGGGGCGCGCCAGCACACCCAGCCGCTCTCCAATCATCCGAAGGCCTTTGATCGTCTTCCACAGTCTCTTTGACACATAGGATTTGGTGCTGAAGCCATTGATGAGATCGAGAGCCATGTAGAACTCGTCCCGTACCTGTCGGTTGAATTCATTCGGCGCATGGCATACGGCAAGGAAAAGCACCGCGAGAGCAGCTACAAGAAAGTAGTTGAAAGTGATCTGCTGGCTCCGGTAGATGTCGGAAGTATGATTGAGCTGGGTGAGCACTCGGACCGTGTCCTTGGCAACGTCCACTACGGTTTGGGCGTGGCCTTTGTCTTCTGCAATGCTCGCCGATGAATGTAGTACTGGCCGATAAATTAGGATCCGAAGTTGGCTCATGCGCAGATATAGGAGGACTCGCAACCGCCGCAAGCCTCGGCTTGCCGACTCGACGTGTTTTGGAGATTCGCCAGGATAAAATCTCAATGCATCCGGAACTTGCTTATACCACTGGAGGACCTGGTAGTCCAAATAACCAATTTCGTCTCTCCGTACATCTGTCGTACCCTCCGAACCAAGTCCGGAGTACCAGATCTTTGAGCTGATGCGGTTATAGGACACCATACACCTCAAATAAGGTAACGATGCAACCTGGCTACGTTAGTGAATGGACGGGGGGGGGGGCAAAAAAGGACCTTCTGTCCAACAAGACTTACCGGCTCAGGTAGATTCGGATCAATATCCTCGTCCTGAATCACAAAGGGTAGACCTGTGCCGAGGCTCCAACGTCTATCCAGGCTGTAGATTGTCCAGAAGATCCGGGTCACATCAGACCACTGATCTTCATTCGGAAAGGATTTCATCAACGCCTCCCGTCGGTGTAGTCCCAGCTCAAGGCACATCCGTGCGGCGAGACCAATCACACGGTAGGCCATGGCGTCATCATCCGTGTGGAAATGATACGTCGCCTATAACGAGGTCAGAAAGGGGAAAGGGTACTGCGCTCATGTGACACATACCATCATGCCAAAGAGTTGGATGGTCTTAACGTCAAGCGGGCCCCAAAGCTTCGCTTCAATGACAGGCTTGACACTCATGTATAATCGTTGGCCCAGTTCACTCTGCCCGCTTCCTTCCACGATCAATGTGATAGCGAGGATCATCTTCAGAAGATTTGTGTTGTCATCATGAAAGGCATCCGAGCCTGGGTGGGCTCGCTGCGTAAACCCAGTCCGCATCGCCGCCTCCATAAACGTATAAAGCAGGTTCACTTGGTGGGTCACCTTTTCGATGTCGACGAGTGGATACATAATACCAACCTCCTCCTCGTAGACATGACATAGTCGTATAGCCTCCTCTCGTTTGATTGCCCATATTGGATCTTTGGTTGGATGTATGGGGTGTGCGAACACCGCGTGCTGGGCTGGCGGTGAGCCGGCTGGCGTGGCATGTGCTGTTATCAGGTCGTCGTTGATGACTTCTTCGGCCGGTGCAATGCCCATATTTTGAAGACTGGATCTGGCGACATCGAAGTTGAAAGCCGAACTGGTGGGTCCGTGGAAGCGAGGGTGTCGCATACGAGGCCGGACGGGAGCCGTGTGGATTGGGGTGAAAACCGACTGTGAGCCATCTCGAGAGAGATTCTCGAGATTTGGTGAGTCGAGGGACGATTTATGGCTGCGAAGGTCATTGAGGCTAGTGAACAGATTGTTCACTTGGTCCTGGAGGTTTGTGATCTGATCTTTCATCGACCGGAACTCCCTGATCATGGAAAAATAGTAACGTTAGTCTCCAGTCGTTGAGTTTAGAACAAGAGAGGCATACTCAGAGTCCTTGAAGTTATTATTGCAGCAATTGGGCGCATATCGACCTATGGCAACAGAGTTATTACAACAACGTAAGGGATGAGGACGACAAGATATATGACATCTGCTTTGGACATATGAAAGCACTAACATTCCAGATTTAGATGGCCGCAGCGTTGGCAGGGCACCTGGCCATTGCACTTGATCTTGCGCCGTTTGCATTCATTACTAGAGCCACAGACCCGCTGTTAGCGAAGTCGAACCAGCCTCATCATGATCAAGTGCTAACGCTAGTCGATGATCCCTGATGAAATAGAATGGGGATATTCGGGATCATACCAGGCAATGGATATGTAGCGATTCCGCTTGGTGCGCGTATGAGTTCCGTTGGTCTGTTCCGCTTTCCTCTTTGCACTCTCTTCACCCAGGGTGGCATCCTGTTCTGGATTCCCAGCCTGAGGGGTGGTAATATCAAGCTGCGACGACTCAGAAGCCATGATAGACACTCCCAGTAGGGGCTGATCAGGCTGTTGGGTGCAGTCGAAGGCAGAGAGAAGTGCGGAGAGATTCCTCAGCAGTGGTCTTGGCGGGCTGGGAATACTGCGCGGGGGTTCCGTCTCCCCAGAATGCACAGGGCCAATCATTGTATTCATAGTATCGGTGTCACGCTGCTACTAGATAAGTAAGGTACCTAGGTATTAATATTGGATATAAGTGATAGTGATGATAAATTCGAGAATATTGATATAGACAGATAGATAGAGTAAGTAACACTATGCAGAATCGACACTGAAAACAAAAGCTCAAAAATTTACAACACTACTACCCTTATGAGAGCATCCGATGAACATGCAGCAAACCATCTCGAATACCCGTAATTATCGAGCCTCGGAGACCAACAGCCAACTGAATCAATAGATTGATATCCTGCGGACGCTTCGTCAACCAGAACAAACCGGTAGCGATTGCCAACAGGGCTACCTTCTTGAGCCCAGATCGAACCCTCTGAGCTGCGAGACCTTTCGGAGTGTATCTGGCAGTCCAGTGGTGCCACACAGGGAATGTGCATCTGAAGTAGTAGTCGATCTGGGTGAACCTATAGAGAAACACCAAGTCAGTTATTGATATAGACAGGTAGTCACTTGAGAGAGAGAGAGAGAGAGAGAGAGAGAGAGAAAGACTGACGGATAGGTGGATGAATTCCAACCCTCATCGGACTGATACCAGCTTGTGCAGGCGCCTCGTCGGAACACGGTGCTTTGAAGACTCTTTTGGACCTTATCGGTCCATCGCCGCTCGGCCTCTTCCGTCACCTCAAAGGTACTGACGTGCCCGTCCAGAATGGGTTTGATAAAGTTCAGCGAGTAGTTGATGGCATTCTCGATCGCGAAAATCACACTTGTGTGACCTGTCGCGGTATTGGGGCCAAAGGAAAGAAAGAGATTCGGCATGTGATCCATGGCAATGCCTAAGTACGCCTGTGCTCCTCCGCGCTCCTCCCAGATCTCGTCTAGCGTTCGGCCGCCCCTGCCGACGACTCGCAGGGGATGAAGCCATTTATTGGTCTCGTATCCGTTGGCCAGAATAATAACATCTGCCGGTACCTGTTTCACTTCATTTGTCGCATCCTTGTTACCTGGAGGATAGACTTTTCCTGGTCCTAACGTCACGCCTTTGGCCTGTACGCTAGCCAGGGGCATCGTCGTCAGTTCAAAGTTGGGCGCATGTATACTGTCAAAGTAGTGCGATTCGACAATTCGCCGCTTGCAACCGAGGCTGTAGTTGGGCGTCAGGATCTCGTGATACTTCTCGGGTGCATTACTGTGCATGTGCTCCAGGAACTCCCTCTCCAGTTTGGATCGAAGCCGCCGGGCAAGACCGTTGTCCTTGAAGATCCTGATAAAATCCCACTCCAGCCGAAAGAACAACAAAGCTCTTGCGCTGAACGTGAGACCCGGGACATTCCTGAAAAGTGACGGCGTATATTTCTCCCATTTATCAAGTGCATCGACTGACAAAAATTCTGCCATAAACCATGGAGGGGACCTCATGAGCTGCGTGACGGACTTGACTTTCGACTCTGGTCTGGTGAGCACAGGTACGACCTGCGCGGCACTGCAGCCAGAGCCAACAACGACCACGTTCTTCCCTTCCAGGTCAATATCCTCCTTCCACCGAGCAGTGTGAACCACTCTACCCTCAAAAGTCTCGATCCCTGGAATGTTCTTTGGCCATGTCTTTGGCTCCACCAGGCAGCCCACACCGCTGACAACAATTTTGGCTCGCACAACCTCAGTCTTGACATACACGCTGCGCTCGCCCTCTCGAATCACTAGGGCATCTCGTTCCTCCTGGGACAAGTCCCCGGTGCCAGGAACGAGGTGGGACAGTGTAACTTCCCACTCTTCAGCACCTTCCAGCCAGCGCATTTCTTTCACGTCGGTGTTGAGCTGGATCTTGTCGACGATGGCAAATTTCTCGCAAACATCGGCCAGGTACTGAGCGATCTCTGGACCAGGAGGGCGCAGCGTGGTCCAGTCTTTCTTTGGAGCGAACGAGAACGAGTATAGTAGGGCCGGTCTATAGGCTTCAGGTTGAGATAGGAGCTTTCAAAGAGTGATACAGCGCACATACACATCACAAGCTACCCCCGGGTAGCGGTTGCTCCACCAAGTCCCTCCAATGCCCGACTGCCTTTCGAAGATTCTAAACTGATCGAAGCCCAGCGCCTCTTTCAGCCGACATCCAGTGGCGATTCCGGACTCGCCTGCCCCAATCGCCAGGACAGGATAGTACGTGTGGGCATCTTTACCGTATATATGACGGTTATGGATTTTCGCTACCGAAGAAATCATGCTTTCTTTTCGGGGTGTGTTGAGGGTAGGATCAATTAGCAGGTCCAGCGGTCCAACAGCATATTCATACCAGGAAGGAAGGATAGATAAACAGTAATAAGGGTAGTAAAGGAAGAGAGGCCATAGCGAGTATAGAGCCTGATACTACTTTAGTGTCCTATATATACGGGGCCAGTGGGTTAGCCCAGCAAAAACATTTCTGCACAAGTTTTTCAGTTCGTATAACTATTTTTTGCTCAGTGTTCACAAATGAGAATTGGCCGGCTAGCATGGTCTACGGAGTACATACTGCATAGGCAGTAAGTGAGGGAATCGGTAGGTCTAGCTGCAGCGCCTCGGCTCTTTGACGACTGAAGGATTGGAGGACAGAGTGTGACCCGAGGGAGCTCCGTGTCGCGCGGGATCGTACTTATGATCCGACATGCATGAGCAACATGACCCCTGTCGAATCCGGAGGGGAGATCGATGAAAAAGACTTGAGATGAGTGCTTTGCCGATGAGATGGTCCATCTTGTCGCAATCAAGTGAGAAAGTCGGTAGATATGCATTGTGATCATCTATCCCCAGTTCTCCACATAGAAAACGGGGTCCGGTCCGTAAGTTGGAGATGGAGATGGAAATGGTGGAAGTAGGGGTGAAAATCAAAATATCAAAATGTCAAATGTCAAATGTCAGAATGTCAAAATGACATGTCATTTTGATCTTTTTTCCTGACAAGGTACTGGAATCAGGTGACAGAGTACTCTATATAACCTGATTGGTTGAGTTTTGAAATGCTTCTCTCCTAGTATACTAAGTTATAGGATGGTATCTACTTCTTTCACATGATATTTACCATTTGTTAGGAAAATAATAGCTTGTCATTTGACATTTTTGAAATTTTGGCTGGATTCTTGACATACTCTGTACGGAGTACACCACCCCTATATTTTTTACCGTGGAAGAGCGATGGCCGCGGGTCAACAGAGAACGGCAGCGGAACTGGCGTACTATGTAGTATGTACTTAGGTAGGATGGGGCTGGTAGGATGGATCCACTGCGCCTACGGAGTACAATGTCAATAGCTCCGTCCGTTAGTCCAGTGCCAATTTTCAGACATCGAACTGTTCATTAAAGGCAGCGCCTTAGGTCTGACAGAAGATAAAAAATTAAAAAAAAATCGCTTATCATAAGGATCAATTAATCTCTCTTCAAGCATAGTAACTGCTTGGAATAATTGTTCTGAATGAAGGTTCAGCGATGGTCCTTCTCTCATCATAACGTGCGGGTGTCGACTCGACCGTCATGTGTCGCTCTTCTCTCCAATGCTTTCAGCAACACATCCAGATCCCTGTCCAGCTCCACAGACAGCCCAGTGGTATCTGCGACACCAGAAAGCCAATACCGCCCTCTAGAATATCTCCAAGATGCCCGGATAGAAGTGTTCCGCGAGAGGTACTTCCGACCAGAAATTCCCGTTCTCTTCCCCCGCGGACACTTTCGCGACGTCCCAGCCTTTGAGCGATGGTTCCAACCGTCACCCTCCCCAGACTGCAAGATCGCCCAATTGAACACGAAGTATCTGGAAGAAAATGCCAGTGATGCGCTCGTCCCGCTCGAACTCACGCAGTTCTCCCTTGAGCCACCATCCAAAGCCAACGAGCTCAGCTTCCGGCAGTTCCACGCTCCGTTGACCTTGTTCCTGGAATGGATGCGCACAGCAGAGAGCCAGCCGCAGAGAGCCCGATTATACCTGGCGCAATGCCAGCTGCTCGATCTTCCATCCGTGCTTCGGGCCGATTTCCCCACGCCCGAGGTTGTTCTACAAGCAGACAAAGGCGACCTCTATGATACGAACGTATGGATCGGCCATCCGCCCACGTACACGCCTTTACACCGTGACCCGAATCCGAACCTCTTCGTCCAGCTTGCTGGGCGCAAGGTGGTCCGTTTGTTGCCTCCAGATGCCGGACAGAGGGTATTCGCATCGGTCAGGCGGCGTTTGGGTCGGAGCGGGAACCGCGAGGCGGCTGTCTTTCGGGGGGAGGAGATGATGCAGGGGCAGGAGAGGGCGCTGTTGGAACAGGCGGTGTGGAGCGATGTTGGCCTGGGTGATGCTGGAACCGGGACGGATGGAGGGTATGAAGCGAGATTAGAAGCCGGCGATGGGCTATTTATCCCGAAAGGATGGTGGCATAGTATCAAGGGAGTGGGAGAAGGTGTCACTGCATCGGTAAGTGCCTATCCTCTTTTGAAGTATTGCTCGCTCCTAACCCGATTCCAGGTCAATTGGTGGTTTCGGTGACTCTGAGCCATCCGTTCAGTCGTAGTGTACCAACAACATGGACTGTAGAATTGTACTATAATCGATATTTTATTTTCATTGTGCCCATATGCTTTCAGGAATATATATATAATGTTAGAATGTTGTTGGTGAAGAGGCCCCAAAACAATAAGCTCACTCACTCAACCTCAACCCGTCGCACAACATCCTTCTAGAACCCTCTCGGTGCCACAACTTCAGAGCCCGCAAACCACCAAAACGTCCTCCCCCTCATCTCATCTCATTTCATCTCATCTCACCTCGACCATCCACCTTTGCAGACATGTACATGTCTCTCAAGGTCCTATCCCGCGCAACCCTCCTGCATCTCAGCCTCAACCCGCTCCTCTCCCTCGCTGCGCGCGCATCCACATCCACATCCACAATCGCAACCGCAACCGCCTTCGCGACAACCTCACCACACCTCCGCTCCTTCTCAGCGCTCTACCCACTCTGTCCATCCTACAACCTCTACCAAACAACGCCCTCGCAAGCACAATCACAATCACAATCGCACATCCACAACCAAGAACACCCTTTCTCCACATCCGCGCCCATGTCCGCCGAGTCCAGCACACCCTCCCAGCCTCAATCTCAACCTGAGAAGCAAGAACAAGAACGAGAACAAGAACGGAATCAAAACCCCCCGCCCCTCGCCCTCCCCGACGTCTCGTCCGCCGAACAAGTTACGCAGATCGATCTGAGCGCCGGCGACTCGACCGTCAAGCTCGATGCGCTGGGCCCGCTGGTCGTGAACCAGGATGGCTCGTTGTCGCGGATCGGGAACTGGGCGCAGATGACCGAGGTCGAGAAGCGGAATACATTGCGGATACTGGGGAAGCGGAACCAGGCGCGGTTGAAGGCGTTGAGAGAGGCTGGGGTGGGAGACGAGGGGAACTAATTTTGAGGGGGGGGTTTTAGGATATGGTGTAGAGGGGGCTTGGTGGGTTGAATACGTGAAATTGAAATGTACATATACGCGTCTGACATATACTAGTTTTCATTCATTCTCATGGCATATAAATGGTGTATATTATATACAATCTAGCAGATTTTCTAGTAGGGAAAAAAAAATGACCAATTAAGCAAAGAGCCAGTCGCCAAACCTCGAGAGCGCGTTGCTGAGCACAAGATCGTTAGCTTTCCCCACGTCTACACTCAACTCAAGATTAAATCATTCTTACCTCGGTTTTTCCGGGATATAATTCCTCTCGTACTCTGCAAGCTCGTCCAATCCCGTCACCAGATCGACTTCCTCCGGCTTCCTGAATTTGGTGCGGTGGACAATCTTCCACACAATGTAGATGAGCGGAAACACTCCGATCATCGTGTAGGAGAAGAGAAAAGTGGGCACATCCCAATTCCCGGGGAGGAAGACCGTATAGCCACCCACAAAAGCCATGACGGTTGTCGAAACCAGAGCAATATAGGCAGGGTACGGCTGCCACCAGCTCCTGTACGGAAGCGATTCCCGCGGAATGCCCTGTACTATCATGGCTTTGCGAAACCGAGTGTAGGTGAAGGTGATGACGGTGAAATTGATGAGTTGCGATGCAGTGACCTGCTCGGCGTTAGCCCGGGGGGCCCATTTCGTTCCAAAAATCAGAGTGCAGATGAAGGTGTAGTACGTACGAGATTGACAAACCAGTCCAAGACCACGGATGCGCCATTCGACACTTGAAGGAACGCAAGAAGTGCAATCAACATGACAATCCCCACACAGTAGATCGGCACGCCCTGTTTGGTGCACCGGGTAAAGACCCGCGGCGCCTTGCCGTCCAGAGCAAGCCCATACAAACTTCGACTGGCGCAATATACGTAGCTGTTTCCGGCGCTGAATGCGGCCAGCAGAACCACGCCGTTGACGATATGTGGGAGGATAGGGATCCCCAGCCGGTCCATGGCGATCACATACGGGGACGCAGCTGCGCCAGGCAGGCCGTTGGCGAATGCGTCGGTCATGGTCTGATCATTGTAGGGAACGAGGATGCCGACACATAAGACTCCCAGAACGAAGAAAGCCATGAGTCGATAGAAGATAGTGTTGTATGTCCTAGGCAAGACAGCGCGAGGACTGACCGTTTCTCCAGCAGCCATGGACACATAATCGGGCCCTGCAATCGTGAAACTGGCCTGGATGAGACACGCAAGAAATCCCAGCCACCGGCCAAGATCATCATGCTTGTAATATTCTGCAAAGGCGCCCGGGTTCTTCCAGTATCGGAAACCGAAACGGTCTCCTTTCGGGTTCCCGCCTAACATCACGATAAACGTGAAGATGATCAATCCCACGCTCAGTAAGACCTTGGACAAAGCAAGCCAGAATTCTGATTCGCCGTACCATTGCACGGCAAAGACATTGAGGAGTCTATTGTACAAGAAAATCAATATCCACGTGGTCTGCGGGCAAGCCGGGCGGAGCAGAGATCACAAAGGGCAGGAACATACATGTAAAGGACAAAGACGATGGCAATTATGCCGCTGACTGGAACCGCGTCGCTCCAGTAATTGATGATAATGTTACACGCGGTGATCTCGAAGGGGACCAAAGCAGCCTGGAAGACAAAGAAGTTGTAACCGGCTGCAACACCGAAGGCTTCATCAACATAACGGCTGGCGAATCGAATAAAGGGTGACGAAATGGGCAGGTAGGTAACCATCTCTGCTAGACCTAGATTGTAACCTGCATTTAGTATAGACTACATATCCAAGGAGCCGCGATGGAAAAAAGATCCACGAGGATGGTGCATAGGACTGGTAAAGGAAGAACACAACCGGGAATTGGCGCTTCTGGGCAATTCAGTCGTACGCATAGAAAGATGCTATGGGGTGGCAGTTTGCTGGGGGCATTGCGAGGGGATAGGAAGTTCAAGAACTTGGGATTGGGAGAATTGCGTACAAACAGTGATAGCCAAAATGACGAAACACCTAGAAGGGAGATATGTATAAGATTCCATGGCTTTGAAAAAGAGAATGAGGATATCGTGGTATGGGGAGATGGGTGTGCGAAGGAGGAGCTCCGCTGTCCTGTAGCGCAAATCTCGACAAGCAAGCCGATATTTGCGCTCTCTGCGTTACAGTTCAACAACCCATTCATTCTGTCGGATTCTCTTGTGCTGCAATCCCGATCAAAGTGAACTTATCGTTTTGTCTGACGCAAAAAAAACCCCCCCCCCCCACCCGTGTCGAGACACCAAAGGTGCGCAACCTCGTCGCGGCACAGAGCTTAGGGAAGAGGATGCGATATACCACTGGAGCACCTGAACTCACCATAGGAAAAATGCTATAAACAAACTACCAGGACCACCTTTGGCCAAGCTTTTACCGATCTGGACATAGAGAACTGTCCCGATACTACCACCGATACCGATCAACTGGATATGTCTGGGCTTGAGCTTCCGGTGAGTATGGTCGTAGGTTGGGTTAGACGATTCATCCGCAATTGATTCTTCGCTGTCCTCAATGATAGTCGCCTTTTCAGGATAAGCGGAGGGGCTGCCATTTCGTTTAGTCAAGTTATCCGTTGCCAATTCGAAGTCGCTCGTTGTGGTGTGGGGAGGAGATTTATCACTGTTGATAGCCGTTGGTGGCGTCTGATAGACGTCGGGGTTGGAGTTCGACATAGTGGACGACCAGTGACAGCGGGTTTTTTTCTGTCTCCCTGCGATATTTCGAAAGCATGGGAGGTAATCAAAAGAGAGGAAGGAGTCACAAGAAGTTATACTGTTCCAAAAAAAAAAAAAAAAAAAAAAAAAAAAAAAAAAGGCTAAACGAAGCGATAGAAAAAAGCCAAGAAGAAAAAATATAAAAATAAAAGCAGCCCACTAAGACAGAGCCGGCATTGGAGCAGTACGGAGTACTACTGTAGTAGTCAGTAGTCAGTAGTCAGTCGCAGTTACATAGCAGTAACAGGACAGTCGATCTGGTTGAATTAGGAATCCCTCTATTATCTCTATGATCTCATCTGATGCTGAGAATTCATAGGTAGCTTTTGGAGATTGTCAGATGAGACTCGATGGCAGCCCTGCAGTGATACATCACTCATTGCTTCATGAGTCCTATTGAGCAAAAGAAACTACGGGCGCCAAGGCTATTGCACTTCTCATTCTAGTAGGTGAAGCAGTGCTAGGTGCCCTGAAGTCGTGCGATTAGGGTGAGAGGGTGACCAGTGTGGGAGGTGAGGGTTGCGCAACACTTACCTTGGTCACACTGAGTGGGCGATTAGGATGTTGATTGATAGTCCCTTTCAATCAGAAAATACCGATAGAGGCTACATGCAAATGCTAGGAAGACGTTGGAGATTGATGGTTGTTCATCCAGCTTGGTTTTATGATTTGCCTATCAAGATTTAAGAGGCTGTTAATTAATTGATGGCTTCGCTGGAATGTTTGCCGAGGTTCAGCCAGGAGAACCAGAGATCATTGGGGGGGTATCTCTCTTATGTTGATTCAGGGAGAAACAGAATAATAAAATATCACTCCAAGTTCAGTATCTACATGTCAATTCATACCAAAGCACATAAATAAGACAAAATGAATCCGTGATTGGTGAATTGCAAAATTACTTGGCGGGTTGACTTTTGGCTGTCACCTTATGGCCTAAGAAATCGACTACCGGATTAGGGCCAGTCACTACATCTATCTCGGCATTGGATTCGTAATAATAATAACCTCAATTTGACCCCGAGGATCGAAAAATGGACACGGAGATACTACCCCGGGGAACTGAACAAAAAGAAATGGAATATCACCTAAAGAAGGGTTTTGGACAATCTGCAGAGCAATAAATCAAGTATCATACAGAGTCATTTTGTCGTCCGCATTTGAACAAAGAATGACAACTGCATTTTCAAGCCATATTACATATTACATACATCGTATCAAATCGTCAATCATTATGATTCCAGTCAGTCGAGGATCACTTGGGATATCGGAGTAGATATGGCATTATCGGGATGACCACTCCCAAGCAAGTCCGCATCAGCCTTCTCCGCAATTCATGCTTCAAGTTTGTATAGATGAGTCCACATATGGAAGATGGGTTTCTCCTGTCTGATGGGAATGCTCTGTGCCCTCATGCGATGGCTTCTCCCCAAGCTCACTGGGCGGGAAGAAGGAATCGTTGTCTTCGAAATGGACGTAGTGGGATAGGTCAGAGTCCACGGGACCTGTCCTGCGGCGTATCCCATCATCGGAATTTTGGCTCGACTTGGGAGACGTGCGATCCGAAGATTGAGGGGGACCTGGGAGGGTTTGCGATGAATTCTCCTTGGAGGACATGTTCAATGCTGTGAAGAGCTGGAACAATATAGTGTCCTGAGATCGATGGCAGTAGTTCCTCACGACGTTTCGGTAAAGCTTGAACTGTTAAACTATGATGAACTGTCTCAAATCTGAGAGATAAACACTATCATAGTCACGAGCGCATGATTCTAGTAGCAAGAGAGAGGTAGAAGTTGTAGATGAAGCTGAGGTGCAGTCTCCCACGAGCTGACGTCATACCCACATGGACAATCTACATGGAATGCGCCTGGAGATGTCGCAGAAGGCTTCCTGCCATTTAGTTGTGTTCAAACGGCTGTGACATAGCCTACTAACCAAAAGAAATAGCAATCCTAGCTGGCATGGTCGTCAACTCTCTCCCAGTCTATAATAGGTCGCAGTGGAATGAAAGAGCTCAAATTAGACTGTCATTCCCTACAACATCATGGCTTCAGAGTATATGGCAGAGGCGAAACGAGACTACCATTTGCATATAGTTTAATCTTATCAGCATGACACTCTCTAGCTGGATGGTTCAATCAAGAGCAATGCACAGCTAGTTCGCTTCAGGGTCCCCCCGCATGTGGTCAGAAAGATTATCAGTAACAAAGTCGCTGATATATCTTATAAAGTCGATCTATTAAATTCAGGCAATACAGAACCAGGGAATTGGCCAAGGCATAGCCACTTTTATTGTGCTGTGATATGAGTCCTAGAAAACCGTTCGGACGATAGAAGAGTATTAAGAGCACTCATTCTGAACTTGGACTTTCTGCTGCTCCTCAGTAGGTATACTTGTCTATAACAACAAACCAATAGAATAGACTACAATGTGATTATCCTTACAAGCAAAAATATTAATATGACACCAATTACCATGCACAAGACCCACGGTTACGTCGGCTGCCGAGGTCCCCCGCCTGCCCCGCGCAGAGGAACTCGAAAGCTCTTTAGCTCTTGCGGGCTAAACTCGAACTTTCTCTGGCTCGAAATATCGCAGCATCATCTCCAACAACCCTCTCGGAATCGTCCAGGCAAGTCGCATATCCCGTCACAATGGTTGAACGCGAGCAAGAACCCAAGCGTTTCGAACCCAAGGTTCCCATCCAGCTCGACCCTCCCAAAGATGACCCGATTACCGTGGAGGAATTGTCCAAATGCGACGGTCTGTGCTGCCCGGTTTTTTACCTTGTTGACCACTCCCATGTATGGTGTATGGCTAACGCGACCCTCTGGTCGGCAGGCACGGATCCCAACCGTCCTACCCTCGTTGCGATCAAGGGAATTGTCTTCGACGTGAGCAGGAACCCAGCTTACAGTACCAAGGGCCAATATCACGGTAATATCGATTCTTCTCTGCCTGCTGTGACTGCAAGGAGCGTCGACTGATCTTTGGTGTAGTCTTCGCTGGAAAGGATCCCTCCCGTGCCCTGGCCTGCTCCTCGTTGAAACCCGAGGACTGCAGACCCGACTGGTACGATCTCGATGACAAGGAGAAGACGGTCCTGAGTGAATGGTACACCTTTTTCAGCAAGAGATACAATATCGTCGGAAAGGTCAAGGATGCTACAAACTACTAGGGGAGAAATACAAAACGGTTCGAATCTTCTTGTCCGAGGTTATGCTACGTTATTGAACTGAAGGTGCTATACCCACCCTTTACGAATTCATGAAACCTACTCCCAGCCCCTCCCCCCCCCCTTCCCCTAGTGGAAACATATCAATCAAACATGCTTTTTGTTCTTGCGGCTCTAGCCAAAATGCACCCAAGTACGCCGGGGAATAGAGATAAATACAAATAGAGCTCTATACAATCAGTTCCAGATCCACTCAACTAGGCCTTTCCTTTCCGAGATTTCCGCTGCATCCGTTTCCTAGAGATGATCCGATTGCGTTTGGCGATCTTGTTCTCCTCTTCCGCTTCCTGCTCTCCATTCTGCTCTTTACCGCTGCCACGGCTATCGGACCGCTTCCGCTTCTTGCCATTGGTATTGGCTTTGTCGTTCTGGTCATCCTTGCTCGGGCCCGCTCCATCTTTTTGTTGAGCTTCCTTCTTGGCGCGCGCTCTGGCTTCTTGCTCGTTCCGGCGCTTGACCACCTGAGCGTTCTCAATGGCAAACTCGACAATCAGCCGCTTCTTTTTGTCCTTGACATCCTCGGAGCCGGTCTTGGGCATGTCCACGGCATGTCCGTTGAGCCATCTCAGACCCATCAGCGCGTGCCGATGGGTGTAGTACTCAATGAAACCGTAGCCTCTGCTTCTGCCTGCTCCAGTCTCCTCCCCGATCTTGCTGCCGTCGCGGCTCTCGTAGACGATCTTGGTTTGCCTCACGATACCCTTGCCCTTTTCTTTCCGGTGCTGCTCTGCCTCCTTCATCGCTTCGGCTGACCGCTTGAGTTCGTCCTTGGACAGAGGCTGGCGCAGCCCTTCCTTGGCATCTTTGGCGAAGCCGACGACAGCCTGTCGCGCGAGCTGCTTCAGGTCCTTCGAGGTGACGTGACGCGGGATGTTACGGACCGAGAGACGAGTGAGACTGAGGTGCAGAGCCGGGTTTTTCCTGATGAAGTTCTGTCGCTGCTTGAAACTGTCCTCTCTCATCTTGATCTCGGACGGTGACAATTTCTTGTAGAGAGAAGCACTGGGCGAGATAGTACCCTCCTGAAGGAGGAAAAGGCGGCGCTTGTCGGTATCACGGACGAGCCGCTTTGACACTCCCTCCTCTTCGAGTCTGGTGGCTTGCGATTTGCTTACAGCGCGCGCAACCTGCAGAACACGGCCGTCCAGGGTATATCTGCCGCTCGGGTCGGAGTTCTCGTTCTGAAGGATTGAGTGCTTGAGAGTAGTGGAGGACTTCTTCCCCTTGTCCTTCTCCGCGATCAGGGTATCCTGTTGTTTAGGGGCATCGCGCACGCATGATGCCGCATCCTCCATCTTCCAGAAGCAAACGAACCCGGTTCCTCGCGGACGCTCAGTTTCTGGATCAACGACAATTCGCGCATACCGAAGGGGTCCGAATTGCGTGAAGTGTTCGTAAAGCGACTCGTCTGTACATGTGAAGGGCAGATTCCGAATGAAGATTGTAGAAGCATTTCGCTCGTCCTCCTTTTCTTCCCCATAATCTTCTCCGTCGTCTTCCTCCTCGTCGACATCCTCGTCATCCTCGTCTAAATCTTCGTCATCCTCATCCTCCTCGTCGTCCATGTCCTCGTCCTCATCCTCCTCCTCCTCATTGTCGGAGGCCGCTTCGGCGCCATCGGCCATTTCGACGTCGTTGGAACCGGCTTCTTCCTTGTTATCCTCCTCCTTCGTGGCATCCTTTTGCAGATTCTCCCAGGTCTCCTTATCAACAGCCCAATCCACAGCCAACGTTCTTCCATCCACCTCCTTTCCATTGACGGCCTGAAGTGCTTTTTCGGCGTTCTTCTTTCCCCGCAAAACAACGAAGCCGAAACCTGCCAGTTGATCTCCCTTCTTAGGAAGAGTAACAAATTTAACTTTTCCGAAGCTCCTGAAATGAACCGCAAGATCTTCGGGCGTTTTGATGCTCCATGGCAAGTTTCGGACAATCAGCTTGGGGGGCTGGGTGTCCGCTCTCTGCTGCTCTCGCTGCTTCTTGAGTTCGACCGCAGCAGCAGATGGAACACTCTTGCCAAGGTTCTCATCGATCTCACGGTGACGGGGTTGAGCGTAGTCGACTCGGATCTTCTTGCCTTCGAAAGTGGACCCGTTCAACTCCTTCACGGCCGCCTGCGCATCTTCGAGATCGGCAAAGGTTACGAAACCGTACCCCTTGCACTGCTTGGTCTCCGGATCATTCACGGCAATCGCATGTTTGATCACGTAGGATTGTGAGAAATATTCTGTGAGGCTCTCGGTCGTCGCTGAGGCGGGAAGGGATCGAACGAAGAGAGTTCGTTTAGGCTGTGTAGAGGCTTTCTCCTCCTGAACTGTTTCCTTCTTCGGGGAATCCATGGTGATTTGAGTCTCTCGAGGCGCACTGGTAGCTTCGTCGAGACGTCTTTTCTTGTTCGATTCACCCATCGCTTTGTAGTTGGGGCACTCATTTTTTTTTTTTTTGTAGCGGCAGAAAATTCCCGCGCCAATGTTTCTGCTGGGCGTTCGGGTCTGGGCGGTGAACACAGCTTACCCGGACTTTTGCTGCTGCGATTAGATAGACTGCTGCTACTTACTACTGATAGCGAGAAGTAAGCAGTAGCAAGTCCAACTAAATGGTGACGAAGGGCCAGATTTGAGATACAACACAGAATGGCCGACAAAACTGCTGGTGATGATACGGCTTTCAACTCTCTTCTTAGCGCAGAAAGCACGGCTGCTCCTAGAGATACTGGAACCCCTCTGCAATCGACTTCTGGTCGTTCTACACCTTCTAAAATTCAACAGCCTAAACCACAAGTGCTCGCAAACAGATCCGGCCCCTCGGCGATTCTTGTCTCTTCCAGGCAAAAGGGCAACCCTATCCTAAACCACATCAAGCTTTTACCCTGGGAGTATGCAGATATACCCGCCGATTATGTCCTCGGAGCGACTACCTGCGCGTTGTTTCTATCGCTGAAGTACCACCGGTTACATCCCGAGTATATCTACTCTCGAATCAAGGCACTGGCGGGGAAATACATGCTTCGGATACTATTGATTATAGTGGATATACCCAATCATGAAGACAGTTTGAAGGAGCTTTCCAAGACGTCAATTATCAATAATCTCACGCTGATGCTATGCTGGTCGGCCACCGAAGCCGCTCACTACCTCGAATTATTTAAAGCGTCCGAAAACGCCCAACCGACCGCAATTCGCACTCAACAAGCTCAGTCCTACAAAGAGTCCCTGGTAGAGTTTGTTACGACGCCCAGAAGCATTAACAAGTCTGATGCAGCGAGTCTGATATCTACGTTCGGAAGCCTACAGAACGCTATCAACGCGCAGCCAGAGCAGATCAGCGCTGTACCCGGTTGGGGTGAAAAGAAGGTTCACCAGTGGTGCAATGCAGTGAGGGAGGATTTCCGAGTGGAAAATGCGAAGAGAGTAAAGGCACCTGAGAGAAGTCCGGTGGATGCTGGTGAGAATACGACAGGGTCTGGGAAGATGTATGAGACGACCGAAGCGGCCATGTATCTTGCGGAAGCGGAAGGGAGGAGTCAGTTGGAGACTCAGAAAGGACCGTTGGCGGATGATACTCCGCAGCAAGCTGGCTACGCCGAAGAAGTGAGTGATGGCATTGCTGCAGCTCTCGCAAAACTTCGAGAAAGTGGGGGCTGAATTCTTGACCGAGCCATACCATGTTCGAGGTTCGAGAATAATAGCGGCCCCCATAATTACGATTGACGAGCAATTGGTCCATCCTAATCCGGGAGAGATCTCATTATCTGCGTCTTTTTTTTTTTTTTTTTGTCAACATGCCTTGAGTCCATGACTCCAATGGAGACAACAAAACTGGTCAAATGCTGATCAGCCGCTTGAACCAGCGTCCGGATATCCGGTAGTCCAGTGGAAAAGGACAATTCTCACAAACGGGCTGAGTGATAGCATGCAAAGTTTGCTGTTTCGTACTCATCGTCCACTTGCCAGAAGCTGCACAAGCGGAACTAGAAGGGCATGACACATGCAGCTAATTTGTGTGGAACAGCCAACCTATGGCTACTCGACGAATGGCCGTGGGAGCCGAGATAGCTCGAGCGTCTGATGGACCATCTCAAGCACAGAAAGAAATAACAATGGGGTGAGCCGATCAAGGCTGCAGGCTGCAGCATAACAGTCCGTTTAGCCCATGAGGATAGGCCGCCAATAAGATCAGTGGAGCTGCCGCATCTCGTATTGCCGTCATTCCTATATGCTGGACGCAATAAAGCTTTTGATACCTCGGTCTGAGGCGTCTGCCACTCTGCCTGCACAGGTGACAGAAGATATCAAGAAATGGCTGCCACAGATAGATTGTGTTTATTATGTACTATTATTATTCCCGTAAATTGTGCTGTGCGCAGTCGGATGCAGTGCTTGCATATGCATCACGTGATAATACATAGTGGGGCACCGCTCAAAAGGGCAATCGGGCTGGCGCCGAGCATTGGAGTCTCGCGATTTCCCGTCTCTGGCTAATTTCCAGCTATCCTTGAGATGCGCCAACGAAACCAAATCGCAGCCCTAATGATAGCCAACGCTTGAAGAACGTTGCTTAATCGTCCGAGGAGCGAGTCAGCGTTCTCCACTGACAAGCCGGACAAGGTTTACTCCACTCGTTTACTCCATTATACATACTACCAAGCTGGATTAGGATCCGTACTATTTTTACCCAGATTGGTTCGGCCAAGGCCGGATCATGAGAAGATGGCAGAGGATGGCCAGGATGCTTCCTCGAACGGACACTTCGACCAGGAGACGCAGAGCTCAGGTAGAGCAGGCTTCTCTGCAACCCTACCCGCGCGCCGGTCCTCTGGCCGTTATGCTGCCGGGGAGCAGACGGGGTCGTCCGGCAGCAGCCACCCTTCCAGGGGGGGCCAGCAACCACAGAACCCCCAATCTAAGAGCTTTGAGTTTGTCCTCGTTACCGACAACGAGTCTAGACGACAGGTCCGCCGCCATGCGATGCGCCAGTATATGCGTCAGCGACGCCTAGACAGTATCGCACGACTAGAGACACCTCGTTTGCCAATCGGCGGTTGGGTCAGCCGCCAGGCAGCGTCTGAAGTTTCCACGTTAAACAGTCCATCCTCTCAGATTGAAGATCCTCTGAAAGATGTCCCTACAGACGAGGAAAATATACCACCTGTTGACGATGTGGAGTATTGCGCCTTGGAAGCGGGAACCGAGCCTTCGATGGCCTTGGTCTCTCAATCATCCTCAATCAAATCGGAGGAGTCTTCTCCTCTTCCATTTATTAGCTATAGAACCCCGGATCCGCTGGCGAGTCCTGGACATGGGGCCATTCAGGATCCTTTTAGCAGTTATCCAATTCCTGTTAGTCACACTGATCATAAACTGATCCAACACTGTAAGTCTTCTTTCTCCATCACGTACATCGCAGGTTGTGGATTGCGCATAGTGCCATATCGGAGCAATGAGAGGGTCGGAGGTGCAACTCTAGAATCTGGCGCAGAAAAGACTCCTCATCTTCTCTTGGCCAAGGGCTTACAAATGCAAAGTTATCGTGACCTATCCGTCTATGATGTATAAGTTTGCCGACTCTGTTGCAAACAACCCTATGTTGGAGATATTCCGGCAAATCGCACTGCATGACGGTCTTCCGTTCCAGGCGATGCTCGCCATTGCATCCAAGCATCGAGCCGGGGTCGAAGGCAAGACAGATTCTGTTCAAAGCCTTACTCACAAAATGCGAGCGCTTCGAATGATGAATGAGCGAATGCAAGCAGACTCGCAGGGCCTGCAGGACGGAACCATATATGCCGTAGCCACAATGGCAGTAATTGAGGTAAGTCGTCGTACATCCTGAGTTTGTATGTGTACTTACAAAGTCAAGAAATGGTCGAAGGATGCTTCTATCGAGCGGATGCACTGCAAGGGACTGGCATCTATGGTCCGAAATCGAGGCGGAATGCGAGGCATGCGAGCCTCTAATCCATTTCTGGAGAAGGTCCTATACTGGTAACTGCCTTTCGCCAGACACCCTGAGATCATAACCTGGTTGACACAAGCGTAGGGTGGACTTTAGTTGCGCACCGAATGCAACTTACACTTCATGTCTACCCTGGACTGGCGCCATTCCTGACACTCTCCCTGAGAGCCTTGACTTTCTTGTTTCAGAGGAGCCGCTCGCCATTCCGCATCATTTGGCCCAAATCGAAGGGTCTGAGAACTTGTACAATTACTTTCGGGCCGGTGAAGACTTTCTGCGATTCTTCCGTCGTCTCTACGAATTGGAGAATGCCATGTTAAGCACCCGCAGTGAAACTCCAGGCGGACACACCACTCCTCGCGTCAAGCGCTTTAGCCCGGGGACGCAGCTGCATTCCATTCTTACAATGCTTCCGGACTATGACCACGGAATCTGCGACATCAGATTCATTGACGAATACACCTGCATGGCCTGTCTTTTGTTTCTTGCTGTCGCCCTCTACGACTCCTATCAGAACTCCACCGATTTCGACCACTACCTCGAGTGGCTGGACATGGAGATCCAGAAGCTCAGCCCCCGCGGAAACCCAAGCATTGCTTCCGTCCTATGGCTCTTCCTGAACAACGGCGGGTACGCCCACGGGCAAGCCGGCGATACCGGCGAACGGTGCTGGGCCGTTTCGCGCATGGTGCGCATCGCAAAACGCCTCGAGTGGAAACACCAGGGCACGATCTGGGACCGCCTCCGCCAGGTCCTGATCAATTTCATACTGACTCAGCAGGAGTGCGCGCTGGGGTCAGATAGCATCGACGATGCAGCAGTGGACGCCCAACAGCAGAGACGCGGTCAGCCGAGGGAGTATTTCTGGGACGAGGACGAGATGCGCGAGGAGATTCTCGGGACCCAGCAAGCTGCTGCCCTCGCTTACTCTGAAGTCGGGACTCCTGCGCCTCTATCAAGCGGCATTGGGGACCTGTGCTTGGGATAGTCTGACGAGCGAGAAACACGATATTTACGCATGATGAATCGGTTGGATGGATTTGGACATATTGATATTTTCCATTACATTACATACGGTGATATATCTTTTATGATTGACGACCTTGACCTGTACAGTCTCAAGTACTTACCTTTCTTCTCTGATGTACATGGCTGTACAGTTCTTACGATGTACCTCGAAACGTACATTCACATATATCATCGCCTCATGGGACCAGATGGCACTTTCCACTTTCACTTTCACTTTCACTCTCACTTTTCAATTGGATCAGGAATCCTCCCAAGCCAAGGCCCATGCTGTTACCAGGTCTATCGTACATGCAAATCAAGGTGGGTATTGAATTGTCTCTCTAAAACAACGAAAAAAAAAAGCAACGGAATGGGGGAAAAGAGGCAAAAAAAAAAAAAAAAAAAAAGCCATGCGCGGAAAACCTTCCGTCAACAAAAATGAGATCATATGAATGATGTATGACAAACCATATCAGAGGTCAAGGTCTAAAGCGGATATGTAGGGTTGTTGTTTCTTTTTTGAAATATTCCATGGGAGGTGGGTTCATTTTGATGTTGGGAATAGTGGCACAATCATGATGACATTAGAAAACAACGAAAAAGAAGAAGCAGGCTGGATGCATCAGGGACCATTGCCGGGGGGGACGTCGTCTACGTCGGCTTGTCACATCCGATCCGGCCAAGCAGGGCCTTGCGATCGCTCTGGTCGCCGAGCCGGACTCGTCCCCGGCCTCGGGACCGCACGTTGGTTGGCCCGTTCGCGGTGCGGCGCCAGTCGCCGTTTGGCCCGTCGGTGATGGCTGTGTTGCTGGCCGGCATGGCGTCCTTGGCCGTAGTGCGGACCTCGTTCTCCTCCTCGTCGTCGCTGCGGGTGTCCTCGGCGTTGCCGGTGCGGAGCACGCCGACAGCCACGCGAACAACCATCACGAACCAGATGATGGACAGCAGCTGGAGGGCCAGGAGGAAGCCCAGGAAGATCCACTTGATCGTGCGGTTCATGCAGATGGGGCCGTCGATGTTGAGGAACGGGTAGAAGAGGTAGCGGAACTGGTCTGGGTAGCCGTTCGTAGAGATCATCTCGGCTGTGGTCCCGGAGTAGCAGCCGTAGGCCATTGCGTCGGGTACGTCCTTATAGATGGACCAGCACAGGCGCGGGTATAAAATATGGCGTGTGACCAACCAGGTCACCATGAACAGGACAAAGGTGATATTGCAGGACAGTTCGTATTTGAGGTACTTGAGGATCTTGGCGGTCTATTGGGCAAACAAGTCAGATATTAAAAAAAAAAAGCGCTTCTCTCCGCAGAAGGGGAAGTCTCGCGAAGGTCATACCGGTAGCAACAGGTCCACGATATCCATCAGGCACAGCACGACATTCGACACATTGTAGAATCCGTAGATGTAGGCGGAGCTCAGGAGGGCGCTTGTGATGACATGGTGGGTCAACATCTGGTAATGATCCTTTCGTCGCTCTTCGATATTGATTACCAGGATCTGCTGGAACCAGAACGACAGCTGCGCGAGGAGATACCATTTCAGGTGTCCGGACACACCGCGCGCCGGCCATTGGGCCCAGATGGCCTTGAAGTCCATCCAGTAGTTCGAGTTGGCCCAGATGTACTGCGCCCGCATGGTCAGTCGCCGGCTACGAGGGAGAGGGATGCAGCGGGACGTACCATGCCAAAAGTGCAGAAGAACGCATAGTACACCCACATCCATGCCTGCTCAGCAACGCGGATGGAGTTCTTCCGCTTCAGTCCGCCAAATCTGGCGGCTGGTTGGAAGACCCATTCGATGCTAATCGCACGAATAGCGGTGAATGTGATGGCGGAGCTGATGACGAAGTACACATCATCAAAGCCCTGGACATAGTCCCCTTGGGCCGGCCGGTAGTACGATAACTGGAAGAAGGGCGCGGTATACGGTCGCAGGGAAGGGTAGAGGTTATGAGCCGCCAAAAGTGTAGCGAGGATCGTCAAGGAAATCCCTGTAGGTGCACATCAAGAGCAAGGGTCAGCCTGTTGGTTCATATTCCGCGCCATTGACGCTCGAGCGCAGACGCAAGAACTACTTTCTTCGACCACGGAACTAATTGGGCAAGTAATCCATTGGAATCTTGGAAAAGCATGCAACAACGGTGGGTGGAATCCCATTTCCAACGCATTTAAAAAGAAACAATTGTTCCATACCGATCTGATTTGTGACCATCCATTCTCGAAAGGTCGTCTCCTTGGAAGCAGCCCGATGGCCAGCGGAAACGCAAGTATTGAGCTCCGAGACGGACTGCGATTGCGTGGACACGTCTTTGGCCATGACGGGGGGGGAGTGCGGGTTGTGAATGCTGCAGGTCAAGGATCACTGATGCTGGAAGAAGCAGCAACAGCAGCGCAGTCTGCAGAGGAAATCCAAGCAATCAATGATGGATTCTCACGACTAGGGACCGATTCAACAATTTCAGAAACAAAGTCTAAGTGGTTGATAGGGATGGAAAGGAGCAGTCCAATTACCACTCCCGACACCACTAGTTACCAACTTGCAATACACAGACCACAGAGGACCAAAGTCTGTGTCTGTGTTCTTTCTGCCACTTCCTTCCGTGCCCACTCGATATGGCCCGCGGTTCCGCTGCGGGTACCTGTTGGGGGGGGGGGAAGGCAAAGGCTCGAGGATTGTGTGTCTGGTCGAGGGTGGACAGAATGGCTGTTCAGCTGGAGAGCATAGTCACGAAAGGAAAGGGAAGAGAAAAGTGGAAAGAAAAGAAAAAACGGATTGAGTGTGTTCTCCGCTGAGGAGGAAGATCTTCGAGGTTGACGCAAGGGTACGTAAGTAAGTGAACCTAAGGCCACTTAAAAACTGTATTTTATTGAAACAACGACTACTGATGAGGGGAGTGTTTCGCATTTGAGGCCACCCCCACAGTATGAGTCTGATCTGGCCTCGTTGGATCTACAACGAGGACGGTAGGCTTGGACTCGAGACCTTACAAGATCTCGCTATTCATCATGGTAATCAGTCAATCCAACCTGTAGAATATCTCCTGAGAAAATTCAAACTTCAACTTGTTCAACTTCATTCTATAGTTGATTGAGGGCATATCAAAGAGGGTCACCTAAAGTCACACTAAATTGTACCTATCATAGTCTGTACCGCAGGATCCATGTAATGGTAGGTATGGCTCACCGCCTATCAACAAAACAGTAAATACTTCCCTGGACCCTGATTTGACCTTACCTTACCTTACCTTACCGTTTAATACAGTACAATACATTCCAATACATAAGTCTCTCGGGCAGTGGATAGGTAAAGTTCCCGTACTTTGCCCGCATAATCTCACACTCTCGCCCCCAATCGCAGCAGCCAAATACTTCACACGCTGTGTCCAGAGGCTGTCTTTCAAGCGACGGCTTTACAGCTAATATAGGGTCTGGCTCGTCGCTTGATCATACATACATACATACATACATCATCAACTGGCAGGAGTTCGTGATCTTATCCCAAGGCAAGAGATAAACGATCGATCCAGACATAGAGCAATAGTGGTTGAGCCGTAGAACTTTGATTTGATTGAACCAGGGTAAATGTGCGAATTGAACCAACGCGTTCATATGGATGCAGGTTTCGCTATTTGGATCCATTTACTGACCCTCCGACTCAACTTCATCTAAACCTGCCGTGACGCCGTTGACGTACTCAGCCGCACTGACACCCAGCTTGGCCAAATCCACCCCTCCCTGTCCCGCCATCGCCCGCGACATGGCTCGCACCACTTCCTCCTCCTCCCAGATATTGCTCGGCGCCATGGAGGGATCGCCCTCCGCGCCGCCGGCGCTCATCGCGACCACCGTCCGCCAATACGCATCGTCCCGATCCTTCAGAACCTTGTCTCTCACCACGGCATTCCGCGCCACACTCATCGCGTGCAACTTGGAGCTCGCTCCGGCCAGGGATGTCAACGAGGCCGAGACCAGCTGGTCGACTTGGTCGGCCTGCGAAGGAGGCGTGAAGAAGAACCGGTTCGTGGCGGAGATGTAGATCAGAAGCGCGCAGATTCCGTCGAAAATGGCAAATGCCAGCGGGCGGAAGAGGGTGATTTGGTGATACAAGCTCGATGGCGGAGAGATTCCCGCGCGCACCGCAGCCGAGGCGGACTGCACCGGATCGTAGGTGGAGACGATGTAGATGTCCACTGCGGCCAGGGCCAGGCCAGCGATTGTGAATTTGTTGCGCCAGCCAGCGGCGTCGCGGCCAGCGAACGGTGTCGCGGTCACCAGGCCCACCACGACCATGTGGAGAAGATGCGGGAGCAATGTGTTGAAGGGGAGGTAGTAAAGAAGGTATGTCTTGAGATTGTCGACCGAGCAGTATTCGCACGATGTCAGGGCGTCGGGTCCGTAGCGAAGGTAGACCCGCCGAGCGACGACTGATGTGAGTTTCGAGCGGAGGAGTTTATCTGCCTCGGTGAGGGTGTCGCCCGGCCGGAACCGTGCCAGTCGGCTGAAAATAACATCGGTCGGGGTGTTGATGCGTGAACGTGTTTGGGAGAAGATACTGGGAGACGGCGCATGAGGATTGAAAGGGAGACTGAGGAGGAGACATAAGAGGACGGAGAAGAAGAGGACGTTGAGCGCTCGTTGACTAGATGAATCTAGCGGACGAGGTGTAGGACGCTGTGCTATGGCGACTCGGAACCCGCGATAGAAGTTGATCACACGCGGGATTAGGATGGGCGCGAAGAAGATCAATAGGGATTTGATGCTGTAACGGATACTGTTAGGTCTGACGATGGCAAGAACAAGGTAAAGAGTGCACATACGTCCCAAAGGAGATCCCGAATTCCACCATTTTCTCTGAAAGGAAGCTCGAGCAACTCAAACACCTGGCTGCCGCATCTCCTGTTGATGCATGGATGATGATAATGACAGCTAAGCGGATCCTCACTTTGTTCCTTTGCGACAATTCTTAGTGAGCAGGTAATCTTATCGCATGCGCCAAGCGACGACCACCGGTGGGCCAATCACAGGCTACTTTTATACTTCGTTCTCTTCTAGGGAGTTCAGACTGTTTACTGTACCTACAAGGGCTCAGGTGAAAGCAATAGATAATTGATAGGGAAGCTGGCTGAGCTGTGGTATTATGTAAATAACTAGAGAATGGATGATATAAAACAGGTGTTTAGAATAACAGCCAAGAATGCGATGCTTGTGTCGAAATTGACCTTTCCCGGTCAGTGAACGCCCTCGCTAATATACCCTGAGCGTCGAAACGAGTAAACCCCTTCATAATCCAAAGCTTTGCCACTGTCTCACCGCATCTACACCTGTGAGGAATACATGGCTGGATGATGGGCAATATCAGGAACAGTCACTCCTGACGAGTCCCTTGAGTATTTTGACGATGCGGCGTCGTTCAGGTTCATGGGCGAGGAGATTTTCAACGGAAACCGAGTCATACTCCGCGCGGAGCCCTGTCTCCTTACGGGAGACTGCGAGGTATATGTTGGCAGCGAATCTTCTCGCTTGATGCCGAGCTGAAAGGAGCGCTGGCTGCTTGCCCGTGTGACCACTTTCTGAGGTGCCACCGCTCCATACACTCGGACATGACGTGCAGTAACCCCAGCAGAACGATCCGCGAAGATAAAACTCTGCCGTAGACGAGGTTAGTTTTCATGGCAATTTATCTATAGAGAGACCTATAACTTACCGATGCCAGATTTATCAGACTCATGACCATGGCCAGAATTCCCGCGGAGACCACGATTCGCCAAAATGCAAGCCCCAGCGACTCCTGACTTGTAGCTGGCGTGTTCAGATCCCCCAAGACCGCGATTCCAAGTAGTAGCATAGCGACAGCTAGTGTGACGAACCCGGAATCCTGGCCAAACAAAGGCCAGTTGTGATCGAAGTAACCGCGGAAGAATGGTAATTCTGAGAGTATAAGGAAGACTGTACTCGCGGGTCAGTGTCATGAGTTGGAAGCACAGCTGCAAGATGATGAGGACTGAGTACTTACTACTGACTCCAGCAGCCATGACATGAGACACAGCCTGGAAGAAGAAGAAGCTGTTCAAAAGAGAGATTTTCACGATCATCACCGCGCTTGCTGCGATGATGTCCAGAAAGACAATGATGTTCAGGACGCGTATAGCGTTCAAAATCACAAATCCTGGTCCAGCCAAGGACTCCTTCAAGAAAGCCATCATGATCGAAGTGGTGGACAAGATGCTGTACCATACAAGAGAGAAGAGTCGGTATGAAGTACGATGCTTTTTAGAAGATGTTATAGCGCACAGCGGAGGGGAAGTTAATAAAAGAAGGTAGCAGCACACGAACTGACCAGCAGCACTGTGTAAGAACGAAAATTGAAGCGAGGGACAGGGAGAAAGGGAGAAAGAGCCCGCCGACGAGGTCAAACCCGGGGGTTAAAGAAAGAGCACAACAAGAAAAGTGAGGCAACAATAGACAAAGACCTTTTTGATTTAACACCATTCTGGAAGCCCCTTTTGGGCCGTAGCGCCAGAAGCACTGCATGTTAGACTCAGGAATAACAGGGCTGAATCGAAGCCCAAATGAATCGGACGACAAAGACCGCCGTCAATGAGCAGGATTTTGGACTTGAAACACAATGAAAACAGCCATTCGTGATCAAGGACCATTCATGGTTACCTTAAGGACAAAGAGAATCTGTTCCAACAATAGAAGACTCGTCTGAATGACTCTAGAATAACTTCAGTCCGTCAAGTCCAGCGGTTCTTTCAAGCCATACAGCATCCCTCGGGTAACAGGAGCCGCCAGTGGCTCCCACTCGATGTTCTGACTGTCTATCCTCATCTTCATCGTGCTTCAGCTTGGCCGTCAAGCGCATCTGTGAGTTATCTGTATAGGATCAGCAGAGAGGATGGCATCGCTGCGAGATTGCCAATCATCTCGAAACGTCCGTTTCATTTGCTTGCCTTGCGATACCTGCCAATTGGCTATCATTTAGGCTTTGTCTTCTCTCCAAAGCCGGGGAAGCAACGGAAATTCCTCAGCTCCAATCGATTCTTTGTCAGTCTCTGGATCGGAAACAAGGTATTCTTAGTCTTGTAGTTAAGCGCCTACTCCGAGAAGGCGCCGCAGTGATGTCGCCTCAGTGGTCAATATCCCAACGCATAGGGATAACTGCAGGAATGGTATACATTTAAGCGCTGTCAAGAGTCAGGATTCAGACTAGATATACCACCACTGTGACTCCTCCAATCCGTCTTGATGAGAAGCTAACAATAGCATCAGGATGAGAACGGAATTCCCCAAACAGGGCTGCTGTTCCGAAGATTAACTTCTGCGATAGAGTTGTTTAACCGGCTGAGTCGATCCAGTTTATGCTTGGTCGATGCTCAGAGGACAATTTTGCACAGTCATAGTCGCTCTGGATACTTGAAGCGTGGAATATGTTGGAGGACTGGTTACTTACAACCAATTGAATCCTCTACTCGAACCGCCAGGATTTAAGCGCTTCGATTTGAGGTGAGAGAGGATCTCCCTCATTGACTAGGACAGTCAAAGCGCTTGTCACTGGAGAATCGTCCTACGCGATTCTGGTAGTTTTTCTAATCATGGATGTGTCCAATACAGAATCCTTCTCTTGCGGTTATACTGTCATGCGATGAGGCTGTTGACAAGTGAAAAGTACACGGTTTCGGGTCAACATAGAGCTTTCTGAACCAATTCTCTCGACAAATTTCTCGACAATCTTCCAAAGGGCTTGATGTGATTGGGACTTGCTAGGGCCTTTCAAGTCCTGTGTCGAGAATCAGGCGAAGCAATAGGATTCACATCTGCTGAAAGTTAACAAGCCACAGAGTCTTTCACAATGCTTTTATGAATTAAGGTCAGGGCCAAGTCCATGAATGCCCCGTTTAAATGTGTTTAAACATTTTGTATCTACCTTGCCTCTGAGCGGCCTCATGGCCAGGACAGGCAAAGAATGACCGGGGCTCGGCGGACTATTAAAGGGAATGGTATGGACGCAGACAGAAAATTCCCTCAATAGTCTGGAACGTTGCCCTCTCTCTCTCTCTCCTCTCAACTCACCGAACCCGTCATATTTGCAGACCATCCCTTTCTATTTTCATCTAAGCGATTTCCATATCATTTGAACAAGCCAAAATGACTCGCGGAAACCAGAGAGACAGAGATCGTGAGAAGAATCTCAAGGCCAAGTCCAAGCAGGTTGGTTTCCTTTGTTCCCCGCCATACACATGGAGCACTGCGCAACAAATAACCACAAACCATCCTTGTTGCTTTTCCCTACAAACGAATATGTTTCAAAACGATAGATTTTAATCGGATTTTATCTATAGAAAGCTGGAAACTCGATGAGTGGCTCCGAGTTCCAACGCAACAAGGAAAGCGTCGCCGATATCATGCGCGCAAAACAGGCAGCTGGTAAGCCGCCCCTCAGTCCACCTGCACGGTTTTGCGCTTCCAGATACAACTGAACTGACATACTTTTTCTTTTTCTCTCCGGGACAGCCGATGCGAAGAAAGCAGCGGAAGCAGCAGCAGGGAAAAAGAAATAGCGACCCTCCGCCATGAACGTGTCGAGTACCTGTTTGACACAGCTGAGACTTCCAGTCGCGCGCACCTCTTTTTCGCCGCTCGTCTTTCGCATAAGGGTCGTTTTCATACATTGTGTGACTGCTGCGAGCTCTTGGGACGCCAGGACCTAAATTTGGTTACTCTACAGTTGTCCGAGTCGCTGTACTGGATGAGTCTGCTATGTCACGTTGAAGTCCGGGGCGGGGGTCGCGCATATGTCCCTCGGTTGTGATGACGAGAGCTCGATTGGAGACATTTTGGAGTCTTTGGCGCATATTATTAGAGCATCTACAATGAGCGAGGCGTTTCTTTCAAAACACATGGCGTTCGTCTTTCCTTGTAAATCAAACAGGCGCCGGTTCTGCGCTAAACGCATTTGATGGGTATCATGGATATTGATTATACTTAATATACAGGAATTGCCTATTCCGAGGCTCAGTGAGCTTTGCATTTCACCCAGTGGCGCCGATGCCCCCAGTCGGTCGGTCAACAGTCCAACAATCCTTCGCTCTGGCCATCCAGGTCTTCCATGATTTCTGCAGAGTTACTAGGCCATTCTTTCTCTCGTGATTCACCTGGGCAAAATCTATCAACTCAAGCGGCTGGTTTGTGTTGAGATGTTCCCAGACAGCCTCCTCCACACCAAGCACCCTACTTGCCAACTGGACAAACGTCCAAAGACTTTCACCCTCCCACCGGACATGCAGACCAAACATAACGGCTTTGTCAATAATATTCAGGTGTATGTTATTGTCCGGAATAGCCTCCAGCAGATAAAGCATGAACATCCAACCAGAGATATCCGTCGGATGGGCAAGGCACCAGTCCAAAGTGCGGTCGGTGACTGCCAACGCCAGCCGGGAGGCGCTGTCTGTAATATCCTCTATCTCATCCAATTTACCGGCCATGGCAGCGTGGAGCTGGCGCATGGAGCTGAAAGCGTAGTAGTTTCGCGGATGCAGCTCCCCGGCGCGGAGAACAACCGTCAGTTCCACCTGAAATAGTTCGTATATCTTCTGCTCGAGATTCAGAGGCGTCTTCGGCTGGAGAGGAGCAGTTTGTAGTGGTTGAGATGGCACATCCAACGAATAAATCGTGAGCATATGCTCCAACAGCCATAAGCGATGTTGCCAAAGTGTCGGGGACTTGGTATGCCGATGCAGCGGGGAACAAAGATAGGTCGTCAAGAGCGAGCGTTCTGTTTCCAAGTCGCGCACCAGTCTCTCTCGGTCAGCGTCATTTGAGTCCTGGGGGTCCTGGCGGCGGATCAGAGCATCGAGCTGCTTCTTCCGCCAATTACACGCTGTAAGATGCTCGCAGTCGAAGAGCAAGATGATTTCCGAGGCGATGGACGGATCATCGTAAGAAGTGGCATCGCCCTCGACCACGGGAGTCCTGAGGTTGGAAACGGAACCCAGATGCTTGAAAAAAATGCTCCGTGCAGCGACAAAGGCCTGCACCAGGTATTTCTTGGTGATGCCTACCGAACATCCATCTTGAAGGAGTGGTCCAAGATCCGGCGGCAGAATCTCGATCTCAAGGGTGCGATCGCCTCTGCTTTGGAGGATATGGGCGAGCTCCTTATACGCATTCGCTGGGGCCGACATCTGGTGGTGTGGACGACATCTGAGGGTGGGATTAAGGATGCCGTCCATTCATTATTGTGTTTGGAAATAAGTAGACTGGCCCAGCCAGATAAAATATTATTATTGTCGTTGTTTGGTTTGTTTCCTTATCTTAGTGGCAGCCGACGGGGGAGGCGGAGAACGCACAGATCGAGGCCACTTGGACAACGTCATTTGCATGAGCTCTCCTCCCTCAGCTTCATCAAAGCCACGGTGACTGGATATTCTGCTTTACGAAAGCGTTGGGCGGTTGTACAGAATACTAGAGTTTAACGACACGATCTTTTACGAGTCTTCCTCGACTATCTCGCTGGAAGTGGGCTTCGAAGACCTTCAGTCGAGCTCGGAAACCCTGCTGTGCGAGTCTGGGAGAGCCTCTTCTACAAAGAACAACCATCCATCCAAACATTCAAGATGCTGTCACTCATCCTGACTATCTTCTTCGTCCATGTCGCCATATATCTGGTGAACACGGCAGGTGCCAGCACCATTGACACTGCGGTATGTTCTTTCTTCACCACACTCACCGTGCACATCTGCCATAGCATTGCTGGATTCAAATCACCCACGGCCGGAATTCAATACAAAGAAGCAAAGTCTAACTGGTCTGTTATAGCTATGGGCCTTATACCTGAAGCTCCCTACCTCGACGGCGAAGAATGCCCGCGAGCAAAGCCGGCTCAAGCGCGAGGTCGTCCAGCTGAACCGCGAGATGAACAACACCAGTTCCCAGGACGAGTTTGCCAAATGGGCAAAGCTGCGAAGGAGACATGATAAGGCCAAGGATGAATACGAGACAATCAGTGCGTGTCCCTTCCTCCAGCTCCTTTGATGATGATGGTGCTGCTGCAGAACCGAGTCACCACGGTGGCCTGCTTCTCTTCCCTCCCGCGCCAAAACGTACCAGGACTCAAAAAATCCCGCTAACAACGCCCGTGATGGAATAACAGACCAAGCGCTTACGAGCCAGAAAACCTCCTTCGACTGGGCTGTCAAGATCGCTCGCTGGCTCAGCACCAGCGGCCTCAAGATCTTCCTGCAGTTCTACTACTCGAAAACGCCCGTCTTCGCGCTCCCCGCCGGCTGGTTCCCGTCTATCGTCGAGTGGATGCTCTCTTTTCCCCGGGCCCCTCGCGGTTCGGTGAGCGTCCAGGTCTGGAATAGCGTCTGTGCGACAGCAATCGCAGTCATGGCAGAGATTTTCGCTGCCATGTTGGTGCGCATGAGAGGTCAGGCAGCTGCTCGTACTCCGGCGGCGAAGGCTCAAAAAACGCAATGATTGAATGATGGTTTATGTGTTATTACGGAAAAAATACGCATTGGAGATTGTAACATAAGACTGAATGGATGTCCTGATTGTCTAACTCTTATAAACTACCCCTTAAAGAATCCATAGCATCAAGCACCCAACACATATATTGATAATGAGTTCGTCAGATAGAAAACAATCGTTTATCTTCACAACCCCATGCCGTAGCAGGGGTATCTGTGCTTGACTCTATGATTGGTATATCATCACTCGAACCCACGTGCATGTCGACGCCAACACGAGACAACATAAAAAGAAAATAGAGTCCGGCCCCTTCGACAAGGCATCTGTGGCCGCAAACCAGCCACCGCTTTGCAATAAGCTACAGACTCGAGAGAGATGAGAAAAAGGGAATGTTGTGAACTCCTCGCCTCAAGAATGAGCCCCATTGAGTTACCCGGTTAGAAAAAACCAGGGCAATCGCATGACTATCCAAACACGACGAAAGGCAACCCAATCAAAACCCCTCTCCGACACCCCGCTATACCGCCATTGTGTCCACCGCAGAGGGCGTCGGATATAGGCAGGGCACCGGGAGGGAGTAGGGCAGTCAGCCGCTGTCGAATTGCTTCTATGGCGGCGCGTTTCCGCATTGCCTACCGCGGATCCCGAAGGATCAGGGCAGGGTGTCCGGGGACTTTCTCCCAAAGCTTGGGAGGAATATCGGGGATGATATTCCTGTGTGTGAGCTTTGAATGCGATTCTTTGAGCGAGGAGTTGAGGAAGGAAGAAAGAAGTTCGGCAGAGAAAAGTTTTGGCTTTTTAATGCTCGGTGGAGACTCTGGTAGTGTACGCTAGACCGTAACTGGTATAACTTGTCACGTGATATTTTAGCTGACCGGCCAATCAGCTGCGTTGTCGTTTGGATAGGGGCATTACCTAGTATGAAGACTTGAACTTGGTCAACTGTTCGAATGGTGATACAACTACATAACTGCATCCAAGTTTCTGTCCAATGGATATGAGCCGAAGTCTCAATTCTGTTTTGTCTTACGATAGGGAAGCAAATGCAGCTCACAGCTCATTGAAGGCAATATATTCAACAGTTTATCCCGAACATACAGCAGACCCTTTTATGCTAAAGAAATACAGAAACCTGAGCAGAAGCAATATCAACATGTTTACGCCTTCTTGGCCTTACCCTTGGCCTTTTCCGCCTTCCTGGGCTTTGCTCCAGCCTTGGTAGCTGGCGAAGCCGCCGCGCCGTTGGCTCCCTTCTTCACGGCTGCCTTCTGTCCTTCCTGCTTGGGTGTCTCCTGCTTAGGAGTGGACTGGGTTCCCTTCTTCTCCTTCTTGGACTTCTTAGGAGTCTCCTCGACCTTCTCCGCCTCCTTTTCCTGCGTCGAAGGTGCCTCAATGGCCTTGACGGGCTCTTCGGCCGGGGTCTCGGAACCTTCAATCGCCTTGGGCTCTTCCTGGACAGGAACATCCTCCACGCTCTTCAGCTGGGGGAGCTCATATTCGTATCCCAGAGCCTTGAGCTTCTCGGCCTTGGCAAGCCTTTTCTTCTGCTCCCTCTCGATGCGCTCTGACCATTGCTCCCGGGTCTTGCCCCTTTCCAGTCGCTTCTTCTCGATGCGGTTCCAAGGGGTACGCTTGAACCGTCTGTTGGCACCCTTCCAGACCTCGGGATGCAGCTGGTCGGAGGGGACGAATTTACACTTCAGGATATGGCCATACATCAGATAGTTGTCCATGGTCTCCGCGACAATCTTGGCAACCGTTGTCGAGGCAAATTCCACGAAGGCGTAATGCTTGGAGCGGCCAGTAATGCGGTTACGCGACAGACGCAGACGGGTGATCTCGCCGAATTGCGAGAAGTAGGCGCGCATCTGGTGTTCGTAGAAACCGTGAGGGATACGACTGGGTAGGGAGAGCACGTTAGTCAAGAAGCGACGTAGGTAGCGGGGGGAGAAAGAAACAGAACCGCAGAACTCACCCGAGATAGACTGTGCCAGGCTCTTCCGGCTCACCCTGCTTCTTCTGCTTCTTCAAAATCTTGCGCTTCGCCTTCTTCGAGTCGGGGATCTTGGGCACCGGCTGGTCGGGGTCGAACCCTTCGTCGCCAGACTCGTCCTCGTCGCCGCTACTCTCAAAGCCTCTGATCAGAGCGGCTGTTTGGTCGTCCAGAGTATCCTCATCCTCTTCCTCAGAACCACTCTCGGACGCGACGGACATCACATCCTCATCCTCTTCCGCCTCCGACTCCGACTCCGACTCCTCAACAACGGGCTCAGGCTCGGGCTTCTTCGCCTTGGGCTTCGCAGCAGCGGCGGCTGTCTTGGCCTTTGGCGCGGGCGCAGGTGTTCCGTCCTCCTTCTTTGACTTCTTCTTGCTGGGCTGCTTCTTCTCCTCGGTCTCAGGCTTGGGCTTGGCCGTGGGCTTAGCCGCAGCAACCTCGGGCTCGTTCTCGTCGTCGCTGAGGAAATCGGCGGCCCGCTTGCGAGGCTTGACCTGTCTGGCCGGCTCGCCATTGACCTTCAACTTGGCCGCGGGCTTATCCTCTGTGGCGGGGCCATCCTTCTTGTTCTTCTTCAGAATAGACTTGGGGGTTTCCTTGGGGGTTTCGGCGGGTTTCGCATCGACCTTTTTCGTCTTCTTTGCGGGCGAGTCGGCGGCGACTGTGGTCGCGGCTGTTGCGTTGTTAGACAGATCGCAAGAGAAAAGAATTCAATGATAAAAGCACTCCAGTGGATATACATACCCTTGCGCTTCTTATCCTTCTTATCGGGAGCCATTATTGAAATGTTGTGCGGGTTGAAGTAATTCTGTTCAGCACCGCAAGTTGAAACTCCCAAAAAAAACGTTGCGGGAGACTTTTTTTCTGTCCTCCCAATTTTTCTCCGACGGGACGACCGCCAAGCGGTGAGTGGTGGTCCTCCGCAGTCTACTACTCTACTTACATCCCAGTAAGCAAACACCGCAAGTAAATAGTCTATTTATCTTTCCACTTCCCCAATCGATTTAGCTACATTACAGCACTGTATAAAATAAAAAAAAAGATGGGCAAGAACAAGAATGCAGACCGCGCACTGAGACAGGAAGAGATATGGGATGATTCCGCCCTCGTGCAGAGCTGGGACGAAGCGGTCGAAGAGTACAAGGTAGTTTACATTTCCCCACGTGACAATCCATCCAGATCGATCTGATCCTCCTATCCAGCTCTACCACAGCATCCACGCCAAGGGCGAGAACGTCGAAGATGTCCTGCGAGAGGCAGAAGCCGCAGACCGCGAGATGGAGCATGCGGAGGAGCCGCAAGCCGATACAGCAGCCGGTGGCGGCGTCATGGACGCAGCAGACGTGAATCCGCTGGCGGCGACGTCCCAGCAAAGTGCGCAGGAGGATGTGATGAAGGTATGTGCGCCCGGTGACTGTGCTCGCGAGACCTCGCCGCCAGAGATACCTCCAGATTTACTCATCGGGTGATTTGTAGACCACAGACGAGGCGCGCCCTCCGACGGAGGCTGCGCCCGCGGGAGCGCCTGCGATGCCACACCCGGCTCTAGCACAGGGTACGTAGCTTTGATCCCCATCCCCCCAAGAGAACTTGGCGAAACTAATGAACCTCCCTACAGTTCAAGACGAGGGGCTCAAGAACCTGATGATGGCCTGGTATTACGCCGGGTACTACACGGGTCTCTATGAAGGACAACAGCGCGGAAATCAGAATACGAGCTCCTCCTGATGCTGCCTCGGATTGAGGAAAATTCCCCCGAGAAATCAAAAAAAAAATCATATTGTCAAAGGCCAAGATCGACACCACGTCTCGCATGCAGTCAGGCACTGTTTGAGCCGACTGGTCCCCCGACTCATCCATCACGCACGGGATATCATGCACAACATGTCCCGTGGACATGCGCCCCTGTCTTTGCTGTCAGAGGGTATCTTGGGGAGCGCGACACAAGAGGGGACTGGCAGCCCGAGGTCCTGAACGCGATGGACGCAACGAACAGTGAGGGCAGATCATCTACTATATTATACAGATCACGCGCAGGTGAGAAAGCATCATCATGCACCGCAAATTGTACATACAGTCGCAATAGACCTTAGATACCCCATGCTTACCATAGTCGAAGCTTGAACAAGTGTCTCGACATGTGCTGGTTATCTATTGGCAGAGTCAAGATTCATTCTCCGATTGTGCTTTGAGTAACCGGAACACTTAGAAGAGCATCTATTGCCGAACCTCTGACAGCATTGATCCGGTTTGATCCAAGTCAAGTCAAGTGTAATAGAATAGTATCATTATCAAGGATTTATCAGAACCGCCGACCAGACCAGTATCTCCCAAAACACCCCGGGTCAATGCATAAGAAATGAACGAGAGGACCTTTTCTCAACAGCCCCTTTAATTAATCACAGCCAAAATGCACCCCTCTTCCCACCAACTCTTTCCAACGCTCCCACCGTGCCAGCGTCCAAACCGCTTACAGAATGCTTCCCAGACCCTGCCCACCGCCGAGAAGGGGCCCGAAGATGGGCACCTTGGAGAGGAAGTTATCCGAGGCATGCGCACTGCCCGCCGGGGCCGCGGCCGAGCTGCTGGCAGCAGGCGCGGGCTTCTCTGCGGCCGTGCTTGAGGGCGAAGGCGAGGGGACGGACTCGGACTCGGGCATGGGCACGGGCTCGGCCGTGGCAGTTCTGTCTTCTGTCTGGGCTGCCTTCGCCGCCGAGGCATCATCCTTCTTTTTCTCAGTCTGGGTCTTGATATTTTCCTTCACGTTGTCCATGGCCTTGATGCGAATGGATGGTGAGATTGGGTGTTTGCTATTTTTGGGGAGAAAGGGAGCTGAGGAGAGCGGAGGGGGGACATACCTGAAGAGCATCGAACGCGGTTTGGATGGCATCGGAGGCGTCTAGATCGGTGCTGTCACGCTTTGCGGGCAAGGCGGAGGCCATGAGGGCCAAGAAGAAGCAGAGAGCCAGAAAGGACAAGCTTAAACGAGCCATTTTGGGTGATAATGAATGTGGATGCTGTATGGTTCTGATTTCAGAATGGGAAGAACAGAAAGCGCTGTGTTGAGGCTAAAGGAGTGGACAGCCGGAAAACCTCTGGCTCGCGATGTTAATGCTTTGGAGCAGGATAAGTGAGAGACAGTTCGAAAGGTGAGGCCGGCCATCCAGGTGCTAAGGGCCCTTTTTTTATAGAGCCATCTCGTTCTGACGAAGGGATGGGGAATGTGAGATAGGGAGTTTTGATGACTGGACTATATTGCGTGTCAATCGAGGGGAAAGGAATGCCTCCAACTTCATGATTCGCGAGACTCCTTCTCAAGGAAGTGGTGTTTTGCGTAACCTGGTTTTGTGCATTAGCAATGTGCCTTGAAAGGAAGTAAGGAGTGAGAAACCAAGCTCATCTATACAGCCCGACAGGGCGCGACGACATTGGTTCACGGAAGCTTCAAAGCTTGATCTGCATTCCGACCCAGAACAGACAGACTATGAAGACGACCGTGTCAGTCCTTAACTGCGCCAGATTACGTAGCAGGCTTACGCCATCCTGGATCAAAACATTCAGGAGAGATGCTTATCCTACGTGGATGCCGTTCGGTAAGACGTCTAGAGGCTTTGATGGAAACGCGCGAAGCGAACAAAGGATCGATGGATAGATAAGTATTGATTGATTTCTAATATCTAGGTGCATTCCACCACGACTGTAAATCGCAATGACTGGAATGTACCTCCCTTCTTTTGACACGTACCGCCCCATGAAGAAATATGACAGCGGACGCAACACGAGGGAGGTCGAAAGCAACAAGATGTTGATTCATTATCGGCATGAATTTTGACCTCGAATATCATGGAGAGACGACGAACGAGACTTCGAATATGCCAAGAGATCGAGTATAGAATGTAGAGAGGTATTATTATGGTGACTTGTTGTTAGTTGGGCGAGCAAGTTCTGCGATGAAACTGTCCTGAGAATGATCATCTTCATCTCGTCTGGACTTGCATTCCAATGAATGCATGCATTCATCCATCAGATATGATATGATATGACTCCGTATCCAATTGGATAACTATGATTCAAACGACATTTGTCCTTTGATGGGAATCCATCGAAATGGAATCCAAAAGCATGTATGCTCAAAAGCGAACCCAACAACCTCGTACCAAGTTGGCAGGTGTTGGGATTAGAACGAGCATGCGATAATCGCTCTCGGTCTCAATTCTATAATTTGTAGACGGAACGGAAGCTTTGACGGACAAAACAATCCATCAACAAGGGTATGTTGGAGACCTGTCGAAGTAAGTGAGGAAGGAAAAAGGATCGAAGGAGAAACGCAGATTTTATTGTGGTGGAGTTGATGGCTTATGTAAGCGGTGTGCGGTCAAACTTCCAGCCGACACCCGGAGACACTACTCCGGAGTACTTACTCCGAGGTAGTCTATTGTCGAAAGCAATGTTATAAGTAATGGTATTCACGCTCTTAGAGGTATACAGAACAGCAGCATCGCAGTTTCACCTAATTAGAACCGAGCCATCACCTTTTCCTGGGTATCACCCAACGCCCATGCATCGGAATGCTTCTTGCTCAGGACCGACTTGGCTTGCTCAAGAGTGAAGCCCTTGGCCTCAACAGCTGGGTTATACCCAAGGCCTGTAATCTTGCCAACTGCATCTGAAGGCACGGCGGCTGCAATCTTTCTGTCCGCCCGCTTATACACGGTCACAACCACGGCACCGCCTAGACCAAGGTTGTGCTGCAAGGCTGCGTCGGTGCCCTTGATCAAGCGGTTGTTGGCCCAGCCACGCAGGTGCCAAACCAGCTCTGCACATTGAGCGAGGCCGGTTGCGCCTAGTGGATGGCCCTTGGAGATGAGACCGCCGGAGGGGTTTATGACCATCTTTCCACCGTAGGTGATGTCGCCGTTACGAACCATCTCATGCGCTTTGCCGGGCTCGCAGAGCTCTAGCGCGTCGATCGTGATCATCTCGTTAGCGGAGAAGCAGTCGTGCAGTTCGCAGACCTTGATGTCCTTGACGTTGACGCCTGCTTCCGCGATGGCGGCCCGACAAGCGAGGCGACTCATCCCGAAGCCCATCAAATCGATTGAACTCCGGTTGTAGAGTGTAGGTGTATCAGTGGCGATTTGTTGGCCTGCAATTAGGATGGCCTGTTCTTTGAGATGGGGACGAGCATCCAGGAATTCCTGGGACACAATCACAGCGGCAGCGGCTCCGTCGGAAGTCGGGCAGCATTGAAGTTTTGTAAGAGGCTCATGAATCATCGGTGCCTTGAGAATCTGCTCAAGAGTGTATTCATTCTGGAATTGGGAGTACGGGTTGCGCTTGGAGTGTTCGTGGTTGATGCGAGCAATCTCTGCGAAGTCTTCTTTCTTAGCCCCATACCTTTGAATCATTAGTGGGTTGGTTCAGTTGAAAGAATAAAAATAAAAATAAAAATAAAAACTGACAGAGTTGACATACTTTTCCATGTATTCACGACCCGCGTTGCCGAACATCTGTGCCGCACCAGGAGCATTGGTCACGCCTCTGGTTTCGGCCATCATCGTGCCAAAGAGACCCGTTGGATTGGCACGGTCGTTGTAGACGGACTGCAAGCTTCCAGGGCTCATCTTCTCGAATCCCACCACGAGAACACAGTCGGCTGCCCCGTGAGAGACCATGGTACGAGCCATGGCCAGGCCAGTTGAGCCAGTTGAACAATTATTGTTGACATTGTAGATGGGGATGTTGGTCAACCCGAATTGATAGAAGACACGCTGACCGCAAGTACTGTCGCCATAGACGTAGCAGGCGACACCCTGGTCGACATCGTCATAGTTGATGTGCGCATCCAACATGGCCTTGACACCGGCCTCGAATCCAAGTTCATGATAGTCGACTTTGCCCCTTGGCTTGATGAACTTGGTCATGCCCACGCCTAGGACATAGGCGGGGGCTGCTTGTTTCTTTCCCATGTTTGATCTTGAATTGGGTTATGGTGTAGAATATATGGGGGTGTTGATTGAAACTTGAATGGATAGAGATTAGTCGACTCTGAAACAGAGGTGTAGCGGAGAGGAGATGTGCATTCAATATAACATCCCCAGCTCAAGAAGCATATGGATCATGGAGGGCTGTTAGCATGCGGAGAAAGGTTGTTAATGCATTGATTATTTGATTGTCCATGAATTGCGGGGGACGAGCTGCTCCTGCGACCGAGGTTATTAAAGTACGGGGGTTGGTTGTTATGCACTATACTATGCAGGTTGCCCGTTGTATGGTGCATAAAGGGTGGAAGCGATGTATCTGTATTCTGTGCTGGTTTACATGACAATATTTGCACAAGAAGCTTCTTCAACTCATGCCATAAAGAAAGGGGAATATCACTCAAGAACACTAGATGATTAGAGTTGTCCAAGTTGTCAAGAACTGGTGCTCATGATTTGTTCTTTAATACCTCCAGGTAGCTGTGTTGGATATATCTCACACTGTGTCTGCTTGATGAGTCCTCTCAATACTCCTGCTCACTGAACAGTTCAGGCATGATTCATAATATATATATGCACAAGATGGACAGGCGGATATGACACCCATAGGGACATGGGTCTGTGCTTCACTACCTAGGGAGTTCCTTGAAGATACCAAGACACTTGGACCTTCGAAGAAGTCCCCAGTTTCGTCCTCCATCTCAGCCAATTGATGACAAGTCTTGATGATGGACGGATCATCACTGAACTCTATCCAATGATTTTGAATCCGGGTGACAGGCGATATACAAACAATGCCTTAGACCATGTGCCCAGATAGAGAGAACTTGTATCATTATCAGACCAGGATTGTAAGTTACTGAAGATTGTCAATGATAGCATCATGGATCGATGTTTACTTGATCGATCGGTTTGATATATTCTGACCATCAAAAGAGCAGAACAGCATTGGGTTAAGTGTATTTATTGTATGACCATGTAGATTAATTGTACCCTGCCTCACTGAATACTTATTCATGAAGCTCATCCTTGTCCATAGCCAGGTAAGTATCTATCTACTCCGTACACAGTATATCCTATAGTCCTATATAAGTAATACTGATGAAGCACTAGTTGGAGGGTGCTGGATAGGGAATCATATTTTCTTTCCATTTTTCCAAAATTTCCAGAAAAAAAAACATCTTTTCAGAAAGAAAAATATTTTTTTTCCAGAGGAAATTTACACGCTAGTAAAATGTCTCCTGCTGATTCTCACTGCCCATATATTTTACTAGTAAAATATAAAATTATCCCTGACATAGAAGTCCACACTGTACATCCTCCATAAAAATTTCAATTCCATCAAAAAAATGATTATTCTTCCCACGCTTGCTTCCCTAAAATCTAATTGGATTTCACCTGCTTGCCAGCCTCGCTGCCGCTAGGGATCTCACCACCACTAGGGGGTTCACTGGCGCTGGCCACCTCGCTGGCGCCGGCCACCTTGCTGGCGGCCTGGCTTAGGGCATACCCTATATTATCAAGTATGATTGCTCCCTGCTGTATAAGCTCCTTATCTCTATCTTCTAGGCCTTTGTGTAGGCTGGCGGGTAGGGAGTAGCCTCTAAGCTGAAGACTCTGAGTATTTATATAGATGAATATCACTTAATTTACTCACTTAGTTTTCATCTGATTCCATATCTTTATATGCTGTAGATTCATGATTAAGAAGCTTTGTTCAGAGGTAACAGAATTTATGACTATATGGTAGAGATGGAGGGCTAGAATACTAATTTTAAGAGTAATATCTTTCTAAAGAGTAAGGGAGTTAGTATTCCATAGATATTTTCTTAGTAGATCTAGAATCTCACTGCTGTAAGCTAGAACTACTTAGGATCCTTCTTCTTCTAGTATTTAGTGTTAAAGAATACTCCTTCCCTATTCTAAAAGAATCTAAATTACTTCACAGCTTCCTCACTACTATACTCACAGATTACATTCTGTAAATCAGTAATAAGACATGGTAGAAGCTGTGCCTTTAAGGTCTTAGGGTGTAGATAGTAGCTAAGCTAGTAGATAGGTATAAGCTAGTGGTTAAAGTACTTCATCCACTGGCTCTCTAAATCTTCATGATCTGCTAGAGGCTAGATATATAAGAGTATATCATCATAAAAGATAGAAGTTCTACTTTCACTAGATAGGTGCTCTTAGATATCTAGCTATTACTATGTTATCTAATTTCTTAGTAAAAGATATAGATAAAGCAGATAAGATACTTACTAGTATAAGATTATGCTTCTGAGATTCTGAGCTTCTTACTACTTTATCTAATAGCTTAAGCATGCTAAGAAGATCAGAAAGACTACCCTAGAAGCCTGGCTAGCAGAGAATCTTAGAGATCTTCCTAACATCACCTCTATCTCCCTTAATAAAGGTCTTTAAAGCTTCCTGATTCTGCATTACTAACTAAAGCATCTTATACTGAGATCCCCAGTGAGTTACCACAGCTGTAATAAGTAAATATAACATGGAATTTAATGTGGAATCTAATATAGAATCTAACTGCTGATTCTGTATTTACTGAAGGATCACCTAATCCAGAGGTGATTTCTTAAAATACCTCATGATTAAAGATGCTGATTTAAAGAGCCTACTAATAGATAGAAGATTTAGTAGATCTCTGATTACTAGCTGAAGCCTATAAGAATTACAGGGAATTATGAATGTCTTCTTAAACACTAGCTTAGCTTATAGAATCACCTATACCCTTTTCATCATGGAAGGGGTATCTATAGAGAGAGAATTAATAAATTTCTATATCTTCTGCCTATTATTTAGCTTAGTAAGGAGCTTTTTAACCTGATCTTTAATCTACATAGAAATTATATGGGCAGTTAAGCTTTAATCTAATATATCTTCTGCTAGAAGAAAGTAGCTAGATCCATATGAATTAATGCTAAGGCTTATGATTCTTTCTCTATAAATATTTATTAATTTATTATATGTAAGATTTAGATGCTGTGTGGTTTAAAGCTACTGGAATAGCTTTATCTAGATGAAGCTATAGCATAAATCTAGTATAGTAGTGGCCATGGTCTTAGGTGAAGGAGGGGAGTATTTTAGATTTAATACTTAGAGAAATAATGCTATTCCTGGTGTTAAAAATATATAAAAGGGGTAGGCATCATAGAAGATAGCTATCCCTAACTACTGATTAATCTCAGAAGTTAATACTTTTTAATAGTTAAAGATGCTCATTTAATAATTTATATTCTTATCCATCTTCTTTAATGCTATGCTTCTTATAATCTAATACATTAAGATATATGGGTAGTCAGGTGGGTCACATTAAAATTTTAATTAAAATCAGGGCAGTAGGTGCAGCGGGCATGTGGAATCTAGGAGATAAGCATCTATAAGTATTTTAAGTGATTTCACATATAAATTTATATGGAAGCCTACTCCTTTTAATTGGTAAAGATTATAAATAGCTGTAAATTCAGCTGAATTTTTATTCTGTTACCCAGAAGATGAATTTCCCATGGTGGTGGTGGTGGTAAGTAGTGGAAGTTAATAATTTCTTACATACAAAGATATATATTTTAATGTTATTAGGTAAAATCTACTACTATTTCTCAGAGCATATATATAGCTTTCCTAGGCAATAAGGCACCTATCAGCTACTGATTCTAATTAGTCTAATTCTGTGGGGTAGTGAAATTCAGGGGCTCTGATTAGTTAAAAAAGTCTTGGCATTATTACTGGATTAGGGGGGTTCAACTGCTGGAAAGAAAAAAAAACATTGGAAAATTCTGAAAGAAAGAAAATGTTGTTTTTTTTCAACTTTTCGAGGACCCTAGTGCTGGATCATACAACTACAGAGTACTGTAGTATGCAACGATGGTTGAATGAGGAATGGCCTGACGCTCGGCACCAGATCCTCCCGTTCTGGTATGGGCAACCACTAACCAATGACAAGCATCGTGGTATGATCCATGCTCAGGGATTCGTGGATGGAGGTGTGGAGCCACATCCTTTTCTTTTATTCTGGCCAACCATAATTACCTCCTGATGGGGCGGGGTAGAAGCCACTAACACCGGAGTGGTATGGTCCGAAGCATCCTCCTTGCCACGACAGCCACATCGACAAGGTCACTGGCCAGTCTGCCTTAGTGGGTTACCTATTTGAGCTTAGGGTGGTTAGCAGCAGTCGACAATAACAATAATCCCTAACTGACTAACTATTTTCAAGAGCACCAAGTTAGCAACATCGGTAGCTCCCTGCTCCATAGCTGGTTGTTTAAGCATGTTGTGGTTCTTTCTGGACGGTTGCTGCTCTACATAACCACCGACCAGGAATTGAGATCATGGCCAATGCGTACGAGGTGACAATGCCCTTCTTCAGAGCACACGAGCACTCCAAACGCGGAGCACCTGGCTGCCTCACGACGACGTCACTGAGCTTGTAGTTGTGCCCCTAACCCGATTCGACCAGTCACTGATCCACCACCAGTCCACCACAGAACGGCCCACATGCCTGGATTGCCTGCCCGATTTCTGAGGTTTAGCAGCGTTTAGTTTGTGGTGGGAGGAAATAACTCAACCTCACCGGAGTAGTTAAACTACCTAGTCATTTACTACTACTACTGATTGTCCTTGTAACAAACGATCTTCTCCTTCGTCTTCTGTAGGTCGGGGATCGTATACTGGTATTCTTGCATTTCCAGAGGACCTTACATGACAGGAGGTAAGTGCGAGCCCTGTTGCCCTCCCCTTCGAAATACATAGTCTCTTGTCCCAAGAGCACGACGCGGAGAGTGCTGATCGGAACTTGTCGCTGGTTCGATAGTGCGATCGATTCTACCTCGTTCGTCGTGATCCTTTGATTGCTGTGAATCTGTGATATACCGGCTACCTCGAAGCTACCACGTTCCAGAAAGTGGACCGAACTGTGCTGGTTCTCTTAGGGATACAATTTCCGTTGCCGAAGCTCCGCCGCATCCTTCTTCCTTGTTGCTCTCTCGCCATTGACAGCAATAGCTCCTCGAAGGCGAAAGAGAACCGCCTATCCGATTGATCAGACTGCTTCATGGACAATTGTGGGACGCCGAACGGTCTGCTCGCGCCTTGAGAGACCGCTTTGCGTTCCATCAGGTTCCCCCGCCTACTGCCTCCGGTCCTGAATGTTTATGGACGCTGCATTCTGCGAATATAACCAACAGAGCTTCAGCAACCATCTTTTCCCAGGCTTCCTCGATTCTCCGCCCCAAATGGGCCACTTTCGGGAATGACTACAGACAAACACTCTGAACATGCTCCCTTTGCCTCTGCGCCCCCACGATCTTCCACTGTCATAATGCCAGCGGGCAATTCCTGGATTATGGATGATGCCACCCGCAACAAACTTCTGAAAAAATACAAGACCCAGGTGGCTTCGGGGGTTTCAACAATCTGCGCCACTCTCGCTGTGGTAGGTTGTTCGAACCCTGGTCGATCCGAGAAATGCTGATTGTGCTTGTCAAGACTCCCCTGGAGAATATCAAAACGCGTATGCAGACGTATGTCGACTTGACGCTTCCTGAGTGCCGAAGACCACTAACGGGCTGCTGTAGGCACAATTTTCGAAATGTCTTCCAATGTATCCGCTATCTCTGGCGTACCGAGGGACCCCGCGGTTACGTCGCTGGTGGGTAGAGTCAATCCATGGATTTACGGCCGGATGATTGACTCGTGGACTTCCTAGGAGCGCTACCACCTCTGGCAAGTGTCACGGCAGTTCGTGTTGTGAACTTCTCTACATATAACGCGGCCAAGCATCGGATCTCCCAGTTCGTTGAGCGAATCACCGGCGAGGCTCCTCTGACCATTTATAACACCCCGGGCAGCAGTCCTACTGCGTCGACCCTATTCACCTTTACCGCTGCCGGCTGTATCGCGGGTCTCATTACCTCCCCACTTGCCTGTAAGACCTTCACTCTCAACGTTCTGCACAATTTGGCTAAACTCTGAACCCGTACAGGCCCATTTGAACTGGCCAAGAATGTCGTTCAGACGTCTGTCCTAGTTTCCAATCGTGCCCAGGCGTCCCCCGATGCCGTCGCGGACCCCTCCCTACGTAACAGACCTCGCCTTGGCACTATTGAGGCGATCAGGCAGATCATTCGTCGCTATGGTTTCCGCGGTCTATATACAGGGTTCCACCTCCACGCACTGCGCGATACTATCGGCTCCGGCTTATACTTCAATGTTTACGAGACCGTGAAGCAGGTCGCAGCGAAGGAGCTTGGCCCGGACAAGTCTCCCTTCGGAGGTCCAATGATTGCCGGTGCCATTTGCAGCACCGTGCCATGGTTTTGCGTAGGTCAGACCTGCCTTGGGGGCGAAGAACCGGAAACTAATGATAGCAGACTTATCCTCTCGATACCCGAAAAACCCGCGCCCAGAGCGTTCTGCTTGGCAAGTCCAAGGAGGTGGGCGAGGCGTCGAAAGCTGTCTCCAAATCGAGCATGTATAAAGGCCTGTCCATCATCCTTATCCGGACCGGAGTGAACAACATGATTTTGCTGAGTATGTTCGAGTACATCAAGATGCGGATCAACCAGCTGGACGGCTAGTGGAGGTTATTGCATTGTTGGTCTATGCTTGCACAGGTGAAGCTGGTCTTTGGGCGTAGTGAGATGATGCATTTTTTTCTTCTTCTTCTTCTTCTCTTTCTCTGCATGGAATAGGTTTGAGTACATAACTACAAGAGCTAGAAGCTCGTAAGCAAATACAGAATGATGTATGGATTTATGACCTCGTGGTTTGACTTTGCAATAATCATACAGAATATGAGGGTTTGGCTGCCTCAGGCATCGAGACCGTCATCCCGTTGCCAGGCGGGGTTGGGTGTTTCTTGTCAACAAAAAGTCCGGACACTCTTCCAACCGATGTCTGTCCACGACTAACCACCACAATGGCCTCGTATGTGCCAGTTGAATTCCTTTAGACTGACGATCTGTGCTAATTAGGACCAGCAATATCCTCCAGGTCCCATTTCGGCGCTCGCATGCCGTCTCCTTGTCCGATGCCATTACGCAGTACATTTCGTCCAAATATGACCAGCGTCCGGACATGTTTGCTGAGGATCTCCTGATCATTGATCGACTACGAAACGAGGCGATCAACGTTCAGGAACCCCATGTCAGTGGGACAAGTCGACTGGTCACGTATGCAGCACAACTCAAATGGCTCGGAGGGAAGTTTCCAGTCGATGTGAGTGTCTACTCGATACCACAGGCCACAACATACATTGATGATGAGTGAATAGGTTGGAGTGGAGTTTCCGTGGTACTCTGCATTTGGATTCAATACATCAAGGCCTGGTACGTATGAGACCTAAGACAATGGGGTTGACATGGATTGTCATGGATTGACAACTGTCCAGTCTCGCAGAATAACATCCGATTCGAACTCGCAAATATCCTTTTCAACCTCGCCGCACTGTACTCGCAGCTCGCATATTCGCTGAACCGGACAACCTCTGATGGACTGAAGCAGGCATGCAATTACTTCTGCCAGTCCGCAGGAGTTTTGGCGCACCTCCGCACCGACATCCTTCCGGACCTCCGCACATCACCCCCCGAGGATATGGACGAGATGACGCTGCAGAGCCTGGAGCAGCTCCTGCTGGCCCAGGCGCAGGAGTGCTTCTGGCAAAAGGCCGTCAAGGACGGTCTGAAGGATGCATCGATTGCGCGGCTGGCGGCGAAGGTGTCTGATCTCTACGCCGAGGCGGGCGACCACGCGGTCAAATCGAACGCGATCAGCCCGGAGTGGATCCACCACATGACGGCCAAGCACCATCACTTTGCGGCGGCGGCGCAGTACCGGCAGTCGCTGGATTGCCTGGAGAAGCGCAAGTACGGCGAGGAAGTCGCGCGACTACGGGACAGCGAGGCATGTGTCAACGAGGCCCTGAAGGAGTCCCGCTGGATCAACCGGACGGTGCTGGGAGATCTCAATGGCCTGAAGAGCCGGGTGACGGAGGACCTTAAGCGGGCGACCAAGGACAACGATGTCATCTACTTGAACCCGGTGCCGCCCAAATCGGAGCTCAAGCTCATCGGCCGGGCGTGCATGGTCGCGGCCAAGGCACCGTCTCAGGTGACGGATGCAATCTCCATGCTGGGCGAGAATGGGCCCCTGGGACAGCCACTGTTTGCGAAATTAGTGCCGTATGCAGTACACATCGCGGCCAGCATTTACTCGGACCGCCGCGACCGGCTAGTTAACGAGACAATCATCGGGGAGTTGGAGACGATGACCGACAAGCTCCGAGAGTGCGTCTACCCTAACACTTACAAAATATGAAGCTGATGGAGCTGACTTTTTCTATCATAGTTTACTGTCGTCACTTAACCTGCCGGGTTCATTGCAAGCACTGGAGAAGCCGCTCGGATTGCCCCCGACGCTTGTGTCGCATGCAGAGGAGATGAGACAGCAGGACGGGCTATACCGGCTACGGAGGTCGCTTGAGGATACGGCGCGGGTCAAGACGAACGACCGGGCGGTCTACAACGAAGGCGTGGAGCTCTTGGCCGCGGAAAAGGCCGAGGACGATGCTTCGCGGCGAAAGTACGGAACCGATCGATGGCACCGGGAGACGTCTGAAGCGGCGGCGCCGAAGCTGTACACGACGTTGAACGAGATCAATGGGTATTTCACATCGGCGCAAAGTAGCGACAATCTGGTGGAGCAGAAGCTGAAGGACTCGGAGGCGGTATTCCGAGTCTTGACGGGCACGAATCGGGACTTGGAGATGTATGTTCCCAGCAGCCGGCGCGCGGCGATCACACCGGAGGTCGAGCGGGAATTGGTCCGACTACGTGCGTGCTTGAGCGAGGTGGGTCGGTTGGAGAGCCAGCGGAAACGACGGGCACAGGCTCTGAAGGAGAAAGCGCGGGCGGATGACATCAGTACGTTTACTACGGGCGGAGCGGGGATATTTGCTGAATGTTGTATGCCGAATGTTGCTGACTTGCCCAGGCCAAGCACTGCTGAAGGAGACGGCCCGGCTGGAGCGGGAGTTCCCGATGCAGCCGATCCAGGCCAGCCAGTTCGAGGAACTGTTTGAGGAGCAGCTCCGTCTGTATGATATGGACCTGGAGATGGTGGCGCAGGAGCAGCATGATCAGGATCAGATTGCGGCGCAGGTGCGCGAAGCCAACCGGGCGTTTACGCGAGCGCACAAGGGGGATGCCTCGACCAAGGAGCGGGAGAGAGCGCTGCAGGAGCTGGAGAACGGATATCTGAAGTACAAGGAGATTATCTCGAACATTGAAGTGGGACGGAAGTTCTACAACGATCTGGCGAAGATTGTGGGCCGATTCCGCGACGACTGCAAGGCATTTGTGCACCAGCGCCGCATGGAGGCGAGCCAGCTGGAGAGGTATGTTTTGTCTGGTTGAGGTGGGGTTTGTCCGATTGCTGACTTGAGAAAGTGATATCGCCAGCGCTACAGCGATGGCCTCGCTGAATATCTCGCAGCCTCGCCGTCAGCCAGCACCGCTGCCGCAGGTGCCGGCCCAGCCGATTCAACCGCAGCCCCCGGCGCCAGTGCCTGCGCCGCCATCGCGACCAGCGGAAGAACCGCTGACGGCGCCGCAGCCGACGCGGGCCCCGGTGGCGCCGCCGGTCCCGACGCCGGGGATGTGGTCGCCCGAGATGGGGATCCGGTTTGGGAACGGCCGGGGACAGCCGGGGCAATGGGATCCCAACCAGGGGATTCGATTTGGCTAGCCGCAAGGAAGCATAGAGCCTGGATATAGTACATATAGGATTATCTGATATACACGAGCGAACGAAGTGAAGAAAAACAAGATCCCTAAGACAAGACCATCCATCATCATCATCATCATCATCCATCATCCATCATCCCTCATCCCACCCGCAGCATCACGGCGGCCGCCCCAGCCGCCAACTCCCTCGTCGAGATATCGAGATCCTCGCGCAAACTCACAAACTGGAACCGATCAATCCACAGCCGCCAGGTCTCCCTCGAGATCCTTTCCTCTCCCACCCCTTGTCCATCCAGCTCATACTCATCCCCCACCCCACGCCGCTCCCACAACTCCTCCCCCATAACCAGCGCCCACACCGCCGCACACGAAATCAGCACCCGCAAGCCCTCACCGTCACCTTCCTCCTCGTCGGCATGCCGCTCCAGCGCCGCATGCAGCATCCGCACGGCTGTATCTTCCAGCGCGACGAGGCGCGCCTTGGTCGCGAACGCGAGGAAGGAGATGAGGTTCTGCCATTGGGCGCGCGGGTAGCCATGCGGATAGGCGGCGAGGAAGGCGGTGGTTTGTTGGCTGAGGGCTGATTCTTTTCCTTCCTCCGGTTGGGATTGGAGGGTGGATTCGAGGGTGTGCAGGAGGGTTGTTTGAGGTGGGGAGGGTTGGTCTGGGCGGGTGGTTGAGCGCGGGGTGGTGAGGGCGGTGGTGAGGAGTGGGGTGTATTTATCTGTAGCGTTGTCCGTGTCCGTGTCCGTGTCCGTGTCTGTGTTTGGTGGCATTGTTTGGTTGTGCATTTATACAGGCTATAGGTTGTAGAGATTCGAGCTATCTAGTGAAGGTGATGGTGATGGTGATGGTGATGGAGTGCGGGGATATACGGAGGCCATCCATATATATCCGTCCATGACGTACTGGTATCACACCACACACCAGGGATCATTCGGAAGAATACCTACCTATCTATCTCTACCAAACTCCCATGGGAACATAGGTAAGGTAGAAAACAAGGGTATCATAATTTCATCATAGTATATATATATATATATATATATATAACTCTACTAACTCTTCTCCTCCATCTCGAGGAAGAAATCCAGCTCGCTCGGCCCCCCCGCCGCATTCTGCTCGTTCTCCGCGAGCTGCTCCAACAGATTCAGAAACGGGTCCTTTTCGCTGGCACTAGCGCTGGCACTGGCACTGGTGTCGCCGCTCCCACCGGTGGTATGCGTCGAACTGGCTTGCGACTGTGCGCCGGGCGTCATGATGGATGGACCAGCACCGGTGGCGGCGGCGGCGGCAGAAGTCGAAGTCGAAGTCGAAGTGGAAGTGGAAGCGTGGCTGTTATCGAAGGAGAGGGAGTGGTCGAACTGGGGTCTACTGGCCATTAGCATGGGCGGGTGGGGGAAAAAAAAATAAGGGGGAAAGGAAAGAAAAGAAAAGGAAAGGGGCCTCGAGGGGAAACGTACAGATCGTCCATATCCACCAAACGCATATGCGATCCATCCGTGGTCAAGCCTGGGTAGCGGTCCAGAAAATCCTCGAGGTGGAAAACGGCGGGCGAGAAGCGCTTGGGGCTGCTGGTTAGGGTGCGCACCAGGTCGGCGTGGCAGGCGTAGACGGTCTGCAGCATGTCGCGCTGGTGCTGGACGCCGGCCCAGGAGGCGCCGAGCCAGGTCAGCTGGTGCATCTCGCGGGCGAGGAAGTCGGCGCTGGACGAGAAGACCTCCTCGCCGTCGCGGCCCTTGTAGTGGACGCCGTGGACGTGGACGGTGCCGGCGGTGCCGACGCAGTAGCCGACGAAGGCGGGCCACTCGACGAGCGGGGCGCGGCGGGCCAGCTCGACCAGCTCGGCGATGGCGTTGGAGTGCGAGAAGCACAGGTGGGTGGCCTCGATCTGCCACGACTGGTGCTGGCCGGTGCCGCGCAGCTCGAGCAGGTCGATGGGCAGGAACGGGCGGTAGAGGAGGCAGTGCACGAGGTGGTAGATGAGCTTGCTGAGCAGGAGGATCGAGCTCTCCGGGTGGCCGAACAGGGCCTCGACCGAGGCGAAGACGTCCTGCGTGCCCGTGGCCCAGACGTCCAGCGCCTGGCGGATCCTGGACAGGTTGGACAGCGCGTGCCAGGGGAAGTGCGAGTCGCCCTTGGGGCCGCCCGCCGCCAGGTAGCGGTTGGTGATGCCGAGGATGCGCGTGATGTCGATGAGCAACGCCGTGGCCGCCGGTTTGCGCCGCGGATCCGTCGAGTATTGGATGTTGGGGCCCACGGTGTTGAACAGCTCGCCGGGGACACTGAGGCTGGCCGCGTGCGGCGACCAGGCCGGCAGGCGCAGCACCACCGAGTGGTCGGCAATGAAACCCGGCCGTCGCGAGCCGCAGGTCAGGAACCGGTCCATGATGTAGACGGCCCAAAAGAGCCGCCGGCGCATCTCGCGGTCCGACGTGGGGAGGCTCTTGGGGGGTTCACGGTAGAGGTCGAGGGCGATAGTCATGGCGGCACAGTTGGCTGTTGGGGGGGTCAGTCAAAGTCAAAAAGTCAGACACCCATCATCAAACTTGGGGGGGGGGGTTATAACGTACTAAAAGTCATGTAGGCTTTCTTGCCCAACCCGTGGGCAAAATAAGTCTGCGAGAGGAGCAGCAGAGCCTGCAAACCGTCCAATGACGGCTGATCGACATCGACCAGCCGACGAGCCTGTAGGGCATAATCCAGGGCCATCTGGACGTGGTCAGGCGGGCTGGAGGAGCTTGTATACCTACAGCATCGGATACCAGCATCAGCAAGGGTACGCCAAGCAAAACACTAACACCCAGCTGAACATACCGTAGGGTGATGGCATAGATTGCCATGGACAAGGCGACGGGCAGCTGACCCAACTGATGGCGTTGCCGTGTCGCCGCCTCGTCCAGAATGAAGTAGGGCTTGCCATGGATACGGGCCAGGTAAGCGTCGAGGACGGCATCGGGCAAGGCGAAGTGCTGCACGGGAGGCGAGGACGGCTGGTGGTGGTGGTGGTTCGCAAAGGGACGGGACAGCGACAACGGATCCGGCAGCGGGGGTACGGTCGAGGCGATGGAGGCCAGGTCCGGGGGTTCTTTGTCCGGGATGCGTGGTGACGAGGGGGAGATAGGATGATTGTTCTCGTCCTGGAGACGTTTCTCGAGGCTGTCGACGCGCTTGAGCAAGGCCTCGAGGACGTCTGTTTTGGGGCCACGTTTCTTGGGCACGGCGTCTTAGGAACAAACGGTTAGGCGAAGCCGTTTTCCCCAATGCACGGGGAACGGGGGGTTGGGGGAGAGGGGAGAGGGGAAGTCCTAGAGAATTGGAGACTGGAGGGCTGTACCGTAGATACACGGGCATTGGAAGACCCTGCAGGCCTCGCAGCTAGGGCGCATGCGATTGCATTTGATCTAAGGGGGGGGTTTAGCCAGACAGTCGAGAAAGCAACCAGGCACTAGGCACTATGCACTAGATAGATGGTTGCGTACCTTGCGCTTTCGACAGGATTTGCAATTCATGGACTCGCGCGGTTCAGCTGGGATACGACGGGGGGGAAGTCGATTGATGCTGACGGCCGGACGAGAGATGACGGAGGACATTGTAGGGGGGGTTATGAGGATTGTAGAACCAGCACCGAGACAAGGATGAATCCAGTATAGGCTATATCTCACGACATTGGGGGGGGAGGGGAGGGGGTTGGAGAAGGAGTAGAATAGTCGACCAAGATTGCAAAAGGAGTGAAAACAAAGAAAGAAGAAAGAAGGAAAAGAAAGAAAGTGAAATCTGCAGACCAGACGAGGTAGAAGAGACCATAGTTAGTCTCATCTAATAATGAACCAGGGCCGAACTGGCTATAACTGGCTATTGGCTATAACTGGCTATACTGGTTATATTCACACTTGCCGGAGAAAATGCGGGGAAATAAAATACATGTGGAGTTGGACGGTTGTACCAGTACTTGCCGGACTAGCAGGTCTGTTAAGGATTTTGGTGTACCACCAGTACCAGTACCTGGAATCCGGGGAAGCCATTCCATTCTGTCCGCGGGGGAGGAAGAGAATAGATATCTATATATAGGAAACAATGATGATCAGACTTGTTCATCACGGACCTTGTCATAGAAGAACTACTGTAACTGCCTAATTAGGGCCTGCACACCTTTTCAGTGCAGCGGTAGAACCCCTACTACAGACCTCATGGCGTCTTACTGTTTTCGAGACGGAGACTGGCTCATATTCTCTCTCTCTCTCTCTCTCTCTCTTCACCACGTTTGCTAGTCAAAATCCTCAATTCGAGTCCCGAGGTGCCTGGATTGTCATCAAGAAACCAAGAATGGGTTGAACCACCGGAAACCCACGCGCCCTCGCCCAAAAACCTTCTTGGAGAAGCTTCTCCTGTGCCAAGCAACGCCTCAGCCGGCAAAAGTATTTCGTAGCTGCTGCCGAGATAAGGAAAAAGATAAAACCTCCCCCAGCCCCAACTAAGGTAGATAAATCCGCCCCGACGCCATCCGCACAAAATCAAACGGCACATTCTGTCCCACCAGCAGTCGCAGCGTCTCCACCGTCGTCCACGCCGTCACCTCCTCGATCCCGTACGCCGTCCAGCCCGCGCCTACCGCCACGCCCACCGGATCGCCCTTGCGCGCCCCGGCCCCCGTCAGGTCCAGGTATACCTTGCCGCACGTCGCCGCCGCGGGCGACGTGCGCCCCGTCGTGCGGTAGTGTCGCAGCAGCGGCTGCACCAGCAGCGATTTCTCCGGCGGCAGCGCCGACACCATCACGAACGGCTGCTCCACCCGCTGCACCGACTGCAGCGACGTGAAGGGCTCCAGTCCCGCCGCCAGCGGCCCGCATGCCCGGAACCCGACCGTGTAGATCGCCCCGACCCCGAGGCTGCGCAGCGCATAGAGGGCCGCCGACGCCTCGCTCTCCGACCCGGCCAGGATGATCGCCGCCCGGCCCCGGTACGCCGACGGCACGTAGTCGCGCGTCAGCGTCGCCCGGATCCCCTTCCACGACGCGTTCTCGCCCACCAGCGTGGCCCGCCCGCCGGGCTCGCCGCGCACCACCGCGATCGTGTCCACCAGCCCGATCGCCCGCGCCGCCTCGCTGACTATCGTCGCCGGACACGTCCACGCCGCCACCGTCGCGCTGGCCAGCGGGGGGTGGACCGCCGCGCCGCCGAAGCGGGGCTGCCGCAGCAGGCTTTCGATCGACCCCGGGGGCCCGCGGTCGATCGACGTCAGCGTGTGCGGCAGGCTCAGCTCGTTGAAGCACTTCTCCATGAACATCGACTGCGGCGTCGCCCGGGACGGGCCGATCGCGTACAGATCGCGCTTCGGCAGCGCCCCCATGATGTGCATCGCCTCGTTGATCTCCGCCGCCGTCAACTGGCCCGGCGCCGCGATCATCGGCAGCAGCGGGTGCGTGATCGGCGAGAACACCGTGTTCAGCGCGCGCGACAGCTGGCCCAGCTGGCCCATGTTGACCGCCGACAGCAGCGGCGTCGCATCGTTTCGGCCGCCGCCGCCGCCGCCGCCGCCCCGCGTCACCGTCGACCGGAAGTACTCCAGCTCGTAGTTGGCCTCGATCGTGTCCACCATGGCGATCATCTTGACGATGTCCGCGTACCGGGCGCTTTCCGCGAAGATGCGGGCCGCCTCGGCCGACGTCCAGCGCCACTGGCCCGAGAAGTCGTGGAAGGCCGACATGATCACGCTGTGGCCTTTTTGCTCGGCCAGCCGCCGGCGGATGGCCTCGGGCAGCCACAGCTCGACGTCGATGTACTCGCACCCCCACTGGATGGCGCGCCGCAGGTACCGGTAGAACAGGGCCGGGTCGTCCATCGGGAACTTGCCGTTCTCCCTGGTGCAGCGCGTCGTGAAGATGATGGGCAGCTCCGTGTGCTGCCGCAGCAGCATCAGCTGCCGGCCCACGTACCGCAGGCTGGGCACAGAGCTGGGGACCGCGCCCGGCGGCGACGGCTCGACCAGCAGATCCACGCGGATCTCCACGGCGTCCGAGCCCACGGACAGGATGTCGAGGTTGGGCAGCGCCGCATGCACGTCCAGGAACGTCGTCGAGATGAAGTTGGTGCGCGTCTTGGTGCGGAGGTCCTCGTGCGGCCGCGTCTGACCCAGCACCAGCGCCAGGAAGCGCGTGAGATCGCGCCGCAGGAACGGGCTATGCGAGTAGAGGAACTCATAGTCGCAGCGCTCGGTGAGCGTCTCGTCGGGGAAGGAGCCGTCGTCCACGCAGTGCGTGTTGATGACAATCCGCGGCGTCGGCGACGACAACGACACCGCTTCGTCGCCGCATGCATCCAGGCTGTGCGCTAGATCAGCTCCCAGCACGCCCACCACCATGGCACTACTGCCGCGCACGTGCGTGGCGAGCGACGTCTTCTCCGTCGTCCAGGGCCTGCCCAGGACCTCCGCGACGACGTGGACGATGGCATCCTGACCGGGCCCGTAGACGATTACCACGGCCTGTTCCACTTCGGCGGGGCCATCTTGCGGGACCGGCTGCGAAGAGACTCGAGGGGAAGACGCAGTCGTCGAGGTTGTAGGAGTAGTAATAGTAGTATCAGCAACCAGGGTCATAGCCATGGGCTGATGAATGGCAGTCTGCATCATCTCATTGCATGAGCAGAGCGACTGCACGGTTCATAGCGCGAGAACTCTTGATGTCGTCTTGAATAGCGAGCGAAGTAAAGAGTTGGACGGATACCGCATGGGCTGGCAACGGCAACGGCAACGGAACAGGGACGACTGACTTGACCAGCTGTATATCTTGATAGGCGTAAGGGGATGGATGAGAATCGACTCGATAGATACTGAGTGAGAGGTGATGGAGGAGAGAGAGAGAGAGGGAAAACGCTCACTGCAACCGTTCCCACTCACTCAAACTGTGTAGAGAAACCGGCTGAATATGATGAATTGGAAGAATTTCCCCGTTTCCACCTCCACGAAACGGAAGGTCATTTCTCCACCAATCACGGCAGGCCATCCCCAAGAAGTTGAGTTTGGAGACTTCAAGAGAGTGAGAGAGAGGACTGCGATGGGTGGACAGAGCATCGGAGCCTCTGTCCGCGCATTTGTGGAAGAATCAGGACTTAAAACGGAGTATACGACAGACCCAGGAGTGGCCCACAATGTACAGACTACTAGTATTGACTAACGTAGCCCAAATATGCAACATCTCACTTCAGGTCAACACCAAAAAGAAACAAATCATCAGAAGAGATACCGGCCAGTCAAAGGGGAAGGGGTATTGGCGGAACAAAAAAACAATCCAATCCACAAAAAAACAAGGCTCTGATGGGAACAATCGCCAAGATCCAAGGTCATCAACGTTCTAAAACAGTTCCATATGTGTACAAGGGATGCAGATTGCGAATATGTATGTAGTATGTACCGTCCTGCATCCGAAAGACCCCGTCTCATGCCCATGAGAGCTCTTTCGTAAGTGACGTCCAGCTGTCCGACGGGCATCGACGGGACCCAGGACCGACGTTCGTCATGCTGCGAGCTGCCGTGCGCAGAAGTTGGGAGGAAACATGTCCAAGATGGCTTCCTCCGATGCAATCGGTATTTTTTCCCTTTTTCTTTCGTGCCGGAAGTGTGGTCGCGGTGGCTCTTCAGTCCAACCCGGAACGTGGCCGCGCCTTCGTCCACCTCAATGCACGACATCCATCCCATGACGGGTCTCAGCTCGGGCCTTAAGTGCGCCGCACCAGTCGCTAGTGTAGTTAGGCCGTAGTTTTTCCAGGCCATATCGGTAACTAACCCCACTCAGTAGGTGTCTGGTGCATCCACTGCACACGTCTGGAAACCTCCGTATCGGGCAGACTTTAAACCGATCAAATGTGAGACAACGATGATGCAAGCTACGTGGACAGTGGTCGCATCCAATGATCTCGTTGGCGTCTGGGATCTGAGGTCTGAAATCCCTCCAACCCTATAACTAAAGGAGCTTCAATCAAGGAGGTGAGATCGCAAGGCCATTCATCAGATTCGGAAGCGGCTTGCGGCGAGCGTTGTTGGCCGCTTTTGACACTCGGGGCGCCCCGTTGATCATGCGGGGTTCCTTCATAAGGCTGGTATCCAGCTTGGCCGGAGCTGTTCAAAAGAATCAGTAATCGTACCCCCCCCAAAGAAAAGGGGGTTGGGGGACTCACCTCGAGTAACAATGCGGGTGTAGTCTCCCGACAGTGTCTGCTGGCCGCCCCGACTGCTCCCAGCAAACGAGGTAGCACTGGCCGTGCGCCAGAGGTGGTTCGACGTATCCGACAGGAAATCCGTCATGCTGCGACCAGAAAACAACGACGAGCGACCCCGATTCCGCTTCGACAGAACAATCTCATCGAACAGCGCCATCCGCGGGTCTTTGGCCTTGGGGTTCACCCGCTCTCGTTCCCCGATAAACTCATTGAAGCCTGGATATCGAGTTAGCAAGATGATATGATGGATCGGGGAAGAACAAGTCGAGGAGCCCACCTTGGGTGTGTTGCAAGACCGCAATGTACTCCGCATGCTCGCTGGGTAAGCTTTTGAGGAAGGATTCCATATTGAAACTATACGTGAGACCCGCTTTCTTCTTGTCGCCCGACGCGGGCTGCAGGAACTTCTTGTAGGTGTAGAACAAGCTGGCGAAACACCGCACAAAGGCGGCGCGGATCTGCTCGGGATGGAAGGCCGACGGGCAGACCAGGCAGATCTGCAAGGCGCACCGATTGTGGACCAATGTCTTACATGCGGTGCACCGGTACATACCGTCCTCCGCTCGTTCGTCGCACACCGCACAGACCGCCTTGTCGTCGCAGGGAACCACTTGCAGGCAATGCCCCTCGACCCAGCAGGTCCCCTCCGCATTCTGAATGGGTTGCGCAACGGACTGCGGCACGATCGTGGAGGCCGCCACCGTCGACTGCGCATACACCGACGGAGCATAGGTGGAGCCCGGGTTGTAGTCGGTGTTCAGCGTCGTGACCGACAGGTTGGGCGCATGCCCTAGGAACGGAGCACTGGGCCGCCGGGGCCCCCCCGGCCGCATCTCCATGCCGAACGAGGAGCTGCGGCGCGACGCGGCGTCGAAATGACCCGAGCGCTTTTCGCGCAGGGAGGCCTGGAGCGCCATGCCGGAATCGTTCCGCGAGCCATGCGGGAAGTGCCCCGAGGTAGGCGAGTTGTCCCTGGGAGACGGCGGCGATCCGGTCTTGGAGGTCGAACCCGTGCCCGGCCGGTCGGAGCCCTTGGATGAGAACCCGCGGGAGACGGCTTGCTCATGGCGCGCATGCAGGAACGCGTTGAAAATAAGCGGCGGTTGACTGGTGAGGCCCACGGACGATTGGCCAAACGCGCTCGAGTTGAGACTGACGTACTTGGCGAGCTGTGTGGAGTGGGCTTTGGCAGTGAAGATGGCGGGATTCTCGGACATGAAGGCGTCAAAGGGGAAGGTCTCCACGGCATAGGCGGGAGGCCCAGTGGGGACGGCGCATCGATTGTGGTGGGGCGCAGCCAGCTGGAGCAGTGACAGAAGCTTCCGGCGCTGATGACGGGGCAGGGGCGTCGGCCGCACCGTACTTTCGATCAGGTCGGCATCCAAATCCACCAGGACAAAGTCATCCGAGGGGAGTTCGACCTTTTCATACCGCCGCTCAATACCCACAATGTACGGACAGGGAGCCTCCAGGGCCTGGATCAACCGTGCCGGCAGCACGGGGATTAGTACCCCGGCCCACTGCAGCGGGAAGAGCAGATCGACGAGAGCCCGAGTGGCCAGGTAGAGCATCGATGTGTGAGACGAGAGGAAAATGATGCGGGATTCCGTCAACGCGTACTCGAACAGGATCATGATGTTGGACAGGGAGAGTGTCCGGAACAGGGCGTACAGGTCCGTGTTGCGCGAGCCCGGCAGCTCGTTAACCGCCTCCTTGCGCGCAAAGAGCCGCAGCTCCCGCACCGCCAGTTCGACCTGCGTTTTGGAGGAGGTGGGGCTGAAGGCCTCGGTGCACAGGTTCATCACGTACCGCTCCAAGGGTTGCCAGAGACCCATCCGCGGAGAGCTGGGAGGCACCCGCTGGATGGTCCCGTCCGTCATAGGGACGATGATGGCCTTCAGCCACTCCTTCCAGAAGCTCGTCATGGTCTCTTCCCGGCCGAGGATGCCGTACGCGCGGGGGATCCAGAAGCCGGTTTCGCCGTCGGTCAGCCCCTCAATCTTGGACGCCGCCCCATGGCGGACGGGCCGCAGGAGATCGGTCATCAGCCCGATTTTCTCCTCTACCGCGCTGATGTCATCTTCCAATTGCTCGCGCGACTCCGACCCGGACGGAACGGTGGGGAGCTGGGCCAGGAGCCTCGACAATTTGGCGCGCTCGGAGGCCAGCCGTTCCCCGAGACTCGCCGCCAACTCCCGTTCCTCGTCCGTCATGTTCTCCTTGCGCCATTCCTCGCAGCGTTGCTCCAGCTCTTCGGCCGCCCGTTGGTTGAGCGGGATCCAGATGATGACGCAGATGGCGTGCAATCGCGAACCATTATCGGTGGTCATGGTGAACCCGTGCCATGTCGAGCGCGGTCGCTGGTCGGACGAGACGATATTGATGTCGTTCGGGAACGCGAACATAGGCACGTAGTCTGGAAAATTGCAGCGCTGCTTCAACTCGTCCGGTACGCCCTTAGTGGGATATCGATCGAGAAGGACGGGCTCAAATCTCCGCTTCAGCGGATGCATCGTTGAGGAGAATTCTAGAGGTTGTGGGGCAGGGATGACTGAATTATAGTTACTGAGTCGTCGCGAGGTGCGAATGGAAGCTGCGAGAGAGGGTGGAAGGCTTTAGTGATTGCATTTGGGGGAAAGGACAGGGAGAAAGCCTCATCAACTCACCTTGACGAGCCACCGACGGCTGTCGCTTCATACTGTTCATATCGCGGAAGGCCATGTGGCGCCGGACACTACCGATACCCGATCGGAGTAAGCTTGCTGGCTGTGAAGGAGTTTCGTCCGAGGTGATCTTCTGGGTGCGTAACCGGGACCGGGGGCGCGAAGCCGGAGTGATGGCGCCGGCGCTGAGACTGAGATCGGACAGGAAGGTCTCGCGCTCGGAGGCGAACTTCAGCAGCGCCTTGTCGAAATCAAAGTCCTCCAGAAACGAGGACCCCCGCGGCGACGGGGCACCCTTGATGGTCAAACTGCTTCGGTTGCTACTGGATCCGTTCGCATTGGACTCTGCAGAGTCCCCCGAGCGCATGGAGAATCGCTGGAAGGAGTTGCGGCCGGGAAGGGTCGAGGTAGGTCGGGACAGCGCATCCAGACGGGGGTCGTGGGCCTCCTCCGCATCCGCATCTTCCTCGATAGTATCCGTGAGAGCCGGACCGGGGGACGTGGCACTGTTCGCCCTGTATTCATCGCCCAGCCTTCGAAAAGTGTCGAGGACCTCTGTACCGTCCACACCGGCAATCCAGAAGTAATCTGCAAGCGGTGTTGCAGGCACCTCGGGGGTTGATGAGAAGGGCATCTTCTTTCAGTGTTTTGGTGTTTTTTTTTTTTTTTTTTTATTATTTTTTATTTTTGATTCTTTTGTCCTTGTGAATTTGTTCTAGGTTGTTCTATTCAACTTTCTTTGGAAAAGTCTTGGACGGTAGCAGCGACAGCGGCGGACGGCGAAATGGCAGATAGGGCTGCAGGTAAGATGATCGTTCAATTCGTCACAAGAGCACCGTGGATAATCGTCATGACATGAAACCGATCCAAGCTAAGAGTGAGCATCAACGAGGGAGGTGGATTGGGAGGGAAGTTCAACGATCAGGAGCTTCGGAATCAACAGGGGGGGACTCGCGGTGGAGACGAGGACGCATAAGTAGAGGCTTGCGACGCCGGTCGCAGGAGGAGGGAGGAAGGAGGAGGAAGAGGACGCCTTGCGTGGGGGAGTCACAGCAAAGAGATTGAGATGATTTGAGTATGGGGAGGGAGAGGGAGAGGGGGAGAGAGGGAGAGAGAGAAAGAAGAGGATAGTCAGTAATACTAATATTACTAAGAAGAAGAAGAAGAAGAAGAGGAAGAAGAAGAAGAACAACAACAACAACAACAATAACAACAACAACAACAATAACAACAACAACAACAATAACAACAACAACAACAACGATAATAGTAGTCGTAATACGAAGAAGAAGAAGACCGACGAAGAGGGGAAAGGGGGAAAAATTGGAAAAAAAAAAACGCGTGGAGAAAAAGCGATTAAGTGCTTAGACTGACTTGGAGGGGAAAAGGAGGAGGACGGAGGAAGAAGTATAGAGTACGAAAGAACACCTTTCTTTCTTTTTACCCGGTCTGTACTCCGTAGTGATCATCGAAATCACTATTTCTTCGACAAGAGCTCATCCTTCCTCTCGATCTGCTACATACTGTCCTATCTACTCTCTATCTACAGAGACTACTAGAGAGAGTCAAACTATTACGATTTACAAACATCCCCTCCCCATTTCGAGCCCCAAAGCTATGTCCAATTGTCCAGTCACCAGTGTCCCGCAGACTAAACTCACTAACTCACTGACTAATTAACCAACTAACTAACTACCGAGTCGTCCTAGTGTTCAAAAATCCACAGTCCACATTCCCCCCCCAAGGATCCAAGTTTCGTCGTTTCTTTGGTGTAATTGGGGTTCGATCGCTTCCCTTTTCCAGTCTGTGCTGTGCAATGTGCACACGCACACTGACTGGAGAGTCCTAGACTCCTAGTCCCTCCGTTCCTCGTCAAGCGTATCCAGGATGACGGGTATAGAGGATAGACTATCCACTGAACGAGATCGGCGACTGCAACTGCGAGGGTTAAACCACAAACACCAAACAATACGCACGTCCACCAGTCCGCAACAAACAAAGGCAGGGGGGAAAGGATCCAAAGAAGAAAGAAAAGAAAAAAAAAGAAAGGCAGGGACATCAAGAAAGAAAGAAAGGGGAAGAGATAATGAACAGCCAGCCTTGTTGGAATGGACTATACTAGTTAAAACTACTACTTGGTCTAGACGAGACATTAGGGAGGGATTCTTCCAGGGCGCTGCGACAAACTACTGCAGGTTGGCTTTGACAGCGTCAGGGTTCCAGGCACTTTTTGAATTTTGGATATGCGCAATGAGTTAATATTCAATAATAATAATAATAATAATAATAATAATAATAAGAGAAGATGAGCATTCGCTGTGCTACATGCCTACATGGAAGACAAAAGTACGACTACGGGAGGCCATTCTCGTAGTTTAATCCAGCCACGACATGACATGATGACAGCCATCAATAATGGCATCTAAGTAGTAAGTACCGAGTAAGTATCTACGGAATAACTATCGATCTACTTTTGGGCTAAGTACTGGAGTAACTATCATAGATTGATAGTCCATACTCCATACTCCATACTCCATAGTATTTTCATCCCCCCACTAAGGTATCAACTATCAACCCAGAAACCCCCATCCTAGTCCTACAGAGTATGTATTCCTCTCCTTACTTTTGCCTCGCCATTTACCAACCATCCAACAACCTCCTCCGCCATCTTTTCCCCCCCCCCCCCCTTCTTTCTTCCTCACAAGTCTACAACAATCTGCAATCTACCTAGATCGTCCATCCACCTTCCCCCCTCGACTCTCGACTCTCGACTCTCGAACCTCAAAATCCAACAAGGTCCAAGTGTCCGCATAGAACAGTCTGGAACTCTCCACCGACATGACCACGCAGTAACCAACTGACTGACTGATTATTGGACCGGGAAATTTTTTTCTGCTCAAAACAAAGCGGTTGGCTGGGTACTGGGTACTGGTAATTGGCATGGATAATATGCAAGATACCTACCTACCTACCTACCTACCTACCTACTAGTAGATGTGCCAACCTACTGTGGTATCTACCTAGTGCCAAGCTACCATACGGTCATACCTACTGAGTACTGACAGTTACAGCCTACAAGAAATAATCCCTCAAACGTCCATCAAATGTCAATTGAAAAAAAGAACCAGAAGTGGATCGTGATCGAATCAGGTTCTGCCGAGGTTTTGTCTTTACAAGGTAGGTGGTACCTTACTACTGTACGGAGTAAGTCTGTAAACATGGTTCCCAGTTTCCAGTTTCCACAATCAATAATACTACTACTACTCTGTAGTACTACTAATAACAGAGCTTACTGCATAAGGTAGTCTAGTCTAGTCGAGTTATTTGAACAAATTGTCATTATGTTATCGGCTATTGCTAGCGCAAGCAGTAGATACCTAGGTACTAGGTAGGTACTTAGGTACTGGGTATTAGGTACCAGGAGTACCTACTACCAGTCTACCTACACTACACTACACTACACTAACTGACTATTCAGTACCTACAGATGCAGCAAAGAAAGGAGGTGGAGGGTCCGTCGGCAGGTTGTCCGCGCGCTGGTCCAGCCAACAGCTAAAGTCCGTCCAATTCCAATGGATATTAGGTTGTCACTTGTCAGTTATGTGAACTTGTGGTACAGAGTACGGAGTACCTACTCCGTACAGAGTAGGGTACTTGCAGGCGAGTGTAGTCTGTCTTGCTTAGCGTAACAGTCAAGTCAACCGTTGGTACTGGTAAGATGGACAGGTACTGGTAACTACCTACCTACTCGGGTGGCGTTTCAGTTTCTGTTGACTCGACATGGTTCCCTCTCAGTCTCATGTCTCTCTATCTATTTACATACAAGTCACCTTGGAGTCAAGCATACTGTATAAGTCATTCAGTGCCAGATTTAGACGCGCTAGATAACAATTCCGACGGAGTACAGTCAAACTAGTCCTCATTCAGGAGGAAACAGACCGCCCAGTATCCCAATCCCGTTAGACGCCCTGGCAATGTCTCACTCGTAGCTCCAGGTGGATTCCTCAGGCCAGCCACACTCCCTTGATCGCCCGGCTAATAATAGTGAGTCGGGGTGGAATCAGAACCTCACATGCTATAATTATCTCCATAGTAGTATCTAGATACAGCAGCCGAAGGAAAGAATGCCAAAGGCAACCCCAGTCAACCACAATTCATCAGCCGCGGGACTGCCACGACTGAAAAGCTTCGACGAAGCTCCGTGGTCCACAGCCCTCGGTCATCTCATATTCGCATTCATCTCTTCCCCCCAACATCGCAGACCCATCGGCTTCTCGCAAATCCAAGATCGGGACCATAGACGGCCGTCCGTGGGCACATTGAAACGGGAGCACACATTGTCGCAGCCGACTGACAAGACTCTGACATTCGTCCACCGTCAGCACATCATTGAACATGATCGCTGTCCGACAGGCGCGAGAGTTGAGGAGATCAATAATGCCTCGAGGACAAGCCTGGAGCCGGTCCACCCATCGGGGCTCAATGTCGCGCGCGGCCTCCTCTCTGCTCCGCATCTCAACAGTCAACGGCCCGTGCCTCTCGTCCTCACGCTGCCAAATCTCACTGCGGATCAGGTCGATAACCAAACTATTCTCCACCCGGCATCGTTCGGCAATCAGTGTAGGAAGGAAGCCCACGTGAACCGTAGCTCTTCCTCCGGGGCCCTGCGTAACTGTATAACCAACCCCCCAAGAAGCCAAAACTCCTGCATATTGCCCAAAAAGAGATGCTTCAGTCAGTGGGATTTCAAACGTTATAGGGTCAATCCTGATCGTGTGAATCGGGCAGAGACTGTTGTCGTTATCCGCGAATAATCCCCCAAAAAGATGTTCAACACGACACCTTTCGTCCGCGGCATGTTGATCGACCAGGATCAGACTCGACCGTGAGCGTTGGGCGTCGCCGATCCTTGCAAGGATAAAATTCCGATCCACCTGCGCGATGATCTCTGCCGTTGCGAGATCTTGCTCATGGATCTTCCCTCGGAATTTCCCCAGTCCGAGATCCTCCAGCCTGCAGTATTCCCCCGAGGTGTCGTCTGGCCGCATTGTCGTCGTATTACTCAAGTGTCCAAAACGCCTCCCATCATCAATAGTATTTATTGGTTGTTCTGGTCGGCTATAAGCAGGGTTCGTCCAACCGTCCAAAAGATTCTCAACCCAATGATTGCGGCCTTCACTCGATGCTGGCCTTGATTGGTCGGACATCCGAAGACCATGGAAAGTTCCTGTCAGCCGCGGTCGTTCTTTGTCAAGCGTCGCGGTCATTGATGATTTCCGATTGACAGATTGTCCCGTTCGTGAATCAACCCAATGGGTCCGACCAGTGTATGGATCAACCCAAGGAATCACCATATCAACACCTGACTCGCTTTCTTCACCAGTTTCCGTGCGTTTACTAGCCAGGCAACCATCCATCTTCGGAGAGGAGGGAACCTGACTCCCGTTGCCATCTTCCAATAAGCCGGCACGTGCGTTTTTCAACCCCACGGGGGTATCGTACGTGTTGAAAGGTTCCTTTGCACTCTTGACTCTAGACCAGTTTGCAAAATCGGCCCCGATGCCTCCCGACGCGGGTCTTTTGAAAGATGGGAGTTTCAACTGGCCACCGAAGGCATCTTCGGTGCCAGAAGGTCGGCCATATGGGCGAACCGGCTGTTCTAGAGATCTTTCACTAGCAACAGACGATTGGTTGCTTGCTAGCCTCTGCGACGTATTCCTTTTCCGGGCTTTCGCCCGTGGCCGCAGACCATGCTGCCTAAGAAACTCGATGACCATTGCTGTAACCACATCCATGACTCGCTGAATGGAATTGTTTGACTCGGGCACCGTTTCATGACTGCTGTTGCAAAATTCCCTGGGGCGATCAACGACGATGCGTATGTAGAACATGGGCCATTTGTTGGCAGTCTTGCCCATGGACCTCGGACTAGCGTTCCCGTGACTACTGAAAGGTGCTGTCCCACCGAAGTCGGAAAGAGCAAAAAGACGGTTGATCTCGGTATATAACAAATTCGTGTTCTGGCGTGGAAAGACCGAGTGGATTCCAAAAGAGATGAACTGGACCTTCTTGGTGGGACTGGGCACAGGAGATATGGCGGCATACACCGAAATGCCAGAAACACATGCTGATACAGACTCCCATCGACCAGCGTTCTGCGCCTCGAGTAGACCAGCCTGCGTGAGTATCGAGGTAATACGTAGCATGTCAACCTCCCCCGTTGCCCCTTGATTCCCAAGTTGGGAGCGGATCATCAATCTTCTCTCCTCCCCAGTAGTCAAAACGACTAGCTTCGTCAGACCATCATTGGCTAACATCAAGGCAATGAGCAGCTGGCGAAGGTCGTCCCATTGTCTCTCCAGTTCGTCCAACTTTTGAAGGGCCAGTGCACGGCTCTTCACACGCACAGGCATATTTCCAAACAAGTCATTGACTGTGACGCAAGTCCCATGGCCACTGAACCTCAGATGGTGGGTTGCCGGTGCTGGAGTCAGTCGTGCGATCGGGGTCGAATGATGGAATATGATGCTATTAGTGCTGTCCTCTCGAAAGTGATGCGAGGTCACGGTCAACAATGAAAGAGAAGCCAAGGAGGCAAGGAACGATCCACTCTGACCATGTACAGCATTTTGCAGATGCAATTTCGAGGTATCTGGTCCAGGCATCAGCAAGCGCAGTTAATCGATGTGAGTTCACATACGGTGTGCTTTCCCTAACCCTCCCTGGGATCCGAACTCCGATGGTGGAATACCATCCCCGTCGTCCTCAACCATGCATCCTCCGCGCTGGATATCGACCGTCACAAAGACGGTGCGCGCATTCGCGTCCAAGGCATTCTTGACGAGTTCAACGATCACCCCGTTCAGATGGGTGATGGATGTGGAAGACTTGATTTTCGCCACGGCATCTGGGGGCAAGGGTCGGATTTTGTGATCATCCAAAGGCATGGCAAAAGGGAAGAGAAGTAAGAGGCCAGAACTTTTGTGCAAAACAGGCTGGATTCACATGGTGCTATTTTTTTTCGACTGCTACAGAGCGAATATCTGGGAGCAGCTGCCACTGGTATGTTGGCATGTAGATATTTGTCGAGTTTTGATGGAACATCTAAGCTAGAAGCTATGCATCAGACGAGCTTCCTTTGTGTATGGACAGATTAGAGATAGACCAGCGCAGTTTCCATGCTGGTTGAGTGATGTGTCTGAAAGAGCTGGAGGAAACAACAGTTGTGGCTGATATGATATAATGTCACGTGACAAGATGCCTGAGGCAATAGCAATACATCTATACCTTTTCGTCAAAGCAGTCGGAATGTGAGACTCATGAATGCTTGGTGGCATACGTCAAAATGAACATCCAAGGCATTTCAAAAGTTATACTACAGCGGGATTGCATAGGCCAGTAACGATACCTCATACTATCTACAGAGCAGCAAACGTAAGATTAAGTCATTTGTCTGAACAGCTTGCGATAGAAATAGGAATACGCCGTGCTATTCTCCCTGAGCTATTCCTCGCAAGGAGTAGACATTAATCGAGCGTGAAATATGAGCCGTGGAGATGCTCAGAAGTCATAAGTCATAATTGAACAATGGCATAGTCAACTGTGCTGGAACTGGAAGATCCACCACCATCGACAGTGGAGTAGTGGACCCAGGGGAATCCACTCTCAGAACAATTGCATTGAATCATTAATGGGGACCATAGATTGGCAGTACGGTCAGTCTAGAAGGAGATTGAGTGTCTCAACAAAGTCACGATGGGTGTCAACCGGACTCTGACCCTCAAGTCGTGGACACTCGGGCCACGGAAGGGGGGAAAGCCGCCGGATACCTATGCATCCATCATCCAAGGAATTGATGATTGTTGGACAGCTCTGTAACGCCCAATCGATAGTCAATGCGGGATTCTATGATCAGGGTCGAGCCGCTGCAGCGATCACTGATAAGAATGAAAGTGAAGCATTGGTCTAGCGAGCAGACGGTCTCGTCTGCCCCACGGGATAACTACTGAAAGACGAGCGATATCGTTTCAGTTCGAATTAGGCAATCAAAAGGGCTAGCAATAGCATTCTAACCGCTAGATACTCCCTCCTTAGAACTGCGTGGCAGTGCCTGCTGGCTAGCAACAGCGAATCAGCAATCGATCAGGATGACTCCTGAGAGCTGCAGATCTCAATTAATCGATTGTATCTGCATCTGATTTGCAGAGGCTGGCGGATGCGGGATGGCAATTGGGATTTGGGAGGAAAAGAAGCGAGGATGAGGAATTTGAGCCAGACAGCGGCCATCACGTGCCGACAGCCATTCCCCCCTTGAGACTCCTGATACTGACAGTAGTCAGTCTACCTATAGTCTAGTGTCTCACTAGATAGTGTTACAGGAGTATTATTGTCTGACTGACTGACTGACTTGTCCATACCCCATGCACCGGTTCTTAATATTTCTTCCTTCTTGGATATAAAATATCCTCTCTGCGATCGCAGAAAAGCTCTCTGATCCATAACTCTAGAGGTCCGGTGGTTTGCGGCTTATCGGAGTGTCTCCAACCCAATCTATCCCTCTGTGACCTGGATCGTGATATTTGACGATCGATCTCTTTATTGGACGGGTCCTTTCCTACGAGTCGACTATTCCGCAGTTATTCGCAGGTTCGATAACGGGCCAGAATGGCCACAGCTGAAGTCCCTCCGCGGGCGCATGGTACGTTCCTTTTCGAGTGGTCTGCACCCGGGAGAGGGAAGCACAGTCGACTGACGGACAGGGGGGTGGGTTGTAGTTCGCAGTGGACGCCGACGCCCATTTACGAGCTGGGTGAAAAGACTGGCTAATCTCAAGAGCTCATCGATCGATTCGGGCACCATCCGTTGGTCGCATAAACGCCACGACACGCCCAAGAGCAAGAGAAACAGCATGAAGAACAACCCTTACCCGCTCTCCGGCTTCACGAACGTCGCGGGCGGATACAGCAGCGATTTCAATACATCCGTGTCGGACTCGCAGGAAGCAAATGGTCGGAGATCATCGTCGCAAAGCGCGCCCTCGCTCGCCTGTTCCGGGTCCGATCACCAGATTCCCGCGACCAGTGCAAAGTCGACCGCCCCCACCATCTCCACCAACGGAGACACGGCTCTCTCAGAGGCCGCATACTCCAAGGCAGGGACAATGGCTACGGCCGGAGGGGCGATCAGTTCGAATGGCGGCGGCGAAGGAAGCACCTTCTCGTCCCCTGCGCCGTCGGTACGTTCGTTGACCACTACCTTGACGACCGTGCAGTCCGCCGCGCCGTCCACCCACTTCTACAATGTACCAAACACCCACCACACCCTTGTGCATGCGAACTCGACACACAGCACGGCCAACCAGCAAGTGCAGTTCTCCCAACCGTTCCCGTCCTCCCCTGCGACCGCGGTGCCGCCCCACCTGGCTCCTCACGGCCACTCGCATACATACAGCAGCGCGACCGCCAACAATATGCTGACCGATAACGCTTCCATCCTTACGCTGGCGTCCTCGTCGAAACGGCGACGCCGGAACTCTTTGGACACAAACGCATCGATCCGCGCTTTAGCACCCTCCTCGGTGTTTGGTGGTAGCCGCGAGAGCCTCCCACTGAGTGTACTCAGCGCGAATGTGGGAGAGGCCTCCAACGCGTCCACGTTTAATGCGTCGGGGGTGCTCAATCGACCGAGTATGGTCGGGCTTGCGAGCGCGGAACGGATCAGCGTGTACTCGGCGACCGGCGCCGCGGAACGCGGAAGCTACCACAACAAAGCGAACACGGGCACAGGAGACGGAGCGAGTATCAAGAGCGCTGCATATTCGCACAGTCGCAACGACAGTTATGCCGCGAGCATCTCGGGCGGCATGGGCAGCGTGCTCCCCAACCCGGCGTTGACGGGGCGAATCAACCGTCGTAGCTCGGGATGGGGCGAGATCAACGGTGACGAGAGCGAACAAGACAAGGAAGAGAAGGAGGAACGACCGGGGGAGTTGAAGGAGGAGGATGCGGATGACACTAAGACCGAGGGGTCAACGGGATCGACCACGACTATGAAGACACATTGATGACGGGACGTGGCTGAAGAAGGAAACGAAGTGACGCATAATTCTGCATGAGAGACTGGGTTAGAATGTATTTTTTTTTTTGTTTTTTTTTTATCTCTATGGAGTTTCAACATGATGGAGTTGGGTTTTGGTACAGGGAGGTTCCATTATTCATCATTGTTTCAGTTGGATGGCATGGCATTATTATTATTATTCTTCTTCTTCTTCTTATTATTGATATCCCACGGTATGGAATTGAGCCTGATGATCATTTGTTTGTCATATCATATCATCATTATTACTATTATCTAGTTTTCGAATGCCAATTGATTATATGCATGAGAAAGCAGTAGAACACTAAAAGCATAGCAGTCTAGACTGGATTGGGATCTATCTACATACATCAACAGGATGAACAGCGCATGCTTTCCTTTGCTTTTACAGAGTGGTATCACTACTCACCTTCTTGAAACACCAATTGACTAACTACTGGAGGAATTCAGGACAGAATCAAGATAGTCTGATCGATCGAGGCTAAGAAGTTGCGGGTCCTTCGATTAATAGAGGAAAGCAAAAAAAAAAAAAATAGACAGACCCCTTGGTGTCTGTCCTTCGTCCTTCCAGACGTCACTCTCTTTCTCTTGCTCTTGTTTTTTTTTTTTTTTCTTTCTGTCAGTTCATTTGATCCAGTAAATTGAAATGGATTTCACTAACAAACCCACAACAATGAAAGAGGATCGCCGCCATGTCGCTGTGGTGGGCACGGGGATGGCTGGCTTGGTGACGGCGTATTTGCTACACCACGATCCACAGCAACGGTATCGGGTGCGACTGATGGACAAGGTAAGGATTTTCCGTGGTGATGATCAACGACTTCGCTGCTAATCCATGGCAGAGAGATCAAGTCTCCCTGAGCGCGGAATCCGTCGCGGTGCCCTCCTCCCAGCCAGGGGAGAAAAAATCCGTCTGGGCCGATGTGCCCATGCGCGCCTTCGCTGGCGGTTTCTATGAGAACCTCGGCCGCATGTACGACTACCTGGGCGTGCGATACCACCCGCAACCGTTCCTGTTCGGGTTCTCGCGACTGGCTTCGCGACCGCAGCAGCACGAGGAAGCCCCGTACATGGTGCATGCGTCCAACTTCCACCAGCTGGGCCCGCTGCTCCCGCGCCGGGGCGATTTCTTCCAGTGGGCGCTCGAGGCCGCCCTGGTGCTGCTGTGCTACCTGTGGTTCACCGTGTGCTGTTTCTTCGTCGCGCCGACCGAGGACGAGTCGTTTGGTCATTATCTCCGTCGCATCTATCTCCCGCGGCACTACAACGCCAACTACCTCCTGCCGCTGATGTCGAGCGTGTGTACGTGCTCGCATGCAGAGCTGCTGCGGTTCCCCGCGGCCGACGTGCTCGGGTACAAGCAGCGCACGCATCGGCAGCCGCACTACGTCGTCACGGACGGCGTGCACAAGGCGCAGGAGACGTTGCTGCGCGGTCTGGACGTGCGTCTGGGCGTCCACTCGACCAGAGTCACACCCACGGCGAACAGGGTCGAGCTCACGTACCGACTGGCCGACAGCGACGCCGACAAGACCGAGGTCTTCGATCTCGTCGTCCTCGCCGTGTCCCCGGACATCGTGGCCAGCGTCTTTGAGCCGCTCACCTCGAGCCTACGCGACGTGCCTACTACTACGGTGACGACGGTCGCACATACGGACTACGCCGCTCTCTCGCGTATCGGCCTGGACGGCAGTAAGCCGGGAGGAGGAATCTCGAGTCGACCGGGAAGCCCACAGCACATCTATCTGCGGTCGAACGGCTCCAGCACCGAGGCGGTGCACGCCCAACCCAACTCCATCCTCGTGACGACCAACCCGCTCACGCCCATCGACCAGAGCAAGATCATCCGGTCGGCGTCGTTCACGCGGGTGCTGCGCAGCCCGCAGAGCCGGCGGCTGATCAACCGGATCTTCGACGACGGCCGGGCCGATGCCACGGCCATCGGCTCGTGGCGCAATGGCGATGGCGGCGTGTATCTGGCGGGCGGATGGTGCTGGGACGGCATGGTGCTGCTCGAGGGATGCATTGTCTCTGCGATGCGGGTGGCCTCGGATCTGGGGGTGGAGGTTCCATGGGCCCCGTAGATGGGTTGAATCCATATATGGATGTGTATATAGTAATTTTGGACGTGTATGAAGATGATACCATGAATGTGTATATATGAAATTGATTCGAGACTTTATTAATAATAAATGTGATTTTTCGGTTTTCGAGAGTGGTTGTATCCATCGAATCCATCTATATCTAGTCCTCTAAACACCCTTCACTTCACCATCCACTTCCAAATCCACTCTACCCGCTCGGCGCTCACCAACACCACCATGAACCCCATAACCTGGCTCCTCGCCCTCCTCCAACGCCTCTGGCGCTTCCTCTTCGCATCCAAACGCGATGAGAACCTCTATAGTCTAGACCATGCCATCCTCCACATCCAAGTGCCCCCTCCAAGCCTATGGATGAACATGGGTTACTGGAAGGTCTGCTCCCCATCCACCTCAAGTTCTCAACCCCAACGCTAACCCCCGCCCCTCATTACAGACCGAAACCACCCTCTCCGGCGCCAGCCAAGCCCTATTAACCCAGGTCCTCATCGCCGCGCGCCTCCTCAGCCCAGACGGCCACCCGGTCGCCCACCCACCCCGCCGCCGGCTACACCTGCTCGACGTCGGCATCGGCTGCGGCGACCAAACCCTATCCCTGATCCAGAGCCAGCGACTCGTCGACGTCGACGTCGAAGACGCTGCCGGCACGGTCGCGGCGGCCCCGCAGCACCAGCACCAACACCAGCACCAGCCGCTCTTCGACTCGTACACGGGGCTCACGATCGCGCCGACGCAAGCCGCCACGGCGCGCGCCCGCGTCGCCGCGCTCCCAAGCAGAAGCAGCCACAGCCACAGCCACAGCCACAGTCGTACCCCGGCGTGTAAAACGCAGATCTTCTGCGCCGACGCGGCGGATCCAAGCTCGTGGCCGGTGGAAATCCACGCGTCCCTCCGGTCGCGCACCAAGGGTCAAGACGAAAACGAAAACGAAACCGAAAACGAAGACGAAGACGAAGAAAACGAAAACGAAAACGAAACCTGGCTCCTCGCCCTCGACACGCTGTACCATTTCCGGCCATCGCGACGTGCCCTGCTGCAGCACGCGGCGCGCGAGCTGCGCGCCTCGCTGATGGCGTTTGACCTGCTGCTCTCGGAGACGGCGTCGTGGTGGCAGCGCCTGGTGCTGCGGGCCATCTGCTGGGTGACGGGGACGCCGTATGCGAATTTCGTGACGCGGGCCGAGTACGAGGCGCTGCTGGTTGGGGGTGGCGGGTATGCGCTGGCGGACGTCGAGGTGCGCGATGTCTCCGGGGAGGTGTTTGCGGGGTTGGCGGGGTTTCTTGCGCGGCGGGAGAGGGAGTTGAGGCCGTTTGGGATTGGGGTGGGCAAGTTTCGGGGGGCACGGGTGGTGTTTGACTGGTGGGCGAGGAGTGGTGTTGTCCGGGGGGTGGTGGTGGTAGCTAGACGATAGATGAAATAGACGTAGGCTTTAGGCTGGCAGCATCGAGTCTATGAGGACTCGAGTGTATATACACGACCGAAACTACATGGTATGGTAGCTACCTAGCGACTAAGACTAAGGCATACCCAACATCCGCCTCGCCTCCCCCCGATTCACCAACACCCACGAAACCGCCGTCACAAAACAAAACACCACATCCCAGCTCACACTACTCACCGCCGGATGTTCGTGCATCGCGCCCAGCAGCCGCCGCCACACCGGCCCTCCCCCCGCCGCCCCAACCACCACCACCTCATACGTCGCCTGCGCCAGTAACCCGGCCATGACGGCCCCCAGCCACCGAAACACACGCACATAGCGCCGCGTCGCCGCAGACGCAGACGTAGACGCAGACACAGACGTAGACACCCCCCGGCCCGGCGCACCCGGCGCACCCGAGGCCACCAGCGCCGGCGCAAACAGCAGCAGATGCGGGAGCAGCAGCACGGGCATGAAGAAGCGCGTGTGCGCGACGAGCGGCACGGCCGCGGCGCCGACGAGGGAGAGGAACACGGGGACGAGCTCGAGGATGGCGGGCGGTGTCCACACCATTACCTGGTTAACCTTATCCTCAGTCTCAGTCTCAGTCTCAGTCTCAGTCTCAGTCTCGCCCTCGGCATCAGCTTCAGAGAAGTGAAGCGACGCCGACGCCGACGCAACCACAGTCGCGGCAAACAGATTCTGCGCAAAGGAGATCGCCACGATCTGGCCGAGGAGCATATACGCCCAGACGCGGGGGATGCGGAACCAACGTCCTATCTGATCAGCATCACTGGCCTTCCCCCCTCCCCAAAAAAAAAGGAAGTAAAAGAGAGGAAGGGGGAACAGAAAAACATACCCAAAACACCCAACAGCACACTCCAGCCCACGGTGAACAAAAAAATCTGCCCGCTCCACCAGTGCCGCTCCGGCGTCTCGGAGACGGTCTCCCAAGCCAGCCGGAAGAGCCTCGTCTCGCGGAGCCAGAGTTCGTATTTCCAGGGCGCCGAGGCGTGCTGGAGGTCGAGGGCGAGGGCGATGGAGTGCGAGTGCTGCGCTCGCCAGCCGCGGTACGAGTGTGCGAAGAACGCAAACATGTAGTACCAGGTGGTGGCAAGGCTGGCGCTAGCGAGGAAGAGAAACCAGAGGAATTGGCGGCGGTGAGGAGTGCGGCGCCATCGCGGGTTGGCGGCGGCGGCCTGGTAGCGTTGGTAGACGGTGAGGGAGGCGTTGGCGGTGAGGGCAGAGGCGAGGACGAGGTAGAAGACGAGGATGGGGAGGGAGCGGTACTCCTGGATGGAGGTGGACATTCTTCTGGAGTTGGTGGTGTCAGAAGAAGAATAGAACTCCAGTATCCATAGATGGACGGACTATTTAGTAGTGAAAACAAGATTGCTTGGCCCACTTATGCTTGACCGTGCACGGGCATCAAAATCGCATAGACTTATCGATCTACTATGTACTCAGACTTGCACCGGTTCGATCTACAAATGCACTACACCGTAGTCTGAATATATTAAGAGAGTTGAATGCTCTAGATCCAGCATCGCTGGCAACAAGGTATTAACAGATCGTCAATCATAAGACTCGCTCCCTCCAGCCAATGTTCCCGTTGAGACGCCTTCCTCAATGTCCCCGCCGTGTCAATCAAATACGATTCTAATATGAACAGGAGAAACAAAGGTAATCTAGAAAATCAAATCGAATGAAACAAATTTTGCTTTTTTTTTTTTGTTGGTTGGTTTCTTCGGTTTGGGTCGAGATGATCCCGAGCTGACAGCTCACACCGTACCCACGCCCAGCTTCGACTCGTGAGTCCTCCGTGGAGCATCGGGCTGTTGCGACGCCAGGAACTTCTTGAACATATCGGCAATGTCGTTCTCGGACTGCTTCGTCTCCTCCGACGTCTTGCCGTTCTTCTCCGTGATCAGGTTCTTCAGCCATTGGTTCTCCAGCTCCAGCGCCGTCACGCGGGCTTCCAGCGCGGCATTCTTCTCGTTCGTCTCCTTGACCGTCTTCTCCAGCGCTTGCTCCCGGAGCTTCTTCTTGACCCGGAATCGCGCACTGGCCGCCGTGTTCCGCCGACGCTTGTCCTCTTCAGCGGCCACGCGGGCAGCCTCCTCGACGCTGATGGCAGCGGTCTTCTGGGTATTCTTGCGCTTAGGGGGCGCTACAGAGGCCGGAGCCGCCGCCGCGATGGGACTCGACGCGGGTATGGATGGGGATGTGGCACTCGAGGTAGACTGAGCCGGGCTGGGCTTCACATTGTAAGGAGCGCTGGCAATGCCGGTCGAGACCGACGGGACCTCGGGAAACTGGGGGGTTGCGATCGAAGGCGGCTGACTGTTGGCCGAGTTCAGGTTGGGTGCCGAGAAATCGGGCATGTTGCCAAAGCCATCTAAGCGAAGACCATTAGCATGCAATTCGAGCAATCAATCGGAGCCAATCATGGCTGAAAGGTCACAAGAGCCCCGAGCGCACACTAGCACAGGAACATGAATAGACCCAGAATATACAATCAGCTGCAACTCCTTGCCAGCACATCCCATCCAGCATGTCACGTGAAATGGCGCCATAATGGACCCCGTTCGCATCAGAGCGCTAATTGCAAATTTGATGCAGGAAGCACATAACCTTTTCTTTTTTTTCCTGCTAGCCGCGGGAAGACAGGGAAAAAAAAAGGTTTATGCAGACAGGGGCTGGATTGAAGATCGTGCTTGACCAATGGGCCCGTGCTGGGATTCATAGATGGTCATACGTTCAACCCAAGGTTGCACGAGTCGCGTGGTAGGAAATGAGGGGGAATGGGGAAAAAGAAAAAAAAAAGAAAGAAAGAAAGGATATGGTGTGATCCTAACGAAGGCGTGCTCGGGAGTGTGTATGTGGAAGTAGGGAAGATGAGGGGGAAATTGCGTTGCCAGACATGTTGCGTGAGGTACCATTGCGAATCCATCTCGAGACGAAGAGAAAAAGGACATCGGACCGATGGAAAAAAAAAAGAAATGAACTCAAGTGATGAACTCACCTCCAAGGAGATTCAAGAACTCGAGATCAGGATTGTGAGCCGTCTGTCCTCCATTTTGCTGGTCCGTCTTCAATCCATCATCCTTGAACGTAGGCAGGTTCAGATCCCCAAACGAGTCGAAATCAAAGAACTCGGTGTTGGTGAATAATGAAAGCTCGGCATCGAGATTGAAGGTGTCTTGTCTTTGTTGCTGCTGCAGAGCCTGGTCGTAGGGCGAGGGAATGGCATTGAGGTCCTCGATGTACTGGGAGAAATTGGGCGCACGGCGGCCGTTGAATCCGGACATGGTGAATGGGGTTGATGGAGGCTGGAGCCTCTACTCCAGTATGGAAATCAATGTGAGATCGGGTTGTTTCTTTCGTCTCGTTTGTTCTTCACTCCAATTGAAGATGGGTGGGTTTCGTGGTGGTAGTATGTATCCGGAGGGGGGCGGAAAAGTTCAGCGGTGACTGACTGACGGACTCTGCTGGGGTCCGTATCGAAATGTCGTAGTCGGTTGTCGGTTGTCGTTTGTGCTCAACCCGGATGTGTCGAACTGTCGAGGAGGGAAAATTGATGAAAAGGAAGTTACAAAGAACAAGAACTGGAGACAGACAACGGGGCTCAAGAAGCACGGTGGAAACGCGGGACACCCGGGGGGGGGAGAAAGTGTGGATGGGAATTTGCGCTGGTGGGGGGTGGCTTGCTTGATGATTAATCCAGCATTCTGACTACTCTGTATACTCTGTAATGGAATTAAGTCGTCTACCTGATCACGGTGATTATATTATGTAGTTGCAGATGAAGTGAATGTATCTCTTCCTCTGTCGTAGTTGATTATTGCTATATAGTTTACTTTACTCTAGAGTCTATCTACTCTGAAAGAAAGAGAGAGTAGTGAATAGAGAATCAAGAATCGAGAATTTGCTGTGTATCACTATCGGTATAATATTATTAATACGACTAATGACTTGCCACTGTATCGGGGTTCGGGAAAGATTACATCGAAGTCGAGTCATCGGATCGGTCGCCGAGATCGGAACTCGGGGCAAGAATTCGTTCACGATGAAGTATTCAGGATTCCAGTTGAGCAGTAGTAGTAGAGTAGGAGTCGTAGGAGTAGGCGTAGTACAGATATGATAATGACTTCAAGTATCTCCATTCTACCGTGTTTCACTCTCATCCTGTATGCCTCACCTGTATGCCTCAACGGTATGACCTGATCAGGCATGTACCTGGGGTTTCCCACCATGCTCACTAATCATCATTAAATATTAATAATAGGCAAGAATAAGCAGAAATGCAGTGAGACAACTCTATCTGGCTTGGAGCAGTGTGCTCAAGCAATTGGATGATGAAAAATCTGATCATTACACAGTATTATGGTATTGATAGAGCGCGGGTTCTTGGGTGAATGATTCCCCCTCGTCGGATCCCTCCAAGTTGGATCATCACTCAAGGAGGAGAATTATAGGGTTATAGCACAGTCAAGAGTCCAGAGTCCAGAGTCCAAGCCTCCAAAAGAGAGACAGCCCGAAAAAGGCTGAGAAAAGGGTGCTAGCTACTTTGGACTCCGGTAGTGACCGACTGTCCGTGCGCTGCATGTGCTTAATTTGTTTATCCAGGTGGACCGCTTCGACATGTCCAGCACAGTCAACTGGCAACGTCGTCCACAGACTTGGTTCTCACACTCATGAGTAACACCACTCAACTGTAGTCGATTTTGCTCTCTTAACATGGGGAAAAAAAAAAAAAAAAAAAAAGAGAAGAAAAAATCATGTCCGTCGCCGTGTCAATAGATTCCCCGTAGTCAAAAATCCCTTGTCCCCCATGGCACCGCGCCACTCGATCGAGAGCTGCCCCAGCACCGCCCGACCATCTCGCCGCAAATCCTTCTGTAGAGCGTCAAGTCCTTCTTGTTGGCCTTCTTCCTGCTCCACGAGAAATGCCACCTGGAGCACATCCCGTGGGTTCAGCGTGGGCGGTGGCAGCGGCGACGCAACCTCGTCCGGCCGGTCCAGGTCCCAGTTCAACGACGCAGCCTGGAACGGTGGTCGAGGGTTGAGCTTCGTTTGCTGCCATTCGTTAGCAAAGTAAACGACAACCACTCCCCCCAACACACAGAATCAAGAACGTCAAATCCAACCTTGACAACCACAGCCCCATCACCCACATTCTCCAACTGCGCCTCCAGCGCAAACCTCAACAGACGGGTCTTGCCATACGGACCCAGCGACTTATTCTCCACCTCCAGCGGAGCCAGCTCCGACGATTTCGTTCGCACACTCAGACACGGCTGCGCGACGAACTGGTACAGCTTGCGGAACGTACGTACACGGCCGCTCGCCGCCTGCGCGTCAGACCCGATCAGCGTCTCCGTGTAGCTGATGCTCACCGCCAGGATGTGGTTCCCTTCCTCCTTGAGATCGAACCGCACGATCTTCTGCAGCGACTCGCCCTTCTGGAGCCCCTCCGTCTGCGCCGGATCCGTCGCCGGCTCCAGCTCCAGCGAGGCTACCTGTGACGGCGTCTGCATCTCCGCAACGATGCGCACGGAGGTGACCACGCGCGACGCCTCATCCTCCGTCAGCTCGTTGTTGGCGCTGAGGGTGCAGGCGAATGTCTCCCCGACGTAGGCGGAGCCAAAAGCAGGGGGGAGAGTTAGCTATGGATTATTTTTTTTTTCATCAGTATTGTGTTCGCTCTACGGAGGAGAACACCATCCGGCATACATTAGGACTGAGGATGAACTGGCCATCAGCGCCGTCGGAGGGATAACTCAGCGACGCTTTGCTGGAAATCTTCGTATTGGCAACAGGCAGGGGATACTGGTTGGACAGTGAAGGACGCGAAAGCCTTGCTCGAAAAAGGGTCAGAGGGCCAGTTCGCTATACTCCCTGTAGTAGGCTCATTGCTCAAGCTCAAGCTCGGCTTACCGCAACACTGAGGCTGGGATCAGCAACTGTACTGTTCCAGTAGATGCCTCTACAGTGCATACCTTTTAGAGACACCGCGTGGGGTTCTTTGGAGCTCTCCGCCCCGGAGTAGCCACGCGGACGTGCCATGAGTCTTAGTTATCCTTCAGTTGATCCATACCATACGGCGATGGTGGACAATTCCTATCGACTTGATCGGCTGTTTGTTTGAGGATGTGGTCATGTCGGGTTACATAATCGATACCTAAAGCAGTCTAGTCAGTATTCTTTCTTAATCACCTTGGAAGCACTCGAAGTACTGCAACTCTAGTTGACACGATCGGTGCTTTCGATGGTTGGAATTTTACTGTAGACAGTAGCTAAGCAGAAGGTAATCACATGCCGCAAGCAGCTCAAATCAATCTATATTGTAATTCTTGTATACCTCTGGATATGCCTCTTTTTCCTTTCCTGTCCTCCAGCCTGTTATCTTATCACCACCGGCAAACAGAACAAAAAGGGCAAACGCAGCAAACCTCCTCCCCCTATCGATTATCGATAGTCAATAGTATCGATTATCCACTAACTAACTACACAGGGCATGGTGAGACTCATTCTATCGACGGAGTACTTCAGAGTCGATCAGCTCAAAGGTGCATCTTCTCGCAGGACTCATTGTCTTCCACTTCGACTCAATCGCACCCATCCGGACATGATTATGTCAGCACTCCTGGTCGAGCTGGACCAAAACCAATCCATCACCGGTGTCTAATCGCCACCAGAGCTCCTCCAGCTTATCCAATATCAATCTCCATCCCGGTTGCTGCTGCTCTTAAGCTACCCACGCGCCTGTACCCTCCGTCAGTATGGCAGCGACAAGGACAACGGCACCTGCGAAGAGCAGCACCCCCTCCCCGACACGCCCCCAAGCCTCTACCGCAAAGACCCCCAACAGCACACAATCAACAACCAAGAGAAAGCGCAACGCAGACGAAGAGGACGATGCTCATACAACTCCGGCGAAGAGTGCACGTCGACGGAAAACCAACGAACAAGTAATCTTGCCTGATTCAGCGGACGTGATCGATCTGACAGCAAGCTCGCCTCCGACAACCCCGACCAAGAAGACCAAAAGTCCTAAGAAGCGGTCGCCGGGCGAGCTGAGCCTTGAGCGCCGGGCGAGAGTGTTTCGGAAGCATGCGCCCAAGAGTATCCTGGATAGATTGGCGCGGGCAAGGACTCAAAAGTACGATATGGAAGCTAGCTTGACTTCGCTCGTGCTGTTTCGATGGTCTGCTAACGCCGGGGATTCCGCCAGGATGTACGTCGTCGGGCACTCGGTTGCCTGGGACGAAGATGTTCCCGAGGTCGAGTTCAGTGTCGTGGGGTCGACTGGGAACATCTATACGACGGTTATCGGAAAGGTGCCATCCTGCAATTGTCCGGATGCGCTGAAGGGGAATCAGTGCAAGCACATCTTATACGGTACGTCCTCTGCACTGACCGACAGCAAAATCAATTACATCGTATCATATCAATATACCTGCCCTATTTTTTTTTTTTTTTCCTGAAATGAGCTAACCATCATGGCCTCGCAAGTCCTAGTAAACGCCCTTAAAGCCCCCGAATACCTACAATACCAGCTAGCCTTCTTATCCTCCGTGAGAACTCTCCCATCCCGGGGACCCCCCAACCCCCCTTCCCTAACCCTGACCAATCCACTCACACAACCGATACAGGAACTCCGCGACATCTACCACGCCTCTCCCCTTGGCCGCCAGCAACTCAACCCCGCCGTCGACGACGGCAAGCGCAAATCTGTCGAGGGCGACTGCCCCATCTGCTTCATGGAATTCGAGCCCGACACCGAAGACATCGTCTGGTGCCGCGCCGCGTGCGGGAATAACATCCACAAGAAGTGTTTCCAGCAGTGGGCAGCCACGCAGAACGCGCAGGGCGTGCGCTGCGTCTACTGGTAAACCCCCCAACCCTAAGCACTTCTGGCCCTTAGCAGAAACTGACCCATTCGCAGCCGTTCCGTCTGGGAAGCCGACAGCACCAACCTCGACCTGGACCAGTTGTCCAGAACCGGCCACGTCAACCATGAGGGCTACCTCAACGTCGCCCGGCAGCTGGGCATGTCCGGCGAACGCGGTACGAGACCATCCCTGTACCTCCTCCTCTTTGCCCTTTGTGTACGAAGTCGACTAATGCTAATGCGTTGTGTTGGTAAATACTCAAGACTCTTCCACATATTATCAGCGCTCGGGGTACCGGGGTGGCTCGTCTTATTATTATGGCTGGGGTCGGAATCGTCGGTCGTATTGGTAGCCGGGCATTTGGATGTGATGGTTTAGGGCAGGAGATGGACATAGAGATGGAGTTTGGGAGTTGGTGGAATCGGAACTGGGGAAATTCGCTATATACCCTTTTGCTTTAATCTTTAATGGCTATTCATAAATTGGATGATTTTTTTTTTTTTGTTCTGCTGGATCCAGATAGATGCGCTGCGCAAAACCCGCTCTTAGAGCTCAAGTATCGCTCGTTGCAAGTCCTTGTTCTTAAACACCCCCTCTTCTCCCTTGTGTCTCATCCCGCGACGGACAGTCTGCCGCCGCCGCCGAACTTGCCAGGTCAAGATGCGCTGCCATAACCATAAGCATAAGCATAAGCATAAGCATACACGGCGCGCGAGTCGGTCCGAGCCCGATTCAGATTCAAGAATTCAAGAATTCAAGCCGTCGCGCGTTGTCTGTTCTCGCGGAGTGCGATGGATGCCTTGGGTGGGGTCTCGGGGGTCCGGGTTTCCAAGTAATGTGATGGGTGATGACCAGACTCCAGAATTCCTCTGTTGCATAGATCTGTTGGGTCCGGGGTCCGTTTCATCCACCATCCCTAACCACGCGCTTTCCGCGACGGACCACAGCAACACTCACCGCCTCCTCGCCCGTCATCCACGAGGGCATGCGCTCCGCGTTCACGACGCCGAGGTCCGCGAGCCTGCGGAGCCCCGCGACGACATCCACACCGGAGAAAGTAAGCGAGAGCGTCGGTTGCGTGGAGTCGTCCGTCTCCGCGTCAGCGTTTGGACCTGCGTCGGCGTCGGCGTCGGCGTCGGCGTCTACGGCTCCGGCCACGCGGTCAAGCAGTCGCACATCGAGCCGGTCCAGCGGCGCCGACGACAGCGTCCCCGTCGTGCCGAAGCGGGCATGCACGGCCAGCTTGCGTTTCTTGGTGGCGTGGGTAGCGGGGGATTCACCCTTCGTTGGGACATCGTTTTCTTGCCCCCCGCCCGTGTCGGCATCGGCGTCTTGCCGGAAATGCTCGGCTGGCGAGACCGTCTGCGACGGCCGCGGATCCAGCGGACTCCCCTCGAGCACGGCGTCGGCGAAAATGCTAAACGCGCCGTTGGCGGCGTTGGAGCGCCCGTGGCCGCGGAGCGCCAGCAGCGCGGGGAGGCTCTTTGCGGCCAGGGACGTGGCGGCGAGGGCGTAGCGCGCGTGCGGGCGGGAGAGCGCTTTGGGGACGGCGTCGCGGACGATGCGCTGCAGGCTGCGTGGGTCGGTTGCGGCGGCGTGCGCGGCGGCTGGTGGTTTGGTGCCGGACGCGGCCGCCGCCGCGATCGAGGTGTAGATGAAGGGGCAGCTGTCCGGGAAGGCGACATACATGACGCGCGCGGAGTCGAGGAGAGCGTCCGGGGGCTGGCGCGGGGATTGGTAGGGGGAAGTGGTGACGAAGATGCGGAGGAAGGTGAGTGGGAGGGTCGACGAGCGCGTCAGGTGGTAGTGCGCTTTCACGAGCGGGGAGATCTGTTGCTGGAGGTTGCTGAGGAAGGTGGCGGCGTGGATGCGCGGGATACATGCAGAGGTATCGGGCTGGGAGATCGTGGATCGAGCGCCGTCGACGCCGATGCGCGTCAGCTCGAACGCGGTCCACCGCAGACTCGCCGGGTGGTCTTCCATGTAGCGGAGGTCGACCATTGCCAGCTGCCGCAGCGTGATGCCGTGGCGCCAGTCGCCCTCGAGGATCCGGTCGATGACTTCGCGTTTGCCCCCCTTCCTGTCCTGTAGATCCTGGTAGGCCGTCCGCACATCCTCGATAGTTTTTGCGGCCGGATATGGGCTGAGTTCGTCATCGTCTGCGTTCTCAGGCTCGTCTCGTTCCAGGTACGGCGGGAACGAGCGCGCGTTGCGATCGTCCAGCCATTGGAAGACCAGATCGAGCAGCGCCTGGCGGGACAGTCGCCCGAACGACTTGATCAATGACGGGGTTGCGGAAGGGATGCGGAGATTGTTGGGAAGACTGGCGGTTGTAGGAGCGCGGATGGATTTGGGACGCGCCATTGTGCTATGGTTCTAAGAATACATCATCATCATCATCATCAGTCAAATAGGTGGCATAGTCTCCGCGCAGAGTCCCCTGGGTTGAGAGCTCGCTTGCGACCAACAGCAACGAGACGAGACGACGAAGAGTCGAGATAAACAGTGGGAGGTGTCACGTGATGATACAGCGGATCGACATTGGACTCTTGATATCAGAGGAGAGAATACACAGCTCCATTCAACCTCTTCTCTCGTTACTCAAGCATGTCAGTGATAAATTAGATCAACTGTTGATTGACCGACACTATTCCCCAAGGAGTATATACAATTACAGTCAAATGTCCTATCCCAAGCCCATATCCAGGTCCTGCCAGATTCCCCCCAAGATTCCTTGCCTTTCCTATCCCAAAACAACCAGTCCAGTCCAGTCCAAAATCAATCAATCAAGATAATAAAACATATGCTCGCGACGAATCCAAAAAAGTCCCAGTGTCCAGAAAAGGGGTATCCATCAAAGAGGGTCGAAGATGCATTTCCATCTTTTCTTCCTTTTTGGTCCGTTGCCTCCGGGGCTGCGAAGCCCAGTATAGTAGGTCTCTAACCCTAGAGCCTTCTTGTTTTGAGATTCCCTCTTATACTCCAGCTCAATTCGATCGCTTTTGTTTGGAACGAGAGCAATAACAAGCACAGGAATTTTAAAGTCACAAGTGCCACCCTAGAGATTAGGAAAGAACAAGTATCAACAACGAAGGCAGCTTCAAAATGGGAAAAAAAAAAGAAAAAGAAAAACCAAAAACCAAAAAGAGATCGTGTAACATCAACGAAGAAAGCGACTGAAAACAAGTCGTGAAAGTCGTAACGTAAGCTCGACGGCCGTAAGCACGGTCGTAATCGGCATAAGAAGAGGTGTATATAGTCGGAAGGAGGATCAGCCGTGCGTCGCAACGGACTTGGCCTTGGAAGGGTACGTCCAGGAGAAGAGGTCGAATTTGTCCTTGGCGTTCTCCAGAATGGATGCGGAGCTGCTGCTAACCTCGGCCTGCAGGGTCGGCCGCTGGGGAGTCTCGCGGGGCTCCAGGACGAGAGACCGACGGTAGAAGGTCTGGAGACTTTTCTCGCCATTGGACCGAACCCGCACCAGCTCATTTTGCATCCAGGTTTGGAGTTCGGGCACTTCGGTCAGGCGATAAGGAATTTGGAACCGCTGAAGCTCACTGATGATCTTAGCGGTCTTCATGTGCTTGTCGAAATTGATGACCGCCATCTCACCATCGTCGATGGGCAAGCTGCGCAGGGCCTGGTTGCCATGGTCCACGAAGGTGAGGTCGGTGAGGTAGGTGCCCACAAACGGCAGACATGGCGGGACATGTCCCTGAAGTCGCTGACGAAGGACGGCGTAGTTGCGGGAGACGTCCACAATCCCCCGCAGCATCTCGAGCGTCGTCTTAGTCTTATGCGACACCACCTCCCACGTCCGTCGAAGACGCGAGATCATCGACGAGTTCAACGAGCAAATAATCGCCATAAGCGAGTCATAGTTGTTGAGTTCCAAGCACTTGTTGGCGATCTTAACCCAGTGCTTGATGATTGCTGCCCGCTTCTTTGGCTCTTCCAGCTGCAGGATGGAGTCCGCCACCAGATGCGCCAGGTCGGTGGAAAGAGTCGACATAGCACGGACGTTGACCGCCAGCGAGGCGGTCTTCTTCATCCACTCGGTGGCCAACAGCTCTTCGGGGAGGATGGTGCAGAAGATTCTCGACTCCTTGATGGTCAGCTGGCGGGCCAGTTCCATGGGGTCGAAATCCAGAATACTCAGAGCCCCGTCGCCATTTTTCCACTGCTTGAGTAGGTTGACCTCCTTCTTGCCAAGGATAGGAGGCGGGAGAGGAGTATCGGGATGCACATACTGTGCGGTCGCGGTGTTGGTCTTGCCCATCGATGAGACCAGACGAGGCACAACGGGTCCCTGAAGCGCTGACACCTTGTCGGTGAGCTCGAGAAGACGCTTGCCAGCCGACGGGAGAGACTGCATCAGCGCGGTTTTGGCGAAGGTCACGATGAACTCCAGTGCACTTGTATCACAATCGTGACGCCAGTGGGATTCGAGCCACCCCTTGAACACATTGTACACGCGGAGGCGCACCGGTCCTGCTGCGTAAGGTGTATCACCGATATAATCGAACCGTTCGACAAGACTCTCCGCGAATTCCAGCGGGGTTGCAAACAGACGGAAGGTAAGGTAAAAGGCCGACACGAACATTGCATCGGGCGTCGAGCCATTCGCGGTGAGCTTCTCGATCAGGGCGCGTAGGCTACCGCCCATGATCTGGCCATCCTTGAAGATCAGCTCGTGTGCATAGGTCTTCTCCAGAATGTTGACTTCTGTCTCGTCAGCCTCCTCGGCCAGGGTCGAGTGGCTGGTGCTTCCCTTGAGAGACGGTGCCTGGTAGTTGCTGCCAATATCGGGGGATGTGGCGCGGGTCGAGGTCTGGGACACACCACTCATCTCAGAGTCGCGGAGGTGGCTGTGATAGGTGAAGCTGCTGCCAGTGCTGGTCACCCCACGACCAAAGGATTCATCGACCTCAAACTTGGCGTGGCTAGTTCGGTCGAGAAGCATACTCGATCCACAGGCCCCAGAATTGGTGGACGAGCAGAAAGAAGTCTTGACGGGACTAGTGGCGAGAGTGGTGGTGGAAGAGAAAGATGGGAGGTCGGCGGCAGCATTTGCTGGGCTGTCCATAGTGCGAGAATTGCAAGATGATGGGGTAGTATCCTCAGTAAGACCTGGAGTCGGTGGGGGAACGTGCATATCATTGTGTTGCGGGATCTGCAGAGGAGGGGGGGGCAGTCGCAGGGACGCTCCAGTCTGGTCGCCAACCTGCTGCTCCGATTGCGAACCAGGCCGCGCACAGTCGGTCGGTGTCACCTCCTGCGGCAGGGCCTCCAGTTCCAAATCCCCCGTTTGCTCAAGCACCAGGCGAGCTTTGGACAGACAATTTCCCGCCGCTCGAACGCAGTCAGTGGCAGCATCGACCAGTCGCTTCCCCTCATCAGGCATGAAAACCAGCTCGTCGTCCGGAGACTGCGCAGGACGGAAGGCGTCGCGAGCGGCGAAAACCAGCTCGGACAAACGCTCATACATGCTATCCTTGGCGGGGTCGAGGAGCTCGCTGCCCCGGGGGTCATGCTCGCAGACAGCCTCGACCACGGTGAGTAATCCACGGCAGGAGCGAACAGCTTGCTCGGTCGTGACGACCAGCTCCGTTGAGGAGCGAGATTGCAGGTGGAGGCCAATGAACGACCCCAAAACGCCGAGAAAGGCGTCGTACGTGGCGTTGAGTCGTTCCGATGCGAGGTTTGGGTTTCGGGCGGCTGCAGCAGGTCCGGAGTAGGACACCCGGTGGGAGATGGATATCCGCTTGGTGGTCACTGAAACCGGTCGCGACTGCTCAAGCACATCCATTCGGTTTGATGCACGACTCATAGACAGACGACCACGGTTGAGGAGGCGGGATTCGTTCCTCTCGATGTCGGCCTCTGAGCGGGCCACATCCGACAAGGTGAACGTCTCAGATGCCGGTGTTAGCGGACCTTCATAGGCCTTTGGTTGCTCCAACTCCGCGATTGTCCGACTCAACCCAACTTCCTCGGTCCAGATATCAAGGAACCGCACACCACGAGTCACCAGGCGGAATGCCTTGAGGAGCATTTCATCAAGCATATACTCGACTTCGTCCTCGAGCGGGTTGCCGCTGGCAATAACCTGGAAATCTTTTGTGATGCGGACAAGGGCAGCGAGGTCTGAGAGCAATGTTTTACGGTTTCTGCGCAGACTGTCGTGCCTCTTTAGGAGGTATGAATCCCGAGTGAGGCATTCTGATTTATCCTGCTCTATGTTAATGGCATTGTTCCCTTTGATATTGTTCGGTCTATTTGATGTACTCACCAGTAGGATACGAACTCCGGCGATGAGGCCCTTAAGCAGATCTTGATTCACGAAGTCACGCAGGGAAGACCCGCATCCGCCGCGAATGATATCCCAGAAGTCTGTGAGGGCTTTCAGGAGTGGGCGCATCGGAAGCTGGTCATAGGCTTCACAGTAGTTGGTTGGGAGCCAGCCTCGCGCTCCGGTATCGAGGAGAGTCCCATCTGCCCAACCATTGGTGTGTACGGAGTGCACTAGAATGATGTCGCCTTGTTCCAGCGGGAGAGTAATGGTTGCCGGCGATACATCTCCGGGTTGATGGAATGGATAGAATGCACGGAGATAGTTATGGAAGACCGCCCGAGGTTGGTCTGATCGCTCCATACTGTCGTCTTGATTTGAGGTTGCGCTATATGGTGTCAATGGTGGTGACATTTGCAGGTTATGCTGCGTGGAATAGCAACGGTTGCTGGAAGAGTGTCCAGTCCCCGAAGTCGTCACGGAATGATTCGAGATTGCTTTGTCGATCTTTAACGGGGCAATATGTCTCTTCATTGGTCCCATGTCTTTGTGCGTAACGGGTTTCCCTGGTTCGTATGCTGATATGACTGAGCGCAAAGGTCACTGACCGAGGCGATTAAGTGGACGAGAACTCAATGAGCATCCTCACAATGCGTATATACTAGAATGATAGGGAAAGGCTGTTTCAGGGAGACGAGCTGGTCGAGATTGGTAACACCAGTGTCGATAGAGAGTGTGTGAGGTTGTTTGAATGAATGAATGAATGAATGAAAATGGCACGGCAGATGCTGGCGATGAACCAACAATCAGAACCGGGGATGGTACAACAAGCGCCTCCTGTACCTGTCCAGGTTAGCGATCAACAGTGACTTGGTCCCCTTTGTGCAGGAGAGACGAGGGATGGTTGTTGGGGAAGAAGGATTGGGATGTATTTTGTTCGGGTATCGTTGTTTTGCACATCAACCGAGGGAATGCTGGCTGCCAAGGGCAGTGGGAAGAAGGAATGGAAGGAATGCTGGGGACAGGATGCGGGACCAGGGATTCTTGAGCCGTCGAATCCTGCAAGCCAGTCGGACCGGATCACAGACATACCGTTGGGAAAGATAGCTACCTAGCGAGTTCCTATGTCGTCAACAACAATTGATCCAACAAGCTGTCAACATGACCCGCAGCGGCGTTCAAGGGATAGAGCACAGCAAGATTAAAAGTTAGGAACAAGGAAGAGACACGTTCCTTGGCGCAACGAGGGTGGAAGGACGAGAACGAGGGAGGGCGTTCGGAGAATTGCAAGGTTGGTAGAGAGGAAGAAAAAGAATCTAGGGACAGAGAGCAGGAGATCAACCTGCGCTCCAGCAATGAGGTACGACTCCAAACTCGATAGAACAGCCTGTATTCCTGGCACGTCGAGTACGTTGTCGGGACTCTGATTTCCCTCGTTTCCTTCGGAAGGGACCAGACCCGGTCTGACCTGCAAGGACCACTCGGAGGGGGGGGGGAGAGAATCTAATGTCAATATCGGCTCGGTCGCCCAAGTCAGAGACAATGGTTTAGGTCCCAGATGACGATGGACACTGTTCGATGCGAGAGGCAACCGTGAAAGAGGTGTGTGTAATTGTTGACTTCTTGATCCGCTTCCACAGCAAGCAAGGGCCGGAACACCAACAGCAGGGAGGAGGAATGACCGATTCGTTTGTCCTGAACTTGGGGAGGGAGGCAATTGTTTTGGAGTGAGGGATTGATTGCCACCAGCAGAGATGAGATGAAGTGAGCTGAAAATGAACTCAAATAAGATGAGATGATGATGATGATGATGATAATAATAATAATAATAATAATGAATGAATGATCGCAGACCGGCAATGATCGGTGGTGTACGCTGTCGGTAGTACGTGGGGGGAAAGGGGAAGAAGAGAGACTTGATGGAAGGAGAGTGGGTGAGTGCGCAAAGGAAAGAATAATATCAGATCTCCACAATGTCAACTGGGATAAATAGCAATAGTAATACAGTTGAAAAGAACAGTCCAGGCAGGGAATGACAATGGGGGTAGAGAAGTATAGGTAGATAGTAGATGGTAAGAGAGAGAAAAGGACGATAGATAGATACAGTTACTACTCCTACAATATAGGTACTTAGGTAGTTGTTGCAGTAGTTACTTCCATAGAGACTCGGTACCTTACTACCTACTGAACAAAGGTGGAAAAGGGACCAGACCCAGCAAATCATACGTTAGACTCGTTAGTAGTGGACTGTTTTAGTGCGGAACCTCGAACGATAACGCTAAGAATTATATCTCGAGGATTAACTAAAATCAGTGTTTTCTTTTCTTTTTCTTTTTTTAATTTATTAAATATGAAAATAAATAAATAAGAAAAATAAAAAATAAAAATAAAAAAATAAAAACAATCAATGTCAAAATAAATGAAACCGAAAAGAATAGGAGTAATTGATCAACCTGCTAACTTAACGAGCCAATACTCAACCACTTTCGATCTTCCAGAGTAAGTATATAGATCCAAGGACCCCGTGAGTCAGTTGGAGAGAAAAGGGAGCCATTGGGGAAGTGATCGCCCATCCCATCCACCAGTTCCATCCTCCATAGAAACTACTCCGTCCGTTGTGCATTACAATGATGGAGTCAAAAAGATGGAGAAGTTCCCTCCCTCTGGTGAGTGGTGGCCACTCTCGCGACATATAATAGGTAGTATTATTAGGTAAAGTATTCATACTTAATGACTTGCAGTAGAATCACTGGATTGACTGTAGAAAGAATTATCTAGTATCTACGGAGTAGTAGTATCTAGTATCTACTAGATGTCTCTCCATTTTAATTCGATCCGTGCTATTAAAGTGATCACATTATCACGGTCTAAAAAACGGCCCGAGGACGATCCATCCAACCGGACCAAGTCCTTTCCCCTGTCTACTCAGTCTAGTACCCTCCTAGCAGAACAAGGGTAAAATCAATCCAGCTAATCACATAGCAAGAAGAGAATGCATGAACAAGAAAAAAGAAAAAACAACAACAACAACAACAACAATTTTAGAATCGATTAAAGCTGGGTGGTCTTGCAGGAACTGCAGCGAGAGCGATGTTGGACTCACATACCTAGGTACATCCATCCATACTATAGACCTACACATAGTACATACATACTCCTGAGTCGGACTGTGGCAAAGTCACCCCCTCACGTTGCCGTCTAAAATAAATCGAACGGATCAGTCCGGGTGAATGCCATCAAAAGATGATCAATCAAGTCAGCACTGACTGGGCACTTACGGAGCAATCAGCAAGTCTCTCTCTCGGGTGTGCTGATCGACATCGCAGCAACCGTCTTTTCGTACTTCTGCTTCTCTCATAACTTTGAGACAGACCATCAACGATGATTAAGCAAGCAGATACTTCTATAGCTTCATCCACAAATCTTTGTCCTCGGTCTATCTAGGAAATTTTCCACCGAAGGAACTAGATGCATGAATCCTAGATACAGAACCAAAAGGGGAAAATCCAGCAAAAAAAAGAAAAGAGTCCAGTTCAATGTCCTGACTCCTGACTCCTGACTAACAAGTAACAACAAGATCAATACCATGCTAAATATATACTAAAGCATCCCACGAGCAGGTGATTTGATTTACTCGGGGGTTCCTGTTTAGGCTGTAGAATCAATGGATGTATGTAGATGGAGATCGGAAGTAACAGTCGGATCGATGCAGTTCTCTCCTCTTCAGCAATACTGACATACTGTGTAGATAGTTATATTCGACTCGCAAAATCTTTCATACCCTTCTCACCACCCAGTTAACTTCCTCAACGCAAGGGCGGATCTGATATGCCCGTTTCATCCTTCTAATAGTGTCATTTCTCGCATACGTCAAATCCACCCGCAACTGCCTCCAGAGAGTCCATGCATCCGACATGTCATGTCCCACAGACTTCTCCATACTTTTTTTTTTGCTACAGTTAACACTTAACACCCTTTACGGAGTAACATATTATTATCCAAATTCAAAAAAAAAAAAAAAAAAAAAAGTGCAATGCACACTGCACAGACACAGCATCCTTATCGCGGATCCACACAGCTCTGGAGTACCAGGATCCCGGGAGATACGGGGTAAGACTAAGGCGAGCTCACATCGGAGGAATTCGAAGGTTCTTTTTTGACTTTCGCACTGCATTTCCTCCTTTCCATATGAGCTCATCTTTGCCGCTGTATGGTAGGGATCACGGAGATCAGGAGACATGTTCTGTCTGCGCAACGGATTGGTATGATCAAGCTCAGACCTCTCTACGGAGTATATAACCCCGAATACCTTACACCAGAGAGAACAAGAGTTTAGAGTTCAGGATCTCAGGTGCTGACCCTCACATACGTACATACTAACTACCAGACCATCTCCAGCTATACCAGCTATAATGGCATCATGTATACGGTGTAGATCGGACTCGACAAAGGATAGATATCTAGTCGATATAGTTAGCTGCCCTTCTCAATGCAGTCAGTCCTTAATCCTTATACTTGGCCCGCTTGGCGCCAAACCCGAAGATATAGTAGTCCCCACTAGCACGACAACGAAAAAAAAGCCACTGAGACAATCAAGAGACAATGACAGTTGCTGGTGGGACGGGATCCCGCCGACCCGTACTTGTGTCTTTTTTGCAATCGAGAGAAATCACAGGATACTTCACCACTCCGCAGCACACCCACAAAAATTCCTTCCACTGTCCTGCCGCGCCCGGACTCCAGAGGTATCCGTTATCTATGGTTCCTCCCCCCCCCCAATGTCCCGCCACTTGCGCGGGATGAAGGCTCATGAACGGCGCTTATGGATGTCGGAGCTGGTTCAGACAAAGAAAATTCCGTCACTGATGTGATGGATCAACGAGGGACACCGGACACGGGACAAGACAGCTATCCACATTCCATGATCCACCTCTTTGGCGCGGCTTCGAGTTCGAGCTATCTGGATCTGGCATATCGGGCGCACGACTAGTGGCGTCCGCTATCCCAAAGCAGGCACCTAGCAGGCTAGCAGCCAGCAGGTTCGCAAACTAGCAACAGGATGATGTTGGTTGTTCCCGCGTTACGAGCTAAAGTGCCCAGCAGGACTGGCCCCTACTGGCTACGTTTTGGCTCAAGGTGACCGAGGGCTTGCCGACCGTTGTTGTTGCCGCAGTTTTCGACAAGCCCAGACCCAGAATTGGATACACTGATAAAGAGGGTAACTTGTTTAGTTGTTAGTACTTACTGTCTTACTCCTTAGTAGGTTCTAACAGGGGGGACCGGACGTACTTCCTAGTGGAGAGAAAGTACCTCCTACAGTCCTACTCCTCCGTACTAGTAGTTGAAGTCATCAGGTAAGTAGTGGTAAATCTACTACTTACTTACTAACTACTTTGATACTGAACGCAGGTTGTGACATCCCTGGTCGTCAGTCACCACAAAGAAGGCAGAGGATCTTGATTCTTGCACGATTCGCGCTGTATCCATCGAACTACGGAGTAACTCCCCAGCCTACACAGTAGAGATCTCAGGTACCAGCAACTTGAGCTCCTGGCTAATCAGCCTATCATAACGTGCACGTGATTGTTGTTCTATGCGGGCGACGCTCTTGTTGGAACCTCAGATGCGGTTGGTTCTTTGTCTGCGAAAGAGCTAGCTACCTAACCCTGTCTGTCCTGCTCTCGTGTAGATAGTTCGGTAGCTCTGCCCAACTTGCGCGATACTTGAGCATGGACTGAGAAATGGGAATACTTTGTCTTCTCGCCACCACTCACGAGTCACGAGGCAACGTGCAGGCATCGTCGCATGGCTCACCTCACACAACCCCACGTTGATACGGAGTACAGTACTGGACTACTTGGGCCAAAGAAAAAAAAAACAAGCTAAGGACGTGATACTAGCAGAAAAACCACCATCTCAGGACTGAATCCAGTATTCCCAAGTGATAGTTCAATCTTTGGACTGCAGATCTCTCCTCGAGTTGGAGCTTTGGAGCTTTGGAGCCTTGGAGGTCCTCGAGACTCGACTCTCAGACTGAGAGTCTCAGTTTCAGTCTCTACGGAGTACTCGCGCCATCAAAAGGCAACACTACGGAGTACCTAACCAAGGGGCGAACAGGGGGTTTGATTCGGTCCGGTGGCTCAGGCCTCAACTTGGCTCTGTCGCGGCGTCGCCATGCCGCGGAGTTTCACCCCTCCCCCCCACCAGGACGGCACATCCATCTTATTGTGAGGTTGTGACTTGTGAGTGACCTGACGTCTTAATGTCTTATGAACTCCTGGATCAGTCTTCCTCTGGTTCCTATTCCCCATGACCTATTTCAAGGTCAAGTTGGAGAAACCGTAGCAACGCGGGACGGCACGCAAATTGCACAGAACCAGCTTGTTTGTCCATCATTACCCTGTCGGGAAAGACAATAGGGAGCTTGCTCCGGAAACTTGGGTTTTCGAAGGGGACGTTCATTATCTCAACTGGGGCATGAGCTGCCAATTTGGGAGATTGCGTTGCTCTGGCATTGTGGATAGCGGCCGTAGCCCATATTAAATAGATACCTACTGAGTACCGGTATCTGCTTGCTCGGTTGTAGCGTGAAGATAGTAGATATGTAGTTATGTACTTCCATAGTCTCAGGAGCCAGGACTCGCGAGATGTAATGCATCCACTGCATAGACCAGGCGGCTATCTGTCAAATGAACAGCACGATAGCAACTATTGAGAACAAACAATCGAGCTTGTCTAGGGATTTCCCGTATCGCAAGTGGTAAACGTTCGGACGGAGCTTGGGCGCAACCCGAGGAGAGTGAATTCCGAGTCAGGGGTAATCCATGTGATGGTCTCGACGCCTTGCTGCCTGGATCGTCAGGCGGGAATATACTTGATCACGTGCTATTCACCACTGAGCAACCAAGCTATTCGACGGAGTACATGTTCCACGTCCCAACCTCCAAACCTCGAATACACGATAATGTCAATGTTCATCAGGAGCTCCGATCTACTCTGTAGATATCGTTCATTATCTCTCTAGGGAAGTACGGATGATCCAGCTCCTGCAATCACAACTCGTTCAGGTCTCAAGGTTCGAAACCACCGAAAGGCTAAATGAGAAACGGCAATCCCCTAGAATCACACTCATAGAACGCATCCTCGGTGGCGTGTTTCACACCCTCTTTAGTCTCCTCCACCGCCCCATCATGGTATCCCTCTTTCGAGTTTCGACTCCTTGCCTGTGGATTACCTCCTTGACCCTCTTTCTGCCCTACGGTCTACGGAGTATGGATATCGGTAATCGGAGTCTTGAACACAACCCACCGAACGGTGGAAACCGGACTCCCGAACAGTACATTTCTAACGGAGGATCGCGTCATGTCCCAGACAGTTGGAACTTGAATGTCTTGCGTAGATATGCAGATCCTACCTATGCTTCCTCTCCTGAAATCTTAGCCCCTCGTTCTGAGCGAAGTGTCTCCAACTATCTACTCGTTAAATGCAATTTTCGAACATTGGCCGGAATACGTCTCTTTGATTTTGCTGAGACAAGATCACGCGCAATTGTATCGGGCGAGAATCTCGCGGGTTGATCGCCAGGCTTGAACAAAATGAATAATAATGACTCGGCATGAGTATGAGGGATGAGTACGAGCATGACCTATCGCTTGTCCCTCGGTCTGGTTGCATGAAAAGCGCTGCTACGCCCTAGCACTAGGGGTAGGTACCTTCGTCTTCCAGTCGCGGAACATCCACCATACCTTTGTTACATACACAACATCTACACGACTGCATCTCCCTGCATCTTCACATCCACAGGACCGGGGGGGTGCCTGATGGTATCACAGACTAAAGCTGCATGCTCGACTCTACACGTTCGCTCCTCCGCTGCAGCCCCACCAGTGAATCATCCGGGATCTGGCGAGCGAGCTCGACACTTCTGCAGGGGTCAGCATATGTCTCTAGCATCAGACAGAGCCTGTCATCATTGGGCAACCCCGCCGGAGATATGGAAGTGCTTCATGCCGTTCGCGCTGATGGTCGTTTGAAATTGCCCGGATGTGTTTGTCTCGGGGTCCCCCACGGCCCACTGATCGTGCCGCGGCCTGCCTGGATAGGACTCTTCATCAAGCGATCGGCGTGATCCAATTGCAGACATCTAGTGTGTGCCCACTTCGACACTATTCACTTGCGCTCGGAGAGAGGATTTCAGCTGATTGGCTATCAAGCCGTCTTGTTAGCAGCTGCGTTTTGCGAGTACGTCAAGTGTAATTCGCTGGTTCAAGCATACAGGGGCAAGCTGATAGTATGCCGCAAAGATCTTCGAGGCCGCAAACATGAGGCCAATAAATACAGCCTGGAGGCACGAGAGAAGGGAACCAAACATGTCATTTTAAGCTTGCGTGCCAAATGCTTCCTTCCCTGTCCTCAACCTGGGTTCATTCATTAGAGTTCAGCATTATCATAACCTTGAGAAATCTCCCGGGCTCTAGCTTTCTTTCCCACCACAGAAAAGGAGTCAAGATTCGTCCCCTGCTATTTTAGCCAATCCTGCGCTTATGGTGGCATTAATCCCTGCTTCTCCGACCGAGACCAGACCAATGGATCGTGCAACTGCATTTTTGGAAGTGATTTCGCGTTGTTCCTTTTGCATCTCTACTCCCTACGTTCTGCAAGCTCGTGCGAGACAAGATAGACATCAGCAAGCGGACCGGCCACGTTCTATCTTGCGCACGAGTGCTCTTCCCCAATCTTCTGTCATCACTGATCACAAATGGCGATGCGGAGAACGAGTGAGACGTGTGGAGTGGCCGAGTTCAGATGGCACGGACCGGGGACGGAAATTGCTCCTTTAGGATGCGTCTTGGTCGATGATCACTAATGAGAAAGCTCATCGACCCGAATTTTCGCGCGGCTATTCGACCGGTTCCTGAGGATCGTACGGAGTAGCTATTCGGGATGTAATTACCCAATGCGGACATCCCTGACGGAACTTATAGCTTATGCAATGCCCTGGTTGCAGATTGATAGTGACTGCAGATGCCGATCGGGAGCGTACAATGCCTCTTCAGCCTGACTATGAGTTCTGCAGATTTCCCCCCTGACAGCTCCCACTTGGCATGCTGTGCGTGGGCTTGAGTCCTTGCGAGTGCGTCCTGACGGACTTTTCGGGCTGGCTGCCGACCAAACCCTTCACGTATACTTGTCAATCGGTGTGATAGGAAGCAACAAGCTGCATGATTGGGGGGGCTTGTCAAATCTGCAGCTTGCACGGAGGCACTCAGTCACTCACACTAAAGCTACCTTAGTGCGATACCAGACGCGAAATCCGTCCAAGGAACTCCCACAGGAAGCTGCCTTGGCAGAACTGCTTTTTTTTTTTTTTTTTTTTCTGACACCATGCTCTGTACCCCCAAGATGATCTCGTGCGGTGAGACAACAAGGCTTATCAGAGGGGTTTTTCCATCCACTCAGTCGAATCCGTCCCGCTGTCATACTGTCTTGAGTGCGACAGGTCATAATCTAGGCGTACTATGGACTGGGGAGGTATGTCCTCATCGCTTAGCTTGTGGCTGGATTGATCCATGCCGTCGCTTTTTTTTTTTTTTTTTTTTTTGCTTTTTCCTTCTTTCCCCTTCTTTTCCCTTTTTCCGCTGAAATATCAGATGGCTACTGCGCGACCTCAAAATAGAGCCTGACCGTGCTTCTACGTAGTATGTCTTCAAGCTTGGTCATGATAGCCGACACTGGCCCTCTGTGCAGTGTTGATGGTTGACCAGCCGCAGTCGATCACCTACAGGAAACAAACCCATGTCATTCATTGCACAGCATCTCCTGTACTCCGGAGCTGCCATTGCACCCTACAAACAATGCAATACGACTTTTGGTTCCCATCATTAGAAGCACGAGGTCGGAAGAGATTTCTTGAAGAGCAGCTCTACATTGCAGGTTGGGTTGGGCATTGCGCTGGGAAGAGAAATGCATCCCTTGCATTCCCCCAGAGGAATCAGTCATCAGTCATCAGTCATCACCTTATCCTTGTTATTGTTATTGTGTCTATCAAGTGTAAACACCAACCACACGCAGAGGAACATCCTCTGAGTGTCCTGTACTCTGTACTCCTGTGACCATCGCCATCAATCAATCGTCCTCCCGTCACTGCACTCCAGAGACACGCAGAGCGACCCACACCTGTCTCTCAAGCATCTGCATCCCCTATAGCATTATCAAGAAAACACACATTCCAACCATCCTAGCATCCCCCCTCCCTCCCTCCCTATGTCATCCCCAGTAGAACACGAACACGAACACGAACCCGAACCCAACGCGTGCCAACTAGTTCTATAAACAACAACCCCTGGCCTCTGACCTCTGGCCTCTGGTACGCATGGGTGTTTAATCCCCAGCTAATCCCAAGAATTTCAACATCACCCTACCCTGTCCGGCGTATCCCCCCCCTCCAACAAACACGCACAACGACAAAGATGAAGATTCCCATCCTCCTCTCCCTCTCCTCCCTCTCCTCCCTCTCCTCCCTCGCCGTCGCCGTCGCCCTCGCCATCCCTCCCCCCCTGCACGCCCGCCAGGACCCAAAACCCCTCGATCTCGATCTCGACCTCGACCTCGGCCGCGATGTCAAGGGCCTGATCGCGCATTCGCCCGTCAGCGCCGTGGTCGGCATGATCAAGGATGAGGTGAAAAGTAAGTCTTTTTTTTTTTTTTTTTTTTCTTTTCGTTTTGCCTTGTCTCTTGGCGATGGATGTAACTCTGTACGCGATGTTGATGTGGCGGTTTTTTGGGAAGTTACGTCGGCGAGGCCGGAGGTTTGAGTTAAGGGAGTTTTGCCTTTTGGATAGGTCATGGTGGTGGTGGTGGTGATGGGGATGGGTTTATAGAAGATGGATTCTGATATATCAGGGGATAGGATGCTGGCTTGCAGGGGGGGGAAAAAAACCCCCCCTCTATATAAATAAAGATAAGAAATGAAGATGAAGATGAAGATGAAGATGAAGATGAAGATGAAGATGAAGAGATACTCCCCGTCAATACCCTCCTCGACTAGAACATCCCCTCCATGTCGAGATCCAGAAACTCCGGGTTGCCCACCGCCATGTCCGCCGCGTTCAACACATCGTCGATGCTCGTGTCCAGCCCCGTGCCCTGGCCGACCCCGACCCCAACCCCGGAGTCCATGCCCGCAGCCGCCGCCGCCGCCGCCGCATTGTCGATCATCCGATGGATGTTCTCCGCGTCGTCGTCGTCATCGGCGGCGGGGCCGGGCCCGTCCAGCTCCATGGGGCCGGACCCCTCAATGCCCAGCTGCATGTTCTGGATGATGTTGTTGACGTCGAGGTTGGGGACCTGCGATGGCGGGGCGAGGAGGGCGGCGACGCGGCGCGCCAGCCGCACGACGACCTCCGCGCGCAGCGGATCCTTCTCCGCCAGCTTGGGCACGTTCTCGTGCTGCAGCGCCAGCGCGTCGCGGAGCGTGAGCACCGCGCACCGCGGCAGCGCCTCCTTGCTCGGGTCCACCGGGTGGTGACTGTTCTGCTCCACCGCAAAGGCCTCGCTCAGCGGCGCGCACACCAGCGTCGCCGCCAGGTCCAGCGCCAGGTCGCTGCTGCCCGCCTGCGTCTGCGTCTGCGTCTGTGTCTGCAGCTTCACGAGCTCGTCGACCAGGGCTCCAAACACCCGCGCCGCCCCCAGCATCCGGATCCCCGCCACCACCTGCCGGTGCGTGTACGACGGCGGCGCCATGCTGACCTCCGGGTTCGCGCTCCAGAGCACCAGCGCCTGGAACGTGCTGCGGATGCTGCCCAGCAGGCCGCCGCCCGCGTGCGTCGTCCAGCCCTCGAGCTCGGACCGGTGGCAGCTGCCCACCCGCTGGAACGACAGACAGGGCTCGAGCGAGTCCATGATGGGCTTGATGTCGGTGCGCGAGGGGTGGCGCGTGCGCACGTCTTTGAGCTGCTCTTCCAGCATGCGCGCAACGGTGTGCAGCACCGTCCGGTGGATCTCTCTCCCCTCTCCTGAGATTGAGCTCGGGTTCACCAGCGAGTGCAGCGCTTTCAGGGCGATCGAGGGTTCCGGTTCCGTCTCCCAGATATGGTTCCCTAGCCACGTCAAGGCGAAAACAAGTGACGGGAGAAGGAAGGGTTCAAGTAAATCTGATCACGTTAGGACACTGCAGAACTGAGGGGAAAGGAAAGGTAGCGAACGGGCGACCTACATTCAAACCCTCCCTTGAGAGTGTCAAACTCGAGCTTCCCGGTCTCGCACGCCCCCAAGCTTTGACTAAACAGTGTTGCCACAAGCAAGTAGAACTCCTGCGGGCTACATGCCGACATGGTCTCCTCGCTGATTCCCTCGGCAATGAACAAAGCGGCAATCCATGTGCCCAGGTTCTTGTTCTGCTTTTCGTCGAGAGCGTCCAGTTTCTGGCTGCACGACCCGCGTTCCAGCAATTTCAGCACAAACGAATCGTTGCTCGAGATGCCAAGGTCGGCCGGTCTCAGATCAAAGCGGTATTTGAACGCAAGCACCAAGAGGAGAATGCTTCCAAACTCATCGTACACGGGCTGATTTTCTCCCTGGTCTTCGTCCCAATGCCAGGAATCGAGCAGCCCGCACAGTGGTTGCAGCACCTGCTTGGCACTCCGGAAAAGCAGGATCACGTCGAGTGCCTGTGGTCGCCGAGATAACGAATTGCAAATATTCTTCAATGTCACCGTCTCTTTTTGATTACATAGATTATGCATAATCTGATCTGTTAGCCCACGGCCAAACTCACCGAGAAAGAAGAAGACTCACTTCTGTGATTGCGCCGACGATGGCTCCTGCATTGCCCTCCATCGATTCGATCTCGTTGATCAACTGCTCCGCACGCTCTGGGTTGGTATTGATCTGCGACACCAGCTCGTCTTTATTATACCCCACTGGAAGGGCCTGCATGGGGTTCTCGCCCAGCATTCGCTCAATGCTGGATTCGGGAATGAGTTTATGCGAAGCGCAAGCGAAAAGGAATTCTTGTCGCACATCCGACAGGACGGTGTTGCCCTGCATCTCGAACATTTGCGAGAATGACGGGAATGTATTGGGGTCAAGCCGGCCTAATGCCTGGCTGATACACATCTCCATAGGGATAGATACCATGGTAGATGCCAACATTGCGGCAAAGAACGGAGGGAGCTTGTTGACCAGGAACGAACGGAAAAGGAACATGGTCCTACTGGACTCGTTGCGATACATGGCGTTGGAGAGAACGTCGAAGGCGGCGGTGATGATTTCTTCTATCAGGACTTCATAATGTCCCTGCGAACGTCAGCTCGGCTGCTCCCATTTCGTGGTTTTATCGACCTACCCCGTAACGGTTGGCGAGAAAGTTTATCAGCATGCTGTCGTCTACCAAAGGACGTCCCACAAGCTAGAAACCAGTCAGCAGGCCCCAAGAACCAAGGTCTGATTAGAGAATGATACCATTGCATTGATATATACGTAGAGTCCTGCTCTCGAATGGATGACTGGCCCGTCCATGACGGACGCCTCGAATTGAAGAGCATTGACGTTGACATTGTCCATCATCGGAACATTCAATGATTTTGACGACGGCTCTCCATAGAGATGAAATTCTTTTTGTAGTCCATCCAGTCTGTTTCGGAGAGGTAATGATACCTCGACACAGAGCGGGAGATACGCCGAGAGCGCCTGCCCCAGCTTGACCTTGAGCTCTGTTTGTTTCGTTAGTCTGGATCCAGATATCTTGTGGTTACAGTTGAAAATCACCTTCATGAGAATCAGCCGAGAGAACCTCTAGACCCTTCCCAGTACCCGACAAGGCCGCAAGAAGGATCCCCAGTGACTCAAACACTGAGACGACATCCGGAGAACTCATCAGACCACCTGGGTGCTGGCTGTGGTCGAGGTGGCTGTGATGCCAGGCAACCACCGCATGGATCCAGTCAATGATGGAGAAGAAGATGGCGATGGCTTCTGCGATGGTCTTGGGGGTGCCTCCCGTCGAGACGGACAGCATGGCATCTTGAATGACCCGGATATCGGTCATAAGGGTATAGCCCTTGGAGCCCTCTTTAGCTGCGGGGACAAGCGGCTGCGAGTCTTCGTGAATAGATGAGTATTTCAGCAGGGACGTCAACACGGTGGACGTTCGGACCCTGCCCATCCTGCAAAGGCAGTCGATGTAAAGCGGGAGCAGTGGATCCCACTTGATCCGGGACTTGAGCCGAGTCTGCAGCAGGGCATCGAGCAATGCCGTTTCCGTGATTGGGCATTTCTGGAACATCAGCTTCAAGAGACTCTTGAACTCGGTAGCATCGATGCGGTGCATCAGACATTGGTGCAGGAATGTCCCCCATTGGCCGGGGGCTGTCATATTCTGGGGTGTCTCCGTCATCCTGGCTGGAACGCGAACATATCAATGCAACAAGGGGGACTGATGCGTTCAACCGGTTACTTTTTGTGGTCTATCCGTTGGAACATTTTGACCTGGCTGCTTCTGCGGCTCTGGAGTATGAACGGGAAATTGGAGCATCACCATTTGTTTGGCCATGTCAGTAGTCATGTGATTTTGTGGTCAGGGTCACGTGCTATATACACATCCCTTGTCGGGATGTCATACTCTCATACTTCTACGGAAGAGATGCTTGACATGTCAGCATGAAGATGGTCTCCAAAGCTTCGTCTATAGCACGTGTACTCTTTGGGCTTGGAATCAGGCTGAGCATGAGACTAACAGAATTGTCGGTCAATTGTCATCGGTGCCTACATCCGACGTCGCCAAGCTAATATATTTTCTTGAGACAGAGCTTGACGAGGTCTCGACGAGATGTTCAACACAAGAGCGGATTGTTGGTAGCAAACGAGCAAATTCGATCCTTGCACGAACGAGCTGTTCTTGTGGCTCAGCTCCATGCCCAGAAACGCGCAGTGCCTCTTGCACGAAGATAATCCTGGTCTGAACTCCACTGGCTCTCCCTGAATATCACTCTGGACATCATCAACCTCAGAACCGCCTGTTGATCAATCAATGGCATGGGGAGATATCTGATGTCATGGACATCCCAAGTCCATCCAGAAACCCTCAATGGTTACTGATTACGAGTCCTCACAGCGGATAGAACATCAAATCCCTGGAACCGATACAGGCATCACGTCTCCTAGCTCCAAACCGCAAAGAGATGGACAGGGACTCCGAAAAAAACCTCCCAGGGTCGGTCCAGTGTCCACGGGATAGCTCCAGTTCCATATCCACGGCCGAGTCCGTAGTCTGTACTGCCGTATAACCCTATCCCGATAACAAGATCTCGATCAACGACACAGGGACAGGCACAGGCAGAAATAACCACATCAACCAACCAACCCGCGAACACCAACATCAATAATAGACAAAAAGAGCCAGCGATTCCAAACCTAACTCGTGGGAAAAGAAAAAAAAAAAAATCTCCCTTAGCATTACACACACACACAACCAAAGTTCCCCTCCTATCCAATAAGAGCGCAGAACCAGCCATTGCACCAGCAGCTTTGTCTCAGATCCTCTCGGCGCACATAATATCCCATTTTTCCCATCCGGGGGACGCCTGTTTCAGAATCCCCCGTGCCGAGGATTCCTTGCACTCAGTCTGGTCTGGTTTGGGCCTGGGTTTGCGCGGTGGGCTTATGAGGGCTTCGGGACGGAATAAACGGGGTGGAGATGGTGGACTGCGTACTAAGGCACTTTGTAGTATCTACAGATTGGGAAATTATCTACTACGTAGTATTGGATGACTATGAGGATGAGAGTGAAACTGGAGACTGGAGTAGTTTAGGTTAGTTGGTTGGTTGGTTGGTTGGTTGGTTAGTTGGTTTAGGGCGACGATGTGATCTGCATCGTCGTCAGTGACTATGTGGGAACTTTACTATGTAGTTCCAGGCATGGAGTGCTGGATCAGTGAATATGCAGTGAAACCAGTTCTGTTGACTGGGTTGGTAATAGCTACTAGCTACTACTCCTACCTGGCTAGTATTTATCAAGCAATGCCGTTTTAAACCCTTCTTGTTTCTTGCTGAGAGTTGAAACAGAAATTTCCATAATGATAATGATAATGATAATGATAACCACTGTTAAGAATTGCAACTCATTGCAACTGTAAAAAAAAAAACAAAAAAAAACAGCATCTGAAGTACCAGACAAACAAAAACGATGTATTTGCAACACTGGAAGCCCCGCCATTCAGCTACGCCACTTGGGCAGAATCCTCTACTACTACTCGTAAACCCATACGGAGTACATATTACATATTAGGTATGAACTCCGTAGTTAGGTTATACCTAGTAATCTATAAACCTGGACCGTGCCGATGGACTCGAACATGGAGTATTAAACTTTACAGATGCAAGTCGTACTACCGAATTGAATGCTGCGCCTATAATCAGGACAAATACTCCGTTGTTGGTCGATCGAATCAACCCAGGCAGATGTCGTGAACGGCATCTGTGCTACGGGACGATGATTTAGGCTATAGCAAAGGCATGCATGTTGAAAACCAAATGTCTTTCAAGTCGTACTACAGAGTAAGTAGGTTGTATTGTCCACATTAGAAATGCATCGGTCGAATCTCAATTGTACTATCGAAAAGACGATGTTTCTCCACCGCCAACCCAGGGAACCGATAAACGTCACTCTCAGGCGTACTTTTTTTTTTCCTTTTTTTGGGGGGAGCCAAATAGACCAGTGGAGAGTCTTGAAAGCAGACTTGTTTCTGGTCCGCTGCCCTCAAAGTCGGCTCTAGGGAAGTTGCAAACCAAATTTCTTCCTTCCATGTAAAACCATGTCGTATCAGGAGGGGTTTCCGGGACTGTGCCACATCATCGCGCGTAGAGAATGATCGATCGTCCAATCATCCCGCTTTCGCCGCAAAACTTCCCAGCTCAACGACAGCGTAGAGTGCCTCGCTTGCGAAGTTGACTTTAGCCCGGTTAGATAAGCGTGGTGAAGCGTTACATTGTAAAATTATGTCAACAACTCATCTGGGTTCGCTATCGCCTCCAACCGAGGGTAGCGCCCTCAGGGGCCCAATTGCCCTATGGATCGGATCAGCTTTTGAATGTTTTCTCCCCAAATGTCTGTAATATCCATGCCGTCTTTCAAGCGATTAGGTGGATTGCAGCGAAGCATTGTAGATGAAATATGTGCTTCAGATCGTCGCGTATAACCGGTTGTCATGCCAAAGGTCAACTTGAGTAGATCGACATAGAAAAAATCCGGTGGGTGTAACGTAACACCGGCCCAGGGGTAGACTTCCCGTCAAGGAAGAAAGGCTGGTCGAGAATGAGGTTTGGCCTAGCCTCTCGAGCTTCGCGGACGCGACACATGGGAAGAGGAATCTCGAAGAGCCTCAGGAGCGCGGGGCCCCAGCATCCAATCCTCCATGGCGAGCCACTCACTCCAGCTCCTCTCGGCGGCTTCGATTTCGGAATCCAGCGGCCCTTGCAGAGGTCGTAAAAAGGGTATCGTTTCAAAGGGAGGCATATCATAATCGTTTTTCACGGCAGCCCAGCCGCCGCTCTTTGCCGCGAACAGGTAATTGCGACGCTCTTGCTCATGGATCGCGCCTACACCCGCGCTCCAGTCGTCGCCAAAGCAACCATGGAGGACCCCGGGGAAATCCATTCCAGTAGCAACGAGACGTCGGATGTAAGGGATGAGCGAGACAGACGGGGGCGGAAGAGATGATGAAGAGGACGAGGACGACGTCTGCCCAGCAGAAGGCGTGGATGATTCGCTTGACGAAGTAGAAACGGGATGTGGTACTTGTTGGAAGGGTAGACGGATGTTCAAAAAGGCACACAGTGCCTGGACGGAAACGCTATGTTGTGCATGATCCAGGAAGTAACGCTGGCAGTTCTGATAATGCGGGTACCACTCAAAGATGTCTGAGCTGTCATGGCCGGCTGCTTGTGACGCGTCAGACAGTCCGATCATGATGGCCGGGTCGAAATGAGGAGTAGAATCCATTCCGGTTGCAGACGAGCGGCTCGGGTGGTTGAAAGAATTCCTACTGAGAACACAGATCTTAGCTCAATCCCACCGGCAGGCTGCGGGTGATATCTTCCTATCTCTCTTCTCCGAACACGCGCAGAAAGATGTTGGACATCAATGGGGCATTCAAAGAAGCTCTGTGCGGTGAATAAGGGGAATCGAGGATGGGGAATTACTTGTTCCAAAAGACGCTCCTGCCTCTACGGATCAGAAGAGACACCCTTCGTCGAGATGAAGAGGGCGAGGACGAAGAGTGGAACAGGTTCCTGATAGCCAAACCAATGCTTCTACCAGGCGGGGAGTCGTTCAGGGACATCTGCTAGGCGTGCTCCATCTAGAGACAAGACGATGACCGATTCAGACCATGTAGTAAAGAGGAGATTGTCTGGATCGGGATATAGAGGATGAACACAAGCTGTGGTGGAGGGCGGGGAGGTGGGGGGATGTAGAAACGATATCAGCAATGTCTATATAGAAGACGGATCCATTCGGTAACGGAAGAACGAGATTTGCTATTCAAACATCTTCCAGAGGAGACTGCTGTGACGCGAGAGAGAGAGGGAAAGTGAGAGGGAAGGAGAAAAGAAAGGACCGAAATGGAAGACGAGGAGACAGACAGCGAGGGAAAAAAAAGAAGCGGAGCTGGAGTCAAGTGGACTATGTATAAATTGAGTTGCCAGTGACTGACTACTACTACTGCTACTACTACTGACTGACTGACTACCTACCTACCTTAAAAGAGCACGAACGGGTCTATCCGATCAGACACCGATGGTATTAATATCGGACGATGCAGGAATTGGCCCGAGAATTAATAATTCCCAGGAATCGGAGGAAAAATGATCATAATAGGCCTATTGCTATGCGTTCAATGTGTACCTCAATGTGTAGAAGGGAGGTATTTTTTGAACCGAGATACCTAGGTACTCTGGAAAAGGAAAGAGAAAGGAAAATTACCAGAATGAACGAGTACCTTACTAAGGTTACCTTTATCATAACATCAGGCAGTAAGAATCTAATTGTCTTCAGATCTGATTCCAATGGGAAGAGTCACTGGTCAGACTGGGCGTGGAGAGATTCAGATCGATGTGAATCGACGGATGCCAATTGATGGAAGCTGGGCTTATTGGCTTCCTGGCTACTACTACGGAGTACTAGCTAGGTACTAGATAGTAGTGTTACTAACTTACTGGTTACTGCTTAGTGGTTACTATGCCCATACCAGAGACATTTAGCGGATGGCAAAAAAAAAAGCCATGTTCATCGCGTGTCCTTATCCCTGGTGTTGGTGCCTGGTGGATCCCAGAAACTGGCAAGGACTAAAGATTAAGGAGATAATTATAGATCCAGTTGACTTCTGTTCTGGTCGGATGTTCAGATAATCACCATGTGCCCTGGGTTGTACTTACTATGTACTGGTTCTCAAGTGCAGGCATTATCAAGAATTGAGTATGCTACGGTAGATTAAGTCGTGGCTTTGGGATCGCACTTGATCGGCATAGCTTGTTTCAACTTTCGATTACCAGTCAATCAATACCTAACCTACCTACAGTTGTTCCGGTCATGTAATGGGGATTAATGGTTGGACTCCTGAGTCCTGTTCTGTCTCTCTTGCAAATTTACCATCATTGGGTATGAAACAACCAGGGCTAAGATCAATCCATGGATGCGTGTGTACTACTATACGAGCAGTTCCAGAACCAAAGACGTAAAAGATAGAAAATTTCCCTTTTTTTGTCCTGGCCATAGCCTAAGTTGATACCTACCATACCCAGATTTCTCAACTTGGATACGGCCTCAGACCTTGTCAGTGCCAGTACCCAAACTCTCCCCTCTCCCCACTCCCCAGCCTCTGCAGAGCTGAACACAATATTCGCCACATCGTGCACGGTAGTTTAGTCGGGGGCCTGACAGCAAGGGTGAGCGGTGTGCCAATATTGACACTCTTCCAAGTTTACTTCCTGCAATAATGCTTCTAGTATGCATCTTGGCCGGCGACTATCTTTTGATCTATTAGTCCAGACTCGCGACTGGGGAAGGTGTACAATTGTACATACTACATAGTGTGTACTACAAACTGTCTCTTCAACTCCTGCAGCCATGTATGTCCTCACGCCAGAAGAGGTATGCAGTGCGAATTTGATGGCGGTCGACTGCACGCAAGGCGCTGGGTTATTTGCAGGGTCAACCATGCAAGATTGCCGTTGATATATATGCAAGGACCTACGACAGAATTGCTTCGCTATATGCAAGATACATGCAATCAAGATTGACCCTTCCATGGATCTGAAGACTAGGCCAGGCAAGTGGAAGCTATTCGAGGATGGTTCACTTATGTAGCCAGATCATAGCGACTCATTCAGCAACTTATATCCAGATCTTAGGATCGAACATGTAGACCGACTGAATTGGAAACTTGACACAGCGCCACAGCTCCGCAGAGTAGTAGAGTCCCAACTCCCAAGGAAACGCAAAATACAAAACTTACAACACCGCCACCATTGATGTGGCTTGTATTATTCATCATGCAGGATTGGATCTGTCCTGAATCCTGATTCCTGTCCTTCAGCTCCACTAGCCACATTTCGTTTCTGCAAGGTTCAGGGTGGGAGGTCCTAGTATTCCTGCAGACTGCCCGTACCACCAGTTGAGTAAACTAGTGTGATGGAGACGAGCATGCATCTGTCGCTGCTATCGATGCATGTCTGCAGAGGTCGTGAAGTCGACAGAATTGCCCCGACCAGGATACCTTTGCGATACTGATTCAGTCGGGAGGTGCTTCTCCTCCTTACCGTGCGGATGGTGGGTTCAGTAGTTGTCTTGCTCCTCGGAGACACCTAGATACTCACACAGTATCCTCCTACTCAAAGCCCGGGGTATGCGTGGCCGAGATCACCATTGAGTTAGCGGGGTGGTGACGATTTGACAGGTACTACTTGTCAAGCTGGAAGTAGCAAATGCGTCGTTGCAGGATCTTCCAATAGTTTGCCTTCTTCTTCCCTGTAGATATGTAGTACATCGATATGTACGTAGGCAAGCTACTCGTTCTAGTTCACATGGCTGTGGGCCAGGGCTTAAGCACTTCCCGGTTGGAGGGAACGCCACGGATACTTCAGCCTTATTTTGGGGATCACCTTTTGTTCGAACTACTCGACTGGCTATTTTGAGTTTGAACTTGGAGGGGTGATTGTAGTGCCTTGATTCCAGGAAGATTCCAGGAATAGATAGACATGTTACAAGTGGTGTACATCAAACTCTCTCTCTCTCTCTCTCTCTTTCTGTCTTTCTCTCTTCCCCCCCCCCCTACATGAATATCTCACTCTACCACTTCACCGAACGAATCTACCTACATGAATCCTCCTACCAAAAAGCAAACCCCAATCAAGTGCTAATGCCGATCATAATCCGATACGTCGAATGCGAACCGTTCAGTCCCTGCTTAACTGATTGCTCAAAACCCCCCTTACTTTGCTGATATTCCCTGACAGCGCTCTGAGGAACAAGCGTTGAAACTCGAGGTATGGAGTCCTTCTTCGACCCTGTTGCCTGGGTCGATGCTGGCATGCTGCATTAGACAAGAGCTTGGCAAGTGATCTTCCAGTCAGACGAGCGGGGTGGGGACGGCGGTCCAGCTGTGCTAGTGGAGGTTGGATCGTCGGATTTTGTGCGAGACTCAAGTCCACAGTCCTAGTCTACAGTGTGTACTGCCGGCACTGGATATTAGATATAGACAGTAGTGTGTGTGTTTGGTAGTAGTGACCGTTGAATTCAGATCAAGGTGTCGACTGGATGAATGACTTTTGTCATTAGTAGTTGCTGGCTTTCACTTGGCACTTTCATCCATTTTTTCTAGGATTACCATTCAGGATATTGCGCGACATGATTAGTGAAACAGGAAGATTCAACTTCACTTGAATTGGTCAAAAATCGAGAGAAGATGGAAGATGGACTGTTGATATGAAAGTCTGCTAGTCTCCAGTCCCGAGTCCCGCGGGACAGCGATATCGCTCCCCTCGCCACCAAAAGAAAATACAGCAAATCCATTATCAATGCCGGGTTGTCAACTGGCTGATAGGCGATCCCGTCTGGCTGGCCGCTGCTAGAGTAAGCGAATCGTTCGTGCCTGAAATGCGCGCCCGCAGGTTCAGGCCACCTATGATTTGATCCTTCCACCACGCTTCCACCACCTCACCAACCAATCATGAGTTGATAATCGTCCTTTCTTGGCGCTAGGACGGTCCGACTTAGCCGAGCGGGCAGTACTCCGTAGTCCGTACAGACTCCAGGCACTGCACTTAGGCGCCGAAGAGGTTAGGAGCTCAGAGCTAAGCAGTACTCCCGAACAGCGGACATTCTCGGTGTCTCCGTCCCCAGGTATTGCTAGTTGCCTACTTTGCTTCTTCGGGGTGCATGCCCAATTGCCTATGTTTCCGGGCGCAGTCACAGTCACAGTCACAGTCACTCCGTGTCGTATTTCATTTATCCGCCCCAGGCGATCCTGCGAAAAAGAAGGGGGGAAGGGGGGTCAGAGCTCAGCCGCTAGAAATGGGGGAGACTTTATAATTCTGACTTTCTACGGAATGGAGTACCTATCTCCGAGGACTCTGTTTCTGGCACACTGGGACTTGGGGAGGCTTGGTTGGAGGGCAGAAGCTACGGTTCTGAAGTTTGTGAAAGGGTGTGTGTAGTGGTTTACTCGTATTCCATAATCTCGTAGCATGAAAGGATGGAGGGCTGGATGGATGGCTGTACCTGTCGCATGATCATTGCAGTCAACAAATTCAACACGGACTGTTTTGCGACCCCGGCGACCTGCAGGACATCCGTCCAACCCCACGGGATGCGGATAATCCATGCTTCTCAGGACCAAATGTCAGTCCTTGACTCTGGGGGCTTCACCGGTGGACCGGGGAATCCCGATCCCAAGTGTCCACACTCCACTCTGGAGTGCTTGACTCCGGGTTTAGTTTCATTTTGTTGATGGCCGACGTGCCGCTGTCCTTACCTATACTGCTGAGACTACGGAGTATATGCTACCTGCTATATGCTAGGACAGGGGTGGTTCAGACTTTCCGGAGGACATCGGGGAGGATCCTGTCCTGGGTTCGAGTCACCCCATCTCATCCCCTGATTCTACTCCGGACAGAGGATGCGAGAACAAGTCGCGTAGAGAGAGTTCTACGGAGGAGTATTGGGTTAATTGATTGACGAAAATGGCTAGTGGGATGAAGAGATCAGATAAGACTTGGTCGATGGAGACCAGTGGAGCAGGCCGACACCCATTTCAATTGGATTGGGTTGGACAGGTCCACACGTGACGAGCTGACAGTGACAGATCTCATATGGAGTACATACAGTCATACTCATACTATGATACTACAAACTCCGTCGGTAACGATGGAGGGAGGACAGTGTTCCATGTAAAGCTTGGCATGGGATGGGTGCTGCGTTAGTGGTGTCTTGAAAGCGATAAGAAAAACCCAGAAGAGGGGGGGGAAAGGAGGGGCGAGAGGAGTAACCATGTGGCTGCGATAGTCCGATAGAAGAATCATCGAAATCTGATGAAATGGATTTTCATAACGGAAACTCCAGGGCGTTCACTCATAGGATGGATTACGAATTTTCAGCGGTGGGTGGCCACAGACACGAGGATTTCCCGGAACAAAGTCTGAAAGCGGACGGGGGGGGCGCGGCTTGGGCGGGTTTCCGCCCGAGAGATAAGAACCATTACTAGGCAGGTAAACTAATTCTGTGACCTCAAAGTATCGAATAATACGATCCTCCACCCCGAACTTCGGATGTCGCCCCTGCCCAATCACAGCGGCCCTGCTGGCTCGTCCGACTCCGGCATCCACCTTTCGCCGTTCTCCGCTGCCCCTCTTCCTTCGATGCCCCGTCCCACGGAATCCCAGTGACCACACTCTCCAGCGAGTCTTCAGCATATATAACGGCCTCTCCTCCTCCTCCTCTTCTTCCCCGATCTTCCCCTTCTCTTCTCCATCCCCTTGTCTCCTGGTCAATTGATTAGTATCTATCTCTCTTGATATCTATCTTTCTCTATCTATCCTCTGTCGATATCGAAAGACAGTCGCCACTATCCCACCGGAGACCAATCTCAAACTTCTTTTCTCAACTACACTCACAATGTCTGCCTCCAACCTTCCCCACGAGCCCGAGTTCGAGCAGGCCTACAAGGGTATGAATCCTTGATTATGTCCCTGGAAACGAACCCATCTAACATCGCACAGAGCTGGCCTCCACCCTCGAGAACTCCTCTCTCTTTGAGAAGAACCCCGAATATCGCAAGGCTCTCGCCGTCGTTTCCGTCCCGGAGCGTGTGCTCCAGTTCCGCGTCGTCTGGGAGGACGACAACCACCAGGTCCAGATCAACCGTGGTTTCCGTGTCCAGTTCAACTCCGCCCTCGGCCCTTACAAGGGTGGTCTCCGTTTCCATCCCTCCGTCAACCTGTCCATCCTCAAGTTTCTGGGTTTCGAGCAGATCTTCAAGAATGCTCTGACTGGATGTGAGTTACCCCCCATCGATGAATTCCCCCCCAGTCTGAAAGTTTGGGGGACTAACGATTTTCTCCAGTGAGCATGGGTGGTGGTAAGGGTGGTTCCGACTTCGACCCCAAGGGCAAGTCCGACAACGAGATCCGTCGCTTCTGTGTTTCCTTCATGACCGAGCTCTGCAAGCACATCGGTGCCGACACCGACGTGCCCGCCGGTGATATCGGTGTCACCGGCCGTGAGATCGGTTTCCTGTTCGGCCAGTACCGCAAGATCCGCAACCAGTGGGAGGGTGTGCTCACCGGCAAGGGTGGCAGCTGGGGTGGTAGCTTGATCCGCCCCGAGGCCACCGGCTACGGTCTCGTCTACTACGTCGACCACATGATCAAGCATGCCACCAAGGGCGCCGAGTCGTTCGCCGGCAAGCGCGTCGCCATCTCCGGTTCCGGTAACGTTGCCCAGTACGCCGCTCTCAAGGTCATCGAGCTCGGCGGCTCCGTCGTCTCGCTCTCCGACAGCAAGGGCTCGCTCGTCCTCGCCGGCGAGGGCAGCTTCACCCCCGCCGAGATTGAGGTCATCGCTCAGCTCAAGGTCGACCGCAAGCAGCTGGCCTCCATCGTCTCCACCGACGCCTTCGCCTCCAAGTTCAAGTACATCGAGGGTGCCCGCCCCTGGGTCCACGTCGGCGCCGTCGACGTCGCCCTCCCCTCCGCCACCCAGAACGAGGTCTCCGGCGAGGAAGCCCAGGCTCTGATCGACGCCGGCTGCAAGTTCATCGCCGAGGGTTCCAACATGGGCTGCACCCAGGCCGCCATCGACATCTTCGAGGCCCACCGCACCGCCAACCCCGGCTCCGCCGCCATCTGGTACGCCCCCGGTAAGGCCGCCAACGCCGGTGGTGTCGCCGTCTCCGGTCTCGAGATGGCCCAGAACTCCGCCCGCATCAACTGGACCGCCGAGGAGGTCGACGGCCGCCTCAAGGGCATCATGGAGTCGTGCTTCCGCAACGGTCTCGACACCGCCGTCAAGTACGCCACCCCCGCCGAGGGTGTCCTTCCTTCCCTGGTCACCGGCAGCAACATCGCCGGTTTCACCAAGGTCGCCGAGGCCATGAAGGAGCAGGGTGACTGGTGGTAAACGCCTCGCCCTCACCTTCACCTCCTGTCCTTCACTTGGTTCATTTTGTTTTTGTTTTTTTTCCCCCAAAACAACCAAGTGGATGATTATGATGATGACGCCGTTCTTCCCCCACCCCAATATTTCTTGAGCGATTACCCCCTTTTCGTGTTTGTTTATTTGTCAATGTCTGCAACGGCTATCCCCAGCGCAATGATTTGGAATAGAGGCGCCGGGTTCGGGATATCTGGATTATATCTTTGTCTTTTTCTTGTATAAACTTTTTATCTTCATGAATACTCAAATTAAATCAAATATATACATACATACATACATAATCTTCCATTGTAAATCATTAGATTTTTTTTTCGAATTCTTCACATCGAATGTATGCATGTATGATATATCTATCTCATGACCCACGACCCATGGCCACCGACACCATCGCCAATGCTCAAAACAATAATCATACCAAACATTAAAAATCTAAACAATATATATATATATATATATACGTATATAGCTGGAAAGATAGATAGATAGATAAACTATAAGAAAAAATGGTATCTTGCGTTCGCTTTGGAAAGGTTCCCTCTCTGGGTATCATCACGATTATGGAACCTTTTTAAATAAATTTTGAGGGGAAAGAAAAAAAAAACTCTTTTTTTGGTGTTCAGGGAACAAGGAAGGAAAGAAGGGAGGGGGACTATGTGCATGTGGAAAGAGGTTATGTGTCCGGCCACGGAGCGAGGTCGTGCATGATCCCGCCGCCGCGGGGGATCCCGCTGCTGGACGATGAGGATGAGGATCGGCGGTTCGACTTCGGCTTCGGCTTTGGCTTCGACGAGACCTTACTGCTGGGTTGGAAGGACTGCATGTTGATTGCATCCCCCTCCGCGTCACCTTCTGTCTCTGGGAGGTGGATGGTAGGGAGCGGGTCGGTGAGGACGCTGCGGCGGCGGGAGAGCACGCCACCGACGGCGGGGTTGTCCTTTTCGCGCGGGACGGCGTTGCGTGCCGACGGCGGCATGCGATTACGGCTGCGGCGGCGGTGCCGGCGGAGGTATTCGTTGGGGACGGGGTCGACCTGTTTCTTGGCTGCGGGGACCAGGTTGAGGTACAGAGGGAAGATGGCGCCGGCGCAGAAGAGCGCGACGAGGACGCTGTAGGAGGCACTGACGCCGTGGGCGAGCTGGACTGCGTACTGCGCGAAGGGCAAGAAGGCGCCACCGCTGATGGCCGTGGTTAGCAGCGACGCGGCCGTTTTGGTGTGGCGCGCGGTGCCGCGCAGCGAGAGCGCGAAGATGATGCTAAACGCCCCGCTTTCAAAGAGGTAGACCATCAGACTCATGGCGACGGCTGTCGAGCCCGAGGTCTTCATGCACAGCACGGCGAAGACGATCATGCCGATGTACGAGAGCATGAGGATCCAGCGCGGTTTCAGAAACCACTGCAAGAACGCGGCGATGAATCGGCCGACGGCGAAGACGCTATGTCCGATGGTTAGGTAGTCGAAGGCGCTGAGGCTGGAGCTGAGAGAACTGCGTGTTAGTGCTGATGTTTCCAAGGGAGAGGGGGGCGGAAGGGGAGGAAGAAAGGAAGGCTTACTCGGACCTCGCGGCGTCGACAAAAGTGTCGTAGCTTTGCGAAAGGACTTCCTGGCCAGCGACGTAGAAGAACTGGGAAAACACCCCAAGCCCCAGAGTCATCCAGACCACCGGCACTCCCAGCACTCGGGTCATATTGTCCTCGCGGCGTCGGCTGGCTAGTTCCTCGAGGTCTTCATCGGATGCCTCCGGGATGGGCAGATAATAAAAGGCCACCGCCAGAAGCACGTCAAACAGGGCGATCCCCAAATAAGCCCACTGAACGTCCACCAGGGTGCCGACATCAGTGACCTGTTTGAACAGGACCCTTTTGGCCAGGAGAGGGGAAACCACACTTCCGATCGCCTGCACTCCCTGCGAGATATTGAGCCGGACTTCGGAGTTCTCCAGCGGGCCGCAGAGGGCGATGAATGGATTGGCCGCGGTCTCCAACACGGCCAGACCGAAGCCGACGATAAAGTTCGAGATCGTAAAGGCAGAGTACGATGTCAAGACGGCCGACGGCCAGAAGATGAGCGTGCCACACGCGTAGATACACAGGCCCGTGATGAACGTCGACTTGAACCCCCATCGCTTCAGGACCACCCTGCCGACCAATGGCGGACCCACCAGGTATCCACCAAAGTAGACCGCATGCAGACCCAACGAGCGCCAAGAGTCCAAGCGCACAACCTGCTGGAACTGGCTGTTGAGGATATCCAGGAATCCGTAGGCAAAGCCCCACAGGAAGAAGAGGATGGTCGTCAATGCGTTTGGGGCGATGGATTCCCTGTTGGTCAACTTGAGCATACTGGTTGGCTTGCTCATATTTACAAAGTCAAAGAAGGTGATACTATGCGGGGAAGAGGAGCTGGTCCCAGTGGCCGTATTCGCTTCTGTGTCTTGACGAACGGATTCTGGCGCCGTGAGAAATTCAAGCATGTCCATGGTTTGCGGCTGCGCCTCCCGGGTATCCGCGACGCTACCGCTGCTGCGGCTGCCCGACTGGGAGGCCTTCTTTCGGGCGTTGCCGGTCTGCAAAGGCGACGATGGCGGCAGGGCTATCTGGGGCAGACCGGCCGCCGGCTCAAGAGACGGCGGTTGGTTCATCTCTGCTGTGTTTTGCGTGTTGTCATCCGTGTCTCTGATCAGTTTGGGAATGAGGCGCGCCACGAGAGGCTTCAGACTCGGGACACAAGCGCACATGACCGAGACATTGACCTCGATCACAGACCACATAAACGAGAGAGAGGCATACCCTGGTGGCCGATTGTCAGTGTTGTTGCACGGGGACACAGGAGGGCAGACACGAATCATACAACTAAAGTCATCACCAGCGGCACTCTGGTAGTGAAGATCCTTGAGCGCAATCTGGCGCGAAGTGGCCGCGCTTTGGATGTAGGCGATCCGGATTACATCGACGACCGCAACGAAGAAGCCAAAGCTGAAGGTGATAACCAGGATGATCTTCTGTTTCCGGGGGAGACGCATCTGCGTCAAGATGGGGTTTGGAATGAACAGGATCGCCAGATCGGTGATGATGTTGACGGGCGAAGAGGAGAGGTACAAGGTGAGGATGTCGATACAATGCGCGTGAGGCGGAAGGGGGTATGAGAACGCCGCGCTGACCGGGCTACACTGAAAGACATTGACGAGAGTGAGCGCCAACCCAGCCGCGTTGACGGCGAAGAGCGTGATGTAGTTTGCCCAACGGAAGACCTTTTCGCCTTTGGTCAAGGTCAGGTAGAAGACGAGGATGGATGTTTTGACGGCCATCAACGCCGGATTCTGAAAGACGACGTCAGATTTGACTCTGGATAAAAGGAGTGTTGGAGAAATGCCACTCACATAGAGAACAGTAAAGGCATAGTCAGCCCGATTGAGACCCGGTCGATCACTGATCTGGATGTCATAGTCGTGAAGGCCCATACCCTTACTGGTTGCATAGAAGAGCGAAAACGAGAAACCAAAGTCGATGGCCTGAAGAGAGTATTATTAGCTTGTCCACCAGGCCATCGTATTCCCAATCAATCCCCAATCCCCAATCCCCAATTGCCAAAAAAAAAATCTCCAACCGGGAACAGCCAGGAACCAAAGGCAACACACATACCCAAGCCAATAACATTAGATAATCATGTAAGCCAACCCTGCGCACGACGAAGATGCGCGACACAAAGCGCAGCGCCACGAAGACCGTCGCCAGGACAAAAAAGATAATCGACACGACCAGAACCTCTGGCCTGCGATCTGCTCCCATGGCGGGCAAAGCTCCAATTTGCAATTCCAATTCCAATTCCAATTCCAGATCCAATTTCCCACCCCACCCCAGGCCACTGTGGGGAGCCGGGATATTTTTATAAAATAAAAAAATAAAATAAATAAAATAAAATCAACCAAAAAAAGAATTCGAGATCAGGGACCGCTCAGAACGAATGTATGGGGATGTGCTCCCAGCCGGAGGATGTGTATTTCGAGACTCGACAGCGAAACGACCCCATTGTCACCGAATGGCCAATTCGGAAAGGGGGAAGCGGGAAACGAGGGGCCAGCGGTTTTTTGCGGGAGCCTGAGAGGAAGAGGAAGAGGACGGCGGAGAGAGAGAGAGAGAGAGAGAGAAAGAAAGAAAGAGAGAAAGAGTGGTGACGTTGAGACGTGGGAGGGTCGAAGCGGAGGAAGCGAAAAGAGAGTCGTAGGGAGGGAGGATAGATTGAATTGATTAGATGAGCGTTGATGAGCTGATGATTATGATTATGATTATGGTGCGCTGAAGTGATGAGCGACGGATCTGGGGATGCGAGGGGGAGGGAAGGGAAGAGTTGGTGTTTGTATGTAGTTAGTTTCGATAACTTGTGTAGTTCCGTGGGTCACAAGAGGGAGAAGGAATGTCTCACTTGAATGCATCCAATTTTTATGATTCCCATGGAGATATCTGCTTTCAATCATCCCATCTCCCACCTTAAGTCACTAATCAATCTATCCATCTACTTATTAAGTTATTATATTATCTACCAGTATGGCCCTACCTACACTCCACTACCTGTCAACTTCGACAACCCTCAGGTACCAACCGGGTGATTTGTCCACTTCCACACCGACAAAGAACCCAGACTGGTACCTTCAAGGCATTGATCAGACCCTGAGCCTGATGAATATGCGCCATTATTCACTCCGAAGAGCATACACGGCACATGCGACACTGCCGCATCCAGTAGCTCACCGCGTGTTGGACGATGCAGATATCTTCCATGCGAGGAGGCATTCATCTATCTATCTATCTATGCTCCGTATATACATACATATATATATATATATATATATATATATGTATGTATGTATCTGTATGTAAACACAGGGACAAGATCTCCAAAGAAACCAGTCTACAGCCTCCTCGCTTAGTAGCCTCTCAATCCACCGCAAATGGTGTCATAGCATCACAGGCAATGCACAACGCAATTGTCTCCCCAGTCTCCCAAGTTCCGACTCCCAAATTTCAACGGCCTTCTAGGGAGGAAGAAGCTGGTAAGCGGGCTAATTTCTTGACCGTTGAATAATTGAGTATTAAGCACAATGGGCTGATGAGGGTTTGGGACGATTCATTCTTCTTTCCATTATTGTACTCGCTACTAGTCTAAATCCTCTGGTACGACTTCCACTCACTACTGTAGTCTGTACTCTGATGAGCAGGGGAGCTAAGGTGGTAAGTAATGGTGATTGCGGATGCCTTGCCAGATATAGGCAGGAGAGGAGATCGACCTCGTTTGATGAGATGAGATGATCGGGGTGATCTCACCTCAATGGATTCGACTCGACTTCTTTAGTTCTTGAGTCTTGCACTAACTAACTATCTACGGAGTAAGCAACATTCAATTCCCAACTCAGGAGGTCTCGCGAGTCTTTGATTCTTGACTCTAAGAATGGACAAGGACAAACGAACGTGGCGGAGTGAAACCAACTATCGAAATCCAACAGCCTCTCAAATCAAAGTTCGAATCATACGAGGACACTATTCGGTCCGATGGTCTAAATACCAAGGATGATCAAGTGAAAGACAAACTTTTCTATCATTCATTGCTCGTGTCTAACAGTAACGCTAGCTGATCCCCGGGGTTCCTAAGAATAACCCGCCGGACGGAATTTCCCGATTCCTGTCCAATCGCAACCGGTTGCGCTGAGACCTCCCGTGTCTGTGATTCATGGTCGTCGTAGAGAAATAGAAATGATCAAGGGACTGCTGCAGTCGCACGTCCGGTCCGAGCCGGAGATGCCCCGCAGCCGTGTAGGCTTCTTCTTTTCTGTCTTTTTTTCTTTTGTTCTGGTGGGTTTCCTCGCTTTGTCATTGTGAAAGAAAGTCTGGCTCTCGAAGAAAGATGGCCAAAAGGTTGTCTATGAACATGAAAGGTGGAAAAAATGATCCCCGAAACGGTTGTTTCCAGGGATCGAGTGGGCAAAGAGGTTCAATGAATGAGTGGAAGAAGTGAATAATCGAGGAAAGAACGAAAGAGAAAGAAAAAAGGAGGAAAGAAAGAAGCTGGTCCTGTACACGTTTACAATCCCCTAATTCAAAGCGATCAACGCTTTAGTTGATGTACCACGAAACGCCGTGGAGACGACCCTCGCCGAAGTCGGCCAGGTCACCGAAGAAGTGTCGGGACAGATCGATCGAGGTGTTGTCGCAGCCCATGCACTTGTCGACCACGGTACCGGTCACGGTGATGCCCTTGTAGGTGACGGTCACGGTCTTGCCGCAGTCCGCGTCGGTCATGATGCCCACGGGCAAAGCGAGGACGTTCTCGCTGAAGCCGTCGTTGGTCATGCCGCAGCTGCTGGGGGCGCTGGCCGAGGTGGCAGTGTCGTAGTAGGTGACCTGGCCAACGCAGGGAGAGCCCTTGGAGCAGGCGCCGCTGTATCCACTGCTCGAGGCACCGGCATCGGAGCTTCGGGAGGATTGCTGAGTGGGCTGAGGAGCCTGGCTGGTGGAGCTGGAAGGAGCAGCGGGTGCAGGGGCCTGAACGGGTGGCTCAGGAACCGGAGCAGGGGCCTGGGGAGTGGGCTTAGGAGCGGGCGCCTCAACAGTAGGCTTCACAGGCTCGGGCTGGACGACAGCAGCGGCAATGGGAGTAGTGGTAGGAGCAGTGGTGGGAGCAGTGGTGGGAGCAGTGGTAGGAGCGGTGGTAGGAACGGGCTGAGTCGATTGGGACTCCTCCGGGGTCGGGACAGGGACAGACTCGGGCTCCTCGGCGACAGGGGCGGGGGTCGGGACGGCTTCGACGCTGGTCACAGAGATGGTTGTAGTGGGAACGGCGGCTGGCTGGGTAGGGTAGACGGTGGTGGTAACATCCACGGTGGTCCAGACGACAGTGGTCACGGTCTCCCACACCACGACATCCTCGCGCTTGTCAAGGTTCATGTTTCTGTTGACGGGGGCGGCAGAGCTGAGGGCAGCGAAGAGAGCGCCAGCAAGGGCAAGAGGCTTGAAGATGGGAGCCATTGTAAAGGAGGGCTTGGCTGTTGTCTTTGATCGGTAATTCGAACTGGTTTGTCGCTACGAGCGAGAGCAAGAGGGAGCGAGCACGGTAATTTATCGATTTGATCGATGAAGAATTTTTTTTGATATTGACTTGAGGTGCGTCAAGGAAGGAATGTGATCAGTTCGATCGGATACAGAGACTGCACAGCAGTATGCACAGGATGTTCGAGAATGATCTCCAAGAGAAGACTGGAGGCTGGATTGATTGATTGATTGAATGAATGAAGGAACGACAGAAAGCTGCCAAAAGAAAGGATCGTGATGGATGAAAGGGGAAGAGAGGAAGGAGGGTTCAGGGGAGACTGGAGGGGGGATGAAAAAGGTATTTATCTATCCATCTTCCATACCCTAGTGGATAGATGGATTGTCGTAGCCTCGTAGGCCCAATTTCCACAGGCTCACACAGGCTAACAGTAACAGCCCATCCACGACGACGATCGAGACCTCTTCTCTGGCTTCCACAGCTAACCGAACTGGGATAGGATCATAGGACAGGCTGAGTTGAATCTCCATCGCCAGCGCTAATCTTCAAACACACGTAGCTCAGATTACCAAGTATTACCACTTCTGTACCATTCATTCATTCACTATGGACCCATCGATTCCTGGTGGGTGTATGCTGGACAAATCAGACTAGTCCATTCTTCTACTATGGAGTACTGGAACCCAGTCCCACCTCCCATTGCGCCCCCTCCATCCTGTTCTGATTTTTTGAACTTCTGTGGTCAAAGACTCAAGTCAGAGTCACAAATCACAATGCTGAATCCCAGACACTTGTTTGCTCCGGCTCTGGTTGGGCGGTGAATAATGGGGTCTAAGTCTAACACAGAGTAACAGAAGCCTGGGAACACGCCCGAGCTCAGAAGCTGGGTACCGTATCTGACTCAGGTACGGGAACGGTACAGTAGATGCGACCCAAACCAAACATCAGATGCAACAACTAACAAGTCAGATCACCGATGGTACCTGACCGCTGGCGGCCAAGGCCAAGGCCAACACATCCATCCGATGGCTTGTGAAGTTCTGAGCTGTCAGCTTTGCTAAGGGGGGGGGCAGAATGACGTGTGATTGGAGATTAAGCAAGTCCGAAAGAAATACAGAGTAAAGAAGGAAAAGAGTACTCCGTACTCCGTATGTAAGTTACTAAGGTACTAAGGTACTAGAGGCTGAGCGGGTACCTGACCAAGCAAGTACCTGGATCGGAGGCGTCGGATATTGGTGTTGAATAGTTGAACTGATTGGCGGGGATGGAATGACCCCTTGCTCTGGTGTTAACTTTGTTCTCCTACCCACTAACTCAATGGGGGCTGGCAAATTGATGATTGGACATGTCAGGGAAAAAAAAATGTGCTCAAGTCTTGGGGGCGTTCGACTTCGGTGTGTTGTGCGGTGCCTGTGCCTGTGCCTGAGCCTGAGCCAGAGCCTGAGATGAAACCCCTACAGCCCCCCCTCCCCCCCCTCCAAAAACCCCAAGCCACACTCAGGTCCAAAACCAACCATTGTACTCTGTAAGGCTGTGTGATCCAAAAATTGAAATTGTTAGTAGGACGGAGTTCGGAGTAGAAAGATAGAGGTAACCCAATTCTGTCACAAATCACAATAATACCTAATAATCTTTGAAATCAAGGACATGAAACAAACAAACCAACAAACACCGTCTCCTCCATCAGATCCAGTTACCAGAATGAGCTGAGCGCGAGCGCGCTGACAAGTGAGACAACTGGCAAAGGTGGGAAATGCCATGATTTGCTGATGGCTCCATGGAGCAAGTCGGAGAACCATCATCCATGATCGTCATCCTTACCAGTTACAACTTCCAACTGACCGCTGTCTGTTGGAACTGTTCCTCTTTCCTAGTACCTTTCTATACTGTGTACAGAGTACATCCACTTGTTACGGAGTAGTGTAACTACTAATCCCTTATCTATACCTTCATAAGACTATCTGCCTTACCCTGGCGGTTCCACTGTCGCCAAATCAGAGCTTCCTTCGCAGGCTCCCCTCCCCCTCCCAACCCCGAAACTCAAGTACTGTGTAAGTACAGTATTCAATTGATCAATCCATCCCACTTTGGCCAACCCCGCTAGTGAATGGTCTAGATTTGCTGTCTGAATGACATGACAATGACAATGATAATGAAAATGGCCACAGAGGAAAGAGATTTCAAAAGAACTGCCTTGGAAAATGATTCCTTGTGTCAACCAGCCTGGAAGGTGACTCAATGCATGGTATGATGGCTTATTTTCAAGGCCTTTTTACTTGCTGTAGCCAGTGTCTCTCTATCCGGATGATCTGGGCTATCTGAATTATCACCCCAATTCATTATTGACAATAGAATCATCCTATAAATAATGAACTCGAAAAAAAAAAAAAAAAAAAAAAAAAAAAAAAAAAAACGTTTCACAATGGCTTGTCACTCAGATCTGTTCTTCTGGCGTCCGCCGTTTTGCCTCCTGCATATGAAATCAGTACTCCGTAGTGGCAACCGAGAAACCAGACTAGAGAGAAAGCGCCTTCGTCTTGAGATTTGCATGCTAGAATCTGGCCTAGAGCCTTGACGCAGTAGGCTCCAGCTCTACCCTCCAGCCATCGATCCAATCGACTGACTAAAATCCCACGGACCAGTTCCTTTGATCCGAGAGACTCCGGGACTGAGCATCGAGTGAACATCTCAGCATTGATGCGGCCAGGATTCCACTGACACATCGTCAATAGTCTCGTCAGGGAGGCGAGAATACAACAAGCCAGACAAAATCCAAATCCGGTGGTCGAATCGACAGAAGAAAACTTTAAATGAAAATAATAGAATTGATCCTCTAATAATGAGACCCCAACATATAGTGTCGTAAACATTGCCCTAGGTACAGAAGTGAAAAGAAATGCCATTTTCCTCCAAACAACAATGGAAAAAGAAAACCCGCAGGGATAATCACAAGAAAGAGAGAAAAGAAAATAAGAAAGACCATCCAGCTCATGATATAATTACATCAAAGAAAAATTGCACCAATAGAGCGCCTTGAAAGCGCCAATCCAGCATCAGCGATTACCCCCTCCGTGTCAGATCTAGCCCTGGCACATGAGGCAAGCCTCCTTGTTCTCAATGCTGCACTGGAGTACCTTTTGCGAGTAGATGTCATTCTCGCGCGCCTCGCTGTCTGACACCTCGTCGACCTCTTGAGAGGTCTGCACCACCGGCTCGTCGACCGCCGCCACCTCGGGCGCCAAAGCTCGCGGGTTGCTGTTCTCGCTATGTCCGTTGAGCTCAGTACCTGATGCGCGGGGCACAGCAGCGTATGCGTTGGGGGTGGCCCCAGCGGCTCGCTTCTTGAACGCAGGGTTGGCCCGTGCGACGTTGGTATCGGCAACCTTAAGTTGCTCCTGGTCGACGGTAAACTGGATAGGAGCAGAGGCCGCCATCGTACGGAGGTAGTACATGCCCGTCTTCAGGCCCATCTTCCAGCCGGCAAAGTGCATGCTGGTAAGCTTGCCCATGGTGGGCTCCTTCAAGTGGATGTTGAGCGACTGAGACTGGTCGATGAACGCGCCACGGTCCGCGGCCATCTGCAGGATGTTCCGCTGAGAGATCTCCCAGACCGTCTTGTAGAGCGCCTTGATGTCCGCAGGAATGTTGGGAATATTCTGCACAGAGCCACCGTCCGCAATGATCCGGTTCTTCATGTTATCCGACCAGAGTCCCAGGTCAACAAGATCCTTGAGCAGCCAAGGGTTGACGATCTGGAACTCGCCAGCAAGCACACGGCGAGAATAGATGTTCGAGGTGTAGGGCTCGAAGCACTCATTGAAGCCCAGGATCTGACTGGTGCTGGCAGTGGGCATGGGCGCCACCAACAGACTGTTGCGCACACCGCTTTGAGCGATCTTCGCCTTCAGAGAATCCCAGTCCCAGAGGTCAGTGGGAGTGCGGTCCCACATGTCATACTGCAGGATACCCTGAGAGACAGGGGAGCCCTCATAGGTTTCATAAGGTCCAAGCTGCTTGGCCAGCTCGCACGACGCAGTCAGAGCACCGTGGTAGATTGTCTCGAAGATCTGAGTGTTAAGCTGTCTGGCCTCGGGAGAATCGAAGGGCAAACGCAGAGCAAGGAATGCATCCGCCAAACCGTTGACACCAAGAGCGATGGGGCGATGGCGCATGTTGCTCTTCTTCGCCTCGGGAACGGGATAGTAGTTGATGTCAATGATCTTGTTCAGGTTGCGAACCAACACCTGCACAACCTCGTGGAGTTTGCCAAAGTCGTACTCTCCACGGGCCGCGTCGACAAAGGTAGGGAGAGCCAGAGAAGCCAGATTGCAGACAGCAACTTCGTCAGGAGCGCTGTACTCGATGATCTCAGTGCAAAGGTTGGAGCTGCGGATAGTACCCAGGTTCTTCTGGTTGCTCTTCTTGTTGCAAGCATCCTTGTAGAGCATGAAGGGGTTTCCGGTCTCAGTCTGGGCCTCGAGAATAGCATACCAAAGCTTTTGAGCCTTGATGGTAGAACGTCCGCGGCCTTCCTTCTCATACCTGTGACACTTTTAGCACAAGATCAATATACTCATCTGTTCCAATGAAAAACTTACCGTTCGTAAAGAGCATCAAACTCGTCACCATAAACATCGGCCAAACCGGGGGCCTCGTTAGGGCAGAACAGAGTCCAGTCACCGTTGGCCTCAACTCGCTTCATGAACAGATCGGGTGTCCACAGGGCATAGAACAAATCACGGGCTCTGACTTCCTCCTTGCCGTGGTTCTTACGCAGATCCAAGAATTCAAAGACATCCGCGTGCCAGGGCTCCAGGTAAATGGCAAAGGCGCCGGGACGCTTGTTGCCTCCCTGATCAACATATCTGGCAGTGTTGTTGAACACACGGAGCATGGGAACAATACCGTTAGAGGAGCCATTGGTTCCGCCAATGTAGGAGCCAGTGGCACGAATGCGGTGAACATTGAGACCAATGCCACCAGCGGTCTTCGAGATCATCGCGCATGTCTTGAGAGTATCATAAATACCCTCGATGCTATCCTCCTTCATGTCGACAAGGAAGCACGAGGCCAGCTGGGGCTGCGGCGTACCAGCATTGAATAGAGTGGGGGAGGCGTGTGTGAAGTATTTCTGAGACATGAGGTGGTAGGTCTCAATAGCCTTCTCGATATCATTACCGTGGATACCAACGGCAACTCTCATCAGCAAGTGCTGGGGACGCTCTGCGACCTTGCCGCTGATTCGCAGGAGGTAGGAACGCTCAAGGGTCTTGAAGCCGAAATAGTTGTAGTTGAAGTCACGATCGTATACAATGGCAGAGTTGAGCTCATCGGCATGCTTCATCACAATTTCATACGTCTCCTTCGAGATCATGGGTGCAGGGTTATTGTTCTTTGGGTTCACATAGTGGTAAAGGTCCGAGATGACCAGCGAGAACTGTTTCTTTGTTTGCTTGTGGAGGTTGGAAACGGCTATACGAGCAGCGAGAATAGCATAATCGGGGTGAGTAACAGTCATATACGCAGCAGTCTCGGCAGCCTGTGGAAGGTAAGAACGAAAAAGTAAGTAGGTTTCTTTCGTGATTCAAGGGCACTGAGACATACCAGGTTATCCAGCTCGACGGTGGTGACACCCTGGTAGACACCAGAGATGACCTTCTGAGTGATAGCAGCAGCATCAACATGTTCAGGATCAAGACCATAACACAGTCTTGATACACGGGCCGTGATCTTGTCGAACTGTACGCGTTCTTTGCGTCCGTCTGAAATTCGGATTTGTCAGCCACAGTCCAGTCTGAAAAGTGCGAGTGGCGAGGACTCAATTCACAGGCAAAGTGAACTTGATAAAGGTGATTTCTATTGCACGATGAAAGCAAGATGCTTGAGAAATATGATCTTACCTCTCTTGTAGACGAACATTGTGTAAAATCTGATGTGAAACTTGAGGATTTGAGGATTAACGTGGCAGGGGGGCAGCGAGGGTATATGTTATATCACGGGAAGAGCAAGTTTTTCTGATTACTATGCTATGAATCTAAAGGATGGAAAAGAAGAAGTCGTCGTCAAAGAGGGAGGAGGATGGTAAACAGAGGAACTGAGAGTGAGCATAGAAGGAGAAAGAAAGTCGGAGGGGCAGAAGTATTTGATATCGTCGCCAGGGCGAACGCGTACCTGCGTGGATCTCGACGCGAATTTTCGTGTTTGGCCTAAATGGGATCCCTTGCTGCCTTTGTAATCCTCAATCACGAGTACGGCGAGTGCGAACGCGCAGAAGCGCAGTCACGTGATATGTTCCGTGAAGTTGGAAACCATGGTACACGTTTTGCCTGGTACTTAGATCCCTAGGTTTCTAGACCTCGCCTTGACTTCCCAATGTTCTACTATAGAATTCCCTGCATTAACGGACGTTGATGAGATATAGATGTTAGTCGCATAAGTGCGAGCAATTCTATGAGATAAATTCCAGCCAATCCATGGCGGAACCTTGAATAAATAGAACAAGAATGGTGGACGAAATGTACATTTTAGAAATGTCACAGCCCTGCGATCACCCAAACGGAAGATAGTTGGATAAATCAATATCTACAGAGTGGCAGCAAAACCCATGAAGACAACAGCCGCGAACGCAGCCGCAGAAACATGTCTGTCGGACGAGCCAGCCGAGACGGTCTGGGAGGGAGACGCGGCGTTAGAGCTGGAGCTACCAGAGCTACCAGAGCTAGAGCTAGAAGAGCCGCTGTTTCCAGAACCGGTTGCGGTCGCAGTGACGAAGCCACTGTTGGTCACGGTCGAGCCCTTGGAGGAAGTACCGGTGGCATGGGATCCAGAAGAGGTTGTGGAGGTGTTGACCTCTGAACAAGTACCCAGGTTAGCCATGTGACTGACGACAAATCGTCTGCATGTGTTCCCAAACAACATACCAACTTTGTATCCCGCTCCGCTGCAGTTATCAGAGTACCACTTCAGAGCTGCCTCCTCGTTATCGCCACATCTGTCCGAGATCTTTTGCTGGACATTGTCGGTATTGGTGACACAGACCGCCTTGAGGTCGGAGGGATTCTTCTCGGATCTGTGTAGGGTCGTGTCAGCAAAAGAGTGCCTCTTTTTCGACATATCGCATTCGGAATGGCCACGGTTATGATGCATACCCAACGACGGACAGAAGACAGGCAGGGGGCTGCGCAGCAGCCACGATGTTGCCCAGAGCCAGGACCGAGAGAATGAGAGTAGACTTCGAGAAGAACATTATGACAATCAATTGTTCAGGATTTCGGAACAAGGGTCTGATATGACTTGTTCGACAAGGGGTCGATAGATCGAGATAGGTATCGCTAAGATGAAAGAATGAGTGTATGGTAAAGAAAAGAGCGACTTGAATAATTCAATTGAAAAGAGTGTATAGAAGATGGTATCGCAAAAAGAGTGCCTGCAAAAAGGAGTGACAGACAATAAAGATGAGTGAAAGACAGAAGAAGCTCTCAAGGTAGAATCATCATCAGTTGAAACGGCAGCGCGGTAATAATAATCGAAGGAGGAGAAATCACCTGGGCGGAGTGCCGTACCACCCAAACACGGTATTGACCCTGTCGATCCATCTCTCGACCTTCAGCAGCATTGTACCCGAGTCCAATCTTACCATACGGCGCTAATCCTGCCCTGGAGAAAAACACCTAGTGCCTGCTGCGGTTTAACATCCTATTTCGATTGGCAGAGTATCTGGGGCAGATACATGGGGCGGTAAATCTGTATGGGCTCTGGACTATGTTGGGTTTCCTTTCCCTGTCTATCGCCCAGAGGGATAGTCTAATCCGAGTTTTGATGTGTAAAGACACGAAAGATAGCAATCTATGGTATATTCGATGAATGCCAACACAGGTCTAATAGCAAGATAAATGCAGTCGCAAAACGCCCGCCAGAGTAAGTCAAGCCCACTCATGCATGTTGTTTCGCCCCAAGAATCATGAAACAAGTTCGACAAGAATAACTCAAGTTCACCTAACTATTCCACCGGGTATCATAATGGCTCGTTATGATCTCTTGAACATCCATTCGGTTCTCAACGATTTCCCTTCCGTTCACAAGATCGTTCTCCATCGCCCGTTTGTCCGCCTCGGCTTCGTCCTTGGCAAGCCCCGCTTGGATATGCCTCCGGACGAGCCTCTTCCGGGCAGTCTCAAAGTCAACCTCCACGAACCATAGCTCATCCATGAGGGCTGCCGCAGTGCTCCAGGGCTCTTTGTTCAGGCTGAGGTAATTGCCCTCGAAAAAGATCACTCTGCTGGTCGGCGCAATGGCAATGTCGTCGTCGACGGGATCCTTGACTGCATGATCAAAGCTTGGAGCGTACAAGCTTCGTGATTCCGATGTAACTGGCTCTCTCAGCGCCTGCACTAGCCTTAGAAATTTCTCCCCGTCAAAGGTGAATGCCGCCCCACGCCGTGCAGCGGCGTACTCGGGATTGGGCATTTGCGCCAGCTGCGCTCGTGTGAGATGGTAGCCATCCATGGGGATGTCTGTCGCGATAGTTGAATTCGGATGTTGTTTTGAGTAGAGCTGGTTGATACGGTTGGCCATAATACCGGCCAGACCTGTCTTCCCAGAGCCGGGGATACCACTTATAGCAATCATTAAGCGAGCATCATTAGGCACAGACTGGAATTTTCCTAAAAGGAGCGTTAGTTGTATGCTTCGTGGATTGTTGGTTATTGATGTAGACAACAACATCAGCGCAGCGCGTTGAGAAACTCAAAACTCACTCCAGACTTTGTCCACTAGTCGATCTACTTGTTCCTCCATGCTCGAAGAGTCAAGCTAATGATAAGAGCAGACAAGCGTGACGAAATACAGGGGAACACAGAGCTAGAGAGCCTTCGTCCAACAGGCGAAGAGTCTACGTTGGGATATCGGTAGTAGTTGGTGGAATTGAAATAGCCGTAGATGGTATAGACAGCGGAAGCCTCCTCCGAGAAGAATCGTTCAACGCGGACAAGAAGCACACGAAATTGGACAGATTCACGCAAGATATAATTTCATTGCAGCTGGAACACAGTGCACCGATCGAAGTCACGAGTCTGGAAGCTCTGCTGTCTTGTCCGCATAAATAAACGCAATCATCGGCGGGGCTTAGTCCTTTGAGTGGGGTTTCGGCGATTCGCAGCAGCGGAACCCCAGTTACGTCACAGCGTAGACAGGAGAGTGGTTAGACGGCTTGCATAACAAGAAGACATAATCTAGATGCTCGGTACTTCTATGGAGGAAGTTCGTCCCAAGACTCTCTGCGCGGCTGGAGATACGGGCTTACACTACGTGTGGCATGGACTGCCTCATTACCGTTCGCCTGGCCTTCCTATCGCTAGACCTCGGGATATGAGCGATGGAGTGTGGATACAAGCGTGAAAGCTAGAATACGGAGTCGAAGATAAAGTATCAGTGACAGAACCCAGCTTCGATTGTACAACTCGCTGTAATCAGCCTGCAGACATCCAGCATCAGTTGGGGCATACGAATACAAATCATCCAAAAACTATATACACGGGAATGCTGGCAAGCTCTCTTGCCCATATTAGACCATATCCACTTGAAGAACACCCAGAAACGCCAGTCGTAACCACCCTCATTCGCTGAACTCATTACATTTGCTCGAATCATGAAAGTATGGCAAGCAAATTTGCCCGCATGCAGACGATGACCCAAGGAAGTGAAGACCAATGCCGAAAAAAGGCCGAAATAGATAAAACGATAACCCGAATGTTCATGGTCGTCGAGCGGGTTCTTCCCTGTTGTCAGGGTCATTGGAGTCATTGTTTGCGCCGCGCCTGTTGCTGATAGTGCGAGACAGTCCAGCTGCAGCCCACCAGTCATCAGGTATATTCTCCCTTCGAGCGAGTCGATCCAGTATAGCTTGCATTTGTTGATGCTCTGGGTGAGTGGAGGAATTGGAAAAGGCAAACGAGATCGTCGGGATCGGTGGGTGGCTACTCATGGTCGAATGCATATCATGCGAGCGCTGCTGTCCAGAGCCCATCTGATGCATCCGACGACGATAGCGTCGCCAAAGAGAGAGCTGATTGAAATCGCCCTCCGACGCGGAATCAGAGTCCGATGAACTAGGATAGTCACAGGGATTGACATATTCCGGGTATGGATCAAGAACCATCTGAACTGTCGCGGAACTCGGATCTAAAGAGCTTGGCAATGTTTGGAAGGAGGCTGTCGAGGTTCTGGTGGTCGCGTTCGCCGATGTATTCGCGCCGGATGCAGAGGTGGAGGCGAATGAGGAATCAGCACTGGGAAGGTTGTCATCGGGAGTGATCGTAGTCAGAAGCGTTTCCCACGCATCATTCGCATTGTCATCATCGGGGCTCATGCTACGTTGGCGATCCCCGAGACCATCCATGGTAAAATCGCGATTGATTGCGCGATTGGTTTCGTTGATAGAACGCTGCCCAACACGCCGCAACAAGGGAACAGTCGTCCCTACCACTTCAAACCCGTCCGGAGGAAATGGAGAAAGACGCGGACGCAATTGTGACGGTGGAGATAGTCTTCGATGATACGCAACGGCAGGCGCAAAGCTTGGCGTGAAAGCAGGCTGCTCATGATTTCTTCGGCTGCTGGGGTTATCTGCTGGCGATGGGCGGCGGGTTAACTCTGAAAGAGCGGTGTTACGTGGAATTCTCATCCGTTGTCCGGGGCGTCTATGCTGAGCGGCCTCATGCAGCAAGCCTTCACCAACCTCGCGTCGGATCATGTCGAGATCCCCGGCGATAATATCGAGCGGATCATCACCGGGGGGAGGGTTTGTAATGGGAGAGCGTATATGGCGCTGTAACCCATGCGCTTCACGCTCAATCTCGTCTGCAATCGCACGAGGAAAGGGAGACCGTAGAGGTGCGCCGCGTAAGGTGGAAGTACTATAACGCGACGGTCGGCGAAGAGTGGCCTGGCGGCGAATAGCGGAACGCGCAGCGGCGGAAGGGTCCTTGATGGTACTGCTTTTGGTTCCCTCAGGAGAGGGGTCACGGTACATTCTATGCGCCGGTCAGTAAGGATTATTGCTGCATAGACCGGCAGGCTTTGACCCAGCGCGTCAAAATGTTAGAGGAAAGCCAGACAAACTTACGGGATACCCATAGTAAGGAAGATCTAGAAGAATATGTCAAATGAAGTCCGGAAAAAGCTCATAGAAAAAGAAAGACACAATAAAAATCACGCTGGAGACAACACAAATAACCAAGGATTAACGAAGGCGCGATGTTGCGGGGGGTCGCAATGACGGATTTGTACAGAGAATGGACTAACTACTCCGGTAGCTAGAATGTTAGATGGGCAAAAAGCGACTAAATCCATCGAGAGAAATGGCGAGTTTCGGTTTCTGCGCTAAAGAAAAAGCGGAGGCGAGCCAAATGTGATGTGCGCCTCAGGCTGCAACGTCAACCGCGGCGAGGAAAGGAGGCTGGAAGTGTGGCGTCGGAAAAGTGGCGCAAAGCGAAGAATGGGAACTCTCATCGGCGAAGTACGGAACAGCTACACAGTAGTACAGTTTAGTTAGCGGCTTCCTTAGTACCTTAGCAGCTTAACTAAGCCTTCAAGATCGGACAACGGAGACTTGCGGTCGTCGGAGAGGGACTATTCTGCCTCAGGCATTAAGCATCAACCTTATCGTGTAGCGCGGTCTCCGATAGCTAAGTCAGCCGGAATTACTTTGATGGTGGATAAGATCGGCGCAAATTCGAGCAGCACCATATTGATTGCTTTCGATTTCTCGTTCTTCTCAGACCTTAGCCGTCTCTGGCGGCTACCACCCATCCCTGAATACTAGGACACACCTGATTATCAGTATTAGTTCCGGAAATACACCAAACGCCACGCAATCGGAGGAATGATCGAGCTCGGACTTAGCCGCATATCCAGTCTACTCCAGCAGACTCCCCTGTCATGGAAGGCCATCCACATAGCTGGAACCAATGGCAAAGGGTCCATTAGTGCCTATTTGTCGCATATGTTGACCGCGGGGGGTGTTCGTTGTGGTCGCTTCACCTCTCCCCACTTAATTGATCGATGGGATTGCATCACTATCGGCGAAAGGGTCGTACAGGAGTCTCTTTTCCGGCAGATAGAGGAGAAAGTCAGATTGAGAGACCAGACACTGGGAATCGGAGCAAGCGAATTCGAACTACTCACCGCCACGGCTTTTGAGATCTTCAACCATGAACACGTGGAGGTTGGGGTAGTCGAGGTTGGAATGGGTGGTCGCTTGGATGCGACGAATGTCTTGAGCGATGTGTTGGTGTCGGTAATTGCGAAGATTGGGCTGGATCACCAAGCATTTCTTGGAGATAGCCTGGAACAAATCAGCCGCGAGAAAGCTGGGATCTTGAAACCGGGAGTCCCCTGCGTCGCTGACGGCACCAATGCGCCGGAAGTGCTCAAAACCCTCGAGGATCGGATTGAAGAACTCAAAATCAATGCGATCTACGCGGATCCTGACGCAATAAGTGCCCAGTCACCATCTTTGGGCCTAGTTTTCAAAGAACTCGATCTACAGCGTCACCAAAGAGCTAACATGTCCTGTGCCGTATCGGCTCTCCGGCTTGCTCTATCTAAGATCCGTCCGGGGCTTGAGGTCGACACTCTTATTCCGTCTCTATCACATGTAGAGTGGCCAGGACGCTTACAAAAGATTGTCCTCAGGTCATTGACAACCCGCAAGGAGCCTGTCCTGCTTGATGGTGCGCACAATAGTCAATCTGCTGAGGTACTTGGAGAGTATGTAGACCACAAACTGCGACCTCAGGGCAGCATCACTTGGGTAATCGCAGCATCGCGCGGCAAAGATGCAACCGCACTCTTCCATTCGATCATCAAGCCTGGCGATCGAGTCGCTATCACGGCATTCGGCCCTGTGGACGGCATGCCTTGGGTGAAGGCAGCGGATTCAGAAGAACTGGCTGCATGCGTTCAGTCGATACCAGAAATTGGGGACGTCAAGATCTTTGGCGGCGACATTCTCGCTGCCATCAGCTGGGCCTGTATCGAGGCTGGCGGCGGTCCCCTGGTCATTGCTGGAAGTCTCTATCTTGTATCGGATGTCCATCGCCTTTTACGCGAGGCGCGCAGGAGTGCAGAGAGCACACAGGGGGCTGTCTGAGGAGTTATGATTTGAGATACCCTCTTTTCTTAGCGGCAATTTGAATGATTGTAATGCCCATGTAGATATATATAACTTGTCGGTTGCACAAACCAAGAGTATACTTAGGTAGTAATAGAGGCTTTCAAGCCAGATATGACATGCAAGGTATTCGTAAATAAGTCCTATTACTTAAAAAATTCCCGGCCTAGACAAGACCACATGTCAACACTAGATTTAGATACTCCAAAGAGAGCGAGATGAAGATCTCAAGATCGGGGTCTGATAAGGCTGATCGGAGATACTGAAGCCGCTGGTCACTGCGTCATGGCCCGAACAGCAGCTGAGGTGTGGAGAAGGAAAAAAGTTCCAAAACATAATGTTTTACCGTTTTCTGTAACAGCGGACACGGCAGTAAGTATGGTCCTTTGGTTCTATTAGCAGACTTTGAATCTCCTTTTATGGCGTGGAATAACCAAAAGACAAATCTAGCAGCACAGAAGCAGGCCTCTGATGTTCAGTGACGCGTGGGTTGAGCGCGGGTCAAGGACTGTGAGAGTAAGAAACCACCCCGTATGTTTTTTCGCTTAGTACTGGTCAGGCTGTCTCAGCTCGCTCTTCTGATGCAATTATTTGCTTCGTTCGCCCGTTCACCTTGATGCTTTGTTCCATTACTGACAGTCTCGTCTTCCTATGGCAGATCCTGCTGACATGATTGATCCGATTGCCCCCTGGCTCCTGCCTTTCCACTTCCGATCACACTCTCTATCCAAGACCGCATGATTCGAGGCAAAAACTGTCGCGGCCAGTGTCTCAGTACAAAAGAAACATCCGCTTTGCAAAACCCGCGGAGATGGTTTCTCGATCTACCGAGGGGTCTGAGGGAGCCCCTCCGTCCTCAAGGACCCCCGGCACCCCAGTCAAACCGCGACTTACAAAACACGGATCCAGCCCATCAAAGCGAGAAGACAAGGCGGGGGAAGGAAGGGTGGTGAAATCATCTGCGAAGGATGTTGCTGAGCTCAAAGATTATGTATGTGGATGACTACACGGCATGTTCGGCCAAATAAGACACTGACGCAGCCTCGTTGAAGCAATTGGGCGATTGTTTAGGTAGAGGCGCGTTCGGTTCGGTCTATCGCGCACTTAACTGGAATACTGGGGAGACGGTCGCGGTGAAACAAATCAAATTGGTGGACCTTCCGAAGAGTGAGTTGCGAGTTATCATGGTATGCTACAACGTTCGGAATGAGTGTTCGGGGCCTTACTGCTCACTGATGATATGTGCCATAACAGCTTGAAATCGATCTTTTGAAGAATCTCGATGTGAGTACCAACCTCTTGTGAGAGGCGTTCCATGGGGCTGACTGGAGCTTTACAGCACCCCAACATCGTCAAGTACCACGGTTTCGTCAAGTCTGTTGAAACCCTAAACATCATCTTGGAGTATGTTTCTCCTTGAATCAATAATGTGCGAACGCTGAAGGTGCTAACAAACCTAGGTATTGCGAAAATGGATCTTTACACTCTATTTCAAAGAATTTTGGCCGTTTCCCGGAAAACCTGGTTGGTTTGTATATGTCCCAGGTGCTCCACGGGCTTCTATACCTGCATGAGCAAGGTGTCATCCATAGGGACATTAAGGGTGCAAATATCCTCACAACCAAAGAAGGCCTTGTCAAACTTGCGGACTTCGGTGTCGCAAGCCGTACCACTGGGCTGAGCGAATCCAGTGTCGTTGGTACCCCATACTGGATGGCCCCAGAAGTCATTGAACTTTCAGGCGCGACCACGGCTTCAGATATATGGAGTCTTGGCTGCACGGTGATCGAGCTGCTCGAAGGGAAGCCTCCTTACTACAATCTTCAACCTATGCCGGCTCTTTTTCGTATCGTCAATGACGATCATCCTCCTTTGCCTCAGGGTGCCTCACCAGTCAGTCCTTTTCATCCGATCGCATTGGCTGACTTATGTTCTAACGATCAAAACAGGCTGTCAAAGACTTCCTCATGCAATGCTTTCAAAAGGATCCTAATCTTCGTGTCTCCGCAAGAAAGCTGTTGAAACATCCTTGGATAGTCAACGCTCGTAGATCGGACTCCGTGGTACCCAAGAAGTCTACTGAATATGAAGAAGCGGTCAAAAGCGTCCAGGAGTGGAACGAGGCTTTACGATCTCCTGGCACAGGAACTTTGCGAAAACCCTTAAGACATGAGTATCCTAGTCCAATCCCCCTACGTCGAACCCAACCCTCACGAAGCACACCTACAAAAGACGCCCTCCCAGCTCCCATCGCCGGCAATGCAAGAGATCCATTTCAACTGCCGGACTCGCCAGCTGAAGATAATTGGGACGACGACTTCGCAACTGCCATCTCACCTAGCGCATTGCAGCTACCCCATCTTCGACCGCAGGACAACTTTGGAGGGATGCTCTCTTCCGAGAAGCTCAAAGCATTTGCATCTCTTGATGGGACTGTGCAAAAATCTGAAGATAGCTTCGAAGACTTTAACGACTCTTTCCGGACTACACTGCATTGTGGGGGGGTCGACCCCCTCGAGACTATCCGTCCTCTCCCACTTAAGAACATGGCCGCAGAAAATGGGTCATCTAACAATTCATTCCTCCCGCAGACATCCAAGAGATCCACGCCTTTCGCGCACAATGTCCCGATTCTTACCCAGAATTCTGTTCCACCGACCAGACCAACTCGTCCGACCTCCTTTTACAAAGAAAACTCCGTGGAAGACTATTCCGATCTCATACTACCGAGCGAAGACGCTCTAGGTCGAAGACTCAATGCCTTGAGAGTAAGCGTGATCTTATCTATATTCTCATTTACCTTGAGGCTCATCGGCTTTAGGACATTGACGAAGATGCTTACCCGGCCAATTTGGCGGACTTTTCACCATCAAAGGAAATAGTCCGATATCAAGCAGCTCCCCTGGATGACGAAGAGCAAAGACCTCAACTGAGGCGACAGCTCTCAACCAAGCGTCCAGTCGAAATCCAAAGATTTGCGGAAAATGAAACCGATGAAGATTTCTCGGATATATTGGGTGCTGATGAGGTTGCTCTCGACAAGCCAGACAGCGACGGGAGTTCAGAAAGAAGCACTTTGATGCTCAACTCAAGACACTCAACTAACTCTTGGCTCGGAGATCAAGACGACGAAGATGATCCATTTGCCCAACTCGAGGAAGGACTAGATGAGATGGATCTGGAAGCTAACATTGCGCGAGACAAGTACGCCCGGCTCCGCAATCAGGTCGAAGGGCTTGTCAGCTCTTTAAAAACATCTCAAGACGAGGATCTGCTCGGGGAAATCTCAGAACAGCTGTTGGCGATTTTCTGTGACCTTCCGGAAACGAAAAACATCATCATGAGTGCCCATGGTATGCTGCCAATTCTCGAAATCCTTGACACATGCCGTCGGCGCGACGTAGTGTTATGCCTTCTCAAGATTGTGAATGCAATCATCTACGAAGACTACGAGATCCAAGAAAACCTGTGTTTCGTTGGTGGAATCCCAATCATCAACGAATTTGCTTCGAAGAAATACCCACAAGAGATCCGACTGGAGGCAGCGGCGTTTGTACAGCAGATGTATCAAACATCAACCTTAACCCTTCAGATGTTTGTTAGCGCAGGAGGTTTGAATGTTCTCGTTGAGTTCTTGGAAGATGATTATGAGGACGAGCGTGATCTGGTCTTAATTGGAGTCAACGGGATCTGGAGCGTCTTTGAGCTACAAGTAAGCATGTTGCGGATGCAATCCTTTGGCCGGTATCTGACAGTTGCAGGGCTCCACACCGAAGAATGACTTTTGCAGGATCTTGTCTCGCAGTTCTGTATTGGACCCCCTTTCTCTTGTCCTGAGTCGGGTATTGGACGAGGATGGAGAACTAGCCGAGATTGTCGAGGGACGTATCGCAAATATCTTTTTCGTGTTCTCTCAGGCAGAGAATCATGTCAAGGAGATGGTTGCTGAGCGAACTGTTCTACACAGTAAGACTGGACAGAATGCTCATTTCATATCAGGTGTCATATTGTATGCTAACTCAATATTAGGAGTACTTAAGGAACTGAAGCGCATGACTCCTGCGCATCAGATCACCATGCTGAAGTTCATCAAGAACCTGTCCATGTTATCGACAACGCTCGATTCACTACAGAACTCGAATGCCATCGATGTGCTGACGGACCTCCTGAGATCGACCATCAAGCGCCCGCATTTCCGAGAAGTCTCGAATCAGATCTTGAATACTATCTACAATATGTGTCGCCTCAATAAATCACGACAAGAGGATGCGGCTTTGAATGGAATAGTGCCCCTGCTCCAAAAAATAGTCAAGACTGAACGACCGTTGAAGGAGTTCGCATTACCGATTCTCTGCGACATGGCGCATTCTGGAAAAGTTGGCCGCCGTGAACTCTGGCGCAATAGAGGTTTACCGTTCTACATCTCTTTGCTTTCGGATCCGTACTGGCAGGTCACCGCTCTGGATGCCATCTTTACCTGGTTAGTGCATGATCGAAATACTGAATAAGCAAGCGGTGGGCTAATTTTTCGCAGGCTCCAAGAAGAGACAGCGAAGGTTGAAGAGCACTTACTCAGCTATCACCCTGATCAGCCCCTGTTCACAGACTCTATAGTAAGATGCTTGACAATTTCCAAGGCTAACGCCTTTGAAAATCTGCTGGAGCCTCTCCAAAAGCTTCTTCGACTAAGCCCTCCGATCGCCTCGACATTTGCTCGGGAAGATTTGTTTGCTCGAATGAGACAGAAACTGCATCATAACAAAGCTGCTGTACGCTTGAATCTTCTGCGTATCATCTCCAGTATCTGTGAATCCAGCGAAGAGCAAAGCGGGCTCCTGGAGGAATATGGCCTGTTGGAAGCAATCCGAGAACTGGAACACGATTCAGCCATTCTAGTTCGGGACATGGCTGGGAAGCTCATTCGATCTAATGAGAGAGGCGAAGCGTATGGTGTGGCTAAACGCAGACCTGGAGTCAGAAGGGGAAGTACTGCGACCACGCCACCCAGTCTTCTGTCGAATCAGTCTGCTCCTAGTACTCCCCAGGTCAGCCGTTCGAGTCAATCCAAGGGCTACTTCGATGGGCGGGAAGTTTCGAGACATCCGCGCAATGCTCTCAGTGGCTCAGCGCTGGCGCTGCGGCCTGCAAGCCGAGACGGTCCGAGTCCTGGTCTGGCCGCCGGAGCACTTGCCGTTGGAGCAGTAAAGGGCTCTAGTGCGCCTAGAAATCGGATATCGCGGGGCATATCCAACAACCGACTATCATACTCCGAGTTATTACCGGAAGAGGAGGGCAGACTGCAGAGCTCACTGTCACGTCGGCCCTCAATCCTTCCGCGACGTCGGCGTCAAACAAACGCAGATGGCGAATGGGGGCTCTAGGTCCGGGACAAGCGACCGTTGTCCCGATATGGATCTTGATTTACCCTGTTCGATCCCCCTACTTATTCGAATACAGCTTGACCGATTCAGCTTTTGATGGAAGGGTGGGGTGAACCTCCCTCATCCACCGCATTGCATAGTATGGGCGTTTGTGGAGGTTCTTCATGTTCTACTCGCATTTGCTTCACCTTTTCATGGGTACGGTGTCACAAGGACTGGGAATGGGTTGCTTTTCCTTCTTTTGCCTTTCTTATGTGTAAAGTATTCTGAAAGAGATTTTGAGTCTAGCCAGACATTGTCAAGCTAATATCTCCGTTGCTCTGGGTGAAGCAACCTAGATTTTCCTTCTGGTTGTGCATTAAGTCTGCGACATCTCCTTGCCTGGCTAGTTAAGAATTCCAAGATTGTAAACTCTGGTAACCTGCAGGCTTATTTTCGGTATCATTTAGACTGAAACTATCGATGATGCTTGTTGCCATCGAGATATATTTAAATCACGTGTAGCGGCCTACGGGCCGACACCGGGTGAGAAAAATCCCGAATGGCGGCGACATTCGCCCCAAAGATCTCCTTTTGACAGAAATTGTATATCTCCGACAAGACTGAACCAACTGTGATCCTCCTTGAGTACAGCCACGGGACTTTGGATCACGAATGATTTGCGGTTGTCAATCATACGGCGGTTTTGGCGTTCGGTATGAGAGCGGCGCTCCGCACATCGTTGCGGGCATCGGAATTTGACCCTGCGGTGGTCTTGAGATCCAAGGCGAATACATCGAAGCGCGATTATGCCTCTCAGTCCCTTCACAGATTTGCTTCAAGTACGATAAGCCCGGGCACTGCGATATCTCGACGCCTCCTCCGCAGACCGTCGTCGCTTCGCGCGTTCTCGACACCGAGGACCTTTTCTACAAAGACACCTTACTTGGCCGAGGGGGCAAGTTCCGGACAATCTGGATCTAAGCATTCGCGGAGGAGCGTCCTAAAATATGCGGTTATCGTCGGTGCAGCTGGTGCTGCGGCGGTGACTTTCTCGGATGATGCACAACATCTGTATCGCGCGGCGCAGCGAACGGGACGAGTCGTCGGGACGTTGGCAGTTTGTATCAACGAGTAAGTGCATTGTGCCCGTTACTGTTTAGGTTGCGACGGATCGCCAACATTTTTTTTTCTTATCTTCTAGCTACCGAGTCACACTCAAGCAAGAGCATGCAACCCCAGAGGAACGACAACAGTCCCTCCGAGCGTGTCACAAGCGTTGCGCCGAACGCACCCTACGCGTCCTCGAGAAGAATGGGTCGATCTTCATCAAGCTGGGTCAACACCTTAGCAGTATGAGCTATCTGCTTCCGCTGGAATGGACAACGACCTTCATCCCGCTCCAGGACCGATGCCCCGTTTCGTCGATCGAGTCTATTGAGCAAATGTTCGTCACCGACACGGGCCGTCGCATCGACGAACTCTTTTCAAACTTCGAACCACTGCCAATCGGCGCTGCATCCCTCGCCCAGGTCCACATCGGCACGCTGGGGGAGACAGGCCAGAAGGTCGCTGTGAAAGTGCAGCATCCTGCGCTGGCGGAGTGGGTGCCCCTGGACTTGGCTCTGACAAGGTTCACCTTCTCCATGCTGAAGCGGTTCTTTCCGGAATATGATCTGGAGTGGCTGTCAAAAGAGATGGATTTCTCCCTCCCCCAGGAACTGGATTTCCGTATGGAGGCGGAGAATGCCACGCGGGCCAGTGAGTACTTCAAGACACACTCAGATGCACCATTGGTCATTCCAGAAGGTTTGTTTTTCTCCAGTTTCCATTGAGTTTTTACACAGGCTAACCTCCGCACTTGCAGTCATGTGGGCCCAGAAGCGCATCATGGTGATGGAGTTTCTGTCTGGCCATCGTCCAGACGATCTTGAATACCTAGACGCCAACAACATCGACCGCGACGAAGTTTCCGCTGCATTCGCGCACATCTTCAACGAGATGATCTTTGGCGACAACGCCCCCTTGCATTGTGACCCGCACGGCGGCAACATCGCCATTCGCAAGAACCCGAACCGGCGCCGCCAGAACTTTGACATCATCCTCTACGACCACGGTCTGTATCGCGATATCCCCCGCGAACTGCGCCGCAACTACGCCAAGCTCTGGCTGGCGGTCATCGAAGCGGATATCCCGCGGATGCGCGAGTACGCGCACAAAGTGGCGGGCATCACCGACGAGCAGTTCCCGCTCTTTGCCAGCGCGATCACCGGGCGCGATTACACCGTGCTCGCCAACAAGGCCGTGGCGTCGTCGCGCACCGCCGCGGAAAAGGAAAACATCTCCGGCGCACTCGGTGAGGGTATGCTGCAGCAGCTCGTCGAGCTTCTGGGCAAGGTTCCCCCGATCATCCTCTTGATTCTCAAGACGAACGATCTAAGTACGTAACTTATCCTCCCTCATCACCCCCGCTTACCATGTCCATGTCCATATCCATGTCGACTCCCGAAACTTCGTAAATAAAACAAACTAACAAAATCACCTGCCATTCTTTAGCCCGCAGCCTCGACGAAAACCTACACACCCGCCAGGGCCCCCTACGCACCTTCCTGATCCTCGCGCGCTACGCCACGCGCACCGTCTTCGAGGAGAAAATAGACAACATCATCGAGACGGGCGGGTTCCTGCGCCCGCTCAATATCCTGCGGTTCCTGTGGGCCTGGACGGGCTATCTGCGGGTGGAGCTGAAACTCTCCGTGTACGAGACCCTACTGTCTCTGAAGAGTCGGCTTGGGTTGGTTGAGTAGATCAACTTGGGGTGTGGGATGTTTGCCTGTCAAAAGGTCCTTGACGCGTTTGTAATTTAGATAAGAGGGGCATTCGAACGGGTCTGGTTTTATGTGTGTGCATTCAGCGCTGGCGTTTTTTTTTTTTTTTTTTTTCTTTCCCCTCTCTCGTGTATAGTGGTTCTGGTTCTGGTCCCGTTCTCGAAAAGTCGAATCGGTCTGTGGGAGGTGGTATTTTGCGTCATTGTGTATATCTTGCTATAGAGTGTGTGACTATGTCCAAATAGAGGTTTCATTGTTGATACATGCGGAACACGGGTGTCCTCGCTTATTCGAAGTGCACGACTAGTAAGTTTTGAGTAATTGAATGCACAATGTGCATATTTCTATTGATGACCTATGCCTAGGGAATCATGATCATAATAATGCCTTGCTTGTTGAAGAAGGAATGGGTAAAAAAAAGAAGAAACAGGTGGTAAAGAGACAAAGGTATACAGTAACTCGACTCATCGGGCTGAGATGAGGAGAAATATGGAAGAAAAAAATGGCCCAAGCAGTTTGCAGTCTCAGCCAGCTTTCTCAGTACGCCAAATAATCAAACAAACATATAACCGAAGGGAAATCAAATCTGGTATCGCCGTGATTTTGCTTTGCTTTGCTTTGCATTGCTTTTGTTGGAGGAATGACACGCCGGATCTTCGGGAAGATCACAGGCTGGCGGTAGCGCCCTCGGTCTTCTCGATGTTGGGCAACGAAGCCCCAGTGCCGGAGAGATCGGTCTTGGTGGCCTTGGGGTTCTTGGTGTAGTAGTCGTTGATGGCGGACTTGATCGCATCTTCGGCAAGCATGGAGCAATGTAACTTGACGGGAGGCAGGCACAGTTCCTTGGCGATGTCTGTGTTCCGGATCTTGGCGGCTTCGTCGAGAGTCATTCCGCGCACCAATTCAGTCAGATAGCTGGAGCTGGCGATAGCGCTACCGCATCCAAAGGTCTTGAACTTGACGTCGGTGATTTTGGAGGTGTCCTTGTCGACACGAATCTGGAGCTTCATCACATCACCGCAAGCAGGCGCTCCGACCAGACCCAGACCGACATCAGGAGCATCCTTAGGTAACGAGCCAACTAGGTTGAAATGTCAGTAAACTTGCAATAAATCAATAAATACTGACGCAAAATAACTCGTCGGCGGAAAAGGCGTAAGGGAAGATGAAGAGCCAATCAGGATCCGAGATTGCCACGACTTTGACCCAGTTCACCAAAAGCATACAACTGCGCCGGCGAGTCCGCAAGACGAGTCTGTTTCGGCTGATGAGGGCGCGCACAAGCCTCGTTTTTAAATTTTTTGCCCATGAAAAAAACGCTCGAGCTCGCAAACACCTCAGGGATTGTACCCAGTATGTTTAAAAAGTCGCTCTTGGCCGTGCAGATATACCATCGAAACACTCAAGGGCTTCCTGATTGCCTCTTCATCTTCTCTCATAGGCGCCAGCAGTTCCAGAAGAAAAGAAGAGTCGTATATCAATCAAACATACCGTTACGAGGGTTGTTATAATGATCTAGCAGTACACAGACGGTCAGCATTGAACCAGTCCCCATAAGCACCAAGCAATCCACTCTACTTATCTTTCTCATGATAGCTTCTCCGTTGAGGAGCAGGCGACGACCGGATAATAGGTTGAGCCTGGATGCCGGCAACGACCGGTGTGATGCGAGGCGACACGACGGTGCCGACCGAGCGAGGGGCGACGGTAGCCAAACGGCGGAACATGGCTGCTGGGATGGATGTGTGTGTGTGTGTGTGTGTTTTTTGTGTTAGATGTTGACAATAGTACTCGAGTAATGGATGATATGTGGTCGGGTTTGAGGATGAGGTTGATGGAAGAAGTATTGTTGAAAGTTGAGACTTGAAGTACCCGAGGTTGTGATGTCGACGAAAGATTGATTGATTAATTATTATTCTTTGCTCGCCTGTTGCTCCCCCAGGCGCTAATCCCGAAGCAGTAACACCGTCGCCTCTATGATGTCCGGCCTCGGAGATAATCCTATTATGACGTTGGGGGTATGGCTGGGCTGCGGTGGTTTGTCAGCGAGCGGGATTGGGCCTGGTGGACGGAAAAACTGATGCTTCGAGGAATAACAAATCAGGTTGATCTCTGCGCGATCAGAACCCACGGCGAGACTCCAGACAGACAAGGAGTTGACAACCCTGTTGAAGTTGCTGAGCGCGTATGGAATCGGTAGTTGGTACTGATTGATTACCCTCATAAATTACTGCGATCGGTAATCGGTAGCCAGCGGGAGCCGGTATTGTTGGTACGGGATCACGTAATTAATTGCTTATCTTGCCGCCCTCCATCTGATAAAAATAAGAATTAGAATCGATTACGATTACGCCGATACCCGCAACAACAACAACAACAACAACGGAGTCGGACTTAACAGTCAACGCTACCGAAAGGAGAAAAGCAGCGACAGCAACCAGAGGAGAATCAATCTAATATGGTTCGAAAGACAGAGACAGGCAAGCCTTTTGGAAGGACTGCGGGGGTGAGTGCTTTTGATTTTAGTCTGCCTGCTTCAGAAGAGTGAATAACCCAATCCCCCCCTTTTGATGACCAGTCCCTCAACGCCCCAATCGCGGCCTTCACCATGGCATTTGTCCTTCTCTCGTACTGCGTCAGCTCCATCCATTCTGCTCGCCGTGAGGCCGCACAATCCCTGCCGGCTACGACTGCAAGAGTCCCCGCGGACAAGTCTGGCCAATCATGGGTGCAGCAGGCACTCCAGGAGGCCGAACAACAGAAGGAGTCGAAATAAACCAAAACCCCGCAAAGGTACCCTGAATTCTACCAGTCTTGTTTCACCATGTACTCTCTCATTCTCAGATATGGTTGATTTTAGAGCGAGCACCTAGCACTTCCCAATGCAATAGTTCACTCAGCACTTCCATGATCTCCACCCGCTAGCCGTTCGCCAGAGAGTGAGGGAGAGAGAGAGAGGGGGGGGGAAGGGAGCGCCTCAACCACCCCCAACTCCACTCCCGTAGATGCCGCGACAATCCTCACAGCCGCACACGGACACTCCCACCGCGATTCCTCCCCCGTCATCGCCTCCTGCAGTTCCTCCTTCAGCCTGCCAACACCCGTATCGTTCTCCTCATCCCACGGCACCCGCCAATGCACCCGCGTCTCCTTCAGCACGAGCTCCAGCCGCCGCAGCCGCCGCATTCGCCTCACAACATCCAGATAGAAGTGTCCGAAATATGACGCGTCGCTGACCTCGATGGTGAGCGCCTGCACGCGGTCCAGCTCGTCGGCGCCGAGGTACGCGAGCACGTCCTCGGGGAGCTGGAGCACGTCACGGTCGAAGGCGATGTAGATGCTGCGGGGACTGTATGCGGTCTGGAACTGCGCGGTGTAGATGCGCAGGGCTTCGGTGCGGGATTCGTGGTTCACGTGTAGTAGGGGTGGCGGAAGCGTTGGCGTGGTGAAGAATCTGGCGAAGCGGCGGGAGTTGGGATGGATGCCGCGTTGGCAGGCGATGGGGATGTTGCGTGGGGTGGAGAGGAGGAGGGACCAGATTCGGAGGCGGAGTTCTGGGGGGAGGAGGGGGAAGAGGTGGAAGGTTGTTGTTGTGGTGGTGGTGGGATCATTTGGCATGTTGATGTTTATGTTGGTTCTGTACGGAGATTGAGGCAGTATGGAATGGGTGGGATGGATTACTTTGGTTTCAAATCATAGGTGTTGGAAAAGAACAATGTCGCTTTGATTACTGGATAGTACCTCTGTATCCCTGCTAGATTTAGTTAGTCGGGCAATTACCAATTTACCACTGCGCAAGCTAGTCCCTGAACTCCACAACTCAGAGGTACTTTTACTGGGAGTGCTGCCTGGATCTTGATCTATCAAGAACGTTCTCCTCCTTACGCCTACTGCTTAGGATCTACAGACTTATTTTAGGGCTCCAGATGCCGCTCCGCCACGGCCCAGTCGGCCCTAGAGCATGCTGGAGTCAATGTCATGTCACCAGAAGTGAATACTGATGATCCAAGCCTATATAAAATGACAACACATCACAAAAGAATATGTTGACAAGCAACGTCCGGAAAAGACTGGCAGCCTTCAAGTCGAAGACATCTCACAAGGGGGAAACCTAAGACTGCTCCCCAGGCTCGAAAACCTCCTCCTCAGCATAGTGCTGCATCTCTCCGTCAGAAAGACTGGCATCCTGGTATTGCTGATACTCCGACATCAAGTCATTCATGTTACTTTCCGCCTCGGTGAACTCCATCTCATCCATGCCCTCGCCGGTATACCAATGCAAGAACGCCTTGCGGCGGAACATGGCCGTGAACTGCGTGCTGACCCGCTGGAAGAGCTCCTGGACGGATGTGGAATTTCCGACAAAAGTCGCCGACATTTTCAGACCCTTTGGTGGCACGGAACAGAATGCGGTTTGGACGTTGCTCGGGATCCACTCCACAAAGTATCCAGAGTTCTTCTTGTGCATGTTGAGCATCTGATCGTCGACTTCTTTCATCGAGACCTTGCCCCGGCTACGCTTGAATTAGCTTTGTTGATTCTGAACATCTGGGGTGAGGGAAAACTTACAAGAGAGTCGAGCATGTCAGGAAGCGGCCGTTCTGGAAGTTGCACGCCGTCATCATATTCCTTGCATCAAACATCTGCTGTGTGAGGTCGGGGACCGACACCGCGCGGAACGATTGGGCCCCCCGACTGGTCAATGGAGCAAAGCCCACCATGAAGAAATGCAGCCGGGGAAAGGGGATCATGTTGACGGCCAGCTTTCGCAGGTCGGAATTCAACTGGCCGGGGAAGCGGAAGCTGACCGTGATGCCAGACATGACGGCCGAAACCAGGTGGTTCAGATCGCCGTAGGAGGGCGCAGATAGCTTGAGCGTGCGCATGCAGATATCATAGAGTGCCTAGGTGGATTAGCCCGGCATTGACTCCAAACAAAAATCACGAGCCATACTGCATACCTCATTGTCAAGACAGAACGTCTCATCCGCATGCTCGACCAATTGGTGGACCGAGAGCGTCGCATTATACGGCTCGACTACGGTATCAGAGACCTTGGGAGACGGCATCACAGAGAACGTCGCCATCATCCGATCAGGAAACTCCTCGCGGATCTTGGAGATCAAAAGCGTGCCCATGCCCGCCCCCGTACCACCACCCAGAGAATGGGTGATCTGGAATCCCTGCAGATAATCGCAGCTCTCGGCCTCACGACGCACAACATCCACAACCTGATCCACCAGCTCTGCGCCCTCGGTGTAATGACCCTTGGCCCAGTTGTTTCCCGCACCGGACTGCCCGAAGATAAAATTATCGGGCCGGAACAGGGAGCCCATGGGGCCGGCGCGGATGGCATCCATAGTGCCCGGTTCCAAGTCGATAAGGACCGCTCGGGGGACGTATTTGGAGCTGGCGACCTCATTGAAATAGACATTCATCCGCTCCAGCTGGAGATCAGACTCGCCATGGTACCTAGTGCAAGTGTCAGGAAGATATCAACAGAGAGTAAACGAGCGGGGACTTGACTGACATGCCGGATCCATCGAGTCCATGTTCATTTGAGATGGTTTGCCTGAATACAAGTTAAAAAAAAATGATGATAGTTGGGCCAGGCAAGCTGGAATTACCAAAAGGCGGCACCAACTTGGTTACCCTGCGCAGAATCATTGGGTTCAGTATTTACTCGATCACTTGATACAGCACTAGAGCTAACTCACACACTGGCCGGTTTGAAGATGAACCTGTATTTGTTGCAAGCGGCATCAGAGGTCAGTAAATCCGATGGCATGCGGATCCTCAAGTCAGTACTAGTGGATAAACTCACGATCTCACGCATGTTGACGGGTAAACACAGGTATTCGGATGAATAAGAACGGAATTGCAGGAGGCAATAGTAACTTCAAAAAAGAGAGGATGGAAAAGAGAGGAAAGAGAGGGAAACGCAAAGACTCTGGGGAGAGAGTGGGTGGTGGTCAGGCAGATGGGCAGCCGTGAGATAAAGACTAGGGAATTCTAAGCAATCAGAGTGTTCCGGACGGGTAACGGCTCATGCTTGCATGAGTAGCTAGTCGTAGTTAGTTAACGGTTAAGTAAAGTACGAACTAGGTATGTATTTACATCTCTTTGTGTGCTTTGTGATCGACTGACAGACTAGCAGGGATGATCTGTATGATTCCACATCTTCTTATAGACATGGTTCGGTCTCGACTAGTGATGAAGCCTGCATATGCTATACGCCCATGCAGCCCAGCCTCGTAAGACATAACTGTACCAGGCAACTGTCACTTAAGGCTGCTCTTTAAGGATTTAATTTATTAGATTCACCATGATTCGTATATAGGCTATGCCAATATATCGACATGCCTACCGCTATGCATTGAGGGCGTCAAAAGACGTTCCAGGAAGAGTATTTGACTGATGCTGGGGAATCACCGGTTTCGAATACAATTGAACTATGCTGATCTTGTTCCCGATCTCTTATGATTTATGACCATGGTTCTAGACGCAATGAGTCAAGAGCGTAGACCAAAGAACAGGGAACAGGGATATCGGTATTCTCGTGAACGAATATCACGTTCTTCTCCCCTTCTAAAAGACCAGCGCCTGTACTGGATTACACGATAAAATACCACACGACTTAGACAACTCTTCGCCCTCCGTATCCAGGCATATGTCGGGAGCATTATCAATTTCAGTCTCTGTGGGAAGGGGACTGATCACCATTTCAAGAATCTGACTGAAGGCTATTGTGCTGGGCTATAAGCACCTTCCTCAAGCTGGTGCTTACGGGTCGAGCAATACTCCGTATAAGAAGTACCTTTGCCTCTCGAGTAAATGGAAAATACTGTAAACAGCTTTGGCTTTCCTGCCCACTGTGTGATGGTGCGAACACCTCGATAATAGCGCCCAAATTTACATCCGCTCGGCCTTGTCTCAACTGACAAGAAATCATAATTTCCCATGTACGTTTCAAACGGTGTTGCTCCTTCTTTGGTTGCTATCATTATGAAAATCTTCATCCGATGGGGTCTCGAGTAGTTGACTAGAAGCCGTTGATTCTCGATGAAGTTGGCCCAAAGCCGCCATAGACAACGCCCTGGCAGGATAGTCTGGGTCATAGCCGATTGTCATCTTCGCGTTCGCAATGTGGTCCGGGAGCGGGTCAAGGCCGCTGTAGTCTTTCATGCTGAGGTTTGTAGATACCACGGCGCCCTGGGTGACCCGAAATATTGTTGAGAATTTACTGCTATAAGACCCATCGTTTGAGAAATAAACCAAGATGCCTGCAATGACACTAAGCGCAGTGATGCTGAGGGCGGTGCCGTAGGCGGCCCAGAGAATCGATCGGGTGTAGATGTAGATGCTGCGGTAAGGGGTGATGGTCACATTCGTGTCCGGCACTGCCTTGACTGTGTAGTTGGGCCTATTATAAGTGCTTAGTGCGCTGAGGAGCTTAGCATCCAGACCGAAAATACATACTGGAACATATTGGAGCTCATGAACGAAAACGTGATATTCCGGAAAAGTTCTTCAAGGGCTTTTGATAATGGAGGAGAAGAATCATTTGACGAGCTAACAGACTTCTCGTGCCAGTAATTGAAGAATGAATTGTCAGGCTCCGAGCTTGTGATGGCCTGGATGAATCTCATCTCTTCTGTTTCCATCAATGTGGTTGATATGATATTGGTGGTTGGTTTCTGTGTGTATGATGCGCTCTTGTGTGCACCGGTTTTTTCAATTATTAAGGAGCCAATCTCGGTACTGATTGATCCAAATACAAGACCCCCAAATGCGTCCATTATGGACTGATAAGACAGAGACTCCATGACCTGTGCGTTGCCCACAAACGAAGGATCCGAAGGCGATAGACCCTTCTCGACGTTGCTAACACCAGTAATGTAAACAATACCATTGAGAACTTTTTGGTTTGTCACCTGGACTGTCTGTTCTCCATTGACGTAGGTAAGATTGGCCTGGTATGACGCGTTGTGAAGCATACATTGTAGAATCGTTGAATTCCGGACAGCTTTGTCCATGTTCTCCAGAGCTTCGTCATACTCGTGGTAGTCCACAGCATGCGGAAAGATGGCAACAAACAGAGATAGAGGTGACCCGTCAACGAGAGGCTTTGTTTGAGTCGAAAACACTGCGCTCCCATTCTCTGGGTTCCTGGGCTGGGGGCCAAGCTGATTCGACCGCTGGATGAACGGACCACTCCCATTTTGCTGATAAAAAGGAGCGGAATCTATTGGATTGTCTGAGTCTGGTGCCCGGGAAAGATATTCGTACCTTGTGAAGCGTGCCCCTTTCCCCGGTTCAAGCCTCTGGGATCCGTTGATAGCTTGAATCACATTTTGAGTGATTTGAGTGGTAAGGGCCTGGTTCACTTTGTCACAGACAATAGCAGGACCGTAAAGCTCCACTGACCACGATGAGTTGACAGCTGGGGGCTCTATTGGCAAGATGGCGCCTTGTGTCGCAACACTATTGACCACCCTTTGAGTTTCTGGTGTAGGGCTCCTGTACATACTAAGCCACACATTCTGTCCTGTTGGACCAGTGGTTATGATGGAAGCAAAATTGGCAAAATTTGCGCTTGTAAAATCGACACGAGGGATGCGTTTCAACGCATACTCATTGAAGGAAACCAAATGCACGCTTAAAGTTGCGGGCGATATGATGGATGCCACGGGAAGAAGCCAACAAATTACAGCAAGGGTCATGCTGATCGGAGAACGCCTCCATAGATGTGGATTGACAACTGTGAAGCCATTCTTGAGAACTGAGAGTAGATCGTCGATGATGCCGATTCGAGTTCTTGCGCCTTGAATGGACTTCCAAGCAAATTGATCAAAGGTCGTCGACACCGACACTCCTAAATAACTTTTCACGAGGAAGGCAAAGAGAGTGCCAAGGGAAATATTAACTTGCTGGTCGGATAGATTCAGAGTAGATTTCAATAAAGTGAGTGGTTGAGTATTCAGCACAGGTTTCCCATTCAGACTCTGATAGAAGGTGTCATGACCAACAGCAAAAGCGACAGCAGCCAGAAATGATGCTATCATTAGAATGATAGCAGAGCATTTCAAGTTGAACGGAAACACTGCCATATTGGAATGTGTCGAGCTGTATAGTGCATACTCAAAATGAAGAAGCAAGGCGGGAAAAAGAGGGGAAAGAGAGAAGCAGAAGAAAGAATGGATTTCTCAAAAGGCAGACTGATCTGTTTAGTGAGATTTTCAAGTCTCTGTGTAATTAATGAGTTATGATAGTCGAACATCTAGTATATTGGGCGTATTTAGCCACTGAGCACAGCCTAGTGTGATAAATAAAGCATACAGCTCATGCATCTGACTGCTCTCAATGATAACAAGGCTGAGAGGAGACCAGCACATTCAGAAAGCCAAGAAAAGTCATCTTCAGGAGATAGAAGGCTTTTCGATTCTCGATGATTTCGTTAAAGCCGACGAGATGGAACACCCTTCACCACGAAAATTCATCAACGGTATGCCAGTCTATGCTTCACGGCGGTTCGAATTGCCAAAAAAATTTGGTAGAGCAGTCCTAAGTGATTTCGCTTCAGCCGTGCGAGGAGATGAAAGGAAAAATCATGACGCTCAGCCCAATGTATACAGATCGCCAGAAGTAATGTTGAAAGCTGAATGGAGCTACCTTGTGGATATCTGGAACGTTGGTGTTATGGTGTGTTTTGATCATGTACCCTTGGACTACCATATATCACCCGATGAACCACTAACGCTTGGGATATTCCAGGTATGGGATTTGTTTGAGGGAAGACACATGTTCTACGGCAACGATCCCGATGGGAAAGGATATTCCACCCGCGCGCACCTTGCTGAGGTTATTGGAGTTCTCGGGCCACCTCCTCTAGACATGCTGAAGATGGTATGCTACTTCTCATTTACCAGAGAAAAAGAAAACTTTATCGATGCTTACCAGGTTATTCATCAGAGAAACAGAGAGATACTGTAGAGATCCCAAGGGAAGTTGAATTGGAACGTTGGAACGATCCCTCAAAGGACGAACTCAAGAGATAGATGTTCTTGAACTTCATGAGTGGGATGCTTCAATGGCGACCAGAGGATAGAAAGACGGTGAAAGAGCTGCTGCAGGATCCGTGGCTGAAATAGTTAGCCATTCCAATCAATGAGTCAGTCGTCTGATGGAAGTTATTAATTGTCGCAATTCCGGCAATTATTGATGGTTTCCTGGATATCAATCACGTTCAGACTTGGATTCCTCTCGAGATTGTTGATTTAGGAGGACTTCTTTGAACTGAACCCATCTCCCTATCAGTCCTCCGGATTGGGGTGGATAATATTAATCCTAGATGAGTCGGCTTTTGACGAAAGGTTGTATTCATGTTGGCCGGGCTCTGAAGCTCAATAATCAATAATTTCGCGTTTGATACAGGGTTGAAGTTCATTGTTGACCACGGGGTCCTACTCAAGGCCGTCCATCCCCCCCCTCTCTCTATCTGGGGTTATCTGTTGATTTGAGAATATGTTCTCCATTAATATGTGCTTTCTGTCGTTGTAGCCGCCATACAAAAGTATGCCCTATAGTGAAAAAGCTGCGTGATGGAGTCTGGTTTGACAATCATGCTACTGCCCTCAATGTGGATGAAGCTGACCAGTCTCACCCCAGAACTCCACTAGTCACATTATATTTAATCTTTTCTATCTCTCTTACCTTACTTGTATAACTCATCCTACTATTCTGTACAGCAATTGTACTCCAGGAGGCAAGGTGAGTTCAAAATCCGCATTGACCAGCACCTTATTTCTACATGGACCCCCATATTTAGACTACCCGAGAACGGATCCACAGAGTATCGACAGCAAGCCCTAACTTCCTAAGCCTTAAGCTGATTCTAACCTCTGACTGCGAGTTTCAGATTGATGCGACTACGAGAACTGCGATAGGGCTCGAAGTGGTATCTGCAGAGGATCTCTCAATCGGTATTGCAAATGGAAACCGAACGCTGGAAGATGTCCTGCGTAGTATTGGGCCTTACCTCAACCTAGTGCCGCTGCGCCTGATGGTCACCTCTCGGCATGCGTTTTGGACAGTTGATCTCGGAGACGCGAGCAACGCCATTTGCTGGCCTTTGTCATTCACAGGTTCGCTTCGAGGTTTTTTCAGTCTTCGAAAGCTCGTCCGGATTTCGTGGATTTGGTTCTGAAGTGGTCTTCTTGATGCAAAGCGCACTTGGCTTCGACATGTTCCTGATTCCATTGTTCCTTGCCTTGCCGCTTGTTGGCAGCGTCTGCCTCAGTTCTTGAGACATGCGTGGTGATGCCGTTGTCATCACAAACTATATTGTCGAGCAGAAGGTCACGTATACCACCAGAATAATATACAATCCTCGTCATGGAACGTCTCCATTTACGGCGCGGAACCACTCACTGAAGGATTGTTAGAGAGATCCAGAGAGCTCGAGAAACCAGACCTTCGCCTCTTCAATATCTACGGAGCAGCGGAGTCAACCGTTTACGCCACACAACATGAATTCAACTACAGAGACAAGGGCTACTACCGAGACTTCACGTGCGGGTTAATCCCTACCGAACAAAGCTATGTACGTCCTCGACGAGCAGCTGCGTCTTCTACCCCAGTGGCTGCCCGGTGAGATCGTAACTTGCCCGCGTTAGCGCAGACAATAACCAAAGCCTGGGTGTCCTAGACTCCTAGTAGTAAGTAGCTGCGGTACAGGTACAGGTGACGAGCTTTTATGATTTGTTTATGTGTGGTATGACCCTGCTGGTCGCTTTCTGGATTTAAGTTCCTCAAATCAACGAGTGGAAAGACATCAAACATTGTATCTCGACTTCATATGATAGATCAAATCTATGGCCCATTCTTCTTCAGAACTCCGTTTCTGCTCAACTCGTAGAATCATCTGCATAGTCTCCTTACTGTCGTTGATTATGTGAAGGACCTGCCTCATCATACCTTAACCCTTCACCCCTTACTCTAGTTTCAAAACCCCTCCTCAAGAGCGACCCTGATCCTTCCTAGCTGTCATGAACAGTTCCTCGTTGACAAAACTACACATATTGTCAGACCAGGAGTGCTAGAAACAACGCTACAAATCTACGAGAGACTGGCACATCTAAGTCTCAAACCCAGACGCCAACAATAATTAGCTCAAAGGTCCTGGTGCAATTTCTTCATTGATCTCAATTAATTCCTCTAATGCAAAAGGATGGCAGTAAGCTCGACCCAGCGCGCCCATCAAGTCATCGTCCAATATCCATGATCAGAATTTTCAGTGTATGAATAGTCATATCCAGAGGGTATTAATAGTCTGGATCCACCATTGAATAAATGTTCATCATATCAGGACATTGAGGACAACTTGAGCAAAATCGGACATGAGGGCGTAGACATTTATTTATGCTGACGGATTTGGGGATAATCGTGGTGGGACTGGTAAGACCATCATCAGCGCTGGAGGTAGCAGGCCTTGCATTAAAGGCAAACATCTCCAACTTTCATGGACGATTGGCCGTTTGATCGCGCCTTGGTTGTGGTGTTTCTTGAGAAAGAAAAATTCAAGTTGCAGTTGTGTTTGGGCTGGTCGAGAGAACTCGCTTGTCGCTTATTTAGTCACGTGATCTAAATGACATCATCAGAATTATCTATCTACCTTACTACTACTGATCTCACTCGGCTTATTTGACCTACTTTCAAAGGCGTACATAGTACGTTTTCCTTTGTCAATTGAGATAGACCACTGGAGATAGTAAGATTTGGCTAATTATGACAATAAACTGCAAGGTCTGCAACAGGCAATGGTCACAGCTCTCTGTCGGCCACTGCGAGGCTCTGAATGCTCGCTTTCATTATGTTCGTTGTACGCCCTAGAGGTTTCAATAACACATCTATTACAAACTAGAATACTTGTCAAGTTACCTATAGCTGTCTATCCTACCTCAAACAGCCAGGAGCATATATAATTCACACTTGTCTTTTATCCAGCACATATAAGCACAGGGTGTGGAGATCAGGGCTTCCCATCCGCTCAGCTGTACTTAAGCCACATCTAGTGCGCGGCTAATTCTCAATGCGCCCTGAGCTTTAGAATGGCGTCAGATTTGATCTTAGGGTGAGTGCGGGTGAAATATGTGAGAAGTCTGGAGACTAGGGTGATAGAGGTGAGAGCAGGGTGAGGATTCTCACCCAGATCACTGACTCTCCCACTTTCACGTAAGTCCAGGCTATAAGAGAAGCCCTAGGGCGCCTATCTAGTCTGCTATTATTAATTTACTAATACCTAGCTATTAAATAGAAGATATTTCTGAAGGACTTCTAAAGGAAACTTAACAAAAGAATTCTACGTGCTGCGTTACGTGGTTTTACCCACAAATATCAGAATAAGCAGGAACAAGATAATACAATATACCTTAAGGAACTATGACAGTCCCGAAGAGCTTGGTGACTCCCAATATCCTCCTTCCGGCGGTCCTTCCTTTTCCTTCTGCTTCCAACATAACATCGCACCTGCTGCGTATACCTTCTTCACAGTCACCTCGATAATGAAAGCTCTTGCCTTCACAGTGTATTATTCCGGTGATTTGGTAGTGAAATGTTTCTTCCCATCTTCTCCTCTCCTCTTCTTCTTTTTCTCCTCGCGCAAGAGTAAGTGCATTCCCACTGTCCCACTGCCAAACATGACTACCTCGCTGATTATTGCTTGCATCTCTCTCGGAGTGTCGACAGCATACCTGCTGTTCCCTGTTAAGGAATGGATGCAACACTGGTTTCCATGGCTGTCGCCGCAGCATGGCCAGGATGAAGTGCGCCATCCAACCATTACTGTTGAGGAGGTGCAATCCGTGTTGAATGATCATGCCTCTCCCATACGGGCGTTGCTTGAGAATTTCGTCACGGATGTTCAGCGGAACCAACCGAGTGAGCAGACCAGGCCTTTGGCGCAGCCCGGGACGGTTCATACCACCGGGTCATCTGGCTCTGCGGCTCTGTAAGTTCTGCTGATCCCAACGATGACGCAGTTTTGGTGCAGGGCATGAAGGCCAAATGATCCATTGTCACACTTCATGAGTTTCTCGGGAACACAACATCATTTGGTTGGATTGGATACTTCGAGACCCCGCCCCTATGCCTGAGAACCAGTTTGCAGGGGAAAGGTGTAGGAGCTCCCCCATTCTTCAAGGCGGCTGACCTTAATGAGTGAGGCGGCGGGGCCACCAGCAATGGGCTTACACTTCTTCGCAGTGCCGGTGACTAGTAACCTTTGGGTGAAGCCAAGACAAGCCCACACGTAAGTAGTCTATCACCATGATATGTCTTTTTGAGGGAAATGGGGCGCCTAGCATATTTCAATTCATTAGTATTTCTTCCTGATCCTTGTTCCTAAAGACCCAACTGTGTTAAAGAGTAATGAATGCTCATGCTTTAACAGTGAGGTGCACAAGGACGCGAGCAATGTACATAGACTCCGAGGAAGCTTCTGAACCTAAAGGGTACAGCTGACCTGTGATAGCCTCTCCTGAGCACTGGCAACGTGATTGATGGCTTATTTACCAAGCAGAATCACCCATATAACTCCCGGATGGCTCCCGTTGCCTTGAAGGATGAGCTCGTCTTAGATACCTCAACGACGTTGAAGATCATTCAGAGATGGACTGCTTGCATTTAACCTCCAGGTTTCATTCCTCGGGCTAATAAACAGGAAGTCGCAATTAATACCATTCCGTCTTGCTTCTAAACCAAATCTCATTATTTCGCAGCCATCTACTTCATGAAGCTGGAAACCTGCTGCCAGTAAGCTCCCTACAACATTTCCATTTCACCTATACGCCCCAAGCCCAGTTCAACAATCCTAGCATCTGGCTTGTACTTCTATCAACCGCCAGATCTTCCCATACCCCATCTAATGGCACACGAAACCCAGCATTAGCCAAGAAATAAACAGCCACTCAGGAAGTCATTTTTCTTGTGAAGGACAGATAGCTACCGCGAAGCAGAAGCAATTCTAGGCCACATACTTCCAGACATGCCACACTGGCTTAATGCCATAGTCCTAGCCTTCTGTCTCGCTTTCTTTGGCCCTAACATCTAGTGGCAAGAACCAAGTGTCATCATCAGACGTAAATCATCCAGCAGGGAGTTCCCAAGGCCGAGGGGGTTAAGGGGCAAGGTTGATCAAGAGATGGAGCTCAGCATCAAGTATCCATCAAGGTGTCAAGGGTTAGCTTAAAATACAGTATCAGAAGCAAGACTTTTCGTTACCTAGACTTTCCGCGCCGCTAGCTCGTACAATGATCCTCTCAACTCTATTCATTCTACAGCCTGGGCATCAAATAAGTTACGTGAGGATACCACATAGAAGATTCAATTCGTAGCGCAGTGTCTCAAGACTTGATGCAATGCTGGATCTAAGAGGCAACCCTAGGGATATTCGTAAGGTCAACGCCGTACAGACTGGTACGTGAGACGCAGGCAAACTCATGAATCTCAGATTGCATTCGGAGAAAGTGGCTTACTCTTACTCTTTATGCTCTTTTGTCAAGAATCAGCGCCGTTTTGCAATATGGAACTTCATGGTCAGTCTTGCAATTGTCTCGGCAATGACCGTAGTCTCAACGCAGGGTAGAATACATGTAGGAGAATATGCAGGTGAATCTACTATCTAGCCAAGGGCTCACGGGTTGCGAGCAGAAATCTCACGCCATATTCGACCCATCCTGACGTACCAGCGAGCCTCGGAGATTGATTAGTGGGAGAAACGAAGATACCCCCCCACCGCTTTGAGCGAAAAGCCATGTTCTCAACAGCCCTCATCTGATATTGATTGAAGGCTTGGTGATCATGGTGCGAGTATTCAATTAGGCCCGCAGAAGTGACTACGCTATGTGCAGGAACTGGAACATACACAAGCAACCCTCGATAGAACGAGGTCCAAAAATGAACGATCACGAAGAGGAAGCAGAATCGACAGATCGTAACGCATACTACAAATCACACAAGTTTCCTCGTAGGGCGACAGGTTCAACGATGGTCTTTTTTCCTGAACCAAACGGCGAGTGATCCTCCCGCCGGCCGTGCCAAATATCCGACCCGTTTCTCAAATCTTGTGATGGAGACCTAAAAAGAACTTAGTAGACAATCTTGACTGCAAATCGAGACTCGCAGGATCATACTTCTTGTGTTCAGGATTATAACTGCGATCATACCAAAAAAAGTCATATGGCAGATCGGCCCACCCTAGAGTCCGATTCACATAGAAAGTCACTAAACCAGCGTCTTTTAGCAATTTTGGTTCTCTCGAAACATGAGCATGGCATATGCGGCAGTTTGTAAAGTCTCCAGTCGTCTGAGTCAGAGGTATCAGATTTAGGTGAGGACATGCGAAGACAGGCCCAGCTGCGACGAAAGAATCACCAGAGGATACTCGCAGAGAATACCAAACATCCAAAGACAAAAAGCCCATATTACAGATGTAAGTGTCCGTGTAAATTCGCACTTCTCGATCTGCGTTTGAGTAGAATGGACAGGGATGGCCTTCAAATCGCCACCCATCACGTTCAAACCCAAAACAGCCATATCGGACCCCCAGAGGCGTGACTGGGGACCGGAGAAGATTCCTCACATTTTCTCGATCTCGACGAGTGAAATGAAAACATGGGCATAATTTTATCACGCCATTGTAGTGCGTGCAACGCCTCTCCAGGTTCGGTGCCTTGAGTGCGTCTGGCGTAAACATCTTTCGTGGTTTGAGCAATAAACATTCAGCGCAATATGCCCACCGGGAATTCTCAAGTCGAACAAGGAGTTGAACTCGTAGCTTCTCTTGACTGTTTACGTATGAAAGAGGAAGATGATGGTCTGTGGGCTGTGGAGGAAGCATTGAGCTGTCTTTGGCGAACACCTTATATCGGGAAAAGAGCTTTTTGCTGCTGAGAGCCAAACAGACTTGATCGACCAGGGGAAGATACTGATAGATCCGGGTCAAGAGGCTATCATCCAAGGAGTGGATTGTTATGCACTCACTCCCCGTAATGCGACGAAGGAGAAGGCCGATGAAGGCTATGTTGTTGCAGATTTTCCAAACACTGCGCTGTTCTCTCCGAACATGTCTCTTCATTTTGGCTTTGGAACTCGCGCCATTACGTTCCCCGCCGACTTTCAGGCTTGTCACTGACGTATACTTCTCCTTTTGGCCGTCAAGGGAACGGTTGGAAGGACGAGTCAGTCCACTGAGCAATGCTCGGTATTGCAGCATTTTTGGGATTCGAGTATGCGAGTGTGGGTTGGTCGGGAGTCTTGATTTGTAGCTTGGAATGGGGGGATTTGTTGGCAAAGCGGGCACACAGTGGTAGATCTACTCGAGAGGTCCAATTTGTCTATGATGTAAAAGCGTCTCATACTTGACTTCGACCTGTTTAGAATAGCTATGATTTCAACTTTACAGTATACCCCCCGTGGAGGAGACCAACGGTTCCTCTAAAAGAAACTCCAGGGATCCGTGGATGCCGTGACGCTGTCCCCGGCTAACGAAGTATATGGCCTCGCATCGCTCGTACCCTCGAAACAACGTCTGGAAATGCTCAGCGTCGTCATCGGGTAAAGGCGCGAGGATCCGGGCCGAGACTCCTGTCCATCTCAACTGCGGGAAAGGAACCACGTATGGGCTGTGGAAAGAAGCCTCCCGCGAAGCGCTGGCATAAAGCAGGTCCCAGGGTCTGCTGTGCCTGCTTTCCTGGGGATGATCGGCTTGGTGAGAATCTATTTCCTTCATGGAGCTGGAGAGATTCGTCATATGCTCGTGATGGGCGAGGGGTGGCCAGAAAGTACAGCGTCGATGGAGCTAACGTCTGGGCTCCGCTAGGAAATCCGCAGATCAAACAAAGAAATCAAAGCCTTAGGAATCAGTCATGAAGATCTGCGGTGTGATAATGTGCTTTAGAATGAAGAACTTGGCTGGACATTGATCATCAACTTTCACCGCACCATATTGAAATATCAACTGACTTTGCAGCGATCACAAGCAGTTAAATGACAACTATATCAACCAGAGACAGAAGATCCAAAACATCTTCATGTGACGTGAGGCAGTGTGCTTAATTTATTAGATTAGAACTTCAATTATACATGATAATGAATCCTTTCCGGCCCATATCCGCATAAATTAACTAGGAGTTCGACCTATTATCAATCCTTGATGCCTGCTTTGCTACAAAAACTATATTACCTTAAGAGATATATGCTTCTATATACATTGACAATGATGAACTGGTCATCTAATTCTCTCGGACTTGACTTTTGTGTGATGTAATGATTCATATGAAAGAATTGATTTAACTATAAAGCGTTAGGAACAATATAATGGATTATTGTACTCTGTATACTAACCAAAATATAAGGGCCGGACCGCTCGGTAGCCTAAGGTTGAGGAATGAGACTACCAACAAGACTTTCCTAGGTATACTACTAGATATATATTCTATCAACTGGCCTCTCTGCCAAATGCCTTTAAAAAATTTCTTATTTAGTTTAGCAGCTAACTCCAAGTATTTGTACTTCACATATTTAACATCCGCCTTAGCGAGAGTATATGCGATAGCGGCGATACCTTTAATCTAGGTTATACTTAGTGTGTATAGATGCCAAGAGACCAAAGTGAACCAATAAATTTGTATAAGAGCTCCGCTGAGAAGGTCCGTGCGGTAGTCGCGCAAGCTGGGGTGATTCTCACCAAGTTTCTACTTTCTCACCCTGTCTATAACGATTCTATTCTGCACTCACCCTGCACACCCTAAACTCACCCGGGCGACACCCACCCAACTATTGGCAGCACATAAGCCACACGACACACGCTGGCTAGTTAGTAAATGGCTAGGTGACCACCAGCGAATCCTAGCTGTTGTATAATTTTTACTCTTTTCTTTTTTGTTGTGCCGATTGTCTTGCGATTTTGATGTGCAGTGGCAGTTCTATATTAGGGAGCGTGCTAGGGTAGTGAGCTTAGAAGAATAGGTGAGCAAGCTAGGTAGGTAGGCCTAGTAGGCAAGCCGGCGCGGTGGTAGATCTAGGTGAGCGAGCATTCTAGGTTAGGGAGCTGGCGGCTAAGGGAACATTATGTTTGAGGATGAGGCTCCATGATAGTGGGTTGGCAGTCAACGCCATCCCTTGGTGTAGCATTCTGAGGGTTGAAGATCACATATAAATAATAATGTTGTATGTTTGTATGTACACAAGATGCAAATCATGCAAGGACGCCCTGGATGAAAAGCGAAAGGATTCTAGGGACAGACCGCTTCAAAGACAAGAACTTTATGATAAACGCCCCCGTGTATCGGTAACCTGGCAAGCAATTATATGTAGCAAGTTACAGCCTCCTGCTTGGGGCCTGGCATCAGCAATGGAGCACAGCCAACCCCCCACAAAAATGTGTGCAGTAAGACATCCGCCAAAGATAGTTAAACAGGAGAAAGATGAAGTGCAGAAGCGACAGGTCTAGGCTGTACCAAGCCGCTGCTTCTTTACTCATCCTGCAGCAAGATCGCCTTTTCAAGGGCCGCTGCGTCTGCTTCTGCTATACGTAGCTTTGTGTCTCCTTCATGCTGCATGTGACCGATAAGCTTTCTGAGGTACTCGTAGGTAAGCATGGTGGTCATGGCAGCTGGAACAGCACGAAATAGGTTCACGCCGATTCCGGAATAAAACGCACGCCAACCCTCCTCTCTTAAGATGGTTTGAAATGTGCGAATGACACCCGTATACCGAGGTCGGTTGGGCATGCCGTCCGACGAAGCCGCACCCGGAGGCCTACCACAATCTTGAGGGCGATCTAACCCTCCACGAAATGAGATTTCTTCAGGAGATGGTGCGGGGGATGTTCGCTGTTGTGTTTGAAGTCTTGTTCGCAAAACTTCGTGTGGATATGTGATTGTACTGGCACAGACTTTGCTGAGGAAAGTGGCACAGGATATGCCTATCCAGTGAGAGCCGCCGTTATCAGGGTGCTCCCCAATGCCGTATCCGGTAAATGCCATCTTTAGATATTCGTAAAGTGGGAATTGTATTGCGACGTGCGTCAATCCGAGAAGCGCTGGTGTGAGTCCCGAATAAAACGACCTGAGTCCCTCGGTCCTGTACATTTTTCGGGCCGCATCCCAGGTACTGGAGTACTGCCATGGAGCCGTGTATCCTTCGCTGTTGGATTTGAGACTTTGTGACATGAGCCGTGTTTTGATGACCCAAATGGGATTGGTGACAATAGTAGAGCAAGCGCCGGCCGTTATGGAAGCATAACCTCGAGATAGCCACCAGCTATCTGGTTCACAAAGAATAAGTCAGTAGGTGAATTAGATGTGCGCAACCATAGACGATGAACACGAACCGGTAGTTTCGTAAAAATACTCTCGTGACCGATCATAAACAGCCAAATAGACGGCCCAGGTAGGTAGGTAACCCAAGAGCATTGGACCCAATCCCTGGTACAAACCTCGAATCCCATCTTGACGCCATATAATACGCCCAGTGCCCAGCATGCCTCGATATAACGCCTTTGCCTCCACATCCTGGCCCCTTCGTCGTAGGAATCCCCCTTGCGCTTGCAGCTTCGTTTTAATCACATCAAGGGGGCATGTCACGATCCCGGACGCCACACCCGCGCTGGCGCCGCAAACTGGAGCAATGTAGTAGTCTGGTACTTTCGTGGACCATTTTTGAAGACGGGTGAGGAACTCGGAGTCGGGTGAAGCTGCGGGAGATATGTGGAGGCTGGACGATACAGCGGCGTTCGGGTGTGAGGCCTGCTGGTCTTGCGAGCTACTGGCGGCTCCAGAATTTCCGTGACCGTCGGAGAACATCGCTCTGACCAACTATCCAAACAGTTTTATCTGTTCGTCTTTGCAATCACCAAGGGTTTCCGGAACCGAGCACGTCGGTGCTCGCTCCGGAACCCAGCAAACCCTGATCGTAGCAAGTCGGTCTGCGAAAAATAACTTCTTCGTCGATGCAGTAGTTGCGGAGGCGACACGGCTCGATGCAGGATATTGGAAATTGGGAATTTGAATGATCGCGATTGAGCCGATCTTGACGAGCTATTCTGATATGCTTGTGACGTTGCCCTATCCGAAGTACAGAGAAAGGCGGGGGTCTGTAGTAGTAGTGACACGGCTTTCCTAGAGGAGCAAATATAGTTCAAGAGTTGATGGGCGGCATGAACGGGTCGGCAAATAATGCAGAGGAAGGTATATGGAGGGAGATTAAGAATCAATCAATTAAGAGATCGGAGTTGAAGGCGAGAACCGGACAAGACGGATGATTGTGGACAAGATCAATCCGAGTGCTTCTTTCGTTGGTCAGGTGGAGGGACTAGCCTACTACGGAGTACGGAGGCCTCTCTACTTCCTGATTACTGAATCCATTCCGGTCTCAAGCGCAAGTCCCGCGGCCTGAGGCACTACTCTCACGTGACAGCGTTCGGAACCATCAAACTAATATTTGTGCCTCAGGCATCAAAATCGGATGTTTTTGGGAAAGTCATCCCGGCCGGACCTCCGTTTTGCACAATCTCCAACGTCGGGTCACTCTTTTGCAGCTCGATTGACCTCCCGCGCCTCCCCCTTCCACACCACGACGTCAATTGGATTCCCATTCGAATTTATTTGGGATCAGTCACCATGTCCGCTCCTTCTCTCACCAGCTACATCGTCAAGCGCCCATGGCTCAAGCGCTGGATGACACCACTTGCTCAGTGGTACACCGATGCCGCGGGCTACAGGAGACTCGGATTGAGGTAGCCACCCACCACCCCTCACCTTCAACCCTCCAGGATGAGCACCAGATGAGCTAGGTGTACGGCAGCGGCGCATTTGGATTGATTGTCATTGTCGTTCAATGTCGAGCTTTGCCTGCTCTCTGATCGCTTATTCGCTGGACATGTTGCCGCCAAACCGCCTACGGATTGCAGACCGGCTAACTGTTCATTAGATTCGATGACCTGATTCCCGAGGAGAGCGATGTCGTCCAGACTGCCCTCAAGCGTCTTCCTCCCAAGGAGGCCTACGACCGCGTCTTCCGTATCCGCAGAGCTTTCCAGGTACGACTCTTTCCGGGTCGCCTTCAATAGTCAACCTCTAATTTGTTATGTGAAAACAGTGCTCCGTTTCCCACACACTTCTCCCCGCTCACGAGCAGACTAAGCCCGAGGAGGTGAGTTCAATTTGCGCTGCTATACTGCCTTGAATCTCGTCTATTCCCCGCATAATCTGTTGGCCAATCCGGTGGCGCGGATTTGTCAACCGATTGATACTATATCAATGGCTCTTTTTATGACTGGGAATGGACTGGGGGAGTTGTTGATATGCAAATACAACATCATGGGTGCTAATTTTTATCGCTAGGACGTCGAATACCTGAGCCCCATCATCCGCGAGATTGAGAAGGAGCAGAAGGAGCGTGTGGATCTCGACTCCCTCGTTGTCAGACGGTAGATGGCCTGAACCCTCGTCATAATGAGCATAGAGGATACGAGATCGTGTCGCTAGGGCAATAGACGGACGGAAAACCACGAGGAAGGGGTTGTACGATTTAGCGGCTGTGCTTTACGAGCCTGCGGCTGAATGTTGTTTGGCACTTCGGATTTATCGCAAGTCATGTGTACTGTTACTGTACAAATTCATTCGTCATTTTCCTGATAGCACTTTCTGGAAGATTTTATGTCGCTGCCACGCTCATGCTGGCTCGCCTGCGCGGTTAAGGTCGAGTTCTTTGATAGAACTTGAGTACAAGACCGGAGTCGCTGGGAATCTATATTCTCCGCTCACTTGTTCCGAGCAGTCAGTATCTAATCACGAATCGTACAATATAAGCTAGCTATACGATATATACTAGATGCCATCGAGGGCACTCTTAGGCATCCATCACGGTGACATCGACATCTTCTATCCGCCACATGTACCACATAAACAGGCTCCTATACGAAGTGTGAGACGGTCACTAAAATGAACAGCTATGCATGAAACTCACCTATACGGTGTGAACTTCGCAGCCAAATCCAACATATCTTTCTCCGACATGTACTTGAACTTCCCACCACCCTTGGCCTTGAGCTTGCTCACATCCTTACCGATAAGCGCCGCGCAGCCTCTCCTATTCGATTGTCAACGCCAGATTCCGCACGGGTAATCGCACCGCCGGTGCAAAAACAGACAGCGAGAAAGAACCTACTGGACTCCCAGATCCCCCGTAGAAAAGACATCCGTCCGCTTCAGCGCAAAGCAAGCGAACATTTCCACGGACCATTTGCCCAGCCCGCGCACGGCAGTCAACTTCTCCACCAGCTCTTCGTCGCTCGCATTGAGCAGCATCCGCGCGCTCAACTCGCCCGCCGCAAACTTCTGCGACAGGCCGTGGATGTACTCCGCTTTCCGCTGCGAGAGACCCGCGGTCCGCAGCGTGACGAGATCACACTGCACGATGTCCTCGGGGGTGGGGAACCGGGCCTGGAATGCGCCATCTGGCGCACTTCCGCCCGGCGCTTTGTTAAACAGCGCTAAGAATTTGTTCTTGATGGATCGCGCCGCGGCGCCTGACACTTGTTGCCCGATGATGCTGCTGACGAGCGCCTCGAACGGATCGATTTCCTCGGCCAAGCCCTCGGGTGAGAAAAGATGGCAGTGGTGCTGCTGGATGACCGGCTCCAGGCGTGGATCGGCGGCTATCAGGTGCGCGAGCGCCTTCTCGAGAAGCGTGCCGGTCGTGGCGGTTGGGCGTGGTCGGCCCGTCTTCGAGGGCGAGAGGTCCTCTGTGCCTGGTGGGTAGGCGACGAGGGAGGAGCCATGGGGTGTTAGGAGGGTTGCGTTTGTCCTGTGGAATTCGACGGGGCGGTCGAGAGGGGGAGGCGTGGCTTGTAGTCTGGGAGGACGGGGGTTGAGGATGTTCTCGGGGTCTGGGATTGTGGTTTCAGTATCTTGGGGAACCTCGTCGAGAGGGAGTTGCTCGAGATCGGGTTTGGGGTTCTTCTTTTTTGGTCTTGCGGCTGGCTTCTTTACTTTGGTTATCCCATTCTTGGGCTGAGATCTAGCGGTCTTTGTTGGTGTGGAGGAAGGTTGTAGCGGTGGTAGCACCTTGTTGTTGAGGAGCGCAGCACTGAGGCGGGCCGAGCGCCGTAGCGACATCATGAAGACAAGCTGATAAGCAGATCAGACGGCTCTGAAGGCTGGTGCTGTTTCTTCCCCAGACTTTCCCCTTTCTTGGTGATTGATGACATTCATGATCTTACGTTGGCATCTATGAGATCTCTTTCGTCTTCGGGTTGATTAAGTCATCAGACCGGGACTTGAGACTTAAGAGCGAGACTCGTATCGTTTTGATGACCTCGTATTCACGTACTTATATTAGTGCCAAGCAAGCAAGTTGTTGTTGCAATAGTTTCCTGAGTAGGCTGTAGTTTATCTTTCTTGATACGCAGATGTTGACCATTGAACAAGAATGGTAGAATAGTACTCGCTTGGAGAACCATGGGCCTGCAGATACTGGATCATGGCTGATCTATCAATGCTCACCAACAATAAGCTGTCGACGTTGTAGTACGGAGTGCTCAAGATCCACACAATTAAATAAACCAGGTGCACTCATGTTCTCTGAGCCTGTCAAATATAAACATTCGCTCAAGACTGAACACCGGGGTTATCTCTCATCTCGAGTGCTTTACCCCAACTTACCAACCATGACATTGAAGTAGACCTACTCTATGCTTCATTATTCATACCCCTGATAGCCCACCATTTGGCCGATCGTACGATGTATGATCGACTCCTGCAGAGGGCAGCGCTTACTGGTGGAATTCGAAATAAGTACGGAGTGTCTCCTCCCCTTTATGGCCGAGGAGAGGAGGAAATATGATACAAGCTTTTCTACGGACCAAACAGTGGCGCTCACTGGCTATAAAAGATAGATCTTCTTGGTGTGACGACGGTACGACCAGCCTATATTCAAACCAATACCCCTGGGTGGACATGTAGTACAGGGAGCGTAGCTTGCGTCATCAACACCGTGCGCTTGGCGGGTTCTCTGGACTAGATAGATATAGATTGAAAAGACGATGATTGCAGGGACGGGGCAAGCCCGAGGAACAGAGCGGGAGAATATAAAATTGCGACTCACTATCACAACTATCGCGAAGAGAACAGAAAAAAAAATTTAAATTAAAATAAAATAAAAATAAAAATTGCTTATCTGGATCATGATTATCTCAATATTTGCCTATGGAATAATAAGTCACTGATCAATATGGGAGCAATCTCAAACGTCAAAGTGACAAGATGACGGGGCTGGTTTGTGGGAGGATGATTGGCTCTGCGGATTGTGCATGAATCAACAATCAAGCATTCGCAATGCAATTCCACCCAAGTCAAGTTGGTACAGACTAACTCCTGAATCTATTGACTCAAGAGGCGACTGGCATCCCTTGAATACTTGATGTATCTTGCTTGTTGCACCTTAGTACATTGATGTTCCCAGATCATGACATTCTTCTGGCCCCTCATTCCAGGTCAAGGATTTTTTTTTCTCTCTCGCTTTTGGGTCTCAGACAGTCACAAAGGATTGAATGCAGAATGAGACATGCACTATTTGTACTTGGCCTTATCATACATATTACATCCAGCCACCCGTGCTATGTGGCGTTCTGGGGAACGTGCCTAACAGTAAGTAGGTATGATGTACTGTGTATCGATGGGAGGATTCTTGCTTGTACGGAATACAAGAGGGTACAGGTACTGGTTTGAGAACTTCGCTTATGGGCGGCAACAACAAGTATTTAGATATCTCCAAGATGTTGATGTTGCCATCAGCATCCGGTTTATTGTGATATGCAAGATGCTTGTCGCTACAGATGCCAGTGGAGTCTCGAAATCCCAGAGTTCGAGTGATTGATGGGCCACGGTGGAGTGTACAACGATCATCGATGTATCCCATAGAACTCTAAACCGTCGCAGCTCGCAAGAACAAGAACATCGGCAGTCCATGAACTATCTAAGGTAGACTATCTGGTAGATAGTTCGAGATTCATCGACAAAAAAGACGCAAGCTGTCGCGCCAACGGACCTGATAATGAGTAAATCATCCCTTATAATTGGTTTGTCTCCTTGCTCCGGAGATCAAGGGTTCCACGACATTGACTCTGTTGTCACCTGTGCAGGCTGTGTGTTTATTATTTTACTCTTGCTTCATTCCAAGGCGGTATTTGTGCATCAGTCAACAGTAACAGGGTAGTCTACTATGAAGTGTGAACCACGAGTCCACGACAGGATTGTTTCTGCAGACAGAATAATCTAAGTAGATTCCATCTCGATTCTCTTGGTCCTGAGGGCTGAGATAGACAATCTAACTGACTAGGATTAGATATTATAACTAACCATGTCGAAATTAAATTCTCTGTTGTGTATGTATTTTTAGCTACCCACCAAGAGTGTTTCATGGTTCTGCTAATCGTTCAAAGTGGGTCGGTCTATCGGTCTTGGTGTTGAAATTCAATTTCGGTAACAGCAAAACCACCAGCTCAGCAAAGCAACATGGATTTGTACTGTTGTACAAATAGTCTAGATAGACGTCCACAACAAGTCCGAGATCGATGAGGTAGATAGCAGAAAGCTTCAGAATGCAGCTGTGAAGAATGAGGATTCCCTGGTCTCTGCATACTCAGTCGAGACATACCCAGGTCCTGAAGTCTCAGCAGCAAACGGAATAAGCAATATTCGGGCCGCAGATTTGCCACTTGATCACCGAGGTATTAATCTCTATCGGGGGGCGTCCGACTCGTCTAGTCGAATAGCAGGCCTACTTTTTAGGGTGCCTACTGCCTTGTGCCTGACCCAGTGGCATAACGATGATGAAAACTCATTCTATCTTGGCGAGATGATCGCGGCTGGGAAGTGAAAGTACCCCTGTAGATGACAAGATGCGATACGTGATGCTCGACTTGATAACCTCATCTCTCATCCGTTGTAGAGATAATCAGTACCAAATACCCAGCAGGCTGCTCACATAGCACGAAGCGGCGTGGGTTGACATGTACAGACGCCTGTACAGTTCTCCCTGGTCGCCTACATTCCTCAATTCAAGTAAACACTTACATTCCTGGTTGATCAGCTATTAAATTGCGAGTTTGCTACTCCGTACAGAGTAGAATGATGAACAATCGTGGCAGAGAGCGGGACCCGTCGATTCCAAAAAAAAAAAATTAAAATAAAAATAATAATAATAATAATAATAATAATATATAAATAAATAAAATAATAAATTCGGATTGTCTCATAATAATACCTTACCATTGATGTTCACGGATCTCTCTGGTTGAGACTTGTGTGTTTTTTTTTACCTTCTCTTGAGATCTGTGTATGGATGGATGTATGTATATATCAGGTTCTGAAACAATAACATTCCGAATGCCTTACACCACAGAGTTGTCATGGCATGGACAACCATGGCAGTGATTACTTAAAATAAATCCGAGTATATCGGTGCTTTTATAGCAGAGGGATTGGGAAGCTTGTTCTCCAATGATTGATATTGAATGTGGCTGTTTGTTGATGACGATGTTGCAGCTGAAATTCGAGATGGAAAGTCTGGCCACGCGCAGCAATTTATGGATCCAAGAGATTGCGGATTCGACGTATTGTTACGGTGTAATTGATACAGCCCCCGAGAGTCTTAATGGAGTTGGTTTCATCATCCATGGACGATGCTGACCGTTGGATGATGACCGAGATTTAGATTTTTTTTCCTGCCTTCTTATCTATTTCAGCAGATAGACAGAGGATGGTGATTATGATCGAGTGCTACTATAGTAAGTCAACCTAGCTGTCGCGAACGGTTTGTACCAAAAACCAGGAACATCCATACAGACCATGGATACAATGAAATCTCCCTGAGGTACCTACGGTACGGAGAAGCAGTGGAAGTTTACGTATTGTGGGTAGGTAGGTTTGCGACCAAGGCGATTTGATGAACCGCCCAGATAAACAATGCGCTGAATGGCCACAAATGACGGGTCCAAATGGGGACCGCTGGACGAATCACAGCCATGAAAGCAGCACTATTATTGGGGGAGTGTTACAGATTGGAGCAAACTAGGAGCAATGGGCTCATTTCCGAGCTTGAGAATCAGGATTCCAAACAGTGCTAGTCTGGCCTGTGATGCAGATTATGCTGTGTATTGTGCTTGTTGGTTACCATAGTGAAAATAGTTTTTACCAATTATTACCATACAAGAATGGAATACCTACACTACCTACTCCGTACTATGTACAACCTAGGTATGGACTATGGAGTAGCTACAGAGTAGGTAGGTAGTTGGCCAGGTACTAGGCAGGTACCTACAGAGTATGTCCTATATCTATTATTTATTAGTAGGTACCTAGGTACAACAGGTCCACAGTCCAGAGTCCAAGCCCACATCCATATCCATATCCATATCCACAATAATACCTGGGCAGGTAATCAACTGGAAAATAAGTTACTTACCAGTACCACTACCAACGCTGGGGCCACGCCTCCTTTCTTGTCCTCCCTGAAAGCAAAGCACTTTTCCTTCCCACTTTTCTTGATCCCGATTATCCATTATTATCATCCCAAAACCATCCAGTCCTTCTTTTTTTTCTTCTCTTTCCCTCTCTTTCCTTCCTTTTTCCCTTCATTCTTCTAGTCACGCAACGTGCCTGCTGATTTAGCCGACTTTCATTGAAGGAAATCGCCCGCTTACAGCCTTCTCCTTCGTTTCCCAACTCCATCCCCTTCTCTTCACTCGTTCAACCTATTTTTGTCTTTGGCCAACTCTCCAACTACACTGCCATACACTCGTATCGACCTCTTTAAGGGCCCCAATATCGCCCAATCTACATCTCTAATCCATTGATCATTGGTAAGTCACATCATATCACCTCCATCCCATCCCCCCCATCATATGTCTCCATTGGATGTTCTTCACCTGGCCCAAGAAGAAACTCTCTCGCCGGTCCAAACAACTCGACGTTTTGCTAATCCTTTGGCCCGGATTCTAGTATACTTCACATCTAGCAATGGCTTTCCTCAAGTACGCCGTTCCCGTCCTGGCTGCGGCCCAGGCTGTCATGGCTGCCAGTGAGTGAACTTTCAATTTATTGGGGAAGCAGGAATAAAGTAGGATGAGTCAAACGAGGCCGGAAATTGATAGTTTTGAAAACAGAGTGTGGTGATGGTGATACCATCAAGATCGCCAGCCAGGGCGATGCCGACGGCTACGCCACTTGCAAGACCATCAAGGGCGACGTCGAGATCGACGAGCACCTGTCTGGTAGTGTCATCTTCAGCGGCGTCGAGCAGATCACTGGTACCTTTAGCTGTGCTGGCGGTGCCAACATCTCCTCCATCTCCGCTCCTGAGCTGAACTCCATCTCCGACACTTTCAAGCTCAACGGTCTCACCACCTTGACCACCCTCAGCTTCCCCTCGCTCACCCGTGTCGGATCGATCCAATGGACCGCTCTGCCCCAGCTGAACTCCCTCGACTTCAACAAGGGTGTCAGCGATGCTGGCGATGTTGCGATCACCAACACCGGTCTGACCAGCCTAGACGGTATCTCCCTGAACACCGTCGGTCAGTTCGACATCACCGAGAACCTTCAGCTGAAGACCGTCAACGTCAACGAGCTGAAGAACGCCACTGGCCTGATCAACTTCGCCGGTAACCTGAACTCGCTTGAGGTTGATTTGCCCAACCTTTCCAGCGGTACCAACATGACCTTCCGCAACGTCAGCGCTGTCTCCGTCCCCTCTCTGCACAACCTCACCGGTCAGCTCGGCTTCTGGGGCAACTCTTTCCAGTCTTTCAGCGCTCCCAACCTGACCGAGACCGGCGATCTGATCTTCAACGACAACGGCAAGCTCAACAACATCAGCATGCCTTCCCTCGAGACTGTCAACGGTGGTTTCCAGATCGCTCGCAACGACAAGCTCAACACCATCGAACTTCCTTCTCTCTCTGTTGTTGCTGGTGCCATTGACTTCAGCGGCAAGTTCGACGAGTAAGTGGCCTCAATCTTTTCTCCTCGCAATGTTTCACGCCGCTAACATATGAACAGGGTGAGCATCACCAAGCTCGAGAACGTCAAGGGCAACTTCAACATGCAGAGCACCGGCAACTTCAGCTGCGACAGCTTCGACCAGGCCAAGAAGGACAAGGTTATCCGTGGTAGCTACAAGTGCCATGCCAACGAACCCAACCCCACCACTAAGGATGGATCTTCTGGCACCGTCACTGGCAGCAGCAGCTCTGCTTCTGCCTCCAAGACCAGCGCCGCCGACCTGACCGCTGCCAACCTCCCCGCTCTCGGATTCGCCGCTGTCTTCGGTGCTCTGGTGCAGATTGTTTTGTAAAAGGACGGCTGAAGAAATTGTGCTCTTGTTCTCTGTTTTGAAAATTCCCCTTGAGGGCTTTGTAGAGTTGTCTAATAAGCCATGCTGTTCTTGATTGCCTTGCTTTACCTGTTTTTATGATACTAATTGAGCTTGTTCGAGATGTTACCTCTGTGTCTGGGATCGATATGAACATTTTATCAAATTAGATCAGTCCGTGCGTAGTATCTTCTGTTGGCCAGAACCAAATGAGACCCTGATAACCCGATGACGCAAACTGATCTTTTCTGCGACGGAGATACGCATGAGCGTGTTGATCGGAAAAGACGCCAGCATTAATGGTTTAGCGAACAATGAATGAGGACGGAAGATTCGAAGATAAGGTCGAGAAAGGTACGCTTATGTTGGAACCGTTCCACTTTTGACGATTGGTGACGCCACGCTAAAAGAAAACGAGAAAGAAGCTAGGAAGAGACAAGATGGACATGGACATGGAAAAAAGAAAAGCAGATGCAACATGGATATGATGAAGAGAGACACCTTGACCATCTGTTTGCCTGAATGATGATTCAACAGATTGGAAGGAGGAACAATGCAAATCACCCGCTACCTACCCCCTCCTCCCCTCCGTATCAAGCCAGACCATCTCCGTTCGCCAGAACCCCAAATGAAGAAAGAAGAAAAAGAAGATATAAAGTAGAAGTACGTAGTTGCGGGATGCAACCTAGACAACATGAGAATCAGCAAGAAGCCGGAGAAGCGCCCTCGGATTATCTATCACTGTTCAGAGAGCAGGGTTCTCCTTGACGACCTGGCGCACACGGCGCTCGTAGGCCGGCCGGTCCTTCTTGAAGAGGTTATATGCTTCGGCCTGCGCCGGCGATTCGGGATTCGGGTCGTCGAGCAGGTCCTGGATGCCGAGGAGGATCTGTTTGATTGTGATGGCTGGTTTCCAGGCTTCTTCTTCGTTGAGGATGGAGAGGCAGACGGTGCCGGAGGGGTAGACGTTTGGGTGGAAGAGCGGGGGCACGAATTTGCCTGGTGGTGGGGGCTGTTAGTTCTTTGTTTTCTCCTTCTGCTTCGGCATTATCTGAGACTCGGAGGTTGTAGAATCTGGGTATCTTGCGAATATTCGCATGAACACACACAAAGATGATATCCCCAGGGAGAGAGGGCGAAAAACGTACACTTGGGAGGTTTCGTCGGGTATTCTAGCAATCAACCCCAAAGCCGTTAGCTAGCTGCTTTCCCCTCGCGCAAACCACAACCACAACCATAGACCCTAGAAGTCCGGCGTGGCCACAGGTATCCAGACTCACCATCAGGAAAGATAACATCCAGCTTGAACAGGCCCCCTGCCCAGAGCGTCTGCGCCTTCCCCGGAATCCCGCATTCCCAACGCTTGAGGTCCAGCACGCCCTGCGGGGTCCGGTGTGGTTTCGCATAAAACCCGAACGGATGATCTCGTCGCCATTGCTTCCTGCGCAAGTCAAAGATGAAAGAAAAAAAAATATCAGTTTTCTGTTACGGATCTGTGGTGCTTTTTTTTGGTTGTTTTCGCAGTTGGAGGGGATGGGTTGATGTGACTTCTTGCGGTTGCGCGGACGCGCTAGCACCGAGAGAAGGCTCCTCTATTCCCTACGTACCGTTCTTCTGTTAGGCGGTTCAGACACAGCGACATGGTTGCGGTTCTCGCGGAGTGTAGATAGTGGCTATGAGGCGAAGGTGTGTTTGAAGCTTGGATCGTGTTATGCTGGGGTCTGAGCTGCGGCGAAGGCGGATTGTCCGATAGACGAGAGCTCGCGGGAAGAGAGAGAGAGAGAGAGAGTATAGGCGGAAATGAAGGTGATAGAGGCGGAAAGATGAGCAAGGTGAGGCAGAAGCGAGGGAAATCGAAGGAGGCTCAGGCGAAATGGCCACTTGCTTTTGCGGTGTTGCTCAATGGATTTGATACCCCACAGCCAATAACAAGCGCTCCCAGTCCTATTGTGAGTGTCAGGGATCATGTGATCTCTGCTATCGCGGTGTTGTGGAAGATAATGGAATGCCTTTGGTAGACGGTATACAGAGTGTGTAAGGATTCCTTAGGAGATTATTTGCTGAATTGGTGTAAAAAAGAGGCTGGCTGCTTTAATTCTAAAGGGGGGGAAACAAAGAGCACCCTGCAGGCTGCAAACAAAGATGTCGCGGTACAATGACTTTTCATGCATGCGGATCTCCAATCTATATTCTTAGCCATCCTCCATATCCAAGTGTCAAGCGACGCCTCTCATGGCTTTCAATTGTCCATCTCTTCCAGTTCTACCTTTGTGTAGATCCTTAAATCCTAGAATGGCGGACAAAACCTAATCTTACGTCCGCTCTACTTATATCTCAAGCTCGAGGATGCGAATCATGATTCTCTTAGGGTTTTAACCATCTTCGAATATCCTCTTCCAAATTTACCACTCCCAATCCTACCAAGTCAACAACTCCAAGACAGACAGGCTGATGTGTTACCGAATCACCTGGTACTATGCCCTTTGTCTTCACACCAACCCCGCGTACAACTACTACATCTCCTGCCTGGAGGCAGTCAAATGCGGTGATGCCTGCTATGCACACGAGATGATGAATCTCCCACTGATGGGCGCCTGTTCATGGTGCAGCACCACAAAACACCCCCCTTCGCGTTTCGCAGCATCGAGACCTCAGTTGAGAGCTGTTTCCTCGATAGGATTTGCAGATGATGAAGCTGAGAGCTTTGACGAAAATGACATAGGGACTGGAACATCGTCAGGCGAATGACCTGGGGTTCTTTCGCTGGACGCCTGGCTTGCGGTGTCACTGCAAATGGAATTTCAATTGCTTGGGTTCTTTAATCTTCCTATCGAACTTCAATCGTCGTATACCCCCTGCTCAAACTTCTGCGTGTCATAGAAGCGGACTGTTATGGTGTTGCCGTTGAAGACCCGACCTTCGAGCGCGTTTACCGCCTGAGATAACCCTGTTAGCCACAAGCTGAGAAGTTGATATAGACGCCGAAGAACTCACTCGTAGAGCGGATAGCTGGTTGGTAAATTTAACAAAGACCGGCACTGGATGGCCCGAATCACGCGAAATGAAGACACGTTCCACGCGGCCATACTGTTTGATCATTAGAAAGAGCAATTCCAATCAGAGCATGGCAACCTACCTTCTCCGAGCATTCCTCTCCAATCTCTTGCATCAGCCCACCGTCTTGGTCTCCTTCGAGCTCAGCATCCAGATCCATCCCATCAAGCATGCCTTTAAGAACAATGACCTCGCTCATCCGGCCAAACTTGCCCTCTTCCTCCTCCGTTTTCCTCGTACCACCAATAATCTTACCCCTGCCAGCAGGAGTGACAAATCCACCCCCTTCTGAGTCTGGCCGCTTCTTTTGCTTCTCGACTTTGACCTGCAATGGTTTGACAATGCCAGACCCGGTGGCACCCAATCCCGATCCTTTTGTCCAACCATACTTGGCGAGCAGTCTTTCGGCAAACCCTTTCTGTCCCGGACGAAGTGAACGCTGGTCATCTCCTTCTGGTTCATCCCCCGCAGGCTGCTCTTTAGCAAAGACTTCTTCAAGCTCCGCTTCTGTAGCTGGAATATCCTCTGGAGGAGGTGGCAATGTGTATCGGACTGGTGCGCGGGAGATAGTGGCAGATGCTGGCTGTAAGGTATCAAGAGGTCGAGGAAGAGGAGGGGGTGCTGGTTGCGGTGTAGCTTGATTTCCAGCAGACATCTGCAGCCGCTTCAGGTAAGCATCCTCACCAGTAGGATCATCTGGAACAGGAACGGGTGGTTCTCCAGGCGGCGGCGGTGGCGGCGACTGATCAAATGTATCTTCCGTGGCCTCAGCAGGGGGCGCAGGGGGCATATTATTTAGATTTGGAGGGGGCGCAAAGCTGCGCGGCGGAGCAAATTGTCCTGCACGATTCGTTAAGTACCCAGGACAGTCACTACCAGAGACGCAAACATACTATTCATCGGTCTTGTATCCTCATCGCTGTAAGAATCTCTGCTCGGCGATCGTACCATCCGGTGCGCATATAATCGATCTTTCCACTCGCGAATCTCGGCAATCTGCTCGTCGCTGTGCTTGTATTCTTCGTAGATGTTGGGCCGTGATGGGTCGTAGATATCATCCCAGTTCTGCACCATCGCCTGCGCTTCGCGGTTCTTCTTGCGCTTCTTGCGTCCACCGCGCTGTCTCTTCTCGCCAGCATAGAACCCATTGATATCATCTTCCTCTGTGGCTGCCCAGTCCGCAAGTGTGGTCTTGGGTGCAGCCACCGGTGCAGTCGCAGAGGCCGGAGTCGCCTTGGGTAGTGCGGGTTTTGGCTTTGGCTTCTGAGCCGCTAGCTGTGGTCTTTTCGTGGGCTGGAACCGAAGAGAAGCTGGATACTCGAAAACCAAGGAACAAGAGCCAAGTGAGCAATCAGATCGCCAAACGCGTGTGAAGGGATAAAAAGACTTCTCGCGTTATGGAAGAAGGGTATAGAGTCTACCAGCACCCAGTTGCTGCTTCTTAGCAGCTGTTTCATCTGTCTGCGCATCGCCTTCCGAGGCCTGTTTGAAGACGACCGGTGCGCGAGAGATCGTTCCGGGGGTGGAAGTGTTGGCGGAGGGGTTGAGGAGGTTGGCATAGAGGGATAAGCCCCCGCCGTTAGGAGGAGTGAGATCAGAAGTCATGAATTAGACAGCTTACACAGTGCAGATTGTGCAAGAGAGATAAAGATAGGAAGTGATATTGTCTGAATATGATGGAGATGCGGAGTAAATTCCATGCATCATCTTGAGATGTACAGCATGTTTGCCTAGGTTGCAGTATTTGTTCAGTTTGCACTTCCAGCTATCGGAACGGAATCCCTTACATAATCCCCCGGAGCCGACCGCTTCAAAGGCGAAAAGCGACAAGGCAGACGAATAATAATGAGGAATGACGAACCCAGCAAGCTTCCCCCGTCCGAGGGCCGATGGGTTGTTCACCATCTAGCATACTTAATTGCATGTTTTGTCGATATTCGTAGACAACCCTTTATCAACTACTATCCATTTATCATCTGAAATATTCCATAAACAGCAGCCAGTACAATATACTATATCGTCTGTACGACCTCGTGTTACTCCGTATTGCAACACATAATAATCCCTGACTGCCAAGGATCATGCCCACCTTAGCTCGCTCCTTCTCGTCCGTCAGCTCCAATGTCGCTGTGATCGTTCCTAATAAGCCGTCGGCCTTTTCGGTCTCTTACCAGCAGCTGCATACCCATGTTGCCGACTTCCAGGCCAAGCTTGCGAGACTTGGGGTGGGCCACGGAGCTGCCGTGTCACTGGCTCTGGCGAACTCTTATGAATTCATCGTCTCGTTTCTAGCTGCATCATGGCAGCGAAGCATTGCGGCTCCTCTCAACCCCGCATATAAGCAGCATGAGTTTGAGTTCTATATCGACGACTTGAGTTCGACCCTGGTATTGATTCCGCGGGGCACTTATGCTCAGAATGGCCCTGCGGTGCGGGCTGGCAGGAAGTACAATGCTGCCATTGCGGAATGCTACTGGGATGGAAAGGAGGTCGTGTTGGATGTCAAGGAGCAGGGGAAATTATCAGGAAAAGGAGATGTCGGCATGTTGCAGGCACAGCCAGATGATATCGCTCTTGTTCTGCACACAAGCGGCACGACTGGCAGACCCAAAGCTGTATGCTTATGCGTACTGATGGAAGTAGCCAGAACTATGCTGACACAAAGACTAGGTTCCCCTGACGCACAAGAACCTGACCACTAGCATGAGTGAGTACAACATCCCTGTGTGATGTAACTGGAAGACCACTGACGCGGTATCACAAGACAACATCCGGGCTACATATAAGTTGACCCCCGAGGATCGCACCTACTTGGTGATGCCTCTATTCCACGTCCACGGGCTGTTGGCCGGATTCCTCGCCCCCCTTTTGTCTGGAGGCTCCGTAATTGTGCCTCCCAGATTCTCCGCATCGGAGTTCTGGGCGGATTTCGTTGGATTCCACGCGAACTGGTACACAGCTGTGCCTACGATCCATCAGATCCTCCTTAAGACACCGCTGCCGAACCCCATTCCCAAGATCCGGTTCATTCGCTCATGCTCATCGCCGCTGTCGCCAAAGACTTTCGAGGATCTGGAAAAGACGTTCAAGGCCCCCGTCCTGGAAGCGTACGCGATGACCGAGGCTTCGCACCAGATGACCAGCAACCCTCTCCCGTCTGGCAAACGACAGCCTGGAAGTGTCGGTATCGGACAAGGCGTGGAGGTCAAGATCCTCGACCAGGAGGGCAACGAAGTGGCCCAGGGCGCCGAGGCGGAGATCTGCGTCCGAGGCGAGAACGTGACCAAGGGCTACCTCAACAATCCCGCGGCCAACAAGTCGTCCTTCACCAAGGAGGGCTTCTTCCGCACGGGCGACCAGGGAAAGAAGGACCCCGACGGCTACGTGATCATCACCGGCCGAATTAAGGAGCTCATCAACAAGGGCGGCGAGAAGATCAGCCCCATCGAGCTGGACAACACGCTGCTATCTCACCCCGGAGTTGCGGAGGCTGTCTGCTTCTCCATTCCCGACGAGGGCCACTATGGCGAGGATATCGGGGCTGCGGTTGTCCTGAAGAGCGCGGGCGCTGCAACCGAGGCGGATCTTAAATCGTGGGTGGCGGGCAAGTTGGCCAAGTTCAAGACCCCCAAGCAGGTACGTTGCCTCACCACTAACCCATCAAGCAAAAGCTAACACGAAACGGCCAACAGGTCTGGATCGTATCCCAGATTCCCAAGACCGCTACCGGCAAGATCCAGCGCCGCAAGGTGGCCGAGGCGATGCTCAAGCCCAAGGCGAAGCTGTAGGCGCGGACATACTGCATTCTTACATAGCGCTGCATCACCCATGGATGTATTTATCAAAGAAAAAAAAATCTGTTATTATTTCTCACCACGTCATATACAACCAAGATCAGCATTTGATATCCATCATTGAACGAATCACATTCACATTCCCGTCCGAACAGCACATTTAAACTACAACAATTAGCCAAGCATTTACTTAGACCCCGTAGACAATAAGGTACAAAAAAAAACATACCGGAATAATCTGCGCATTCTCGAGATCCCACACCCCGGTCTTGGAGTAGATATCCTGGCTCAGGGCCTCGCGCGCCTTCTCCTCGCTCTCCGCCATGAGCAGCAACGCACTGCCCTTGAAAGCAGGCGTCTGGCCCTCAGCAGCATGCGACTCGAACATGGCGCCTGAACGACATCAGCTCTCCCAAATCCAATCACCAAAAGAAAAAAAAAAGGACAGAGAGAGAAGAGAGTAACACCCACCACCCATTAGCACACTCCCACCCGCAACAAGCGGCTTCACTTCCTCCAGATGCTGCCTATGTACCAAAGCTTTTTCAGCATCTTACATCCCAACATACACAGTCTGGATCAGACCCGAACCCAGACACACACACAGACACACAGACAGAACTTACCCTCTCACCTCCAGCCGCTTGGCCAGCGCACCCGGTTTATCGGGCACGATGCACAGGAACTCGTACTTAGTCGACGACGTCATGGTGGTGGAGAATGCGCGGACGGGTGTTTTGGCGAGAAGGCGGGGGAGATGAAACATGGAGTATGAACCAAATAAGAGATTTAAGGAGGATGACCGGGGGGGAGGGAAGCGGAAGGTGGTGTTTATATAGACCCACTAGAAAATGGAAGCCGGGAGGGGAGGTACTTGGTGCTGGGGTTAGATAGGTTGGCGGTTGTTGTTGTTGTTGTTCTTCCCCTTCCCCGTTGTTTTATCCGATGGGTAGAGTCGGCGTGGGGCTGATACCTATGGTGATACTAAATTACCAATACCAGAAGCAGGCGGGATTTGTATTCCAATGTGGGGGTGCGGTATATGGGGTGGTTATTGGAATCCGAGAGGGGGATTTGGGGTCATTGAGAAGAGAACATTAGATATTTGCCAATATATCAATCTCCCTTAGCCTTTCTTGCGACAAGAAAGATTGGAGCTGGTCTCGTCGACTCGCTTACAAAATCGTGTCTGAGGTTTAATACGTTGCCAGTTGGAATCCTACCCTTGTCCAAAAAATCACCTTGTATAGGTACATGGATACGTATGTACATGAACGACTGGCATCTCTAGCCCGATTCAATCCTGCGTGCCTCTTGAATGGTGTCAACCCTGCTGATCCTGCACAAAGGACGTGATTTTCTGTTTCTCTGCTCAAAATTCCATGCGCTCGCTTGCGAACCTTCCATATCGCGTATTCCTCAAGAAAGGTCCATAACGATATCATGGACGCGAATCTGGCTCAAAAGGATGAGGGAGAACCGGCCTCTCGCGTGAGCAGAACAAGTTTTTGAGCGAGGAATAGCCATGAGTCCGGAAGATAGGAGAAGACAATGAAGGAAATTAGAACATCAAGTTCGTCATGTTTGTTATGCCTCGATAGCAGAAGAATCAAGGATTAGACCTCAGGCGGATGCGAAACCAATCGACCAGCTCACCCCATGAGCCTCCAAATACCACTCCACAATATTTCCCCCAAAGCGCCAAGATAATAGCACTGAATAAAAAAAAAAGAAAAGAAAAGAAAAGAAAAAGTCCGTAGGAAACAACACGAAGAAGACTGAAGATTATCGGTATCATTAGATATCCGTCTCAAAGGTTGATAAAAAAGAACAGAAGAGAAAAGATAGGGCGGAAATGGAATGGAACAGCGCGAATGAATATAATAAAAGGCTCCATAGAAGCAAAATCCTGACGGCAACTGTATCGGAGGGTATTGAAGATGGAAATAGGAGCTGGGATTCGGAATCCGACTGTTTAACTCCGAAACGCGTGAATGAGGCCATTAATTCACATCGATAAGCTTTTTAGTATGCCTTGCGATCCCCAAGGTTACCGGGCTTTTCTTCGGTGTCAACATGCCACACAATGTAGTTGGGCAAGCCGTACACCTCGTAGCCAGCTCGTTTGGCCATACGCGCGAATCCTTCCGTTTCTGCCTGGTTCTCGAATGCGTAGGGTGGGAAGTTGATGCCTGGATTGGAATGGTCAATTTTCCAAACGATCTTTGCTTGGCTCGTAGAATCTTCCTACCTGAACGATGAACATCCGCCTTGACCAGAATGTTGACACCACCAATACCATCGAGCTCAACCTCCTTGTCCTTGTCGTTTCTCCAATCACCCATGCTGACAAGGTATTGCCGACCCGTGTCGTATTCCGCGTATCCTTCAGCAAGAATGGTGTTTGGGTCCAGAGTCTGACGCAATCTGCGGCCCTTATCAGATTCAATCCACGAGTTATAGTCGACTAGAGATGGTCAGTACGCCATGAAATGTCAGTTTTTATGAATGAAGAGGGGTTCACATACAGCGACCTTCGATATCGCGACCGTCCTTGTACCGATGGAACCAGATATCTACAGAAAGCCCTTGTTAATGATGAATAGCACGAAGCGATCAAATGAGCGACATACTAGGAACAAGGATATCCCTGTTGTGAACAATAAAGTCTTCCAGAATAGTCGGAGGGCTGTCAGAGATATCAACATCTCTCCAGTACACCCAAGAATGCTCAGGCTTGAGAGCAGAGTAAAGCAAGTAGTTGCGAGCCCGAGCGATAGCCTTACGGCGAGGTCCCTGGGACGCGAAGGCGTGCCGATCCTCGATATTCATTCCAGTGTCGGCATTGAATTCCTTCTGGATGATGGTCGCACTGCGAAAAGCGACCTTGTCTTCCGTTTGCGATTGGATTCGGGTCAGCTCCGAGCTGAGAAGAGAGAGGGTCTCATCCGACGAGTCGCCAACCAAGAAGGCCAGATCAATGAGATCATGGGGATATGTCAGATTATGGAGGAGATTGAAGTAGTTGGGCAGATGGTACGCAGCGTCTCTCAGGGGGGTGAGGATGAGCACGCGCTCCTTCTTCTCAACGGCTTGAGGAGTAGACTGGATGGGGTTGAGGTCGATGTTATGGATCGTGCTCTCGTTGACAGAGTAGGGCTCGTGGTGATTGAAGGTCACAGGGGTCTGCGTGTGTGCATTCCAGGCAACCATCTCGTTGATGCTCATTTCCATTGGCGATTTTGAAGGGCCGTAGCAGTAGAAACTAGCGATTACCAAAACCCCCTTGTCAGAACCACTGCTTCAATCCACGACTTTTATCCCTCCAAAAGGGGGAGGAATCAATCCTTGGTGAAAGACTCACCTTTGCATCCCAGATGCCGATTTGCTAATGCCACGCCATAATAAAATCAGAATCCCTGTAAGGGCGAGGGATATCAAGAATCGCGGCCGTGTGAGGACTACGACGGCCCTCCAAGGAGGGAGTCGAGCTCTGGCCGACTTCCACGTTACACCACCCTTGGGAAGAAGCATTTTTGCGATAGAAAGGTGAAATGGGCGAGGTGAAGCGTCAATATCCCGAGAAAATAGTATCCGAAACCGTCTCCCGCCCAATGAAGGCGACGATTCCTGGAGTAAAAGTGTGTGGTGTGAACACGCTTAATGTCGACAGAGATAACCGGCCGACCGCACGATAGATGAAGATCTCGACGGGATTGAGGGGATGAAACCTTCTGATCGCAGACAGATACCAATCCCGACTGTTGACAAGATCTTCAACAGCGGCAATCTGGATGGCACGGGGACGAGAGGGGGAGGAGGACGTCGAGTGTTGCGAAACGGGGATCCAGATAGGTACGGAGTAGGGAGAAATCACCTAGTGGAGATTCGGGGGGGGTTGGATGTGGAAAAAAGGCTGCGGTTCTGCGGAAGGGTGCGGCCAAAAAAAAAAAAAAAAAAAAAAAAAAGGGCACTGCAAGACTTCGAGAAGAAAGGACCAAACGAGTGTGTGTTGAAACAGATAAGAATTATTATTATGAAAGGGGGATGTAAGATGAAGAAAGAAAAGGTCCAAGGTGCTGGGACTGCAGACTTGTAAGCAACTACTTCTAACTAGATAGATACATAGACATCTAACTATCTATTATTTCTTCTCCCGTACTTAGCTAGGAGAGTGGAAGGAGAGTTTTCTGATCGTATGAAGGGAGGCCACGACGGGAGTTTGGCCAGAATTCACCGGGACAGGAGAGACTGCCAGAGCCCAGAGCCCAGAGCCCAGAACACGCCCGCCAATACCTTCGATCGTTCTATGGGTGGGTGGAAATTACGACTGACTGACCTGGCATTTGGTCTTTTTTTTGTGCTTTATTAAAGTTGCTCGTTATCGGTCTACCTAGATAGTCGATGACACAGACTGCTCTGTACTCTGTAATAATAATCCTGATGCTCCACACAGATCATCTGGAAAAGAGCACAATTATCCTTAATCCAACAGCAACTATGTAGTCTAGCTATGCTAAATCTCTTGACAGATCCGGGGTGTCCTCCGTGGAGTAGATAAACGGTCATCCTCCCCAACCAACACCACCTATGGCGAAAAGGGGGTTGGCTCTTGGCGCTCACTTAACTTAGAAGGACTTACCTACTTCGTACGATTTGCCAATCGTAGAGATAGTCTACGTGCTCTCTTCCCTTTGATCCTCTGCTAAGGTGAATCACGCAAAATATCAAGAAATATTGATTGCCAGTGAAATTCGAATACTTTCTATAACGACTATTCATGATATCATGCGTCGGCCGATGACTCCAGCAGACGACTATGCCCATACAGACATATCAAGGCGACAATGAGAGACAAGAAAGAAATAGAAAGGTGGGGGGAGGAAAGAAACCGAAAACAACCCAGCCCAGAGAATGAAATATGTCCCAGATCCCCAATTATCCACATATGAAATAAACCCAGACAAAAGAAATGATATGAGGAATCGGGTAAGCACCATGAATTCAGCCCATGATTCTCCTTTTCCCTTTTCCAATATACAACACGTGTTCTCCGATGTTCGCCGATATAAATGCTCCGTGAAATATTCTATAATCCGAGAAGTTGACCCGAGGAGAGAAGTGGCATCCATGGTGATGGATCCACAAGAGGACAAGGAGACCACTGTGCAGGGTCCCGATATTGATACAAATGCAGGCGCTCAATCGCGAGATGACAATTCAAAGCAGACGACCGAGGACGGTCACAATCGCACTGACCCAAGGAGACTCATGGCCTGAGAGATGAGTCATTCTCTACGACTCTGTCGCGTTGTTTGCGTGCTTCAGGGTGATGGGATCATAGATTGCCGCCGTGAGTGTGGGACGGAGTACGCCGAGTGAGGGAAAACCGGCGACGGGGGCCCCGTCATTGGCGGAGTGGTGCTGAGAAAGGCATGTCCATAGGACTGTGAGTGAGAAGTGCCTGCATGGAAGGGTTCGGGACCACTGCTCGCAGTGGGCATTCCATCGCACATCATCCGTAAGCCAGGCAGCACATTGTGCGCCTTGGCCTCGGGGACCTGGGTGATCGGACGGGGGCTGGTCTGCTCGCTCTTGGGGGATCGGAACATGTGCTCATATGACTTGAGCTGAAACTCAAGGGCTTGGTTGCGCTCCTCTAGCAGCTGGTTCTCCTGCTTGAGGGCCTTGATCTGCTGCTGAGCGGCTTGGTTTTGCTGCTGCAGGTTGTTCACCAGCTGCTGGAGCTGCATGCATCGGATCTGCGGCTGCAGCTTCTCCGACAGTTGCCGCGGCATCTCGTTTTCCTGCCGAATCAGATGAATGATGATGAGAAGCATGAAGTCGATGAGGAAGATGGCGCCCTGGACAATGTGCTCCTTGGACTCCGGCAGGCTCTTGGCAGGATTCCAACCTGCGCGCTCGAGGAAGAAGTCGTGGATGCGGCTGTCGAGTTCCCGGTGCAACTGGCTCAGGTTCTTGCGTCGGTTTCCCTCGGCGATGCGGTGCTTCTCGCGCTGGTCATCAACATCGACGGAAATCATGCTTCCCTTGCGCTTTCTTCCACACAATTGCTGTAGTGGGGGCTTCCGGCTGATGTTCTTGGGGGCAATCAGATTCAGCAGGTCGGCAGCCGAGAGTTCCTGGGGCCACTCGAATGATTTGTGTGGCGTCAGAGACTCGGGCCATGAGCTATCGGCAGAATTGGCGGGCGAGGGAGGCGTCACGATTTGCTCCGAGACAGGCCACGGCGACTTGACAGGGAAAGTATCCTGCGAACTGGGCGGGCTGGGAGCGAAGATGTTGGAGGTGAACGGGTTGAAAGGACCCCGGGGCAATGGCTCCACCCGTGGAAGAGGGGGTAGCTTGCGATCATCACCCAGATCTACGGGGCCGGAAGAGCTGCATGAAATCGAACGAACACCGCTGTGGAGAGCAGAGTGTGTCAGTCAAATTGTCCAGGAGGCAATCACGGTCACAGGAAACACTCACGGCAAGGCGCAGCGCTGGGAGATCTCTTCGCAGGTGGAACCCATGTCTTCGAACATCATGGCTCCGTCTGCAATGTTGCGTTGAGACCGAGCGGCTGGGGAGGCTGATGTATGTATGTCTCACTGTGTTGACACGGTGCTAAACGACGTACAGAAAGACCAGTATGTAGGAATATGTGCGTCGGGTATGTGCGTAGCCTTGCTTGCTGCGTATGTCTTGGAGATTTGACGGGATGAATGCTGTTTTTCGTAGTACAATGGACCGCAACAAGAGAATGAGAAACCAGTTGATGACAGGTAGGTGAGACACTTGTTTAAGAATCAAGAGAGAATGCTCAAGGGGGACGTCTGATACAAAGTGAGGGATTCCACGAGGCACTGTGAGGAGATGAAGAACTTAATGCTGCTTGGTCGAGGGATAAGGTGCGAGCCCGCTGCATGTTTTATATCTGGATGCAGGATACTGAACGAGGGATGAAGGGCGAGAAGAAAGTGGGAGAGCGAGCGAGAGAGAGGGCAAGAGTGGCGCTCAGACGTGCAGTTTCGATGAACTGCAACCCGATGGAGACTCGAATCTCTATCGAAATTGAAGATGTATCAACTATCGAGCCAGGTCGATCTGCGACCAACTCAACACGGAAATGGAGAATGAGGAATTAGGAATTAGATAGAGCATGTGGGGATAGGATTTGGGTCTAGAAGATGACATACAAAATATTCTTTTTTCTATTTTTTTTGGTTTATATTTATGTTATCTTGAAATTATTTTTATCTTTTATTTTTTTTCTTCCGTGTCCCCTTCCCCCCCTTCTAAGTATCCTATCTAAGTATGTAAGTACTATTTGCCTTCATTGATTATCGATACAACTACTCCGCTACCTGGCTGATGATCCCTACTGATGTGCAGACTGCAGAGGAAGAAGGCCCACCGAACAGCCCACAGCATCATCCTTTATCCCATGATGGCGGGGAAGTAAGAATAGCATTCCGACAAAGTTCGACTTCCAACAACCACAAACCCACTGGCCACTAGTCTTCCGGAACTCGTTTGAACGCTCTGTCACAAAACATAAAACGGAGCCACAGGAGGAAAAAAAAAAAAAAAAAAAAAAGGGCACAGACTCAATTCTATATGAATTCTAACTACGTACTTCCGTCCTGGACTTTTTATGTACCTCACGCTAACTGGCATATGAGAAAGCAGATCCACGAATCAAACGTGGCCGTCCAGGCCAGGAAAACATTGAACCGCCTGAGCTGGACGGGATGAGGGGGGATCGCAGACCCTTGATTTGTCACTGCAGCAGTAGACGCTCGATCTACACGGGTAGCAGGTATCGATTCCCCTTGCATCTAAACCTTCAATACTTCAATATGCTCTGTTCCGGCCAATGACGCCTGGTGCCCCAGACGGCAAAGTCCAAACACGGCACTGCGTCGCCGAAGATAGTGTATATGTATATCGAAACAGAGAGAAAGAAGGAAAAAGAGATGGAAAACGTTCCCATTGTCCGGATTCCGGACAAGCGCGCGCATTGAAGCTCTTGTGGCTGCTGCGGAATCGCCTATCCGGCGCCTATCCGAAGTGCAATCGAAAGCGATCGACTCCACGCATTTGGTCCTTTTTGGAAATGGGGAGAGAAGCGACACTGGTCATTGGAGAAGAAAAGGGAAGGGGGGCTGCAAGAGACTCTGCATCCCTTCAAAAGTCTTTCCTGCTCCGGAACTTGCGTGACGAAAGTGGGAATCAGAAACAGTACCTCCCCCAACTGCATCATTCTCGATCTGGAGGGTGTTCAAGGTTTCGAGTTCCTTCCCTCTATGTACTGAGTGAAACCACTCGCCCCCCTTTTCTCTCTACATACATGCTACATACATTGATGATACACTGGTTCAGCGTGAGGCGGACAAAAGTACCCCGGCCTGATCAATGGACGAATATAGCCCTGCTACAAAGATTAAATATCCGACGCTCAGGCAGGCGCAAAACCCCCTCCAGGGGCGGGTCATCATTGCCTCCGCGCTCCACAAACCATGGTAAGAATCAAATAGCACGAAGCAAGGACCTTGGGCTGAAGAGCTTGGGGGTCTGGGACAGTCGAGCACAAATATACCTGAGACGCGCTGTGAGGAGGCGTCTGTGACAGTTCCTAATGGCCAAAGATATGTATAGAAGTATGCTGCAATAACTTGTGTTCAGTGTGAAAGAACATATTATGCCGTTAGGAGCGTAGCCATCTACAGGATGGAGAATACTGACATACAGAGCTGCCGGTTGGGCATGATGGGCATGATGTCCATCACTGTATGCAATCTGAAGACCGAGCGGGACCGGTATAGTCGAATCCAATTTGAATTTCAATCAATCAACCTCGGTCAAGTGACCAAGGCTTGACGCCTTGAGAAAGCCATTCGGTGATCGCCACAGCCCGAGGAAGGCCCATCTTCCCGGGTCACGGGTAGAACCCAGCGACCAGGTTGCGATGGCTGTCAGTCTCATGGTCCGGACGTTCTGGACTTCTTCCCTCTTGGGATAAGGGCCGCTGAGACATCCGTTCCCTCCGTCGATGAGGTGGCCAGTCAGGTTGGCTGTGGTTAGATAGTGGTGATTTGGAATCGAAGTTCGGATGACATCTCCAACGGACACGCATGCCGTTAAAGTTGGGGGCGCCACTCGACTATGGCCAGAAATAGAAATAGGAGAGATCGAATGTATTATTATGGTATCATACCATCTGTACGATTGTTATCAGAATTGGATTGGTAAGTCCTCGACTCCAGAGTAGGTATGTATGTACTGTATTTTCTCCAACCTGATGCTAACCGTCTTCCAGTTCAAGAAGCAAAGGGGAAGTCAAGAATTGAGTATCGCTAAGAGAAATCCTCCGTCGCTCAAGCGTCCCTCTCATCAAATCCCTAGCAAAGACCAGAAATAGAAGGGTGCCAAACGGGGAGCAAGATAGTGGCCGCTGGAGCGCTAGATTCCATAGAAGGACGCCCGAGGTAAGGTATCTACACATACATCCTACGGAGCTGGAAGCAGTCTGATCCAACTAACTACGATACTGTAAGTAAGTAAGCAAGTACATAAGTAGTCTCCATCCAGGTCTCCATAGTAGTCATATGCACGTATATTCATCCGTACCGTACATCAGCCCTGGTCTGTATGTAATAATACGTAGTTCCCTCACTAGATATGCATGTCGATTTGTTGAGCCGAGAAGAGCGGGTCTGCTGGGCCCCAAAAGAATCAGAGCTGTCATATTCGTGGCTCCCCGGATCTATGAAGAAATCAAAAGGATCCGACGCCTCCCTTTGCCTCTCAGCTAGCCAGTCCCACGTTTCAATTGCAGCCCCTTCCCTTGGCCCTTGGACTCTGAGTCTGAAGTCCTGGATCAGCCATTCAGCCATAGCCATAGCCATAGCTTTGTCCATGACTCCATAATCATAGTCATACCCATAGCTATGTTTGAACAATATCATTGATCATTGAGCATTGGCTCGCCCGATGGACTTTTTCCTGATCCGATTTCCGTTTTGATCGAACTCTTGGGGAAATTGCCCCTTCGAGCCATCGCATGTCTCCCTATATCCTATGAATGGAACACCGCCCTGCTTCTATTTCCATGCCGTTTCAGAAGCACTTCTAGCAACTAGGGTTGAGCAAGGCGACGACAACGACCATCCATTAGTATTATGACGGATTCAAAACGCACGGAGGTGATGTGATGCCTTTCTTGGCTTGAAGCCAGCAAGTGAACTATGGACTAAAAAGTACGCAGCCCCTGCTGTTGAGATTTGTAATGATACTGGTAAATCCAGGTCCCGATTAAGTCCTTAGCTGCCGAGTTGTTCGTCAAGCAATTCTTACTAGCGAGGAAGCAGCCCGGCCCCAAGATGCAAACACTATCTTCAGTTCTGCCTGCGCCTCTTGGAGCGGCTCCGCACGACACAGACGGCATCATCCATGAGGGTCAAAGGGAGAATGCGCGGACTTCGGCACTCCATTGGCATTGACGTCCATGGGGGGGGGTTATTTGCCCGCAAACGAGCAGGAGCAGGCCCGGGTTGATTTGATCGATCGAAAGGACTCGCACGCAGAGCCCAGCAGCAGCTTGCCGGCACGAACCACTATCCACACTCCACCCCATCCTTCTCACAAGTACAGTGCATAGAGTTCGACGTGTACCTACATGCACATATTGAAAGATTTGCTGGTATGAAGGATATACTGCATTGAGTATATGTATGGACTGTGGACATGGACATGGACATGCCTAGATAGTAGATACTCTGTATCCATAGACTTTCCGGAAGTTCTTTCCGGGTGGATTTGTGTGGCTCGCTTATTGTCCGATTGGGGTATGAGCGTTGACTCTCAGACCTGCTAGGCTGGGGCAGCTGGATAGATAAATGGAGGAGAGAGAGTAAGTACATACGCTGTGCCTCAGATGTACGATTCGATTCGATGTTGCGTGCTCTGGAGTACGAAATCGTTTAGTAGTTCCATCTGAGGCATTGACACGAGAGGGAGATGTCTATCCGGGATGATCGATGATTGTCTGGTCTTAGCAAAAGGACCAGCGAGGAGGAAAAGTGACTAGTAGTTAGTGAGGGGACATGGGTGTTTACTATTTGCTGATCTATGGGGCATGAATCCTATTTGTGTTGAGGGTATCTGGAATTCTGAAGACTAGATAGTTAGGGCCTAGGTAGTTATCTACGTGTAGATGGTGTGTCCTGAGCTGCTACACTAAATCCCAGTAGCAGGCAACTAACAAGGTCCAAGTGTCAACGGGATCTCATCCAGGCCAACAGGTTCCCACACAAACTCCGTTAACGCAAACATTAACCCGTTTGGCCTGGAGTTAATTTGGAACTTAGTATCCCCCTTCCATGTTTTCGACTCAATATTTAATTCCAGCGATGGATCGATCGTGTCACGCAGTGTCGCTTGTTACTGCTTTCGTGGGCTGTGGCTGTCATTGTTCTTGAGGAGTAGCTTACTATCTACTACTTATTTGCAGTGGTAAGATAGATACCGCAGAGGTACATCCCACAATGTACTTTGTCTCGCACTTGAGTGGCTTTTATCTAGTCTAGCAAGCGTTGTCAAGGGCCCAGGTACAGCGGACGAGATCATATCAATTGATTGAGGTTTGAAACTCAAAAAAAGGTCCTGTCGTGACAGATCATAAAGGAGCAGATGTTTCAAATGCAATCTTCCTCCCGAAACAGTCTTCACATGGATTCATTCTGAATCACTGCGTTGTCCATAATCCATAGCGATTCAGAGACATCTATCTACCTATCTACCTATCGACTCGGTCCAGATCAAAGATCAGAGACAAACTCTTTCCAGTGGTAAGAAGATAGATAGATAGATAAGTCTAAATATTGTAAGCAAGAGAAAAAGTACAAACTACACAGTAAGGGTCCTCCTTGGCAAGTCAGTGGGCGCATCCCCGTTTGGCGTTTGGCCACATAAACGCCAAACGGACACACATCTCTCCCCGTTTTTGCGCTCGTCCAATACTTAAGCATCGTCTCGCCCGTCAAGCCGTCGACAGGACAGGGTTTCCCTGCAAGGACGCTGCAAGATCTTTCTTATGTATCAATTCATTTTTGGGAGTATGTGACGCTCATAGGTATGTAGTAGGCTGTTTATTTACCTCTTACGTAGTTCTGATGGATGAAGTATATCCAACTACTCCCAGAATCCCAGGGCAAGGATATCCACAGCCTCAGGTGTCCAGACCAGACTCCATCCATCTATCTTCTATCTTTGTATCTTTCTACCTATCCGTACCTAGCTTCCCATAAGGTACACTGTAAGTATCCTCATCCATTCATCGCCTATCTAACGACCTATTAATTAGTTACCTACCTCCCATACTTACACCTTGGCCTTTACCCTCAAACCCGGTTCTAGACCCCCATCCCATCCTTCAAGCATCAATCAATTTAAACAATAAACCCTCGAAAAAAAAAGCCGAAAAAGTCCACTACATCTGCCTTCTGCACCTTCGATCGCATGCTTAACATGCTATTGACTCGCCTCGCCCGTGCAGCAAGCAGCAAGCGGCAAGCCAGAGCACGAAATAAGTAGAGTTTCAATCCCACTTCAACCTCCCCCCACATAGTTACAGTCTGTAGCCCGTAGTCTGTACTTTACTGGAGGTGAGCTGCGACGGGGACTGACTGCGTGTAAAGTCAGGCATCATTTATATTGGATTACGCTCAATTGCCTCATGCAAGGCATCGTGGGTCCTGATATCTATCATAAATCTGATCGCTGGATGGGAAGGGAGCTTTCGACTTAAGTTGGTAAGCGAGTGGTCGAGTCCACAAATTCCACACTCACAGTCGCCAGTTCAGCGTTTCCGGTATACAGTTATGGATATATATATTTTGTTCTCTGTGGAGGAAAGCTGGGTTTGCCTGTGTCGATGTTTGCTGAGCAGTTGGTATGAGCGTAAATGGAAATTAATTTACTCTTGTCATGCGAAGTTGTTCAACGATGCCTTCTTTCCTGACTAACCCTTTCGATTCTTCTGGTGATTCCCCTCCACGAAAACGTAAAGTCACTAAACTTAGATCCGTAGATCCTCAGTCATCTGTCTGAACTTCCTACCAATGGCCCCCTTGCAAACGAGAACGGCCACAGCAATCGTTCGACCAGGATAGCCAGCGCAGTTGATCGAGTGATCATCGCCGGTTCAGCCCTTTGCGGGGACACCGGACCCTTCATCCGCAGACTGTCCACACCACCATAAAGGCAGTCTGTCGATCAGAGTGACTTTTGAATAGTAGTCGTGGACGTGGATGGCCATGGAGCAGGACATGGACTGGGCCCTTCTACTGCGGTCTCGCCATCTCTCAATTATCGGATATCCCCGCTGTGAAAAGCTCAGGTATGGTTTATCTTGCCCCTTTCGAGAGAAACAAACCTCAGTAGGACCGAGAGAGACTTCCAGTCTAGGCCATGGGAAGTCTACAGGTATCAAAAAGGGTGCTCGCACCCCCCCTTGCCAGTTTTCAGTGGCAACAGGTGGCCTCACCAGCAGCACCTCATCGAGGCATGAAGTCATGGTTTCCATTCCTGCTCACTTGGATTACTCGCTCCCTCCTTCTCAAAGTCAGTTCCGATGCCCACCATAGGCTTAAAGTCACCCAGAGGGGGAAAAAAAAAGAAAGAAAGGAAAAAAAAAGTCCTGCTCTCGTGTGAGCTATGTGAGTTGTGAGCTGTGCGAGCTGTGGCCCTCGCCCCCCTCGATCAGCGATGACATGCAGCATAGGCACGCTGCTCGCTTCGTGCCAGCGGTCCAGCAGTCCAGCAGCTTAGCAGTCCATCCGACCTTCTTGCAATTTCGACACGTCGAGATCTTTCTGTCTATCAACGGAGCCAAAAGGCCTGTAGCATGACGTACGGGCTGACACCTGTCTTGAATCTGAGTGCTTCTTGATGTCATGGCAGGCATCTCGTTCCATAAGAACTGACACATGTCGGTCGATATCTTTTGATGGGTGACACCCCCTGAGCTTGTCTGCTAAATGATGCTCTTCAGATGGAAAGCCTGGTTTTTGCTTCTTCCTAGACCTTTTGACACTTCTTTCGGACTTTCTTGATTTCAGACTCACTCTGTGTGCGTTGTCCTTTGTTCTGATTCCTTGTTTTAGACCAGGACTAGTCAGTCAAGGATGTTTGAAGTCCCTACGTACGATCTTCAGGGTGAGTCCCCAGCAAATGCATTACTGACTGCGGACTGGTCAACTGGGAACAGGCTTCCACTCGAGCTCGTGAAATCACTCAGCATTCATGTAGCATTGAACGCGTCTCATACCCCCCTCTTTTCGCGCCGACTTGTACGGGATGTCGAGTGATACTTTCAACTACGTCTTTACGATTGGGTGGAGAAAGGGATAAGCAAGCGTGTGATATTATGAGAAATCTGGAGGTTGGAACATAATCCAAACGACAAGAAGGCAACGGCCATTCTGTTTTCCTTGTTGAACCCATAATGCTCTCTGTATGGTTTGGGATTATAGGGGTGCATTCTTTTTGATGCTACACAGCGAGCTTATTTGGACAGGTCATTCGAGCGCTTTCCCCACTGAATAATGCTTGGTTTCATTGGACCTGAGAATAGCGACGAGTAGTCGGTCGCAGGCACACCTTCCTTCCCATCCATGTTGGACAATCGGAGATGTCGCACCAGGGTCGCCAGGATCACGCCAATGTTGACATATGCGAATTTTTCACCTATACAGCGGTGTCTACCAGCGCCAAAAGGGAGATAGGGGCTGGCAGTGCCCTTGGACACGGCACCGTAGCCGTAGTCGACCATCTCGCCGCTGTCTTCCTTTGTTGTCTGGTTCTCCCACCGTTGTGGATCCCAGCGGCTTGCATTTGGAAAATGTTCGTCACTGAGAGCGGTCACGCCAGGCGAAGCAAGAAGCACACGACCAGGTGGGATGACATAAGAAGTTCCGGGTACTGAAAGTGTGTTCTTCACTTTGCGCAAGATTGAATGAATCGAGGAGTGTAGCCGTAGGGTCTCGCGAATGACATGCTGATGGTAAGGGAGAAGCTCGAGATCTTTATACTGGAGGGGTCGAAGGTTACTGCCCGGCCCGCCTTGTGCAAGCTTGTCTAACTGCTCTTGGTAGAGCTTCTCAAGTACCTCTGGTTGCGAGGCAAGTCGCAACATAATCCAGGAGCCAATAGAGGAGGACGAATGTTGACCAGCCATGAGCAGAGTAATCATCATATGGGCAATCTCCTTGTCGGGAACCTGTTGGCCATTCTTATAGGAGCAATTCATCAGATTCCAAATCATGTCCGATTTCTGAGTATCTTCTCCTCCGTCTCGGCGACGTTGGTTGATGATGTCGACATAGATCGCTCTCATGCGTACATGTGCAGCATCTCGCTTCTTATTACGGGGCAATGGCGCCCAAGGAAACATAAAGTTAACTGGAGTAAAGCACCTGTCTAGGTCATGGTAAAGGTCCGCAAACTCGGCGGTCAATTTGGAACGAACCTCCTCGCCTTGGAGAGCCCGCGCGGCTGTGAATATTGTGATCTCAGCCATGGCAGCCGCAATGTCCACCAGACCGGATGTGCCTTGGAACCTTGGCGAAGTCTCCAGATAGTCCAGCACTTCCTTCTCAATGAGTGGGACATGTGCCTCGAGCGCCGACTGCGTCAAACCGAATTTGATGAACTTCTTCTGCTCCATGAATTTGGAGTTGGGGCAGTCGTAGACGACGTCGGATCCAAACACTGGGGTCGTCAATGGGCTATAGACTTCCTCTGCATTGACGTCCTTGAGTTTGCCATTGAGGATGAACTCATTCCCCTCGACACCCAGATAGACAGTGACTTTCTGGCCCAGAAGTATGAAGGTAAAGATGTTGCCGTACTAATCATTGATGGAGTGTTTTTTAGCAAATCATTTACGCACAAAACCCCCTCACAGTAGAATTCTCGATCGAGCACCCACCTTCTCTCTGCAGGCAAAGAAGAATTTGCAGGGATCAATGCCATAGGTAATCGTACTGCCGATAAAAGGTATCCAGTGAAAGACCATTGGCGGCTCGGTCCTGTTCCGCAAGCGAAAGAGGTGTTGGTAGACGACGTTGACTAGGATCACCACAGCCGTGGCGGAGACCAGGTAGAGCCCAAACAAGGTCAGAGACAGCATTGTGGGAATAGAAAGGAGTACCGCACAATCAGATTAGGAGAGATGCGAGACAGGGAAGGACTCCTCCTAAGCTAAGTGTCAGAGGGGCAGAGAAATGAAAGAAGCGCCGAGGGTAGGCGGAGTAGGGAGGTAGTATGAAGCTAAGCTCTTTGGCATGAGTAGAGGAGGGATGATACTCATGGATTGATATGGATATCGACAGAGACCTTTATATAGAGATCCTTGAAACCCATGCTCCTTCGGTCATGGATCCATCTCTCCGTATCAGCCTATCAACTTCCTACCTTCCATTTTGTATTTCCCAATAAGGAACTATACCACAGTGAATCGGTGCACTTGTCAGTGAATACACGAAGCTATTGTCCCTCAGTCGCAAGTTCTTAAGATTCCCTTAGGTAGATCTCTTTTGGCAGTGTACCGAAAGGAATATAGTATACATATAATTGAATACTACTATACTGAGATAGAAGCAACAAAGTGACTTTGAAGTTATCGCAGCTGTCGTGCATCTTGGAAATTTTTTCCCTTCCTTTTTTTCTTTCTTTTGTCTCATTCTGATCCCCCAGAGGACTGGACTCTCCCAGTGAAACATAAAGGGCTGTGCAAGATCGACCGCTTGGTAATTAGGCTGCTCTGATTCGGGTCAGTAGACATCCGGGTGTCATGATTCTGCGAAACATTCCCATTGATCCTGCTGAATTCTTGGCACATGAGCTTCTGATCGACGGGAGAACAAACATCTCGACCATTTGCTACGATCTATCTCAGGTACAGGCTAGTCAGGAGATGCTACCCCTTTTTAAATGCGTCATCTTCCTCTCACGGACGGTAGATATAGTCCCGGAATCATGTTGTTGAGCGTAAGGGATACGCCCGAGCATATATCTGAAAGCCTGCTATCGATGAGATGAATTGGTCTAGATGTATGGAAAGCTCTAACTTCAGCTTCAAAAGCTTGATTGCCAAGGTTGTATTGGGAGACTCCCAGGAGACCAAATGGCATTCGTTTCTAGCCTGGAGTAAGCTTAATTATTGAACAGGTGAGGCATGCGCTGCGCTGACTTTGCCCCTGGTATCGCAGGTTGACCAAAATTGGTGTTCAACTCCAAGCCATCGGACTGAGAACTCGAGCCTATATGACGCCGTACTAGACCAAGTAGGTTATACTGCACGAGCCAATATGGCGATGTGCTTTGCACAGACAACATATATATCAGCTGCGGCAACTCCAAAGGGCCCTCGTCCCTCACTTTGCTCAAAAGATCCTCTCTCAATTCCCAGTCGCGCAAAGATCAGTCCCAGGGCATTGATGGTTTGACCAGAACGAACTCAGGCATTTTATACACCTCAGGTGAGCCCTTAAAGTGTATAGACATGTGGCATCACTCCTAGCTCATTGTTAACAGAAACAATGGGCTTGCTAGAAGCTGAGGCAATGTCCCATTGGTCTCCTATTACCACACGCACTGCTATGTAAATCCGCAGAAACAATGGAAGTAGATCCCATTCTTGATCATGAAGAGAAGAAGCCACTGCCCTGATGGTGCATGCGTTTGGTGAGATACAGAGCTTGTCCTCATAACGAAGACCGCCTGGGAATGCTTCACTGATCCGAGCAACAAGTAGATTCTGGTTTTGCCTGCCTACCTACCCCACGTCTATTATGGAGCATACCTAGCGTTGCTTTATGTCATGGTTTTCGACCCAGCCCACTGTCCATCAGGGCCGATGCATGCGGCGATATAGTCTATACCTTGCAAACCACGAGTAGATTGACAAAAAGAGGTTCAACAAACACAATCGGATGAAGAAATACAAAAGAGACACAAGACATTTGGCCAAGAAAGGCCATGTACATGTAGTTAAAAGGCCAACTTGACAATTGACTGTGTCAAAAGTGGGTTACGGCAAAACTCATCCTGGGTTTATCTTATCGGCGTGTGAGTCAAGATTTGGGGCCGAAATCGCCCCTCGCCTCTAACTATATGTTCCGCCTCGCCGGCCTGGCTCCATGGGTTCCCTCTAAAAATTTCCCATTCTTCCTTCCCCCCCATACCTTTTCCTGCGATTTCTAGCTTGGTCAATTACTCTCCTCTTCTTCCCGCTGGATATTCTTCTTGAGTGATACATCAATTGCTCGTCGCCAACATGTGTGGTATCTTCGCGTGTCACCAGTACGTCTACTTTTTTCTCTTTTTCCCCTTCCACCCACCCTTGTCATCTCCCCCGCGAATTTTTAGCGGGCGGCCGTACATCGGACGGGGGACCCCTCCATCAAACTGATCGATTCAGCGCTGACAATTGATTGTGCGACAGTCACCCTGATGTGCAAAAATTCAAGCCCACGGCTTTGCGCATGGCCAAAGCGTAAGTTGCTCGCATTGATTGCTACACCCAGATTGCCGATTCAATGGACTGATCGTTTGTAGTGTGCGCCATCGTGGTCCCGATTGGAGTGAGTCACAGTGCATTCGAGAGTGATTCCCAAAACTCCTGCTAACCGCGAACAACAATCCAGGTGGAAACTGGATCTGTGGAGGCACCAGTATGTACATCTACTTATCTCGTCTATCACGAAAATGCTAATGGGAGTCTAGTTCTCGTTCACGAGCGTCTGAGTATCGTCGGTCTCGGTACGTGGCCATGCCAAGCTTCCTCCTTTCGAATTTGCCGTGCTAAATCTATACCAGACTCCGGAGCGCAGCCCCTTGTCAACGACGATGGCTCCATTGCCCTGGCCGTCAATGGCGAGATATACAACCACCGAATCCTGAGAAAGGGATTGAAGAGCGGTTACAACTTCAAGACACATTCGGATTGCGAGGTCATCATTCCTCTGGTATGTTCCGCCACTTCTCGTCTCGCCCAAATTTCGAGAGGCTAACCGGGTGCAGTATATGGAACACGGTCTCGATGCCCCCAAATACCTTGATGGCATGTTCTCTTGGGTTCTCTATGATAAGAAGGAAGACAGAGTTATCGCCGCTCGTGACCCCATCGGTGTCACCAGCTTCTACCTTGGATGGTCCTCTGAGACCCCCGGTGCTGTTTACTTCGCCTCCGAGTTGAAGTGCCTGCACCCCGTTTGCGACAAGATCGAGGCCTTCCCTCCAGGCCATGTGTACGACTCCAAGACCGGTTCGTTGACCCGCTACTACCAGCCCAAGTGGTGGGATCCCACCAACGTCCCCACAACCCCCGTTGATTACAAGGTCATCCGGGCTTCGTTGGAGAAGTCCGTTCGCAAGCGTCTCATGGCTGAGGTTCCTTACGGTGTTTTGCTGTCCGGTGGTCTCGATTCCAGCTTGGTCGCGTCTATTGCCCAGCGGGAGACTCTGCGCATGCAGGAAGCCGCGAAGAACGCCCTTGCTAACCAGACCGGTTCCTCTGATCTGGTCGGCATCGACGATTCCAACGAGCTGTCGACCGTCACCACCTTCCAGCAGCTCCACTCCTTCTCCATCGGTCTTCCCGGTGCCCCCGACACAGAAGCTGCCCTCGAGGTCGCCAGATTCCTCGGCACAAAGCACTATGCGTTCACTTTCACCATCGAGGAGGGTCTCGACGCTCTTTCCGACGTTATCTACCACCTTGAGACTTATGACGTGACCACCATTCGTGCTTCGACGCCCATGTACCTACTCAGCCGTAAAATCAAGGCTATGGGTGTGAAGATGGTTCTCAGCGGAGAAGGAAGTGACGAGATCTTTGGTGGTTACCTGTATTTCCACGCCGCCCCCAACAAGGAGGAGTTCCACAAGGAGACTGTCAGACGTGTCAAGGCTTTGCACTTGGCAGACTGCCTCAGAGCCAACAAGTCCACCTCTGCCTGGGGTCTTGAGGCTCGTGTTCCTTTCTTGGACAAGGAATTCCTCGAGGTCGCCATGGGCGTCGACCCCCAGGATAAGCTCATCACCAAGGAGCGCATCGAGAAGTACATTCTCCGCAAGGCATTCGACACCACCGACGAGCCCGACGTCAAGCCTTACCTGCCCGAGAAGATCCTTTGGCGCCAGAAGGAGCAGTTTAGCGATGGTGTCGGCTACGGGTGGATTGATGCCCTCAAGGACCAGGCCGAAATTCGCGTCACCGACGAGATGATGAAGAACCCCAAGCCCGAATGGGGTAGCGATATCCCCGATACCAAGGAAGCGTATGTCCTACCTATCTGAAATCCATTTGATTGTATATCAGCGAGGCTAACCTAATTCTAGTTACTGGTACCGTACGATGTTCGACGAGCACTTCCCTCCCTACTGCGCGTCCACCGTTGAGCGCTGGACACCGACATGGTCGAAGCAGACTGACCCCAGTGGAAGGTAAGAAACTCAATTTTCCCTACAGAGTTAGGTGGATGGATTCTAATATTATGACCTTCCAGAGCTATTGCGATCCATGCCGCCAAGTACGAAAACGTCGAGTAAACGGATGTTTTAATGATTGGGTTATAAAAGTCAGCTATCCAAGATATCTTCTTGGGCATAGAAATGTGTATAGACTGTTCAGCGGAGGTAGCCTTGTTTGGGTTGCAAAAGCAAAGATTCCAGCAGATGTAAAGCAACTGTTCATTTTCTCCCTTGTGGGCTTCTGCGATATCCTCTTATTTCTTGGGCCGATAAGATATCCTCCTGAAATGACTGGGCTTACGGCGCTGTAAAGTATGTCGATTTGCGATTTCTTAATGGATGAAATGGATCTTGTTCTTAACAATTGGAAGTGCATATCATTTTCCTTGTATTGTTCACTCGAGGTGACCCATGGTTGTGCTTTTCGCAGCGTGCAACGTATCGGATGCAAATAGATCAAGCCAGACAGTCTGAAACGTAGAAGTTATGAAGCATAGGATCTTCTTGCAAACAGATAGACTACCCTAAGATAGAACCTCACCCCAGAAGTATCTAATTCTACGGAGGGAGTGCCTCAGGCGCAGTGGGAAAAAAGCACGGCCCAAGGCACCAACGTCATGTCACGGGACTTGGCGGCTTTTACCGGCACCCGAGCAACAACCAATCAGCGCGGACACTCTTTCCCGTGGCTCCCCCAATGATTGTTTGGCGACTCAATCACTCAACCTTCCGTCGACCTCTTCGTTTCCTTCCCCCATCACTTTCCTGGCACTTCTTCTCCCCTCCATCCACCCCCGTATCTGATCTCCTACACCCACTACTTCCTTCTTAATCCAAATCTCCACTACTTCATCCTTCTTTCTCATTCACAATGTCTGCTCCTGCTGCTTTCTCTGACATCGCCAAGGCGGCCAACGATGTATGCCTTTCCTTCCTCTGGTTCCCTTGTTTTGGAAAAAAAAAAAAAAAGAAAAGAAAAACAGGGCAATCGACAGCTTGCCGGAAAGGGCTCTCCGTGCTAATATCTTGTGCAATAGCTCCTGAACAAGGACTTCTACCACACCAGCGCTGGTGAGTCTTCCGAGTCGCGACTCCCCTTTTTGTTTGCATCATTCGCGCAGTCGAGCTGACCAATTGAATCTTAGCCAGCCTTGAGGTCAAGTCCAAGGCCCCCAATGGCGTCACCTTCAACGTGAAGGGCAAGTCTGCTCACGAGGGTCCTATTGCTGGCTCCGTAAGTTCACACCATCCGCATGAGCTCGCGAAACATGAGCGCTCATTTGCCGAGGATCGTTACTGATTGTGGTATTCTTTTCTACCTGAATAGCTTGAGGCCAAATACGTCGATCAGCCTACTGGTAAACGCCCCACAAAAAAGCGCAAACCACCAGATCCCAGCACCAGGACAGCGAACGAGCCGAGGCCCATGTTCATATTCGCATGCGGTCCAGTCTCGTTGGCACCCTTCAAATTCCTTTTCATGACCAGGGTAGTCGCACATTCGTTCATGCTAATATTCTGTCCCCGTCCAGGTCTCACCCTCACCCAGGCTTGGACCACCGCCAACGCTCTCGACACCAAGCTTGAGCTCGACAACAACATCGCCAAGGGCCTGAAGGCTGAGATCATCACCCAGTACCTGCCCTCCAAGCAGTCCAAGGGTGCCAAGCTCAACCTCTACTTCAAGCAGCCCAACCTGCACGCCCGTGCTTTCTTCGACCTCCTCAACGGCCCTTCCGCCAACTTCGACGCTGTTCTCGGCCACGAGGGTTTCGTCGTCGGTGCTGAGGGTGGCTATGACGTCCAGAAGGCCGCCATCACCAAGTACTCTGCTGCCGTTGGCTACAGCGTTCCCCAGTACACCGCTGCCATCACCGCTGCCAACAACCTGACCGTCTTCTCTGCCAGCTACTACCACCGTGTCAACCTCCAGGTTGAGGCTGGTGCCAAGGCTACCTGGGACTCCAAGGCCGGCAACTCCGTTGGCCTTGAGGTTGCCAGCAAGTACAGACTCGACCCCTCTTCCTTCGCCAAGGTATGTGAAGCGTCTAATGTGGCTTTGAGGTTCAATTTGCTAAATTGTTTGTTTTCTTCCTATAGGCCAAGATCAACGACCGTGGTATTGCCGCTCTGGCCTACAACGTCCTGCTCCGCCCTGGTGTCACCCTTGGCCTTGGTGCTTCCTTCGATACCCAGAACCTGAACCAGGCCGCCCACAAGGTCGGTGCCAGCTTCACCTTCGAGGCTTAGATGGATTCTCGGATCATGGAGAACCCTCCACACCTAATTCCATATACTCCGAAATTTTCTCTCAGTATGAATTGAAAATATCTTGTCAAGGAACCGCAGACCCGAACTGTGTGTTGGTTTGATAGTAATTTAGAGTTTTCTGGATGGGCTTCTGTTGCTACCTCGGGCGTCAAACCACATGGTTAAATTGGAGGCACGCTCGCTTGAAGGCAGTTGATATAAGCCCCGGAGAACGGGTGTCGGAGTGGATGGGTTATTCTCTGCGAAGCGGATTCATTCCTTTTTTTATGTATCGTATACCATGAAGATCACTGTATATCAAATCCGAATTTCATTTGTTTGACACCAATAGACGGTCGCAGCCATGGTCCGTGTGTCGTAGTCTATGCTATGGTACATTTCATAGGAACAAACAGAAAAAAAGCAATGTGCCATCCTTAGAGGACATGGTAGCACGCAGCCGAGGTATATATGTATGCAAAACTTATTGCCAAACCTGCAATGTAGAACCCATCCATGGAGCTTGGATACAATGAATATGGAACACGTCCCTAATCCTGTTTCCGCTGACCAGATTTCCCCGACTTCCCACTCGTCGGCCAGCGGAGCCAACCCGTCATGGCGCCTGCACCCAGCAGAATCCCACAAACGACAACGAAGCGCAGCGCAAAGTCCCCCGCCCGGCCGATATATTGCTCATTCATGGCGGCACCCATCTCCCTTGTCCTGCGCTCCTGCCGCCGAGTGTCCTCCGCCGTCTGCGTCCGAAAATGGCCCCGCGCATTGAAGTGGTGGACGGTGTTGCGGTGGAGGAACGAGGTCGGATCCTCGTCGCGGGCGCCGCCCGCTGCGCCCGCACTCCCGGGCGGCGGCCTTGCAGTCCTCCCGTATCCGCCGTGCGCGTAGAAGGACGGGGGCGGGCCACGGAAAGTACCGCGGCGTTTGCTCAGGCCGCTGGCGGGCCGGGAGCCGGCGTACGAGCCGCCCTTTGTGTGCAGGTTTGCGCCGTAGCTGCTGTAGCTGCCCATGGGGTGTTGGCCGGGGTTCGCGGCGCTGTGGGTGGAGGCGGCATGGTGGGCGGCGATGCCGTGCTCGCGGTCGTATGTGGAGCGTTTTGCGGCGTTGCTGAGGACGTGGTAGGCGGAGGAGATGCGGGCGAAGCGGGAGGAGGCGGTTGGGTCGTCGCGGTTGCGGTCTGGATGGTGGCGGAGGGAGAGGGAGTAGAATTGTCTTTTGAGGGAATTCGTTAATATAGTAGTAGTATGGAGAGAGGGGAGGATTTAGTTACGTACTTCTTGATCTCTGCTGCTGTTGCTGTCACGGGAACATCGAGGACCTCGTATAATGTCGGTTCTCGCCCAGCTGCATACCGGGCTGACGCCGTTGTTGAGAATGAAGCCGCACGCGCTCGAGTCCGCCGGCCCGGTGGTGGGGACGAGGCATTTGCATTGAATAGAAACGGAGTAAAGATCCTCACGCGAGGAGATGGCATCACTTCTCGCCCGTCGAGTTCACATTTAGTTCTTCGACAAGAAACGGAGGGATGGTTGCTGGGGATTGAGCTGGTTTTGGCTGGAGGGTGGAGGGAGTGAAGGACTTGTCCGATGTCGACGGTGCGTCATCGGAGGCTGGGAATCTGATAAAGATCTATCGCATAGTTCATTGGCTTAGTATGCTTATTCTTGATTATGAGTATAGGGGATCCTGACAAGGGTAAGAGATGTTATTTAGCTGTCCTTACGATAATTATATCTAGTGGTCTTCAGTGTTATGCATATCCAGTATCCCCCTGTCTGTTATCTAGATTCAATCTCCAGCCAGCATCCTCATCCATTAAGACTTCACAGAACGACTTGACCTCCTCGGCGCACCACAATCTCGCAATTAAACCATTGACAGTTGAGACCACTAGAATCATAAGGCAACTATTCATCGAATAAATAGAATTCACATTCAGTCTTTATCTGTAGCTCCAATAACTCAAGATCAATACTCGATGCCCCGGATACACACTCTATATACGGAGTACATTATACTCTATACCGCACTCGGTCTTGGCACAGAACTTTCCCCGTCGAAAAGTATTTCCCCTCTTTTGCCTCTGGGGATTTCTCTCCACCAGCAACGCGGTTGTTTTCGCTTTTAGCCGGCGGGTTTTTCTTCCCTTCTTGTCTTGAAGATTGTCAAGATGGCTGCTCAGACTACCGAGAAGCTGCAGAAGCTCGACCGTGAGTGATTTCGTTCGGACCCTTTCATTCTTTGGTCCGTGTTCGTCTATTGATCGGCTTCTACGGAGTACTGATAAGATGCCGACCTTGCCTACAGTGAACGGTCAGAGCGGTGACGCGAAGGCGGACGCCCCTGCCGCCGGTCAAGCAGAAGCTGGCGAAGCGGAAGAAGATTCAGATGATGAAAAGGACGATGGAAATGCTGCTCCTGAAGCCGGCGCTGGCGGAGGTTCGTTCCCGTCTTCCTCATTTGGATGAAAGGAACCCCGCACTAACAAACTCTTGCTTTTTTTTTGTTCATTGTAGCTGCTAAGAAGAAGAAGCGCAAGTCGAAGAAGAAGAAGAAGGGCGGTGCCAAGGTCCAGAGCTCTCCTCCACGCGTTCCGGTGTCGAACCTGTTCCCCAACAACCAGTACCCCGAGGGCGAGATTGTCGAGTACACGAACGAAAATTCTTACCGCACAACCAACGAGGAGAAACGGTATCTCGATCGCATGAACAATGACTTCCTGCAGGAGTACCGCCAAGCTGCCGAAGTGCACCGCCAGGTCCGCCAGTATGCGCAGAAGAACATCAAGCCCGGCCAGACCTTAACGGAGATCGCAGAGGGTATCGAGGATGCAGTCCGCGCTTTGACCGGACACCAGGGTCTTGAAGAGGGTGATAACTTAAAGGGTGGCATGGGTTTCCCTTGCGGTCTGAGCATCAACCACTGTGCGGCTCATTACACTCCCAATGCGGGCAACAAGATGGTTCTGCAACAGGGAGATGTGATGAAGGTCGATTTTGGCGCTCAAATTAACGGCCGTATCGTTGATAGCGCCTTCACTATGACTTTTGATCCGGTCTATGATCCTTTGCTGGAGGCCGTCAAGGATGCTACCAACACTGGTATTCGGGTTTGTCTACACTTTACACTTCTTGCTTCTGATGTGTTACTGACGGTCATGCCACAGGAAGCCGGTATCGATGTGCGCATGAGTGACATCGGCGCAGCCATCCAAGAAGCGATGGAGAGTTATGAGATCGAACTCAACGGAACAATGTACCCCGTGAAGTGTATTCGAAACCTTAACGGTCACAACATTGACCAGCACGTCATCCATGGCGGCAAGAGTGTGCCTATTGTCAAGGGTGGTGACCAGACCAAGATGGAGGAAGGTGAAACTTTCGCCATCGAGACTTTCGGTAGCACCGGAAAGGGCTACGTGAGGGAAGATGTATGTGCCGCGTGCTCCACCCACTTAGGTTTTGAGATAAACTAACATGGCTTCTCTGCAGATGGAAACCTCTCACTACGCCCTGGTCCCTGATGCGCCTTCAGTTCCTCTGCGGCTCTCGTCCGCCAAGAACCTACTCAATGTTATCAACAAGAACTTTGGCACCTTGCCCTTCTGCCGTCGGTACCTTGACCGATTGGGCCAGGACAAGTATCTTCTGGGGGTATGCCAAGGAGCATTTGACCCATTACATCTTTAATTACGTACTAACACAGTTCTCTAGTTGAATAACCTCGTATCATCGGGCATTGTGCAAGACTATCCTCCTCTCTGCGATATCAAGGGCTCCTACACCGCTCAATTTGAACATGTACAGATTCCATCACACTCTCATCCTTGAACAAACATGGCTAACCCAGATATAGACTATCCTTCTCAGGCCAACCGTAAAGGAAGTCATCAGCCGAGGAGACGATTATTAAACGGAATATCCATTATGATCTTATTAGCATGATCGCTTTGATGTGGATACTATGAGCCACAGGGCTCAGCACTCGAAAGAGAACACAGTGACATGACAACAGGCATGATTCTCCAGGATACATAGAATCAAAAGATATGAAAAATATGATCAACAATTATGAAAATTGATTCTGTTTCCATGTATTCAAGCATTTTTTGGACTGAAATACCTGTGTATAGAGTACCTAAACCCCTGTATCATGTGTCATTGTAGCCCCACGTGGAAAGTGTCCGCTCCGAGTTTCAGTTGTTCTCCAATTATTTATTGTCTGATCATCGACAATCGACATCCATTGCCACATATTCTTTTCTCCTCATTTTTTTAAACCAATTCATTGTCTGTCGATTTTTGGATCAATGGATTAAAGCAAGACAAGTCCTACGATCCCCATTCATCATCATCCCATCAATCATCATGCCGTCGGTCGTTGCAACTTCCGCTCCCCACCTCCGCGTGTCCGCCGCAAAGAGCCAGGGCGAGAAGCTCCCATCAGACAGTAGCTCGTCGACAAGAATTCCTCCTCCAGAACAATCGGCAGTCGAAGATCGTTTCTTTTGGACATATACCGAGGAGCCACATCGCTCGAGACGGCAGGCTATCATCAAAGCTCATCCGGAGGTATGTGGAGGATTCGACAAGTTTCCGTGCTAGATTGCTGATAGTCCGTCCCCCCTTCTTCTAGGTACTCAAGCTCTGCGGCCCTGAGCCTCTCACCAAATATGTCGTTCTAGGCGTCGTTGCCCTTCAGATCTGCTGTGCATATCTCCTTCGTGATACGCCCTTCTTTTCATGGCGCTTCTTCGCAACCGCATACATAATCGGCGCAACCTCCAACCAGAATCTATTCCTCGCAATCCATGAGATTTCCCATAACCTGGCCTTCCGGTCCGCGATGGCGAACCGGGTGCTGGCCATCATCGCCAACCTTCCGATTGGCATTCCATACAGTGCCGCCTTTCGGGTATGTAGTTCCTGAGCCTTGGGGCCGTAGCCCAAGATGCTGTGAAGAATGCACAGCTATGAAAGAGACACAGGCCTTGCTGACCACGGTCTCGCTTCCTCACAGCCATATCATCTCACCCATCACAAATCTCTAGGCGTCGCAGGCCTCGACACCGATCTCCCTACCGCCGTGGAAGCTTTCCTCCTCGATTCCCTCCTGGGCAAGGCGTTCTTCTGCACCTTCCAAATCCTCTTCTACGCCCTCCGGCCCATGTTCGTCTACAGCCCGCCCTTCACCTCCATCCACCTCCTCAACCTCATCACCCAGCTCTCCTTCGACTACGTCCTTACCACCCTCTGCGGCGGTTCCCTCCAGCCCCTTCTCTACCTCGTCTTTAGCTCCTTCCTCGCCGGCTCTCTCCACCCCTGCGCTGGTCACTTCATCGCCGAGCACTACTTCTTCTCCCGCGTCGAAAGCGGCGGCACCGAGTCCATCCAGGAACAGAAGAAGATGCACGCCGCCGGCACATCCGAAACGCAGCGAGCCCCGCACCCGATGGACTCCCTGCCGCCCCCGGAGACATACTCCTACTACGGGCCCCTCAACATCTTCACCTACAACGTGGGCCTGCACAACGAGCACCACGATTTCCCCGCCATCCCCTGGACCAGACTCCACGAGCTGCACCGCATCGCGCGCGATTTCTACGAGCCGCTCCCCTGCCACCGCAGCTGGGTCTGGGTCATCTGGACCTTCATTCTGGATAAGAACGTGGGCATGTGGTGCCGGGTCAAGAGGGCTCAGGGTGGCCGGCTGGTTGGCGGAGGTGGGAACGGACGCGCTGGCGAGGGCATCTCTGCCGGATCAGCGGGGGCTGAGGAATCTGGGGATGGGTGGAAAGAGAGTGAAATTCAGAATTGATTTCTGAACATCTGTTTTTGTTTACAAAATTGTATATCTTTTCCCGGATTTGTTTTTCAGCTGGAGTATGGCCATAGAACTAGAATAGAAGCGCAGTTTATGTCTTCGAAACTCCCTTCCGAGAGCACATCTTTTGAAGAATCCAGACTTTAAGTGAGAAACCTACAAACTCGGTTTTGTGATCGATAAATAGATTACAGTGCAAACTGCAGGAACCAAAGACAGACTGTAAAATACAAGGAAAGAAGACGAGAGAACACGATTATTAACATTTCAATAGCGTCATCATAAAGTACCCGATACAGCCTGGCTAAGAACGCGTGCATTCGATTAAAAGAAAAGATACTCGCTTTCGACAATCAATAAGTCACTGCCGGAGACAGTGGGGGTTCTTGACGCAGAAGGAAAGTCATTGCAGCAGAGCCTGAGGAAGACCGGGACACGCGAAGAGAAATTCGTGTAACTCGTGCGCTAAACGACGACCACAAACGCTCCGAAAGCTGGGGGTTGTAATTGCTAGATAAAAGCTGGTTGCTCGCCTGCAAGGTGTAGACAGGACTCGCTGCCCTTCTTTTGGGTCATATCATAAAGGAAGACTAAGAAACTAGGACGTTTGGAGGGAATGAAAACAACAAAAGAAATCGGATGAATCACAGGGGTGTGAAAAGGCACACCAGCACAAGCCGGTGATAGTGAAAACAAGAGAGGAACAGGGCTCTTCCGAGGAAAGTACAGTTGTGGACTGCAAAGGGGAAAATAAAGACAGGAAAGGCGATCAAATGAAAGGAGAGAAATGGGGAGGAAGGGGGAGGAAGCAATAAAAGACGAAATAAGTTTTAGAAGAAGAAGTAGGCAATCAAGAAACTCAACAGACATAGTCCAGCGACGACCTGCACTGGCACACCTGCCTCGGCGGACTGAGGGTGCTGTTGTTGCATCGTGGGCGCAGTCTTTTCGGTTTCACCTCCAATCTTCCTTTGTCGCAGTCCCTGATCCGCAAGTCTCTCCTTGAGTTTGTGAATCTGAGCAGTAGCCTCGGAAAGTTGCGCCTTCAAATCATCAGCCGAAGTCGGAATGCCCAATGCGGTATTCTTCGCAGACGTGGTCGAAGTCTCATTTGATTGTTGGGCCAAGGGGTCCCGCTTGGGCTTTTCTCTGAAATCTGGCGGTGGGATAGGTGACGTGTCATTGGTGGTTTTGCTGGAAACTCCAACCGCAGGAGTCTGGTAGTTCGCACCAGGGGAGGTATAGGCAGGAGGTTCTTCTTCGGATACGCTCTTGAATAGGAAGTCAGTTACCACTCGATTTATGACACTTGGATTATGTGCGACAAGGCAAACGTACAATTCCATTTGTCTCTGCAGTCTGTTCGGCACTTGGGGCATCGGCGGGTAGCCAGTTCACTCGAATCTTGCGCTCCTGAATGGCAGATTTGGAAGCTTTCTCGAACTGTAAACTGGTTAGAGGTTATCGCATGAGTGCATTGGAGGCGAAGCGTACAATGGACGAAACATTCGAAAACTCTAGATCACCAGTGACGGCGACGGTCTGAACCAGGAACTTGTCTTTGCATTTGGCGTCGGACGCAGGCTCTTCCTTCATGGCCTGGAGCAGCACTATAAATTCATCAGCGACTGCCGTTCAAACGTCGAGCGCCAACCAAGCGTATAGACCAACCATGAACATCCACACTCTTCCCCGGTTCTATCCGTCCTGAATTCGGGCGCACGCAGTAGCTGGTTTGTTATCAGTTGGAGGTTCTCATGTTGATGTGCTGTGTTCACGGAACAAGGGGGTACGCACTGCTTCGGGGCGGTTGTTTTAACCTAAATGCACAATCACTTGTCAGTCTGTATTCAGTGTGGGCTGTGACTATCCTGGGTGCGCATTCGCAAAATACCTTGAACACAACAGGCTCGGCATTTGAATTGCTCAGATGTAAGACCTCGCAGACCTCGCGATCGAAAGGGCCTATGTTTGGGTCAGTACAGGTGTTCAGAGTGCGACACATTCTGGGTTCGAGAGACCAACGTCTGAAGGCCAACTCTGGCGGCTCGAGAAGAATGGACATCGTGATAGTAGGACAAAAGGAAGTAGATCTGTGAAAGAAGGGAAAAGAGACCGAGAAAATGTAGTCGGAGAAGATAAGGAGAAGTGAGTCTAGTTGATATCGTGGAGACAAGTTTAGGCAGGGGAGATCATGAAGCGGCTGTCTAGGCCAAGGGCGTCCATAATATGGAGACAAGTCGCTGATTACGATTACCTTAACAAACCCATGGTTGGGAGTCGCAAGCGTATCAGTGCTGTGATTGGTTGAACCCGCTGAGTCATCCAAGGATACTCGGCCCAAGTCAGGTGATGTCATCACAGGCTGTCTTGCCTGTGATCCACGCGAGAGTACCTTAACCTCCGTCTGTTGTCTTGGATGTGAGCTGTTCGATATGCACTTCCAACACCGTATTCTCGATGAAGTACTATCTCCGATAAGTCTTCTTATCAAGCAAGAGTACCTTAAGACTTGAGGCCCCAAGATGTGTCCCTGCGTCACCCTCGGGATCCACAGGCTGAGATCCTCGGATCGCATCAGACTTTACCAATAGATGGACAAACAGCCGATTGGGTTATCAATCCATGCTCAGTACATGTGATCTTCTAGCACTGTTGTCGCAGATGATGGTAACATTTATACGAAAGTACCTTCTGTTCTCGCATCCATCTTATCGAAACAGCCTGGAAGATTCCCATTCTCACAGAAGAATCCGAAGTCGTTGTGGGTCGGTCATTTGGTCTCAGGCAGTATCGACAATAATGATTCCAGTAATTTAGGAATGAACTGGATGTCAGCTTTGGAACATAGTCATTTTCAAGGTCAATACCCGCCTGGACAAACATTGGAGCCTTGCAGGCCATGCATGGTCTGGAAATGAAGCGGGCATCAATCTGCGATACGAATCGACGATCTCGACATCGTTCTATTGAGGTTATCCTGACAGCTTTCGACCAATACCTTGCCCAATGGTGCTTTGGAAACAGATCAATAACCCATACTTCCTTTGATCTGCCACTTCCATCTTGCTCCTGAATATCCTAAACCAGCTGTACTATATTGCTGATTATTAGCAGCATCTTGCCATCCCTGAATGCACTGTATTCTTTTAAGCCATGGTATAGTCTTTTGTTCTTGACCTTTCTTGACATGGAAGTCTCGTACTTCATCTCTAACGATTGTACCCGTAATTCAGCAGCCGACGTGTGCCAACAACCTAGCGAACTTCGCCAGTCTGGGCTCAAAATAATCTATTCTATTGGAATTTGCAGCAAGAGCCTTAGTGAGAAAGGGTCTGTAGTCAAAGAGATCCAGATCAAGGGGCCTCTGGCAAGTCTCCGCAGTAGATATTGTGGACCATCCCGCATGTTTGCCGCTAAAGCTAAATAGCTAACGGTACGTCACTTATAAGCTGGCCTCAATCCTCTTTGTTGAACCAATTCTTCTCTGGCCTTAGAGCTCCATATAACAGAGTTTACTTACTTTCTGCAAAGCTTCAAAAACTATTGTATCTTTCAATTAACTGTCTTACGGCATCGACAGATATCCTCAGCTTCCGCTGCTTGAACTCAACACTACAAGCTTCACCACTCATACCACTTTGATCCCTGCACTCAAAATCACGTCTGAAACACATATCACCCCTCGAGATGGCTACTTCAGATCTGGATCAGCTCATTGAAATGGGCTTTGATAAAGAGAGGGCACAGCTGGCGGTAGCGAAAACTGGTGGCCGTACGATTACCCCTCACCTATTCTCGTATCGCAAATAACTAATCTTGTCTGGCTTGTGACACCTTAGTTCAGGGCGCTCTAGAATGGCTCGAAGAAAATCAAGACAAGTCTCTGGACGAGATAAAGGCTGCTGGGTCGAAGGAAGGAGATTCTGAGGAAGATCATGCATTACAACCTGGCGAAGAACCCCGCAGTCTGGTCTGCAATGACTGTGGCAAGCAATTCCGCAGCCAGGCACAGGCAGAGTTTCATGCATCCAAATCTGGGCATGTAGACTTCTCTGAGTCAACAGAAGAGATTGCACCTTTGACGGAAGAGGAGAAGAAGGCCAAGCTGGAGGCACTACGACAGAAACTGGCCGCCAAGCGAGCAGTACAGTCCGAAAAAGACAAGGAAGATCAGAGGAGGAATGAGGTAGATATATTCTGGGAAGGGTTTCCACTATAGGAGTCACCACTGACGGAGTTTGATCCAGGAAATCCGACGAAAGAGCACGAAAGAATCCCAAGATATGAAGGAAGAACTCCAGAGGAAGCAGATGATGAAAGAAGCAGCCAAGAAAAAGCAAGAGAAACTGGAAGAGATCGAAGCAAAGCGTCGCGTCAAAGCTAGAATCGAAGCGGATAAGGAGGAACGGCGACGGAAGGCCGAACAGGAAAGAGCCGAGCGTGCTGGCATGGCGCCTCCTGCACAACCTGCTGCTCCAGCAGCGACAGCTTCCGGACCTGTCGCTTCGAAGCCTGCATCCACTTACACAGAAACACGACTCAGGTTCCAAACGCCCAAAGGCAACATCATGAAGACAATGCCCGTAGATACTACGTTGTTCGAGGTCGCCACAGCCCTGAAGCAGGAAGACGGTCTCGAAGTCCAAAGCTTTGTCCAAAACTTTCCCAGAAAGGTGTTCGACTCCGAGTTCTTTGGCGAGTCTCTCAAGGATCTTGGACTTATTCCAAGCGCCAGTCTCGTCGTTCAGTGACTGCTGCGTAAGTGATTGGCAAAGTTCGCTGCTTATGATGCCAGCGACATGCCACCTCACAAGCTGATTACGATTGTTAATGAGAACATTTTTGTCCTTATTATTCTGTTCTTTTTGAAGTGTTACATTCGAGGTCGAAGAGAATAAATAGAAACACACGGCTTGACTCAATCAGCGGCGCAAGTTAGGCTACATTGTGTGAATCGTATTAAAGTCACGTGTTACCGCGATATGACCGTGTTTGGTCACGCGTTCACTTGTCTCGTGCTCTCCAATCTATCACAGACAGCACCTCAAGCTTATCATCTCAGCGAAGCATAGCTACATGCAGAATCAATGACCTGATTTATAACCCCATCCCATCCATATCATCAGTTATGCCCGCGTAAGCCTACAAACCATCACGGTCCTCCACCTTGCCATGTTGATTGGAGCTAATCGCGTCTCACTCCCTAGTGTTGGCGACCAGCACCGCGGTGGCCCAGCATGTGTCACGATGCCAAACTCGACAGGAAACATATCCAGTAATCCGTTTGAAGAGCCTCAGCGACGAATCAGCGAATATACAGCACAAGAAATCGCCACGTTACAAGCACGCCTTGATAAGAAACTAGGCCCCGAGTACATCTCCTCGCGGCCTGGTGCTGCAGGTCAAAAAGTGCACTATCTCTCCGCGGATAAGTGTATCAATCTTGCAAATGAGGTCTTCGGCTTCAATGGCTGGTCCAGTTCGATACAGAATATTCAGATTGACTTCGTATGTTGATGAGGGTCTTCGATTGGAATACAACGAGTTCTTGTTAGAATATGGAAAATGTGGCTAATCCTGCCTCAATAACAGGTGGAAGAGAGTCAACATACTGGAAAGATTAGTTTGGGCTTATCAGTCATTGTGAGGGTGACTTTGAAAGATGGAACTTTTCACGAAGTACGTGTTCAAGGTGGTTGTTTCCACATGATCAGCCGGCGCGCCATTGCTGACCGTAGTCTTGATTACGCTAGGACATCGGTTATGGTCATATTGAAAATTGCAAGGGGAAAGCCGCGGCTTTCGAAAAGGCTAAAAAAGAAGGAACCACCGATGCTCTTAAACGTGCACTGAGAAACTTCGGAAATGTGCTGGGTAACTGCATCTACGACAAGGATTATGTGTCAAAGGTTACCAAAGTGAAGGCCGCCCCTGTATGTTATTTATCCACAACGTCTGCTAAGAGAGCGCCGCTTACTGATATCTGCTGCAGGCCAGATGGGACGTCGACGAGCTACACCGGCATCCTGACTTCGCCCCAATAAAGAAGGAGCCCATCAGACCAAAGATCGTTCCAGAGGACGATGACCTTCCACCACGCCCAGCAACAATCGTGAAGAACAGCAGTGCGATTAATACTGCTGCATTGGATGGTGATGGAGAGTTTGGAAGTACGTGCAAACAACTAAACATGTTAGAAGTCCACGCTAATGGCAGTCAGGCGATCTATTTGACGAAGCTGATTTCGGGGTCGCTGCCACCGGAAACCCAGATGAGGTAGTACTTGAGCCGGAGACTCGGCCAAGGCCGCAGCCACCGACACCGGTGAATGTTCAACCTTTCAGCCGGGGTGCCCAGGGCAACCTTGCTCGTCCAAACCCAGCAGTTGTGACCCCTTCGAAACCAGAAAGGCCTTCATACACCAATAGACAATCCTCCGTGCCACCTGCCATCAATGGAAGGCCAAATCCTCCCGCACAACAAGATCAATGTGCAGGTCAGAGGCGGCATCTTCCTCAAGGGCCACAGCAGAATTTCCAAAACGCCCGGGTGGTGCCAGCAGTTCAGTCAAAAACCAGTCAAGATTCAGCATTATCTAATACAACTGCTCAAGTGCCCATCAAGCGTGAGATGGATACCAGAATTCAGGACACAGCTCCTCCAGCCAGTTCGCCATCTATTCCACCTGCTTCATTCTTCTCAGCGCGTGCGGTAGACCTGCTGCGGGAGAATCCGCATACTGCCGTGACCGCTCCTCAATTCGACCCCCATGCTGAAAGCCCGTCTATCCGTAAGACAGCTGGTGTTGATCATAGCAAGAGCGTCCCCATCTCAAGACCAATGCTGGCAGGTGCATCACCTGCTGCAAACAACACGCGCGATTTCATTAACCCTTCCATGGACATGCATCGGAAGATCGGCGCTCCAGGCGTTGGTCCCGGCAGTCCGATGATGAATCGAAGCCAAACAACCTCATCATACCGTCCCCTGACGCGGCAGAATATAGACCCCAAACAAGCAGTCAACGGCGCCGTCGCGAGTCGGGGCGCCTTCGGTCCCCCTAATACGAATGGGAAGCGGCCTCCCTTAAACGACGTGACGAATGCAACTGCTTCTGGAGGCAGCGGGCCTGTCTCCGTGGCTAGTGCTAATGATCCCAAGAGGCCCAGGATTGACGGGAATCCCGCACCGTCCGCACCGCCGCAACAGCAGCAACAATAGATCACAATTGATAAAGCGGGTTTAATATATCATTAAACATTGCATTTACCTTTTATATTTTTAGAGATTCAATTGAGCAACTGGCGTTCAGGAGCCAAAGGCTGGGATATCACGGATCAGAGATACTGGGTTGTGGATTGTATTTGGTCATGGTCTTTATGTGAGATTTTTTCAAAAGAGCGATGCCTTTCTTTTGATCTCAGGCATATGCCATTTGCTCGGCTGGCCTTGATGACTGAGTAACTTCACTCTGAGACAGCTACCTATCTTGTCCATGTGTGAGGGTAGATTGATGGGTCCTGGCATGTATCGAGTACCTCATCAGTAGTCAAGGATGGGTTAAGAGCTGAGGTATAAAACTACCAGCCTCGTTAGCGTTAAAGTCCTCGGCTTGTTTAATGATGCTGATCGTTTGTTTTCTTCCCACTCAATCTGAAGTTCCATAACATCTTCACCATGCCGAGGCCTTCAAGGTCACTATCTGGCAACAATGAAAACATACTTGGAGAATGAAAGCACACACAATAATTCCATAGAATTATGTCTACTGAGCAATGAGATCAAACGATTGAGGCTTCCTACTATTTGTCTTTTCTAACTAAACGGGGCAAGGGTACCTTTAAAGGGCAAGTCGAAGAAGGGGGAATAACAATGGAAATCATACAAGTCATGAAAGAAGGGTGTTGAACGTACGGAACTTGACGGGAGAAGGAAAGCGCAGGCACGAAGGGTGAAGGATGAACAATAAATGCATAGTCATACAAAGTTCGCATAGAAAAGCAGACTCATCACCACCCAAACGGGAGATACGGGGGTTCAACGCAAAGGACGTCCTTCTGTGGGGTTTGCGTAGATCGAGCTTCCAATGCCACCTCGAAATGGTCCATTAGGCTTCTGAAGCGTGTTGCTTTCTTGGGCTTTGGGAGCATGTATCGACTGCTGGAGCGGGTTCGGTCTTGGAGCATATCTCGATTGCTGCAATGCGTCCGGCTTTGTAGAGGGGACTGACTGCTGCAGTGGGTTTGGTTTTGGGGCATGTATCGACTGCTGCAGTTCGCTCAACTTTGGAGTGGCATTATGCACGACATTGGCCGGCGCAGACCTAGGAGCGGATCGACTAGTGAGCGCACTGGTATTCGACACATTGAATACTGTTCCTCCCAGAGCGTGCACTGAAGCCATAGTCTTGGAAGAGGTATCCTTGGTGGTAGCTGAGGGACCAGCGATGTTAGCAGTCTTAGACTCAAGTAGGTTCTGGTCGTCCTCCTTATCGAATGTAAGTAGGGTTTCTTTAGGAATGAAAACGGAAGCCTGTGGCCGATACGGAATTGAGAACTTCACCCGTGGTTGAAGTGTTCCTTGACAAACGTCGAGTCAGCTATCGCTGTTCTGAACTAACTTTGAGGTCGTAATCACAAACGTCAAAACCTACCATGATTGAGAGGCTTCTCTGCCGACGATATCTCCATTCCAGGTGCCTGAGCCTGGCCACCACGTCTGCCTGGTAGTAGATGATCGCCAAAGATATGGCTCTCGCTAGGCTTACGGACGTCCTGTCTGGACTGTGGTGTGGCCTCAACGGTGCTTGGGCTCGGTGAACCCATAATAGCACCATCCTTACTAGGCTGACGAGTGCGCTGTAGATGGTCGACTGGCGATTGAGAGGTTTCTGAGTCGCTTGAGAGGGGAGGGTCTGGGTCCCGATACTCGCTGAAACTAGTGTTCCTTTGGGTTTTGCTGAAGAGATTTCCTGGGGAAAACGGCATTGCCTTTGCGTTGAACCTGGATGGGCTGGGGCTGCCATCCAAAGGTAGACCAGATGATACATATCCTTTTTTGAGAGGTGTGCTCTCAGCCAGAGAGGATGTTGACAATGCAGGGGAGAATATCTCAGACTCTTCTGTTTCCTTTTCCTTTTCAGAAATAATAGTTGGAGCTTCCTGATAAGTGATGTTATCCTGATGTTGCTCAGCGATTTGCCCAAGGGTCTTTCGAGATGGCTGTTTAGGCCATGGAATTTGGTCTATGAGCTCCTTTTTGTATTTGATCAAAGCTTGCAGATCCTCGTCTTGTAGATGCCCAGGCACGTGTTGACGGAAAGTTGACTCCACGAAGTTGTAAAACCCAGCAATCTTCTTCTGAATGGCGTCCAGATCGACGGGTGCTTTAGCTTGTATAGAAATCGTCTTTTCACTCTTGCTTTCTTCTTCGCTATGTCTCAACGAGTCCTTCAAATCAACTGTCTCGGCTTGTACCTCACTGGATTCGGGTACTACCGGTTTCTGGGCTGGAACTGGTATAGAATAGTCCTGGAAATAGATCCCTTTCAAATCTTCCATGGCCGGACTCATCAATCGGCGATCTTGGGCATCCAGCACTTCTTTATTTGGAGGGGTCGAGTCGAAGTCAAGCAGAACTTCACTTGACACCTCAGCCGGGCTACTAGGAGTTTCTTGCTCTATGAACTGAACTGCTGAATCTGGTTCTCGAAGCTCGGTAGAGTGGCTTAGTGGCCCATCGCTCTGTGTTCGTGGTTTGTCTTGGTTCTTCAGGTCTGCAGGGCCAGAAGGGGATTGTTCTGAAGATGCCAGGCTCAATATCTGAGGACGCTGGCCTTCCTCATTTGCTGCACCAGACGTCGGGACTATGATGCCTTGCACAAATTGGCCGTTATCAGACGAGGCAGGCGTGGCAACGGCCACTGAATCTCGTTCGGAGAGTAAAGACACAACGGATTCATCATACACCTGAGCTGCAGCATTGTCTTTATGCTCTCTAATAAACTCAAGGCTTTGGAAGTGGGCATTTTCTGACAGGCCGATAGTTCTGGCTTCTGCTTCATGGCTTTTGCTAGTCACCGAAGGTGGAGACGAACTTGGAGTTTTGGCGCTGACCAGGTTGCGAGCCACAGCAAGAAAACTTTCGGGAGGACTAAGAATCCGTGAATAATCTGCTCTGGATCTACTTGAGTTTTAGATGCGCTGAGAGATTGAGCGGGTATAGGACTTACATAGGTCGTCTCTTTTTCAAGGAGGCAAGCTCTCTCTTCACTCCTTTATGGTCGTATAGGTCAGCCATGTCTCCAAACACGAAAGAAGGCCGCAATTCCTACCTCTAGTTTCTCTCTGAACTTTACGAGCATATTCTTCCCGGCCCTTTCTTGGAGAGTCGTTGTTACTATCAAGAGCAGGATCTTGGAGGCGCTTTCTGGAATGAGGTGATTCAACAAGATAGTTACCCAACTTCGAGACAACAGGTTGTTGTAAAGCCTGAGGCTGAGCACTATTTCAGGAGTCAGGACAAGTTCATAATCAAGCTCATGGCTTTCAGCACTTACGTTGGTGCAGGGTGTTTTGTGACACGACCTCTTGTTCCGATCACTCCTCCGCCACGGCCAGATATCTTCGAGCCTCTTGCCGATATAGAGCGACCACTTGGGGCTCGTTCAGCGGCCTTGAGAAAATTGTCTTTCTTTTGGACAGATTTTGAATAAGATTGGCCGCCACTTTCTTGTATTACAGCACGCAGTTGAAGGCGATGGCTTTGGCCATCGAGGAGGCTGTCCAATTGCTCCAATTCTTGGGTATCACCTATCTCTTTGTACACGTCTTCAAGGCGTTCAGTCAAAGTCAAGTCTCTGAATGTACAGAGAGGAAAACTCACTAGCCCAAGCGTTGAGGCGTGGTGCGTTTGCTTTAGCAACACGCTCTGCGTCTGTCCCGGCGACATTGGACATGCGAGTAGCTTCAATATCCTTCAAGCGAATGTTCCTAAAACTCTTGCTATCTGCAGTTGAGATGTGCTCTCTTCTAAGCGTCCCAAGGTCCTCCTAAACACACCCACAACTTGCGTTAGCAACATTCCAGTTAAGATAATCAATCATGGGTCATAAAGAGGCGAGCTCTCACCATTTGGAGCCTTTTCAAGCGCTCAGTCGCCTCATCATCCATATTGTTGATTCGGTACTCGTCTGCGATGTTGACGCGCAAAGATGGGTTGAAACGATAAGGAAGATTCGTTCTTCTGTTTTATTTAGAAGGTAGAAACAATCAACAGATCAAGCGACGGATTATGAAAAGTAAATGAATCTTTGAAAGTGCATCAGATGAATCACCCCGTCCTGTTTGGATAGGTACTAAGCTCGCTTGCGAGAGTCAACTCGAGATATGCGTAACACGAGACCCTTTGGTTGCCAGCCAAGTCTGGAAGTCTCCTCAGAAGCCCCAAGAGAAGCTCTTCCGAATACTTAGAAAGTGTCCGTTAGGGTGGTGATTGTTGATTTCATGCCTATGGCAGGTGTGAGAGAGAACAGTTTGATACAAATAAGATAAAGGGAGCAATGAACGTGGAAAGGATTGGATGAGATACAGAGATTTCAGAGAGGAAACGTATGAAGAATAAAAAGACAAAGAAGAAGGGGATGCAGGAGGGTTTGTTGCTACGGCGTCACATTGCAAACGAATCCCGGTGCCAAAGTGGAAGGATCGTATCGATTGAAACAGAGGTTGTGAGATGTGTGTCTTAGATTTGGGAGATAGCACAAACCAGAACTTATCTGTTATTGTTGTACATAGGCCCGTAAGAAGTCTTCATACTAGAAGCAGTGTGCTCTCAAACCAGCATGGAACCGAAAGCTGTCTCTTATGCAGCTAGAAGACATGGAAATGGCCCCGAATCCCACAATGACTACAGCAGAACAAAGAAGTAGAGCACAAGCTATCATGTTATGTCAGTACGCCTTCGGTGAAGATTCGGGAATTGATTCTGTATATATACAATGGCTCGGAGAGCCAGATAGGATGTCTATTGGTCAAAAGACCCAAATTGGAATCTTGCATGCCCTTAGCAATGCTTATCAGCTGCTAAGCACTGCAGGACTTTGTGCCACCCACGTCTGTAGGGGCAAGAATGGCAAGTTAACGACTCGCTTTCATTGGGATAGAGGTGCCGATGATGTAGACTCACTGCTTATCATTTTTGCTATAGCTTGCAACAAGCTAACTCCCATCACGGTAATTCCAAATACGATGCACAGGTATGCAGGTATCTTAGCTCTTCGACTCGCATTGCTTAGCTTGACGTAGCATAGTGGAGGGAAGATATATGCCAGTGCAGCAGCACTTGTCGCGCCGATGAGTTCAAACACAGCCCCGAGATCACAAGTAATCAGCGCCATAACCATAGAGGTCACCACCAGGGACGTTGTGAATATTAAGTGTCGGTTTATGTTAAATGGTTCCTCGGGGAAGTAATAGGTGGTCATGACTGATCGACAAACAAAGGCTTCCAGAGGCAATGTCGTGAGCATATTCAAGCCGAAGCAGCTGTGAGACGAATCATGTTAGCTGAAAAGACATCTACATAGCATTGGTGTACGTCGGAAGGCTTACAGTCGTGCTATGTTGACCATGATGTTGTCCGACGGGAAGTTATTGAGCACATTGCCCTCCGTATTGGACCCAAAGAAAAGAAAGCCCGAGATGCCCATAGTAAGGCACATACAGAGTGAAACCGCAGTTGAGTAGTGGGTCACCTTTGCAAAGCGATCCATAGTAGGCTTCTTGAGGGAACCATAAATCAAGAGGCTGTTGTGATCTTTCGGATGGTCAGTCAGAGCTCGCTCCAAATATCAGCCCACAAGGCACTTACGGCAAACAAAAGCTATAGTCAATTAGTGGTAAGTCCCAAAATCCCAAGATGAGCTCAACGTACCGAACGATATCACTCCAACCGCCTGAAAGAATCCCGAGTTGATAAAAAGCAGGCTCTTCACCTCTCCGCGGGATTCAGAAGGGACACGAAATCCTTGTGTAATTACAGCGACGACAATGACCGTCATGCTGATGAGCGCCAAAGTGGACGCTTTCGCCAACTGTCAGACAGTCAGCTCAAGATCGTCCACTACACCGAATATATGAACTGTACCTTTGCAATATCTCGGTACAGGGATAAGGGATATGAAATTCCCAAGACAAAAAGAACAATGGTAGCCCTCCTGTCCGTGAGGAGCCAAAGAAAGGACATGTCTCTGAGAGAAGGGAACAGGGAGCTGAAGACATGCGGTATAGTATCACCAACGATAATACAGAATGCAACCATACCACCAAAGGCAAAAGCCCATTGAGCAACAGAAATTGCAATCAGACCACTCTTCCCGAAGCAGTGCTGCATTGTCGCTTGGAAAGAATCCGCGCCGCTCAGCTTGGAGTTGACCACGATTAAGCGGATCGTCCAGTCCACTGCGACAGTGAGTCCCAGCAAGAGTATAATTCCCATGGTCATACCAGCTTGCCGAAGCGCATAAGGCTGGCCAATGATACCAGCTCCAATAATACTATTGGCCATGTTCATAAACGCCATTCGCATTCCACTCCTTGGTCTTGCACTTTCGAGATGGTCCTCGGGAAAGAAATCGTCGGAAGTCGCAAGGGTCACGCTGGGGGCTTCTATATCCGTCAGGAGAGGAACCATTTGGCCTCTACTCCCTCTCCCTGACCTGGTTGCATTCGGCCGCGCATAGTCTTCTTCCTCCAGCCAGGAGTCCTCCGAGTCGCGCGTGGGGCCGTTAAGGTGCTGTTCCTCTTCAGATTCTTCTTCAATATCAAATCGGACACGATTCGTCGTCCGAGGAGTACGGCGCGATCCATCTGGTGTTGGTTGAGATATAGACGATCGGTACTTGTGAGCATTCGGGGGAGCAGAGGGAGAGATCAGGGATGGACTTGGAGCAGGATAAACTGCTAAGTCGGCTTCTTCGTTTGAGGAATCAAGCAGCAGCGAGTGAGATTCCGCTTCGACTGGTCCATGATTTCCAAGTAGTAGAGACTCCCGTTCTTCATCCTCTTGCATTGCTGAATTTGAATATCATGGTAATGTCGCATCTTTCATCATCGGATGGTGTTGGGGGGCCAAGTAACCACGTAAAAACACACGTGATGAGTCTTATCGATAAGCAAACAAAGAACTGGGATTATCCAATCACATCACGCTGTTCTTCTATACTTCCAGATATTGGAAACATCCGTCAGGTACCTACACATAACGAACAGAAGTATGCACCATTAAGTGCCAGAGATCTGGTTGATGAAGAGTCCCTATTACCTTGAAGCATGGCCCACTCGATTGATTTAGGGCAAGCCAACTTCCGCTCCTATATTCTAGATCTGAATCTCATGCTGCATGCATCAGTAGAGTTATTCTACGAGAGAGTTCGGAGCTCAGTACAAACTCAGAATCTAGAACAACTGATCCAGTCTGCAGAGTTATGGATTATTCAAGCCCCAGAGGTTAAGATGCACCTCATTACCACCGGAGACCAGACTCTCCCGATGGTTGCAGTTTTCTCATCACTCCTTGGAGATATGCTTTGCAATTTGAGAGTACGTACCTGTGAGAAGGGAGTCACTCATCAGGTTCTTGGTCATGACGTTGTGTTAACAAGTCCTCTTAGCTTTGGTCGGATTTAGATCTTGCTATCGTGCCCAGAAGCTCTAATCATTCAGTCGAGCCGCACCCTTCAGACACCCTTCGACACTCTTTTGGATTACGCAGGAAGACCGGAAGATCCACAACCACAAAGATGACTAGAATACCAGCTACAATGCGAGCCGTAAGCGATGCTGCTCCTCCACCTACAGTTGTTACGGCTTGCTTATCTTCGATTACCATTCTCCTGGAATACTCCAGCCCGAGACAAGATATACCGAGATCATTTTCAGTGGAATCTGAATCACCGCCAACGACACGGTTTCAGAGGTTGGTAGCCAGTCCAAACAACTCATATACTTTGCTAGATGAGGACTTTTGTCGGGAGTCATCTGTAATGCAGCTTGGATTTGTGGATGAGCATGGGTACTACGACGCATTGGCCTTTCCCGAAGAACTCGCGGCCATCGACGACAACTTCACACAGCAGACAAAATGCCACAGTCAGATCTATCAATGTTTCTATGATCTTTTCTCAAAAAGCTTTCATTCACTTTTTGCTGGCTGTTCTCGGCGGGCGAACGAGTCTGACCTAGAGGATAATCGTCTCCGACCTCTGTCTCGCTTGGTACCGTCAGTGTTCAGCCTAGGATACCGAGAGGTAATGACTTCAGCCAGATATGGGAGGCAAGAAGAAGATATAGCTAACAGATTTTTTTTTTTCCATTCGCAGGCTATCAGTCAAAGATCGCACTTGATCCCTTCGATTGCCAAGTCTCTGACTTTCATGCTGAAAACAACAGAAAATCCAATTTTACAAAGAAAGATTGAAAATCTTCGAGGTCTCAATTGTCCTCAAGTTGCAGCAACATCTCAATCTCTGCAAACAACTCATGTGAGAACGGCGATACGAACGGCTCTTTGGAAAATCGCCCAGAAACAGCTATACAATCCTCAAGCTTTGCGGAAATCAAATCTGCTGGACACCCTTGATCGTTCTTTTCACAGTCACAGAGCTGTGGATGATGACCTATTCTTGGGGATGGGCATGGACGAGCTTCATGATACTCATGATATTGAGGATCAGGGGATATACGACTTTGACCACTACATAGATACCAGTGACGACAGCCTCGCATTCGAAGAGGATGACAACATAAGCGACAACATCAGTTCTCTCTTGTCTCTTGATGGAAATGGCTCGCTTGATCTAGCCGACATGTTAGAGCATGACGATACAGAAATCGATCAAACCTGGCCAAATCAAATAATGCTCAATTGCTTCCCTGTCAAATCATCCGACTCGTTAGACTATCTGCCAGAGCAACTATCGTGCCGGCTTTCTATTAGCGACAGTGAAATGCTTGTATCCGATTTCTTTGAAGACGAAGGTTCAGACCCACCGATTCTTACTCACAGCGCCACAAGTATCTCTGAGAACCTTGAGGCCATTGTTGAGGATTACGATTTTATGCTATGTGACGACTATTGAGCTGTTTTCATGTCCGGCCAAAATTTCAAATATATACATTCGATGCATTCTTACATAACCCACCAGCAATTCAGGCGTACCCTGTGAAAAACACTAAATTGAAAATCCTTAAAGCGTCTTGCCATGGATCAAAAATAAACTCTACCATTCAGAGTTTGGGAATAGTATCATTAAAAAAAAAATGCGAAAAACTAGAGCATGATACCCTCCATTTCATCTATCTATCTCATTGAGAAGGAAAGATAATGATCTCGGGAATGGAAATGGTTTAGGTTTACCATTCCCAACGCCACAGTCCAGACATACTCCTGTATCGAACGCAGAGTCTCTGGGAAAGAATATCATATCATGAACACCATCAGATGAACCCACTCCATTCAATGGCCGCGTTTGTTGCTCCATACTCCAATGACCCAGATCATTTCGAAATTCACAGTATTATGTCTCAGAGAACTCGTAGTCGAGCAAGTGATGCGCAGCAGTCATTCACTCATTATTCAGGCGATATTAAACTGTTTATTTGAACTCGTTGACTGAAGAATGGATACGACGCTTCGGAATGTTTTCATCCTGTCCAGAGTCCTCGCGCAAGGGACCGGGTCTCATGCCGGCTGGCCAGGAAGGCGCATCAACAGAAAGCGCAAGGGGTCTGAGCCTAGTCTCGTCAAAAAGTGTAATGAATATCTCATCCAGAGATCTGGATTTAGGCCAAGAAAAATTAAGGTATTCTTCAATGATGGCTGCCATATCCCACCCCTGAAGTTTGCGGAAGCAGCCGATAATGCAACCGGTTCGGTGCTGTGTTAAGTTTAGCCAGAAGCATTCTAGGGTAAGATCATTCTCGTGGGCTTACCCTGCCCTTGTTGCAGTGCACAAGCATTGGATGGTTGGCTTTGTTGAGTAGTATCTCCAGGATGTAGTTGACGATGTGATCTGGTGTACGGACCGCGGGATCTTTGTTGGCTTGGACCAGAATGCGGCGATGCTCAATGCCATTTTCTTTGAGAAAGACCTGATGATCTCTTGTGTATTCACCTTCGACAAATGTCCTGAACAGCTGGCATAAGTAAGACGTTCGGTACAGTGTGAATACAACATACACAATCATCTTGAGGTTCAACTTTTTGAGGGCAGGAAGATGCCATGGCTGGGGGAAACTGCTTCTATAGATGCCCTGGACGACTTCCCCAAAATTGAGGGGCAGTGTTTCAGCATCAAGGTCATCAGTAGTTTCTGTAGCTGATTTATCTCTCAGATGAGTTCTCTCCCCTGCTCGACGCGTTCTGATTAGTCAAATGTATCTAGCACAAATGGCAGGCCAACGGCGGTAATAGACTCACCACCTCTGCCCTTAAGGGAACCATTGGAAGCCTTTTCAGTGAGTGGCATAGCCATCTGGAAGTTCTTTCCTGCAAAAGATGAGCAAATTCTAGAATTTGACGCGTCTAGTATGATCAGATGCTTCTCCGATCGCCTGATTCCTTTAGACCCTTTTTATTTTCGATTAGGGAGATGTAACGAAGGGCAACTCCTTCGAGTGTGGCTATCAGTCCAAGGATAGATAGTCAACAAGTGTCAGGAGGAAGCTTTGTGAAAAGTGCTTTCGACAACGGACAGAGCCATACGAACTATACTCAGGAAGTGGGAGGATGGCCTGCGAAACAGGTCGTCAAGCAGATAAAAGAGCTTGACGAGACGCCATGATGAATAAGAGATCGAAAACTTCGAGCGTCAAGTTGGATGAGCAAGGGAGAAGGGGGAGAAGGAGTAATAAGAAGTGTATGTTCTTGGAAACACAGGAAAGAGAGAGATGAGACTGTTTAAGCAGTAGACAGGGGCGGTGAGCTGGCAGAAGGAGTGTCAACAGGGTGAATAATGATGCCCATGACAAATTGCGCTAGCAAGAGCATGATCTGGGGATATCCTCAGGAAGACCTGTATTGCTCCTTTATGTGGGGGAGCCTGTTTCAAACCATCCATTAACAGACGGTAGAAAACACGACAACGTGCTTCTGTCACAACATCACACTTGAACAAAGATGATGTCTAGCCTGGTTTGTTCTACCTTTCATCCAGGGCAGCATGGTAGAGGGGAACACTCACATTTGGTCTTCTCTTTGGCATTGGTATCGTTCCTTTGATCATCAGACAACATCATTTGCGGGTTATGACGCCTCAAGCGAGGGAAAATAGAGCTTTATTCCATAAGATGCATAGTCGAGGATTCATCAAGATCAGGAAGCAGACTTTTCAAAACACGCTTGCGATCTTTTCTAATCTATGATGGCCATAAATGGGGGTATAAATAGCACAAATCAAAACCACAACTTCTGTGTAGCCAATTGAAAGACGTCGATTTGGTAAAATAGAAAGCCCACGGAGGTATGACTGAGTCTTTCCAACCTGAAGAAGAGCATCAGAGCATGTTGAGTAAAGAGTTACGATCCTTGTTCCCCGAGTCCGAACATTCGGATTGAGTTGTTCCACGCCCTAAAAGAAATAAATCAGCCATCTGGAAGCCATGAAGATCACAATCTGATAAGCATACGCCTCGCAAACCTCCTCGACTGTAATTCCCTTCAGTTGAGCAATAACCCATGCGACATGGGCAATCGCAATAGGTTCATTGCGGCCTTTGACCATGAGTCCTTTCTGCCATTTCTCCTTCTTAACTGCCTTTGGCAATGCAGGTGCGCCTTGCAGGTACTTTGAAGATGCGTGGGAAGGCCGAATTTCGCACTGATATATCAAAGTCAATAAGTAATTATCTAGTACGGGAATATTGCATACCCAAGGCCCATCTGTTTCGATCTGAATTCGATCAAGTGGAATAGCTTTTACCACTTCCAGATTCTCATCCGTCTTGAGACTGCAACCGTTGACACCAACGTCCAGACCAAGTGCCACCATCCGCTGCATCTCCTCCATTGTTCCTGTAAAACTATGCACCAGACCTCTCTTGGGAAGTTTCTCTAGCCTGGGCGCCAGTAACTTCTCAAAGTCTTCACTAGCAGCCCGGGAATGAAGGAAAAGAGGAAGCTGTATCTCCACTGCGAGATCCAGTTGAGCTTCAAAATACTTCAGTTGGGGTTCTTTCGCGCTCAAAAACAGTCGATCATAATCCAAACCAATCTCGCCGAAGGCCACAGCATTTCCAGACTCCTTTGCTTCAATGGCAAGAGACCGCAGCTCCTCCAACATCTTCGCTGGACCGCCGGGAAATTCATCAAAAAGCTTTGCTTGGCAGGGATGAACACCAACAGTTGCATAACAGAATCCCGCTGGCAGTCAAGCGTGTCAGGCTTGGTGGTACCATGATATGGAAGGGGCTTGAGCCGACATACGGTATTTCTTAGCAAGTTCGATGGCATGTCGAGACTCTACTAGATCTGAGCCTGTCACCATAAACTTGGTGCATCCGATATCACGAGCACGTTGAATAATATCGTCCTGATCATTTTCGTGTACCTGTCTACCATGATATTCTCCTCGGAACACTGGATCCCCAAGGTTGATGCCAATCTAAATAGCACCGCTGTTAGCATACATTCCCGAGTAAGTAGTTTGAGTTTGAAAAGATACTTGCATCAACGTATCTCAACTGCTTGTCCGAGTCACTCATTTTGACCTTGGGTGTGATATCGCCTGATTGGGTAGAATAACAGATTTTCTGAGGAACTTTTGTATACAAAGATTTAAACGGAATGTTCTTGGAAACTGTTGTGATTGTGAGCCAACCTGCAATACTACCAGTCCATATTCGTCTCATAGGTAGACATCGATAGCACGTTCCCTCCGAAACAGATATTTGTCCAGTTCAAAACATACCTGAACTGTTTTTTAATGGTCTGCAGAGCAAATGCGATTGCACCTCTGGGGACCTTGTTCTGATTCTGAATCTTACAGTGCTGAGGAAATTGATGGAGTTACTATTCCCAGAGATCCTCAGGAAACTGCTTACGGCGTGAGTCACACGCATCAGACAATGAGTCACTTCTTTTAGGCGCCCAAATATCACCTCAAGCAACCTTGCTGAGTGAAACTCATTAATATTTACTCCGCTTGTAGTAGTTGTCGAATGTCGGACATCATAAAACGCTTCAGACAGTCTCCACATGACTAAAGTCACCAGCCACGGATAAGCTGAGCCATAATGTGGCTACAACATGTCCATTGATTACATAAGTATATTGTTTCGGAGAGATTACCGAGCACCGCGAGCACCGCGATGTTCTCCCGACTCTGTGGTTCTCAATTCAATCATCAATGATACTCCATACAGGGCATGCTTGCTGAAACCGGCCATGTGTCCACTGGAGTTGTCTCATGGTCCCTTGAGACTTCAATTGATACTATTAAGGATGCCGATAGCTTGGAGTTATGATATGACAGGCTGACAACAATCCTATTTCTGGCTTATCGGCATCCTTTATAGTAGTCTTAGCCTGAAGTCTGGTTATCAAGCTGCATCCTCTAAGGCTCTAGGATGGCATTGGGCTGCAGTGGAGCCAAGGATCAACTGTGCCAATTTCTTCTCCACACTTTGATCAGACACCTAGTTATTCCCGGGTGCAACACCGCTTCGGCTCTTTATAAACATCAGTGCAGGCATTGTCTTGCTTGGCTTCGTGTCTCTTCTATTCACACTTTGCTTGCAATCTTCGGGGGCTTGAAGAACTGGTCTGTAAACGAACAGCTAGAACAATTTTCTGTCGCGCAAATGGCAGCCGATAAACTTCTATCTGTTGAAGAGGTGTCTAAACATAAGACACCTGAAGATTGTTGGATTGTTGTCAACGGTCAGGTGTGGGACGTAACGGATTTTGTGGAAGAGCACCCCGGAGGTCCTACGAGTGAAATGCACTGGCCTCATCTTACGTCACTAGACAGTGACTAGAGTCAATCGCTCACAGTGTGTAGTTATTCTGAAATATGCGGGTCGCGATGCCACCAAGGCCTACTCAGAGGCTCATACTCCCGGTGTCATCAAGCAGTATCTCCCATCAGAGAAGTACATGGGACTCCTTGACAAGTCCACAATCAATGATGAGTGGCTCAAGCAACCACCGAGCGAAAATCCACAAGTCGTCCTCGAAAATGAGAAGCCACCTCTTGATACCCTTATCAACTCGCATGACTTCGAACTTGTTGCGTCTAAGACAGCCAGCAAGAAGACGTGGGCATTCTACTCAAGTGCTGCAACAGATCTGCTTACTCGTAATGCGAACAAATCTTGCTTCGACAGAATATGGTTCCGGCCTCGAGTGCTCAGGAATGTCCGTTCTGTCGATTCGAGCTCGAAGATTCTCGGCATCGACAGTAGTCTGCCTTTGTTTGTAAGCCCCGCCGCTATGGCCAAACTCATTCATCCGGATGGGGAGTGTGCCATTGCGAAGGCCTGTGAAAGCAGGGGGATCATGCAGGGGGTAAGTCTTCGATGGATTACTCCTAGTATACTTCTTGGTTTATATGCGCATCAGTAAGGCTAATCAAGTGTAATATGCAGGTTTCTAATAATTCTTCCTATACTTTGGAAGAACTTACGCAAGCTGCTCCCTCAGCGAACTTCTTTTTCCAGCTGTACGTCAATCGGGATAGGGAGAAGTCCGCTGCTCTCTTGCGCAAATGCTCAGCCAATCCCAACGTCAAAGCTATCTTCGTGACTGTCGATGCCGCCTGGCCGGGCAAGCGGGAGGCCGATGAGCGAGTCAAGGCCGACGAGAATCTGTCTGTCCCGATGGCGCCGTCCCGGGTGAAGAACGACAAGAAGGGTGGCGGTCTTGGGCGCGTGATGGCTGGCTTCATTGACCCCGGACTGACCTGGGAGGATTTGGTGTGGGTCCGGAAGCATACCCGTCTACCTGTGTGTCTGAAAGGAGTGATGTCTGCCGATGACGCCATCCTGGCGATGCAGGCTGGGTTGGATGGTATCCTTCTCAGCAACCACGGAGGGCGCAATCTCGACACTAGTCCTCCCTCGATTGTTACTCTTCTGGAACTTCACAAGCGCTGTCCCGAGATCTTCGGCAAGATGGAGATCTACGTGGACAGCGGAATCCGTCGAGGGACCGACATCCTCAAGGCCATCTGCCTAGGTGCCACAGCTGTTGGGATGGGACGCAGCATGCTTTTTGCTACTAATTACGGCCAGGAGGGAGTTGAGCATTTGATCGATAGTAAGCATCTCCTTTCCCGTTTTTTCGTGCCGTTTGAGACAAACTAACTCCAACTACACAGTCATGAAGGATGAACTGGAAACAGCGATGCGGAACAATGGAATCACGACGCTTGACCAGGCTGGCCCACACATGGTCCACACGGGTGATATCGACCATCTTGTGCCTGACTCCGCGTCACATCCGTACGCCCGAGCAGTCGCAAGGGGTCGATCTGCCACGGCAGTCGCCAAGCTTTAAAGCTCCAAGACGGGAACCGAGAAGTTATTCGTTTTCCCAGGGAAATTTCACGGTAGCGTTGCTTTGAGAGAACGGGATATGAAGTCAACTACAGCGACTGATAGATACTGGTCATTGCTACTCGGATAGGCGCGATGTATGTCTCAAACTCATACATTTCTGACTGTTAATGTTCAAAGTATCAATCAATGCAATCATCGAGCCTCAACCAAAAAAAAAATTTTGACAGTTGCAGTAGTGACTCGCGAGATGATGTGTCTGTCACTCACTCGGTAAAATGTTTGTTTGGTCTTAACGAAGTCGTGGGCCGAAAAAAAAAAAAAACAAAAACAAAAAAATGGTCCCGACGAGGGTCGAACTCGCGACCTTGGCGTTATTAGCACCACGCTCTAACCAACTGAGCTACAAGACCTGTTGGTTGAAACGTTTATCGATTGATTAATTTATATTACAATTATTTTTGTTTCAAGGGGTTCCATCATCCCCATACAAGAGTAAACACCCAAGATAGTGAATGATATATTCAACCCACACCTCCAACTACAGATATCTTATGGTAGACTGGATTCTTTTAATGATCAGCACATAGTAACATATCTGTTCTCTACGCTACACAGCAGTACCTCAGAAGCTCAGAAGCATTGTAGTCTAGAAGGAAAGAACAATCATCGAAGCTTGAGGACCGAGTCAACTCCCATCCACCCAGCCAAATGCCGTGAGTCATCCCATGGGCGCTTCCCCATAACCGACGGATAAGCTGAACACATTGACTGATCGGCTCGCATTGATCTTTCCCGAAGGACATACGGAAATGACCTTATTGAGGAATGTGGAATCATCTTTTCTGGAGGGGAGTCCTCCGTCAGGTGGAATATTCCGGAGTGACCACACCAACTCCGTCCCTCAGTCTCACGTGCCCCCTTCCCCACCATCTCTCAACTGTTGAGAGTTGACATGTGTGTTTGGTCTGCGATCAGTCATCCATCGATGTTTCCGATTTCGAATTCGGAGTACGGAGCTCTTACCATTTCTAGATTCGTCAGTGATCTTTCTACTATCCTTGTTAGTTTACGGGACATTTTCTCGATAATTGGACCATTGCCCCGTTTTTCGGGTTGAAGTATGGGGTTGACGGAGAGAGGAGATGGGAATGAGTACACGAAGCAGATGACGCTGATGTATTTGAGCATGAAAATAATGGGTACGTTATTTTTTTTGATGCTATACGGAGTAGATAGTGTCTATATGACTAGATTTGCATGGGGATTGGTTGGCTGTGTCGCATTGGTTTCCTACATTCACCCTGTTGTCTTCATGGTTGTATATATATATATATCTACAGGGCCAGTTGACATTAGGGAGACCCAACCACATGCACCACATACAATAAGCAACAACCACAGACACAAACTGACGCGTCCCCCAAAGTCTCAAATACATAACGATGACATGGCTATGAGATGGACCTACAAGTTGGTTGGAGAAAAGAGCAGACCAAACATGCAATGCCTTATATTAAAGCCAGTGTAGAGTGTGTATCCTTACCATAGAACCCCGGAATATTAGCAGTAGTAGTATGCAATATGCAGTATGCAGCACAGGGATTCCATGGAGCCAAAATGAGGGGAGGAAACATCCTAACACGAAAGGTTATTCTCAAACGTGCCAGTCAGACTTGAAAGCTGGCTGGTCAATCCAAACCTCTCGCTCAGATGATCATCAACTGACCAATCTTCAACATTCCCGCCAGCCAAATAGGATCCAGGAGTCATCAAACTAAGCCATGGGCTGATTTATTGGCTGCTCTACCAAGCGTGAGCATCTGGGGCAGCTAGTATAGGTAGGTTTTGTCTCATCCATCAAGAAAGGAGCACAGTGCGCATCTTCGGTGACTGTAGAGGTACCAAGTAGTACAGGAAGTACGACGCAGATTCCATCCTACTTCCTCACACCTACCACACCATTCCCAGTTCTACCCCTCGTCACTCACCCATTTTGGATTGTTGAAGGGGACTCATCACTTCCCCCTGTATTATTTATTGTTCTCTTCTGTTTTGTTTACAAGAGTTGTCATGAGAAATAGCAGGAAATCCCTTACTGATCTGGATGATTTCCTGCATAGAAGGACAGCTTGATCCTTAAGTAGACTACCCCATACCTTAGCTACTATTACCAATTTACCATCTGCTGGGTCAATCAGTCAGCATAGCCAGACTTGGCCAGACCGCCGTTCCCCAGTTTCAGACAGTCAATCAATATAGTGACTTTAGACTTACCTAGTGTGAATGAAGTGTCCACCCGGGAAGACTGGAAAGTTAAGTGAGGTAAGGTAAAGGAGAGCTCATTCTTCCGCCGCTCCCTCCCCCAACGGTTCCGTGAGGTACTCAAGTATCGCAGCTTTCCCCGGTTTGTCGTCTGGTGCTTTTCTTTTTCTTCTTAAACGTCCCTTCTCCTCCCGTGTACAAAATTTCTTCTCATATCTCTACTTTTCGCTCACCTTGTCTGTGGCTATACACTCAAGTTCTTTTATCAGTCCGATTCCTTATCGAAGTTCCCTTCAGCCCTACCTTCATACTTTATTCCAAAGCTCAACAAACCCTCCAAGTTCACTGAGTTGACCAACACGACTCATCAAATAGCAAAGACCTCTATCTTACTGTCATCGTCATTACCCCACAAAAAATTATGGCTGCTCCTCGTTCATCTTCGTTGCGCGCCCTCCGCGTGCTCTCCCAGCAACATACTGCTACACCCTGCGTACGCCGTAGCTTGCACATCACCGGTGTCCATTCGGCTCAACCGATTAATGTGTCCGACAAGGCCTCCTTCTATGCCACTCGTACTCTGGCCGACCTGAAGAATGAGTGCCAAAAGAGATCATTGAGATTTAACGGCACCCAGGCCGAGGTATGTGTATTCTGCCTGTCTATGGACCTCCCATCAGTCGACAGCTCACTCATCTGTTATTTGAATTACAGCTTGCGGAACGCCTCTCCAACCATGACGTGCTTCAATCCCGTGCTTTCAGCATTGCATTGAGAAGAATCAATGGCAATGCTTCCACTGAGTATGTTGCTATCTCTCTATACTTCAGTTGAATATTCCCCAGTGCTAACATCTACGCGTTATCGGAGCAGGCCTTCCACCCGCCAATTCAATACCTCCCGCGCCCTCAAGGCCGTTGGAGATTCGTCTACCGTTGATTTTGCATATCTCCCTTCCATGGAGGAGATCGATGCTTCTCCTGCTCGTCCGGATCCCCGCTTTCCAATCCTTTCCGACATCTACAATTCAAACATTCCAGCACAGGAGACCCCCAGGTCGGACCCACCCATGAAGCTCCTGGTTTATGCTGTGGGCGGTGGGGACGTTGCTGCGAGCCCCATGAGCGAAGTGGTTGACAACTCCTCCGTGGATATTGATCCCTTCTCCCTGACGGAGACAGTCGGTCGGTCCCGCTTTGGGGAAGCACTGCAGAGATCACAGGCCAAGGAGCCCGGTGTTGTAAAAGAGCTCTGGACTGGATTCCTGGAGGATCTCATGGGCCCCAAACAGGCGAGTCAGAGAAAGTGATCTCATGAAATGATTTGGTGTTAGGTGGAGTATTAGCGAAACGTTTCTGTTTGTTATCATTATGTTCTTTTTTTTTTCTTAATTCTGTTTACTCTTCAGCCCTGTCATTTCTTTTTTTTTCTTTTCTTTTAATTTCACGATACGGCTTTCTTGACACTCGCTATACGATATGACTGTGTTGAACTATTGCCTGAGTGATTTTGTATTGAGGGATGAATGGCCAGTGAGGGTTAGGAATAGGTGTATTCCCCTACACCGGATGTACAATCCATGGCCCATGTGAATTGACTTTTTTAAATTCCGAGGACATATTGCTTACTCCAACTGCATGTTCTGAAGTAAATACCATAGGTAGTTTGCTATTCGTAGCATGGCATTTTCACTACACTAGGTACCGTTGCACGAGTGCATACCAACAACCAGCCAATGCAAGCGGAGATGACGTCGGGTATACTCCCACCACTCGATTATCAACATTTACCTAGGCTTCAAAGTCCAGGGATCGACTCTACATCATATTTCAGAAGTTGAAGACAGGAAAGGAAAAAAAGAAGAAAAAGAAAAGATCATCCATGTCAGTTCGGTACTCGGCTATATTCAGCGGACGGTCTGTCCACTGTCCACTGTCCACAGCTCCACAGAGCTAAGTACAAAGTGTCTGGAGAGTGATGAGGTGATGCTGCTTCCCTGGCGTTGGCGGGCAAGTTTTCCGGTCCCTTCCGAGTGTGGGTTGTTGTGCCTTGGGATGCAGTATAAATGATAATAGTATTAGCCACGGATCTTCCATCCATGAATCATGATTTTAGCCAGCTCGTTTTGAAATTGATGCTGGGGCTTGGGGGGGATGGCGGGGTAGGAGACTGGGATTTTTAGTTTCTACGGAGTAACTACTCGTATGATTTGGTGCTTATGCTTCTTCCCCTCCAGGGACGCGTAGTGGTGAGGTAGGGGTACGTACCTTGGATGGGGTTTGCCAGTTGGCTGGAGAGTGTAAGGTGAATGCAGAAGCTGGAGCAACCAACTGGCAATATTAATAACAATGGAAATTTTTGACTCCTAGGCGCTACCATGCAAATGAACACCAGTCATTATTGTTGGCATGGTTGTACGGGAGCGACCTATCTCAGTGCAGCTGGTCCCTAATCCAAAATCCAACGACTGCATAGTGCATACTCTGCCTTGGCCTTGTTTGGCTCTCTTTTACAGTCAGTTGTACGGAGTAGAGACAAGATACCAGACACCTTGATAGTACTGCAATGGGGGAAGCCATCATGTGGCAATACCAACATCAATTCAGGGGTACATAATGCCCTCTTCCACTTGGGACTTTGAAAGGTCACATGGGAGTCTTTGAAAGGATTATTCTAAATTGACTGGGCCAAGAAATCTAATGAACGTTGAGTGTGATCCTTCCACGTGACTTGCAGATAGTCCCAGTGGCCCAGTGCAAAGATACTGCATGCGACAGCATGTATATCATGATTGGGACTGACGAGTCCAACGAAGCTTCCAGGCCTAAGGGCCGGAGCCACTGAGATTGTGGTAAAATTAGTACCGATCAGCCTTGAATCTATTCTACATACATGACAACAAGCAAGAGAATCAACATTCAAATACAACAAGACGAATACAAATTATTAGAAGTGTATGCTCTCTGTACAATGTAAGCGCTCAAAAGTGGCAAAGCAGTGGGGATCAACCAACACTTGAAACAACTCTTGCGCAGCGCTGCGGTGGCAATGGGTCTGGGTCTAGGATCTGACTGCATGAGACTCGTCCACCGCGATGATCAAAATACAGTACTACAGTACTAGGTACAGTCCTACTACATACTATATGTACTTGACTCCTCGATCGACAAACGAGGATCATGCATTATTTTGATGCCAAGTGGTCCACAAACAAAGGAAGTTGCCCTGCTTTGTGTGATAGATTGATGATTATGCCTGGTGGCTGACTCCATATCAAAATGTCTCTGACTCTCTGCTTAGTTTCTTGGTCTAGCCGAAGCGAACAGCTGAACATCAATGACTTGGCAGTTCTATGTATGTCCTCCAGTCCAGGGTTGCTCTCAATCGAGGACCCCATCACTGGGATGCTGAGAATGTTCATGTCTCATGCCCTCGTTGATATCGCTTCTGTTCAATGTTAATACTGTTCTCTCGCAGCCTTGGAAATTATTATTAAATGCAACGAAGAAACAACAACCCCAGTCTTGATTCCACGTCCTGTTTTAGAACGCAAAGACCCGCAGATCGTAGCAGAAGCGCCAAGGCCGCACTGGCATAGCTCTGGCCAATCAACATTGACTAGCTTGAACTTTAACGAAGTCGCTTGGCCACTAGGACAACTTAGCCCAGTCAAATTCCTGCTTTGCTTGTCTGAAAGGGGAAAAGAGAGCGGAGAGTGAGAGCCAATTAGGACTAGTAACTGTAAAATGCCCAAGTCAGTCGACTGACGCTAGACTACTCCAGGTTACGCTCGCTAAAGATAGTTGGTACTACTCCCGAAGTGGTTAACCTTCCTAGGCAAGTAGGAACTACTCTCTCCACTAAGACTACTAGTACTAGGTAAACTACTAGACTGCTAAACTGTCAAGTGTCAGTGGATGTCATCCCCTATCAAGCATCTGCATCTGCGTTCGCACTTCTGCACTTTTGCACCTCACCATCGATTCTCCATCTCTTTTGCCTCTGCAATGAGCACTCATCATTCTGCTTGGCAGGGTGCAGTTCTTTGTGTTGGTTGACTTTATTTATTTTTATATCCTTTTTACTCTCTCACCACTTTAGCATCTGCCTGTCCTACTTGCATTGTCTGGATTTCTCTCAATAATTACAGTAATACCCCATAGACAAGCATTGCAAAAAGTCATCTCGAACCCGATATACTCTCATTAACACAATCTAATCTTTAATATACATCGAAGAGTGGTGTACTCACAACCTTCGGTCTTTCGCGCGGTTGGCTCTTCAGATGATTCTGTCAATCTCGACTTGAACATAGATCTTCAAGGATCATGCGCTTCTCACAATGTCTCCTTACCATTACCTATCTCGCCTCCACTGTCACTGCTTTTGTTCCCTATTCGTTTCACCTCGAGGCCTCAACCGATGACTCTGCCGCCAATGATGTCGCTCGCCGTTTCGTCCCATGGACGTTACTTGCGGATGATCCAGGCGATGAACCCGAATCCATCACACTGGATATCAAGAAGATGCCGGTTCGTCGTGATAATAAATACAGAATCGTCATCGCAGACACGCCTACAACACCGAATACTGCCGCTCTCAGTCAAGATGGCATGGATTACTCCTACTTCTGTGCAGTCGACGTGGGCTCGCAACGTCAGCGAATGTGGATGCTTCTGGATACAGGAGGACCTAACACATGGGTCTTTTCATCGGAGTGCGAGACTGAAACTTGCACAAACCATACCAGGTTCGAGCAGCCTGCTTCCAAAACATTGAAACCAGAACCATACGCATGGGCTATTGGCTACGGGAAAGGACAAGTTAGCGGTGTTCTCGGGAACGACACACTCTCGATTTCTGGCATGGATATTTCGGTGACGCTTGGGCTGGCGAAGAATGCCTCAAGTCACTTTGACACGTATCCCGCCGATGGTATACTGGGTTTAGGATGGTCAAACAACAGCAATTTTGACCGACCATCGTTCATGGAGATCGTCAAGAAGCAAGGCTTGCTCAAGTCGAACACACTTGCATTCAGCTTCTCTCGAAATTCCGATGGAGCCAAGGATGGAACCGTGAATTTCGGGACTGTGGACACAGCAAAGTTCACCGGGGAGATCACCTACACTGATATCGTCCCAAAGAGTAAGCGGTGGAACATTCCCTTGGACGATGCTAGTGTGAATGGTGTACCATGCGGATTCACCAACAAATCTGCCTTCATTGACACCGGAACCTCTTACGCGATGCTTCCCCCCAAGGATGCCATAAAGTTGCACAACCTCATTCCGGGTGCCACCACCTCAACAGCCGGAGACAATTTCACGCTACCGTGCAACTCGACGGCAGTGGTACAGTTCAACTTCTCTGGCCTCAGTTACAGCATCTCGCCCAAGGATTACGTCGGGCCCCGGAAAGGGTCCTCCTGCCTTTCCACCATAGTAGGGCAAGCGTTAGATGGCGACGACATGTGGCTCTTGGGTGATGTGTTCTTGAAGAACGTTTATACTGTATTCGACTACGACCACGACCGCATCGGCTTCGCGAACCGTTCTGTTCCCATTGTTTCTACTACGACAACTGCAGTTCCAAGTGCGACTGGCACTGGCGAAGCTAGTTCGAGTTCGGCGGATCCTGTAATAGTCCATAAGGGGAGCGCAACGTCTACTCTTGTGTTGAGATCCCTCTATTTGCCAGCCTTGTCGGTCATTCTTTGCATATTTTTGCTGTAGCGTGTCTCAGAACCTTACATCTCAGACTTCTATACCGGGTTATGTATATTTTACCCTTACGCATTCCCCTGTCACCAATTGCGGCCCACGTTGATCATTTAGTCAACGCATCATTCTCCTTCTCAGCATATATACACGATGCATACATATATTGAAGCGTGCATCAAATTTTATCCTACTGTTAACCTCTGAATATCTTGAGTCTATCTATAGAGGTCTATGAAACGATCTACTTGTATATACTGCCCGGCTGTCAGAAATGAGCTTCCAGCAAGTGGAAGCGCACATCCTCAAACATCCTTCCTAAATTATTGCACCGCGAAGATGAGCCGCTACACATGTAGTGTCTGAATAACGACGTCAACCCCTCCGGATCTAATCTCACTGACGAGAACCCCTCGATTAGAGTACTTTATCTGGGATGTAGGTGTAGGACTTTGGATACGATTCTGGATGAAAATTAGAAACCCGTATCTGGATGGATTCTGCTACCGGAGAAGGACATACCTAACATGGTCCGGTCGAAATCCTTGACGCTTGTGAACCCTCCAACGGCCATAAGGATATCAAAATCCGCCAGAAGAGACTTCATGACGTGGCGCACGCCCTCCTCGCCCATGATACTAAGCCCCCAAACCCAGAGGCGGCCAACAAACACGAATTCCGCGCCCAAGGCCAGCGCTTTCACGACATCACTCGCACCCCGGACCCCGGAGTCAAACATGACGTAGATCTGGTCGCCGACGGCGTCGACGATGCTCTCCAGCGCATCGAGACTGGCAATCGCGCCGTCGACCTGGCGCCCGGCATGGTTACTCACCACGATACCGTCGACGCCGTACTCGACGCATTTGCGCGCATCCGCGACGGACTGGATCCCCTTGATGACGAACGGACGGCCACCGGAGAGGGCCTTCCACTTCTCGATGAGCCAGGGGATGGTCTCCCACGACCAGGCGCGCCCGTGCCAGATGGAGTCGATCCACTTAACGGACGCGGCGACGGGGTCTTTCTCGACGTCGATGCCGGCTTCCGCGCAGCGCCGCCGGAACACCGGGTCCGAGAGCCCCAGGTCCGCGCCGACGCCGCGGTAGAACGCGTAGTTGGAGTTGGCGACGTCGTCGTGCCGCCAGCCCAGCTGCCAGGTGTCCGTGGTGAGGATGAGGGCGTCGAAGCCCGAGGTCCAGGCGCGCGTGAGCAGCGAGAGGGTTAGCTCGTCGTCGTGCGGGAGGTAGAGTTGGAAGAAGCGGGGGCCGGTCCCGTTTGCGGCGCCGACTTGTTCGATCGAGGTGCTCCCCGCTGTGGACAGGCAGTAGGGGAGATTGAGCTCGTGCGCGACTTTGGCGACGGGGATCTCCGCGGCCGGGTTGTAGATCTTGTTGATGCCGATGGGCGCGAAGCCGATGGGTGCTGAGACTTTGTGGCCGAAGATCTCGGTCGTGGTGTCTCGCAGGTTGGTGTCGACAAGCTGCCGAGGTACGATCCGGTGGCGGTAAAAGGCTTGTCGGTTTGCTAGATGGGTATTGGACATGCCTGCATTGGACGAGGCGTAATACCTATGCATCTGCGTGTCAGCCGATGTCACTTTTTCTATGCCGTATATTGTCTTTCTGAAGGGTGAGGTTGTACCAGCCTCCTTGGCTGAGCTTCTCTCGGGCAAGCTCTTCAAGTTTCCTGGGATCTTTGTTTTCGATATGTTAACCAAGCTTTACGAGATGTCTCAAACACATCATATCAGCGTACCAGTGTCGAACGGAGGAGTCTGGCCCTCGTTCGCTTTCAGGAAGTTCTCCCGCTGATAGAGAGCCCATTGGGGCGTTGATCTTTTCTCGATATTGGGGTTACTGGGGTCACTCATTGTATCTGATGGTGTTCTTCAACGCTGAATACTTCTTTCAATTCTGGGACATGTGCTGTAACCTGTTATTTAGACCCATGCCTCTGTACAAAGATGTTGATATCGAGGACCCCAGAACTTCGATGTGCTATCGATGACTTCATTTTGACGCACTATCCGGACGAGAAATGCTTTGAGGCTCATATGGACTAGGTGGATCAGTTTTAGACGGGCAAAAGGAGACATGGAAGTAAGTCATGATAGCTCTTTTCATGGGAGGTATAGGAGAATGAGCCGGAGTTTGATACTCAATATCAAACTCGACTGACATACTACTAGTATACCCAAATGCTGCAGAGCGAGATAATGATGTCATCAGGCCTACGCAGCCAGCAGCACAGCAATCTTTCTATCTATCAAATTGAGAAAAGTTGAAGCAGCATAGAGATGAGTTAGAAATTCATTGTTTGTCGTTTATCTCTCCGTACATCTTATTGCATCCCCAATGCCTTCCTTCTTAGCAAGCAATAGGGGTTCATAAGAACTACTCCGTGTTGCTTGATTGACCCCCCGACATTATCCGGGCGGACAAAGAAAGGCCTCGGGAAGACCAACCACCAACCTGAGCCGACGGTACCAGCCGAGATTAAGCACTACTCTGTAAGCACTCATCTCGAAGAAGTCATACCGGGGTGCTGGTCTAGCTCGATCGATTGATTCAACTATTTTATCGATCGGCAAAGATCGAAGGCTGGCCTGGAATATTATTACTATCCCTTTAATTTCACCGAAAGTACTTTCACGCCATCATCATGTTTGGACTCACTACCCGGAGGTCCGCGCTCGCTCGCTCGAGATGCCTTACGTCAAACACAGCCACTTCAAGTGTTCTACGCACACGAGTTGAGCATCCGACGACAGAGTCGTTGATCTCATCCAGGGAATTCCACCCAAGCTCCGTGTCCAATGCTTCTTCTAAACCTACCTGGACGTCCATGCGTGTGAAGACACCGTGGATCGAAGCCTTGCAGAGGAGTCGCGAAGATGCACAATCTGGACAGCAGCCTCGTGCGCAGGGCAAGCCGGATCTGACGCCGAAGAAGATGTCGGATAGTTATTACAGCGCTGTGAGTGGATTATATGCTCAACTGGGTTGTCTGGCGTCGGAGTGAGCGTGCACTGATAGCCATCTAGATTCTACCCTTGAGCCAAGATAAGTGGCTTCTTGATTCCTATCTAAATGCTTCAGGACACATCCGGTATTTTCTGCATTGTGTTATAGTCGGAAAGATATGACTAACTGATTGCCGCAGGCTGGGAGCGCTATTGATGGATCTAGATGCATTGGCGGGTATCATTGCCTACAAACATGCTGGTGACTCTGTGGCCACCGTGACTGCGGCAGTGGATCGGATCACCATCGAAAATCCCTTAATGGAGATTTGTGATCTGGAGCTGAGCGGCCAGGTTACTTATGCCACGGGGCGATCCAGTATGGAGGTGTCCCTCCAAGTCACCAAAGTGCCAGCGGAAGGCGAGCAGGTAAAACCAGAGGATGTTCTGATCACTTGTGCCTTCACCATGGTCTCGCTCGACCCTGCTACGAAGAAGTAAGCGCTTATAGTTTCTATGCGGGATATGCTTCTAATAGGTCACCAGGCCTGTTCCCATCGCTCCTTTGTTGGTGGAAAATGCAGAGGAGCGACTTCTCTTCCACCAGGGAGAGGAGAATTACCAGGCGAAGCGAGCTCTGAGGACGAGGAGTCTTCTTGAAAAAGCGCCTGATGATGAGGAAAGTGAACTGATTCACAACATGTGGACCAAAGAGGTGTCCTATCTGAGTAAGTGCAAGAATTAGTAAGCTGTCAAGAGATAGTCCTAACACAACAGCAGATCCTGAGTCTCCGGCCCAAAGGCCCTCCAACATGGTTTTCATGAGCGACACCGTGCTGAAGTCCGCCATGATTATGCAGCCACAAGACCGCAACAGGCACAACTTCATGATCTTCGGTGGCTTTCTCCTGAAGCAGACCTTTGAGCTGGCGTTCTGCTGCGCCGCCTCCTTCTCCCATGCCCGGCCCAACTTCATCTCCCTGGATCCCAGCAACTTCGAGAACCCTGTGCCCGTCGGGAGCGTGCTCTACCTGAGGGCGACGGTGGCCCACACTGAGCCCGTAGAGAGAGACGGCACCACATATACAAAAGTGCAGGTCCGCGTGGACTCCAAGGTCCGGGATGTGGAACATGGTAGCAAGAAGTCGACGGGTCAGTTCAACTACACTTTCCTGGTCGAGAAGGATATCCAAGTGATGCCCCGGACGTACGGCGAATTTATGCTCTGGACCGATTCGCGCAGACGGGCGCAGAACGCTGCGGCTATGGTTCCTGGTTCCAAGGAGCCCAGCACTCTCCGCAATATCAAGGATAGTGTAACCGAGTAGACGGATTGCACTGAGCAAACATGATGTGCTATATTTGTATATTTGGATCTATCAGGATGTTTATCTAGTTTCTGTTTATATAGATTGTGAATGTACAAAACATATCTTCTTTACCTGTCAGGAATAGATTGTTGACTGCAACACACAAGCATAGATAGATTAATCACATGACACTGTGTTCTCCGCACCAGCCATCAACACCATAAACGTCGCACTTCCTCGCTTGACATACAACCGACTCTGCAGATCAATGAACTCTGAACCACATTGATTTGAAGCAGCTGTATTAACGCCGAGATACGATCAGTTAGGACTTCAATGTCCCTCCAAAATGTGTGGCATTTACGCCGGGTGGCCGAGACAGCCGCCAGAGCATGCATTATCTGCTACAAGCCCTCTAGTAGTGTTCTGATTACTCCCGACAACAAGGTGAGTCGTGCCATCTGCGCTGTCAGAACAGATACTGACGTCGAAGGACTTTTTCTACGTCTGCCCCGTCCATTTGCAGGACAGGCATTTCTGCTCTCCTATCGTGGATGCCGAGGAGGCGGAAGCGAAGAAAAAGCAGGAGGCCTTGGCCAGGGAAATTGAGAATGTGAAGAAAGAGTATGAAGAGAAGCAGCGAAGGAAAAAAGAGAAGGAAAAGGAGAAGGGTAAGGGTAAGGGAAAGGAAGACAAGACCGATGAGAAGGATCAAGACAAGGAGTCTAAAAAGTCGGGTCAAGATGGCGATAACGAGGCCAAGTCAATGGAGACAGAAAGGGATGAAAAGGTACGTAGCCAGGAATGATATCCCTTGTTTCAATCTCTGCAGGACAGAACGGTTCATTGACATGGACACTGGACAGATTGAATCTATCAAGAAGGCTGCCTCTCCGTCCGCAACGGATGACTCGCCTCGTATTTTTACCTTACACAAGTATGTCTGGCCTGAACGGGATATGCCACTGTGCCCACTCACATCATCACGAGCTAACCCTAAAAAAACTGGACAGAAACTTCTATCAGATGCGCATCGACCGGCTGCGCGGTCTCGAAATGGCCAAGCGGAACCGCCAACGGTTGCAGGATCCATCGCTCTTCCCGGCTGTTCCGTCTGGCGATCTGTGATGCTTGACATTCTGCTAGAAGTCATTGCGCAGTCCAGCATGATTCGCCGAACACGTCCGAGCTCTCCACGGGCGCAGGACTGGGATGCGAATCCTTTTACGCCTGGCAGGGCTGGCACCGAATGACGACAGGATGCAATCCCAGGCTGGTGGCCTGAAATCTGAATGCGTTGGCCGGTCCGCATGGTCAAGCATATCACCTTTCGTATTTAGGCGAAGGATCGCGGCCGTCCTGCTGGTCACATCCCTTTCTTTGTCCCTAGCATCCTGCCCACTTATGGGGACTACACCTGTCATCTGCAGGCCGCAGCATTGAGCATTTTGCTTACAAACCCGACTTGAGTTTCGTTGCTCGTGAGGGCTTTCAGCGACACCCGCCGGCAGCCGGCAGCTAGAACCTCTCACAGGATTTCCAGAAGGATGCCAATGCATACTGGGGGGGTAAGCACTAGCCTGGATACGGCGGTTCGACGTGATCAAAACCGTTGCAGCCGGCAGTACGAACCTGTCTGGTGTTCTTGATTACCATGTTGGATTGAGGGGGATATCTGCCTATTGACAGCCTTGCTGTGACGGGAAGGTACTGTTTCCCTGGTACAGAGACGGAAGTCCCATTGGAAAGGAATCTTTCTGAAATAGCCTGATCCTGACAACAATCCGCACGTACATAGTGATGTACCTAGTATCTGCCAAATCCAGAGACGCTGAGGTTTGTCCCAAAGGATCATGTAGCTGTCCCTGCAGTGAGTTAGCTGTACTTGTACTAGAAAGCACGAGTATATTACAAGAGTTCTCAGTCGCTTGATGCCTCCATCGCTATAATCCTGAAGCTGGTTCTAGTTACCTCATGATTCCCTCAAATCCAGACAGCGTCAGGAGGCCATCGTCGTATGGCAGAGAGGGTAACAGTCAGCAGCCAGCCCTGTAGCCCACCCCTCAAATAACACAGTAAGTATAGGCGACGGACGCCAGCGACCCCAGCTGACGTCATCTTCAATATCAATCTGCGTTCCGTTGAGTATGAAACGCCAACACCAACTATAGACCAGGGATCAAACCTAATTACTCCGATAGTTCAACAAAGTCCCTGAACGAAACACCCGCAGGCAGGTAGGCTGTGCACTTAGAACCGACAGGTCTGACTGGCCGAGACCCATTCAACCCTCGATGATCACTGCACACCCCCTCCCTTATGCAGCCCAGCCGGCGGGGGGGGGGGGAAGTGGTGACTGGTGACAGGGAGGATGGTTTAATATTGCGATGGTCGAAGGCAAGCAAGTCACCTACATACGCTGTTATAGGCTGCGTAGATATACATTCCTCCGGTGTAGACATAGTATTACCGAACAACAAGGTATCTATCTATCTACACCAATGTGAAGAACAAGCATGTTCCTACGGAGTACCCATGTTAGGTGAGGTTGCGTGTACCACTGTCCTCGCAAAGCCGAAAAATACAAACTTACAATACATCAGATACGATACCGAGAAAAGAAGAAGAACCAAAAAAAAAAAAAAACACCCCTGAAACAAGCGCAGGGCAGCCAACTGAAATTTTGCAACTCCTTGTTGGAATCATCCAATATACTCCGTACTGTAGGTAACGTCTGTTTAAGTGCTTCGAATTTCCTTCATTGCGTAAGAGCAGTTTTGCACAGCCCCCATGCCGAAGCTAGTCTTGCAGCCCACATCAGCCTAGGCCCTGCTACTCTGCTAGTCTACCACGGCCAGGGGTATTATTATTGAGTATTGGCTAATTGGCCCTGAGAAAGTTGAGTGACGGACTGACTGAACCCAACGAAAGTGTGAGAGAGAACGTACTCCGTATGTCGATGGAAGATATCAGCCTCTAGTGCCTAGGATAGAGTACAGAGCATAGCTGGCGCCGTTCATCCTCGATATATTCAGATTCAAATGAACCCTGAAGTTCCCAAGTTGCCCAAGGGGCCCCTCTCTCGTCTTAATTAAGCCCACCTGGGCCTGGCAGACTGGCAGTGGCACCCATGCCCCAAATGCTGACCATGGCGATGACCAGGACCATGACAAGGTTCCATTTGTTCTCCCGATCTTCCATTTGTCGCAGATCCTGGGCCTTGCGCGACATCCGCCATTGGTGGCTTTGTTGCTCTGTCGATGGGGCTGCCTTAAAAACAGCCTCGTGGGGTTGTGGGGTTAAGCCCTGAATCCAATCCTGAATCCCGGATTGACTATCAGACGCGACTTTTTTTTCCAATTCCATTAACTACTAGACTAACTTCGTAGAACTGACTAGATAGTAACTATTGACTATTCAGATTTCAGACTAAAGGTCGGTAGACTAGTTTTGGTGTCAGTGTCATCAGTCTTGGGCCCTGCAGTTTTTCAGTTCATCGTACTGGGTGCGACCAACTAGCTAGCTAGGGATATGACATATAGTCACATAACCTCATGAGACATTGATTTAGCTATACCCCGTATCTATCTTTCCAGAGCATTAGATATGGTCGGTGGGATGTATAGTGTAAGTTACCCCTTTACGTAGAACTAGGTGCCTAGCTGACAAATCATTGACAGATCAATGATCCTAGCCGTTAGACTTGGACATCCAGCGTCGAGTCTTACACAGTTACATCCTGGCCCTCCTGGATCCTGATCCCTGACTGGCAACGGGCAACGGGCACAGAGCACAGGCACAGGCACAGGCAGTCAGGCACAGGCCCCCGGCGATTCACCAGACTGACTCTCCACGGAAAGATCGGCATCAGGGTTCTTCAATACCCTGTACATTAGGAACCTAATTTCGCGGATCCTCACCCCCGATGGATGTGTTGTTTCGGGATCAACTGTCTGCCTTATTATTACTCTGTACTTGACATGCATTTGAATGGTCTCATTTGCTGATTGCTGACGTGCTGCCCGCTCTGCCAACCGTATCGGGCCTTATTCCGTACCCCCAATTGAAAAAGACGCCGTCAAAAAACGACTGATTGATTGACGATCACCTCGTCTGTTGCGTGGCTTTCGGCCGCCCGATCCTTCAAAGATAACATGCCGTCCTGCGCATCAATCGTACCATGTCACTTGGGCGTTGGTTGACTTTTGCCTTGCGAAATCTCATATGCGACTTCCTCCGACACTTCTTCAAAACGGTTGACTACAGCGTTTCCCTAAACCTTTCAGGGCGATTGGAGCCCTGAAATGGGATGGCGGTGATGACGGAGCCGAATATGCCTGGAGTGAGGATCAAAAGTGGCATCGGATTTGGATAATAGGCATGTTTCACGACGGTGCAAAAACGCCAAAGTTCAAGCGCATGGTCTAGCGAGCGCATGTTCACACGCTCTATTTTTTGCAACATGGGCCTTTCTCTTGCCAAGTCATTCAATCAAACGACTAAGACACCTGCGTGGAAGGGTCCATTGAACCCAGAATCAGAGATTTCCACGCCCGGTTCCCGACTCCTCTCCCGGAGATCTCATGCCAGGTGGCATACGGATACCGAAGGCAGCCGGTGGCCGATTTCCGGGCCCACGCGCCATGTTGAACCGTTCTGACATGTCGACTCTGGCCTTGGCCAGGCCAATGGCGGGGACCACCCATTCGCCACAGCTGCACTGCATCCCCTGCCACGCGAACTTGCCAATATTCGCCCCGCAAGCTGTGTTTGGACATGTCAAACGACCAGACAATGGAGCATCATCTGGACGCGAACCATATTCGGATGCTGGGGGATCTGCAGTGGTGTTCGGGAATAGAGACGGGCGCATCCATGTCAATGGATGGAGAAAGATGTGAGCACAGTCTGTCGACCTGCCATTGGATTTCTGGCCATGTGGTATGATGAATGGCGTGGTGGCCAGCGTACGCCTAGTAGATGTGTGAGATTCTCTGTTTGAACATAAAGCAAAGGAATGTGAACCAACCGGCATTTGCGGCACTTGATCTCCGTAGTCCGATCACTAGTCTCTTCAGGCCTCTGCGGCTGCTCGTCCTCGAACAGGATCGATTGCATCTCAGGTGCTCTACCGCAGGCCACACTGTCTTCTACTTCGCGGCGATATAGCCACCGATTGTAAAGCGGGTGCTCAGTCACATTGTCTGGACATCCCATCTCATGATAGATAGACAGCTGTTCCATAAAACCGTCGTTTGGTTCACAAAGTGGTCTGCCTTGTCGAATGAGGGCAAGCGCAGATTGAACGTTCAGCCCACTACGCTGCCGATGGAGCAGATAGGCAATGCAGATAGTGGCGGAGCGGGATTTCCCCATTGCGCTGATAGCTGTTAGTAAGAGATACCGAAAAGATGACGGCCGAGGAGTTGTTAGGGGAAAAAACCGACCAATGCACAAGGACGCTTCCTCCAGCATCTAAACCCGCCTGGATGAACTTGATGGCCGCGGGAAAGTGCTCTAGAAGATTCTCATCCTCCACATCGTCTGCATCGATGCAGTGATGCTGGTATCCTGCGAAGGTCTCATCAGGCTGATTTAGTCGGAGCACTGAGACGATGTGCGTAACATTGGTTCTACTCAAAGCAGCCTTGTTCTTGACAGCTAGAATCCTGCGAGTGATTTGCTCCGTTAATACCGCTCACTGTCCGCGCATATGATCTACCCCGCAATTCTGGAGAGCGCAGTTCGCTTGAGATGAAAAGTCTACTATGACAGGCGGGGAGAAGACGAGACTCACCCTCCGATATAAATATCGTGGCCTGGGATCTTGTTCATAGCCATGGTGATACAAGATAACAGCAGAGTGATTAATAAAAGCCCCCCCAACACTGATTAAAAAAAACGTTTTGATGGATATATGTCGAGCACTAGGGAGTTTACTACGAGTCTACGACCCTGCCCTTTTAGCTCTGGGCGGAGATAACCTCGGATGCTGGGCTATGGTGGTTTGATTTCAGGCCAAGAATGGTTGGACGGGTTTAATTGGTTGTCTTTAACTTGGAGCCTGAGGTTTGTAATAGGGTAAGGGCTATGTAATTCACGTGCTAAAGGATGTTGTTCCTGAATGCCTCAGGCACATAAGGCTGGAAGCTTAGCTCGGCCAAGACCCCTGGATGAAGCATGGCAGTTGGCACAAGGACAAAAAAAAAAAAAAGAACATACTACTTAGTCTTTTCTTTTCCAATGACCTCTGGCAGGCTGGCAGCTTGACAGAGTGATGGTAAACCGTAAATCTCCTAGGGCAGGGATTTGTCAGCCAGGATCTGGCTCTCTCAATCCCACGGATTTTGATATATCTACGGAGTCGCTGTTTGACAGAAGAAGTGTCCACGGAGTTCCGGAGTTTCTGGAAGGAGTACAACAAAGGATTCCCCTCATCTTAGTCATCCAGACTACGTTAACTATCGAGTTAGTATCTGCAGACTACCTCACAAGGCTACAGCTTACAGCCTACAGCCTACAGTGCTCCCACTCCTAGGCACCATTCACCAATACCACGCAAAAATGGACTGTGCCCACCTGATATGCTTACACAGTACACTTGATTCATGCTACCGGGGTGATAAGCCCACTAGGCCAAATAATGCATCTAGGATGTTAATTGTCAACTGTTAAGTCGTCACTCGTCCGACTTGTCTTACTCATTGACTGCAGGGACCTGGGATACCGGCCAATGACACCTAGGAGAAAGGACTAAGGACTGAATGATTCCCATCTGCCACGCTAATTAGTAGCCCGGATGGGCCACGGGGGATAACTAGTTATAGTTTGTACTACTGAAGCTTTTTCGAGTAGGGGTATGGACATGGTATTGGACAGCTGTCATCTATCTAGCTTAGTACCACCGTACCAGTACTCCGTAACTAACTAGGTAGTCCCTCACAGCCAGTCAGCCACTCTTCACTTTCATTTCTGTGTTACAGAATGCGCTGGTTGCCTGGAGCCTATTATTCTGGCTGGATGTCGCTTACCGGATCACCTCCTTATCGAAGGAATGCAAGGCATCCTGGCTAGTTGCTACAAATACAATGCAGTGAATCCTTATAACTTACAAGGCGCAGAAGACGGACTACAATCCTTAGTAGTACTCATTTTCCGCGTGCAATACGAAATAGACTCGCGGACGGGAAATCGGGGAGACTAGTACAGTACTACCGAGGAGTAGACTGCAGAGTGCAAACTTATCCACTCAGGCAGTGATTGGCCTACTCCTTGCCAAGCCGTATTATAGTGAATGGTCTGTGCAACTGGTCCATGGCATAAGGTTCAAAAAGGTTGAAGGTTCCAATGTATGGAAACCATGTCTGAGTTAGGGTGAAGGACTGGGATTCTTTTGTAAAGGAGATTTGATTAAGCATGATTAATGCAAGATGAAATTTCCTAGAGATCTTGGAGACTACCTTACGGAGTAAGTGGAAAAGGCTGGCCTTCAAGGAGGTTCTGAAACCACTTGTAAGCAAAATCAACATGATAAAAAAAAAAAAAAAAAAAAAAAAAAACAAAAAGCTTGAGCTCAAGAAGGAGATCATAGGATGGCAACATTCATAGACTACCTAGTACTACGGGCTGTTAAATTTTGACAGTTCTCCTCCATCCATACCTCTTTTAAGTCACTAGGTCTGGGCCTGTGCCCTGCGCGGTGAGACTCTTATCCGTGGTCTTTTCTAAAGATTTTAAGGCTTAAGGCTGACGGCATCCCGGCATGTTAGTGTTACCTTTCCTTAGGGCAACCCAGTACCTCGTTTTTCTAATTTTCCATCATGAACGGTGGGAATTTTTGAATGACAAGGCGAGGCTAGGTACGTATCTTTTGCTGTTTCTGTTACTGTAAGTACTGGGTGGGCTACCTTACCAGTATCCACATTTAGCCTATTCGATGTACGTGTTTTGCAAATTACTCTTCCCGTTGACAGCTGTTCTCGAATACCTCTCTCTATCTGGTAGGGACGGAGTACTAGGTAGTAGGAACTTGCCACAGAGTACAAAGTATGCCAAAAAATGACTGGCTATCCAATGACTATCTACCAGTGACATCCATGAAGTTCCAAGAAAAATCTAAGCTTGAGGTACGGGGTATGATTCAAGAAGGATACGTAAACCCAGAGGACTCCTATCCTATCTAGACACTATCTGGGGATTTGGATTCGATGAGAAAGAAGTTTTACCAGTCGCCACCACCAGTGGATGCGTGTGCAAGTGCGTGTCCAACATCTGACATTGCGAACTAATTTGAAAGCTGAAAAGCTGATCGTGTAGATACTCGATTTGTGGCAAATGCAATGGCCTGAAAATCAGCTCAAGAGGCAAATGAGATGCAGGAGAGCAACATTGCACATGGCACACAGTTACAGGTTACAAGGTAAGTCTACTAAGTAAGAGTTGCACTAAAACAACCTGCGAGTACGCAGTAAGGTTTTGAAAAGAGAGAGATATATATATATATATGATTTTTGTGGCTTCGGTTGATTATTCCCAAATCTCAAGCTCAATTTAAATTGAGGACTCAAAAAGTAGATACACTAGGTACCTTAGGATTTAGGGACTCCATAGTCTGTACCGAATTGATTATAGAGAGTCCGTCCACTCGGAGACTCGGGCTAACCGTTCCACTCCCAGAGAAAAATCCAGCGACTACTTGCCCGATAGATACATGAACCCCGAAATCCAGCATGACGTTGAGTTCATGCCCACTATCCGTCTCTTTTCTTAAAAAAGAGATCTCCTTTTCCTACGAAGGAATTATTCCCTCTTTTATTGGAGATAGATAGTACTAGTAATCCATAGTCCATACCCTCCAGTTCCTTGAATTCCTTCAAGGTTCGGCTGGCAGGGCGGCAGGGCCAAATGACCGAGAACCTGCGGACCGGGACTGTGGCAGTGCATGTATCTAAGAGCCTAGTGGGGACGACTAAGCTCTGAATGGCAGTGGGTCAGGCCTGTTCCCACCATTCAGGATGAACAGCAGTGGGGGTTATGGACTTGAGTTGTGGTATGCTTGCAGTAGTGCGGTAGCAGTGTTGATTGTTGTTGATTGAATTGGTCTTTGCCTTGCTCAACCTTGCTCCCAGTAGTTAACTAATCAGATACTGTCGTAGTAGGCTCGTAACTGGGTAGTAGCCTGGTTCTTTTGCCTTGTTCAGTTTAGTGGCTCATATCTCAGTAATAATATACCTTGTGTCTAATTGTGACAGTGGCAAGACTAGCCAGAATTTGTATGAGAAATGGTGAAGCGAATGGAGAGTACTTGTACTCTGTAGAGCATAAAGTACCATTTAAGCGGTATTCATCGAGTAACCAGGGGTCATACGAGATACCAAAGAGTCATGGAAGAGTCAACCTAGACAGCTGCCACATTAGATAGAGGTAATTTATATGTCAAATTACTCCAATTACGGAGTCCATGGAGGGAGGTTGGAATGTGTGGTAATCCTAGAAAAAAAAAATATCAATACCAGCACTGCCTCACTCTAAACCAGCCATGCACCCCATCCACAGTTGTCAGTCCGAATTTGGCTTAGCATGATATTCACCGCTTGGAATAAGAGATTCTTCGGTTTCTGACTTGCTTCTAGGCCGAGGTTGACTTTTCCTTCTCCATGGGGAATCAGATTGTTACTGTCGCGCCTTCTTCTCTTCTAGAATTCTACATGAGATGAAAGTTGATTGAGTGCATGAGTCTCTCGAATCCATTGCCCCCCCCGTGGATGGCTGTCTATGCTAGGTTGGGTCATAATGGGGATCAGGATTCAGGACATTGACCAACGAAAATGGCACTCCCAAAACGGCCATTTGTAGGATGACCTTCTATTCTGTATGCCCAGCCTTGGAATTCCCCCATCCTGCAGCCAACGCAGCCATGTTTCAATGTAGTCGTTTATGCCATGTGATTCGAAACACCAGGCTAATAGAGCATGGAGGCCGGTACCTACTCAGGTCTTAGGTACGACTCGTATCTGGACATCGTCATACAAGCTCACTTGCTGGACGACTAAGTACGTACTTCCTTTGACTGACTTCCGGAGCACTACGGAGTATGTAGGTTTCTAGGTAGATTCTAGCCCTGCAGGCTTGATGACATTGCTGACATCGATGTTGATCATTCTGTGTTTGGTCACTAAGAATTGGATGTATCTTACCTTACACTTGTGTAATAATGTACCTTACCTAAGTAGATAGATACCTTACTGTGTAGGTAGGTAGGTAGGTAGGTACCCTACTCAGTCTTTGAAGTCTAAATGTGATGTCAATAATTGACAAGGGAAATTTTTCAACTGTTCGCAAAAATTTTTTGGCTCAATTCTTCTATGGTGATCATGACATTACTCTTAGTATTTAGCTCACGTTGGCAGGTGCCCCTCAACTCATGGCCATGCAATAATGCTGGCATGCCTTTCCACCCTATCAGATAGGAGGTATGTATATCTACGTTGTATGGATATAACTGTAATCTTTCCGAGATTTTCAAAATGTTCTCGATGCTGAAGCCCCCTATCTATTTAAATACCTAAGAACCATCAGGACAGGACAAATAAATAACCATTACCGATTACAAGGACATTTTTATGCTAGTCGCTTGGCCTAACCCCCCGAAAAAGGTGTTTCCAGTGTCCACCCGGAACCAAACTGCTGTTGACAGTGGGTACCCAAATACCATTGTTGTATCATTATTAGACTATTATTATTATTGTCTGGGCTTGGGGAGTTTCGCATCAGTTCCTGGCTTTCCTTCTGTCTGGTTGTCGGTCGTTCTTGAAGGTATCCCGCTGGGACAATCATCAAAAAGTGTGGTACCTTACTACCTTGACTGGCCCTACATAATAACCTTGCTGTTACCATTATTATTACTATTGTCAGGTACAATACAACCTCTCTCTCTATCTCTCTTCCTCCCTCTCTCTGTGTGTCCACTTTGTCTCCCTCCCTTTCTCTCTCTCTCTCTTTCTTCCTCCCGGTCTTGCTCTTACTCTTACGCTCTCTGTACCCCCTCTTTTTTTCTGAGACGACCATCGCCTCTTTAAGGCTGACAAGGGAAAGACGAGCGACAAACGTGACCGAATGAGCGAGAGGACCGAGGGGTTAAAATCTGGAATGACAAGGACATATTGGACCGCCAGCTAGACAGACACGAGAGGGAAGAAACGAGGGACCTACAAGAGTACTAGGTACTTTCCAGAGTACCATCTTCATTTCTTTGCTAAATACCTTTACTATTTATTCTTCTTCTTCTGTTTCTCTAGCCCTGTAGGGACCCATAAGGCCGTGGCTTGCATCACCAGCTTCGCTGTCCGTCTTTTCTTATAAAACTACCTACTACTACTTACTACTTACCTTTTTTTAACAACACGCGAAGCTTACACACCACACCACGCACCACACCACTACTTCTTTTCTCACTACGATCCCATCTATTATTACCTGCTCCTGTGTATAGAAATCCTCAGGCATTCAAACCCCCTGAGTTGCTGGTCTGCCTCAAGCTCTCGTCGATTCGAGGCGGCACTATTCTTCTCTTGCCTCTCCTCCCAGTGCTGGATTCACCACTGGCTCTTTTTCTCGATCTTCTTATGCGACGCCATACTTTCTACTTCTCTTGTTGATCCTGTCATTTCAACACCTTCATCTTTTAACTCTTTTACTTCTTCTTCTTATTATTATTCTTCTTCTTCTTTACCCGCTTTCCCCCTTGGAAACCGGTCTCCAAACCTCGATTCTAGAAGAACCTAAGACACTGCAGCTGCAGCCTCGCTTTCAGCTCCCATCCACCCACCACCACCACCACCACCGCCACCCTCAGAGGTCATTGCATAGCCGTCTTGTCCTTCGGTGCTTTTTTCACTTCTTGTCCTATTCCCGGCCCTTTCCATTCAAGCCTTATTTCCTTATCCTTTTTCCTTTTCTTACCTTATTTTTTTTTCGGGACTTGATCATCACTTGGGACCTATACAAGCATCCTCCAGCTGCCTTCTACAGCCGAAGATATACAAAACTCAGATCTTGCAAGCATGTTCTGTGGTGCTGGCACCGTTGACCGTCCATGAATTGCCACTGACCGGTGAATTGATGGCACACAAGCGGTTTCTCAAGGTTGCGCGCGAGTGTTACAGAAAAGCCGTTGACGCAGCGCATCGCTGGGTTAACTAATCGGAAATAAGAGCCTGCTTCGTACGCAGGGTGAGTTACCTTCAGCCCTATCCACCCGAGACGAAACTGAGTTGACTTGTTGGTTGGTTTCCGTCTCATAGTTCCTTGGATAGTTTCCGCTCCTTTTATTCATCTACTGTTCCTTCTAGCCATAGAGTGGCCGCATCTACTCTGTTGCATCTCACTTTTGTTCTTTCAGTATCTGGAAGCAGGTTCTTCCTTCACAGGACTAGGAGGACGATCGTCAGTGTCTTAAGAGCCATCAGACTATCTCTCCAGTCATTTCCGGTTCCTATCTGTCCGGTGAGGCTTGTCCGTTGATGTTGATAGTGTCCTTTGGTCAACTCGTCACTGTATGATGGACTTTCCACGAATTTCCCCGCCTTCGATCAATGTGCATGACCTTAACAGTGGTTATACCCATTCCCGTTCCATTGACAGATCCCCAAACAGCATGTCAATGCAGTCATATTCTTCCCTCATGCCTATGCCCATCCCGACAAAATCAATGACTAACTTTGCTCCGCCCCCACTACCTCCACCATCGCATATCACGGACCTCGAAGATGGCCACGATGCCGGTTGGCTATTCGCGAATGCTAAAAACCCTCCCGGGTCCGCTAAGCTTGCGCCGATCAATCCCGGCTCGAGTTTGCTCGGGGGCCATCGCCGCTCGGAAGCCGTGTTCAAGACTGATCGAATGGACTTGGATGACCTGGATGGAAGACAGAGTGGACTACCTGTGTCGACAAGTCCGGAGGCGCATATCAAAATTGAACCCCCACCACGAATGGATGAAGGATTCCGAAACTCTATAACAATCAACCCCCCCGAGTCAATCTTGAAGGGCGAGCGGGATTTTTCGCGACGGAGCGTGAAAGATTCATCTGTTGCATATGATCAACACCTTCTTTCGAAGATAGGCAAACCAGTGTCTCCTCGACAATCCATCAGCCTCGGAAGCGAGGCCAAAGGTGCCATGCCGACCCTTCCGATCCCTTCCAGAAACTTTGGGGGCCTACCCTCCCCAGGAGGCTCTGAAGGCTCAACCCTTGACGTACGATGGCCGAATAGTACTCATTCCGGCGGAGTATCGCCTGGGAGCAAAGTTGGCTGGAAGGACTATCTCGACTATCGAAGCCCTAGTGTGGAAAGCAGCGCTCCGTCTTCTGCGATCGAGTACGATCACTCGGCCTTTCTGCGGGACGTATACCGACGCCGGGGAGGTGGAACAACACCGCAAAGCGAGGAAACTGTCAGCTTACCTAGTCGGTCGACCCGCGGAAGTTATGATCAGGGCATATTTTCGGATATCGAAGGCGATTTCTCGACCGACGATTCATTGCCCTCGCGATATTTTCACATTCGAGAGGCAACACCACCCTATTTGGACACTTCAAAGTCAGGCATTAAGAGAAGGGCCTCTTCACCCCCACGTGAGCCAATGAATGAAGACAGACACGCGCTGCATGTGACTACAAGCAATGGCGATCTCTCTCAGCGCAGAACTTCAGGACATCCGTTCACCAACAATCTTTCGGTCAATGGTACTTTCTCTCCTAGTCGCGGGAGTCTATCTGCTGCATCGTCGTTGAGCTTGAGAACATCAGGATCCTACTCGTCAGCAACGATCTCTTTGGGAGAAAGCAGTATGACGAGCATCTCTACCTATGACCGGCCGTCACCAGGGGGTCTGTCTCCAAACTCCGATTTCGAAGCTTTCCATGATAAATCCCCTGTCGTGTCGACTTCCTCTGGTGCCCTCCCTCCTCGAATGGATGCGAGAACCATGCAAGCTTCGAACGCCTCTAGTGGGAATGGTGGGAGGCGACTTTCTTCACAGACCACGCTCAGTGTACCGAAACCTGCAGCACCTAAGATGGGTGGATTGTATATTTGTGATTGTTGCCCAAAGAAGCCTAAGAAGTTCGACAGTCCAACTGAGCTACGGTAAGTTGACGAGCGTGTGACCTCCTATCAAGCCAGATACTCATTTTGCGTGCCCTCTTCTAGTTCACATGAGTTGGAAAAACAATATTCTTGCCAATTCTGCAATAATCGGTTCAAAAATAAGAACGAGGCCGAACGACATCAAAACTCTCTCCACTTACGGCGTCATTCTTGGTCGTGCGCGGCGTTACTGGGGTATCAATCCGCTTTCCATCCCTCGTCCTCCTCGACAGCGCAGGCGAATTCGGGTCCTTCTCACGATACCTGCGGTTACTGCGGCGAGGAATTCCCAAATTACCCCCAACCCGACTGGGATAGGAGATTTGAACACTTGACGTCGGTGCACAAATTCGGGGAGTGCAACAATGGCAAAAAATTCTACCGCGCTGACCACTTTCGACAACATTTGAAGCATAGTCACGCGGGTACGAGTGGTAAATGGACCAATGTCCTAGAAAATGCTTGCATGAAGGAAGAAGCGCCCCTGGATCAGAACACAACCGACAGTGGTGGAGCTGGCTCTACTGCGCCAGCAATGACGGGAAATCTCGCGTCAAACAAGATCAGTGAGGTCCTTAGCACTTGTTGAGGACCATCCAAATTCATGGAGCTTCTAAGCCGCTAAAGACAAGAAAAAAAAGACAGGCTGAAACTGTTACCGATGGTCCGTCTCAATTTGACCATCAGAAACTTGTCTTAACCCGACTTCTTCCCTCGAACGCTCAGATAACGCCTCATATCTCTTCATTATATCACTCATCTTTATATTGCTGGATCATAGAATCAGAGTTGACTTGTTAGTCGCCAGGCTTGATTTGTATGCGCCTGGAACAACAATCTTCAAGCTCGAAGAGCGTCTCCGCCGCAGTATATCTTGAAGACCAAGACACTCAGAAGCCACAAAAAAGTGGCACTCCGACATGAAATGACATGAAATGATTTTATCTATTTCTATTTATCCATATATTACTGCGGTTTTGGTAGGGGAACATCGGAGTCTGGGAATTCCCGGGGGAGGCTGTTTGTCTAGTTTTTGCGTATACACTGGTTGATTCATAGGGGTGACTTGGTCCTTCTGCCTTCGTCTGTTTTTCTTATCCACCCCCCGTTTCTTGTCACCTGTTGGACGAAGTCTTCCCCCATCTTGCTCTGTCTCATCTCTCTCATCTCACGACCCCGACCCAACTTCTCCCTCATTTCATCCCTCCTCCATCACATACCATTTCCTCTGATACTACGTTTGAGGGTTGCAGAACGCTATGTGTGGTTGATACTTTCCGACCCGACTGGTGCAAGACATGCAAGTCCTAGCTGATGCTGGGTGGTGTACATAGACCTAAAAAGAAGTGCATGTAAAAAGGGATACACAAAAGCGATCTGGATACTATTCATCATCTATTGCAGTCCACAAATACATGGAAGGTAGTTTTCTGCTTGTCTCAAGGATCAATTGGAATCCACCATATGGCGAAGTAAGTATACAGACCTGGAAACATTGCAGCATGAGTTGAAAAAAAGGGAAAAGTACAAATGAACGCCAGAACGATGCATACATAGCCAAACGAAAATAAAAGTGGTAGAAGAAGATAGATAGATAGGATAGTAAAAAGTTGAACAAGACTGACAACTTTTATACCAGACAGGAGAGATAGAGATTTGGACTGGGTTGTTGTTTGGTGTCAGAAGACAACCTGCCAATTGATTGGCGAGTGCATGGGAAGGATGGAAAAAGGACGTGAGAAAGGAAGTCCGAAGCTGGTTGAGCTCGTACGAGACCGCTTAAAGCCCGCCTTCGAACGACACGGCTGCTTCTTTCGCTAGCCGCAGGTCCTTGCCCACGAGCCCGATGTTCTTGAAATACAAGTTGAAAGCGGACAGAAGGTCCTTGAGGCAGAGCTTGAGGGTATCCAGGACAAGTTCCACCTCGGGGACCCGGCGCGCTGCCGCCTGCGCCTCGGGATTACTCGAGGGTGGGAAGTTCACGTCCGTCCAGTGCGCGTCTAGGCCGCCGTTGATGAATGGCTCGAGGACCATGATCGTGTCGGTGAACAGGCGCACGACTCCGGGGACGTCGGCCTGCACTTTGCCGTACTGGTCTTCCGCGAGACTCGCGACCAGGAGGCGGGTCAAGGATTCAATGGCGTCGACGGTGACGGATACGCTCGCGTACGGTGTCCCAAGGACGATGCCGGATAACCGGCGGGCGTAAGTCTGGCGGAACATGAGGCCTAATGGGGTGCGGAGGACTTGTGCGATCAGGGGGTGCACATTCTCTGATGTGACCGTTGGGCCCGTGAGCATCTTGAGCTCCCGAGAAGAAGCAAGCAGTTTCTGCTTTCGTTCGGGACTGAGGACAGCCGACGAGGCGCGGTCGAACACATCACGAGCTTTAGCCCTGGCCGTAGGAGTCCAGTCGGGCGATTGCCCGTACTTCTTGGCGGTCGAGCTGAGCGCCTCGCCAATCTTGTCGGGTCTCGAAACAGCTTTAGGAGCGCTAGCAAAGATGTTATCCTCCTTCGGAGGCTCCGCCAGTCGTGGCAGCGTGCGAAGTACAGGTTGAGTTTTATCAGTTTGCTGCTCGGGCTTTGAACCCGCAGGCGCCTTCTTCTCCTCAATCCGGCTAGAAATACCCTTGATAACCTCCGTAGCAGACTGCAGAATTTGAGACCAGGTGGAACCACCATCGCGGTCGATATCGTTGAAAATTGCCTTGCGCCGGTCAGGAAACTGCTGGCTGATGAGGCACAGTTCCCAGAATGCGAAGGACTTGACAGTCTCCTTCTTTGCCTTCAGCCCGGTCAGCAAACTGCCATTGGGATCCTTAGCCTCTGCCGTCAAGGGCTGGCCCAACTTGAGAGGCGCCTTGCTGATGAATATAGAGAAGAAGAGGTTGGCGGACTGCCAACAGAGCATCAGCAACCCCCCGGAGATGATTGTACGCAAAATCAAGCCGATTCCAAAGATAGGAATCACACCAGGCGGATCAGCGGCTGATCTTGGAAAGTTCCAAAATAACTTGGCAAAGTACATGGTAAAGCTCCATGCTGGCCGCCTGAAAAGCAGGGTGTAGACCACTGGGCAAACCGTGGCAACCAGTGCGCTTCGCGTCAGACCATCCCTGATCATCCGGGGCAAAGCAGTCTGGATTCGCTGAGAGATCGGCTCAACTGGGTGTGTTTTCTGATCTGCAGCACCGGAAACCCGTTTCGCAGTAGGGATTGGGACACGATCGTAGTCGCAATAAAGATGGACAATTGACTGCACAACTGCGAGTAGCAAATGGTATGATTGGAGGTAGATTGGTCTTTCGTTCAGCGTTGCTCGTTCATGCGGTCTAAGTCAACTCCCAAATTAGAACAGCTCCCGGGCTGGTTTATCGTTAACCGAACACATACCTGCCCCGTTTAACCCACTCCAATCCAGCACTCGAGGGACAAGACCACTTATACATCTCGCTAAACCACCAAGCCGAGAAAAGATACCAGCCAAACGTCTGAATGATATCCAGAGGGATAAGGGTCTTGAATGTGGTAATCGGTGATGCTGTTGTTCTCGAGCCGATGTGCATCTGGCCCACACGCAGAACGAAGATGACAAGACTAGAAAGAAACAGAAGAACTGTGCGAAAACCGCAGGCCCCAATTGGAAACCATGCCCATAGAACTAGCAGGAAGCAGGGTACGTCAGTTACCTAGTTACCGCATTTGCTCAATTGGCACCACCTGTCCAAGGCTGGAATGCAACACTTACAAGATGACTTGTCTCCTAGAAGAAATGCTACAAAGTAGCAGACCGACAACGCCAGAGCAGATGCATGGACAAATCTCCGGTGCAGTGCAGATGTCAAAATGCGCCTGTACGGCCGAGGCTGAGCGACAGCCATGCTGAAAGTCGAAAGAGAGGAGGAAATATCTCTAGCCAGAGAAGAAGATGAGAAAATCTCACAGCATGATCAGAATCGCAGAAGCGATTGTACCCAAAAAAAAGAGGGAAAAGCCAAGCCAAAAGTCGAAGGGTGGTGTTGGCAGCGGAAAACGAGGATGATACGGCGATAGCGATGATAAAATCATTGAAGCTTTTGGGCAAAAGCATCAAAACACAGCAGCCACAGCAGCCATAGAGAGCTGGTCATGTGACGAGGCTAGACGATCCACAGTTCTAATCCGCTTTCAGTATGCCAAGACGCTAATGCCTCATGTGATGGGAGCCTGCAAATGCGGGCATCCACGGCACTGCTCACAAAGTCACAAGGCAACCGTCCCCGATGATGTTGTTGATGCATCCGACTCCACTACTTACCCTTATCACTCCGTCCACATCACAGCGTACATCATGTCTTTCGATCGCTTAGACTCCTTAGAGGCGCAGCCTACTAATATGCGCCGCTCTGAAGACCCTCATTATCGCGATGATCCCGAATTTGACCGCCTGACGGAAGGCCTCTCGAACCAGTTATTCACCTTGACCTCGAACATTACCCGGCTGTCGGATCAGATTGCGCTTTTGGGAACGAAACGGGACACAGAGCGAGTGCGCGAGCGAGTTCACAACTTGCTGGAGGAAACGCGCTCGGGATTTAAGGATGTAGGAGAAGGCATCAAGAAGGTCCAGACGTGGGAGGATGTCAATGTATGTGACAGGAGTAAATGCTGTCATTTGACTTGCCTATCATGCATTGGCTAACGAATATCATCAGCCCTCTCAGAAATGGACTCAACAGAAACTTTCTTCTGAGTTCAAGGCTACGCTCGAGGAATTCCAGACAGTCCAGCGTCGGGCGTTAGAGAAGCAACGGGCGTCTGCTGTAGCTGCCCGCACTGCCGTGGAAGAGGGTGAACATGTGCCAGCAGACGGGGCTGCTCAGCAACAGCAACAGCTCCAAGAACAACCCCGCCTTGCCAACCAGGATGAGGTCGACTTCCAAGAGGCTCTTATCATTGAGCGCGAGACAGAGATCCGCAACATTGAACAAAGCGTCGGCGAGCTCAATGAACTATTTCGTGACGTCGCCCATATTGTCCACGAGCAAGGAGGCCAGTTAGATATTATCAGCGAGAACGTTGAAAGAGTCACTACAGACACCCGTGGGGCCAACGTGGAGCTTCGCAGCGCCAGCAGGTATCAGAAGAATGCTCGAAACAAGGCTTGCTGCCTGCTCTTGATCCTAGGTGTCATCCTGGTCATTATCGTGCTGGCAGCCACTCTTGGATAGACTGGTCCCATCCGACCAGTTGCAGCTGATTTGTCTGTACTGAGCTCTCTATTTTGCGATCCCTACCGCTTGTGATGTTCCTCCTTGATGACGATATCCTCTGATGTACGATTCCATGTATCGTTTATACCTTGATTTTTGGCCTCATTTCACTCACACTCATGACTTGATTCGAATTAATGACACACAGGCGCACATGGAGTGAAGAATGTATCATTTGGTTTCTGCGTTTATGTGTTCTGTCTTTATCATACATAGCCTCTGTCTTAGACACGAATATACATCAAGATCACCACTGCTAATTATCATACCCAAACTCCTTTTCGCCTCTATATGTGTAATCGAAAAGCAATCGGCTCGCGAGAAAGCGGTTATTGGTGGCGAGGAATCTACAATCCCGTGAACCGCTTGAATCTCAGCCTCCAGCCTTCCAAGGTATTGAGCTTGGGCCGTACATCCAGGTAGAAGCTGAGTTTTCCTGGTCCCGCGTTGGCCGCCAGCCCGGCTGCACCGGGCTCTTCCCCTGTTGACTTTCCTTGATAGAAGTCAATGACATATTCAACACGCTCACCGCCGCATCTCTCCACCACCCAATCATGTCGGTCAAAGGGTTTCTGGTAGCCCAGCAAGCTATTGAACCGCGCACGGGGGCTGAGAAACTGAGGATCCACGCCCAGCCCGCGGAAAGAGTACAATTTCGGTCCTCCGCATTTCTTGCTACCCGGATCGGACGATGGTGCCTGACTCTCCCATTCAACAATTTGCTTCCAAGCACGCTCGTTGACGGCGTTATGTATGGGGATGATCGATGCAACGGAGGTTGCTAATTCTGAAGCCGAGCTGGTAGATGCGGGGGTATTTCCTTTGCGCAGCAATGCTTCGAAGAATTGCCGCTCGGATGGATAAATCCAATTGCCTGACGCCTTGTCATGGCCCGTTTCGGCTTCGGCATTGGACGGGGTACCATGGGATGCCGCGTACGGCGACGGGCATGCGCCGGGAGCTTCGGCAGACGATGATCCGGCAGAAGTATCGAAAGCTCGTGGTATAGTGCTGACTTCACGGTCACTGGACAGAGGCCGCTGCAATTTCGTCTTCGCTGTCTCGTCTTCGGTAGGTAGAGGATGGGGAGCTCCACCAGAAGCCTTGTGTTGTTGCAGCCATACCTCGCGGGTCTTGTGGTCAACGGGGCATGTTGCCGCGGCGGAGGCTTCAGCCGGAGGAGCGGATGGCGTACTCGCACCTGCGCCCATTCTGTATAATCCCCGACTTTTGAAGCGCAATGGTGGATGCCAGAATCTGGAGAACGAAGTCGGGAAAATAATTGATGGATTAGTAAAGATGCCGACAAGGCGGAGAGGGATTGTCGGAGGGATTTTGGACTCTTCACCGCCTTTAAACCCAACACCACCAATTGTCTTGAATTGCCCGACGGGGTAATCCTCAGCCCCTCATCAACAATCGCATTTCTCTGCTTCAAATATCTTTCTCTCTTCACCGTACAACCCAAGTTCATAATCTTTTTTGATTTTGTTTCTAATAATCATGGCGGCTGCGGACTCTTCGGTCTATAGGGCCACCACTACTGCCCCTGTCAATATTGCTGTCATCAAGTAAGTTGACTGCCCCCCCCCCCTAAATAAACCAACCGCCTCCTTTTCTTCTATCATTAAATTTGTACTAACGCTGGGACTTCTCTAGATACTGGGGAAAACGGGACGCAACTCTGAACCTGCCCACCAATTCTTCCCTCTCTGTGACCCTTTCCCAGCGTTCGCTCCGCACCCTCACCACCGCCTCCTGTTCTGCTATCTACCCCACCGCAGATGAGCTTATCCTCAATGGCAAGCCTCAAGATATCCAATCCTCCAAGCGTACGCTCGCCTGTCTCTCCAGCCTGCGCTCTCTTCGCCAGGCGCTGGAATCTACAGACTCATCGTTGCCGAAATTATCTACACTTCCCTTGCGGATTGTTTCCGAGAACAATTTCCCCACGGCCGCTGGTCTTGCTAGCTCAGCTGCTGGGTTTGCAGCCCTCGTTCGTGCTGTAGCGAACCTCTACCAACTTCCGCAATCACCTCGGGAGCTCAGCCGTATCGCTCGTCAGGGATCTGGCTCTGCTTGCCGGTCTCTGATGGGCGGCTACGTGGCTTGGCGCGCTGGAGAGTTGGAGGACGGCAGCGATAGTCTTGCTGAGGAGGTTGCACCTGCCTCACACTGGCCTGAGATGCGTGCCATTGTCCTGGTGGTCAGCGCCGAGAAGAAGGATGTCCCCAGTACCGAGGGCATGCAGACGACGGTCGCTACCTCGAGTCTCTTCGCTACCAGAGCGACATCTGTTGTTCCCGAGCGGATGGCTGCCATTGAGACAGCAATCCTGAACAAGGACTTTCCTGCCTTCGCCGAACTCACCATGCGCGACTCTAACGGCTTCCACGCCACCTGCCTTGACTCCTGGCCCCCAATTTTCTATATGAACGACGTTTCCCGGGCTGCTGTCAGAATTGTCCACGATATCAACCGTGCTATTGGCCGAACTGTGTGTGCGTACACCTTTGATGCTGGACCGAATGCTGTTATCTATTATCTGGAAAAGGATTCGGAGCTGGTCGCAGGAACTGTCAAGGCAATCTTGACCACCAACACTGACGGCTGGAATGGTCCTTTCTACGATATTCTGAAGGACGTCACTGCCCCGGGTGTTTCTTTGGATAAGATTGACTCTAGAGCCGTTGAAGTTCTCAAGGAGGGAGTCAGCCGCGTGATTCTGACCGGTGTTGGTGAGGGTCCTGTCAGTGTAGAAGACCACCTGGTCAGCGCAACTGGAGATGTTCTTTCGCACTAAGTTCATATATGATGCATTCCGCTTCGCTGTCAAGTACTCCGGTACATGGAACCTGGCATGAGAAAAAGATACCCGGCTGTGACCCTGTTCTTCCGCTACATATTACCTATCGCAACTTTCATCTATATCTTTAATTAATCAACGCCTAGCGCAACATAACGTTAGATCAATTGGACCCGAACAATTGAGCCATGTATGCATGGCATATTTCTATCATTATTGAAAAATTGCTGCCTTCCGTGCAAGATGCACTAAAATTCCCACATGGGGTCTTCCATTTCCTTTAGTCTATCCATATATTAATGCCATTCAAGTCCGACCGATCAAGGATGCACGAATAAAATCCAATCCAATTTTTAGCAATCTAGTTCAGCAACGCGGACTTGCTCAGTTCCTTGACCATAGGCACTTCCCGCCCTGCCTTACCAGACCCTAGGACGGTCGAGAGACTTTCGGCGAGCACACGCTGTCCTCCACGCACCCTGAGGTCCTCAGCACCGTCAACAGCCTCATCCGCGAGGCCTTCAGCGGCATTCCCGTCCTCAGCCAAGACCGGGGCGCCGAAGACTTCCTCCCGGGCTTCAGTACACATTTTCAGTATTTCCTGCATGGCCTTTTCGACAGCAACAGCGCGCTCACGCATACCCCGCCGCAGGAGCGCGTCCACCAGAGTCTCCACTTCAGCAACGGTCGAGTTCACCCGTTCAAGGAGTCGCCGGACACTGTTGACCAGGTACTCCTCTTCGTAGACCGTGCCCTTCTTGCCGCGCGCGCGCTTGCGCTCCTCGCGCCGGCGGGTCTTGGATGTGTGGCGCGTGGAGGTCGTTTTACCGGTTTTACCGGTATAGCGTGTGAACATGGTGCGGCCGGCAAGGGTCGAGGCGTCTGTTGGCGCGAGGGAGACATTGTCGGGAATATCCACGCCCAGATCACCCGTTGTCGCATCGCCTCCGAAGTAGGCCAGCGGATCGGCGGCGCGACGTTCGCGGAGTTCCCGGATCCGCGGCACCTGGGCATTCAGCTGAGACCTGAAGTCGGCGAGGAGATCAGTCGTTGTGCCCATCGAGTCTGCGAGGCCGGTATCGACGATGTCCGGAATCAGATTCTGTTTGCTTTGGAGGGCGAGGAGACGTGTGGCATCTGCGAAACGGGAGCCGCGGCAGAGAAGGCGGGCCGCTGTGGGAATGTCGTGCAGGTGCTCTGCGTGGATGTGGGCTGCGGAGACATAGTCGCGGCTTTCTTCGGTTAATGTACTGGCCAAAGCAATCGCATGGGCAGTGAGATCGGCCTCGGACAGGGGCACCATCATGGCACAATATATGGATTCGCGCCAGAGATGCGCCAGGTGGTAGCACTTATACGCCTCGTCATAGAGCGAGAGAGATTCGTACGCTAGTAGCAGTTAGCATCATGAGTTGTAATCGCACGGGGCAGTAAACTCTGGTCATTCAGAGAGCCATACCGATTCCTGCATCCTTGTATTTGGATTGATCGTAAAGGAAGTCAGCATAGACATGGGTCATATCGCGCAGCTGCTCCTGCTGGTATTTGAACAGGTCAATCGCTTCCTTGTACAGCTCATGCTTGATAACATAGGAGCGAATCTCGTCATAAGCACTGAGAGCATGAAGATGCTTCAACGCCTTGGCCCAGCGTCCAAGATAATTGTCAATCTCAAAACGGCGGCGGTCATCGGGAAGCTGTTGCAACTTCCGTAAGAATGGGAGATATTCTCGGGGATCCTGATTTCTATTAGAAGGTACACTGCAAATCATTTAGGGCGACCCTTACCCTTTGAGCTTGTTGGGCAACCAAGAGAGTGAGCTCAAGATCGTAGAGACCGAGGGCATGATCATACAGACGATGAGCGTCTGTGAGAAAGCACATGTGCTCGATCGCGTCCTCTGCTTGTTCGGAGCTTTGTTCTACCCAAAGTCAGCTATGGCTAAATCTATTCAAATGGACGGCTGAACAAACCTCTCAAGCGAGCGACTAGCTGTAGTCCAGCCTCGAGATCAGGTGGCGACTTGCACACATGTGCAGTGACCAGATTATGCAAGTTCGTGTCCATGCGCTTCTCAAGAGTTGCCAGAAACGCATCGCAAATTCGGTTGACCTTGCTGCCCTTGCTGGGTGGTCTGAATGAGGAGGTTGTAACCTCAGGCTGTGTAGCACTGGAAGGTTCTACTTTGGGTGTTTGCAGAGTGTCCTTGTATAGAGTTTGCGAGACGTCGTCCTCGCTATTCTCAGTTAGCAGGACATTCGAGAAGAAAATATTTACTTTTGGCTTACCTCAAGCGAGAGAGAAATTCATCAATGTATTCAATCTTCTTCACCTGGTCAATGAACAATGGAACGTTGTCGAGGAACTGCTCTGGCGCATAGTCATGCAGAATGTTCAGGTCAACCATCTGGCTGCGGCAAGCAAGATAGGCGGATCGGTAATCCTTTCTATCAATGAAACTTCTGATACCAGCGAGGACAAGGGCTCGAGGGTATATTGTCTCGATATTCCCTCGGGGTGCTTGCAAAGTGACAGCAAATTTGGAGGGCACTACCGAGACCAGTTTGTTTCCACGTTCGATATTTCGGCATCGTTCGTCCGTTTCGGGAGTGTCAGCAGGAACATCCATTTCTGCAAGATAAGTTAGCCCATAATCAAATAAGACAAAAAGTTGAGTGTAAACGAACCATCTGCCTTTGTCAAGTGGACGAACTTAAGAAGGTGCTGAGACGTAGTAAAAAGAACATGTGCTTGGGTAACCAGGAACGATGTGCAGTTCTTTGCGAGCAAATGTGTATTCGCATAAAGGGCCCCAGTTCTTGATAATGAGATCAACAGACTCTTTTACCCAGTTAGTAATGCCTCGTCTATACAACTTTGAGAGTACTCACCTCATCCTCCGATAAGTGGACAGCGCGGGCCCAGTAGGTATCAACAGCTGGGCTTTGATCCCAAGGTTTCACCTGGAGATCCGCAGAGGGGAGGACCTCCAGTGAAGAGTATTTAGTGTGACTTCCAGATTGTGGGATGTGAGAAATCCACAAATCTTCATGTCCAAGAGCTGGGAAGATTGAGAGAACTTGCTCCGAGTCTGTTGCTTGATAGACAGCCTTGGTCAATCGCGTCTCAAGTGTGGTCCTTTCAATCTGAGCGCTAGTAGGGCCATCATTCCAAAGAATATATACTTCGTTCTCATTCAGAAAAGCGATTTGTCGGGGTCGGCTGTCCGGTGCTTCAGACAAAGGATAGCTTGATTCTAATATCGGTGTCGGGACTGGACGAGACTTGAGAGACCACACGAAAATCGAAAAACAGTTCTTCATCAGGACAGCAATTCGAGTGCCAGATTTGCTGAAGGCAACATCGATAACATTCGAGTCCAAGAGTACTTCGTTGTGAGCCATCGGAGGCGGCACCCCAGATAATTTCAGAGGAGTCAGCTTGAGTGTTTCTTGTCAAAGTTAGCATGGGGCATCCACCAGGCGTGGGTCAGACATACTTCCATCTATGACTGCAACAGCACCGACATCGTTGGGAATCGCGGTAGAGCCGTGAGAGACGTCAAAAACAAAGTCTGCATCCAGGATTGAGGCTAGATCCTTGTTAGTCCATAATCTAAAGAAAACTCGAATATAAAGTACCTGAGCCGCAAGCAACGGACCGCAGAGCCTTTTCCTGGTGCCATTTGAAGGCAATGGGGTGCGAATACTCAGGGTCCACTACCACGGGGATCTCTTGCTTGAGATAGTAATGGTAGTTACCCGTAGTCCAGAATTGTACGCGACCCTTGAAGAGGACGGCCAGGACCGTGGAATCCACATTCCAACTCAGCTGGATTTCTGAAGCCCATGATACGGTCTCTTCTGCAGTGAGACGGAGGGTGAACTCTCCATGGCGCAGGCCGTTTCGCTCGAAGAATACGACATCAACTCTGTCGTCGAGCCGTTGAATTCCCGCAATCAGATTACCGGATGGTCGCCAGCTAAGAGCACTCTCTAAGCCATCAACTGGTTCGCTCACACTATCCAAAGCGCCCTCTCGGGAGTAGACTCTGATCACGCGACGAACACCTGATTCGATGCTGTTCACGGCGACATAGGCACCGTCACCCCGCCAGCTGATCGTGGTTCGGCCGTCGTCGCTACTGCTGAGTCTTCCCTCGTCCACCTTCTCGGGGACTGTAGGATCTCTAAGAGCCTTGGCTCTCTTTCCCTGGAACTGCGTCTCTCGTTTACCCCAGCCCACAGAGACATGCTGGGATGCTTTAAGATCTTCCGGGGTGAAGGTAATCTCAGCGACATTTTCAAATTCCCGGGTCATGTAGAGGAAGGTGTTAGCCCTGGTGGTAAGAGCTAGAAGCTCCTCATCCGGAGACCACGCGGCAGCTGTGATGCCCACATCGACGGAGCCCACGATCTCAATCTTGTCCTCGCCTGGAAGGGGTTCCTCGCGGACGATGACGATGTCACCACCCTCCAACACCAGACAAGCAGTGAGATTGTCCGCAAAGTAGTGAAGGGAGAGCACCCGGTCGCAGCTCAGGTCGGGCAGCGGACATGGCGCATCCCACGACGCAATGCAATCAAATACTTCTGCGCCTATAGGGTCCGCAAAGTAGCTATCATGTTGCTTTCTTCGAAGCTCGATGACAGGGTTCGTTTCAGTAGGACCAAATGTGCAGATGACCGCGTCTGAAGCTGTGTCCCAGGCAGTGGCCGTCAAGGGAAGCTCATTTTGCAGATGCACCTCGGCGAGGCGGACGTTTTTCAAGTTGCGCATCTTTGTATGGTGTTGGGAGAATCTACCCCGCCATGTATTGACGAGGCTCGCGCAAGAAAAATGTCGAATATAGAGATGATCAAATATTCGAGATATTGATTTTCTCTTATTAATGATGAAATAAAGAAAATCGCTCTTTCATGTACAATTATTGCTGTTGGCTGCGGACTGCGAACCCAACAGTGTCTAATCACTATCTACCAAAGATTTTTAATTTTCGAGCGGACGAAAGTGAGCGCTCAACCAATGACTTCATCCATATTCTAATATCAAACGAGTATCGGACAATCTACACAACATGGCAACCACGAAACAACTACGAATTGATCGAACTGCTCAAAACCCCGGAATAGTCACTGCTTCGAAAACCACTGAATTTCTGAACTTTGTACATAATACCCAATGCTCCAGGTGTAGCATACATCTCCGGCCATTCCCCACTGCTCACACATGCCGAGGCGTCGTGAAGTGTGTCACGAGGAAGCTGTTTAACGGGTCTTGTAGGATTGCCAGACTGTAGTAAAGCCAGTATTAGACGAGTAAATAGGGATGTTTGCGCGAATATCGAAGACGTACCAGCAATGGCGAAGGGAGCACCGAAACCAGTAACTAGATACCCGAATAGTCAGCTCCGATCAGGTAACTGCCTCCTCACGTTATGCAATTGATGGTACAAACCCATGAAAGCCCAGTATCTCCAGAAGAAGTGCTTGGTCAGAGGGTTGAAGGGCAGGTTGGAACGAGGGCCCTCAGCGTAGTGGTATGGGCTGGCGAGCTGGGCACGGGTGGTGGAAAAGCCACGACGGGCGACGAAGGAGGTGGCCATTCTGGCGCGGAGAGCAGAGGTAGCGTACATCTTGGACGCACAGATTAGACTAGATCCAATTTCAAATATCCTAGACGTCGCAAGCACCATATACCCACCTTGAGCGAAGCAGCAGACACGATGTGATCGAAGACACTGGTATTCGACTACCCGAAAGGAAAGAGAAGGAGTGGAACGATCACAGCTTCGGCGGCTCTCCGGAACCCGCAGCACGTGATGGAAACTGTTCGAAAGGAGCAAGTTTGACCGGCGGCGACAAGAAAATGTTAGTGGATGTTTCTATGGAGTATTTTCTGCCCTGTCGCACGCCGCCTTCCCCAAACGGACGGCAACATTGAAATTTCTCAGACAGTCAATTCGGAGATCGCAGAAGTTGCAAGGTGCTTCCGCGTTAGCCTCCCTTTTTGCTCCCTACGGGCCGGACTTTAGAGCTTTGGTTCGACAATGGATGAGCTCTTCGATGTCTTCGAAGACCAGCCTCAAGCGGCGAGGCCCACTGATGTCGCACCCACCAAACGATCGAAGAAGGATAAGAGCAAGAAGCGTCAGGTGAATGGCGCTGTAAAGGAAAATGGTGCTGGGAAAGAGACCAAGGAGGATATCGAGATTCCAGATGCACCTGCTGCCGAACCCGTGGACGGCGATGATGTTAACACTCCTGCGACCGAGAACAACGCCCAGCAACCGGAAGCGAAACGGCCGCGTCTTGAACAGGAACCGCAGCCTGTGTTAGCAGATGAGTTCGAGACGGCACAGGAGCGCGAGGTCGCAGCGTCTGCAGGATTACTGGCCTCCAAGGAAACAACGTCGGTCAAGCTGTCCCACCAGGTCCGGCATCAGGTCGCCATTCCGCCCAACTACCCATACGTACCGATCTCACAACACAAGGCCCCTGAGAACCCTGCGAGGGTGTGGCCGTTCACTCTCGATCCTTTCCAACAGGTTGCAGTTGCATCGATCGAGCGAGAGGAGAGTGTTCTGGTGTCCGCTCATACCAGTGCCGGTAAGACAGTAGTTGCGGAGTATGCCATCGCGCAAAGCTTGAAGAACAACCAGAGAGTCATCTACACAAGTCCAATCAAAGCTCTGAGCAATCAGAAATACCGAGAATTTGCGGCGGAATTTGGCGACGTCGGTTTGATGACGGGAGATGTGACCATCAACCCAACAGCGACCTGTCTGGTCATGACAACAGAGGTGGGCTTTTACTACAAAACTCATGTATGACGCTGACCCCAATGCTGATATGTTCAATTAGATTCTTCGGTCTATGTTGTATCGTGGTTCCGAGATTATGCGAGAAGTTGCGTGGGTTGTATTCGATGAGATCCACTACATGCGGGATGCCAGTAAGTGCATGAGAGCGATGCGTCTTTGAGGAGATTATTGACGATGATGGCAGTTCGTGGTGTCGTTTGGGAAGAAACTATCATCTTGTTGCCGGATAAGGTCAGATATGTGTTCTTGTCCGCGACAATTCCCAATGCAATGCAGTTCGCCGAATGGATCGTCAAGATGCATAACCAGCCCTGCCACGTCGTATATACCGATTTCAGACCTACTCCCTTGCAACACTATTTCTTTCCCGCTGGCGGTGAGGGTATTCATTTGGTTGTCGACGAGAAGGGCGTTTTCCGCGAGGAGAACTTTCAAAAAGCGATGAGCAGCATTGCGGACAAGAAGGGCGATGACCCGGCAGACGCTATGGCCAAGAGGAAAGGGAGAGGCAAAGATAAGAAACTGAATAAAGGTGGAAATGAGGGGCCGACTGATATCTACAAGATCGTGAAAATGATCATGTTGAAGAACCTGAACCCCGTCATCGTCTTCAGTTTCAGCAAACGTGAATGTGAGGCGTGCGCTCTTAACATGAGTGCTCTGGCTTTCAACGATGACTCGGAGAAGGAAATGGTTTCTAAGGTCTTCAACAGCGCTATTGAAATGCTTTCCGAGGAGGATCGCAACTTGCCTCAGATTCAAAACATTTTGCCGCTGCTTCGGAGGGGCATCGGTGTCCATCATTCGGGTTTGCTTCCCATTCTCAAGGAAACCATTGAGATTCTCTTCCAGGAAGGGCTTATCAAGGTGCTCTTTGCTACGGAGACGTTCTCTATCGGTCTGAATATGCCTGCGAAGACCGTGGTGTTCACCAGCGTTCGCAAGTTCGACGGTTTCAGCCAGCGTTGGGTCACCCCATCTGAGTTCGTCCAGATGTCCGGTCGTGCTGGTCGAAGAGGCCTCGATGAACGTGGTATTGTGATTATGATGGTTGGTGAAGAGATGGATCCCGCCGTGGCCAAGGAAATCGTGCGCGGAGAGCAGGATAGACTCAACTCGGCTTTTCATCTGGGTTATAACATGATTCTCAACCTGATGCGTGTGGAAGGTATCTCGCCCGAGTTCATGCTCGAGAGATGCTTCTACCAGTTCCAAAACACAGCTGGTGCCGCTGAGCTTGAAAAAGGTAGGTTTAACGTCTATACGATATTCTAACCTAAGATTGGCTGTGCTAATATCTCTACAGAATTGAAGGCATTGGAAGAGAAGAAGGCCAACATGACCATCTCGGATGAGGGAACCATTCGCGAGTATTACGATTTGAGAGTGCAGCTTGACAAGTATGCGGACGACATCCAGGCGGTCATCAGCCATCCGGATCACTGCCTGACTTTCATGACCCCCGGCCGGTTAGTCCACGTCAAACATAAAGACAAGGATTTCGGATGGGGTGTCGTGGTCAATTATAAGCAAAGGAGGCCAGCAAAAAATTCGCACGAGGAGATCCCCCGCGAGCAGCAGTACATCGTCGATGTCTTGATGAAGATTGCCGAAGGACCTTCCGTAGCCACAAAGACCTTCGAGGAATTACCATCGGGAGTCAGACCAGCAAAGGAAGGCGAGAATTCCCGGATGGAGGTCGTTCCTATCGTCACCGGCTGCATCCGCGCCATCTCACACGTGCGCCTCAGAGTGCCCAAGGAGTTGAACTCGAAAGAGTCGAGAAATGGAGTCAAGAAGCTGGTGGATGAAGTAATGCGTCGCTTTCCTGATGGCATCGCTCTGCTTGACCCGCTCGAAGATATGAAAATCCAGGGTGAAGAATTCAAGAAGACACTACGAGTAAGAGATATCTTCCTTGGTTCCCTGATTCCGCAGGAGTTGTGACACTAATCCGCTTAACCACAATAGAAAGTAGAAGTGCTTGAATCTCGTCTGCTCGCCAATCCTCTGCACAACTCACCGCGTCTCCCCGAGCTCTACCAACAATACGCCGAAAAGGAGGAGTTGGGTGCAAAGATCAAGGAGACAAAGAGCAAGATCTCGGACGCCATGTCTATCATGCAGCTTGATGAGCTTAAGTGCCGAAAACGTGTGCTTCGTCGATTCGGATTCATCAACGAGGCCGATGTCGTCCAGTTGAAGGCCCGAGTTGCGTGTGAAATTAGCACCGGAGACGAACTCATGCTCAGCGAGCTTCTGTTCAACGGTTTCTTCAATAAACTCACGCCCGAGCAAGCCGCAGCGGCGCTGAGTGTGTTTGTCTTCGAAGAGAAGACCAAGGAGACTCCAGCGCTCACCCGAGAAGAACTGGCAAAGCCCCTCAAGGAGATCCAAGCACAGGCCCGGATTGTTGCCAAGGTCTCGCAAGAATCCAAGCTGGCTGTCAACGAGGAGGAATACGTGCAGAGCTTCCACTGGGAACTCATGGAAGTGATCTACGAGTGGGCGAACGGCAAGTCATTTGCTGATATCTGGTAAGTCTCATCCTGCAGTCCGCCACAGTCCGAAAGGTGAGCATGGATGCTAATATGTTATTTCCCCCCTTCTCTAGTGGAATGACGGATGTTTACGAAGGGTCCTTGATTCGCGTCTTCCGTCGATTGGAAGAGTGTCTCCGGCAAATGGCGCAAGCCTCCAAGGTTATGGGTAACGAGGAACTCGAGAGCAAATTCGAGGAAGCTCTGACGAAGGTGCGCAGAGACATTGTGGCTGCACAGTCTCTGTATCTGTAAATATTTTCTTTTTCTTTTTCTTTTTTTCGCCCTCAAACTGTCTCAGACATCGTTATCTTCACACACGTATGATATGCGTTGTACGGTTCCAGTTGTTCGTTTTGGTGGTTTCGCATTTCCCTGGCGTCGGGATTGAAAAAGAAGGGTTCTTTTGTTCTCTTTCATTGTTGGGATCCTCGCTGTATTCAGTCCTTTTTTCCCCTTATTCTTTGACTCCCTTGATAAATCACGAACATACCATTTTTTATTTTTTTTTTTCGAGTCACCCTTGATCCCTAAATAATAATTGTAATGATCATGGATGGTGTAATCGACCCCCCGAAACCTGCGCAGCCGGCGTGCGTTGCCTCCCGCAACCGCCTGATACATCGTAGTATTAGTAGGTAGTTAGTTTAGCAGCAGCAGTAGTAGTAGTAGTAGACGGTAGTAGTAGTAAAGTAGTAGTCGTCCTCAGTGATAATAATAATCGTCCACCGCTTTTCTCTCTCTTTTTCTCTCTGTCTGTCTGACTGACTCTACTCTCTCACCACTCACTTACTCACTCACTTACTCACCACTCACTCTTCCCCACTCCGCCCTCATCAACTCAGCTCATTCAAACTTCCATCAGCTCCCCCTAAAACTCCATCCTTACCCTGTTTCTTCTACATCTCCCTAGTTCTTTTCTTCCCCTTCTTCTTCTTCTGTTCTCTCTCTTCCTCTCTTTTTCTTTCGCTCTCCATCTTGTCTGGTTTCCTTTTCTCTGTGTGTTCTTCCCTTGCTTCTTCTTTCCTTGCCATCCTCCTGCTTTCTCGTGCTTGAACCTCCTTCTCCTTCCGCCACCGGGAGACTCCTCTAATTCTTTGCCCACCAACTGTTTGTGACCACCATGAACAGCTTGGTGGCTACACCACCTGTGCCTCCACACTTCTACGAGCATTCTCGTTTTTCTTCCCCGCATCCAAGTAAGTCTCTCTTGAAAAAAAAAAAAAAGAAAAGAAAAGAAAAGAAAAGAAAGAAACAAAAGTTTAGGCCGGAATTTGTTGATCGGGAGCTGACGCTCATCTTCAAGTGTCGAACCCAATCCATACCCCCAGCAGCCGGAAACGGAAGGCCGACGACGATGGCAATGATCATGATGGACGGATGTCAGCATCTCCTACGAACTCTCCCGCCTTCACTCCTCGGTCTCTGCCGACTCCTCGTTCGTTCAAACGCTCCCGACCAAACGTCTTCGGCAGGCCTCTCTCCCTCCCCCGTTTGCTCGAAACCCTCGATACCGACGCTCTGAGGGGCATTCTCCGGTCGATGTGCGAGCGTCATCCAGCTCTGGCAGATGAGGTGATTCACACGTCTCCCCGTCCCAGTGTGACATCCGCTCTGCAGGTCTTGCGAAACTATCAAACCGCTCTACAAAACTCGTTCCCGTTGGGTGGCAACCCTGAATCCGACTACGCCTATAACCGTGTTCGGCAACCGCTGGGAAACCTCCTCGACGCCCTCAGCGATTTCACGCCACATTTCTTGCCACCAAATGAATCCCAAGCATCTGTGTCTTTGAGTTACCTGGACGGTGCGACCGAGATCATTCACGCCTTGCCACGATGGAACTCACCACAAAACAACATAGAGCGGGACTCTGCGTATGATGAGATCTGCAAGGCCTGGGTTTTGGTAATCCGAGAGGCGGCAAAGCGTGGCGGTGGCATTCAACTACAGTACGGCGGATGGGATCAGAAACTCTCGAAGCATAACCACAACTCGGGCGGTAGACTTCAAGCGGCCGTGAACGAGCTCGGAAACAGCCTAGGATGGATGCACGGCCCGGATTCTCAAGGCTACAGCAGCCCGGCCGCAGGCGACTTGGGATCGATTCGGGACCAGCTACTGTCCGGCACCTACGGATTGGGAACCCCCGTCAAAGTCGGACCTTGGTAGATACACCGACTCTTGATATCCCGCTTTTTACTTTCCTCGATGCACCATCCACCAAAAGACCGTTGTGCTTCACCCTAGCATCTTCAGAAAACCATTGTGCGAAACCTCCGAACGGTGCACACCTACGTCTGATACGATCACGATACCTACTGCATGAATTAGAGAGTTGAGGGTCTCTTGGCGTTTACAGTTTGCAAAGAAACGCTTCTCCATTTGCTGTGTCATATTTCTGGAAACCAGGCCCTGTCGTCCTTTTGTTATCATCCATTAGAGCACCAGTTCCAGCGAATCTGCTGGTTGGGCCTTCTCGCTCGTCCAAACTACATCATTTCCTACCAACACGAGCCAGCCTTGCCCTGATTCTTTTTGAATCCTTCGATCTCTCTCGTTTATCCCTTTTTCTTTTTCTTACATCATACTTATCTTCCCTGTTACGGCCGACATCTCAGAATATCCCTGGATCTTGCGCCACTTCCCGGCAACCATCTTTTCCTTGTCTGTTACCTACCCATCTTGTATACCCGCTCCCGATTCAACTCTTCTTTCTTAATAGTACTGGTGGCTGAATCAACCTTTTTTTTTGCCCTTTTGCTTTTTCGGTGGCTCTATCCCAATTGGAACTGTCCATACCCCAAACCAGGTCGGGCCATGTATCAAGTAGAATGACAGTTTCCCTCTGTTGCGCCTGACTCATGCCGAACTTCCGCGCTTCTCAAGCTGTAGTACACTGCATTCATTGTGAGAGGTGTGGATTCGTGGTCAGCCTCGGAGATCTTCCCGGTGTGCAGAGTGACATTTGTGCATGAGCAGTACTTTGTTGTGTAGCCTCTGGGACACTGACAAGACTGCGAGAGGGGCGAGGGGAGAGATGCAATGAGAAAGAAATGTTTGTGAGATAAGAAGCAATTGTAGTAGTTGCATTTAGTTGAACTATGCAGTAACGGATATATCCAAGTGACAAACGCAGCACGACATTAAGCTGGAACACTATTCCCACGAACAATATAGCAGTATGCATGTAGAAAAGACACAAAACACTATAACAGCGCCCATTTCATAGCACGAATCAACCACCCTGCATCCTCCCATCCTCCATTCTCCCCCGGCTTCTCCACCACCGTCGAGATGACAGACTCATCCGCAGATAACCCATCATTGTCATTGTCATCCGTCAGGCCCGACACAGAATGATGATCACCGATGCACTCATCCCGCAAACTCACCTCCGAAGCCTTCTCCGTCTGCCCAGCGGGCCCATCACCACCCCGACCAGCCAGCGGCAAATCCTCCACCCCAAAAAGCGACCACTCAACCATCCGGTCAATCCACCCGCCCAGCCCAAACCCCCGCTCCCGCGTCAGCCGCTGCAGCTCTTGCTCATCAATCTCCTCCTCGTCGTCATCCGAGCCGTCGCTCTCGTCCGACCCAAACTCCCCCTCCGACCCACTCGCATACGCATACCCGTCCTCGATCTGCTGGATCGACGCCATTTCGGCACGGATGCGCTCGTCCACGAAATCCGGAAGCAGGCGCACGTCGTCTCGCCCAGCGACAGCCCCTGCCCCTGCCCCCAGCCGCAACCGCGGCGACATGGCCCCCAGACTCGTCATGGCCAGATCAGGCCGGCTGTTGCGCCTGCTGGCGGCGCGGGAGTGCGACCCGCGGCGCGAGTACGCGGCGGGCGTGGAGCGGCCGGACCGCGAGCGCGAGGAGCGTGAACCTGAGTGCGCGGCTGCGGGTGCGGCGTCGTACGTGCTCTCGGAGACGAGGTTGGTGGAGCTCTCGCGCTTCACGAGCCAGGATTGGCCTTTTTCTTCGCGGGTGGAGGAGGCGAGCGCGATGCCGGCGCGGAGTATCCATTCTGCGTCGCGGTGGGGGGAGTCGTGGTGGGAGGTTGGGGTGCGGGCTTTCTTGGTGCCGTTGGCATTGTGATTGTGGTGGTGATTGTGGTGGTGATTGTGGTGATGATGGTGGTGTAGGGGCTGTGACTCGCCCTGGGCGTGGAGACTGCTGTCGCTCCAGTGGATGCGGCTTGAGCTTTTGCTGCGGGAGTGGTGACGCAGCCGGGAGGTGCTGCGGGAATGCGAGAGAACGCCTGGGGTTCCTGGGACAGAGAAGCTGGAGAGGTAGGATGTCCGTGTCGGTGTGTCGGCGGAACGCTCCGCGCGTGGTGAAAAGTAATCCTGTGGCGCTCCATCATCATCGTCGTCGTCGTCGTCGATGGGGAACCGGTTTGTCAATGGTGTGAGGGAGACATGGTGTAGTGAGGGATATGAGCGGCGGGACCGAAAGCGAAAGCCGCCTCCGCTTTGAGGTGTAGAGATCTGTGAAACTGCGTGAGTAGATGCGCGGAGCGGCGAAGGGGAGCAGCGGAAAACCATACCTCCTCCATCTTGGTTTTCTTGGTCGAGCTGGATTAGATTGTGTGTTTCTGGCTAGGAAGTGAGCAGTCGAGCTGTTTATAGTTGTAGTGTCCTCTGTAGTCCGGGAGGGTCTGATGCCAGGATGTCGTCGTATGTAGGAATTGGATGATGCAGAAAGAGGTGGTGTAGAGCGAGTTCATCCCTGCTCCGCCCGAGCTGTGGCTGCGGACATGTGAAAGTGGGCAGACACAGGCAAAACTCGCTGCTCTACTCGGTCGCAAAGATATACTAGGGATATTGCTACAGATGTATCGCTGATTGAAGGAAATGTTATAGCATATATACATCCTCTCTCTTTCCAGGTTTGATTGTCGCAGTATTGCAATAGACATCCTATCATCCTGCGGTACATCTATCTCCACATCTCCCCACCCTCAAAGCGAGGTAGATACCCCGGATTCTTTAACCTCATAGTAACTGCATATATAGCTGGATGCTGGTCATTGCATTGTAATTCAACCTACTGTGCCATACAGATATTTACTAGAGTAGGGGTCCTTCAGAACACTGGTATTATTTATGCAGTATTATATTGGAGTTTGACCGTCCTCTAACATGCTGATCAATATATTTCTGTTTTATATATATATATACTGCTTAGCACTTGGGTTCGGGAGGCCAATGGCCAGGAGGACCTGCTAACCCAAGCCCATGCATGCCTTTGCATTGGCAGTTGGCACAATGGCAATGCGTCTAGTCGTGCCTACTCTAGGCTTTAGCAATACCATGCTTGCTTAGACGCTTAACTTCCTTTCCACCCGTAACTGCCCTTTAACCGCCTAGCACTTTTAGTCATCCTCCAGTCCTGATGTTGACACTCGACTTTACTCCGTACACAGTTATTCCCCTTGTTTCCACTGGCGACCAAAACGACGCCAAAAATGGCTCCCCTTCACCTAAATCTAAGTCCCCCATGGCACCTACGCCTGTACATCCAGCTCTAACTAATGAGGACTAATACTAGACTAATCCTATTCTTTATAAGGAAACTTAAGCTAGACTAGAATATTTTTATAGTCTTAGATGGCTCCCTCCAAACTTTAAGCCAAAGATCTTAGAAGAAGGTATTTTGCGACTCTTGGTGATCGACCTCACCAGACTCCTCGCTGCCGTCATCATCTTGTTCCCACATTTCACGAAGCAAATCATCCTGATATATCTTCTCAGGAGGTAAACCTTCTCCACCGACGATGAACCATCGAAAGATATCAACTGAAGCTTCTTCAGAAGCCTCTCGGTCAGGATCAAGCTCCCTCTTCTCGAATGCATGACTGACTTCCCTGATGTTTGGAATGTTGGAAAGTTCTTCAGTCACAAGTGATGGAGATCTTCTTAAAAACCCATAATCCTGTATAGTCTCACCATTCTCTAATTCCCAGTTCCAATGGTCGTAATGGTACCAATGTCGCGAGCACTTCAAATGTGACGTAACGCGAAGCGCACAATTGGTCGTTAAAGACACCCCGCAAGGTTCCCAGGGTGTCATGGGTCTATATTCGTAGCTCAAATCGTCTTCTTCGGTCGGAGAGAGGTGTAGTAAGCGCCATACATCAGGTCTTGAGATGTATTCCGGGTCGTCCGAGGTATACGGACCTGAGCCTGCATCATCCATAAAGCTTTGAGGGGCGCCAGTCCAAGGAAAAGCATTTGAGTCAAGGGGTGGCTTACCTCTCCTTACCTTTTGAATAATTTTAGGGCCTATACCGCTCACCGCTGCTCCAATCCAAAGGGCACCCACACTTGGCCGGCGAATGGCACCGATCAAAGCAATAAGTTCTTGAACCTTGCCTTCTGTGGTATCACACAAGACCTCTTCAAGAACCGGATGTAGCCATTGACTGACCATATTGCAAGGAACGTCCGGTTGCCAGAATGATCCACATAGCGTTGATATCATCACTTCCGGGCTGCCACTTAAAGTCAAGTAATAAGGCAGTTCTTCTTTCAAACCCGTCCACATCGGTGAAGTACCACCTAGGGTAGAGGTAGGAGTTTTACCACCGTGAGAACTTGGAAGCGGCAGTTTGGCATCCGTGCCATAATATCGATGCATTGGGAAGGACATGGCTATCGTAAGAGCGATAGGGAATTGACTTCCGAGATCATGTAAATGCGCAAACTCAAGAAGAGCATCGAAAGCGTCATCCGAGGATAAAGGCGTTTGCACAGGGGGTAGCGAGTCTCTCCTTTGTTTGATGATGAGAGGTGTTTCACACGTGCGATATACCGACCAAGGGGCGACAAATTCATCATCAGGGTCATCTTTCACGATGGCTTTCCACCCTTCGCGTTTTGCAAGTATCGCAGACCACCAGCGAACAATTTGTGCATCCGCTTCCCCCACATCGATAACGTGAGTCGCTTCAGGTGGATTGTGGAGACTCTCGCCGAAGCACTCGGCACAGGAATTTGTGTAACGCATGATGGCACTACCTCCTTGCATTTCAACAAGCCGTGCGGAGAGTATATAACACCAACCGATCGCAAGAATCCCTAAATAATTAGGACCTGTGGCCTTCTCCGTCGTCGTGCCGATCCAATGGCTGAAGACATTCCCACAAAAACTGTACGGGATGGCACTACCGGTGCCGATTTGCACCAAGGCAGGTTTCGTCGTTTCTTTCTTAGCCGCATGGCAGTCGGAGTGTCCCATCAGTCTCCAAGTGGAGGAGGCTGGCGAGCAAAGCGCGAAAATCGAAGTAGTGCCCAAAGGGCGTCCGAATTGCGATTTTAGCCGGCCTGGGAATTTTGGGACTTTGTGAAGGGCGTGTTGCGGATTCGTAAATTCTGGAGTCAGGCCATTTTCCAGATAGGAATAAGCGATCGATGCGGTGTGATACCAGTACGCCCGACTCCTTTCCAGCGCGATGTCCTCTTGCTCTTTGGAAGGCTGAAGGACGTCGTTGTTTCCAACGATCTGTGATTGCCAACTTAGCGTGAACTCTCTAGGGAAAGCGCAGGGATGACTAACCGAGGAAATGCTTGGGAGGACAAAAGAACAACTCTGCAGTCCCATCATTGGGGATGATCAGGCACACTTTGAGTGGGCTAAATGGCCTCGGATCTGAAAATTTTTTCCAAGGGTTGAATCTGGATATGAAACAGGTTACAAGAGTTGGTTCTGTCAGGGAGAGACGAGGGGTTTTACACAGTATATTCTCAGACAAGTGGAGTGGTATCTGATTCATATCAGTGAGAACTCTTGTTCTAAGCTTAAACTTAACGTCCTGCAGCAGTCGCAGGGCTACCTAAATGTATGTTAGCTGAAGCACTGGTTCTATATGGGTATAGTTTTGTGTGTATTCTCATACTACATTCTATTCTCGGACAGATCGATTCAAAGGAGGAAAAAAAAATTAATAATGATAATAATTGCTAAATTGACTAAATTTATTTTCGACGTATTGATATTCATCCCGTTTATTCGATCTTTCCCTTGTTCACAACGAATCCCTCAATGGCAGAGATGGCAGCCCACAGTCGGTTCTCAGCCTCAGGGAAGACCAATGACCGATTGCTGTAGAAAACCTCGTCGTTGACTTCCTCAGGATGCCGGGGCAGGCAATGCATGAACTTCCATCCTTCCTTAGCACCGCCGCGCTTGGCGAGCTCGGGCGTGATCTGGAAGCCTTCAAAGTCCTTCAACCGCTTGATCGACTCTGCTTCTTGTCCCATGGACACCCAGGTATCCGTCACCAGAACGTCTGCGTCTTTGACCGCTTCTTCCGGAACGTTGGTCTGCAGAAGCTTGCCGGCGTTCTGGACGCCCTCTCCGGCCTTTTGGATCAGCTCGAGCATGGAAGCAGGGATCTCGTAGCCCTTGGGGGTCGCGACAGCCACGTCAATCCCCATCTTAGTGGCCGCAATAGCCATGTCAAACAGGACGTTGTTGGCATCACCAATCCAGGCAATCTTCAACCCTTCCAGCCCGAGACTGGAGAGACCGCGGGCCTTGGGAGTGAAAGTCTCGTGCATGGTCTGGAAATCGGCAATGGCCTGGAGCGGGTGGAATGAGTCACAGAGGGCATTGATCACGGGGACCGTCGAGTGCTTCGCGAGGTTGGCGACCTCCTCATGCTTGCCGACGCGAGCCACAATGCAAGAAACCATCGAGGAAACCACCACCGCGGTGTCGTAAAGAGACTCATTGACGCCCAGCTGGATGTCATCCTTGCCCAGGAACATCGGGTGTCCTCCCATCTGCACGACGGCCCCCTCAGTCGAGATTCGGGTGCGGGTACTCCGTTTGCTGAAAATCATGGCCGCGGTCTTTCCGGTCAAAGCTCCGACAAGATTCTGAGGAACAGAGCCGGACTTGATTGAGCGCTTGTATGACGAGGCATTGCGGACTAGTGTAGCGAACTCCGTGGGGGTCAAGTCGGCAATGGATAGGAAATGACGAGGAGCAAAAGGAGAGGTAGGAGGAGTGGTAGGAGAAGTCTGAGACGAGTACTGTCGCATTCCATTCAGCCGGACCGTCTGACGCAGACTTTGGCCGTGCAATGCGCCGTAACCTCCGGCAGCGAGTTTCAATCCGCGAGTCATGATGGATGAAGGAGAGTAATAGGTTTTGATCTGTACTCTGTGAGGTGAAGATATATACCAATTAGCCGAGAAATGACTCATAGAACTCCCCATGCAACAAGCAAGACATATCTACCTTAACTTCGCTTCTGCTGATATGAATCACAGACGGAAAAAGAAAAGAAGTTGTACAGCGTCGAGTGTGTCAATCAACCATCTCCATAATAAATTGGGCTGGTTGAGCTCCACACCGCATTGGGGTGGCTGTGATTGGACTGTTGGCGGCGTTACCTCAATGATCCTCAGAAGTTATCAACGGAGTATACTTCGATTCGGGCATCGTCTCTCTCTTCCTACATCAATCAATCCATCCATCATCAATCATCTATCATCAAATCTTCATCTCTTTCATCTCTCTATATCTCTTCTTCTGATTGGATATATTGGCATTGCTCTCTCTAGTATCTATATGATTTATTTTGCCCCTGCATGAGTGGTTGAATAATCCGTGCTGTCACTCCACATCTCGGTTGTTTCCCCACTCCCCCAGCCATCATGGCTGATGAGGAAAGCAGACCTCTGCTCCACGTGAATACCATGTCCCCGTCATCTAACCAACCTCATTCTCCCGGCGTCTCATCTTCTTCCCCAGTAGCTCAGCCGGATCGATCATTTGAGCTGTCGTCGGAGTCGACACCCCTGTTAGCCCGTCGGGATGCTGATGGACTTGTCGCATATGGAACGGAGCCAGAGGCCGCATCGGAGCTATCAGCACAGTCTGAGACCTCTACCTTTCACAGCTACTATAAAGAATTAGGAAGCAGGATCCGGTGGCCGATCATCTGCGCTCTTGTCACACTCTCTGCGATCATCTCCATACTTGTGTTCGCCTTTTTTGCACCCGCTGCTGTCAAGGAGTATGCCAAGGAAGCCGCAGTGTTCCATCCTACGGAAATCTCCATTGATTCGGCTACGGCGGACGGACTTCGGACCAGAGTTCAGGGTGAATTCGTGCTAGACGCGAATCGCGTACAGAAGCAACCAGTGCGGACCCTGGGTCGCCTCGTCACATGGATTGGCAGGGAGGTTGAAACAGGTCAATCGGAAGTGCAGGTTTACCTTCCAGAATATGGCAATATCCTTGTTGGAACAGCATATATACCTTCCATCAAATTCAACATTCGAAATGGCCACACGAATAACGTCGACTTTTTGGCGGACTTGACGGCCGGCGACATACAGGGTATTCGGGCTGTGGCGGGCGACTGGCTAGAGGGCAGACTTGGCCAGCTCAGGGTCAAGGGACGGGCGACTGTACACCTCAAGTCTGGCTTATTTGGTCTAGGTGAACAGACTTTGTCAGACTCGGTGACTTTTGAAGGTAAGTCTCATCGTATCCATAGCTCGAGAAAAGCTCTCGGTTGCTCAAGATACACATAGACAAGGACTTCCCTACTCTGCCGGACGTCAAAATTTCGAGATTGAATGTTTATGACGTAGACTCTCCGGATTCGCACGGCGCGTTGGCATTCGATGTATCGCTTTCTGCTCTGATCGACTCTCCCCTGTCTTTGACTGTACCTCCACTTGGTTTTGAACTCCTTGTGCCGAATTGTTCTCCGGGAGACCCGCATATCTCGGTTGCAAGTGCCGCCACGAAAGAAATACAGATAGTACCCGACCACAGCACCGCCTTGGACGTGGCTGGTCTAATGCAGGGGCTCTCAGATGAATTAACAACGGCCTGTCCTGGGCGGAAAGACTCACCTCTCGACTTCCTTGTCAAGAGCTACATGAACGGCCTTGAAACTACAGTTTATGTCCGTGGAGCGGATGATCCGACGCTCGGAAGCCCTCCTTGGATGGTAGATATCCTCAAGAGCATAACTGTGCCATTGCCGTTTACCGGACGCGCGTTGGATAATCTCATCAAAAACTACACCATGTCGGACGTGCACTTCAGCCTTCCCAATCCATTCGCCGAACCTGACTCGGAAGAATCTCAGCCGAGGATATCTGCTCTAGTAAAGGTGCTCATTGCACTGCCAGAGCAGATTAATCTTCGCATAGACATCCCACACATCCGTGCTGATGCCGATGTCTTCTATCATGGAAATAAGCTTGGGATCATGAAGATTCCAAAGTGGCAGCCTGCTCATGCAAGCTATGTCAATGACACGGATGGCTCTCCGGCACTGTCCGTAGAGTTCGCCATGAAAAATGTGCCATTACATGTCACCGATGAAGATGTCTTGACTGAAATACTCCAATCTCTAGTCTTTGAAGGAAAGCCGATTGATCTCCATGTGGTCGCGGCCGTTGATGCCGAAGTATCTACGGGGCTTGGCCAGTTTGCTGTCCGAGGAATACCTGCGGAGGGGACTGTAACGGTCAACCGTTAGTCGCACTTTCAAGGCGAGATTATCACAGGATATTAGACCACTGATCCCGCACTAGCCCCGTATTCCGGCTCGTTTGATCAACTGCAGCCAAATCTTGAGTCTTTAGAAATCGGACGTACAACCGAAACTTCAATGCTTGTCAGGACTAGGGTGAATGCCACCAACCCAACCGAATACGCGGTATCTGTGCCGTATACCGACTTTGTGATGCTGTACAATGGGACTCAAGTTGCTCATATCACAGCGCGTGATGTCCTACTTGACCCCAAGGCAGATTCTGTCATCCATGTTGATTTTCTATGGAACCCATCTGAGGGTGGTTCGGGTGGCCTCAATGCTGGCAGGGAATTTCTGTCCAAATGCGCTTCAGGTAGACAGATGTTGTGGTATATTTTTGCTACCACAATCGCTAATCAAGTCTACAGGAGCAAATATTACCGTGACAGTGCAAGGCCACGAGAGGACAATTCCTGCACTGCCAAAGTTGGGACGAGCCTTATCAAGGCTAAGGTTCGAGTTTCAACTCCCCAAATTGACTATTCCTGGATCGCCAAAGCCACCCGGTGGTGGGGATGGGGAGACCAAGTTCATTCAGGAAGCCACGGTACAGTCCCCTCTATAACAACCAATTTGTTCTGACTTCTGGAATGAATGCATCTTGTCACCGGGAAGGCATCATGTTTCGTTTCTTTTGACTTAGTCGTCCTTGCAAAATAACACTCCTGGAAAAGGCTAACTGCGTCTACTTTTAGATGCACCTCTTATCATCAACGGCTGAGTTCACACTATTCTCGCCTCTACCCAAAACACTAATAGAGATTACATCGGTAGAAGCCAATGCATACTACATGGGACAAGAAGAAGTGGGTAGTATCGACTACGCCATCCCATTTCAAGTGCCCCCGGGTATTTCAACAACTCCGCGGCTACCCGTTGAGATGAATCTGGGCAGCATTGGGTATGATGCCTTGAGACGAGCCTTGGGGGGCGCACTTGAACTTGATGCAGTGGCTACGGTTTGCATTAGGGTTGGACAATATAAGGCAATCATTGATTACCAGGGTAATGGGCTCCGTGCCAATGTCAAGCTCTAATCTGGGACTTTGGAAAAATTGGGTTGACAATTTGCTTCTGGACGGAGTTTCTTTTCGGGGGAAATCGGCGTTAGGGCTTGGAGCAACTTGCGAGGTCATCTAGAATACATGATTAGTGACTTAAACTATATATAATGCTACGTTTTTGGCTACGTTTTGCATTGTAAACAGTGATTCAAAGCCATATATAGCCATTAACAGTAGGTTGAGGCCACAGACCAACTACAATACGGGAATCTGGGTTGGTGTAATCCAAAGGGAAGAGCAAAACATAAGATACAACAGACGTTCAATAGATGAGGACATTGAGAATTTAACCAGGGGGGAGGGTGCTGACATCAACCACGTCAGCGGCCTCCTTCTCAATCTCCTCGCTGGGCTCAGAAGCGAGAGGAGAGCGAGGGAGGGCCATGAGACCGGTCCGTGTGGACTCAAGGATACCGAAGGGGTTGATGAGCTTGAGGAAGGAATCGATACGAGAGGGCTTGGCAGAACTAGTACGTATGTCAGTTACAGGAACCAAAACAAAAAAAAAAGAAAAAATCCAACGCGATGTTCTGCGTAATGCCCAACTTACACTTCAACGATGCAGTTGTTGGTGCTGATATCCAGAACCTTGCCGCCGAACTGGTGAGTCAAACGGGTGATGGCATCGAGATGCTCGTGCTTGTGTCTCAGAGCCTGGCTGGTAGGCAGATGGCGAGGGTGGAACTCCCGCTTCGTGAAATCCACATTGGCAGTCTTGTCCGTCTGGCCCTCCTGAGTGGTGATCTCGCGGTGGTGCTGGAGCAGCTCCTCAAAGAACTCGGGGCCGAGGATGCTGACCTTGGCGAGGAGCAGCTCGCGCTGCACCAGCGCGGAGTTGGTGTAGTCGAGGACGGCCCAGACGGGGACGAGGTCGTCTAGCTGTCTGCGGGCCTGCTCGACGACGCCGTCCTGGCCCTGCAAGACGATGGTCATGCGAGACAGATCCTCTACCTCGGTGTTACAGACGACCAAGCTGTCAATGTTGAAGCCACGGGCGGCCAGAATTCCGGATACGCGTGACAGCACACCGGGCTCGTTTTGCACCAGGCAGTTCAGGATATGACGCTTCGGAGGGTTGGTCGGGGCGACGGGGGTCTCGTACAGGATCGACGAGACAGCGGTGGGAGCGTCCCATTGCGGCGAGGCATCGGACACGGGGAGAGGGAGAGGAGAGCGACGATGCAGCGCCTTGTAGGCCAATGCCGAGGTCGAGCTGGAGGAAGCTCTGGATGTGGTAAACCGGGGAAGACTGGCTGCTGCCCGGGAGGTTTTGCTAGCCACGGAAAGGAATGGTGTCGACGCTACGGTCGACAGCATCATAGGACGTCGAAAAGCCATAATCCCCCGAAATTGACCTGCAAGATTGGGCAGGTTAAGCAAGGGAGATTGTATTCCGACTCGGATGCAGCCTTTTTTCTTTTTTTCTTTGGCGCGGGTCAGAGGGAGTCAACCGGCGGTAGTCATAAATCGCACTTTATACTCGCGCACTTCCGACGTCGGGGGCGCTGACTCAGGCCCATGTATGTCACTTACGACGGTAACAATACCGCTAGGCCTGATCTGAACTAGCGGCGCATTGGGGCTGGGCACATGACCTGGAGCTGCTTCAACAGTTTCGACTTTCGACTCACTCACCTACATTCGAATGATAACATCTTCAAAGTAGAAGAATCAGCTACATAATCTTATCGACGTCGTTCTAATATTAATATACACTGATAACTTATTGATCTGCTCATTCGAGTTTCATTCATCATTCAACCCTCAACCACAAGTACACTATAGTATTCTTGGATCCAGACTCTTCTCCAATTGGCCACTTCTCCATACTACACACCCGGAAAAAAAAGGTGTCTCCCCGGCACTGTCTCTTGTTACACTAGTGGCTATTGGGCTGATCGTCTGAACTCCACCAAACCTTTTTTGCTGCTTCGTGAACATCCAAGGTCCTTTCAAATCGGGGTGTCGGGGCTTCTTCTACGCTATTTTTTCGCGTTCGCGTTCCCCCAGCTGTTGCTACACTACGTTTTACCGGTCTCTCCTCGCCCATCATGGCTGACGACGAACGCCGTGCCAAGCGTTCTCGCTTCGATCAGACCGAGCCTGAACCGCGACGAGCATCGCGGTTCGACCGTCGCTCTCGGTCTCCTTCGTCGCGCCAGCCGGAAAGCACTCGAACTCGCAGTCCCCTAAGTCGCGAACCCTATAGCCCTGGCGGCGATGACTCCAGGAAATCGGGGTCCGTGGATCCTGCAGCCGCAGCAGGTATGTCCAGCAAGATGTTCCCCGAAACAGTGAAGTTTGTTCGCGACGACTGACAAAAGATGGTGAATTACACAGCTGCTGCTGCCGCAAAGATCAACGCCCAGTTGCAGGCGAAGAAAGGAATCCAGCATGTCGACGTCCCTCCCATCCGCTCGGTGAGAATGGAAAACGATCCCATGCTCGCGATGCAACTGCAATGCTCACTGAATGCTCTTTTGTAGACCGAGAGTCCTGCGCCAACCTCCGGTTCCCCCTCTGCTACCGAGGCATCGAAGAAGCTGAACCCAGAAATCTACGTGGCCGACGGCGACTACATCAAAGATATTGAGATCAATGACTTGCGCAATCGCTATACCTTGACCAAGGGCTCTACACAGAAGATGGTAATTATTCCTGTCGCATCCGCTGATATTCCAGGCATTTTTTTGCGAGCTGGCTACCACTGCAGCCATGCATCTTGTCTATCCCCCTTCCATTCTCTGCTCTTCTTCTCTTGTGTGGTTGAGGCTAAAGCTTACCCAAATCAAACAATCCATAGCAACTCACTTGCCCTCATTTTCATCTGCTGACCTCACCTGCGTGACATTTAGATCAAGGACGAAACTGGCGCCGGTACGCCTTCATTCCATCTCATATCATTGTTAACCTTTTGATCAAGAAGGAAGCTCATCAGTTTAAACTATAAAGATGTCACTACTCGAGGAAGCTACTATCCCGATAAGAGCATGGCCACAGCCGCGGTATGCAAGACGTTTTCCTGCGTGTATATACGTTCATCCAATTCGTTACTAATCCAATCGACTCTAGAACCCGCCGTTGTACCTCCACGTCACGAGCACGAGCAAAGAGGGCCTCGAAAAAGCCGTGGGATTGATCGACGATTTGATGAAGAAGGAGCTCCCAAATCTCGTTGACGAGCGACGCTTCCGTCGGCGGGAGCCCGAGCCAGTTGAGCGTGATGAATACGGCCGTGTAAGTGATTTGTGTTACTTACTCTTTGTCGAAGGAGGTACTAATTGCAGATAGCGTAAATGGCCCGAGGAACGTATTCCGGTCGATCTTGAGCCCATTCCGGGGTTCAACCTCCGCGCTCAGGTCGTGGGCCAAGGCGGCGCATATGTCAAGCATATCCAGCAGAAGACCCGTTGCAAGGTGCAGATCAAGGGCCGTGGCTCTGGTTTTTTGGAGCCCAATACTGGCCGAGAGAGCGATGAGCCCATGTTCTTGCACGTAGCGTAAGCAATGTCTTGTTCCACTTGCCGACTGGACTGAGTGACTGATCAGAATGCAGTGGTCCTGATCCGAACGACGTTCAGGCTGCCAAAGAACTTTGTGAGGATCTCCTAGGCAACGTCCGGGAGCAGTATCAGCGGTTCAAGGAAAATCCCCCGCAGCACAACTACGGCGGCTACGGTCAACGCGGAGATCGTTATTATGGCGGTGGCTATGGCGGAGGTGGTGGGGGCGGCAGTGGTGGTGGTGGTGGGTATAACAACCACCATAATCAGCACCACTCAAACTCGCCGTCTGCCACAGCTAGTCCTGCCCAGCCCGCGTCGGCAACCTCAGGTGCCGCTGGCGCTGGCAGCCCGACTGATTACAGCGCACAGTACGCGCAGTATTACGGGTCCGACCCCTATGCGGCCTACGGCGGCTATCAGAACTACGTTGCCTACTATCAGTACTACCAGCAGCAGGCTGCTCAGCAACAGCAACAATCCGCCCAGTCGCAGAGCCCTGCTCCTCCCCCACCTCCTCCGGCCAGCGAGGCTCCACCACCCCCTCCCCCTGGCTCCGGTTCTCCTCCCCCGCCTCCTCCTGGCGGTGGCAGCTACAGTGCTGTAAGTCGTCCTTTGGTGTCTATCTATGATCGTCTGCTCACTATGTGAAACAGGTCCCTCCTCCGCCAGGGCTTTAAAACGCCCTGCCATGTTGCCAAATTTTTTTTTCATCAAAATTAACGAACAGGCCGTAATAACGTAGAGAAGGGTTCGCAAGAAAAATCATTTCGTCGCTATTATGTTGAGCAGAATGCTGATAAATCACAAGCCATGTCATATCTTTTCTTAGGATCATTCTAAACAGGATGGGAATCCCTCGGTCGTCGAGGTCTGTAAATCAACGTTGGGGTCCCTACTTTTTTCTTGGTTGTGATATCGCGGCTTGCCCGTCAGGAATCGCCAGACGATCTTTTGATAGTAAGCTTTTATTGACTGTGGTGTCTAACGCAAAAAGAGAATCCCGAAAAAAGAACGCCTTAACATATACATTTTTTGTAAAAAAAACCAAAACCAAGCCGAAGTCCTACCCCAGTCATGATCATAAAGTCAGGTCATGCATGCTTCGATGGTATGAAGTTCGCTCGTCTCCTAGTCGGTTCATTGCTGAAGGTATCGATCAGGAGCCACCGGCACCGATTCATGAGAGTCCAGGAAACATTCTCTGCATGACATGAGCGAGACCCAGGTCCATGAAGGCCGAAGGGTCGCTGTCGGGGGGCATTCTCGCCTTGCGCCTGGCCAGCTCAGCCGGACCGACTTTACAAAAGTCACAGGCAAAATCGCACGGTGATGAGGTTGCACCTTCGGCCTTGATTTCCCGCGCAACCTGAGAGCCCATCATCTCGAGCTCCAAATCCCCGAAGAAGTCCTTGATGAGCTCATGTCTACATTGAGTTACTGTCTCGCAGTAGCGGATGACCTGTTTGAAGCTCTCCAGACGGGCTTTATGACTCTGCAGATTGTGCAAGGCTTTGGTTGCACACTCGGGGTTCTGATCGGCACTGTTGCTCCTGATCCCGGCTCGCATCCTGGCGTTCTGGACGTCTTTATGGAGGCGATCAAGGACGCGGTCTCGCTCCTGCGTATTGTAGTAAATCAGAGAGGCGGCGGCGCGACCGTCTCGGCCTGCTCGACCGGATTCTTGCACAAGACCCTCGAAGCTGCGAGGGGGAGTCCAGTGGACCACGAAGCGGACGTGCGAATTATCGATACCCATACCGAACGCGTTCGTCGCGACAATGATATAGAACGCTGGATGGGGACCTTCCTCGGCAGCTAGAAGCTGTGGTGCTGTCCATTCGGTCTGCACGCTGGTTCTCTCTTCGGAGGAAAGGCCAGCATGGTAGGCAACTGCGCGGATCTGTCCATCTGTGGCGCTTGTCAGAGCATTGGCCAGCTGTGTAGAAATGACCCGGTAAGGCACGTAGACAATCCCGAACATTGGTGGAAGGCGGGCATCTTTTGAATCCAGTCTGGCTTCTCGTCGAGCTTTGATGGACTCTAACCAGAGAAGGAGGTCTTTCAATTGAAAGGGCTCAATCTCTGTTGGATCCTCTGCGAAACTATCGAGGTATCTAATCTCATAGTGAATATTGGGGCGTGCGGAAGGAGTGTTGAAGATTTTCAGCCGAGAAGGCTCCAAACCAAGAATGCTGATGATATCGGCACGCACTCGTGGTGTTGCAGTCGCTGTAAAGGCACTGATTGGAACTGGTGGATCGTTCAGATGGCGCCTGAACCATGAGAGCTGTTTGTAAGCCGGGCGAAAGTCGTGACCCCATTCGCTGATGCAATGTGCTTCATCGATCGCCACGCGGACCAACTCCCCTTGGGAATGCATTGTCTCGAGAGTCCGTCTGAATGCCACAGTCTGACATAGCTCCGGTGTCACATAGAGTAGACGTATCCTTGGATGACCCGATCGCAGATCCTCTATGATCAGTCGTCTTTCAGCTAGTGGTGTTGTTGAGTTGATAGTCGACACAGCTACCCCTATAGCTTGGAGTGCGTTCACTTGATCTGTCTAGTGGAAGAGACGCAACTTAACAGATTGCAAATGGAGACAGAGAACAGTTCAGCAGTGGAGAAAGCTCACCATCAATGCAAGGAGAGGGCAAACAACGACAGTTACTGTCAACGACACCACAAACCAAAAAACGGGGTACAGTCTCAGTCAAAGTCTCATCTCAAGTAAAGGCTACTACTGGGAGGGTAAACCAACCGCCATGGCTGAGAACAGCAGGCAGCTGGAAGCACAGGCTCTTCCCAAACGACGTAGACGCTTGTAAGAAGACATCATGCCCCTCAACTGCTGCTGTTATGACATCTTTTTGAAGAGGCCTATATAGAATTAGTAAATCGGTGTTAGCGCGACCTGGTGCTCTGATCGGCTAAGGCATTCCACAACTCACCGGAACGATTTTTTACGGAAGACACGGTGCAGGTAAAAGTCCAAGTCTACTTTGCGACGCTGGAATCCCCGGTGAAGCATTTCTGCATCTTTGAGGACAGGAGCAAGGATAGATGGCTTTGTCAATCGAATATGATGCGCGTGAACGCGAAGGGAGAAGGAAGGTAGACGCGATATCACGTGATATATCAATATCTCCACATAGTGCTAAAGAAGGCTCGAGATGACATGTCGATGGACCTGCTTGCGACTGTTAATGGTGAATTAGTTTCACGGGTGTGATGATAGAGTATATATATAGGGCGTTATTTCTCGGACCTCAACCTATATTTGGGGTTATCAAAAGAGGTTCATAACCATCAACACCATGCATCAGCTTCTATACGAAAAAAATTGACTTTATATATATATGACAATCGCTCTTCACTAAAAAAGGTATTTATACACAAGTCTATGTTATACAAGCTTTAAAGCCCTGCTAAATCAGTTGGGCGTTCAATTCAAATCCTGGATATATTTCGCCAGCTCTTCCCTGACAGCCTGGACATCGACCGCCTTGCGCTTCTGTGGACGCCAGATACGTTCCATGGATAGCCAAGCTTCCATCACCTCTTCAGGCCCACAAACGGTGCCAAATGCTCGAATGATGATGATGATCATCCGGCGGCCCAAGAAAACCCCGTTATCAATCCGATGCCGCAGTTCATTTTCCATGTCGTTGGTGGCAGACTGCTCGTCGACTGTTGGGTTCAGGAAGAGGTTATCGATTTCAAGATCGACGTTATCGTCGAATTCTAAGATTTCCTCGGCATTGTTGGGGTCGTGTTCTATCTGTAGTTCCGCATCCTTATCCTTACCCTGCTCGTTATTGTCCGAGGTAGATCTGGCCTCGCTCATGGTCGATGGCAATGGCGTGTACAGATCATGTTTAGGTTGCTGCGTAGTGGATCTATCCGGTGAGGAATCCGACTTCTCGGGCACACTGACGGGCGTGCCGCCCAGTGGATTCTCCCATGTCAGCTGGGGCGACTGAAAGGAGAAGTCTCCGGTCAGCCTGGTCCTCGACTCGTAGAGAACGCGCAAATATGCTCGCCAGGCAAGTCGCAGCTTGCCCGCGGTCCAGCCCTTCTTCCTTTTGCCATGACGAGCAAAACCTTCAAAGAGCAACAGGTAAATCATGCCTCGGGGTGGCATTGTAAACGATTTCTCCATATCCTCCATGATTGTTTTGAAAGCGTTCAAGTTCCCCGACTGGTACGCATGGTAAGAAAGAAAGATATGGAAGGTTCGTGTATCTGGACTCATTGTGACGGAATCTTGTAGCGCGCGGTGGTGTGCTGGCAGGCTTTTCTTCAGATGCATCGCCTTCTGAAAGACACGATTTAGCTCCCGAGATTTGTTCCGATACAACATAAACTCGGATGCAAGAACTGGCTGGTGGTTTGGGTCATCGTCGTATTCGTATTCAGGAGCCTTGACGTGCCGTGCAGTCGCCTGTGACTGCATCATCCGTTGGTACAGCTGCTCCGCGGTCTTGACCTCCCCGGCCCTGATAAACGAGATTATCAAGCAATTGAGAACCGCTGTGTCCACAATTTCTCCGCTGGATATAAGGTCGTCGAACGCCCGGTGAATTCCGTTGACGTCGTGCAGCAAGCCATAGTAGTATATCATGGCGACCTTGCCAGCGCGACCAAACACGATGCCACGTTTGGCCATCTCTTGAAGCAATCGGTCTGCCACTGTAAATTGACCTGCTTTGATGGAAATGTCGAACAATGTGGTAAAAACCACGTGGTCAGACTTGATGCCCCCAACATGTTCCATTTGCTGCCAAACTCCAATCGCCCGGATAAGGTCCCACTTCTTTACCGTTCCCGTCGCCCTGCCTGCCAGATGAATGGCAGAGGTCCATAATCCAGGGGATAATGAGAGTTTGGCAGCAATCATATCTTCCACAATGGCAAGATAACGACGCGCATCAACCCAGCGCCGGTTTGGGGGGTTGGCGAACTTCCTCAAGAGACTGCCACGGTACCGTTCCGAGAGATAAGCCACACCAGGAGATGGAAGATCTCTGTACAGGCGGAAAATGTATTGGGTATTCTTGCTTGAATCCGCAAGCGCTTCCATAACCCTCTCAACGGCGTGTAACTCAGTGTCCTCTATCTTGGGGAAATTCTCATACTTTGTGGATCGTTTTTTGGTTCCGTGACCGTGCTGAGCCATGTCAAGTCGGGTTTGTAGGTCCGTCGAGATCTCAGTTAGGGCGGAGTCTGGATTGGAGGCGGAGGTGTCTGATTGCACTTCAGAGTGCGGTCTTGCGTGGCAGTTCTCTGATGCAGCCGGCGGATCCCATGACTGGTCCAAAATCGTCTCATCGCAAATGGCCGGCTCAGGCGCCATCGACCACTCGGTGTCGTCGTGGAATGAATTCCGGCTCGGGTTTCCGAAGCGTGTTGACGCGGGATTGCGCTTCTGGTTCTTGCTTCTGCCTGTTCGACGATCTTTGGGCGACCGTTCCACCCAAGCCTGATTATCTGTATGATCTCCCGTATGGTTCTCCTCCCGCTCATCATCCTTCACTTGCTGCACAACTCCCGAGTTGAACGCTCGCTGCGTTCCCCCCCGACCGACGCCATGATACTCTGCTGGTGAATTGAAGGACAGTGGTCGTGTTGCGGAGACCAGCCGCCTCAGATTCATCAAATTCCTTCTTTGCACCCTCGTCACATGGTTATTCCGAGGCGAAACAGCCATTGTGGACAGTCCGCGGCCATGGGGCGAGTGGTCCCGACACGAACTCGCCAGGACCAACGAGCTCACAAAAATATCGGCTATCGACGCGACGGAGGGGCGAGCGCGCCCGTGTCCGAGTCTTCGGATGGAGGCATTGGAGTAAGGCGCGCGTGAATCCGAGATGGGCATCGAGCGGGAAATGATGGAAAAACAGGTATCCGACCTCTGCAAAGACGAAATCTCCCTGTTGGGCAAGCTCTGGGACCTATTGATATGAAGCATGGGACGGCAGACATTGTGGCATTGGATCAGCCATGCATGTCTCGAGGATGTCTCGAGCAGCTTGAAGGTCTTGAGAGCAGACAGCTCTTTTAAACAGAGCTGAAAGCAATCGGACAGGAGATAAACAAGGAGGAAATAAAAGAGTTTAGAGCCGAAGAAAAGAAAATCAAGATCTAAGCCTGCATATCTCCCTGGACATAGAGTGAACAAGCCGATGGAGTCCCCTGGGTAGATATGATTTTCTGGCCATCTTGCTGTCCGGGCGAACTTTCTCAACTTTGCGCTTGGAGCGGAGCCCTGGCGGTCGGCCCAATCGGAGCCGCGTATTCTTGTCCATCATCCCGCTCCTCTTTTTCTCATCCGCACCTCCAAGCACTGCACCAGACTCGATCTATCGCATTGCAGGAGTGAGGGCTGAGAATCCATTGTTCTCTTTCTAGCTCTCATAGAAACGCTTTTGGATCCCGATTTACTCATCCGGCACACTCTCCCGAGAGCCCTCGCGCTCCCAGCCGTTATGGGCAAATACAACCTCACAGCACTTCGTGTGCACCAAACTGCTCTGCAGCAACATGCTGCTGGCAAGATTCGCGCTCCTCCCAAGTGGATCGACGTCGTGGCCGATATCCCCCCAGCTCAGGTCCTTGTGCGAAACCAGGCCGCTCAACATCAGCTCGTCCGACAGCGCCTGAAGACGGTTCCCGGCGCTTCGAAGCCGCAGGTCGCCTTTGAAGTTCAAGAGAAGCGGATCAAGTCGAAGAAGGCTAGCCGTATGTTTTTACCGACAGAGATCAAATACGAAGAAGATCAGCTGCGACGGGAGTTTTTCCGTGATCATCCGTGGGAACTTGCCAGACCCCGTGTTGTCGTCGAAAGTTCAGGCAGGGACTTTGAAAGATATGATTGGAGCCGGCTCCAGCAGCCAGGAAAGAGATTAGACGGTGAAAGGTATAGGCTGCACACCACCCCCCCAATTGCCTGAGTGATATTCCACCGGCACGTTGATTGAAGGCTGACCACTTTTGTTGTACAGCGTTGTTCAACGACAGCTCTGGCTACTCAACAATGTTCCCGATATGACGAGGAGCGCTGCCTACGATATTGCGCGTCGCGAGTTCTACCGACTACGACTCCAGGAAGACATCGAACGCCGAGTGGCCGCAGAAGAGGCGGAAGCAACTGGGGCAACATTCGGACGGTCACTTCTGGAGGTTGGTATGGAACTCGAGAACCAACAGTACGAACGTTGGAAGGAGTGGGCCAAATCGGAAGCCCAATTACAGGATCAGAAAACAGCAGCCTTTGTTGGTGCTCCGGAGATTGCTGCGCACGATGAGGCTGTGGAGCCAATTGAGGAGAAGTCTGCTCTGCCATTATAGAGTGTGCGACAATGGAGAAGGCTGTCAGGTGGCCCATTTGGTTCCTCACAATTGATCTAGAGGCCTTTTGTTCTCAAAAAAACATGATGTATACTACTGCACTTGGGTTCCCTTTTTTTTTTTTTTTTTTCTTTCCTCGCTTGTCCTTTCTAATGTCCTCAGTTTGACGTACTGTATGTAAGTAAGTATGTATGTATATCTCCTAAGGTAGACACATCACGTTTTTCCAGCACCAGAGATCCGTCTCTCCCTCATTGCCTCACTCTTCCATGCCTGACAAGACCGAATGATGCTCTCAATATCCATCTCTTGGGCTGAAATCCGCGGCGGGCCAATCATGCTGCGTGACTTATCGCGCTGAGTGGAATTCCCCCAGCATTGAAATCGATTATCCGCTTTTTCCCCCGGATCGTTCTCTCTCAATGCAGGCGATGTTGAAGTTCATCAATCCTGTCTGTTGATTTACTTTCTTTACTTTCTTCTAAAGACTATTTTCGTTCCCCTTTTAACCACCAGTTCTCTCTCCGGATTCAATTTGGGGTTGTTTGTGGTGGCGTCTCCTGCGGGCAGTTGCGCCTCTTCCTCCGCGTTTCACCTTCAAACCTGAAACTCCAGCTCGCGAACCTTCTCCCTGTGTGATTTGACCTGTCAACCCCGGCAGCTTCATCGTTCGGAAACCAAGTCTGGTGATTCCTTTCCTCCCTGAATATCCTCCCTACGAAAGAAACGGTCGTTGGTTGGAAAACAGACGGAACTGTTGGGCCTCGTCTCACGCCTCGATTGAGCTTCCCCATACTCTTTACACCAACGTGCAGCTCCATTCTCCTACTATATTACCGCTTACTCGGCTAAGACCATTATTTTGAGACCTCGCTTGATCATGCTTGCTTCCTGTCGTTCTCCAGGTTCGCGGAAGTCTCAAGTCATCTGATTCATGATTGCGACAAGTTGCGTGCAAGCCAGTACGTCAAATAGCATCAGACGCGCCGACGAGAATCTCATAGCCGCTTTTGCACCATGCTGTCTACGATGGTCCGGCCCGAAGATACTATCAGGATGCCTCCCTCATATCGTGTTGACCCCGATGAGGAAGAACGAAATCGAAGAACTCCGGAACAAAATATCTCCTCATCGTCATCGTCCTCCAACAATGAAGAATCAACAAAAAGCGAAGACGAGTCGTCGCATCCGAACGAGACTCAGGGTGATGGCAGCAACAACACGAACAGAAACCCTCCCGGACCGCGATTCTTAACACCAGAGGAGACCATCGAGCTTGCTCGCCGTGCAGTCGAGAATGGGATACTGGAAACTAAGCGCTCCCTGGCAGGAAGCGAGGCTGTCAGCGATGTGGTCAAGCCTAAATTGACCATTGATCTGGGCCATTCCAATGTTGTCCGAATTCCCGAGCCGGTGGTGGATGCGATCAAAGACGAGGTTGAAAGGTAAGCACAGCCATGCTTCTGACAAAGTCATACGTGTGGGGTCATGGTTACTATTGCAATGCTGAGAGCTGATAAATCCAAAGATTGTCATTATCGAACAACCATCTTTTCCACATTCCATATCGTTTCGCTGAGTGCTCGCATCTTCGTTACCTCAATATTAGGGCGAATAACTTTCGGGAATTCCCTAGAGGGGTATGTGATCGCAAAACATCTCTTTCTTTTAGTTCATGCAGTTCTGATGAGTGAACCAGGTGTACAAGCTACCTCTACTCGAGATATTAGATCTCAGTCGCAACAAGATCAGTCATATACCCGAAGAGATAAAGAGGTTGTCGTCCTTGCGAGTTCTGTCTATCATGCAGAATAGGCTTGAAGATTTGCCCGCAGGAATTTCCGACATGAACAAGCTCCAGATCTTAAAGGTGGCCGGCAATCCGTTGAGAAATCCCCTTCGCCGAGTTCTAGAGACATCGGAGACAGAGATCGCCCCATCCGCCTTGACAGATAATGAAAAGGAGGTTGCTGTCACAGCGGAGTTGAAGAGATTCTTGAAATCTAGGCAATCCTCTGAGCAGGACAGGGGTAGTGCAAGGTACAGTCCACCCAAGTCATATCCCGATTTTGGTCAACCCCCCGGCTGACTAGGTGCACAGCGAGGGCACTCTGGACACACCCAAACCCATCAGGCGCAGACCGAGCAGTCGATTCCCTGTCATTCCCAGTCTAAGTGAAGGGTCTGTTGACCCTAAATCGCCATCGTTTGCAAGACCTCCGCCGATCCCACTGAAATCCCACTATCGTATTGCTTCTGGACATAGCACGATTTTCCACAGTGGCGCCTTTCAGCGACCGGGTGTGACCCCACTGGCAGGAGTCAACGAACGCAATCGAAGTAACAGCGAAGGCATAATTCAAGCATCATTCGCTGCCCGCAACAAGCGGATGGGGGTCATCAATAGGAAAAACACTGATTTGGGAACGCTGGATGAAACGCGGCCCTACCGCAACAGTCACCTTCGCGGCCTAAGCCATGGTTCGATATTGAAAACGAGGACAGCTGGTACCATGCACGGGAGCAATTCCTCCAGTCCAAGTAGTCCTCGGGAGCGCCGACGCTTGAAAGACGGGTTTGTGAACCGCATGTCAAGCTTACCAGAACACAAGGGCGAAAAGGAAGCATTGAACCCTGTCATTGAGAGTGCCAAGGGCATCTTATTTGCGCTTTTTCAGGTTCAATCCCATGTGTCAGCTGTAATCAACGTCATCAAACGTGACGACTCACGACGGAATAGTCTGGAGATTGTTTTTTACAATGCTTCCACACACGTTGATCGGCTCAATGAAGCCCTTGAGATTGCAGAGACCTCTCAACCATGCGAGCAGGACATACTGAAGCTGACGAATGAATCCGTAAAACGAGAGTGCGAAACATGCATCGTGGCGTATGCCCACGTTGGCACGCAACTGCGGAATAGTCTTGAAAAGATCGTCGCCAATGGTGATTCGCGCTATGTGCGGTCGCTCATGCTCATGATTCATGGCAGCATGATTGAGCTTCGCAATGCCTGCGTGAGCTTGGGGGTTCCTTTGCAATCTGGGAAGCGGAATTTGACCCAAAAACCACCAGTACCTGAGATCAATAAAGAACCTGCAGTGTCTGATCGGTTCCTTGGACCGACTGTGACCCCGACTAGAGGTGACCGTTCTTTGTCCGTGCGCCGGTACAGAAGTGATACCACAATCCAACACCCTCGGATTATCACCAATGGACCTTTACCTGCGGCAGCGAACTATCAGTCCGCTGTCAGTTCACCAGGCTTCGCATCAACGCCTTTTAGCTTCGGAGCACGAAGCCGATCAAGCAGCAGATCTAACCTCGTCAATTCTTCCGTGCCCTCATCCCTTGCGACTCCTCGCTCTGGGGAGTCTTTCCCACCAATCCCAACTTCAGTCGTGCCCAGGATCAATCCTCTGACTGGGTTAGATGAGATTGAAGAAGAGCGAATCTTTGAGAAGATCTTCCAGCAGCTGTTTACTGCTTATACTGCTGCAGTCAATGCGCTGCCGGTGGCGAGTCGTCACTTCAAACGCTGTCTTGAGGTAGCGGAGCAAAGCCGGGAATCGGAAGGCGTGCAAATGCTTTGGAACAATCTTATTCGCCGTTGCCACGTGTGTCTGGAAGTTTCCGAGGCGCTCGGGCAGCGTCTTTCCAATATGAAGGTGAAAGAACCAGGTGGCGGAATGCGCAATCAGCGCGAATTCTGGCAACTATGCAAAGGCTTCATGCAATCCTTTGTCGACCTCGTCACTGACATGCGCGAGGTTAGAAGCATGCATCTTCTCCCGCCCGACATCATTGTTATCCTTCGCCCGGTGCAGAGGGCCAGCAGGGAAGCCGGCCGGTTGATTGAGGCTTCTCCGTGGTCGTACCTCGCGGACATGGCAACCGGCAATGGTCCAAGCAATATCTACGGGCCACCGCTGCATTCGCAGCATACACAGCATCAGACTTCCGGGTCAAGTTCTAATGGGTTCCACATCAACTCGACGCTGTCCCCGCAATCCATTCACCTCCCTGCGACTCCCTTGAGTGCGGCTCTCGGCCCGGCCGCACAGGCGACTGTGCCCACCACACCTGCCAGTGCCTACAGCGACAAGTTTTTTGAGGGTGATGTGTTCCAGCGGGCAGATTCACTCCTTTCGATGCCAAATCAAGCACCTTTTTTCAGCCGCCGTTGAAGTGGTACAGTTCATTGCTCTCGAGCTGCCCGCACCAGTCACCAGTCTCTGCATCTACTCCCCCCCCCTTACCTAACAATCTACGGTAGTGGGATCTTCTATACCATCGCTCGTTATCTTTCCCCTGGCATGCCTTGAGGGCATGACTTGCAGGTTACCTCCCGATCCAGGCGCGGAACCTAGAGCTTAGCCCAGCCTCCGACAGGCTCGGAGGTTATGCTCACAATTCGCCGAAATAACGCGCAATTTTCTTCTACTCTAAAGGAGAGAACTCCTGGGAATGTATATCATACCCTGCGGCACGATATGCTCCACTGTTTTGCTCAGCACAACTCAGCGAGATCGAGTTCTCAATGTACACATAGTCCTATGCTCCCGACCTTACAGCGCCGTTCGCCCTTGTTTTACTTGCTTTCGGTTTCTTATGATTTTCATGCATCCAGAGTGGGGAATAAAATGGCGGGGGTTTGCGTTAGACTTGAGAAGCACCACGGAGTTCGGGTTTCATTATTTCAATGTGTGTTTCTATTTTGTACCTGGTGTCTTTGCATAGCGTGTCTGCTTGAATTCATGAATGGATGATGAAAAAAAAGAGTGTGGATAGATGGCTTTATGATCATAGTCACTGCTGTTTATTGGTCATTTGCTAAATCTTTATGAACAACCAAATGGGAAGCGAATCAAGCATTTACTCCGTAACTCTATAGTCGACACACGACGCTGAAACTAACTGTCCCCATCTGCAACAACAACAACAACATCCCGCACATAGGCAAACATCTCCCGCGGCTTTTTCATAAACACAGTGTGGCCTGCACCCCGAAAAAAATGGTAGCTGACCCCCCGCTCGGACGCCCACACCCCCGCCTCTGCCCCCATGGCTTCTTCCCTGCACGGTTCCTCCGCGTCTACAGCCTCGGAGCCATTACAGGCGTGCACGGCCGGCGCCGCATCGTCCGCATAGAAGACACGATGCGGTTTCCGCGCGAAGCCCTGCGCCCCACGCCAGGTCATGTTCTGGAGACAGAGCTCGGCGCCGAAGTGGTTGAGCAGCATGTCGTATTCGCCGGCGTAGACGTGCACGGTGACGTTGTGCGCGGTCACGAGGGCCGGGAGGATGGAGTAGGCTGGTGGGGTGGGCGGGGCGGCTGTGAGCAGGGTGTCGAGGATGGTGCCGTTGCAGGGGGCGAAGGGGGTGGTGGTGGTGGTGGTGCTGCTGCTGCTGTCTGGGAGGGAGGAGGGGGGAATGTTCAGGGCGGTTTGGACGTCGGCGCGGCTGAAGTAGGTGGCCAGTAGGTCGAGCGGGTCGATGGTGTCACAGTCGTTGCTGATATCGTACACGTCGAAACAGCGCTTGCCTGTGCCTGTGTTAGTGTTAGTGTTTGTGGCGGAGGCCGAGAGGGCGGTCATGTAGTTCATGGCGGTCGAGAAGGTTGCACAGGTGCCGTAGCAGGGGGAGTTGAGGATGGACGAGGAGACTGTGTCGGGTGTGGTTGGGTGGATGTTGCACGTCTCATTCATGACGTTTTGCAGGTTGCGCCGTCGACGCTGCTGCTGCTGCTGCTGCTGCTGGAACCGGCGTCGGTAGTTGAGGTTCTCTGGGTTACCGGGGATTACGATGTTGCCTTCAGGGGGGTATTGCTCCGCCTGCTGTAGAATGGTTGTGAAGCCGCAGGTTTCGTCTGCTTGCGCGAAGGCCGAGAGGATCTCGTCTGGCATCTGTAACAGGGTCTGTTGTGAATGGAGAAACTTGCCCATCGTGACGGTTGTCAAGGCTGCAGGGTTGCCCAAGGTCCCGTCCCCGAGTGCTATGGAACGGAGGTTGATCGGGTATTTCTTCTGGTTCTCCATGATCTCAGAGGCAAAGTAGGGGATGTAGATCCCCGCATATGATTCCCCAATCAAGTAGACACGCTTGGAACGCATATGCGGGAAGTGAGCGAAGAAGTTCTGCAGCCATTTGTAGAAGTCCAATGTCACTCGGTCGTTATCCCGCACAGGATATGGGTCACTTGCTGTCGAGAAGCCTGTCCCCGCGGGTTGGTCAACATAGAGAACATGGCCTAGGTTTGACCATGAGTAGGGATTTGGGATTAGACGAGTGCTGTTGCCATCGAACGATACAGGGCCGTTGCCTGTCGTCAGCCCTATCAGGGACGAGCAGCCGGGTCCGCCGTTGAACCATACTGTTTGTTCAGCGCGAGTCAATATATGCGCTAACCCTACAGATTCTTGACAGATAGGAGAGATTACTTATTAAGTCATCGTCATAAGTAAGATTTTGCGCCTGAAAGAGCCAAAAGAAGATGGAGTTGCCTTCCTCGGTGTCAGGGATAGGGAGCCGGCCAGCCCAGCTGAGCGGCAGAGAGGGACTCTCAGGTAACGAATGGACTTCGAATTGGGATATGTCGAAGGATGCTTGCGAGGATATAGAGAACAAGAGCGTCGGCAGGGCCCATAATGTGTTGAAGAGGATGAGAATGGCAGCGGTAATCATGATACTAGCCGATATGGATGATACGATTTACTGACCTGATAATCAACATGGAGAGAGAGGGAGGGAGAGAGAGAGAGAGTCCATTTTTCTTTTTGGTAGAAGTTATCTATGTAGAAGAGAGTGACAGAGGAAGACCAAGTGGCGAGGTTCGTGAATAGAAGCCAGTGTGTCAGGCTCTTGGGTTCCTGTTGGATGGATGCTTCCATTAACACTATCCCGAACTTGACCTCAATAGAGTGAATGGTTTATTGAGGGCGACAGAAGATAAATGGAAAAAGCCAGCGTCTCAGCCCAACTCTTCATAAATCTGGCAAATAGATCTCCATCCTCCAGTTGGAGGGACCGCGATGATAGGTACTTGACGGACACTGTCGCTGTCGCTGTCGCTGTCGGTGGTCTGCCTCAGGCAATGTCATCTGTAAATAGTCACGTGTTGGTCTACATGATTAGGGCTTCGTGCTAGGGCAGTCACAGCCTCACAGGACCTCGACATATCATCCTCCTCCTCCTCATCCTCATCCTCCTCGAGATAGAATCATAAGCAACCCGAGAGAAGAGCACTGGATGACCATTATCTATCAATCTTTTGATCATCATTGATCAGACAGCCAAGACCTGGAGTATCTACCCGTCGGAATGTCAGGTTACCCGCAATCAGTCGGTACTACTCTGTTCATCCCCCATCCGTCATGGTGGACGGGCTTGGCTCGCTGTGATTTTCTTCTCCCCATGAGGTCAGTCCTTGATTAATCGGCATTTACGATCGAGATTAGCTTCCCTTCTTTTATGCAAAATGCAAACGGACCTGGAATTCCCCAATTGCCTCTGCTCCGTCTAGCTCCGGAATGAGGCGGCCACGCGTGGAGTGATCAGTGCACCTCCACCACATCTCTAAAAGTGAGGCGTCAAGCGCGTGCCGCGACTCGCGAATCCTTTCATTAATTCTCGGTCCCTTTGTTTTCTGCTTCACCTTTGGCCTCGATCTTGAAAGTTGAACGGGCTGGTTGATAGAGTTTCAAGTTCCGACTCGGAAATCCTTCTGGTGGAAGCGAATGAGCGGTATGATGCTATCCATCCCTGTCTCTGCTCCAACACGTTGTGGCTTTGAACGGTTGAACAACTCCATCCACATAACTAATGAACCTTGTGAATCGGCGATGGGATCAGCTAAGTTTTCACTCAACGCTCCTTTCCGATACTCTTGCCGATCAGGAGCGGACAGCCTCATTTCCCGCTCGGGGGGATGTCCAAGACATCCCTACGCATATTTGCATCCGTATTTACTTCACCGTTGAGACACAACAAACACTTGCTGTATACTTAGCGAACACTGTGACTCAGACTCACCTGGCGCTGATTTGTTCTATTGTCTCGGATCGTTGAAGGTTGATCAACCTGGTAGGGCGATCGAATACTTGTCCACTGTTCATTCCTCGTTTCCCCCATGCCTAAGGGGGGCAAGGAAAAGCTTACACAAGTGCTCCGTGACACACTCTCAACGAGTTCCCGTCGCCATGGTCCATCCCGGACATAAGTTTTCTTGGTGTAAATGCAAACAGGGAGTAGCCTCGCGGATCTCGGTGAGTAAAGAGGCTCCGAGATATGTTGTGAGGGAATCGCAGTATGATTGCAGTACAAAAGTGGGATGACCTAGATGCTAGTAGCTTATGTTCCGTTTAAAGTCAAGTATGTAGATATAAAATCGAGGAACCCAAGTCTGTTATCCTGCCGATCGAACCGGCCCATTCGGCCGACCATGCGGCAAAGTAACATTGTAGGATTACACTGTTGACTGTATACGGATAGTAGAGCAGGCAGGTATCGTTCTGGGACGGGAATGTGGATTCTCGGATTCGAATGCGAAAGGAAGAAAACCGAAGGATATTTACGATCGCGATTCAAAGATCCCCTCTCACCGAAGTGATGCTATTCCCAAGGCGCCAAGCCCAGTACTTGGTACTTCCTCCCACCCCTTAACTCGCAGCACTGACTTTTTTTTTTTGTTTCTTCTGTTCTCTCCTTGCCTCCTTTTTTCGATCCCCCCTAAAACAGAAAAAGCAAATGCATCCATCCACCTAGTTCCTCAGCATCCGAGCCTTGAGCAGTGGGGTGATCATTGATGTCGCAGTCTCACTGTCACAGACTCCCAGTCCACCCCGGTTGATCCTCTCTGATGCAGGTAGAAGGAGTTGTTCTATGTACACGGAAAGCCACATCAGTAGTCAGTGCAGAAGAACAGAAGAAACAGCTATGGGGAATCTCTGTGATCTGCTGCAATGCTTCTTCCCTCTTTGTGTACTCGCTTCGTCCTCCAGTAGTACAACGCTCATCCTATCCAGATCATCCCCGTGGCGGTTTTGGATCTGTCATGTCGCCTTTGCCAATTATTATTTGCTGGGTAACAACAGCATCGAACTTGGCCTGAGCCTGGGATGATCCCACTCTTCCCTGTGGACTGAGTTTATGTTGTATCCTCCCTCTCATCCTCATCAGGAGGAATGCCGCTTTTGTACTCGCCTCAGTCCATTTTCACCCCTGCAGGTATGTCCTCAATTCTCTCTCATGGTTGAAAACGATTCTCTCCAGTCTATCAATATACTACTATTATTACTATCTCTTGCTTTCCTTATATCTACTATCTTCGAGAACCCTGGTGTACTTTGTGACCCACGCAAACTATCGTCAGACCTCCAGGGGAACAGTGAATTGACTAGTGGATAATCCCTCCGTAGGCGTCTATCTATTGATCCGTCCCCAAGACTTATTCGCGCTGAAGGATCGAAGTATATCTTATATCTCAACACTCCGACGTCATTAGGGGGTGCCGTCGCCATCGCAATTCTATGGAGTAGATAGTTAGAAGACGGTAGATAGACAGACAGACAGACAGACAGACAGACAGACAGACAGGCAACATCGCTGCACCTCGAATTCTCTCTTTTTTTTTTATTGAATGGTCTAATAATAATCATGATTCTCACTCATCCTGATTCACCAACCATGAAGTCAATCTCTTCTTTTTTATTTTCTCCCCTTTTACTTTCACTGGGCTTTTTTTTTTTTGTTTTTTTCCTGTTGCAGTGCCGACATTCTGACCCATAACTGAGTCGCTGAAAACGTCTTGTTCGGCAGCCTCACTTTTTCTCCCTTTTCCTTTCCCTGCCTTGATTGTTGCGAGCGCAGATGGCTTGCTTGCTGTTCTCGACATCGTAGTAGTGTTATCCATTCTCTTTGATCATACTCTAACTCAACTCTGGTCGTTGATCTCTCTTCGCTCTCCACTCGATCGACTGAGAACCTACCTGGAGTTCTTTTCCCCTCGCTTCGTTTTACTTCGCCCGTCCAGTGCATGCGTGATCCTTTTCAGGACCTTCCGATATGCCGGTACTTCCTATCTGAAAACGTCTGATTCCTCTGCCATAGTGTTATATCAAGACCTCTCTCATCCTGGTCGCCTTGCCAAATCTACTCCCTGCCATTTGCGTGTTTTCGGACTGTATCGCTCTGGAGTTGCTGCAAAAGAAATTCGCTTGCCGCTGCTTGCTTGCATGTCCTGTCTTGTCTTGTCTTGTTTGCCTGGACCTGTGCAGTGAATTGATCTATCATTCTGATCGCTACTGCATAAGCTCTGTGTATCCTGTTGCTGTCTTTTGTTTTTATTTTTTATATCTTTTCTCTTCTTTTGATCCAATCCATCAAATCCCCCCCCCCTCTTTGTTTGTTTGTAGGAACAAAGCTTGGCTTCTACTCGTTGTCTCTCCTACCGGTGGACGCTTGAGATGCTTTGATTCCTACTACCTATTGCCACGTTCTGGAGAGAAGACAAAAAATTTTATCTGAAGGGCAATTGTTACCTTGCGAGACTGGCTCTATCGTGCCAGTATCAATCCAGGGCTAGATTTTGAGACCCTCTTATCCCCCATACTGCGATCGACGCTGATTGACAAGCACCTGGTGAGCATGCTTGCCCACCCCCTCCCCTCCCCCTTCCTTTGCCGTAGGCAAGGACTGACGAAAAGGCTGATCGAAGGGATACTAGATCAACACCAGATCAACTTAATCGGCCTAGCAACGTTGTGTCTAGGGCTATGGTGCCGTGCTTACACGGAGGAGAATCCTTCATAGCTCTCGTGGTTCTATTTCTCCCGGAAAAATAATCTGGAAATCGCACGATTTCGACTTCCTATATCGTTTACCCCATCCATTCTATTGTTTGGGTAGCAGCATAATTCCTCACACTCAGATCGGATGGAGATGGATCTCCAGAAAACGAAGGAGGCAAGGCCAAATGCGCCGGGGAAACAGGAAGAAGGCACGGAGTGTCCATTGGAAGCATACGGCGGAAGCAGCCATTCAAAGAAGGACTCCCCGAAGAATGATTCGTTGGACCACCACGAAGAACCTCAACACAGTACAAAAAAAGACAGTGCAAATACGAAGCAATTATGTCAGGTCAGTGGATTGCTCTTCTTGCGATCACCTACAACCCTCGTCATACTGACCCATGCGGAATGCGACAGGCCACACCCCAAACGCCCACTCCCCCATCGTCAGAAGCAATGAAGATACCCCGGACGCTTGGCCTGAGCGCGAAACAGCACAAACTGCTCCTGGGCGCAAAGCGATATCCTCCAGTCACTAAGAGGACCCTCAGTGAACTTGATCTGCCCTGTATCATGAGCAATATCAACCTCCGCATGGACGCCAATTTTGATCGCGACCTACACTTCAAACCCGACCTGGACGGGGAGAAGGGTAAAAGGAAAAGGAAGGAAGCCGGAGATTACTGGGACGCCATGGGAGCCGAGATCTCCATTTATGCCTTTTGGGCAAGCCAGACGAACGAGACTACGGACAACGACCAGCAGGACGAGCAGTTACAGGCATTTGAGCCCCGATTACCGGCCATGTTCAAGACCCTACAAGATGTTTTGAAGACCCTGGTCCCCGAGCGCGACCATCCCAGCGTCATGGAGAACCTGGAAGTGGGCTTGTTGATGCAGCAGATTCGGAAAGGGGTACTCAATATGGTTGGAGTCGCCAAGTGGCTGGCGTCGCTTCTCAAGACGCATTGCGCGCCCATGCGCGATGAATGGGCGGATCGCATGGTTGAGCAGATCACTTCGGGCTCAGAGTCGCAGGATTCAATGGAAATTGTCCGCGGGTTGCAGACGCTCTTTGCCATCCTAGAGGCCATGAAACTGGTAGGACTTTCAAATTCCCTCAACTTTTAGATCTCAAGAGACTAATGGCTCTAGGACGTGGCAAACCATCAGATCCGCGCCTTTCGAGTGCTGCTCATCGAAGACACTGTCCCATTTCTGCAAGAATATTTCCGCAGCAAGATCGCAAGAGACAACTTTCGTGTGGAGGCGTCGCGACTGTGGTACCTGGACATTCGGGAACAGGAGCTACGCAACGTGGAGAGGGGCGAACATGCCGACAGCTTTTTCCCTATCTTGCTCCTCTTTCAAGGTCTAACTGACACCCTACTGCAATTCCACAGCCCTCGCGAGGGATTTCCGGAAACATTCGTCTTTGATTCCGACCGCTTGTGGCAACTGCGGTCATGCCTCCAGAACCTTATCACCTTGGATATCTGCTGGTTCATCTTCGAATCATATATCCACACCCAAAAACGCTATCTCTCGGCTCCCGCACAAACATATGCCAGCTTCCGCTCGCGGATCGGATCATTGATGGAGGAGAATGAAGACTGCCCCCGGGGGTCTGCGCGATGGGTAAAGAATGTGCGCGGTATCGCACTGGAGATTGCGCGGTTTGCGTGCGCAGCATGCTGCGGTGACTCCATGGTTTTGGACGCTGTGATCGCGCCTATTGAAGCCACGCTGGAGTGGCATCTGTCCAACGAGTCTTCGGAGCTGTTCCAGTATTTCCAGAACTCGCTCCGGCAAAAGTTGCTGGCGTCAACCTTTGTGTTTGCCAAAAAATATCTCAACATGTCTCCGCTGGCCATCTGCGAGTCCCAGCGCAGCTATACACATTCGACATCACAGCAGCATTACGACATGGAGCGGATCTCCATGCGACTAGCACACATTGGCGTGCTGCACTGGAGGGTCTGGGCGCCCATTCTCTACGTGCGCGAGAGCATGTCACCGACCGACGTGGCGGACAGCCCGATAGCCGCAGACCATGGTCATCCAGAAGTCGCGCCTGCGTAACATGAGTTTCACCCTTGTTTTGTTTTTTCATTTCATCTCTCCGGTGGCACACGAGCGGAGTTTACGGTTTCGGGGTTCTTGCTGGATTTTGGTATTCTGTTTTCTGTGACTCGCGATTCAGCGTCTTGCATCGGTTTTTGTCAGGGTCATGGCGTCCAAATGGGAAGGGCATCGATCGTTCTCTCGCAAAAGCCTTGCCTTTTTGATATGGAGTGCTGGGGGGGGGGAGGGTTCAACAGATCTTTTTGAATAGAGGAGTGACCTGATATAACAGGTTCTGATATACCAGCATTGGAGTGTAGATGTGGTTGTTTTATTATAGTAGTAGTAGGTAGTAATAATAATAATAGTAATAAATTCAATATAGAACATTGTATTATTGTCATAATTTGAGTGTCCTTAAGTAAGCAAGCTGTGCATTTGCACCTCACCAACAATAGTACCTAGGTAGTACCTAGTTACTCTCCATCGCCCGTAGCACCAGTATACCAAATCTCAACCAACCATAAATCAGAATCCTCCATCCAATATGATACCACCCAACTGACAGTATACACACCAAACCATTGAATCATTAAACAATGCGCCTCACCCACCCCCTGCGCACCCCATACCCCTGGCTCACCACCCTCAAAGTCTCCCAACTCCAACACATCGCCCAAGCAACAGGCATCCACTCCTCCGGCCCCAAGGCCGCGCTGCTCACCCGGCTGCGCGCCCAGCTCCCGCAGTGCGAGCTCCCACACCCACACCCACACCCGCACAGCGCCAGCGCCAGCGCCAGCGCAAACCCCAGCCCCGGCAGGAATCTCAGCATCCTCAGCATCGACATGGGCATCCGCAATCTCGCCTACGCGCATCTCAGCTTCCACGTCCCAGACACAGCCGACAGCGACAGCAACAGTATCAGCAACAGTATCAGCAACACACCCGCACAGCTACACGCATGGCGTCGCCTCGCCGTCTCCGAACTCCTCCCCCCGGACGGGCTTGAAGGACCAGACACGGCGCGAGGGATAGGTTCCTCGTCCTCGTCCTTCTCGCCGGCTGCGTACGCTCACACCGCCTACGCGCTCGTCACGGGCCTCCTGGCGCGCTACGCGCCCACGCATGTGCTCATCGAGCGCCAGCGGTTCCGCTCCGGGGGCGCCAGCGCGGTGCAGGAGTGGACGCTGCGCGTGGGTGTGTTTGAGGGGATGTTGTATGCTGTGCTTGTTGCGTTGCGGATGGGGGCCGGGGCCGGGGTCGGGGTCGGGGTCGGGGCGGCGCCGGTGGTGGTTGGGGTTGAGCCGGGGAGGGTGGGGAGGTATTGGGAGGGGGAGGGATCTGTGGAGGAGAAGACGACGAAGAAGAAGGAGATGGGGGAAGGGGAACGGAGGAGGAAGGGGCCGCGGGAGGGGAAGAAGATGAAGATCGATCTTGTCGGGGGGTGGCTTTCTTCGGGGACGGGGAGTCCGGTGGTTGTTGGGGCGGAGGGGGAGGTGAGGCAGTTGGTGGATGCGTATTTAGGGCGGTGGGAGGGGAAAGCCAAGGGGAAGGGGAGGAGGAAAGGGAAGGGAGAGGTCGGAGATGGCATAGGGACGGTGGCAGACGCGGAGACCGTGGATGTGCGCAAGATGGATGATTTGGCGGATTGTCTGGTCCAGGGCGTGACCTGGCTGCAGTGGCAGACGATGCGGCGGCGGATTGCGATGATGGGACTGGATGCGCTGCCTGAGTTGAAGAAATAAATAGCTTAGATGAATTGATAGATACCCTATGGACATATTATAGTGGATATGATACCCTTGGCTTGGATGCGTCTCCTCATACTCCCAAGTTCCCTAACCAAATGCTTCGCACGTCCTACAATGGCTAGCATGATCGTCACTCATAAGATCGAGGATCTCTACGTCATCTCGGGAAGATCAAACAATCAGATAGAGATAAATCAGTCGTTAACATGTCACGAGCTATCGTCATCGCAAGGCTCGCCAAGTTGTGTCAATGACCGTCTGAAATACAGAGATTTAGCTGAAGGGCCTCCCCGTTTGAGAGAAATGCGAGAAGCAATCGCGGCTTTGTTGGCTAAATCAGCGAGACTTGACCAAATCCGCGGCGTATGAACTGAAAATAAACCACCAGAGAAGAGGAAAGTCCCCGTCCTCTGGATAAGACAAGAATGTAAGATGAGGGAGGAAAAAAAAAACGTCTAGATGAATCAAGGTCCGCACTCTACGTGTGTACCAGAAGAAGAAGAAAAAGAAGAAGCAAAGAAACGAAAAGGGCCCTCAATCCTAATGGCACAACGCCAGCGTGCGTATCTCGCCTCGAGAGGCGAGCATCCCTCAATCACAGACGGTCATGTTCACAGCTCCTGCGGCAAATTTGCCTCAGGCGGGCTTAGTTGTAGTGGCGGCGGTAGCTAGTGGGGTAGGGCAGCTTGCTGGTTATGAAGCCAGTGGGCTTCGGAGCACCGCTGGGGTAGGGAGCGGTGCCGTTGCCGTAGGGGGGAAGGGGGACGTTGGTCTCACAGGGACCTTCGCCCCCCTCTCCATCATCGTCGTTGTCGTTGTCGTTGTCATCGTCGTCGTCGTCGTCGTCCTCCCCATTGTCACCAGAGGTGGGGGTAGGAGTGGCCGGAGCAGTCTATCGACAAAGATTAGTATCAAGACAGAGTCGAAGGATAAAGAACTTGACATACCACAGTGACGGTGGCAGTGGCAGTGACGGTGACGGTAGCCTGGGTGCAAGCTCCCTCGGCAGAGCCGCTGGGAACGGAAGAAGAGGGAATGGTGATCAGAGTGGCGGTCGAGGTGGAAGTGGTGCCCTTATCACCGCTGCCAATAGCAGGCGAGGAGGTCTAGTCAATCCAGTCAGTCATGCTGTGAACAATTGCGGTGCCAAAAAAAAAAATGGGCTCAAAGGAAAACCTACCGCGGAAACAGTGTGGGTGTTAGTGGCAGTCCGGTGAACAGTAGTGGTCACGACTGTCTTCGTGGTGCCAGTGCCCAGGGTGTAGGTCAGGGTGACATCCTGGCCGCCACCAGGGAGCTGAGACTCACTCGATCCAGGCACGCCCGTGCTGAGAGGGATGGAGCTCGTGGTCTCAACGGACGAAGGCGCTCCAGGAGCAACGGGAGAGTTGGCCGGGATCGAGGAAGAAGGAACACCAGGGGACGAAGAGGGCACGGGAGTTGGGAAGACAAAGATAGTCGAGGTCGAAGAGGCAGTCATGTTCAAGGATCGACCATGGAAGAACTTGCGGGCGTGGATAGCCTGGTGGTTGGCCTCACCACCGGTAGCCAAGATGGCCAGGAGAGCGAGGGAAAGCTTGCTAGTGAGTTGCATCTTGATGGTGCTTGTTTGTTTGTTTGTTTTTTTTTTTTTTTTTTTTGTATAGCAGCGAGACAATCAATGTCGTTGGCGGGGATTTCCTGGATGTCTGAAAGAGTGTGGGGAAGCGAAATCTATTCGCAACCTGATCTGTTAAAGAATGACTGTGAGTTTGGGGGTGTAGAGAAAAGAATGGTCTCTGACACGGAGCAGAAGAGAATGAAGCAGGACAGTCTGGCTATAAAACTCCAGGAAGAAACGAGTGACTGGGGGGGGGGGGCGATGAAGGGGAATTAAAAGGAGGGAGAGGGGCCGTTTGAGTCGGCCTGGATATTAGATTGCTTAATCTACTATGTGGTAAGGTAGTAGTAGTAGTAGTAGTAGTAGTAGTAAGGTAGAGATTATTATGATCATTAGTTAGTTATTATCCTGTAACCTGGTATCAATCGGAATCCTGACTGGGGGAAATTACTTCTTTTTTGTTTTATTAAAAAAAAGAAAAAGAAAAAGAAAAAGAAAAAAGAAAGGAAAAGAAAATTCCATTTTGTCTTTGGAATTAGTATTATTATTCTCTCACTGTTATCCATCCACCTGATATGATACTCAGGTACCCAAGACTCAAGACTCCAGAGATACTTCCTCCACTCCAGCCTGCCGCAATCTACATCATGCCCGGACTGGACTAGTGAGCTGGTTAACCAATGCCACTCTGAGGTGGGTGGCGTCTGGTGGAGCAGCCAAAGGAAGAAGAGACTTAAGAGAGGGTGGTCTAACGTCTTTCCGCACCCGCAGGGAATAGCATCATCTTACTCTAATATCAAGCCTGATATTATTGGTGTGGTTCGAGTCATTCTGCTTGTCGACCATTGATTACCGTAGGTACTACCTAGCTACTCTTTAGGTAGTGCCAATTCATTACTACTCTCTATAGTCTCTCGCTACATAAACTACATGAGTGGTGACAGGTCAATATCAAAAGAAATAAAAAATAAAAATAAAAAATAAAAATAATAATAAACATTCATACTAATACTATACCTAGTGGGTCCAAGCTCAGGTACCAATTTACCAAACACAAAAACCGCAAATTAAAGTGCGGCCTGAGATGAAAAAAAAGCCCCGTTTCATGTCGTCCTGGTCGGCTGTGATTGGGTCGCCCACCTCCTGCTTTATTCTCTCCGCGTGCCATCCAAACGCCATCCTGTTGATTGATGATTGAGCCCCGGTGCCACCCAACTGCCTCCGTGGACGGGATTTTCTTTAGGAGCACTTTTCTTTTTCTTTTTTTCCTGGCTTCTGTCCGTTCGGTTTGCCGGTAAATTACAGCCCATGGCAGAGTTTAGGTAGATTGTAGGCAACTTATCTATCTCCATAAAAAAAAAACTAATTCTTGATGTGATATAAGCAGAGCATGCGTAATTGTCAGGTTCTCTTCTCTACGGAGTACTTCGTACATAAAAGATCAATCAACGCTAACTTTACCGAGTCAATGGTTGGCTTTGTGTGAGCTAGCTAGGCCCTCGGTGTAATTTCCCGTGGCGCCTGTACCCCCGGTAGATAGACACAGAGACGGTCAGAAGTGATAGTTAGATAGTAGACTATCCATCGGAATTCGGATGTCTCTGATGATCTGATCACAATCAACTGTACCTGAAAAGGCTCATGGACTATGAGTTAGGTCCTTGTCAGCAATCTCGAGCTTTCCAGAAAAGTGGAAGAGAAAGAAAATAATGAGATGGGCTGGCGAGACAATGTTCCAGGCCTAAGGATTTTCATTTTGTACGGAGTCGCTCAGTAGACAGCCCCGTCTCGTGGGGGCTATCTAGATATTGTCATCCAAGAGATCTTTTTCATGGACCCTGCATTATGGACACTTAACAGACTTATCCTGGCCGTCCAGTCGGCAAGAACGTGTGAGATACGAAGTCAGTAGTCGTAGCTGATGGTTAAGACTGCAGACTAGATCGACTCAAATGTAACCGAGAGCCTTGACTCTGGATAGTCTGTCTGTCCCGGTACTCTAGGCTGCATGTCCCCCTATCCTTCCCCTTTTCCTACCATGATTGTCTATCAACTAGCTACGCCGTACTAACTAGATACTAAGATAGTAGAGCATCGAGAAATCCTTCGGTTAAGGCGTCGTCTCACTGAGGGAATTTCCGTTCATCCAAGCCAGAGGAACTCCGTGGTCCGCAAGAGAAGTATTAGAAAGCTTTGACGATGTCGATCACGATCAATATTCCTCCATAGCGGGAGATGGTCGGTATCTGTCCATCCGGTAGAAACTAGAAGCAGATATTTATCACTAGGCGGACAGGTAGGAGTCTCGATGAGTCGACACACTGTGGAGATCAGCAAGTCGAAAGTCTAGACAAAGATCCGTGGCAATCTCAGCGAAGAGAGATTTGAAGTGATAAAATGATCCATGCAGTAAATTCGATATTTTCTGGCTTTGTGAATCAGCCTGTAGTTTACACCAATGAAACATGATAGATGATTTCTTAAACTCACTATCTTTCTTTCTTTTTCTCTAAGACCCTCGAACTTGACCATTAGGATAGGCCTTTCTATTTAGTCGTGGATGCAAAATAACAGAATGGTGGTACTAGCTCAGGTGGTGGTAAAGATTTTAGTATCCACAGAATGAGCTTGAATTATGGGGTGGTGCTGTCTTTTACACGATGACACTTTTGAGAATGGCAATCGGTGTTTCAGGTCAAAAGTGGGCTTGGACTTGGAGCCTTGGAGCCTTGGAGTCTTGGACAGCAAGCTGAAGTCAGATACAAGGTCAGTGGGAATAATGTAGATTTTTAGGGTACAACTACACACTACACACTCTCCAGAATCTATCTGTCAGTCAGCTCACTCAGCTATGATTAAGATCATCCTATATTAATCTACCTGGGACAATTGATAATTATAATAATACAACAGTCGCGATGGTTCCATCCGTCGGCAGTCTCTTGTCTCGACTCTATACAGTAGAAGTTCCTAGAGCGAGATCCCTCGTTGATACTAGGGCTATTGCGGGTTGAAAAAACTCCTGCCCAGGGAGCCATTATTTATCGAGACCATTATACATTCGGTCTGTCCTCTCTTCGGCTGATGATTATTGGGATCGCTAGTAGGGTCCTCATGTGCCATGGATTCTGGCATTCTGGAACTGCAGCCGCCCGCGTCCAACTTACACTACCTTGGATCCTTTGGCTGAGGCGGACAGGACAGTGGTCGCTATGACCCCCACTACTAGTGGAAAGCACTCACCCGCCTCTGACATGACTTCTTCAAATATTATCATCACAGAGAGGTATGTGGCCACGGAGACAAACTCTCGACTAGAACCATTGTGATAGTATCCTTTCAAACTCCACTGGATCAACATTTTCTGTCCACTGCACATCATCGACTTCCTACCACTTCTACTTTCCGGTCAGAAGTATGGCGAGCACTACATACCAGACCCTCCGAGCTCATTATCATGCCGCGTTGAAACGTTTCATCGCAGGCCCCAGAAATCTCGAGGTGCTCTCCACCATCCCCTCAAACCAGCTACAGGAACAGAAACACCCTTCACCGGTCCCCGAGGTACTCTATGTCCTGGACTCGTCATTCAATCCCCCGACTTGCGCTCATCTCAGGATCGCCAACTCGGCCCTCCTCGAGAAACCCAGCGTACCCTCGCGGCTTCTGCTACTCCTGGCCACCCAGAATGCCGATAAACCATCGAAACCTGCTTCGTTCGAGGACCGTCTGGCCATGATGGAATTGTTCGCCCAGGACCTGTGGTCGCATCTGCAGACGTCCTCCCCAGCCCCTGGAAACGCAGGCCTTTTACAGATCGACATTGGGGTGACAAAGCGGCCGTACTTTGTGGACAAAGCAGCTGAGATTGAAAAGTCGGACGTCTACCCAGAGCCTTTGGAACAGGTCCATCTCACAGGCTATGATACGCTGATCCGCATCTTCAACCCCAAATACTACCCGCCAGAACACACCCTGCAGCCGCTGGGCCCGTTCCTCTCGCAGCATCGCCTCAGAGTCACCATGCGCCCGAGCGACGAGTGGGGGAGTAAGGAAGAGCAGGAGGCTTTCCTCCTTCACTTGGCGCAAGGCGGACGGGAGAACGAGGGCGGCAAGCGTGAATGGGCGCAGCGCATCCAGCTCGTAGAAGGGAAGAAGCCGGGGGATCCAGCAGTGAGCTCCACCAAGGCCCGTGAGGCCATTCATGCGAATCCCCAGGATCTCGAATGGCTGGTTCCCGATAAGGTCCGAGAGTACATTCTCTCTCAGCGGCCGTATGCGGAGTAGTCTGCCGAGAACCTCGATGGCGCGACCCGTAATTAACGTAATCACTTTTTCTGATTTTTTTCGCTACCTCTTGTTGTGTACTATACATGAAGCTTGCCGCATATACCCTGACGTAAACAATCCGACCGAAACACCGCCTACTCCAACATCCAGATACATTATACAAAGCGTTACAATTCCCATCCTACTGGAAATCACTCCTCTTGATCTTCTCGCTTTCCGAGAGTATAGGCCAGTCCACCGCCGACCATATTGGCCAGGCAAAGACCCATAGTCGCACCGCGGACGATGCCCCGCGCACCCCATTTCTTCATGAACTGCTGACGTCGGCGACCGGCAAGCAGAAGATAGAGACCGGACCAGGCGGCGCTGATACCCGCGCTGTCGGTCTTGAAGCCCTGGAGGTTCGCATAACTCGTGAATAGGAGGACCGGGGGGAAGAGCATCGGCACCAGCTGAAACGGACGCATGTGCTGCGCGGTAATGAGTGAGGCGAGGAGAGTGGGCGGGAATGAATTTTCTAGCGGAAGAGAGACATTGGTGAGATTTTCCACAAGAAAAGATCATATAGAAGAGATGAGGGCAAATGTTTGACAGGCAATTGGGATTGTTCTTACCTCCCCATGCTCTGGCTCGTTGCAGAAGAGACTGCTTTGCCTCTTCCACCGGAGTGTCTGTACCAGCCATTGTTCCAAAGACGTGGGGTGTCTCGACAATTGTATGGAAAGATGAGACAGAGTAGAAGTCCCTGTGTTTATACAAGGACAGGAAGCTCTCCTGACTGAAAAGAATATTTCCTATATAATAAGCTGTGCTTGCGATAGCTCAAGTGGTAGTAAGTACACAGTAGTGTAGGAACTGATAAGGTAGGTCCGGCTAGTTAGTACGTACCGCCGGATGAGTCGTGATCTGACAGGACCAACAAAAGTTGAGCCGGGCCCTTAGCGTCAACATCTGAACTCCCGAAAGACACCACGTTTCTTTCAGATTCAGCTTCATCAAGCATCTACAACCCCCCCCCCCCCTGCGGTCATTATCAGCATCGCATGCCCTGTACCCGCCACCGAACGGTATAGCCTCCTCCTTATCGTGTGAAAAGCGCAATATCCCCCTCTTATTCGCCCTCGCTTACAGCCACGGGATCGGATCGATCTCTCCCTCTCTGTTCCTCCGACGTGCGGCGCTCTTTCAACGAATTTTATTCTTTCGCAGTCACCGAAAAGAAACACACAACATACGGAGCACTCTGTACCCATCCGGTACCTAAGCAGATCTTGACCAAGAGGTGAAAACCCACCCCACGCACAGTTTCGCCATGCCAGCAGCCACAGCCTCCGGGGCAGATACGGGGGGCTCCGCACGCTCGCGCGACCACAACCAAGGGAACCAGGACCGCAAGTATACCCCAGAGCAGAAGGCGGCTGTGCTCCGGATACGAAAATGCTTGACAACGGCGTACTACGAGATCCTGTGCTTGGAGAAGAGCGCGTCGGACGGCGAGATCAAAAAGGCGTACCGGAAATTGAGTTTATTGACACATCCTGATAAGAACGGCTATGAGGGTGCGGATGAGGCGTTCAAGTGTGAGTCGCCCTTATACCTACCTTTTTTTTTTTTTTTTTTTTGGTTTCGTGGTAGCTAATCGGCGTGGCTTTTAGTGGTCTCTCGTGCTTTCCAGGTGCTCTCGGATCCGGATAAGAAGTCCAAGTATGATAAGTTTGGAGGAGATCCCGATAGCAGATTCCCACCCAGTGCTGGGCCTTCGGGGGCGGGAGGTTCGCCCTTTGGTGGCTTTGGTGGTGGTGGTGGTGGATTTCCGCGGGGAGGTGGTGGTGGTTCTATGTTCGAGGAGGAGATTTCGCCCGAGGAGTTGTTCAATCGGTTTTTCAGCGGCGGGTTTGGAGGCGGTGGTTTTGGTCAGTTTGGTATAGCTGCTTTTTGACTCTCTAACTGAGGTGTCTCTTACTGACGGATGCTCTCTAGGTGGCCCTCAGTTCGTCTTCAACATGGGAGGAGGTCCTGGCTTCCGCGTACACCAATTTGGAGGCCAACGACCCCGACGAAGACCTCGCGAAACCAGCGCCCAGGCCGAGGCCGCACCATCAGCATGGGCAACCTTTCAATCTCTCCTCCCCCTCATCCTTCTCTTCGTGCTCCCACTGCTTTCATCCCTTTTCACTGGCTCGTCATCTCCTGCTGGTCCCTCTTATCGATTCGACGCGGCCGTGCCTCCTCACACAGTGCAGCGCACAACGCCCAAATACAACATCAACTATTTTATCAATCCCAGCGATGTAGAAGACTACAGCCCAAAGAAACTCCGTCAGATGGACACGAAAGTGGAAGTGGACTACGTCACGAAATTACGGTACGAATGTGAGAGTGAAGTCCATGCTAGAGAACGCATGATACAAGAGGCCCAGGGTTGGTTCTTCCCGGACGTTGAGAAGATCAAGAAGGCGAGGACCATGGAGCTCAAGAGTTGCGAGCGTTTAGATGCGCTGAAGCGGAGGTCCTAACACGGTTTATGATACACCCTGCTCACTTCTGACGTGTGATTTTATCTTCCTATACTTAATTTCTTTTTTTTTTTCTCTCTCTTTTGGATTCCGCGCATTCTGTCTGTCTATTTGTTTTGCATTAGATGCCAATGACAGGCGGAAATCTCCCACGGCGCTCCATGGACTGATGTATATGCATGTCTATGATTGACTTATCTTGCAAATATCCAGCGATTGTGATGAATAAAACTGCATTATCATCAACTACATTTGGTAAAAGCGATACCCTCAATGCAATCTCACTTGTAGATATCTGTAGATAGATGAATAGATATCACCACACGAGACTGACGAAGGCGGTCTAGCTTAGTTAAGAAGATTAATCATGCAGGCGAATCTCAGCGACCATGACCGAATGCTACCACTCGCTTTCATCGGCGAGTCCTTGTCTATTGTTGTCTCTCTGCCTCTCTTTCATGCTGCCAGTTGACATCCTTCCATTCCCCGGAGTACATACTTTTCTTGACTGTTGAATTCTGCTTTTCTCTGCTTGTCAAAAGTCATACTAGCACCATCTCTTTCTCCGCACCTTCTGCCCCGCTGACAGAGCCTCTTTTCTTGGAGCCTTCTGTCTTCTGCCAGATCGGTGCCATCAATAGAGGATGTCTGATACACTCTCTGACGCGGATAAGGTGAGTCGTGCGCGAACTGGGCATCATTGTCATCTATGATACTCGATGTGCGGATGGGTTCTAAAAAAAAAAAATCACTTCTGCAGATCCGCAACAAGCGCCTCTTAAAGCTTGGAAATCCATCCTCATCGTCACAAAACGCAGGAGCCTCAGAATCGACTCCAAGTTCGCCCTCGTCGCCTTCACAGTCTAGCCCGTCTGCTCAGCAAGCCTTTGAAGCCCCGCAAACACAGATCAACATCAGCAGCATACCGCGCTCGCAGACATCGTCGCCTCGACCAGAGTTGCAGCAGGCAGAAGGGAAGCGAATCAAGATCACACCATCTGCCCCTGCCAGCCCTGCGCCGGACCGGTCATTAACCGCTACACCTGTGTCGAATACCCCTCCGCCTCCGAGAGCGGAGGAAACCCTTGAGGCTTTCGAGGATCGTACCCTGAGCGCCGTCTTCAAACTCAGCTTGAGGGAGGATCGACAGCGGGATATCCATGGACACAAGCTGACGTACCTTCCTGGTCTGCGGAGTGAGCTCGAGGACCAGGGGCGTGAGCCGCGTATAGATACCTCTGTTCTGGACCAGGCGCTCCTGGAAGCGGCCTCGAATGCCCAGCAGAAGCCGTTGGATTATCTGCTGCCGTGCTGGAGACGCATCTCGAGGCTGTTCAAGGGCTTCCGCCGTGTTCGCGACGATGATCCCAAGTTCAATGTCATCTGCGAGGCCCGGCGCCTGTGCATGAGCTATAGCATCTTTGCGATCACGATGCCAGAGATGTTCGGGTGCGTTCCTGCTTGATTCTTTCCTCCAGTTGAACATGCCCGGACGGCAGAGTTGACTGATCCCCTTGTCTCTCTAGACTCGAGCCATCTGAGAAATCGCCGCTCAAGCCGTATCTTCTCCTGGATCCCGAAGAGGACAAGGGTGTCGATCTTGAATTCTTAAGCGAGGCCGTCAAGCGGTTCGAAGAAGATGACAGTCTCAAACCGGCTTTCCTAGCAGCTGTGGAAGAGATGAGTCGTGATCTCGCCTCCATGACTATTAATGATGATTACAAGCCTTACATGACGGTGGGTCATCCCTCTAGTGCTTTCGTCGCGTCGCGAAGAAAGCTTTGCTAATTGCGTAAGGCTCTGCGGAATCTGGTTGGCCATGCGGTCATTGCAGCTGCCATCACGGAATCATCCATCTTCAATGCTTCTCGCGATCCGGCATCGTTTGAGAAGGATACACTCCTGGGGCCTTGGTTTCGTCTATCGCCGCTGCAGGGCGACGTGACCATGTCATACTTCTCGAGCCCCAAAACCCGGGACCAGTCATATATCATGAATGCGCAGCGGTCCCTCAGAATGATGCAGCAGATGCTTAGCTCGGATCTCTTCGACATCATCAATCACATGATTCGCGCCCACAAGGATGCGAGGGAAAAAGTATTAGATTGGTTCGCAGCTGCTTTGAACATTAACCACAAAAGAAGAGCCATGCAGGTGGATCCTACCACGGTATCATCCGATGGGTTCATGTTCAATCTTACTACGTGTCTGGACAAGCTCTGTGAGCCTTTCATGGACGCGAGTTTCACAAAGGTATGTTTGTACAGCTCATGCCTTGTTGGCTTGCCCACCAAACTCACCTTATCTGTAGATTGACAGGATCGATGCGGGATATCTGCATCGGAACCCCCGTGTTGACATGAAGGACGAGACCAAGATAAATGCCGATCAGCATGCCTCTGATGCTTTCTACTCAAAACAGGAAGAGGGAACTACGAACTTCATTACGGAGATATTCTTTCTGACCGTTGCCGCCCATCATTACGGCAGCGAGTCCCTGACATCGAAGCTGGATCAGCTGGAGAAGGATCTTCGACATATGGAGGGCACCATCCGGAGGTTTGAGCTGGAGCGGCACCGATGGATCAGCAACCCAATGCAGCTCCGGGTGTTCGAGCAGGCCTTGAAGAAATATAAGGACAAGCTGGATCTTGGTTTGGCCCTGAAGTATAGTCTGCAGGGTGTCTTGTTCGACGACCAATGGCAGGCTCGCTCAATGCTCTTCATGAGATACGTCATTGTCTGGCTGCTGAGGCTTGTGTCCGGCGTGAATTTCCCCAAGGAACCTATCAAGCTTCCCCTTCCGGAGCAGCGACCGGAGCTCTTCAGCTGCCTGCCTGAGTACTTTGTGGATGACGTTGTCAGCAACTTCAAGTTTATCATGTGGTGCATGCCCCAGATCATTACCGCAACGCAGGGCGATGAGCTGGTCATGCTCTGTATCACCTTTTTGGAGAGCTCGGGATACATCAAGAACCCCTATCTGAAAGCGGGCCTGATTTCGATTCTTTTCCGAGGAACGTGGCCTCGCCCTGGTGGCGGCCGTGGTGTCCTGGTCGATCTGCTGAACTCACTGCCCTTTGCTAACGAAAATCTGCTGCATGCTGTCATGAAGTTTTATATTGAAGCCGAACATCTGGGGACGCACAACCAGTTCTTCGACAAATTCAATATCCGCTACGAGATCTTCCAGATTATCAAGTGCGTCTGGCCCAACACTCTATATAGGAACAAGTTGTACAATCAGTCTAAGCAGAACCTGGACTTTTTTGTTCGCTTCGTCAATCTGCTTTTGAACGATGTGACATACGTGCTGGATGAGTCTTTTGGCGCCTTCATCACGATTCACACTACGCAGATGGAACTCGCCCGCAGTGGAAGCACAATGGATCCTCAGGAGCGTCAGCAAAAAGAGGAGCATCTCGCTTCGTCTCAGCAGAAGGCCAAATCTTACATGCAGCTGACGAACGAGACGGTTTCTATGCTCAAGCTGTTCACAGATGCACTGGCTGACTCGTTCACTATGCCTGAAATCGTGCAGAGATTGGCAGACATGCTCGATTACAATCTGGATGCCATGGTTGGCCCGAAAAGCTCCAGCCTGCGAGTTGATAATTTGCAGGAATACGGATTTAACCCGCGAGCTCTGCTGAGTGAGATCGTCGATGTGTATCTCAATCTGACGAGCAAGGAGAATTTCATTATCGCCGTTGCGCGGGACGGTCGGTCCTACAAGCCGGCCAATTTCCAAAAGGCCGCAGACATTCTGCGTAAATGGTCCCTCAAGTCTCCTGAGGAGCTCAAGAAATGGGAACAGCTGCAGACCAAAGTACGGGCGGCCAAGGAAGCCGATGAGCAAGCGGAGGAGGATCTTGGCGAGATTCCCGATGAGTTTTTGGGTACGGTAGACGGACTTTTGGGCATTGCGTATTTCACTGACAAAGAGTCTTATAGATCCTTTGATCTACACCTTGATGGAAGATCCGGTCATCCTCCCTGGATCAAGAGTATCCATCGATCGTTCCACTCTGCGGTCTCATCTTCTGAGTGACCCCCACGATCCGTTCAACAGAGCTCCTCTCAAGATGGAGGATGTGATTCCTGGTTCGTTATGTCCCAGACCAATTCAAGTACTCGATCAGTGGACTAACCGATGAGCTTTCAGATACGGAGCTCAAGGCCAAGATCGAGGCTTTCAAGGCCGAAAGGCTAACGGGGCGGCGACAGCCTTTAGTGTCGACTGTGTCCGAGACAATGGATACATCGACCGATTGAGGGAAATGATAGTAAACACTAACTGAAAGGATACTTACTGCCCAGCATAGACTCCAGACGTCCATTATACATACTTCATTTTGACATACGGAATGCCATGGTTACGATCTTGATTGGAGGGGCCTGTCTTACCGCGACGTTCAATTACTTTGACATAGAGTGTAATGAGATACTACAACCATCACTCGAAATCTCTACAGCTATATTCTGTGATTCCATACTCCGTACACAATTGACTTCTGTAGTAGTTGTCCCATAAGAAAAAAACACTGGTCACGTGCAGTGGGCATCTCGTGACATCATTGGATGAGCTCCGACTCATTGTTCTTTGTTGATTTGACCTCACTGCTGCCATTCACTTTCTTTGTTGTTGCGAACTCGACCTACTCATATGAATATGCTTTGCCTTTAGTATCTATTTCTTCTCTTGAGGCTTCTGCTACACCTCAACCAGCGTAGACAAGCTAAAGTAGCCTTGCCTACCAAGCCCATCTCTACTCTGGACAAGGATACACAACAACCACGGGCAACTGCTGCGCTAGCTTGATAACAATCAAGTGCAAAGGTAAGTCCTGCAAATCGAAGCAGATCTCTATGGAGTGTGACATGTGTGACATGTCTGGCTAATATGCCGAAGGCGAAGAACATCATGGGAACCGCATTCTCCTCTTCCTGGGGCTCTCTCCCCCCTTTCAGGGAGTTCATTCTGCCCACACCCCAGACGTACACAACTTTGGTGAACATCTTCCAGTACTTCCCGGTTGTCAGTCCCTCCGCTTCCCATCAAGGCGGAACATGACCGTTTTACTGAGATCTGTGCAGTTCACCCTCGTGCAATGGATCATATCTTGGCACCCAGCAGGCAAGGGCTCCTACCAGAGTTCCTGGCTCAACGTCCCAGGTAAACTCGGCTGGTTCATCATGGAAATCATCGGACCCGTCAACCTGCTCTACACGCTCTGGAAGCTACCCCCGCTGCTCAACCTCGCCTCGCTGCCGCCGGCCAACAAGCTCGTCGCCGCCCTGTACGTCATCCACTACATCAACCGCGCCATCGTCTCCCCGCTCTTCGCCGCGCCAAGCATGTCCCCCATGCATCTCTCCGTCGTGCTCATGGCCGTGCTCTTCAACTGGTTCAACTCCGCCTGTCTGGCCGGATGGCTGGTGGGATACCACATCCCCGTGCTCGGGTACACGACCGACGGCGCAGCCGCTGCCGCAGGCCCAAGCAGCAGCACAGACAATCCCCTGCTGCTGCTGCCCTCCGCCACCCCCTACTCACCCGCCACCCACTTTCTCTCCTCCCTCGGCATGGTCCTCTTCGCCGCCGGCATGATCGGGAACATCTACTCGGAACGCACCCTCTTCCGGCTCCGCCGCGAAGCAGCCCAGAAGCGCGACGAGCAGCAACCCGCCCCCTCCAACTCCAACGCGCAGGCCTCATCTCTTCCTCCCAAGGACAACAGTAGCAGCAGCAGCAGCAGCAAGAACAAGTTCTCCAAAGTCTACGTCATCCCGCCCCCAACCGGCGTCTTCCGCTCCATCCTCTACCCGCACTATGTCTTCGAGTGGCTCGAGTGGCTCGGCTTCGCCCTTGTCGGGACAGCCGTGTTCCCCGGCTCGACGGGCCATGCCTCCGCGTATGCCTTGCAGGCGGAGTCGGGGTCAGGTTCGGGTCCTCTACGCCTGGCGCCGTGGCTGGTCCCCGCTGCCTGGCTGGCGGATCAACTGCGCGTGCCGCTGCCGTTGCCGGCGGTGGTGTTTGTGGTGAATGCCGTGGCGAATATGCTGCCGCATGCGCGCTGGGGGAGGCGGTGGTACGTTGAGAGGTTTGGCGAAGGGGCAGTTGCGGGCCGGGGGGCCGCTGTTCCATGGTGTTCGTGGCTTTGAGTTTGCAGTTGGGACTTGGGAGTTAGTGGGTGGATAGTCGATAGATTATGGTGGTGGATTATCAGTCCGTAGGGGCTGCTTTGTGGTTGTCCTGACGGTGCCGTAGAGAGTAGAGACAGAATATCTGTGAGATGGTTGGCAGATGGCTGGCAGCTTACTGGATATGGGGGATATTACCATCGGTATGAAGATAGCAGTCGACTTGCGACTAACTACTCCTCCACACTTCAGTCTTCAGATCACTACGATCATTCTACAATCTACAATCAACAGGAAGAGAGTCTTTGACATTGTCTTTGATTGACAAGGCTTGAGAGGTAGATCAGTTAGATCAGTACCTAACGTGTCGATACAACACATTGTTGAAATATTGGAAGAAACCATCAGCGGTAACCGACTGCCGCAACCATGCATATCCCTTTTTTGGTAAAACAGCTTCACCAGTGCAAAAAAAAAACAAAGAAAACAAGAACACCCCACCCAAATAAATGCGGATCGCTTGCATGGAGGTGGCAGTCAAATGTTAGGCTTGACCGCCGATGTTGAAATCGTCAATGTTGAAACTCCGGGGACCCCCATATTTTCTAATACAAAACCCTGAACCCTTATGTTGAACTTTTGGTATCATCGTCGTAACTCATCACATTATAAAAAAACGAAACTTCTGGGGCGACGGGTTGAAAGATGTCGTCCCCATTATGGGTCAAATGGCAAAATCAAGATGATGCCATTTACTTGGAGTACTTCTGGCGGAAGTACTTGGCCGCGTTGACCATGTTGGTCAGAGCAGCCTTGGTCTCGGGCCACTGGCGGGTCTTCAGACCACAGTCAGGGTTGATCCAGAGCTGCTCAGGGCGGAGGTAAGGAAGCATCTCCTCGATGCGGTCCTTGATCTCCTGCTCGCTGGGGACACGGGGCGAGTGGATGTCGTAGACACCGGGACCGATTTCGCGGGGGTAAGCCTCCTCAACGAAGACCTTGAGCAGCTTGGCATCGGACTTGCTGTTCTCAATGCTGAGAACATCGGCATCGAGAGCCGCAATGGCGTGGAAGAAGTCCTGGAACTCAGAGTAGCAGAAGTGGGAGTGGATCTGAGTGCCATCGCTGACACCGGTGGTGGCGAGGCGGAAGGCACGGACGGCCCAGGCGAGGTAGTCCTCACGCTCCTTGCCAGCACGGAGAGGGAGACCCTCACGGAGGGCAGGCTCATCGACCTGGATGACCTTGACACCGGCGGCCTCGAGGTCAACGACCTCGTCACGGAGAGCCAGAGCAAGCTGCTGAGCCTGGACGGACTGGTGGACGTCGTCACGGGGGAAAGACCAGCGGAGACAGGTGATGGGTCCAGTAAGCATACCCTTCATGGGCTTGCTGGAGATGGACACGGCATACTTGGACTCCTTGACGGTCATGGGAGCGGGACGAGAGATGTCACCGACGATGATGGGGGGACGCACGCAACGAGATCCATAGGACTGAACCCAGGCGTGGGTGGTGAAAACGTAACCGGTGAGACGCTCACCGAAGTACTGAACCATGTCGTTACGCTCGGGCTCGCCGTGGACGAGGACATCGAGGCCAAGCTCCTCCTGAGTTCTGACAACATACTCGATCTCCTTCTCGATGAACTTCTCGTACTCCGCCGCGGTGATCTCGTTCTTGGTGAACTTGTTACGCTGGACACGGATCTCCTTGGTCTGGGGGAAGGAACCGATGGTGGTGGTGGGGAAGAGAGGAAGGTTGATGGACTTGTTCTGCTCGGCAATACGGGTGGGGAAGGGAGACTTGCGGTTGTGCATCTCGTCGGTGACAGCAGCCTGGCGCTCCTTGACCTTGGGGTCGTTGGTGCGGGCGGACGAGGCACGAGCCTGAACAGACTTGGCATTGGCCTCGAGCTCCTCACGGACGGCAGCAGGGCCCTCGGTGACAGCCTTGGCAATGACGACGATCTCCTTGGTCTTCTCAACAGCGAAGCTGAACCAGTCACGGACCTCGGGGTCGAGGTTCTTCTCGCTCTCGAGGGTGTGGGGAACGTGAAGGAGGGAGCTGGAGGTGGAGGCAATGACTCTGTCCTTGCCGAGCTTCTGGATAGCGGCCTCGACCTTCTCGATGGCGGCCTTGAAGTTGGTCTTCCAGATGTTACGGCCATCAACGACACCAGCGGAGAGGACCTGGTTGGGGCCAAGAGCGGCGATGACGGAGTCGAGCTGCTCAGGGTTGCGGACAAGGTCCACGTGGATACCATAGAGGCTCTGGAGGGCAGGGAGGACATCGATGTTGTGGACGATGTCACCGAAGTAGGTGGCGAGGACAAGGCGAGGAGCCTTGTCACCAAGAGCACCCAGCTTCTCATAGACGGGCTTGAAGGCAGCCTTGGACTTGACGGGGAGGTCGAAGACGAGGACGGGCTCGTCGATCTGGACATCCTCAACACCAGCAGCCTTGAGCTTGGCGAGGAGGTCAACGTAGAGAGGGAGAAGGTCGTTGATCTTGTCAATGGGGTCAACGGTCTGGCCACGGTCGGCCTTGGCGAGGGTCAGGAAGGAAACGGGACCGAGGAGGACGGGGCGGGTGATGACGCCGGCCTCCTTGGCCTCAAGGAACTGAGCAACAGGCTTGGGCTCCTCAGCCAGCTTGAAGACCTGGTTGTTCTGGAGAGTGGGCTTGACGTAGTGGTAGTTCGAGTCGAACCACTTGACCATTTCCTGGAGGGGAATATAAGTTAGGAATGGAAAGGATTCTCTCAAGAACGATCAAACAGGTGGGGAACAAACCAAGCTAGGAACATCAATGGCGGCCTGACCATCGGTGGCGGGCTTCTGGAGACCACGGCCCATGGCGAAGTACTCGTCAAGAGGGTGCAGGTTGTACTTGCTGTATCTCTCGGGGACGACCTATTTTCAAGACGGCATAGTTAGGCAACTGTGACTTCAATCCAGCAAGTGGGATGCTAGGAAACTTACACCGAAGAGCTGGATGTGGTCGAGGACCTGATCGTAGAAGGCAAAGTCGTTGCTGGGGATGATATCAACACCAGCATCCTTCTGGATCTTCCAGTGCTCCAGACGGAGTCTCTTTCCCTCCTTCAGGAGCTCATCGCGAGAGATCTTGTCACCCCAGTAAGCTTCGGTGGCCTTCTTGAGGTCACGGAGCTTTCCCATGCGGGGGAAACCCAGAACGGCGCTATCGAGGGAAAGACGGTTAGTTCAATTGTAGGGAATAATCGAACGATTATACGGGAGGTGTCAAGGGGATGCTTACGATTGAACCATTTTGAATGTGTGATGTGAACGGAGAGAAGGTGGGAAGGTGAGGGTTGAGAGTAAAAATGGATGAACGTGGTAGAAACAAGTTCACACAGAGAGAGATGAACAGACAAGAGAGATGCTAATGGAGCAGTCTCTTGCTGAGGAAGAAAAAGATGATCAAGGGGGGGGAGGAGAAGGATGATGAGAGAGAGAGAGAGGGAGGATAGAGAAGAAGAAGAAGAAGAGGGAATGGAGGGAAGAGAGGATCTAATATGTAGTTACTGGGGGAGGGGGAAACAACGGAGAAGAGAGTCGGAGGGGTTGATGGTGGGGCCGTTGATAGGAGCAAAGCTGTTCTTTTACCCTTTTTTTTTTTTTTCTTCTTTTCGGTCTCGGAGGGGGATGGATGGATGGAGGGGTGTATGGTAATTTGGTAACTTGGTAACTTGGTAACTTGGTAAGTAGGTCATGTATGGATGTATGTAAGGTATAGTGTATACTGACATACGGAATTATACTCGGTCTACTAGGGAGGTACTGGAAGTTAGGTACTTCGGTGTGTCAGGGTAATAGGTAATTAATACCTGTGACTCAAAATGGCGTGATTGGATCCAGAATTACTAGGTATACTCCGGACCTAGGTACGTCCATACTCCATACACAGAGTACTTGGGTAAAGTTAAGTACCTAGTCACCTAAGGTTCGGAGTACCTACTACCACCTACACTCCCTAGCTACAAGCCCAGTACCTAATAATTAATACCTAGATAACTAGGTACTAGGTAGTCGCCGCCCTCGCCTGCTTTCTCCAGAGTCCTGTCCAATTGGGTCCTATGGGGCTCAATTATGGGCCAATTGGGAAGGGGTCCAGTCCTCCCAGTGTTGTCCGGGATCGGCCTCTTACTCCCATGGAATTCGGTCTGTTACGGAATTTACTGACATTTGCCATAGAAACCCGAATCTTCAGCTTCACCGGCCTCGTAGAGTCCATGAGATGATACCAAGAAGATACTAGGAGAGAGACTTCGTGCAGTCCGATTGGAATAATGATCTGGGCCGACTTAAGTTATATCATTACGTTGGATGAAACATTCGGAGTTGCATGTACACGCGGAGCAAGAACGGTCCCTCCCTGTAGTAGAAAGACCATCCACTTCTGTTCCATCCAGTCCTAGAGCTAGAGAGAGAGAGAGAGAGAGAGAGAGATACATAGAGATAGACATCATGTAGGTGCTCCCTGTTCAATACTATTCCGGAACGCTTCTCCTCCCAGTGGCCATGTACACGCCAAATAGAGTGCAGACAGACCGCTGCTTTGGAATATATTTACGCGGATCCCTCCTCCAAAGGGGCTGACCGTGACCAGCTTCCACCAGTCTACAATCAACAATCGACTCAGAGATTATATCAAGTACCTAGACTAGGTGCGATGTGGTCGATGCAAGAGCCTAGCAGGAAGGTTAGAGCACGGAGAGGGAGAGGATCTCTTCATCTTCATCATAGGCAGACATGAGAGAGGCAATGCTCCATCGCAGCTTCCTATTTGGAACAGTCGATGCTGCTTCCTTCTCTGCTCCTCGAGGAGACATCCCACCAACGACATCCTAAAGATAATATTACTTCCTTCGAAGCAACTCATCAGCACTCATCTCCCCAACAATGTACTGCTCAGGTTCTTCCCAGGTAATCCAGGTTCCTGAAGATAATCACATTCAACCCATCCAACTCATCCAATGGACCTCTTGCTCTGCCGTCGCCTCAGAAGAATATGGATATCATCTACTTCATCGACCGATGGACAGACATCCAACCGGGCTGAACCGGAGCCATTGCTCTTCTCGGACGATGATGAACCACAAGGTAATTGGGGCCATTTACATTTACCTCAATGGAGACCTCTACCTAACATGAACAGGCATTTCCTCGGCAACCGAATACACAATCATCTCGAGAAGCCCGCGAAGTTCATCCGAAGGGCAGCGACTTTCCAATCGATTTCGTAGAAAACTTTCTCGAGAATCCAGACGGTTGAATGGCGCCTCACGTCGAAGTGACCGAAGGTCAGGCACTTCGCTCTTCTCCTCGGTTTCTTCCAAATCGAAGAAGGACAATACCATCCTCAGCGTCCCCCATGAATTAGGAAGTGGTTTGATGAGTGAGAGAGGTTATGATAGCGATGCTCAGTTCATCTCAACCCCAACACATGCTGCAGAGAGAACAAAGATTGCAGGCATCATTGGCGGCAGTGGTGTCCTTCCGGGTCAGTTCTACCGCATTGCCAAAGTAAGCTCTAGCACAGAAGGCGAGCAATGCCCAGGATGTGAGGAGCGAAAGATACCCGAGACGCCACCCCGTTTGTTGGAGCAGGAGGGCTGGAGTCCTCAAGCGGTACATGGCTACTTCGCCCCTTATGATTCGAAGATTGACGATCCGAGAGTAAAAGACGTCAGACCCTGTCCGCACAATACAAACCATGACCAAGCTCCTCACAAGGATGAAATGCTTGTGGCCATAACCCCAGCACTCTCTGAGTTGAGGAAAACACAGGAGGAAAATGGCAACCCTTCCCCAGCTGTGATTCAGATACGGCCTTCAATTTCTCCTGGTCTTACACCTTCTAGCCCTCCAGCCAGCCCTTCACCCAGGTTTTCCTCAGAGATACTGCTGACAAAGAAGAGAGGACATCTCGGAGTATCAGCATCTGGTGACCAGTCCATTCACCTTGCAGACATGAATATACCCCATATGCTAGCCTCTTCATCAATGTCGCCTCGATTTTCATCCCCTCACCCATCTGATGGTCTCAACAGTCCCACAAGGATTGTGACTCCGGTCTGGGATGCTGGAGTTCTTAAATTAGAAGTGCCCCACGCAGAAGAGGCCTCTTCTTGTTACTCTCCCACAACCACTTGTATGTCAGCTGACATGCACAGCCGTAGTGCATCCCACCAAAAGACAAGTATTGCCTCGAGAAAACCAGAGACGAAGCGTAAGAGATCTCTATTCAGGGCGCTCTCGTTAAATGTCTCCTCACGAAGCATATCAATGTCGAAGGCGAGTGACCCTGCCGTGGATGACGGTGCCATTAGCAAAAAAAGTAGATTTATAGAGCAGTTCGACGTGGATCGATCAATGGCCTCCCTAGACTCCGAGCCTTTCAACGTTCTAAACAGCAGTCTGGCGTCGCCGCGGAAAGTCAGTATTGGATGGATGTCCGAAGGGCGCCGTTTGGGGTATGGATATACTCTCGTTGCTGAAGACGAGGTCAAGAACGACGACAAACAATCGAGCAAAACGTCGTGGACCAAAGGGGAGTCAATGGTCTCCGCCAACATCTCGAGCATCATGGACCGTTTGAACTTCCGTCGCTGGTCTGGCGCAACCACATTTCAAAAATCCGCGAATGTCAGCGATTCCGCCAGTTGCAATTCGGTCAGATCGACCCCATTGCTTAGGGTTGCAAACCGAAGAAAGGCCTCAACATTAAACGAAAGAAGAACGTTATGGAGTTCGAAACCCGATAACAGCTCAATACAGCGTTTGAAGGGAAGCTCTGAGCTGGATGAGAATGTGCATGACTCAATTAGGACTACATGGACGATTTCCACCAAGCATCGAAAAGAATCACAGTCAGTGCGGAACATGCTGGCGAAACAACGTCGCGTCAAACATACGAGTCACAACCCTGCAGCCAAGGAGACCACGCTTGGTGGACGAGGCACCACTAGGCCCAAGAAGGGGACACAGATCATGAAATTGAAGATGATCCGCCGTAAGGACTGGCGTGAGAAACTTAACGATGATGCCCCAATCGTCCTAACCAAGCGCACCGCAAGAGGGCGTGCCTCCCCAGATACAATCGGCTGCTCTACAGAGGCAGATGCCTTGGACCAACAAGCCGTCTGTCGATCAGAGGACTATCAAGACCCTCTGGAACGAGCTGTATCGGAGACCATATCGGACGACTGGGTTAGCCTGTATCAAGACTGTCTCGAACTACACACTGATCTGAGGTGAGAGGGGAATAGGAGCAAGAAAAGAGCAATAGAGCTTGCACATGGGGCTCAAATGGAAGTGTCTCTGAATAGACTGAACAGGGGCATGGATTACTTTAAAAAAAAAAAAAAGCATTATTCATGGCACTGAATCAAAAGCAGAGTCTGACTTGTGCAGCGCAGAGGTCCGAAGACCGAATGTATTCATATAATCGTACAGAGGTATATTGGAACAAAACACAGAGTCGCAAATGAGAATGATATCTTACCAAAGGGACAAAAGTTACTTCTTTTGCCGCTTCGTGCTCTTATCACTCCCATTGCTTAACACGCTCGCGGAGCGCTTGTGAGGCGCACCCTCGTGTTCCGGATCCCCGGCATCCGCATCAGCACCTTGTTGGCCTGTCTCAGCGGCCGGCCCGGTCTTCTCGTCCCCTGAGCCGGAGGTTTTGATCGAGCCCATCGATGAGGCTGCATGAGCATTCTCACCACCAGCCGTCTCTTCAGACTCTTCGGCTTTGACCTCGGGCTTCTCCTTCTCCTTGGACTCCTTCGTCTTCCGCTCTCGCTCCTCCCTAGCAGACTCTAGGACGCGGATCTCGCTCTCGACCTTCTCCGACACCTTGCGCGCATCCAGCAGCAGGTTGACCGAGTGGATGAGCCGCTCGAACTCCTTGCACACACGCTCCGTGGGCATGACCAGCCGCGGCGGGATCTCCAGCTCCGCCAGCGCGGCGGCCAGTTTCTGCGACTGCACGTTGGACTTGGCCTGTGTGAGTTTCTGGGCGCGGTCGCTGCGGAATTGCACGCCGGGGGCGAGGCGGTCGTGGTGCTGCACGCCGTACCGGGCTTCTTCGGCTGCCGTGAGCGTCTTGACGGTGTGCTGTGGCTCTTTGGCGGCCGCGGCGGACGAGGCGGCTGTTGATGCGGCTGCGGCTGCGGCGGCAGCCGCTGCATTGGATGCCTTTTTGTTGGTTGGCGCGGCGGCGGCGTTGCTGGGGGTATCTGCGCGGCTGTCGCGCGCGCTGGTCGGGGCGTTGGACGTGGGGGTTTGCCCTGCAGGGCTCGGTGCGGCGCCCTCGGGCCCGAGAATGGAGCGTCGCTTTTTGCTCTTGTCCGCTTGGAGGAGCGTTTGGAGCAGCTGGGATAGGCCCTGGCTAGACTGGTACATGGTGGTATTGCCGACGCTGACAGGCACTTCGAGTCTGGAATAGAGCTCTCTGCGCTCGGTGATAAAGTTCTGCTCGTTCGATGTGATCCGCTTAAGTTCCTCCAGCAAGATGCCTTCTTCGCGCACTTCGTCGGCGGAGCGGTTCAGTTGCAGCGCGGCAAGCTCCTTGCGCGCCCGCTCGCGGTCCGGATCGAACTTCATCATCTTCTCGTGTAGGTCGAATTCCGCTTCGGACATCTCCGACGGGGGATGCTCAAGTGCCAGCATCGATGCAGCAATGAAGTAGTATCGTGCCTTCATCTGCTCCATTGTTCGATATCGTTTAGCCGGGACAAGCGCGGTTGCATTAGATTCCGAGTCCGCAGGCTGAGGATGAAAGTCGTATCGATCAGCAATCACAACCCACCGCAAGTCGTACTCCTCTACCAAATCCATCAAGTAGTCTGTCTCTTGCCGCGACCAGTCATCGTTCTTTAAATGTCGGTTGTATTCCTCGTCGGTGTAGCGCCTTGGTACCTGTGCTTTGACGTTGTATTTTGCGAACGAATATGTTTGATCCGCTGGCTTCACAGCTCCATCCTCCACTTTCGCTCCGTCGACTTCCATCTCCGAAGGGCCCTCGGGGGCTTGTGCCGTTGTGGCTTCTGGTCGGCGTTGCCAGTGACGTAGAACAAGGCCATCAGATCGAGCATCGTTGGTGAAGGGAGCTATTTGCCTAAGGCAGAAGGAGGATCATCAGCACGACACATACATAGCGAGATTCAGCAAAATCCGCGAACATACCATGGGCGGACTCTGAGTTTGTTCATCCATTTCGGCCGTCCCTTGTATCTGTTCTCGTTGATAGCGATCGGGGGCGCCCTTTCGCCGAGGAGCGCGTAGAGTTCGCGAGTTATTCCCTCTGTAGCATCATGATTATTAGCATCCATATACTTCTGAATGTCCAATACAGAGCCAAACCAACCTGGCCTCTTCTCCACGACCTTTTGCTTCTTGTGAGGTCGAGGCTGCCCCTCTGCGGGCAAATCCAGCATGTCGCGCACATCGGCGGCGGCCATGATGGCGATGGGGCTAGTGGACTATACTTTATCGAAGCGAAATGGGGGGAATCGGAGTAAAGTATCTAAGTCAAAGAGAGATAGACGGAAGAACTAAGTAAAATAAGGAGATGGATTCGATGACGGAAACCCGACTGTGATGGCCTGGGAAAGAGAGGAATCCGCCGCACACCAGCAGAGAAAACGGCGGATTCGCATCGCGCCAAGACTGAGCCGCCGTTGGTGCCAGATCTTCAGTTCACATACAAGTCAAACCAACTATTATTGTTGTTGTGAGTGTCCGCCGTCAACATACACCATTGATTGTCCCTCTCTACTCACTCGCCAATTAATCAGGACACTCATCATGGCTCCGACCAGATCATCGGTCTCATGGCTATCGTCCGCCCTGGCCATCTGCGCCATCTTCTGCCTTGCCGTGCCCGCGAACGCCCTCTACTTCTATATGGATGGCCGTCAAACAAAATGCTTTTATGAGGATCTTCCCAAGGACACGCTGGTCGTCGGTACGTAAAACTGCCCAGCAATATGAAGTGTGCAGCCTACTGATCACACCTCGAAAATCGAACAGGAAACTTCAAGACCGAAGTCGTCAACCAGCAGTCCAACACCTACTCCGTCGATCCCAACCTCAAGATGCTCATCACCGTCGACGAGACCTTCGACAGCGACCACCGCGTCGTCTCCAAGCGCGACGGCCACGCTGGCCGCTTCACCTTCTCCGCCGCCGACGCCGGCCAGCACCGCATCTGCATCACCCCCGACACCAACGCTGCCACCGGCGGCTGGCTGTCCGGTGCCCCCGCCGGCGCCGTCAGAGTGAACCTGGACCTGGCCATTGGCGAGACCAGCAAGATCGAGAACGAGGATAAGGACAAGATGAAGGATATCGTGCAGAAGGTCAAGGATCTCAACAGCCGGTTACAGGACATCCGTCGCGAGCAGGTATTCCAGCGGGTATGTCGTCCTTCTTCGCCCAACTTGTAGTCTCAAGTCTGTTAGAGGGTTACAAGGAGTACCCCGTGCTAACCACAACCTTTTTGCCCCCCCTCCTGTAGGAACGCGAAGCCGAGTTCCGCGACCAGTCCGAAGCCACCAACTCCCGAGTCGTTCGCTGGACCCTGATCCAGCTCGCCGTGCTCTCCGCCACCTGTGCCTGGCAACTCTCGCATCTGCGGTCGTTCTTCATCAAGCAGAAGCTGACGTAGGCTGGGTGCTAATGGATAGAGAAGGGTAACAACGGGCTCGGGCGTGCATCTGTGACATGCGGGGACCTTCGCATTGACTTTTTTTTTCCCCGGCCTCTCAACTCGTATCATCTTGACTTGGCCGACAGTCTTTTGAACAAGACTCAGATGCCTAAATGAGGGAGAGAGCACGGGCCATGTACGAGATACTCAGACGAGGATCGGTCTGTGATGATTCCTTGGGGGCTGGGGACACTCGTGCCGTGGTATCCTGGGGTTTTTGTCTGTTGCATGTCTAGCGTTCTACGTCGGAGCCGCGGGTTGAGATTAGCTGATATGGATGTAATGACTTGTTTGTTTCGATGTAGCTTTTGTTGCAGGGGTCCTCGTATCTACGATTCATCATATACTCTAATTTTGCCCCCTTAGAAGGAAGAACAGCGGCTCTTCACACGAACCCGCTCGCTCACCAACCACGAAGATGTATTAAATATCCGAAACGGATGACCCAGGACAGCTATTGTGGATTGCTGAAACTGTACGAGTATATACATAGTCTGGACTAACGCCCCAATCAAGGACCAGGACCGAGAAATCGTTGAGCAAAGAGAATTCGCTCATCAGTGATATCAAGTGCAAAAAGGATTCCGTGTAAAGGTGATATGCAGGGGTATTGAGAACATCAAAAGGGGACTTAAAACATGAGAAACAAGAGCAAGAAATGGTTCATATGTCATAATGTGTTTCATTCCGTCGTCACTGGACTCTTAAGGCCACCGCGAAATTCGGTGATCAGTCGTTCCAGATCAGACAGTTTATAGGGTTTGGTCATGTAACCTTTGATTCCGGCTTTTGAGGCACGCGTGAGAGACTCATCGGTCACATCCGCGCTAACGGCAAGAACAGTAGGAGCCGGCAAGGGGGAGATTATAGATGCATCATCTGTTGAACCACAGCTGGAACTGCGAAGGGACTGGCTATGATGCTGCGCCATCAATTTAAGTATCTTCGATGTCGCCTCATATCCATCCATTTCTGGCATCCAAAGATCCATCAGAACAACATCGACCGGCTTCAATTTCTTACGTCGGCCCTGCTCATCAGGAACCAGATCATCCGGCTGACTGCCAAAATCCTGCGACGCCAGAATATCCTCCATGACCCGCACAGCTTCCCTGCCGTTGCACGCTTCATAGATATCGTTGTAACCGAGTCTTTTCAACATGTTCACCAGAACCCGCCGGTTGATCATGTTGTCTTCAGCAACTAGGAAGGTGAGAGGATGCTTTTGTCCAAGTTTCTTATCATACGTATCTCCATTGATTAGAGGTCGGATGAATCTCGCGTTGTTCACAGTACGACCGGTGTTGGATGCTTGAGATGACGATTCTTCGCTTAAATTCAGCGATGGCTGCTGGAGCGGCTGACTTGGCAAGTGTATGGAAGGCGAGAGCATGCATTGCTCACCGCTGGAGTTACTCGTTGTACTTGTGCTGCTCGACCTCGAGGGGTCCACACAGTAAGGCGGCGTTAGACTGCTGGCTGGGCAAGCCATTAGCCCACCACTAGACTCTGATTGTGTGACAGGAATCCTGATTTCGAATTCTGAACCACGACTGGGGCCCGAAGTGGACGAGCTGACACAGACCAAATCACCTCCCATCTTTCTGGCAAGGCCCTTGGCGACCAAAAGTCCTAAGCCAAGGCCGTCCTTGCTCCGGGTGATTGACGCATCTTCTCGAGCAAAGGGTGTAAAAAGCTTCGGCAAAAATGCTTCAGGGATGCCTGGTCCAGTGTCCCGGACAGTAATGAACACGTTGTTCGCCTCGCGACCGACTTTCGCACCGACAGTGATCATGCCAGTGTTTGTAAATTTGACTGCATTTAGAAAAACACAGGAGATCAGCTTTGCCAAATCCTTGTCGTCCACGAGCAAAGTTTCCGGCAGAGCCTGATCAACACTCCATACGATGGTTTTGAAGCAAATCTCGCCGTTCGAGGATCGCGACCGAACCTCGATCTTCTCGCCCAGCTCCGTGGCTTCGCTCAATGTGAAGTCGGGCCGGCCGCCGACATGGAGCGATTCGTTAATAACCAGCCGAAGTAAGTCTCGGAGCTTGGTAACTCTTAATGCAGAGCTTCTCTGGTTGAGGTTAATGCCCTCCAACAAAAGATTCGGCGCTGACCTTCTAACAGCTATTGATGGACGCGGGTCGACCATGTTGGCCATTACGGCTTCGATATGTTGAGCAGGATCTGCCTGAACAATCTTTTCGCTTTCATGAACGGCGTTCTTGACATCTTCACTGCGAGGCGACAACTCTTTATCCGAGGATAGCCGCGGAATCTTTGGTCGGGGAGTGGAGTCGCCACTCCTCTCTGCTGGGTTGCTTCGACGCCTTTTGTAAGGGTTCACTGTGATATTGCTACCCTCAATGAAGATGTCTGGCCGACTTTCCGTTGGAGACGGGACTGCCGCATTGAATGGGTTGGTTTCCAGCTCACGCTGGGGGGTTTTGGGGACCTGCATGTTTAGGTCGTAGGCATGAACGACGTTATCTGCCGCTTCCACTGCACGTCTTGCGCTGTCTGTAAGTCAAAATCAAAAGCATATGTTAGTGCCTCGCTTTCGTGAAGAACATCCTCTTGACTAACCTTGCACCATTTCGATGCTTTCTTTGAGAGACTGGAAGACGAATCCATTCCTCGGGGATGGCTTATCCTGAATGGCCTCACGCACAGTAGCGTGCATGACGTCCAGCATTCCCACCACGCCCTGCATCGGCGTTCGAAGTTCATGGGACAGGCTTCGAGCGTACGGTTTGAGCGGTTGGACGATAAAGTCGGTTGAGCCATTGGTGACGCTGCCAGATAACTCATCGACTGTCTTCTGGCTCACAGAGATGCTTCTCCTTTCTCGTTTAGGCGGATCATCCTTTCGTGTGCCATCCACTTCTTTCTGGATCTGCCGGACAACCAGATCCTCCAAAGAATACAGAATCATTTCCAAGAATGACCATGAAAGATTTCGCTTTTGTAGGCCAGTCTTGGACCACATTAGACCGAGATAAGCAATGCATTTGGTGTCCGAGAAGAGTGGAACAGCCAAGTATCCGTCGGCGGCGAAGGGGAGTTTGTCCTGGCTGAAGGAGACTAGAGATTCCAAATTTTCGGGAACCAGGCATGGTTTGTCGTGGTCCATATGCGACAGAGGATTCCCACCAGCAAAAAGCCAATCTCTATGCATACCGACTGTCTGATGGCCATCGTTATAGTAGAAGACGGTGCCAAACAAACAGGGCTTGTGGTCGACCCTCTCGTTGACAAGATCATGTTCTCCAACCTTGCGAGCCACGAAACCATACTGAGCATTGCAGATTGAGGTGACACTCTCCATGAGCCGGCTCCAGAAGAGATCTTGATCTACGATTCTGAGCTCCTGTTTCAACTTCACCAGGCGCTCAATGGCAATGTTCTGAACGTTCCCAGCGTATCTGTGGTGGCACGAGTGAAGGCCTGGCTCGCTTCCCGGGAAGGAAACAACCGCCGTATCGGCAGAGAGACATTGTGATTTGCAGGGGAGAAACGACATGGTGCGACATGCTAAGATGGAATTCCACCATTCTGACTCGACCGAATCGGACATGGTGTTCTGAGAAAAAGGCGGAAACTTCTTCTTTGCGATAGAAAGGTTGGTAAGGAGAACTTGGGCAACGGCGTTGGGTGGTATAACCTTCGGCCGTTCTCGAAGTTAAGGTATAGGAGGACGCCAGGAGACTGCGCACGATTCGCAAGAGATCAGAGATTCACGACACGGGGCTTTGACAACAGCACAAAGCATGGCTCTCTATCTGGGGACGCAAATCAGATCAGTTTTCGTCAACGGATCGTAGGTGTGAGCTGTGGTGAAGGGAAGACAAGAGGATATTAATTGGGCTTGACAGCCAGGTCGGTAAGGATCGCTCTCTGCCTATCTAGTTGGCGACATACATAGGTCTGTTGATCTCTCTGAATCGAAGGATGGAGTCCAAGGACCGGCGCTGCGCCGCGGGGTAGACGGGAAGATCGTGCAACGCCCAGTCCGAAAATATGTTGACTATTGGAGGTTCTCACAGCTACTTTCGGGGCAGTCTCGAAGACCTTTTGAGGCGGCCCTTCGCAAACTGCAGTCTGAGTTCCCTCAATCTGCTAAGAGTCTGTCTTGTCCTTGAGTTCGTTTTTTTTTTTTTTTTTTCTTTTTTTTTTGTCTCGTCTTCCAGAAGTCTCTTTGTTGTTCCGAGAAATAGTTGTGTTTTGTTTTACTGTCGCTAGCTGGTTCTCTCTATAAGAGAATTGTTGGTCTCCTCAAATAATTGGCTCTGTCGTCGAACCAAAGCGGGAGCGGATGACAACTGGAGAAGACGGAGGAGGGGAGAAGGATCGGAGAGGACAGGCTGAGATCAAGGTGAAGATGACATGGTGAGAGGAGATGGAAGGAATGTCTTAGCGGAGGGATAGAAGGATGTAAAACCAAAGGGAGGATATGGAGAGTAGATGAGGATGAGGATGAGGATGAGGATGAGCAAGAAGAAAAGAAGAAGAGAAAGACTGTCAGTGTATTATTATTATGATCATTATTTCCAACTGGACAACAAGCTTCCCTTTACTAATAGTAGTTCTCCGTAGATACGTAGATAGTACCTACGTAGTACTCAATAATAATAATCCATCAGTCTGCTCCGTACTAGGTACTCCAGTAGGATACATGGAATTAGTTACAGTCAACAACAGGGACAACTGCGACTGCAACAGTCAACACTCGACACTCGACAGTAAGGTAGTGAGCATAAGGTAGTAAGAATCAATAATACCGAACAATTACTTACATTTACAGATCCATCGACTGGTCTAGACAATATGGGAACGCTGTAACTTACGCTCGGGGTGTAGGCCTCATCATGGGAGATATGCTGATCGTCGATTCGAGATTCTCGCTGGGAGGAGTTCATTTGCAACGGAGCTATGTTAATTCACTAGACTTACTTGTCCTTACTGATGGAGTAACTATCTACTGTAGAAGGTATCTATATCATTGATCGATATCCAGATACCTATCTACATCCGTGATTATTTGGGTCAGGCACCATGGAACATACGGAGTACCTGGTGCATGGACCTAGGTATCTACCTAGGTGCCTCAGGTATCAAGTATCAACCCAAAACAACGAGAAGATCTGGAAGACTGTAGACAAGAATCAGAAGAAGAAGAATTCGCCTGGTTATTTTTCAAGGATACCTAGGGTTTATTATTAATCGGACACAGGCAGTTCCATGGTTCAAGGCATTTGGGTCTCTCGCTTTGCTTTCCTCCTCGAGCGGACTGTTTGACACCTCAGGCATCGACCTTCACCAGCATCAAGTACTTGTAGTACAGGGAGAGGGCAAGACAGTGATTCGCATCTCAATCTCAGAAATTCCATCATTCTATTCTCTGATATTGATGTGACCAGGATCTTTTGTAGCTTGGCTTCATGACCATTCTGCGTATACACTCCACGGACCGAGGTATATATCGGTTTCATATGGGATTGACACCATAGTAGGCCGGTAGTATGAGATGTATATACTCGCATAGCAACAACAATATAATTGCTTGACCAGAAAACACTCCATTCCACCTCAAAGAGAAAAAGCAGTCAACATGAGCACGGTCGGACCATTCAGCCTCTCCGTTCCTAATTTTTAACTAGATCTGTTGAGCCAGAAGCTTCAAACCGCCAGCTTCCCCGACGAGCTCGACTCCGCAGGCAGGGACTTGGGCGTGCCTCTGGACGAAATCAAGCGGCTGTCTACATATTGGCGCCATGGCTTCGACTGGCGTGCAAAGCAGAAGGAATTGAATGAGAAAGCTCCACCAGTTCATGGTCTCTGTGTCCATTCCAGGCTTCGGGGAGCTGGATATACATTGTCTGCACCATACGAGCCCCACGCCTGGTGCTATCCCACTACTCCTCCTGCATGGCTGTATGACTTGGAATACACCATGAGCAGTTAAATCTCTTTGACCAGTGCAATCTCTAGGGCCCGGAAGCTTCCTCGAAGCGATCAAGTTGATCCCACTTCTAACAAGGCTAGGGTACGCGCTACAGGATAGTTCCGTCGCCCTGCTGGCCTGGATTTACGATAAGCGTCACGAGTGGTCGGACGGCTATCCTTGGACGGACGACGAGATCCTCACCTGGGTGAGTATCTATCAGTTCTCCGCGGCGGGGCCCGCGGCTTCAGTTCACATCTACTACGAGGCTGCTCAGGCGCCTCCTGCCGGTTTCTCGGCGTCAATATCAGACAGGATCTCCACTGCTGATGCAATTGCGATGTCCATTCCGGGGAGTGTGAAGCTGGCTGTGGCTCATTTCAAGAGGGAATTGATCAAGTTGCCCCTCCTGTGGTGTCGAGCGATGGGCTCTATAGTGTTGTTGGCTGCCGATGTGGGGGGATTCATGGGCAAAGAGGATGAGGCATATGCTGTTGTGACCGGTAAGGATGGTTATTAGCGTAGTGATGCTCCATCTCAACCGAGGAGAACAGGATAGTCATGATCGTAATGCAGCTTTCCCGCTGAGCTTAGGAATAGCAGGACATTGGAAGGAAATCTAGTTCAGATTTATGCCAGGCGCCAGAAGCTGCTCTTAACCAGTACGTTTTCCCTCAGGTTGTGATGAACAGATGACATTAAACGATTTAGAAAAAAAAAGCCGAAACGCGATCCAAAAAAAAGATCTAATCTTGTCTTCCCTTGAGTAGCCGCTTCGTCACCTTATCCTTCTCTATGATGTATACTTGGGCACCCCAGCCGGAAAGGGCATCTCTGTCGACTGCACTGAGGAGTGCCTGAGAGATGGTCTCGAAGAGGTCTTCTGGAGACTAGAAGCGAGAAGAACACATCGCCATCAGCAGACATCCTATAAACACCTCGAAGGATAAAAACACGTACCAGATCTGGCTCCCACAAACCCTCGCAGGTACCGAAAAGCTGATCGCTGGCCGTCCCGCTGACAATGAAATCCTTGGCGAAGTCGATGCAGCCGATACTGTCAAATCCACAGATAAAAGGCTTGCCCGTCGTGCTGTTCACACCAGCGATGACGGGACTGACGAAGAAAGGTCCAAAGCGTCTTTCGTACAGCGACGAACTGACCAGGTTGGCCAGAGTCTGCGGCGCAATGTTTCGTTCCTCGCGGAGTCGGTACATGTTGACTTTGAAGCGGAAGAGATCTGAAACGGTGTTGACGTCGGTGGCCAGCCCGGTCAAGCCGAGAAAAGTAGAAGGACCGTAGTTGAAGATCTTGGGGAAGTTGTTCGAGACGGTCAGCGCCTGCATGCCCAGGCGAAGATCGCAGGCGATTGCAACACAATCCTTGCCCACCATGGCGACGCAAGCTCCGCCATCTATGATAACAAGGGATCAGTCAGTTGAATATACAACGAGGGAGGTAAACGTACTGATATCGAAGGGAGAGCCCTGCGGATTTGGGGTTTCAGTTAGTCCAACTCTTGCTTCAGGTCACGGAAGGGGAAGCTCAACTTACCATGTTGATTTAAGTGGTACGTCGGGAATCAGCAGCGGAGGATAGAATTGTAGAGATTTTAGACAAAGATAGAAGGGTGGAGGTATGGAGCAAGCTGGAAGATGGCAGAGATGCTGATGATGGAGAATGGTGATAAATGATGGGGAAGCTCTGCTGGGCCAACGCGTGAGAGCCGCCGAGAGCTTCGTTGGTGGATGACGCTGCGCCCGCTGCCTACAATGTGGTCTTCAGGTACTAACTACTAAACACTCCGAACACATCGAATACCTTCAGTTTCCCAACGATTCTTCATTCCTTTGGGTTCTATCTTATTCCTTGTCTATTTCTCATTTTCCCTTTTATCTTGAGACCCCAACCGACCTCCGACCCCGTCATTCATCTCTTTTATTTCCATCTCAATCATACCTGCCCCGCAATACCATCCCAGCAAGCGATCCATCGCCTCCAAACCATGAGCTCTCATGTCGTCGTCCTAGATTCGACGGCTCGGAGAGCTACGATCAAAACAACCCCCGGAAAATATTTGGCTGATATCCTGCAAGAGGCGTGCGCCAAGCTAGGTTTGGATGCAAGCCAGTACGGGTTGAAGTTAGTGCACCACTCGAGCTCAGTAATGGCTAAGCTAGCTGAAACTGATTCGTTATGAATAGATACAAGAGTAAACAGGTTGACCTTTCCCTATCATTCCGTCTTTCCGGCCTTGCCTCCGGCGCGAAGCTAGAACTGGTGCAACTCTCCCGGTCGCCATCAGTCGTGACGGTTGCTCTACAACTGCCCGAATCAGAAGCACGAGGAGTTCCCAACGGGCGACTTCTAGACAAATTTCCTAGCACAACAACACTATGGCTGGTTCTGCGCAAGTTTGAGGCGGGTGTCGCTGGAGGCGGTTCGCCCAGAAATTTCACCGCGCGAGGTATCCCCATCGCCACCGCTGGCAATGAGGGTTCGGGTCGGTTGTTCTACGAGACGCCTGTAGTTCAGATCATGGGACGAGAGCTATCGACATTCGACGAACTTCAGAAGTCATTAGTGCAACTTGGGTTCAATAGCGGTAACGTTCTGGTTCGACTCAGCTTTCGACGGACGGAGGAACCCCTGGAGGTGGCCATGGTCAAGATTCAGGATTACTTCAAATCGTTCGACGATGCGACTCCTAAGGATGCAACTTCCAAGACCCAGGAGTCTCCAGCAGCAGAAACTTCAGAAACAATAACTGATCCAAGCCAACCTCTACCACAAGCGCCATCCGCTGCACCGGCCGAACCTGTGAGACAGGTGCCTGAAGTACCGGAGCAAGCTCCCCAAACGGTCCCTGCAGCGGTCCCTGCAGCTGGCGTCCCTTCAACCGAACCATCTGCCACAATTCAACCTTCCTCGCGACCAGTCACAGTTTTTTCAGCTCCGTCCAGCACCACTCCACAAGCCGCGCAAATGACATATAACGAAGACGACTACGTTCCTTCGGTCGACCATGCACAGGCTCATCAGCGTCGTCTCAACGCCGCTTCGCGGCCCATACGTCTTCCAACAGACGCAGAGATCGCTGCCAAGGCAGCAGAAGAGGAACAGAGGCGAGCGGCGGTCAAAGAAGTAGACGTGAAGGTCCGCCTTCCAGATCAGAGCCAGGTCGTATCGAAGTTCGGACAGGAAGACACTGGTGCAACGCTTTATGGCTTCGTAAGAAGCTGTCTCGCAGAGCCTTTTGCCAGCGAGAAATTCGTCCTGACATCCTTCCCCGTTGCAGGAGCCCCCAAGTCAGGGGCGAAGAAGGTTCAAAATATCGTTCCAGATTCAAACCAGACCCGCCTGATCAAGGACTTCGGTATGATAGGCCGAGTCCTGGTTACCTTTACTTGGGACGCAAGCGCTTCCCCTGCTGTCCGGCAAAGTAGAACAAGTCCCTTAAAGCCGGAGCTTCGGAGCCAAGCCCAAGAGATCAAGGTTGAACAGCCGCCCGACGTGATGGATACATCGGAAGATCGAGTCGCGTCGAAAGTAGGAGGGCCTAGCCAGGGAGAGAAACCCGGAGGGCGAAAACCGGGCAGCATACCCAAATGGTTGAAACTCCCTGGTAAGAAATGAGGTGATTTATAAAGGCGCATAGCTTAATGCCGTCTGCGTACATGATATCAAACCGGCATGTCTAAAAATGAATCATGGCTACGATCTACTTTCTAGTGTTGAGCGCTGCCAAATCTTACGGATGATGTAACTCCATCGCCGCCCAGGTGCTGGTTAAGAAGGCGCAGAGGGTATGGAGTTCATGCTGCCGGGGTTGAGATGCCATGAGTCTTTTTAGTATTCAATCCGTCATGAACATGTCTCGTAAGCCCTGATGCAAAGTAGACAACGGGATAGGTCATCGAAGTGGTAGAATCAGATCAAACCGAGAGGGACTCACTCTGGAGATCCCCTGCAAATCAAAGGTTTCGAAACGAACTGAAAATAGCATTGAATTCAAAGATACCGATCCCGTCAAGACTAGGCCGAAAGACTCCCGTGTGCATTAGATTCAAGTGATCCATTTTTGGTATTTAGTCCATGCTTATCGAATCATGATTTTGTCCCCTTTCCGTTGGACGATTGTTTAAAGAAATTGCATGTTACGGACAATAGTTTCCCTGTATCCACGCGCCAACTCAGCAACCGAAACGATATCACTTAAATTTCGTTATCTCGTTCTCTGGGCGATAATAAACACATTTTCAGAGGATGAAAAGAAACGAATTTAGTGACCAGCCACACGTCTGGACTCGGCAATGACTCTCTGCATGTCCTCAACCTTTCTCTTGCCGCGGGTGAAGGTACCGAGCTGTGGGAAGATATCTGTTAGCATGATCGAGTATGATGCAACAAGACACAAAGTCTTTCAGGGTTGCTATCTAAGCTCGCTTCGTTGGTCAACCGTTGATGAGACTCGGCAAGGATTGGCGAAAATGAGATCGTTAAGCAGTCGATAGGAAGAAACATAAACAAGTGGTGATGGTCCTTGAGTTCGACGAAAGCGTAACCCGGATCGAGATCGTATTATCCGAGTTCCCAACGAAGCGAGCATATGAGGCAACACCTAAAAGACCAGCGTCCCAAAGTTCAAAACGTACCCTCTTCTTGGCGAGCTTGCGGGCTCTCTTGTCCTGAGTGTTTCTCAGGAGTTCGATGATGCGGCGCTCATAGGGGGCAAGACCGACGACCTCACGGGCGATGTCGCGGACAAAGGCAGTGCGGCGGGAAGACTGGCCCTTGGTGCGGCTGATCCGGGTCTTGGGGGTATCGAGAGCGGTGGTCTTCTGTAACATGCAAAAATCCACATGTCAGTTTCCATAACAACTCAAGCCATCGAAGAGAATTTGTATTGAAAGTCGAATGTTTCCAATGGGGTCTGTAGCCGAGTCGAACCCAATGTGGTCAATTGATGCGTTCCCTTTTCCATGTCTTGATCCTTCTCTTTCCTGACGTCGAAAATTTATTCATATTGCCTTTCCAAAGTCCGGCAATATGTCCCCTCCACGCCAATTATCAATCCCTCGCTTCAACACATTTGTATCAAGCTCGACTCGACTTAGACCGACCGGAAACATTCTTCTTTCCGTCCTGGAGAAAAACGGGAAGGGAGAATCAACGTACGTGGCCCTTGTTCAGACCGACCACGATTCCGGAACGTTCTTGCGCCATCACGACGGTTTCGACTGGAGGTTGGCGACGACGGTGGTTGCTGAAAAAGAAGTTGTCGAGTCGATGGTCGTCGGTGCGGATAGAATCGCGATGGAGTCTGCAAAGTTTTGGTTGGCCGCCCGCGTTGGTGCGTAGGCGAGTGCTTAGGGCTTAGGGCTAGGGTGGCAGACCTACCAGATCGCGCCTGCCGTATGGAGCATGCCAAGAACTTCAATCTTACCTGTTTAGGTAAGTAGCTTATACTTCCCTCTTCACTTCTAACTATCTATTCAGCAACACATCATCCGGAGCTGCTTCTACGATCTTCAGCGCTCTCTAACTTCGTCTCAGGATCTCTCAGATGCTTGCAAGTCTCATCAAACGCGCAATACTGGTTTGGTTGGTCACAATGCGGTATCATGTAAAACAACATCACCCTCGCTGTGAAGCAACATCCACCTCGACTGTCTTCAAAATCCTCATCCGGTAACTGGGATCATGTACAATACTCGGTGGCTCGATAACATCGCCGTCTGAGGTTCCTCCTCCAACATCACCTCGGCCCCCCTGAGCTTCTGCAGTCGTGTAACTCATCCCTGAGTAGATATGCCCTGCGTGGCCGTTAGGCCGTTGCTCAACGTCCTCCATCTCCCAGTTGCCGCTGTCACAGAGTTCACTGACACTTAGAGTCCCGCTTGATTTCTTCTGTTGCCGCAGTGTACGACTCAGCGGCCGATTGATGATCTCTATGGCCTTCTTTCCGGAGCGAGATGAGTAGTCTGTGCTGGTACTCGAGATTAGGGTCTTTGCTCGTCTGAAGAAATGCCTGAAAAAGGTTGGCAGCGCGGTTAGACAGCTGGCAATTATCCCCGACGTGACTTCCGCGGAACTAAAACCAGGCCATCAAAGAAAGAAAGCCATGTCAGCAATGGACCCCTTCAGTGCTATCGTTAAAAAGGGAACAGCCTACGTCCATAAGAACTCTGGAAACCAGTCGTAGGTCTTGTCCTTGACGGCTTTGTTCTGGACACTGACTACGAGGCGCATGACACTGCACATACAGGCGCTATGTGTGTTTCGATTCGTCAGATCGAGGATATCCCTATTGCTATCGAGCAGAAAGAGATGGAGTCTTACAAGACACCAGCGGCAAAAATCGCCGATGTGCCCCATTTCTTGGAACTTCTCATCTGCAAGTGCCATACGCTCACAATGGGTAGAATGAGTATCAAGAAGTCCGATACCACATTGATGGCGGAGGTCACGATGAAAGGGATGTTGATGTTGAGACAGCGGCCCTCGATTCTTTTATCCCAGATTCTGGACCTGGGAGAGCATTCAAAGACCTTGACAACAGTATCTGGAAGATAAAAGCCCAAATTGAGCCAAATAAGAGCATGTATGCAGAAGTAAGTCCTGCTCTTGAAGGCTGGTGCAAATACACGCAAGTACAGCAGGAGAATGGATAATTTGGTGATGAAGATGAGAGGTCCATAGACGATTTGTGAAGTGTTTGCCAACTGGTTTTGATGAGCAAACCCGGCATATCTTGCAATGTGCGAACGATCACTTACCTTGCTAAATTGTCGAAGATCCGACTCTTCCACTTCCCAGATATGGGCGCCACTGCCATACTTGTCGGTTTCGAAAGTGATGATAGCGTATGCTATTAATCCCAGCTAGGCGAATCTGTATGAGCAGCAATCGGAAGTAGAGAGGGAGCCATACCCATGCTATAAAGCAGCAGCCTAGAAGGCGGGCTCATTTCAGCGACTGGCCACTTCGTCATGAACAACGAGCACTACTAAAAATCTCACGTACAGTCTTCCCATCCCGGGGCTCTTGTGATCAGGAATTTTGCGTATATCCGCATCCAGACACAGATCGTACTGATGGTCAAGCATGTTGTTTGAGTCACGATGTTCCAGTAGCGGACTGAATCCCGGTATGCAAAGGTAGGAGTCTCGCCCGGAGGGCCTCGCATTACTTCCGAGGTCGCCATGGTCTGGATCGAATACCGCCGTGCAGCCATGGTAGCCTCGAGGATCGGAGCCAGATATATCTCGATACCACAGCCGAACGTATCAGCAACCTATCTTTCAAAGGTGTAACAAGGCTCAGGGGCATGTCGAAGCTGATGCGTCTGTAATCGGAGAATGGGAACAGCCAAGAAGCAAATACTTGAAGAAGCCGTTGATCCTGTGGCAGGAGGATTCTGTTGCAACACGATCGAACCCTAGTGGCCACCGACGTCGTATTTGCTCACCTTCTCCGGAGCCAGTGAACAGTGGACAGTCGAATAAACGACTGCGCGTTTAAAGTTACCCTCGACAAGTTCATTGAGCGAATGGTTTCGCACAGGATGGAAGGATGCATGATACGGTGAAATTCGTGGCACCTGGACAGGACAAACCAAGCCTTCTCTACCCGTTGAAGAACAATCCTAGACCAAGTCTTGATACCAGAAATCCAGCATGGACAAGCGTCAAGTACCCGAATTGAGCCGGCTGTGAAACCCCCCTCATTGCTGCATGCAAGGCAGTCATCGTATTCTTGACCAATGCCCTCTCAGGGCTAGTGGAGGAATGAGGGGGATCGGATTCGTGGCCCATGGAGCAGTGAGTGATCAGCGAGGAGAGTCACTACTATCCTACTGTGTTAGAGGTCATCCTAAAGTTGACATTCTCGTGAAATGCAGATCAGATACAGAGTACATACTATGTAGTTAATCAATGAAGCGGGGGAGTACACTCAACCGTCTGACTGGCTCCAATAAATGATTCTGTGCCTGCTATCCGTTTCTGTACCACAGTCCGTAACAGTCCGGTGTGTTTATTCACGGGTCAATTGTGCCATGAGAAGCATACGGACGCAGACCAGACATCGTTGTAGTATCCTCATGTCGACGGCATGTGGCCTTGTTCTATAAGTTGCCCAGACGTGGTATTGAATACGTCCTTTACCAGGGTAGTCTGATGGATAGATCTCGCAAAAGATCTCCAACATGTAGATACACAAACTTGGTCCAGTCGGTTGAAATATAGAATAGACCTCTTGCAAGACTCAAGTGATGATTTATCTTTGCGGTCGTTATCTATAGACATATGCGTGCTTCGTCAATGCTCTCATTGCTAGACTATTTGTTATTCATTCAATCACAGCTTCACCGCCATCAACCCATTGAAGGCCTCCTCCCAGCTCTCCATCAGCTCGCCGCAGCACAGCTCAAGAGCCGCTACATCCAGCGTCTTTTCCAGCTCCGCCCGAAACTGCCGGGCATCCTCAGCGCCGCTGCCGCTGCCTCCAAGGACAAGGTCAACTAGGGAGCTCAGCATGCCGGACTGGGACATGCGCAACTTCAACGCGCGGGCATTTACCCGCGCGTTCTCGAAAACTTCGCGTGTCAAGCTGGTCAACTTCTCCATGCGATCCTTGGGCAGCTTGGCTACCTTGGAACCCTTCTTGAGCGCAATTGTGGTGATCATTGACAGCGCCTTGAGCGATTCAAGGACAAGATAGATGTGGTGGAAATACGCCCATGAGGGAGCCGAGGGTGTCTCTGGTTGGAGGAACACTGCCGTCTTTGATGTGATGGGGGAGAGCTTGGCGTCGTCCAGGGCGAACTCGCGCAAGCTTGATTCGAGCCACTGTTCCACCTGTGATAGGCAATTCTCAATGTCTTCCGAGCTGACCGACTTGGATCCGCTCAGGAATCTGGCGACCTTGAGAAGCTGCAGGTGGATCTTCGCATTCTCGATCTCAGAAGCGGTCATTTCAGACTTTGCATCTGGGTCCAGAATATCATCCAGACTGGGCACGTCAACCTCCGAGGACACTGGCTTTTGAGCAGTGAGATCTTTGAGAAGACTGAAAAGCTGGTCTGTTACCCTAGCCGACTTCACCCATTGTTCCTATGCAGTATTAGCCGCCGTGACCTGCAAGGCACATCAGGAGACTCACCTTAGGCAGAGGTCCCAAGCGCACTCGCTCCTCAAAGGTAGGCTGACTCGGTGCTTCGCAGTTCATGAAGGCGTCGAACATGCGCTGGTCGACCAGTAGGGTGTTGTCCCTTGCTACGATTGACATGAGTGAGTGCTATCCCCACTATTGTATTTGATAATGAGTGACTTACCCAAATCGTCGTACCGACTGACGGGATCCCCCCCGACTAGCCGCTGAATTCGCCTTACGTCCAGCGCCCACATCCTTCGGCAAATACTGTTCTTGAGACGTCTCTGAAGGTCAATGGTTCCTTCAACATTCACATAACTGCCGTATTCCAATCCATTCGTCCTGTTCCTGTTTGTCGTGGCGTCCGCATTTCGGTAAAAGTTCAGAGCTTGTACAAATGCAGACTGCGGGTGGAAATCCTTGCGCTCTGCACTCACAAGTGGGGGTGCTGAGTGAGGATGGATGGTTGCCAGACGGGTAAAAAGGTTGTGCGCGACTGTTTCGTATTGCACTTGCTTGACGGAAAGCTTGCTAAATGTCTTAAGAGCGAGAGACCCCGCACCGAGACGAAGGTATATCCGAACGAGTAACAGAAGAGCATTGTAATTGTGAGGAGAGTCAAGCACGAGACGCTCGAGAATTGCCGCAGCGCGAATCAGACTGGTGTTCATGACTCTCTCCGGTGAACCAACCCAGTTCCCACTGAACCGGATCAGGCTCATAGCAGCAAGCAAGCAAAGATCGTCGCTTGGTTGACTCTCAATGGTAGAAGCACCTGCAGCACGCTCAGGACGCTTTGTACTGCGGAAGATCTGTAGACAACGTGAAACGAAGTCTTCAACCTTCTGCTGAGAAGCGTCAGCCTCGTTGGCTGATAAGAGAAAGCAATATTCGAGTTTGAGAGCATTGATCGCTGCAACATCTTCGAATGGGTCATTCACCTGCAATATAGTTAGCTGACAAGTCAAGCCAAAGCTGCGGGCATGGAAACATACTTTTCCTTCGCTTCCTTGGGCTCCGGATACGTACTGGACAAAGCTCGCTGTCGACTCTTTGTCTAGACCAAACAGACATTTCCGAAGGTCACCAAAGCAATACAGTTTATTCTTATTGTGATTAAAGTAATCCTGGCAGGCGTTGATCAGCTCTTCGCTCTTGAGGGTGCCTGACTGAACGCTCCACTGGAGCAAGTCAAGTCGGGCTAATTGGGCATTACGGGATTTGGGAACAGCTTTGATGAACTCGTCGATAAACTGCGTGATCTCTGCGGTAGTCCTAGGATTCTTGTCATGAGCCGTACTTGACCGTCACCACCTTCAGGATTTGACTTACTCGACATTGTTGATTCTTTGGACCGAGGTGACGAGTACACTCCAGACTGCCCAATCGTCGCGCTCCTGGAGAGTTTTCTCTTCGGCCTCACTGGTGGGAATTGCCAGCAAGCCCCTCGCATAGAAGAGACCCTCAGTCCACATCTCTGCCTTTTCCAAGCTAGAGAGTTTGGTCCCTACAAAGGGCCAGTCATTCTGTACAATCCTGGAGTTCAAGCCCAGGTTCTCACTGTCAAGAAGCTTTGCAACCTCCGCATGACGCTCTTGCGATTCACAGATCTTGATAAGCAGCAATAGCTCCTCGGCGGATTGAATGGCTCTAGGAGTGCTCAGCAACTCTTTCTATTGAAACGCGTATGAGAATCGTCATCAAGCCGCAAAGATACATCGAGTGAAAGCGCACATGGAAGGGAAGAGCGGAATGAGATAGTGAACGTACCGGATTAGTAGGAACACTGTCAGCGGCTTTGGAAGCCATTCGATAGGCTAGTGTCCCGAAAAGTTTCCGTTCTGGCTCCGAACTGTTTGCGTCGATGGCGACAAGATAGCTGAGGAAGATAGCCCAGAAATAGTATTTTCGCGTCTTGGGGAAGTTGCTTTGGAGACTCATTGCAGCCTGGGGCGAGTCAGCCACGCTCGGATCTCATTCTGAAGAACACGCTGTCCCAGCAAGTAGAAGACCGACCTTCTGCGCCGATTTCCAATCGTCTCCTTCGAACCCGTACGAGAACCATCTCAGTTGCAATTCAAGATCTTGCGGTTTCGCTTTGGCGGCTTTCTCCCATAGCCCCCTCATAGTAGCCTCCTGCCCACCAATCTTCTGTAGGGTCTCCTGCAGGATCTCAAGAGTGTCGAGGTCCGTCGTCGGTGGCTCCGCCTTGCACAGGTTCAGTGTTTCGGCAAGGCCGCGCTGGCGGTGGGCGTCGTCCGCGTGGCGGTAGAGGATATCTGCTTTCCATGCCTATTTAATCAGATAGGGATCAGCAACCATGTATTATGCAACTCAAGCACAACCCGATCATTTGATATGATTTCTCGCAAATTGCGCAAGCGCAGCAGGAAAGAGCCAGCGAGCATTAGCTACACCAGACAACATACCTTGAGGAATCTTGACTCTTCACCTTTCTTCATACGCTTCTCAATGAGCTGCAGAGCCTGTTTCAAATTCTGGCCATCAATGGCATCCTGGATCTGCTTGTTCCGCCGATAGAACACGGCGTCGTTGGTGGCCGACATGGCGCGAGTTTAACAAGATCAGATAGCTATACAGCAACGTCAAGTAATGTAAAAGAGACAAAATATAGAAGATGCGCCAGAGAGTGTTGTATGCTGCGCGGCCAAGCACAGCACACGGTGTGCGGGGAATGGATTCGAGGATGGCGGAAAGATGAGGGGAGAACAATTCATCGCGGCGGAAATTATTGCAGTATTTTTGTTTGGCGGGGAGACCCTCGGAAGGCGGTGGTGGCGATGATGGTTGTCAGTCAACTAACTACACACCAGTTTGATATGGAATTGTCAACATTAGAAGAGAAGCTCTTCGGCTTCTTTTATTCATCTAAGACTCTGCTTTATCCGACTCTCCGATGAATAAGTGGCTTGAAAATTTGTTCGACGTTCTGAAGTGATCCGCCTCAACTATCACTCCATCTAGGATCATGATATATGTCTGGCGGAAGACATCTACGATGGACGGAAGGCTTCTGAATAAAATCGCCTTGGAAAGCATCTTGCTTAGGGCGAGGGTACGAAAGGTTGGGTTTGGATAAGTACTGCCTGAGAGTGTCTACAAAAGGGATTCCACATGTACACATTGATGACTGTCGCACAAGCTTGGAAGGCGTCATATTCCACAGGGCGTACAATACAAAATAATATACAAAATCAGTTCAAAGAATGGTTTCGCAGCTCATGGCAGAACTCCGGGGAAACAAGTCCAAAAAGAGAAGAGTTGTTATCCTGTGGATCAGCAAGCAGGCGATTAAGTTTGTGCGCCTGCATGCCAAAATAGGTATACATTTGCATAGATCCACCGGTTGACAGCACGTTTGCTTATCAGTGAACGGATGGGACTTTCGATACATATCCAAGCTGGAGGAACCGGAGCTGCGCCTTATCCATAGTCGTCCATTGCTCACGTCTGTCAAAGCCGGAGCAGGAGGGGTCCAGAGTCACAGCATCAGATAAAAGTTAGCGGTGATATTTCCATCCTAATGCTACAGAGCTGTCGTCATAGATGGTGAGGGAGCAGCTCGTTAGGGATTTAGAAGACGCCACTAGGAGAACTTCTTCTGAGTCAACTAAGATATTGTTAGAACGCAGTTATACGAGTAATATTGCAGATGCCGTCTGGTCTCCCGACTGGATGGATTCGCTCCCAATGGCTGCAGATAGGAATGCGGGTTTTAGCATACCCATTGCTTTTTACAGTCTCGATAAGCTCTATGAGACAATTTAGCTTCGTAAGGCCGGAAACGGCACCTGCAGAGAATGCAGATATGAATAAAAAAGGAAGGAGAGCAGCATACTGGAAGTAATCACCGCACATCTCCTTGTCAAAGGCATTCCGTTTCATGCATTTGAGGCTTCGATCCGCGAAATCCTGGCACGGATCATAGTATTCACTCGCATTCTTACTAAGAATGGTCAGTTCTGTCAATACTCCTGTGGAAGTACTCTCAAGAAAATAAGGGGACTGTGCCCGCATTGATTGACGGACGGCAAATCCCCCAAGACACAAGGGACCAGTCTCAATCAAGACTTATGATGCACGATGAGAAAGGTGAACAAATAGACATAGATAGGACGAACACCAGATCAATTATCAACTTACTTGGCAAACTTCCGCTCTGCTTTCTCCCAGGCATTTGGTTGCTGTGACTGAGATGACTGCTGCTGCTGCTGCTGCTGTTGATCGGCCTGGGAGGATTGGGACGCCATTCTGATATCTCAACTTCGAAACTGAGGCTCTAGCTATCTTGTGAAAGTGTGAATTTGACTCTCAGTCAAAATATCCGATGGTTGAAGGATTGTCTATCATGTAGAAATTCGTATATTCTAGTCGTGGTTGTAGTTCTAGCTTCATAAATCCAGACTTCTAGATAGTCTCTACAAGACTACAACAGAAGAACGAGCTTCCCGCCGAGGAAAATCCGGCCCGGGCCCCACAGTCTTGGCATCCGGAGTCGAAATGATATGGAGTATCCTCTATCTAGATAGACTTATCAGAGTATCAAGATACTTCCAGTCTTCCACAAGTAGATGTACAGTTCAGGCCCATGAGATTACGACGACAGATTTTAAAGTCTGATCGAAATAGAAATGACTCTATACCTCTGGTGATCGATTCATAAGTAAGTCTGCTGATAAGAGAGCTCACCTTGAATACCCAGGGATCGAGATCAGATCCCGCGCTGTTAATTCCACGCCCATCTCAGTATTTTAACTCAAGATTCTGAGCCATTCCCGGCAGATGTCCGATCACCAATCACTTACCGCTGGGAACAAGCGGGAGAAGAATACCGATGTGACAATTGCTCGATGCATCTTTCAATCCCTCGCATGCTGAATATGGTCCTTCCTTCCGGACTACCTTCCGTTTGCTGTCATGATTCAAAACAGCTAGTTGCACATCATTCCATTGTCGCAAGTACCCACCACTTCGAGAATGTGGGCAAAGAAAGTGTGACATAATCGGGGGATTGCATCAAAAGGCTCGAGCTTCGTGATCATTAGGCCTTTGACAGACATAGTCAGTCCACCATCCAAACACCGATTTTGTTGCACACAGCTTTCCGACAATCATGAAGCCCTCATCATTGGTGGTGTATGCCCACTGTCTTGTCCGAACGACGCCACCCAGTCTTCCTTGATAGAACGTATCGTTGAGAATTCGCGCTGCTCATAGTACCTCGAAGATAGTTGTCGGTGTTACTCCGTACGGCTCGATGGGCGTGCAGATAGACAGAAGTGAAAATGATAAGAAACGGGCCTACTGCAGGTAATAGTCACGTCAGCTGCCCAAGCGTGTCCATTCGAGTCAATACAAGGGTATGGGAACCGTAGGAGGCATAAGCGGCCGCTTTGCCGAGCTGCAGTACAACGCGGGGTTGTCAGGTGTCCATAGATATTAGTAAATCTGAAGGTCTGAGCCATCTTCTGACAAGAGGCGAAAGGCACGTCTGAGACGGTTATCCCAAATTTAGTCAAAATTTCCATCCCTCTGGATGCAGAGATGCAAGGGCTTTCAAGCCGTCGGTTAATTTTAGGCAATGGATTTTCGAGCAGTGGTATTCTTTGATAATCGTATCATTTCAGTAATTTGCGTAGAAAACACCGACTCCCGGTCGAAAGAGGTTGCCATCTCTAACAGCTTCTGGCTTGAGTATTCTTGATTCAAAACTTGCAGTCTTGTAGGTTGTCCATCTGTAGTAGACGCTTCTGGTGGGAAGGACAGCTACCGCATGAGCTCTATTATCGGTAAATTACCATTTTCATATCTTGCGTGTGAATGTGCGGGTCTAGATCAGCAGAGACTATACCAAGTGGTGAATGGCTATCATGAGTGAGCGACAAATGATTGTGCCTGCCTCTCATATCGAATAGAACATTGAAGCCTTCTCCATAATCGCCATTGTAGTTGTGCTCGCCAATAGTCAATTACAGTGGATCGATATGGCTGGTTGTAGTACAGCAGATGTTGTCCAGAAGATCGAGCCATTTCAGGTAAAGCATCGCAAGTGGGATCTGGGTCTCACCAGCGTCAGTACTCCAAATTAATGGTGGCAATGGCTGGCAGTGAAGCACTAGTCATAACAGTCATTCACTGGCAATGGGTACCTGAAGATATAAAACCAGTCTGATGCCCCTCCCATAACTTCTTCTTTCTTTCAACATCGACAGGCTTTTTTTGATCAGCTTTATAGCCAACTCTTCAGCCGTACATAGTGTCTTCTTTCACCTTAAACCACACAGGAACACAAGTCTAAAAAATCAGAAACTGTCAGTGTTCGGAGGAACCTCACCTGCTGCCCCAATATACACGAGGTAGTTCATTGTTCACTGAACTCACTATCGTCCAGAATCATGGCGACCGCAGCAATCCTTACCTCTGCTCCTATCCCAGACCCGATGTCACATATGCATTTCACCAACAACATGGACGCCGGTGTAGAGAGCCAAGTGACTCAGCCTCAGAAGCCGATTGCCGCAGAGCCAGTCGAATTTAGCCCGGCCAAACATCTGGCGTATACCCAGCCTTCGAAAGTGCACACCATGGCAGAACTCGGCTACCCAGAGAGCCGCGGCGTCTCCCCCATCGGCGTCTCTGAGCCGTTCCCATTGTTCACTGCCGAAGCGATCCAGAACATGAGGAAGGAGGTCCTCAGCGAACAAGTCCTTGCCAAGTATTCGTACTCCAGCGACCTTGCACAATGCCAGCTGAGAGGCTACGCGGCCGCGTGAGTCTTCTATCCCCGTCCATGAGAGATTGTGTACTGACAATAATCCCTAGATGTGCACCTTTCGTGTATGACGCATGGACAAATCCTAAGACTCTGGCTATCATCTCTCAGGTGGCTGGCGTCGATCTTGTCCCCGTGATGGACTTTGAGATCGGCCATGTCAATCTTTCCGTCCAAAGTGAAGAAGAGAAGACAAAGGCACTCGCAGCAACAGTGGAGAAGCAAAGTTGGAAAGCGGAGAAGGATATGCCTGACTATCACTTGGAGGACAACGACCCTATTGTGGACTGGCACACGGACAGCTATCCTTTCGTATGTGTGACGATGCTTTCCGATTGCACCAATATGGTAGGTGGAGAGACGGCACTGAGGAAGGGTAATGGCGAAGTGGTCAAAGTCCGGGGTCCACAGATGGTAAGTTCACTCAGTTGCAATGTCCAGGACAGGACGCTTACAGAACCAGGGATCGGCCGTGATTCTTCAGGGACGGTACATTGAACACCAGGCTCTCCGGGCCATGGGAATGACTGAGAGAATCAGCATGGTGACCTCGTTCCGTCCACGGTCTCCAGCTTTTCCCGACCACACTGTCCTGACAACTGTCAGACCAATCTCAGACCTGGGAGAATTGTACCACCAGTTTGCCGAATACCGCTTCGAAATCCTCGAGGATCGCTTGAGGAACGCTAACAAATATATGCGAGATCAGAAGCGTGCAAGTCGCCCCTTCAATACGCGCTATCTGAAGCAGTTCATCCGCGAGCAGATCCAGTTTCTCGAGCATATGGACCGGGAGATTGTAGAGGATGAGAAGGTCATCAAAGGTGTGACTGATGACAGTCATCTCATCTCTCAAGATCTGAAGCTGAAGCGTCTCAAGAAGCGTGGGCTTGCTGCTGTGGAATAGGGCAAATCCAGAAACGTACTACATGCACATACTTTGCTTGCGATTCCGCTTTTTGCTTTCGGCGTTCGCTTCCCGCTTGTTGCATGAGGTCTTTCAGGGCAGTAGCTCAAGGGCTGGTCGCTTGCTGGGCACTTGTCGTATTGGTAGCATCGTTTTCTGCCTTTTGGCTTTGTGGTCCTGTTGTTGTTGCATTGCGGTATTTTGGGCGTCTTGCTGCTTGGGATATTTATCGACTGGAGCTTTTTTCTTTTAATGTTGATGGCCAGCGAATTGGTAGTTATGAAAGATCAATCCATAGTTCTATTAGTTTGCCCCGACTCACTCCGGCTTTGGCTTAACTGTTCAAGTATCAGATAGTAAGACAAACATGGAGTATTGATAATGAATGTATTTTTTGTCTCTCTCGCCGAAGGCAGCTAGCTGTTATTATCTTCCAGAAGACACTGCAAATTGAGCGAAGTTCTGCTTTGCCGTGTACGGGAGCGTCGTCTTGAAAGGAAGTAAGATAGAATGTTGCACTCAGGAGGAGCCATGGGCTTCACTTTATTCAGGTGCAATATAAACGAGACATCTCTCGAACGAAAGGCTCTTATACCTGCCGTAGGTGAAGAGGAAGGGGGGAAGAGGGGGATGTGTAAAGAGGAAAGTCCGCAGTTGATAAATGGAGAGAGAAAGGAGATGTCAGGTGGGACGGCGATCTTCGTAAGTGAATACCTATTCCATGGGAGCACGGAGACTCTGATTACTTCCACGAACTACAGATGTCACGTGGCAGACCAGCGGACTATATGTCTAATGCTCTAGAACTTGGACATTGCACGAGCCTGATATATCTAGCAAGGGCCATACAAATCACAGCTATCCGATGCTTTCGAGCGAACTTTCGACATGCATTTTCTTCGAATCCAGCTGTTCACCTAGTCCAACCAAGAATGTTGGTATATGCATCTTTCGTTGCGAGGGTAGCCGGTGGATCTTGTCCTTTCGAATATCCTACGCGTGGCTCCTTCTGACAGCGATTGCGAATAGAGATCATACTCATAATCATCGAGCCCAGCTGATGCCTCCTGGCCTGATAAGTTCAATGCCCTGACAGGTCGCCAACGATTTTCTGTTCTAAAAGTTCGAATTGAACTATTGTCTGTCAGAATTAATTCCCAACATTCAAACTTCAAACAATGAGCGGCACATTGAGTATGTTGTCGGACAGGAAGCTCTGTATCGCAAAGCTGTGTAGACCCAAATGGCTTCCAAGGCCAGATTGGAGGCTGATCATGGCCTTCGCAAGCTGTAATAAAAAGCAGCCAGCATTCATCATCGCGACGTATTATTTCACCGTGACTCTTCCCAACTTCTAAGGTTAAGAAAGTTTATGTTGTTTCAGTCCAGGCAGAAAGCTGGAAGATCCAGAGCTGTCATTCCTGCTTGTATGTCACGCAAGACAGAATCTGCCTGATCTGTGAGGATTGCTCCAGACCAGAGTATGCCGAGATGAGGTTGTCGACTTGCCAATAATGTGGCCATCAAACTCTTTCCTAGACGGATCAATTCAAGAACAGCAAAGGCAGGGTTCAACCAGGCACTGGCAAGATTACACTCGATATCTGCATTGAAGAATGTGCTGCACAGCAGAGAGCGCAAACCCACATACTGAAACTTAGAGTCATGTACTTGGAAAGAGTTCGCTGTGCTCTTCAAGAAGATCACTAGTAATACGCTCTCCCTTGAAACAAGAACCTGGTCTTGGAGACAGAAGAAAAGCCATCCTCTTTCTGAGAAGTGGAATGCAGAGTACTCCAGCAAAAGCAACTGAGCATTGAGTGTATATGCGATGGTGCAGACAGAAATGAGAGAGACATTTGAGAGCGGTCATTGAGCCTGGTGGATTTGGCTTGACACCCAAATAGTGATTTTTGTAGCGAGGGTAAACTCTGCATTTTTTAACGGAACCGACCATGGCGACAAATTAACACGGCCATTGTACGTAGTTGTCGCATCCCAGCTGTCACCATAACATAAAATGCTGCGCCACCAGAAGATTTCTTCCTCACAGACATCATTGCCAATATCGAATTTAATCACAGATTGCTTACCCGACTGTGGCAATGAGTAATCCACACCCTGTGTAGTATAGGCCATACGATATTCATGATTAGCAGAGCGAGTGAGCAACTCAACCCACTGAATAGATAGGATAAATGCCCCATGCAAGATAAAGAACCGACAGGTGGTTGCCCTTGTCATAGCCTGAGAGTCCCTGAACTCCAGGCCAGTCCGAAAAGATGGAGTCTTCTGACAAGCTCATATCTATTCAGCGATCAACTCCCAATAGAAGTTGCTTAGGCATGACCCTTGGCTCTAGATCACAATCCCCTTGAGAAGTTCACCAAGTTGATTGACAATTGACAACGAGACCGCGATTTATCTGTAAGCGAATGAGTTGGCCTCATACAAGCTAGTAAGGCCACCACCACCAAGGAAAGACGGGGTTTGACTGACAAGAGGTCTCAGGTCTATAGCATGCCAGGGCAGAAGGGGATTTTCGCTCTCGAGAAGGGAAGACAAGGCCTTGATCCTCTTCTTCAAGGCCTGGCTGATTCATCACTACTTGGGCGTGCAGCATCGGCCATGATCGTTCACCTGCAGTTTTGGAAAGCTGCGTGATTGTTTCGGGTTCATCTGATGACTTGAAAGGACGTGAATGGCAAATAAAGAAGCCGTTATCAAGACCAAAAAGGCAACAAGGGAAGATCAAGAAAGGAGATCAAGAGAGTGAAGCAGGTAGCTGGCCACCTTACTAGATCAGTAGAGCGCCTGACCCATAGCCAGTCAACCACACCCGACAACCTAGTTATACAGAATACAGAGGAACTGAAAAAGAAAAGTTGCCAGAACGAAAAACAATAGTACTCTTAGAGCACTTAGTTTCACATACGAACATTATTATTATCATTGACTGTGTATTCTACTAACGAGTAACAGTCAGCGCTGGTAACACAGTTCGGTAGACTCGTGGAGACCCATATCCCAAATGATGGATGTAGCTTTTAACAGCGTACTCCTATATCATCTAGGTGGCCTAGGGACTGAAGAAGGCCGGATACCCCTTAGAACGGAAGATTTCTAATCCTGTTGAAGAGATTGATCATTCCTACATTTCTCTTTCTGAAACTCTCGGTGATTCGGAGTTTATAGATCGAGCTGCAAGTGTCTATGCAAGTCGTACAGCACATCTAGTGTGTACCTTCGCATAGCACTCATGTACTAAGGATCAGTGGGCGGTAAAAATCGACACAGCTCGTACTTCATAGGAGTCGAGGTTGATCCTCCCTATTATCCCGACTTTGTCGTTTGACTACCAAGGTCAAATGTTAGTATTCTAACAAAGTCATTGTAGAATCAGCTGAAACAGAAACCAAACCCAAGCCAACATAAGCTGAATATGACCGACTAGACAGTCATTGCGCATTGGGATGTGAATATCGGCAAGCCTGACAAACAGTCTGTCATCTATTGACTCCATGCCTTGCCGGTGTGTTGCTCATGCTGTTGTGAGGCATCCAAATCGACTGAGAGAGATCATATCGAGTCAGGTGACTTGCTGCTGACTCTGCGGTGTTTGTTCAGTTTGCGCAGAGCTTCCGAAAAAGAAAGTCATGCTCACGTCGCCCTGTCCTCCGAGTAATGGACCATGGTTTATTGATCAACTTCTTTTCTCTCTTTCTTTCTTTCTCTTCCATTGCTACCAGTCTGTTCACGACTTTTATCAAGCGAGGGTATCGAGTCTTCGAGCCTTCTTCCTGCTCCAAGGTCGTGTCTTAAGACGCTTTGCTCTTGTTCGAGCGGTGTCCTATACTTCCGACAAAAAAAAGTGGCTCTCCGCGTTATGCTTTGAAATTCCTCCGTTGACCTCGAGATCCGATATTGCCACTATCGCAGTACTTGCATTCCGTTTTGAACTGATCTATTCGCGGTCGCGTATTATTGTGCCAGGAGGAATTTTGCCAGCTGATCCCGAAGCTCCCCTCATTGGCAGAATATCCACGATCAACCAGATGTCGAGGGATACTTCGGCAGGAGCCTTATCCACTAATCGCGCCGATAACGCGAACATGACCAGATCGCTGAATGGGTTGGGGGAGGGCGCATCGCAGGTAACTTGCCTTTTTCTCAGCATAGTTCCACGGATTTTGTTCAAGCTGGTACTGATGCACCCTTGTAAAGCTGTTTCGAACGTTACAGACCCATGTAGACGACATCAGAACCCTTCTACAATGTGGTGTCTGTATCAGGCCCCTCTACGAACCCTTCACACTTGCTTGCGGGCATACTTTCTGTTACAGTGTTGGTACCATCAATTGAGCCCTGCATTCACTTGGCAAGGTCTGACGATTAGAGCAGTGTTTGACATCATGGTTCGGGGGAGGAAGGTCAAACAAAACATGTCCTGACTGCCGAGCCCCTGTGAAAACGCAGCCTGCACCTGCCTACTTGGTATGCTATTCGGTGACCCTGCTCTGAAATATACTTGTAACCTAACATTAAAAATAATCAGATTCGTACGGTGGTTCAGATGTTCACAAGTCGAGCAGAACTCCTCGACAGAGGCGAGACGACCGCTGAGCATATACGGCACCAGCGTGAGGAGGCTGAGAAGATTGAGCGGGATAGAGAAAATACTCATCCTCGAGAAGGCGGCCTTTTTAAAGGCACATTCAACAGGACCGGCCATCAGGCGGCGATGCCAATCATTGACGTCGAAGATGGTGTCGTTCGCTGTCCACGCTGTTCTTGGGAGCTGGAGGATGATGCTGGCTGCGCACAATGCGGGTACCGGCAAGATGATCGATCAGATACCGATGCTTCCGATTCGATAGAGGACTGGACCGACTCTGAGGAAAATTCTGAGATGACGGATTACTACGATGATGTCGCTGCAGATACATTTCACTACGACCCTTACTGGGCCTTACAACCCATTTATGATAATTTACCTCTTGCTGTCCGTGAACAGATTGAAACCATTAGGCGCCAACATGGTCCTCGCAGCAATTCTGCAGATACAGCACGTCGCGGGTGGTCCGAAGATGGCCTGGACGAGGACGATGACGAAGATGCTGAAATGGATTCCTTCATTGACGATGATGATGATGATGATCATGTTCGACACGATTACTACTCGGAGTCAGATATGTCAACCGTCGTTGGTGGCCATGATCATACCAGGCACCAACCGGAAGTCTCGCATTTGGACACGGATTCTGTGATGTCGAGCGATGATGGTCACTCAACCGACCGTACCCCCAGCGAATCCAGCGTGTTGGATGAAGATGAGCATGATGAGGATGACGACGATGATGACGACGACGAGCCAGTACGGGTGTATGTCAATGGGGTTCGGCGTCGTCACGGCGTCACGTACAACCAGGTAGTGGTGCCGAGTACACCACCACGTCCAAGCAATCGTTCCCGTGTGAGCAATGCTACTTCGAATCGATCGCGTCCTTTGATTTCGCGTTCCGCCTATAATGGTGCATCAGCACGCCAAGATCGAGCATCGACCGCAGGATCATCAGCCAATAATGCAATTACTTTGGAAGATGACTCCGATGAGGGCCCTATCGGACCGTCGAGACGGTCAAGAAATAGAAGAGGCTACCGCCCCGAAGCTAACTGAGGCAAGCCGAGATTTTCCTTCCTACGGCCTTGTCGATGGATCAAGCTCATGATCATATGAAACTTCGAATGGCATGCTTGAGTCTACTCTGATCCCGAGGTTACCGATCAAACCATGCGGTAGGGCCAAGCAGACTGAGCGAATATCAGACAGAATGCATCCAACGATCTTCGTTTTATCCCGACTTTCCTCCGCCCCCAATCTGCTATCCATCCCGATAACTTCTACGTCCGCGCAATCGACGGGAGCGCGGCTCCTGTCTGTTTGAAGCCTGTCGAGAAAACACGGGGATTCTGGTTTCGGATTCAGAGTCTTATTTTTTTTTTTGCATCAACGGCGCGATTTTGGCATCTTGTTCTCAAACCTACACATTTGCAAATACCCCCTTCGGCTATCTGTTAACGGCGCTATATACTTCATCTTGGTAGCAATTATAGCGAGCAATCCAGAAGTAGCTTCTTACGTCTGATCTGTGGACAGGTAAGGTGTATGTGATTCTTATCTACTTCGGCTCCTATGCGTATTCCCGAACCGAAGATTTGAAGCAGCATATTGTATTTCCTAGTGACTGTTTGTAGACTGTTATTGGAGTTCTTTATAACGTAAACAGCTATGTTTGAATGTACATGAGCCCAACACGTCCTGTCCCGAACGCCAGACCCTCCCTAATTCAAGAACATACAGACGAAATCGGGATTGGCACAAAGACTTCCGATACCAAAGATTTCTTGTTGTTTTTGCGGAAATCGCAGAGACCCAGACTCTGCGGCCGATGGCTTCCAAATAAAGTACATGCCAAATATAAGAAGATAGTTACATGCAGACAGCTACACTTTATTGCTTCGAGTCGGAGATAAATGGGACCTCAAAGACAACCGCGCCATTGCGGCCATCAGGCGCAGAACCTTGATGGAAGTTGCTCGTGAAGCACTTCCAGCGACCGAAGCGGTGCTCCTTTCCTACAGCAGCGACGATGCAGAGACCGCGCGGCTCGGGCTCGGATGACTTGGACTTGGACTCGGAGGGGATTTGGCCCGGTTTTTTCGTCTCGGCGCGGCGCTCAAAGACGGCGATATCATTGATGACGCCCTTGACGAGGGGCTCAACTTCCTCGCTAGCGGCGTCCTTGCTCTGGTCCTTCTGGGGCTCGTCGACGGACATGCCATCTGCGTCGAACTCAAGGGTCTGCTTGAGCTGTCGGGATGGGGTGTCGGGAGCGGCAGACCCTAGCTTTCCTACGCCGATGGGCCCCAGGGGCAGAATCGTCTTCTTGTCCTCGGAGATCTTCCACGCGCGGATGAAGCCGTCCCAGCTACCGCTGAGGACGACGTCGGTGCCTGGGACTGTTGCCAAGGCTGTGATCCAGCGAGGCATCTGCCGCATGAATCGGGTGTTGGTGCCCGCTAGTTGTGGATCGACTTCGGATGAGAGCTCGTCCAGTGGTGGTAGAGGATCGAGACCGTGAGCGCATTGGATAGTATGAAGAGGCTTCTTCTTATGGATGGACCAGAGCGAGAGAGCGCCCGAATCGGAGCCGGTGACAAAATGAGAGGGTGGTAGAGGTGCCACGCAGTCGATGGTGTTATCTTGATAAGCGTGTTTCTGAGATCCGCCACGGAAGACCAGCTGTGATTCTTCAGCGACCTTCCACAGTCGAGCGGTGCGGTCCCGTGCGCCAACACTGATGCACTGATCAATGGTCATGGCGGCAACCGAGGACACATTGTCCTGATGACCGAAGAGCGTCTCGACGTAGGCGTGACCGGCGGAGCTCAAAGACCATGTCTTGATGGTTCTGTCATAAGATCCGGTGAACAATTGCTCCCCGGAGTTCATAGTAGAGATGTGTCGAACGAAAGCAAGCCCACTGACGGCGTCACGATGTTGGGTGAAAGTCTTCATCGGGGTCAAGGTGGCCGCATCCCAGATGATCAATTTCCGATCCTCTCCACCCGTAGCGACGAACTTGCCTGATGGCGATACTGCAACTGAGAGAACAGCCTTAGTGTGACCATGTTCCTCACCAGTCTCAGCGACCTTCCGTAAACCCCGGGCGAATTTGACTTGCTTTGGCTTCTTTCTTTGCGGCCGAGGAGGACGTCCATCTGTCGCCGCCGAAGGTGCTGCAGAGGATTGACTTGGTGTAGCGAGTTCCCATTTGATCAGAGTCTTGTCTTTGGACACTGTGTAAACGTAAGGGGGGTGAACCGCGATTGATGTTGTTGATTGGGTATCTGCACGGAAGAAAGTGGGTGTTGCAGTCGCAAAGGCCAAATCCGAGGCTATTTGACGATATGCGCGCCCTTTGAATTCATCCTTTCCAACGTCAGCTACCGAGGGACAGAGTGAGTGAAGTGGAAGAGGTAGCACATACCACATCCTCTTTTAATCTTTCGGCGATCAAATCTCGATCAATTTCTGCCGCATCAAAACCATAATCGTCCACCTCCTCCCGCACATTCTCCAGGTATCTCTCAGCGAGTTTTAACCGTCTCTCCGCTGCTGTCTCGCCCTGCTCGGACTCTGAGCCACTCTCCTCTTCCGACAGTTCCAACTCCACACTCTCGACATCTTCGTCAATGTCACTCCCAGAGATCGACTCATCCCTTTCCCTTGTCCTGCTCTTGCTCTTCGCACCAGAACCTCCATCCGCATCCACACCTCGCTTTTTTGATGCCGGAGCTGCGCCGCGATCGTCTCTCTTCCGCTTTCGTTGCGAAGCGGGCAATGTGAAGAAGGACGACATCGCACAGTAGTCCGAAAGATTTGCCACGGAAAAATTCGAGCTAGAGCCGACTCGGTTGTTGACAACAAAAGATTGAAAGAATTGAGATTTCCACCTCGTTGGTGCAGTCCCGCAAGTAACAATTTCTCGTCGCTCTTTTTTTCTGCCTGTGGTCCGTGCAGCGGGCGGCATCGGACTCCGGAAGATCAGTCACGCCTAAATGCTGACTCAGCGACCAGCTCCGCTCCAACTCAGAAGCTCCAGGCAGTGCAGCTCGCGCGGCCTTGGGGTGAGCTCATCAGCTTCCCCATCCCCATCATCCTCTATCCTTTTGTTCTCTTCCTTCTATCAGATTTTTTCTACTCTCTACAGGTACATTCAAAATGTAGGTCATTCTGCCAAATTTGACCGGCTTTTCGCCCTCTAACCGCTGTTTCTAGGGAGGTTCTATTGGGTATCACTGGCAAGGACTTCGTCATCTTGGCGGCTTCCAAAGCCGCTATGAGAGGACCAACGATCCTCAAAGCTGAGGATGATAAGACGCGACAGCTGAGTCAACATACCCTGATGGCATATTCTGGAGAGGCAGGAGACACAGGTTTGTAGAACCCACGATCATCAGCACATGACATCAGCAGGGCATGGCTAACACTCGATGGTAAACAGTGCAATTCGCCGAATACATCCAAGCCAACATTGCTCTATACACAATGCGGAACGACACCGAACTGCGTCCTAAGGCCGTTGCCAACTTTGTTCGAGGAGAATTGGCCCGGAGTCTGAGATCACGGAATCCTTACACAGTCAACCTTCTGCTGGGAGGGGTTGACACCATAACCCAAGAGCCTCACTTGTATTGGATTGACTACCTTTCTGCCCTCGCTCCAGTACCTTATGCCGCACATGGCTATGCCCAGTAAGTGGCGGATAATGGTATATTGCCGAACATGAGGTACCAAGCCGCTAACAATACGTGTCAGGTACTACTGCTTATCCATTCTCGACAAACACCACCACCCTGATATCTCTCTCGAGCAGGGCATGAAACTTTTACAGCTCTGCACGGACGAGCTCAAGCGTAGACTACCAATCGACTACAAGGGGGTGAGTTTTTTTTTATCTGAATTCCAACATCCAGATCCCCTCCTATAGCATTAGCGGCTGACTCATCACAAATAGGTACTTGTAAAGGTCGTCACGAAGGATGGTGTTGAGGAAGTACAGGTCGATAATGACAGAATAGTCAAGTGCGCTTAGACTCATACCTGGAATGGCGGCGTTGTATCATACCATTTTTGTCTTTTCGCTTAGTTACGGGATTTGATTTACAGCTCGGATGCATGGCAGGTATTATCCATGACTGGGGCAAGTATGTAGTCTCATGATCGAGACCAATGGGCACGACTTAAGACATTTTTTTCTCATATTCGTAGTATAAGGAGTGTCAAAGGGTGATAGAATGTGGTTCAATATTCGGTGACGCTGAATGTTTGGCACGTTTGCATCTCCCATCTCCGTCGCGTTTTCTGGAGCTTCGCCCGCCGATGGTTGCGGCAAACCAGCATCGTCCCCGTGAGATATTGAATTCCTTCCCTCTCAAGCTCGTCACAATGTCGAAGAGGCAAGCTGAGCTGTCGCTTGAGGATGAGCCCGCCGTGGGCTCTCCTGTTTCCAAGAAGGCTCGAGTTGAAGACGAGTTTGATGAGAACGATCCGCGCAACAGAGCACTACCATTGCGACGAGCCACTGGACAGGAGATGGAGGAGCATGAACGCAATGGCCAAAATATCCTCGCAGCAGCCGACCTTGAGGAGGAAGAGATGGAAGAGGCAATCCCAGAAAACGCCGACGTCGCTGAGTCGTCTGATGTCGATGACGATCGACCAGCCATCGCGGCCCCGAAACGCCAGAGTGAACCCATGGAAGGCTACAGTGATCTCTACCTTGACACGATCAATCGCCAGATCCTCGATTTCGACTTTGAGAAACAGTGCTCCATTACCCTTTCGAACATCAACGTCTACGCCTGCCTGGTATGCGGCAAATACTTCCAAGGCCGTGGTCCCAAGTCGCATGCTTATTTCCATGCCCTCGAAGTCGGACATCATGTGTTCATTAATATGTCGACAAAGAAGGTCTATGTGCTCCCGGAAGGATATGAAGTCAAGAACAAGAGCTTGGAAGATATCAAATATGTCGTGGATCCTCACTACACCAAGGAAGAGGTCTCGAAGCTGGACAAACAGGTGCAAGATGCTTTTGATCTTGCGGGCAATCGTTACAGACCTGGTGAGTATTTCCCTGGCTTGATCTTTCAATCTGCGTCTTGGGTCGTTCCAAGCGGCCACTGACTCTGGCTACAGGCTTCGTCGGGATGAACAATATCAAAGCCAACGATTATCTGAACGTCGTTGTCCAGCTCTTGGCTCATGTCTTCCCCGTCCGCAACTACTTCCTACTGCATGAGTTTCCTACACCTGGAACGCCACAATTAGCGCTCCGTTTCAGCACTCTGGTCCGCAAGTTATGGAACCCAAAAGCTTTCCGTTCGCACGTATCGCCGCATGAGCTGCTGCAGGAGATTGCCCTCCGATCATCGAAACGGTTCACCCTCACCCAGCAGTCTGATCCGGTGGAATTCCTCTCATGGTTCTTGAACAATTTGCATCTTTCCCTTGGAGGTTCGAAAAAGCCAACCGCGACGCCAACGAGTGTAATCCATGCTGCCTTCCAAGGCCACCTCAGAATCGAGAGCCAAGCCATCACCGCGCACTCCGACACTCAAAACGCTCGCTTGGTATTTACCGAGTCTGGCACCATCAACAGCCAAAAAACACCATTTCTCATCTTGACCCTCGACCTCCCACCAACTCCCCTTTTCCAATCCGCGAACCGAGAATCTATCATCCCCCAAGTTCCTCTGACAACTCTTCTTAATAAATATAATGGCATCACCGCCTCAGAGAAATTGGCTCACCGTGTCCGGCACCGACTTCTACATCCTCTCCCGCCATACCTATTATTCCATATCAAACGCTTCAGCAAGAACAGATTTGTCTCTGAACGTAACCCAACCATTGTCACTTTCCCGTCCCCACGCTCCCTCGATATGTCGCCGTATGTGGAGCCCAACCCAGATATCTGGCCACCGGGAGAACCGATTCTCTACGATCTCGTCGCCAACATCATCCTGGATCCAACTGTGGCCGCTCCTGGGGCGACAGAAGACGCTGCAGAGAAAGGGGTCAACGCTGCTGGCGGGTCGTCATCGGCGGGTGCCGGTGCCGGCAGTGAAAGGGTTGCATGGCTTGTTCAGCTGCACGACAAAGCCATGGCAGCAGAGAACGTGCGACATCAAAGCCAAGGGGCTGGCGAACATCAGGGTCCAGAATGGTTGGAGATCCAGGATCTCTTCGTTAACAAGGCCGAGAGCGAGACGCTGTTCACGCGCGAGGGATATCTGATGGTCTGGGAGAGGCGGAAGACCCCTGGCATGGCCAACCGAAAAGGCAAGAACGCTGGGAAGTGAGATAGAACATAGAGTGAGCTTCAGCTTTGCCAAACGATGTATCATCAATCCGCTGGGAGACTTGGCGGTCGTATATCAATGTAGGATTGACCAATGCAGGTCTAGCTTGGACAGCAATTTGTATAATTTAAAAATGATGGTATGATCATGACTATGGTATCTCCATATTTTTACATCGCTTATACGTCTACTTAGTTGCAAAGATGTCAGTAGGCAGAGAGATCAAATCCGCCATTGATATATTGATGTTGAACAAAAGGCATCGGTACAATGTAAATATGCCTTTGGCTAAGGTATGTACACAAATTGCAGAAGGGAAACGATAAAATGGCCAGAAATAGCATTTTTTTATAAACTTCCCCAGCCACAGAATCGCTTTCCGATTTTGATCGCAGCACCTGATATCACTCCCCACACACTTGCATTCACTGCAGCTTGTAAGCCAAGCATGAGGGTCACTTTGCCCATGTAGACGACAATGTCGGAAACAGATCCGCCCCCGCCCCAGGCTCCGAGAGGACGGACATCAGGGAGCAGAGCTGGAGATCCGATGGATGATAGGTACGATGAGGCGAGAGAGCGCAAGTACAGTGATTCCAGGGGTATGAAGAGAGCCGTGGTGACAACGGAGGCGATGTGCGAAGCGAGAGAATCCACGGGATGGCAGGAGAGGATTGTGACGCGGTGGGGGCTTGAGGTAGCCTTGACTGCCGACTCTCTGGGCGGATGGGAGTCTAATAATGGCGGCACTCCCGGGTCGTCGTCATCATCGCCGTCGTGAACAAACATTGCTTCAGCTTCAGAAGCTGGTTCCAGATTCTCATCTTGACTCGGCTCTTCTACGCTGTCTGGTAGAATGTTGGCGAGACTCGAGGCTGGCTGTGCGACATGAGCACCATGAAGTTGGTCCCCTGTGGGCGGGTGTTGATCGTGTCCCTGATGCTGAGATGCAGGGCTCAACACATTATCTTCCGCTACAGGAGACACTACAGTAGTCATATTAGATAGACCATCGCTGTCCATTGCTTCCGAACTAGTAGAAACAATGTCGTGGCCTTGGCTAGACAAAAGGCTGTCCAGAAACTCTGCAACAGTCCTGCGATCGGCCGACTCTCCGTCGGGATTTTGTCGATCAATTTCACCCCCGTTTCTTGGACTGGATGAGTTATTGTCCCGAGTGTTGCGGTTCCCTAGAACTTCCAACTGCATAGTAATCACGTCGGAATTTTGGTGGATTAACGACGCTCGCACTCGGGGAGATGTAGGAGGAGATGTCCCGGGAGATGTTTGGTGAGAGAGAAGAGTGTTGGATCTTGAATTCAACCGAGTATTCTCATCATCCTGACGTTGTGATGGACTGGAATTAGCAGGTATGTTCCCTGTCCTTCCTAGGGCGGCCGCTTCTGAAAAGAAATCTGTACTCATCTCAACCGGTGACTGAGAGATCGGGGCATCCTCGCTATTGAGAACGCGGTCTCCATCGTAATCTGCACTACGAGAGCGCGCTGGAGTCAAGGCATTTGTGCCAAACAATTCGGATTGTGCAGCTTCGCTGTGTTCGTGGAGAGCATGTTCCAGGGGAGTTATCGTAGGCTGCGATGATTCCTGCAATGACCGCGTCCGTATCTGTGTAGCACCAAGTTCGTTCTGGAGGTCTTCGATATTTTGGCGTAGGTTTTCTATCCGTTCGTCTCTGCGAGGTGCACTCGGCTTTTCTCCAACTGCTCGTCGCGGCTTGAGGCCAACCCAAGACAACACCAGATCTCGGAGGAAAGATATTTCGCACAGTACATCTTCCGTAAAGGAGAGATTACTGCGACGATTTTCTTCCTCTGATCTGCGCCCGAGGGTTGGTACCATCCAATCGATCAGATCATTCTCGTAGGCAACTCTGATAGAAAGTTCGTCTGCAAGACTTGGTTTTGGCAGCCTTCGACGTATCAAGCGATAGATCCTTATCTCTATAACCGGCCGCAGATAGACATAAAGATAGACAAGTAGGGATGGGCTTTTTAGAAGCCCCAAGGCAAAGGTGCCTACTTCCCGAAAGGAGCCTTCTGTAAGCAAGTTCGGGAAGTGCATTGAGGTCAGTTTGCCTAAAGGTAGCAGAAATTGTATACCTGGCAGGGAATATGGATGAACCAATTGTAAGGATTGTAGAAGTGAGTACACATATGCCTGGACTGCTAAGACAAGCAAAGTTCCTCTCGCCCTGCAAAGAGAATTAACTGACTGGTTTCATCATTGGTCTTGAACACCTACGCTGAATGGAAAATGGATAAAGTGGCCCGCACCATGCGTGACCACGGATCATCATTCAGGAATCGATTCTGCAAAGAGGCAATGAGACGCTCGAGGGGTTGGTGCCGACAAATAGATAGGCAAGTAGACACCGCCCATGCAGGAATCCCCGAGAAATAGAAGCCTAATATCCCCATGGATGAGCGTTCATGGCTTATGATACTCAGTAGAGGGGCATGGGTGTAGCTTTTGAATGTCTAAATAGGAATATATCAGTCTCAAATACAGAGTGACATGAAGACACCATTGTACACACTTGAATCCGCCCAGACAATGATGAGGTCCACCATGACCCGAGAAAAACAGCGACTTGATCAAAGGTTGCCATTATCAGTCCATAGTCATTCTCCGCCGCAATCATATCGACCTTCTGCTGCTCATTTGGAAGGCTTGCATTGCGATCCTCACTAACGACGATACCCATTGTCGACAGGATATCATTCTTGGCTCTTCGAAGTTCCCTCCCAAAGATTTTCGACTCAGGATTGATTGGATGCCCTCTCTCATCATAATGCTGAACATATTCATCTGCATGAAGAGCTGAAGTCCTTCGATGAATCTGACCAGATGGGTCGGCGGTAAGACCTGCAGGACGCTCAGGGGCCTCATATGGTGACCGACCCTGAAAGGAAGTTAGTCATCGTTCAGTAACTTGTCAAGCGCAGATATCATTGATCGAAGTTGGCGGAAGTAATGGCCGGATCCAGCACAAATTAAGAGCAGCAAAGAACGATCTCTTTACCGAAGCAAACAGAACAGCGTTTCAGCAAGATAGGGAGGGAGTCCCTTATAACGGATCCATCAAGTAAACTATGCAGAGACGAAAATGAACTTCAAGCCTACCAGAGCGAGTCGATTTCTATAAGCTTGCCTCCCCATTGCGCACTACTGAGATATGTAAGATGATGCCAGCCGACAGTCTATGTGTCCATTTTTTCAGACTGTCATGGATATAAAAGTGGCTAATACACTGTATCTCTTCTGACAAAATGAGACTTTTCGATGAAACTGAGATGACTCCATTCTAGTGAGTGCTCATGATGAAGGGCAACAGAGACTATGAGACTACGAGGCCAACGCCTTATCACGTGCGCGGTTGGCGCGCCTGTAGCGTCACGAGCACGAACCAACCTTTATCGTTTTTCCACATTGACAAACAGAACAAACATCGTCAAAAAAGATCAAAAGTTTCTGGTATCAGTGCAGTTGCGACAACGCTTCAGCCGGTGCGAACTGTTCGTGATCTTTATTTTCCCGGACATAATTTATATCATATGATGGCGCACTAGTTTCTCTGCAATCCAAGTTCCCAACATAACCAAAGCTATGTCTAAAGCTGTGGTCAAGACGACTTTTGAGGCGTCTCGCACGCTTCGTCCCATCTACACCGGAGGCAGTACCGCTCTGGATGCCAGCGGTCGATTGCTGGTGACCTGTGTGGGCGAAGATGCGCTGATTGTGGATCTTGAGACTGGCGACCAGCTTGCCAGTCTCGAAGGAGTAAGTAGTCGCTTTCTTCTGATATGCAAATCTAGTCGCAAGTTGCTGACCGCGTCATAATAGGATGGAGAAATTATTACTAGCCTGGCGAGTATGTAGTTTCTCTCTCTGCATCACCTACGCAATTTTGAGTACCGAGGCTGACAGTATAATCAGTCTCTCCGTCGGCATCCCATGTCATAATTTGCTCGCGGTCTATGGCAATGCGTATCTATTCCTTATCACCTTACGAAGAGACCTCGAGAACCATCGAAACCACTCTCCTCCGAACTTTGAAGCCTCATACCGCACCTGTTGTGACAATAGCCGTTGACCCTACTAGTACACTACTAGCAACCGGAGCTGCAGATGGATCCATCAAGGTTTGGGACATTAGAGGCGGCTACATTACCCATACTTTCCATGGTCACGGGGGTGTCATATCAGCGCTCTGCTTCTTCCAGGTTCCGCTCCAAGATGGAGATGGAAAATCCTTGAAGAAGAAGCAGTCGAAGAAAAATCTCGTGGATATGGATGGTGACGAGGACATGGCCGAACCCTCTACCGTGACTGGCTCCGTAGAGGGCTTCCGACTTGCATCAGGCGATGAGGAGGGCAAAGTGCGGGTCTGGGATTTGAACAAGAGAAAGCCGATTGCATCCCTTGATGCTCATGTCTCGGTCGTGCGCGGTCTGTCATACTCTCCAACTGAAAATGCATTGCTGTCTGCGGCCCGCGACAAGACTGTCATTGTCTGGGACGTAAAGACACTTAAAACGCGGAGAATCATCCCCGTACTCGAGAGTGTCGAAGCCGCCGCATTTGTTGCAGATAGCGGACTATGCATGGTGGCCGGTGAAAATGGCAAGCTGCGCGTATGGGATTGCAATCGCGGAGGAGAGGTGACCAGCGAGCAAGAGCCAGGCCCTGATTTCGAGGCAGTGGTGGCGATTCACTACTTTCCTGGCATGGCCTTTACTTTGACTGTTCATGCGGATCAGACCCTGAAGCTTCATTCTCTCGAGTCCCTCTCCGACTTCACGCCGGGCTCTACGCTGGATCCTTTAGCTGTCGTCAGGCGAATCTCCGGAAATGATGACGATATCATCGATCTAGCATACGTCGGCCCTGATCGGTCAATGCTTGCGCTTGCGACGAATACAGAAAGTATCCGCATAGTATCAGTCAGCCCATCGAAAGATCGTCCGTCGAGTCTGGAAGGCGAGTATTTCGGCGCGGATGTCGCACATCTTGAAGGTCACGACGACATCATCATCTGCATCGATGTGGACTGGTCCGGCCATTGGCTCGCGACGGGTGCCAAAGACAATTCGGCTCGTCTCTGGCGTCTTGATCCCAAGACATCATCTTACACATGCTTTGCTGCTTTCACAGGTCACGCAGAGTCGCTGGGGGCTATCAGTCTTCCTCGAGTGCCACCACCGGCCAATACACCTGCACGCAATGATCCTTTGGACCATCCCCCCTCCTTCCTGCTTACTGGTTCTCAGGATCGAACCATCAAGCGATGGGACACAGGGAAGTTGGCTGCCCTGACTTCCTCGAAGCCACATGCGCCTAAGGCTCTCTACACCCGGAAAGCCCACGAGAAAGACATCAATGCTCTTGATATCAACCCTTCATCTACCCTGTTCGCTTCGGCTTCTCAGGACCGTACTGTGAAGATCTGGTCGACAGAAGATGGCTCTGTTGTTGGCGTCCTTCGCGGGCACAAGAGAGGAGTTTGGTCTGTTCGATTTGCGCCTCACGATACCCCTGTCATCAATTCCGATACCGGGAGCAGTACCAACAGAGGCTTGATTGCCACAGGCTCTGGAGACAAGACTGTGAAACTGTGGAGCTTGTCGGATTATAGCTGTCTTCTCACATTCGAAGGACACACAAACAGTGTTCTCAAAGTCATTTGGCTGCCACCTTCAGAAGTTTCGACTAAGGACGTGGCTGAGGAGGACGAAGATGCAGAAGCTTCCCCCCGGAATCCTGCTATTCAGCCAAAGCCTCTTCTCGCATCTGCAGCTGCCGACGGGTTGGTCAAGATTTGGTCGCCATACACCGGCGAGATCGAGACTACCCTTGACAACCATACCGATAGGGTGTGGGCCCTGGCAAGCCCTACACCTTCCGGCTCTCGCGCAGACGCCCAGTCCCCATCCAGTCGAGATCTCTCTGCTCCCTACGCACTTGCCTCTGGTTCCGCTGATTCCACTGTCACATTCTGGACTGATACGACGTCCGCGACGTACACCGCTGCAGTGAGCGCCAACTCTGCGCGCATCGAGCAGGATCAACAGTTGCACAACTACATCAGAGCAGGAGCATACCGCGAAGCCATCACGTTAGCACTCCAGCTCAACCACCCTGGAAGGCTCCTTTCCATATTCTCAACCGCAATTGACGCTGCCGATAATCCGTACTCGACAGACGCCGATCATAACGATAGCGCCAACAGTCTAACTGGCGACCCGTCGGTGGATGAGGTTCTCCAATCTCTCGATCCCTCCAATCTTCGTCTCCTCCTACTTCGACTTCGCGACTGGAATACCAATGCACGCACCTCGCGTGTAGCGCAGCGCATCTTGTTTGCTCTTTTCAGGTCATATCCCGCATCTACCTTTGTCGAGTTGGCCAAATCCAGCATGGCGAAGCGGGGCGGCGATGCTCGCACCGCAGCCGGCATGAAAGATATCCTGCAGGCTCTGGCGGCATATACAGAGCGTCATTATCGACGGGTTGAGGAACTGACGGACGAGAGCTATCTCGTTGAGTGGGTCTTGAGCGAAATGGACGGCGGCATTAGTCTATTCGGGTCCATCGGCTCTCATGAGACCGACGGTGGACTCGATGAGGAGGTACTCAAACATGAAAAGGACTTTGTCATGCTGGGTGTATGATTGTTTCTCCTGGGGGCGAATTCATGTATAAAGTATATAGAGATCTACGTATTGGCGCTTTCACTGGCGGAGTATGCTTGTATGTCTCATCCTGGTTCATTTCCTTAGATCACGGGCGAAGGGGTCCAAAAGCAATTCAATGTGCATTCTTCTTTCCAATTTCTTTCATTGATGATATAGACGTAAAGAAATCGAGTTGTGGTACTCTCAGCTGACTGCCAATGATCCGTTCCGATCAATTGTCCATGCCGAGTCACACTGTGGGTATGATACAGAGCATCTTCCAAGGTTGAATGTACACTGCACTGCACTCTTCTCTGGTATGTGCGTCTATACTACTCAATCTAGCGTCTTGGTGAAATATATAGCTCATCGGTCATCACGCCTCCGTCTCCTATGAGAATCGCGATCGCTTTCTCGATCGCGATCACGTCCATGCCTGCTAGACGTGTGGGAGGACGAATGCCTTGAGTTATATCGGTCATCATCTCGGTGTTTACTGCTCCTATCACGGCTTCGATCCCTGTCTCGTTCTTTTTCCCAGTCGCGATCGCGCCTGTCCCTATCTCTATCCCTTTCCCGGTAGTAGAGATCATCTCGCGCGCTGCCATCTTCATCCTCGTACTTCCGTCGCCTGGAATGCCGATCGCTTGTCGACGAACTCCTTTCTCTCCGCGACGCTCCTGTTCTCCGTCGGCCATATCGATCGCTGCTATCAACATCATCGTAGTCTCGTCGCCGATGCTCTCTGTCTCGATCTTTGTCCCGTCCGCTTTTCTCAAGATTGCGATCTCGGCGTTCACGCCAGTCGTCATCATCCTTTTTCGTTCTGGCTTCTTTCTTCAAGGCTGCGAGCTCTTCCTCCGTGATGTATTCACCGGTCTGCTTGTTGCGCATGAGAACGGGCATGTAAACACCCTCCGTATTGCCTTCACCCCCTTGGTTCTCCCCTGCCTTTCTAGCACCCTTGCGCATCGCCGCCTTCCCCCAAGCACCAAGCTCGGCCTCCGCACCTTTGCCGCCGGATGCATCCTTCGCTCCAATACCCAGAAAGCCCGGTCGGCGCTCAGGAATCCGCGCCTTCTGAGATCGGTCATCTGTAGCGGATGTGCCGTACTTTCCTCTGCCGATAGACTGGCCCTCCTTCCAACCCATTCCCCGCAAGAGTGCAGCTCCAAATTCTTCCACCGGGATGGCATTGTATTGATCCAGACTCGCAGACTCGGGTCGCGAAGCCACATCCGCACGGAATGAGCCCGTCTCGTCATATCGCCCCCCAGACTCCGTACCCGCCTGCCCCGGGGCACTCTCGATGACCAAGTCCGACCGCCGTTCCGTGTCCCCATTACTCTCACGGATCAGCGCCTGTAGCGCAATCTCGTCCTGCGTCATGGGCTTGCGCTCGTCTGTAACAGGAGGTACAAGCGGCCCGGCGTCTTTCATCGTTTGATCCTCGCCTGCTTTCCCCTCCTCAACCACTGCTGCCGGCTTCGCAAAGCTAAGTCCGTAGGACATGTTCGGACGGTCCGTCTCATGGTTCTCGCCCACCGTTTGCCCCCGCTTCTCAGCCTCCTGCATCGCCTGCACCTCCTTGGGAAGTAAGTTTTTCCCCCGCGGCCTTGTGTTCGTCCCCGGCCGGTCACGCCAGTTGTTTTTGCTCGTCACGGGGATGACGAGCTCGCGCTTCATATTGTCCACAGCTCTGCCGTCAGCAGCTAGAGCGGTTCCGGTGAGGGTGTCGAAGCCCGATACGGTTTCAAAGGCCGGTGGGCGTTCTTCCTCGTCGGACTCATCGTCGTGAAGATGGTGTGGGCGTCGCGCAAGTGAGCGGCTCGGCGGAGGGGGTCCTCGCGAGGGCTGCAAATTGAATGCAGTCTTCTTCGACTGTCCATTTGGTGTAGAGGAGCCTGAGAGCGATAGAGAGAACGGCTTAGAAGACGGTTTGCCGTCGTCAAGTGACTGCGATGGAGACATTTTGACGGCCTTTTTTTTTTAGGCCGCACAGGTGGGTATTTTTAAATATCAAAATGCATGTATGTAGGCCACCAATATACAAGAGTCCTGGGGGATTGTGGCGATTGTGTCATGACTTTCGATGATTGTTGCAGGCTTGCGAATGCAGATCGATATGTACTATTAACGAGGCGGTGCGGGTGGCGAAGCTCATTTTACACGCGCGCTTAAGTTAGTCTCAATAGAACTATTCCTATTCCTATTCCTATTTCCTTACTATGGAGCAGATGTCTGTCAGGAGAAACTTGGGATAACCATTCACATCATTCTAATCATACAACTATCATCATTGCATCTTAGATTCATCAATTCCAAGTAGGACTATAGAATAGGTCCCCAGGACTTCCAGTCCGTCTTATCAATACATGTAGTACAAACACTAAAAAACAGCAAGACATGAAACGCCCGGAGAAGGATACGCTGAACGCCAATCCATCCCAGTATGTCAGGTCAATCCCAGCGCGAGTCAGTCGCGCCATAGCTAAAAGTCGGAACGGGTGGGTCAGAAGATGGAGGCTACCACGATCGATGGGCAAACTCCAAGAGGGGGAAGGGTGAAGAGATAGGGGAAGATGAGTGGGAGGCTGTATGCCTATCGCAAGGGTGGCTGGAGAACAAATATGTGGTGCAATAACAAAGTCTTGGGAGAAAAAATATTTACAGGTGAAGGAATGGGGGGAATTGCATCGGAAGCGACGACCATAGCTTATCGCATCATCACGACACTTTTAGCCGTTCGCAGTTTGGACCTGCGGAGGATTAGGGCTCTTGCTTGAGCCTGGCACTGGGCCGGCTTGAGCGCTTCCACTGCGCTGGGTTTGTGGTGTTGCGCTTCTACTCTGCTGAGGAAGAGTAGGGTTCATTGCAGGAGAACCGCTAACTCCCATTCGGTTCTGCGGAGTAGCTTGCGGGACACGCATCATGGGCGAGAACCCTTGGGCCTGAGGGACTTGCATACCAGGGCCACCATTCATGCCAGGCGGAGAGGCTTGGAAGTTCCCATCATGCGGGACTTGGTAGTTACCTTGAACACTGGCAATGTTTCCGGCGGCTGCGTTGATGGCCACTTGGGACATTCTCTGTTGCTGGTATTGTTGTAACCGGTCCGTAGCCAGCTTGTTCACTTGCTCGGGTGTCATGTTGGGGTTGTTGCGCTGGATCTGGTTTTGAAAAGTACTGATGGTCGCATTAACTCCGCTTGAAAGAAGATTAGGCTGGCCCATTCGAGGCGAGGGTGTAGACACGCCTTGAGGTGTGGTAGAATGGAATGATGGGCTTTGCATCCCACCACCTGCCTGGAGAGCTGCCATCATAGCCGGATTATTTGGGGCGCCATTGACATTAGGCAAGTTCATGTTCGGAGAATGAGATCCTTGCGGCCCAAACTGCTGTTGGTTATGAAATTGCTGCTGTGGCTGTTGCGGTTGATGTTGTTGGTGCTGTAGAGGCTGCGGCTGCTGCTGTCGAGACTGCAGGATACGCTGTTGCTCTTGAAGGCGATTTGCTTCGCGAATGACGCGTGCATTGTCTGGGGATGTCTGCATTGGTACTCCAGGTCGACCACTCGAGCCCTGCGGCATCATTTTCATAGCCATTGGATTTGAAGGCATGGGACCATTCATGGGACCACCACCTGGCATGCCTTGGAGGTGAGGCCGGCCTTGAGTGACCCCCATCCCAGGCGGCATACCATTAGGCATTGTGTTCGGCATCCCATTCGGCATTGCAGTAGGATTTGCGCCAGGTATCCCGGGAGTTCCGGGGTTATGAGGCATACCGTTTGGGGTTCGTCCAGGGGGAGCATTCAACATCGGCTGCTGGTTGGGCATTTGGCCTGCACGCTGAGCTGCCAAGTTTGCCTGGTCCAATGTTAGTTGCACCCAGAAGCAAAAGCAAGTGGCTGAAAGTATCTTACTCTCTGCTGGGCTATCATTTGCTGGCGGTATTGTTCTTGTCTCTCCTGGAGTTTCAATTCCCGGTCGTACTTGAGTCGACTAAATTCGGCAGGTGATGAGATTGGAGGCTTGGGCTGGTTCGCTTCATTGACTTTTCTCAACGAAGCCAGATGAGAAGCTGCGAAACAGAAATGAGATTTTGAGTCAGCGAGGCTAAAAATTCTCAAACACATATTGAGTGCTTACCATGCTGTTGCTTCTGGAGCATCGTCTCTCTCTTCTTGGCTAGTTTTCGCATAGCATCAAGCAATGCTAGATGCTTGGAAGACCTCCTTCGATCGACTCGTAAAGGCTGCGTGGTGCGTCTGCGGACCGGTGGCTGCGCCTGGGCAGTATTGCTACCCTGCTGTTGCTGTTGCTGCTGCTGTTGCTGTTGCTGAGCAGCCTGCTGTTGGGCCATAACGGTGCGCTGGGCCGTCTCTATCCTCTGATGGTAAGCACGGAAATACTGTGTTTTGGACATGTCTGCAGGCAATCCTTCCAATCCCACCCAGCGTTCAAAACACTCCCAAGGTGTCCGCCGTTCAGCACCCGATGTGAATTGTGAGGAGGGAGTAAGGCAGCTAGAGATCAGTGACCAGTTATACGAATACTCTTTTACTAGACGCCGCAACTCATCATCCTCCGCATATGTCCATTGAGATGATTGCCTCGATTCGAAGAAACCAACAGAGGGCATAGGGAATTCGGTAGGGGGCCTGAAAGAATGGCCGGGATGAATGCGGTCCCGTATGGGTTTGTTCTCAGGTCTGAAAAGGGCGACGTTGGTCTGTTCAGGCGGCAAATCTAACATCCCATGTTCCGGGTCACAGTCATACTGTGAGTAATCATATCGGCTCCGCTTTTTTGGTGGCTCTTTGTCATGGAACTTGATTCTACCAGAAGCATATTTTGATACTGGTAGTAATTCAGTCTTCCAGACGGCATCTGGGGCCTCATCAAACAACGGTTGGTTGTTCTCCGGCGCGAATTTGACTGGGGTGTACATCGGTAGTTCATCGAGGAGCTTCTGAGCAGCAGGAGTCATATCCAACGAGAAAGTGAATTCGTCCGAGCCGAGAGAGAAGATTGCTGCTGGAGCAACAGTGTCATGGAGATCATGGCGGATTTCATCGTTGAACCCCTCGCTAACGGAGTCGTCCTCTGTCGAGGGCACCAGGTCGGGGGTCAGATGAGAGATTCCGATCATCTCATCATTCGTTTCCTCTGGGGGCGAAATCATGCTCGATTCTTGGGCATGTTTCTTCACGAATCTGGGCGAAGGTCTCTTGGAAGGAATGCGAAGTAGAGCGCGATGCTCAGGATCGCAATTAACATACTCCGCACACCAGTCAGCACAACTCTTGGCCGCTGCAATTTTCCATTTCCGTTCCTCGCGGAAGTCGGTGCGCATCCACTTCATATGATCTAAGAGGATGTCCCAATGTGTTCCCTGCCGAGGTGGTTCAACCGAACGTTTGAGTTGGCGCAATGGCCATCTGTTGGCATTCTGAAGGGCATAAATTCGACGCAAGGTACGGCAGTCCATCTGTTCTTGGTATTCGAGCAGGTGATTGGAGGTGGAAAGGGTTTTATGAGCAGAAGAGAGGAGTGTACTGAGATTCGTTCCTCGAGGAGGGGCATAAGCCTTGCTTTGGAACAAGGTAAATAGATAGTCCTGTTCTTCGTTCAGCCTAACTAGATCGCCCGCATGCTGGCGAATAACGTCCATAGAGTCACCCTTCTCCTGCTGCTGGGGCTGCTGCTGCTGCTGCTTGGGAAATACGACGGTAGAGAGCTTGCTCCTCTCCTTCTCTCGAGCCTTTCTATCTTTCAAACGCATCTTCGCTGCGGAGTCGGATGGGCCACCAGATATAGCTCGTGCTGCTTCGGCGGGTTTCTCTGCGGGCTGGGCTTTTTCTGGTTGAACAACAGAAGGCTTCGGGGTTTCCCCAAGTATCTCGGAGACCGACTTGTGCCTGATAGCTCCCGACGATACGCGGGTTGTCATTCGTTCTGGTTGGGCCGGAATCAAGACTGGTGGCGGGGCTCCTTTCTTCGACACAGGAACTGTCGAAGTGGTTGCCTTTGCTTCCTCCAATCGGGGTTGTGGCTGCTCCGGTTGATGTTGCGAATCCTCTGTAGCAACAGTTCCATCGGGCCTCTTGAGTTCGGGTAGAACTGCGGATGTAGAGACCCCTTCCTGGTTTTCTTTCAGAGAATCCGTCACTGCCGATGCGGTTGGACCGATATCTACTTGAATCACCTCGCTCGACAGAGTGCCTGTAGGTTCAATACCACCAATCGTCCTACCCGCAGCCAAAGTGCCTTTTCGGAACGACTGTGCTTCTTCCAGCCGCAATTGCTCGTCTGGCGTTGAGGGAACCACGTTTGGCGGAACATCTAGGGAGTCGACATGTTTGGTGCTCCGCGCAATTTCGTCCGCGCCTTCAGCAACTTCCTCGGCGGGACTAGTATCAGGCGAAACAGCGACAGGGACAGGTGTGTTATTCGAGTAAGGCCCTGCGGAGGAGGCAGGGGAGAGGGGCTGCTCTTGACCAGGTGGAGGTAGCACTAGGGACGGGCGATGATCTGGCTTCTTCTGGGAGCGCGGTAGCTGGTCAGAGGTCGCCGGTGGGGGTATGGCAACGCTGACGGGTCGATCTGTCGGACCAGGAGAAATTTTGACATCTGCAGACTCGTGGCTAACGCTTGTAAGGGTCTTTGGCGCCGTAACGCTCGCTCCCTGAGGTAGCCGATCGGCCGGAATGGGGCCCGTCGCGGACTTGTCAGGCACTTGCGTAAGTCTGGGAGAGAAGGTTAGATTAGGTTGAGGTTGAATCGCCGCCGCGGCCTGGTTCGACCCATCATGTAGAGGCTTCCGCTCGTCAACTTGCTGGGTTGCTGGCTCCTGTCCCTCACCACTGGGTGCCGGTATTTGAGACACATCTTCGGCTTTCGACGTCGCGCTGATCGATGTGAAATCGTGAGACTGGGTAGCGGATCCGACTACCTCCGGCAGCACCGACTGCGCCTCGAGACTGGGAAGAAGGGCTGCAAAGTCGGGTAAGGGTGGAAGAGTGGATTCATTGTAGTAGCGACCTCTGTTGGACTATAGTTAGAATCCACGAGAACTATATGAAATACGCACGTGAAGCAGCGAAGATAGCAAAGGAGATAATCAAAACCATGACTTATACCAAGAAACCAAGTAAAAAGAGTCAAAAAACACTATATGGTTGTGGAAGAAGTACTTACTTGGAGAGGTCGTTGGCATCCAGAAACGCCTGTTCCTTTTGGTGGTAGAGCGCATCGGTCGGGGTATTCTCGGTCGCGCCCGTGAAGCCTACGGTCGCAAAGTAGAGCTCGCTCAATTTGCGCTTCCGCGACAACAAACAACGTCTAGAAAAAAATTAATGTAAGCGATAATTCGATATCACAAGAAGCAATAGAGTAGAATAGATCGCTCCAGAAAAAATAATAATAATAATACTTACGCGATCTCATCGTTCTTGGAGCGGAGCAGCTCGTCACGGAGCATCGAGTCTATTTCGGGAACACAGCATCCGATTAACGCGCTAAAAAGGAGGGAAATAGATTGAGCGAAGTCATCCAGATGGAAAAAATCGCTCGAAAATGATGAAACGGGCGTTGTTGGGTTGTTATGTGATGCAGAAAAAATCGAGACGCGAGGATTTCACCTTGAAGGGATTTTTGGGGGATGGTGATTGAGACTTTCTGAACGGGTAGTACGGGTGAGTTTGGTTGGTTGATTCTGGGTTACTGTTTGGTGATGGGGGAGGCAAGTATTAGGTATGAAAGGGTGCCGGGAACAGACTTGTTAGGAGTGTTTTGCTAGGGACAAGTCCAAGCAACAAAAAAGTATGTAAGTCAGGAATGAGATCAGGGGTTGCCTGGTGGCAGCCTCAGGCAGCGGCGCTCCAGGAGTAGTAGTAGACCGCATTTAGAATGTGGACACCCCAGGCACCCAAGGCTGCTCCATGTGGTCACCGCCTGCCGCGGCGATAAGACTGGCAGAAAAAAAAAAGTCCACCCAGCTTTCAATTGATGAAGCTGTGTTGGAAGTTAGTTAGAGTATCTTTCAAGGACATCTGAGATAGCTAGTCACAATCATGGCCAAACGAAAGAGAGACAACAACACCAAGGAAGTTCAAGTCCCTGGGAAGCCTTCGAAAGCTGTCAAAGCGACCACAGTTCAAGAGCCCGCCTCATTTGATACGGACAAGCCTGCGGTGACCTTGCAGATAGTCACTGGCTCCTATGAACGTGTGTTGCATGGCTTTACCGCAGCAGTTTTTCCAGCGTCTTTCGCATCTTCAGATAATGAGGGAGCCAAAGATAGCAAGTTTTTGGCCCAATTTGTCGACACATTCTTGTTCGAGGCCCATGCCTCCGCAATCCGATGCCTTGCCTTGTCACCAGTGCCAAAGAAAGATTCCACCGAGCCAGCCAAGGTCATTTTAGCCAGTGGTGGCACGGATGAGCGAATCAACCTTTACTCCATCTCCGCAGCTCCTCCAGCGGTGAACGAGCATTATCCAACAGTTCCGACTCTTGCTGGTAACAAGATCCTCGAGAACCCAAAGAACCGGGAGCTCGGTTCGCTTTTACACCACAGTGCTTATATCACTGCACTACACTTTCCGTCGCGCTCGAAGCTCCTGGCTGCTGCCGAGGACAATGCCATCTCCGTCACGAAAACTCGCGACTTTACCGTTGTCTCTACGATCAAGGCGCCTCGTCCGAAAGTTCAAGGAAGACCTAGTGGTGATACCGCACCTCCCGGAGCTGCGCCCTCAGGCGTCAATGACTTTGCGGTGCATCCTAGCATGAAGCTTATGCTCACTGTAGGCAAAGGAGAAAGGTGCATGAGGCTTTGGAATCTGGTCACTGGAAAGAAGGCCGGGGTGTTGAACTTTGGCAAGGAGGTTCTCCAGAGCGTTAAGGAAGCTCGATGGAGCACTGGTGAGGGCCGGAAGATTGAGTGGAATACGAAAGGCGATGAATTTGCCGTCGCATTTGAATGGGGATGCGTCGTCTTTGGAATTGTGAGTCTCCTCCTTGTTTATCCTTGTGTCATTTATAAAAGATTCTAATCGTTCTCAGGATTCGACTCCTATTTGCCGATTGCTACCAAGTCCTCGAAGCAAAGTACATCAAATGAAGTACGTTGCGCTCGACCCTGCTGCGGAAGACAGCGAGGAACTACTTGCTATCTCGACGGAGGACGGTAGGGTTGTGTTCTACTCCACCAAGAAGTTACGGACAGCTGCAGATGACGATGAGTCTCCGATCCCTTACGCCGAGGCTGTTGCTCAAATTGGCGGCAGAGCAGCTGGGTTTCCAGGCAGAGTTAAAGACTTCGAGATTCTGAACGTCGGACAAGAGGCCGGGGCAAAGAAGGGCGATCTTCTTGTGGTAACCGCAAACAGTGAGGGCGTGGTGCGCGTATGGATGCTGCGCACCAAAGACCTTGCCCCTAACACGAAGGAGACCACAAAGGCTACGGACGAGAAGAGCAAGGAACCAGAGAACTTGCAGGCGGGTAAGCTTCTGAATGTCTACGAGACCGGGAACCGGATCACTTGCCTCAAGGCATTCGTGATGTTGCCATCGGAGGATCCCTCAACACTCGATGATAGTGATGATTTATCTGACGAGGAGGAGGAGGAAGAGGAAGAAGATGATGAATCTAGTGAAGGAAGTGATGAAGAATGAATGTGCATAGTCTCACTTATATACCCATGTGCTGATAGAACACCTGATGTAAAGTACTAAAAGCAAATTGAATGAATACTATAAGAACAAGTCTAGTTCTATATGCATTGAGCGCATCATCATCATCATCATCACCACTACTATTATGATCACCATCCAGGATGCCATTCAGAACGTGATGTGTTATTATTGTTTATGGCCCTTGTTCTTGTGAACTTGATGGATGAGTCACCAACAATATTCTTGAATGCCAGTGTTTGCAGTTGTCAATCACCCAACCCAGCTTCAAGTAGATATAATCCTCCAAGCCAAGACTGATTAATAGAGAGAAGACCCTCAATGTCAAAAGAATCCGTCTAAAATGAAGCAATCCTCTTAGGTCGCAACTTAGGTATCTATACTCCCGTCCGAGTTCTCCTACCTACCCAGTTGGCCGCCCACAGGGCACGAACAGAGGCTCCCACCGCCCACTCACACTCCACTGCACAAATCAGAACCCCACTGGTATCATATCGCCTCCGTTCCCAAGCAGAGCAAATTTCATCCAACAACTGAGCCTCCGATCGTCACCCCTCCCCTCTCGGACTGACATCCTACCCTTCCTCTTATCAATATCTACCATCTCATCCATAATTACCTGAAGGGTCAAAATTTGCAACCATGGCTACCAACGGCGATTTTACCGACGATGAATCGCAACCTGGTTCCCCCATGCTCGATGCGGCGAACGGTCATTATGAAATTGAAGAACAAGAGCCTCTTGATGTCGAGGAGAAGGCCCTCAAGTCTTCGATGAAGAAGGGCTCCATGCCCCCAGTTCCTCAACCGAAGCGCCCAGAACTGCCCGAGCAGCCTGACCCAGAGACCATCGATCTGTCGAAACTGACGCCTCTGTCCCCCGAAATTATCGCGCGCCAGGCCACGATCAACATTGGTACCATCGGACACGTCGCTCACGGCAAGTCGACCGTGGTGAAGGCTATCTCGGAGGTGCAGACGGTCCGTTTCAAGAACGAGTTGGAGCGGAATATTACCATCAAGCTGGGTTATGCCAACGCCAAGATCTACAAGTGCGACAGCCCTGAGTGCCCTCGGCCGACATGCTACAAGAGTTACAAGAGTGAGAAGGAGGTCGACCCTCCTTGCGAAAGAGAAGGATGCACAGGTCACTACAGACTGCTGAGACACGTTTCGTAAGTCAACCTATTTCGCATCTGCGTTGGAGAGGGGCTACCAGTGGCTAATTTCTCACTATCTTTGTGCAGTTTCGTTGACTGCCCCGGTCACGACATTCTCATGAGCACTATGTTGTCAGGCGCCGCCGTCATGGACGCCGCCCTTCTTTTGATTGCCGGAAACGAAGCCTGCCCTCAGCCCCAGACCTCGGAGCACTTGGCAGCCATTGAGATCATGAAGCTCAGCCACATTATCATCCTGCAGAACAAGGTCGATCTGATGAGAGAGGATGGAGCTTTGCAACATTACCAGTCGATTCTGAAGTTCATCCGTGGTACTGTCGCTGATGGCTCGCCCATCATTCCTATCTCTGCGCAGCTCAAGTACAACATTGATGCTGTTAACGAATACCTTGTTTCGCACATCCCCGTCCCCGTCCGTGACTTCACTGCTTCCCCTCACATGATCGTCATCCGTTCCTTCGACGTCAACAAGCCCGGTGCGGAGATTGATGAGCTGAAGGGTGGTGTTGCCGGTGGCTCTATCCTGACTGGTGTGCTCAAGTTGAATGATGAGATCGAGATCCGCCCTGGTCTCGTTACCAAGGACGAGAACGGCAAGATTCAGTGCCGTCCCATCTTCTCGCGTGTTGTCTCGCTCTTTGCCGAGCACAACGACCTGAAGTTTGCTGTTCCTGGTGGTCTGATCGGTGTCGGCACCCGTGTCGACCCTACTCTGTGCCGTGCTGATCGTCTCGTTGGTTTCGTCCTGGGTCACCGTGGTCGCCTGCCCGCTATTTACACTGAACTGGAGGTCAACTACTTCTTGCTGCGTCGTCTGCTCGGTGTCAAGACCGCCGATGGCAAGCAGGCTAAGGTTGCCAAGCTGACCAAGAACGAGGTTCTCATGGTCAACATCGGATCGACAGCCACTGGTGCCAAGGTTATGGGTGTGAAGGCCGACGCTGCCAAGCTCAGCTTGACCAGCCCTGCCTGCACAGAAATTGGCGAGAAGATTGCCATCAGCCGAAGAATCGACAAGCATTGGCGTCTGATCGGTTGGGCCAACATTGTCGCGTAAGTTATTCTGGGCCCTTTTATTTACTGCTACATCTGGGAAAACAATATTGGCTAACGCATCGTATCAGTGGTAACACTCTTGAGCCTATTCTGAACTAGACAAGGTAATGCTTGTCGGATCGACCAGCTCGACCTCCTCGGAAAAAAGTTGAGGGAGACACGTCGGAGACTTGGCCGGTAGGCGGTCTCCAGGTCTCTAGCAGATTTCCAGGCGGGAGGAGCAGCAAAGAAAAGAAAAAGTTGACTACTTGAGATCACGAAGAGGAGAAAAGCTGAGCGCGTGGGTGATTCACTCCAAGATAGAGGACACAGTAAGCTCCAATGCCCCGTCTCTTCCGGTTGCTAGAGCACTCGGGACGAAGGTGGTGATATACGCAGACGACCAGATGCGAAGGGTTCAAGGAAACAGGCCGTGTATCGCAGCAGCTTGGATGGATTGGGACATCGAGCATAGAAGGATGAGTTGACGTTGATGAAGTGCCACTACTTCTGTGATGTGTGTTATGAAGCTGTTCTTATGTGAAAATTTTTTCTATTTCTTTCTTGATATATATTTCCAACCGTTGGTATGTTATGTCTGTAGAAACGTTGGATGATAGTTGTTAAATGTAAAGGGATCCGATTGGGAGCGGCGCACCTCAATCCAAATATAAGTGTGTATTTTCAAACCGAGTCTTCATTATTCTTTGGGATATGCTAGCTCTTAATATGGTAGTCAATTCACTGCTCGGCCTCATGGCCATTCTTTGTCCTGTGTTGGCTGGTGGCTCAGCAGGAGATGCGGCCAGTTTGCACTAATTGGGGGTTGACTAAGACATCACCATCGGCGAGGAGTCTACTATCTACTACTACTACTCCAACCTGTCAACAACACCTGGCTGTGAACAACAGACCAGCAACAACGCAATTGCCTGTTGTTGTGCTGCATTTCCAGCCATGTATATCCTTGAGGTAAGCTTTTACAATCATGCCTTGGCATGAGTTGTTGGCGCTGGTGCTTGTCGCTATCGTTGTTACTGTTCCCTTGACAAGCTGGAGCTGACTAGATTCTGCCTGATGCAGCAACTTGCGCGTCTTCTCGACCGCCCATTATTCCCTTGGAAAAATGTCCTCGTCGGATTCTCCCTAGGTCAGTTCCTCCTTGAGGGGATCTTGTCCTTCAGGCAATACAAGGTGTTGCAGCGGACAAAGCCACCCAAGGTGCTGGAGGGTGAAGTGTCACAGAAAGTCTACGATCAAAGTCAAGTACGTATGCCGGAGCGGGGAGTTCATTGTTGAAGGGTATTTTATCTGGAATGAAGTTCAAGACTGATTGTTTTGTCCTCCTTCGCAGGCATACGGTCGCGCAAAAGCCAAGTTCGGCTTCATCTCCGGTCTCTACGCTCAAGTCCAGAATCTCGCATTCATCTATGGCGATGTCCTCCCCAAACTCTGGGGAATCAGCGGTCTCCTGTTGGCTCGGTACTTCCCTTCTCGGTTCCAGGGTGAAATCACCCAGACGCTCGTGTTCATCTTCGGTTTCAATCTGATCAGCACTGTTCTCTCCCTGCCTATCTCCTACTACAACACCTTCGTTCTGGAGGAGAAGTTCGGATTCAACAAGCAGACACTCAAGCTCTGGATTACGGATATGCTCAAGGGGCAGATGCTGGGAATCGTTCTAGGGACTCCGATCATCAGTGCCGTGCTCAAGATCGTTCAGAAAACTGGCAACTCGTTCTTCTACTACCTATGGCTCTTCGGTGTCTTCGTTCAGATCTTCGCCATTACCATTTATCCCATCGTGATCCTGCCTTTGTTCAACAAGCTCTCTCCCCTGGAACCCGGCGAATTGAAGACTGGTGTCGAGGACCTTGCCCGCAAGCTTAAATTCCCTCTTAGTGAGCTTCACGTTATCGACGGTAGCAAGCGCAGCGCTCACAGCAACGCTTACTTCTATGGACTTCCCTGGAAGAAGCATATTGTCATCTATGATACCCTTATTGAGAAGAGCGAACCGGAGGAGGTCGTTGCTGTCCTGAGTCATGAACTTGGTCACTGGAGCCTTAGTCACACCACGAAGCTCTTCGGTATTGCTCAGGTACGTCATTTCTATTATATTCCGCGACGCAGCAATAACGTTGAATCCATCTGAAACTAACAATCCTCGCCGCAGTCTCACATGTTCTACATCTTTGCGCTCTTCTCGGTCTTCGTAAACAACAAGTCTCTGTATCAGTCTTTTGGCTTCCACAAGGAGATGCCTATCATGATTGGTTTCCTCCTGTTCTCTGATGCGCTGGCTCCCATGGATGCTATCGTTAAGCTCTTGATGAACATCCTTAGCCGCAAGTTTGAATTCGAAGCCGGTATGCTCCCTTGCAATCCTCCCCTATCATCTAGGCAAACAAGCTAACCGCGCTGAAGATGCATTCGCTGTGAAACTTGGCTATTCCGAGCAGCTCGCTGCATCCCTCCTCAAGCTCCAGATCCAGAATCTGAGCACCATGGATGCCGACTGGATGTACGCTAGTTACCACTACTCTCACCCCATTCTTTCGGAGCGACTCAAGGCGCTCGGTTGGAAGGGTGGAAAAGTCACTAGCTCCAAGGCCGAGGACGCCGAGGAGCCGGTCAAGGCTGCTGACCGGGAACTTTAAAGCCCGACCGCTCGTCCGTTATTTAAGGACTCACTTCTGAATTCCTGGTTTCGTTCACGGTGTTTGGTGGCGGTCGAGAAGATGGTCCTGGTCCATTTGGTTATGGGAAAAGGGTTTCGTTGGGTGTAGAGGGAAAAGATCGCTTTTGAATTTAGTATAACAGCACAACTCCATACCAGCCCTTGGGATATAAGATCATCCAAGGCGAACGCCAATAGCAAAATGCAGATCCTGCTTGTTTCATATCCAAGCGACTAAACCAGAAATCCAACAGCACAAGAGACGAGCAAGGAACCCAAATTGAAAGCCTTATGCCTCAGCACCCTTGGCTTTCGACCTCTTCTCGGCCAGTCTGCGCTCCTTCTTCTTCCTCTTCCGCTCCTCCTTATCCACAACATGGTTGTCAGCCTCTACCAGCTCAAGCTGCGGCTCCAATTCCTCGTCGTCCTCCCCCAGTACCTCATCGTCGCCATCATCTTCCCCAGCAGCTTCGGCGGCTACTTCCACGAATTTGCTTGGATCCTCCCAGTCCACATTGTTGCCGTTCTCGTCCTGCAGCGCTTCACCCGCATTGATCTTCGCTAGGGTCAGATCGCGTCCCAGGACCTCGCCAGCCAGACCAGCCTGGACGCGCTTCAGATTGTGTAGAATGAGATTCGGTGCTGCAGCCGTGGTGCGTGAGATGGGACCGTGCTCACTGATACTGGCATTGGGCTGCAGCGCAGGGTCTGTAGCGGCGCGATCGAGGTAGGCGGCCAAGAAATCATGGGCGGCGGATTGAGAGATGGACTTTGAGGAGAGGATGGTCGTTGGAGGGTGGGGTGAGGGGCCTTGGGTTGCCATTGCGAATGGTGTGGAAGTGGGAAGGTCTTGCTGCTTGACGTGGAATTTGAGGTTGGAGATGGTCGAGTTGCGAGGGATATGCGGTGCGCAAAGTTGAGGATTGATAATATATGGGGTGGCGCAGAGTGTCTGAGTCCGTATAGTGAAGAACCCTTTGAGGGAAGTATTATCAGGAGAGTTCGCGATGAGAAAACTGAATGTAGGAAGATTGTTGAGCTCGCAGCTTTGAAAGAGCGTCGAAGCATCAAAATGAAAAAGAAATCGGCTGGTCCGTGCGTCCGCCGCGCCGGAGGTTCAATTTTCGTCCGCCTCGAGGAGAGTCGATCCACACGACCTATCGGCCAGCGACCAGCGACCAGCAGCATCAATCCTCATCACCCATTCTGCAGCCATCGATTTGAGGACTGCTTCCTGACAACGAAGTGCTCCGAGACACTCGTCTGCTGAACACCCAGCAAACAAACCAGCATGTTCTGCTTACAGTGTCGGGCCATGCCCTCCGCGCTGAGAACCGCCGTTCGGTCCCAGACACTCAGGTACGTCGTCTCATTGCCGTCCTGCGTCTCCTGCCAGTGATGGCGCGATCTCCTGCTCCTCATCTACTCCAAATCTAACAATCATCCTCGCAGACTCTCCACTCAGACCCTCAGCGCCTCCGCCTCATCACCCCTCCGTACCTTCTCCTCCGCCATCCGTTCACAACCCACCGTGTTGACACAGAGCCTCCCCTCCTTCCGCTCATCCCTCCCCTCCGCCTCTCCATTTTCCCTCGCTTCGACACAGCAGACCCGGTCCTTCTCCGCCAGTGCGTCTCTGGCCGGTAAGCGGGCCACGTACAACCCCTCGCGACGAGTGCAGAAACGCCGTCACGGATTCCTTTCCCGGCTGCGGACGCGTGGTGGGAGGAAGGTCCTCATGCACCGGAGAGCAAAGGGCAGAAAGTCTCTGAGTTGGTAGATGGGGGGCGTCTTTTGGTCTGCTGTTGGATTGATTATTGCCGAGGGGTGTTCCGGGCATTTGACGGGGCTTTGCATTCTGCTTTGAACCATGTTTGATTGTAACTGGGAAAAGAAAGCAATGTTGTCTGAGCGAGGTGCTTAACAATGACTGGGCCTTTGTACAATGAGTATCCTTGTTAGGATCCTTGGCATTGGGCGATGGTGAAGGTATTGGACAGCTATCTTCCTATCAGGCTGACTCGGATCGGTTGGGTCGATTATGTGTGTTTGGCTTTTTCTCCTATTCTGTACGAAATACTTGCTCTACCATGTAACATATAGAGACAGATTATCAGGTCGTTGTATTATTGAGTTTGCGGTCTTTTTAAGATGATTGCCTGTTGCTCCATAAGCAATGTTTAGGAAACCCCTAGGGAATCTATATTCACAATATAAAGCAACAACTAGGGGAAACAAACAACACCCGCTACCTAGTTGTACAATGCTAAAGTGGCAAATCGCAAAAATAGCCGAAAGCAAATGACAATGCCATAACTCGCAAGCGACGGTATCACCGCATCTCGAGCTTAGTGGTGTGCACCCCATCTAGCTCAGCCACTGGTTAGTGTTGCTGGGAATCCAGCTCCTTGGGTTCATAAGTCCGGACGATAGGCGGATAAATACCAGAGAGACCCCCTTGCTGCGCGTATCCAAAGGCAGAATTGTTCTGCTGGGCTGCGATTACCTTGCGACGCAGGCGCATAAAAATAACCACAAGCAAGCATCCTACGAGCACGACTCCGACCCCCACTCCAACCCCAATGCCAACCGCTATGGCGGTTGATGGACTGGACCCTGCGTTATCGGCCTTTGTGTGTCCGCAGTCATGGTTGCAGAACGGGCTGTAGATGATGTCGAAGATGTCGAAAATCCCGAAGATGTTGACGATGTCGAAGTTCTCGAAGCTATCGTCATCTCTTTCTGTGGTCGCCGTGGAGGATGCTTTCGAAGCCGTCACTTTGGTGAAAGGAACTACGCCAGCCGTGGCGGTGATGGTAGAATCATCCAGAGTGAATTTCAGGAACGAATCCCTGGTGCAGCAGTCATCTGCCGAGCTGCAGTAGTTGCTGGAATTATTGCCGCATCGCATCACCCACTCTCCGCCGGTTGGACCTTCTATAGAGCAAATTTCTCGTCAGACTCATCGCGGATTCCCAGCAGTGAAGGACTAACACGCCACGAGAGAAACTCACCCGCAACAAAATGCCCCTGGCATTCCGGCGCAGCCCACGTCTTGTCCGTACATGTCCCTCTGATGAGTTGGAGGGGATTACCTCCATCACCCCAGCAGTTCGCCGGCTGGCAGAGCTGATTTGACGTGCAAAGAAAGCCCTGGGTGCAGCAGACGCTGGCTGATGCCGACACATTGCATGGCTGGTCATTGGACAAAGTTCCATCGGGTGTATAGCAATTTGTTGCAGAAACCGTTAACAGCGCTATCAGTATAACGATGCTGTTACTGAGCCCGCGACTGAGGAGAGACCATCTTGTCACCGCTAGTGGGCTTCCTGATATTGTATCCGTCATTGAGAAGAAGTGTAGACTGTAGACATGCAGCGATATCTAGGCGAAGGGACTCAGACTCGTGGGGACTATAACACTGGTCAACACATTGGAAGGAGGTTCTCTGCAAAGACTGCTCTCCACGCAGATGAGAAGTGGGACTTGATGTTGGCATCAAGTGGGCTGTATGCAACAAGCGCCCTATAATATAGTAAGGAAATCTATGTCTAGAAAGACATTGTATGGCACCAGGTAGATAGATAGTATGTAGGACAGTTGGTTTAAATGTGTGAAATGTGTTGCAGAGACAAGTAGTTTGCTGTTCGTTGCTGTTGGCTTCTCATTTTGTCTATCTATCAAACAAAGGCACAGTAAGCTATGCAAACCAAGATTATAATGCAAAGTTGTGTTCGAAAACACTTGCTTACAATGTCTTTGATGGGGAACCAAGGTCCCTGACGATCTAATTCGACAAGATGTATCTCCAATTGCATGTCGAGATTCTACCAGGTGGCGTCATCATCATCGTAAAACATTACTCATCGTCACTCTCCTCTTCGTCATCTTCTGAGCCAGATTCAGATTCGTCATCTTCGTCCTCGTCATCTTCGTCGTCTTCATCTCCATCATTCTTGAGTCCATAGTCATCCTCAAATTCCTTGAGCGGCTGTACTTCAGGGGTGAATCCAGACGCCTCGAGGCCCTTTTGAATTGTCTAGAACGAGGGTCAGTCCATGAAGCTCTGTCAATTATGTCCGTTAATTTAATAGCGAAAGCTTACCTCTTCAAGCACAGGAGCGCAGGTGATCACGACATTAGCTGTATCTGGAGCAAACAGTGGGAGGATAATCTCGCGCAACGCTGCCTTGACATCATCAACACTCGTGATCCGAACTTGTTTGAGGGTCTTTTCCTTGTAGTCACTTGGCAGATTACGTATCACCTGGCGAGTGAAACTGCCCTGAGCGGCACTGGCAATAGTGGACTGTTCGTTGGCAAAGCTGACAACAATGCTGCTGATTGCTCCCTCCAGCATCAATGGATCAAATGGCATTTCCCCGGAAAGATGATCTGCGACAATCTGCTTGCTGGACTCAAAGGCTTTGTGCGCATTCGGTGACCGATACACATCAAAGTTGACGAAACCAGTGTCAATATTGTATGCAAAGTTAGTACCATACGCCAGACCTTTGCCACGGACTGCCACCCAGAGCGGTCCTTCGACGGCATTCATGTAGGCAATAGCAACCAACAGCGCTGGTAGCTTCGGGTGGTCGTACGAGTCGAGACCCCGAGCAGTTGCGTAAGCAAAAGACGAGTCAATCGTCGGCATCGGAACCACATATGACTTCCCGCCAGGAACGCGACCTGCCTCACTGAGCAGCTCTCTGCGGACTGTGATGGGCTTCGGAGGGGCAACGGCCCCTAGGCGCTCGGCATATGACTTCCAGGACGAAACTGGGTTCGGTAATTTGTTGATGTCGGCGATAACCAGGACTCGCATATTCTCGAACTTAAACAGAGCTTGTCTGATTTCCTCCATGCGTGCAACAACGGATTCGGGTTGCTCAACCAATTGTCGCTTGATCCGCTTTAGGTACCGCGCCTTGACCAAGGTGCTTCGGGCTCGCACGATGGATTCGGGTGCATAATGAACCATGACATGCACGGCTGCGAGCATGTCTTCGCCGCTACGCTTGGCATCAGGAACGTCAGCGAGAAGTCGACTGGTGATCGCCCGTAGTCTCTCGACGTCGAAGACGGAGTTCCATGAGAGCTCTTCGAGCCATGCAATAGCACTGTTATACTTCTCTAGTTCAACCTGGAAAGAAATGCGTAACATTTCGGAGTTGCCCAAGCTCCTGGCCCCTTCCATAGAATAGCCGACAGTGTCCCTTTCCAATTCAACGACAACTTGTTCAAAATTGATTGTCTTGCCGTCGCGTTGGATCGGTAGGCTGAAGAACGCCTCAGTGTAGATAGAGAGGAGGGGACGAAGATGAACTGGGACAGACTGGGCTGAGATCAGAAGAGAAAGCTGGACAAAGCTGCTAGGAATATGTTCAAAGTGTACAAAGAGCGGCAACTCTGACCCATCAGTATCAATCAACTTCTGAATCTTGTTGTCTGGACGACCAGCTTTTAGGGCAGCCCCGGAACGAGCCGTTGTCGTCTCCACAAAATGGATTGATTCAGTACCCGGGATCTTAAACTCTTCCAGCATCTCTTTAGGGATCTCTTTGTCGTTCTCAGCCTTGGCTTTCTCCAGCTTATCCGCAAGCTCCTTCAAGCCCTCGGGTCCGAGTTGCTCCTTCTGTGCTGCAGCTCTGGCTTCTTCCTCCTTTTTCAGGGTCTCAGACAACTTCAGGGACGGCGTGCCGAGTATTGTCACATGGGGAGCATCTGCAAGCCATTTATTGATGAAACTGCGCCATTCGACTTCGCTCCATTGCTCCAGAATGTCGTATTCCTTCAAAGTTGCAACATCCAGCAAGGTCGAACCATCTTTCTTTCCAAACAGGAAGTCCGAGATGACGTATTCGGCGAGCGAAGAGGCGGAGGTTTCAGTGGAGAACTTCCAGGTGCGCTTCTGTCGGTCAATGCATTCCTTCAAGTACTTCATATCCAAGTCCTTCTTCATAGCGTCCTGGAGCACCTCGAAGAAACGTTTCTCCACCTGCGCAAGTTTGTCGGTCTCCACACTAGTCAAAGTGAAGCGGATCTCTATGCTGGGGTGGTCCTCAGTAGCGTAATAGACAGCACTGGCTACTTGTTCTTTTTCCACAAGCGTGTTTTCCAGTAGCGAAGCAGACGATCCAGCAAGGTACAAAAGCGCAACGTTAAGAGCACCAGCTATACCAATATTAGTACTCAGCAAAACTATTGCAGATGGTTGAACTGCTTACTCTGAACGGGATCGGTGGAGTCAGGGCCCATAAATCTGATCTCGATCTCACCAAAAGATTCGTCCTCTTCCGGAAACTCGACTTTCTCCACAATCGATTTCTCTAGTCGCGGAGCTTGCTTCGAATCAACCCACGGCCGCCGAAATTGTGAATCAGGGCTTGGGATGACATCTAGAATAGTGTCTTCAAATTTGTCCAAAGTCTCAAGCATGTTGTCATGGTCTACCTCGCCCGTGATAACCAAACATAGGTTACGAGGTTGATACATTTCGCGATGAAAGGCTCGAATTCTCTCCGCAGTGAGGACACGGAGCTGTTCCATCATGCCTCCGGTTTCATAGCGAAATCCTACACCAGGCGGGTACATCAGTCGGCGAGCAGTCAAGTCGATCAGTTCAGCGGCATTGTTCTGCACTCCCTGCATCTCAGAGTACACGACTCCAGCATCGTTGCCTGAACCATCGATATGGTGGACTTCGGTGTAGCAGCCTTCATCTGTTAAAGTGGGTGCAATCACATGCTCCAGGTAAACAGGCAAAATCTGAGCAAATCCTTCCCAGCCTGCTGTGTCCAAAGTGTAGGCGGTGTGATCTGTGGCTGTCCAGGCATTTGTGTTGGAGTAGACGCGTGTAGCGAGCTTATCAAGAAAGCCCTTATATCTATAATTGCGGGAGCCCATAAAGCACAGGTGCTCCAAGGTGTGGGGGGCACCTGAATCGTCCAGAATCTCGGTGGCCAGGACAAAATACCCAGTCACCTTGGGACCCTTCTGGTCAATGACCACTACTCGCATGCCGGTTCTCTCTGATTCATACTGAGTGAACTCGCTAGGCGAGTAGTCAGGCTTGAACTTTTGGAGAAGTTTAAAGTGGCTTCTTGGGCCGGATGTTGACATGTTGCCAAACGACAGGTGGGAGAACTCTTTCAGGTTCCCCCAGAAGCTGGTGATCAAATCGGGATGAGAGGATCTGGAAAAACGTCAATAATCCATGTGCAATATGATGTACCTAACGCCTGCGACAAGAGAAAAGAAAAGAAGAAAGGCTATAAGAAATAGTGGGAGATGCACTCATTCCATGACGAGCTTCCAGAAGATAAAAAAACAAACATCAACGACAGAATAGTGACTGGCTTGAGTATTGGCATTATGAATATGTGGAACATAGACTCAGACCAAGCTCTGAAACGGCGCCTTTGAAGCAGTACTGTTGACATCGATGAATGGTGGGACACAGAATCTTTTCATCTCCATTTTGGATGCGACGGAGACGATAATAGTACTTACATAGATCGAGTTGGATATGTCCGACTCAGACCTCGCAGGAGAAGCCGAGACAGCACGACGGACTTAATAACAGCAATATTGCTATTGCAAGAAATTTGGGCTGAGATCCCAGATATTTGCAGTTGTCGTTAGGCTTTGTCCTTTTGAGAGTGGAGTTTGGTTCCGTTCTTTTAAGGCACAACTATGTCCGTAGGAAGGTCTTATTTATGGACCACACAGTTATGGAGAAATCCCTGCACTTTCAAACTTGTATACAGAAAGAAAAAGAAGAAGAAACTCTTCTATCTCATATAGTAACAATTGAATCTCACCAGAAGTAATATGTGTTAGTGGGAATGTCAGCTCGTGGAGGGACTTTCTCATACTACCCAAGGCGGTGAATCGGACAGTGAAGTCACATGGCGGGGAGTATCGTTGTTGTTGTTCTGAACAACAAGTGCTCTTCTTTCGCCAAGCTGGAAGGAAGCCGAGATCCTTAATGTCTCTGTCTTAGAGGGTTTGGGAGTTTGGGACTTTCCGCAAGCAATCTAAAGTTGTGCGACCCGCTGCTCACTGGTCCAGGAAGAAGGTCAGACATCACTGGGCAGTAGTCAACATGCCTCCGCAGGCCTCGGAGCAGGAGATCTGCCAGTCAGTACTGCATTTCGTCACTGAGGGCATCTATCCAGGCTCGGAGGAGGTAATAGCATCCGCATTTCCTACATCCGCTCTTGCGACTGAACTGGAGCTTCTAACGAAGGCCAGAGAGCAAGTTGAAGTACGTGTCCATTGTCCGCATCCAGGCCGACGTTGATATCACACGCTCACAATTGCTAACAACTTATCTCGTGGGCAGGCCGAAGTAAGCTCACTCAGTCGAGAGAATGATTTCGATGCCGACGGCTGGATTTCCCAGGCAAAACAGCTCCATGCAGACATTGAGCGGTCTAGGCTCACTGCGCGTGAGATCGTGGCACAGCACGAGAACACGAAGCCTTTGCAAGCGAAGGTGGAAGACGCTGCTGCAAAGGTCCGACTGATTCAAACAGAGATTGCGTTCAACCAGGCCGTGACGAGCAGTCTTGAGGAACTACAATGTCTTTGTCAACAACTTGATGCAGGACGGGTGGACCTTAGGGAAGGTCGCATCATGGTCGCCATCGATACACTGGAGACGTTGGAAACCGCTATGAATAAGGATAAATTATTTATCAACACTAATGTGAAGCAAATCCTGATAGAAAATGTATCTGGACTGAGGAAGGAGATCGCTGAGGCCCTCCGCATGCTCTGGAACGAGCAATTGAAGATCGATAGGGGGTCAAAGAGCTTTCAAGTCTCAAAAGATGAGAGTAGGTGCCCTTGCAACCATTCTGATCTGACCTGAACTAAACTTAGAGCAGAAGCTCCGTTGGACGACACAATTGCGGCGATGGCTCGAATGGACATGCTAAACCCTGCCATCGAAAAGCTGCAAAAGGACCTTCTACTTGCTTTAGTAGAACCGATTCTGCTTCCCAATGTCGAAAATCACAGCTGTCAGATTCAAGTCTCAGAAGGTTCAATTCGTGTTGAACCGGATCCATCGGCTGCCACTGTTCCTCAGCTTCTGGATCGCCTCTCGGGATTTTTGGGCTTCCTGAGACAGCGCCTACCACATTCCGTCTTGGATCCATTCTCCGACTTGCTCATTCCGTCCCTGTCCACCAAGTTCATATCATCCTGGCTCTCATTTGCGATCCCTACAGAGCTTACGCGTCTAGCTGAATTCGAATCGATTCTAGACTGCGTACTGAAGTTTGCTCAAACAATCGAGAGCCTAGGCTGGCGCGGGCAGGAAGAACTTGTATCTTGGGTCAATCAAGCGCCCCGTCTCTGGCTAGCCAGGCGGCGAGCCGATTCATTGGACCAAGTTCGGAAAGTCCTTGCTGCTAGTCAAGGTTCTACGAAGCAGGTAGAGCGAATTGAAAAAGAGCAAGTATCTCAAGCGGACGAGGCCTTGTTGGAAAATGCAACAAACGACGACTGGGATGCCAGTTGGGATGATGAGAACGGAAACGTACCCGAAGAAACCCCCCTTAGTAATGAGGAGGAGGATGAGGATGTCAGCGCATGGGGCCTCGATGACGACACCAAGGAGGATACATCGAACACTGAAGCTCAAACATTAGCGTCCGCTATAGAGGATGATGCGGAAGCATGGGGATGGGGTGACGATGAAGATGGAGATGAAAGTATTGAGAATCCACAGAATCAGAGCATGGATAAATCCAAGCCTGCCAGAAGCGAAGGTGTGACGAGTCACGCACCTCGGGAAGTTACTTTGACAGAGCGGTACACGATTACGGACATTCCGGAATCCATCCTAGCGATCGTTCGGCAGCAGGTTACGGACTCGACGGCCATATCACAACCTGGGTAAGCCTGGATGACCCATCAGTCTAATCTTCTGCTAATTATATACTAGACATACGCATTCCCGCATTATCTCTTCTGGAGCTGGTTTGCTCGCACTTCCGACCTTGGTTCTAGCGATGTTCAAGGCTATTGCGCCTTCGTTTTACAGCCTCAAGCTCAATGCCGGGCAAATGTACCTTTACAACGACAGCTTATATCTTGCTGAACAGCTCCGCGGCATGGTAGAGGAGCATGAGCTTTCGAGACTCGCCCCAGACCTCGACACGCTCGAACGATTCGGCAAGCTCGCCTACAGCAGAGAGATGCAGACCCAACGCACCATTGTCACAGATCTGCTCGACGGTGCGCAGGGTTTCAGCCAATGCTCGGAACAACCTTTCCTTGGCGAGTGCGAAAATGCAGTGAGTGCGACTGTTGACAGGATTCACGACATCTACAAGGAGTGGCAACCTATCCTGTCGCATTCTGCGCTCCTTCAATCCATCGGATCTTTAGTGTCTACAGTAATCAACAAGTTTATTGTTGATATCGAAGATTTGGGAGATATCTCGGAGGCCCAGTCTCAGCGTCTGGTTTCTTTCTGTAACCAAGTTTCTAGGCTGGAGGATCTCTTCATGCCGGAAACTCCTGAAGGTCCTGAACGAGTGCCCATGACCGCTGTGTATGTGCGGAGCTGGTTGAAGTTCCAGTATCTCATCAACATTCTGGAAAGCTCACTCGCCGACATCAAATTTCTCTGGCTGGAAGGAGAACTACGGCTGGAGTTCTCAGCGGAAGAAGTGGTTGACCTGATCGAGGCTCTCTTTGCGGAGTCTGACTACCGTCGAAAAGCGATCGCGGAGATCCGGAGACTGTCTAGAGGGTAGATAATGATTGTGAGCTGTACAAACTTAATAAATTTATCTTTATCGGATTCGCGAAGAGTGGCCGGATATCAACCGAGTATGTCTGTTGATGTTCATCCAATAAGTAATAATTTCAACTGGAGATGTAGAGCGGCTACGGCGAGACTCCGCGCATTGCGCAAGTGGCCGCATTGGCCACCGTATTTTTTTCTCAATCTTCGCAATTTGGGTCAACGGCAGAAAGATTTGATATCGGTTGGATCTCCAAGCACCCCTCTTCAGGTCTCGAGTTTCCAAAATACCACCATGGAGGACATTCAGAATTCCGCGTCCAATGCAGATTTGTCTGCTGCTCAGCGACAGGTTCGTGTGCAGCTTACCAGCAAGCAAGAAGATATTGCGCTGCCAGACGGCACTGGTCCAATTTTAGTTCCTACTGGTATGTTCTATCTGCATCGGGCATTCTTAAGAACGAAATAAAAAGCAGAAAAAAATGGTCGCATAACTCACTGATTATTACATTAGGCCTGCGAAGATATGCGTTATCCACTCTGGTGAACAACCTCCTCAGTAACGACAAGCCGATTCCATTCGAATTCCTAATCAATGGGACATTTCTTCGGACTTCGATTGACGAATATCTGACTGCCAATGGTATCTCTGCGGAAACAACTTTGGAGATCGAATATGTGAGGGCATTGATTCCTCCGCTGCACATTGCATCTTTCCAGCATGACGACTGGGTAAGCTCGACCGACGTACTCTCCGCCACATCTCCCGCTGCGACATGGGCATCGGCGGCGATCTCTCCGGGTCAGGAGCGTATTCTCTCCGGCAGCTACGATGGTTTACTGCGAGTGTGGAACATGTCATCCCAGGTTGTTGCGACTTCACCACCTGCGGCCGACGGAGGCCATGCAGCATCCATCAAGGCTGCCAAATTCGTTACTCCCAACCAGATCGTATCGGCCGGCCTCGATCGCACAGTGCGCCTTTGGAAATACTCCGAAAGTGAAGACGGGTTTTCGGGCACAATAGCACCTCATCTTGAGCTGTACGGACACAAGTCTGGTATCAACTCGCTAGCGGTGCATGCCCCCTCGCACCGTCTGCTTTCGGCATCTTCTGATCACAGCGTCGGTTTCTGGTCGACCAAGAAATCCGACGCTCCTGCTGCGCCAGAAAACTTGCTTCCCTCGGCCGCTGCACGGAGCTCGAAACGCAGAAAGCTGAACTCCTCTGTGAGCGTTGCCCAGCGAGGACCAGTGGCCCTCCTGTCCTCGCACACTGCACCGGTGTCCGCTGCTATCTTCGATGCCAAGGACTCGACCGTCGGTTATTCGACTTCATGGGACCACTCCCTGCGTACGTGGGATCTTGTTACTGCTACCTTGGTGGATACGCGGACAGCATCCCACTCGCTTCTTTCCCTTGAGCACCTTCCCGAGCTCAGCCTGCTCGCAGCTGGAACCTCGGCCCGTCACATCACCCTCATAGATCCTCGTGCGTCGGCGACCACGATTTCGGCCATGACACTGCGCGGGCATACGAACGCAGTCGTCTCGTTGGCTCGCGATCCTCATAGCACATATGGTCTCATCAGTGGAAGTCACGACGGCACATGTCGGATCTGGGATATTCGGGCCACTAAGGCTGACAAGGATGGTGTTGTTGGCGAGAGCGTGTACACCATCTCGCGGAAGGGTCTGGAAGAACAAGGCAAGGCAGACTCGAAGCGTGTGGGTGGAGAGGGCGTCAAGGTCTTCAGCGTATGCTGGGATAAGACAATTGGCATTGTCAGTGCTGGAGAGGATAAGAGGATCCAAATTAATCGCGGGGAGGGCATGTTGTCCGCGTGAGATGAATTGCACATAGATCAGGCGTTTTGTTGTCGAGTTTAAAAAGTTGAAGTTGATTTCATGTCTTGTCATTTGACCATCTATGTCATGATAAGTCCTATACTTCCGGATACTCTACCTTTGAACATACAATGGAGTGCACAAATAAGTAGGAGATAGCTAGAGATCCGATCGTGTTGAGACTGAATACTCTCGCTTAACATATGGTACATTGATATGGATATTCCAAAATTACATGAAAGCCAAACGAGCATAACGCCATTTCCATGCCCCAAAGCAGAATAGTCGTATCGAAATTACAGTCTTCTCTCCATGCGGTTGAGCTTGACAGCAGTTGAGATCTGTCGGTCATCGTTAGTATATGATTCTTTTCCCGCTTCAAAAGACACGTAGCACGGCAATATTATTGACCGTAAATACGCTCAGCTCCATAGCACACAAGCAAAGACAGGGAAACCCACCTGTGTCCTAGTTCTCTGTCCCCGCACCGGCAACCCCAATGCATGGCGCCTACCACGATAGGAACCCGTCTCCTTCAGCCGCTTGATATCATCCAGTACCTGTCTGCGGAGGTCGTTTTCAATTTTCATATCGGACAAAGCAGCTGTGAGGTCCAAGACCTGCTTGTTTGCAAGATCGCCAACCTTGCAGGTTGGGTGGATGTGGAAGCGGGCAAGGAGACGCGCGGAGGCGAGAGGTCCGACGCCGAAGAAAGACTGGAGGGACTTCTGTATCAAGTTGTTAGATTGGAAATTCCGCACGAGCTTGAAAATGAGGTGATTTGGCTGCGGGGGTTGCGGGTTGATGCGCTTGCCTTGACGAGGTTCCGCTCAGGGAAGTTGACACCAAGAATGAAGACCTGTATTTATGGTGGTGAGTACGTGCTCCTGAAGTGGTTTTGGAGGGACATACCATTGTGAACAGCTATGATCTGATCTGCGAGCTTCTTGCTATCGAATTGTTCCCCAATGCGCTGGGCTGCTGTCAACGACCGCCAGTTGATCTCCGGATTGCGGGAAGAAATTCAGCTGCAAAAATGTTTCTCCGATGAAGCAACTTGAAGCTAATGTAATGGAGACGTGTGGAAATTTGAAAATTATGCTCCTGTGGATATAATTGGCAACAGTCGTTTCCAATTTGCAAACCTTTTCGGTTAGATCAACTAAAAAATACCGCTAATGTTTCATGTTGCAACCATCTTGGCATCTCCGCATGACAGACAATTGCAAGCTGGCCTCGACTAACTACTTCCTTCGCTTCCCCCACGACTTGATTTATTAGTCCTCTCACAGCCCATCGTCTGCAATCCATCCAGAACGGTGCATTGTGAGCAGTCATGTACTTCAAAAACCTCTTCTTGTCCCTCTTCCTGGTCTTCGCGGCTGGACTCGCTCTGGTCCACGCTGCGGAGTCTAAGGAACCACGAGGCCCCAAGATCACCACCAAAGTAATTGAGTTACCCCCTTGAGTGCTCAGATGCAGTGCTAACAACCGGCTGCATAGGTCTACTTTGACATTGAGCATGGAGACAAGCCCCTGGGACGAATTGTGATGGGATTGTACGGCAAGACCGTTCCCAAGGTAAGTCGCCATACTTAATCTCCGTCGGACCAACGCTTACAGAGAACGTTGCTTAGACCGCTGAGAACTTCCGGTACGACGACCGATCCCGCTGGATATCTTTGAAATCTCAATACTAAACCTACTATAGGGCTCTGGCTACTGGCGAGAAGGGCTTTGGCTATGAGGGCTCTACTTTCCACCGTGTTATCAACGATTTCATGATCCAGGGCGGTGACTTCACCCGCGGTGATGGTTGGTACTCCGGACAGAATTATATTGCAGTGTGTATGCTTACAGCCTGTTACATGTAGGCACTGGCGGCAAGTCGATCTATGGTGAGAAGTTCGCGGATGAGAACTTCAAGATCAGACACACCAGAAAGGGTCTTCTCAGTATGAGCTTCCTTAGGCCCGCTGATATCAAGTGCGCAAGATGCTAATTTTGTTAGGCATGGCGAACGCTGGCCGGGATACCAACGGCTCCCAGTTCTTCATCACGACTGTTCCTACTGCGTAAGTCTTCTTCCTTTCTTTCGATTCTGAACCTAAGCGGGCAGCAAGCTGATGTTTCATGTTGCATCAGATGGCTGGATGGCCGCCACGTTGTGTTCGGCGAGGTCCTTGAGGGCTACGACGTTGTTGAGAAGATTGAGAACGTTCCCAAGGGACCTGGCGACAAACCCGCCACGACCGTCAAGATCGCAAAGAGCGGAGAGATCAAGGACGAGACCACGGAATCTACCAAAGGTAGCCAACACGAGGAGCTCTAAACCCGTTCCTGGTCATTTCTTGCTCCTTTAAGAGGAACCCTAATGTGCTGACGGTAGAATGACCGTCAGAACAAGAATCCACTGAAGAGCTTCACCAAGAACACCCATCGGAGGTATCGGAGGCGGCTACGTTGCGCGAATCGTCATTGTTCACTCGTCAAAACGTTGCAGTGGTGTTCATCCTGGTTGTTGTGGTTGTAGTCTTGAAGAGTGTCGTGAAGAGGAAGGGACAGAGCGGCAAGTGGGACGAGAGGAGCGAAGTCTAAACGATAAGCTCGAGTTCACCAGTCTATAGATATATTGCAGTTTTTACCAAATTCCCCCCAAGTCGCCGGCGAACAGTTAAATCGTGCTAGTACTAGATACCCCGTAGGACATTTTCCTTGGGATCACGGACGTAACATGACCTACTGGTCGATCAGTGGCAAACGTCTGTCTGATGAACATACCATGGAATCATAAGCAAGTGGCAATGTGGAATAGATGTCTTGAGTTGAATTTCAGCGACGGAGTTGATAGGTACAACTGAAAGTAGTGCAGAATCTGCCTATCCTTTTTGACGCCCTGAGTTTCAGCATGATTGACTTCCGCTACCCCTAGTATTCCGTCCATCCCCGTGAAAGACCACGATGGTGAGTATCTGGTCACTTTCTGAAACCATGTCTTCTGCAACTTGGAGAAGAAACACTACCTAAGGCGTCACCGGTACAGCAATAGTACTGTATTGCCTTTCAATACATACCTAGCTATTATTGAGTAGGTAGGTAACCACAATCAATAGCTACATAATAGCCCTAGAGGATCATGTCACCGTACATATGGACTACCTATGGAGTCTCCGTGTTCTCCTGCTTGGCATTCGCCATTCTGTCTGGCCAAGTGGATTGATTCCATTTAACCTTTTATAGATTGGTCCACCAGTGCAAATGGCTGCCCTTACATAAGACGCTGTCCATACCTTACCTTACCATTACCGCCAGCTAAGCCAGTGGTAATGGGTATTACAAACTTTCGAGCCAGGTACCTACCTACATACCTTACCTAGGTATGGAGAAGGGAAGTCTTGCAACTGCAAGACAGACAAGAGGAGTACAGAGTAAGAAAACCAAAAAGCATAGACCACTGTAGATTGTGGCTTCAAACATCATCGGTGTGATGTGGTTTAATTAACAGGGAAGTTCGATATAGATAGATAGTACGGAGTATGACTAGCTATCTACAGAGTATCTTAGATTCTGATCATCTAAATCCATCCCTTCTTGAGAACCCAAGCTATCCCTGTATTCCTGAAAGACGCAGAAGTAAGAGGCAAACCCCATCCGTCTCATTGTAGGTCTGGGTCAACCGTGAGGCTGGATGACTTATCTAGATTCGCATACTCCGTAGTAAATCTGGATATCCAGTCAGACCCTTTTTTTTCCTTCTTCTTTCTATGTTAAAGAAAAAATTTTACAAAATTTTTTTAATTTTTTTTTCCCGTTGGATTTTTTTCGCCTCCATTGTTGGCAATCCAAAATTACCTACACTTCCCCTACTAAAAAAAAGAAAAGAAAAAGAAAAGAAAAAAAAAAAACTTGGATCTTCCCACAAAACCAAACCCTTCTCGCTCTCTTCCATCATTCTGCTCGCTCCCCTCCGCCTAAGAAACTACTCTGCCTTCTTAACCTCTAAAATTCCCCTTCACACATCTTTCTCTTTCCCTCCATCCCTCCCGCATCATCTATCATCTACTACTGTCTTTCTCTTAGTCCTTTTTCTTTCTTCTTTTGCAAAGATTTGATAGAGGGCTAGATCTGGGAGACTTGCTTGTTTTCATCATTTCTCTTTCCACAGATCTTTTCGATTCTTCACCCTTGTGTTATTTTTTTACGTCGCCACTTGATAAGAAGAGACTACGACTCTGTTTTCTGACGGATTCTCACGTTTCTCTCTGGGAGAATCTCTAGCATTCCTTATTCGGTGTCGACCATCAGATAATCTTCTAATATAGATTGATTGTCTGCTTTTCAAGCTCAAACAACACATCACGACCCTTCGAATTGTACGTGGAATAAACCGTGCCTTTCCTAAACATACAACGGATTTCACAGTATCTCCCGACTACACGCCGAGATTGAATTCGAATTGCTCATTTGTTCTTTTTTTTTTCTAAATAGTCATTTCAACTCTCGCAAACATGGCCGACGGATTGAACATGGGAAACCTTTCCCTCAACGACTCCCAGCATGCGCCTGCTGGCCCTGGTAACACTGGCCGCGCTGCCTACATCCCTCCCCATCTCCGTGGGCGCGCTGGGGGTGCCAACGTCGACGCTGCTGCCGCTGCTGCTCCTCCTCCCGGTCCTGCGGCCTGGAACGGTCCCAGGTATGTATCACATAATCTCCTTCACCTCCTTTTTTGAGTATCTTGGCTAACGATGGCATGATCGGTCACAGACAAGGCGCCCCTCCCCGTGGTGGCAACTGGGCTAACGCCAACGCCTCTGATTTTAGCCCTCGCGCTCCCAGTGGTCCCAATGGTAACAACAGCTGGACTCCCTCGGAAGGTCAACGCCGGCCATTTGATCCCCATGCTTACGGACACCCAGGTCACGGAGGCTCCTACGGTGGTTCCCAGGGCGCCTCTACTAGAGGCTCTGGAGATGGCCAGTGGCGTGATGGCAAGCACATCCCTGGTCCCGCGAACGCCCGCCTGGAACGTGAACTTTTCGGTGTTCCCAACGATCCTACCAAGCAGAGCACCGGTATTAACTTCGCCAACTACGACGATATCCCTGTCGAAGCTTCCGGTCAAGATGTCCCCGAGCCCGTCAATGCTTTCACGAACCCTCCCCTGGACGACCACCTGATCTCGAACATCAAGCTCGCTCGTTACCAGACCCCTACCCCCGTCCAGAAGTACTCCATCCCCATTGTCATGAACGGTCGTGATCTCATGGCTTGTGCCCAGACCGGCTCCGGAAAGACTGGTGGTTTCTTGTTCCCCATTCTCTCTCAGGCTTTCCAGAAGGGTCCCTCCGCCGTGCCTGCTCAGGCTTCCGGTCAGATGAGCTACGGCCGTCAACGCAAGGCTTATCCCACTTCCCTGATCCTCGCCCCCACTCGTGAGCTTGTTTCTCAGATCTTCGACGAGGCCCGCAAGTTCGCCTACCGCTCTTGGGTTCGCCCCTGTGTTGTGTACGGTGGTGCCGACATTGGCTCCCAGCTCCGCCAGATCGAGCGTGGCTGTGATCTGCTCGTCGCTACTCCCGGTCGTCTGGTTGACTTGATCGAGCGTGGCCGCATTTCGCTCGTCAACATCAACTACCTGGTTCTCGACGAGGCTGATCGTATGTTGGACATGGGTTTCGAGCCTCAGATTCGCCGTATCGTCGAGGGTGAGGATATGCCTTCGGTCAACGAGCGCCAAACTCTCATGTTCTCGGCTACCTTCCCCCGCGATATCCAGATGCTCGCCCGTGACTTCCTGAAGGACTACGTCTTCCTGTCCGTCGGTCGTGTCGGTTCGACCTCCGAGAACATCACTCAGAAGGTCGAGTACGTTGAAGACGTTGACAAGCGCTCCGTTCTGCTCGATATCCTCCACACCCATGGCACCAGCGGTCTGACCCTCATCTTCGTTGAGACCAAGCGCATGGCCGATGCTCTGTCCGACTTCCTCATCAACCAGCGCTTCCCCGCTACCGCCATCCACGGTGATCGTACTCAGCGTGAGCGTGAGCGTGCTCTGGAGATGTTCCGCTCCGCACGCTGCCCCATCCTCGTTGCCACTGCTGTCGCTGCTCGTGGTCTTGATATCCCTAACGTCACCCACGTTATCAACTACGATCTTCCCACTGACATCGATGATTACGTCCACCGCATTGGTCGTACCGGTCGTGCCGGTAACACCGGTATTGCCACTGCTTTCTTCAACCGTGGCAACCGTGGTGTCGTCCGTGAGCTGATCGACCTTCTGAAGGAGGCTCACCAGGAGGTTCCCTCTTTCCTGGAGAGCATTGCTCGCGAAGGCAGCGGATACGGCGGCCGTGGCGGTCGCGGTGGCCGTGGCCGTGGTGGCAATGCCAACCGCGATGTGCGCCGTATGGGCGGTGCCATGGGTGGCGGTGCTCCTTCCTTCGGCGGAGGTAGCTACGGTGGCCCCGGTGGCAGCTACGGCGGCGGCAGCTATGGTGGTGGTGCTGCTGCTCCATCCTATGGCGGTGGCTACGGCGGTGCCAGCGGCGGTGGCGGCAGCTACGGTGGCAGCTATGGCAACCCCTCTGGCCCCACTGGACCTTCTTCGTGGTGGTAAATGCGGGGATTGTGGTCCTTGGCAAGGCCGTCGACTCTGAGCATCCCTTCCATTCGATGGATACGATCAGCAAAACGAGCTCTGAGGTTCTTGATTCTTATTCTCTCGCCCCCTTCCCTTATCATCTCTCAGGATCGGCTTTGTCACGACCGCCACGATTTCCTTTTTTCTTTTCTGTGATTTGTCTCTTCCTTCTTTGGGCTTGCGGTGTTTTATTTGTTCAGCATTTCGCGATTTGCTATCTTGTTTGTCTTCTCCATCTGCTTAGACATGGGACATTCGATGCGGTCGGATATCTCCGTCTCTACATGGCTCCTGACTATGCCTGTGGTATGGTCACGGGCACTTTGGACGGCCTTGCATGATTATCATAGATCGCGTTGAATTTCCTGCTACGACCGCTTTTATCAGATACCCTTACCTGTTTTTCAAGCGTCCATGTGGAGGTACGCTTGAACGATTTGCGCCGAGCGCGTGTGCCGGCTTTTCGTCTTCAGAAAAGTGCTTTTTATGGTTTTCATATGCTCGGTGCTGTTGCAGCTGCATCGACCGTGTCTTGCAACATAGATCTCTTATGGTTTCGGTATCTAAAGGCGGGCCTGTTGTTTGTCTTATTTGTTTTCTCTCTCTCATCGCTCTGCTTTCATCATGCACATGCGCCGTTCCTCTTCCTGTGGAAGTTATGCTTCCTTCTCCGAGCTATGTCATTTCTTTCTGCCAACTTTTCAATGGGGCATCCTGGGTCTGCGCATCAACACGGGCACGAAGGGGGGAGTAGTGGTCAAGCGGCAATCTTTGATCATGAGCCCTCTTCCGGCGTGTTCTCTTTCATTTTCTTATCATTGGCACTCTGTTTTCTCATCGTCGGTGCATCAACTACTCGATGCGAGTGCAATAGATGGGATTATTTGCATTGTGTTTGGCGTTGACTTTGAGCGGCTGTGTCCACAACAAAATATTCTCTACACTGGGGTCCGTGGAGAGGCTTGACATTTTGAATGGGAGCTGTTTTCTGTTTCATTTACTCGGATCCTCGGAGGATGGGAAGCTGCTTTGCTGGCGCTATGATGGTCATGCTGGTTTCGGAGGCATCATCGTTTTCTGTCAGGAGCAGCTTTGGGCTTTTGAGCCTTTTCATGGCATGGCGTAGCTCATGGAGACCTCCTTGTCTCGCGAGAAGAGAGCTACCTTTATTTTCATCAATACAAAAAAGTTTATTCGTTATTCTCTTCCACCTCTTGTAGGACTGGACGAAGGAGTTGGAATGACATTAAAAGGTACCTGAGTAAGCTACCTCGACATACATACAATGGTAGCCCAAGATACTCTGGGAGGAATGTACTATTCCCTTTCTAGGGATGACTGATTCCATCCATGCTATCTCAGTACATTTTCCAACCTCTCTCTGCTTGCTGCGCATTGCCGGGGGATATCACTACTCAGTGTGGACAAAATCGCCATACCTTTCAGATAAAGAGAACTAGATAGACTGAGAATAGCTCTGATCGTACCGTATCGTATAAATTATCTCAGGATACCTTATTGGTTGGTCCATGAGGATTTACATAATCTGAAGCTTTGCATATACTGTTATCCTCATCTGGTTCAAAGCCGTGAATGCTCTCTATTGATCAGGACCACATCGATCAACAAATATTATTTAAATGACTAGAAAAAAAAATTCTGTCCAACTTGGAGCAATTTGTATATGAAGAGACGGGCAATAGCTCGAACGTATCTACCTCGTGGTGGGTTCGTTGAGACGAGCCGAAACCACTCTCTCTCCAGAGGATGCTGTAAATGTAATAGTAATTCTGTATAGCAAAAGAACCCGCCAGGCAAAAGATCCCGGAAAGCCAGAAGAATTAATTATTGGCACCAAGAACCACACAACGCTCCTTTTGTCCTCCTTCTTCTCTCTTCCATCCAACCCCGAGACTACCACCTCACTCATCAACCTTCTCATCATCGTTATCTGTCCTTCTCCTCGTTTCTCATCTCTTCCTGGCTTTCTCTCGCTCTCCCTTACACTATCTACCGGTTCACTTATGCCATCACTTTCCTACATTTAGGGAATTACACGCTACCCTGATTCTCGATCTGCCCCCGGCCCTGACGACGTGTGACGCCCCCCCCTCTGGGGCACGAACAAGCATTTTTCACAACCTCGATCACTCGCGCCAAGTTCGCAAACAATACTCTTTGCTTATCGAGTAATCAATCGATCGCTCCCAAGCGGCGGGATCCCCTCGAAGATGGCCGACGCCGAAAGCATCATCGCAGACGAGTTGTTTGCGCCGTCTGAAAACCCGGACGAGTCGGCAGCGCACAGCACGGTGAGCGCGACGGTCGGAATCCGACGTCAGGCGAATGGCACCATCGGCTCTGTCTACTCGGGAAATAAAATCAGACACCTGAAGAAGGAGGATGGCATGCCGCTCTGGCGCAAGGATATCCAGTACCAGTTCCTCAAGCTTGTCTTCGAGGACAAGACGCCGGTCTTCACTCGCTGGTCCGACGGGAAGAAGAACCTGGACTTCGCTGATATTTATATCGATGCGATGGCCAAGAGCAGCAAGACGAGCAAGATCCTCAAGGATAAGCTGCAGAGTGACAAGCAAGCTGCCATCAACATGGCTATGGTTTGTCTGCTTGTCAACTTTGGACGGATGAATACCACTCTCAACTGTATGCCCTCACCCCGCGTAACTCTGGGATTGATCGGAGGATTCTTCTCCCATGTGTGTCCGTTCCTTCTCTCTGCTGACTTGTGCTCTCCAACCTTATAGTCTTCCCGGAAATGCGCGCTCAGCTGCGGACGTATCACTCCATCCCTTCGTTGCAAGCACACCAGGACCCCAATGCGTACAAGCAGCTTCAAGATGCTCCCCGTCTCAAGTCAATCCTCAAAGGCGCATCGGAGGACATCGACCAGCCTAATAACCTCGAAAGAATCAAGCGCTTTCCGGTTCCTCGGACGAATCCCGTACACCTAATCTTTGTCCTAGCACAGTTCGCTCCTAGAGTATCGGAGCTCCACTTCTTCCCTCCTCGAGATTTCTTCGATCTCGTCATGAGGTCGACCTTGAGCAGTAAAAGCCGTGCCAGAGCTTTTCTGTGGTTGATGTGGTGGTATCTGGAGAGCGATTACTCGCGTGAAGCTGCCCTCAACAACCCGTTCGGCCCCGGTCAAGATGGCGAAGGAACGGGGGGCCTACCGATCAAAGTGCCCAACTTCGAAAGCCTCACGGAAGAGCAGGCCAACGAGGAAAACGTGGATACCCCGTCTGAAATCGAATACGGGGAAGCGAAACGCCTGGAGCGTAAACGTACAGCTGCACTGCATTACTCAATGCTATCTCTTTTCTTTGCTGCCTAGACTGACGTTCTCTACATAGGGATACTGGAGGAAGATGAGCCGCTCCCCAGGCCTCCGAAGCGTGCCAGAAAACGTAGTTTTCACCTCTGCCTCATTCATTTGAAAAAAAAAAAAAAAATCTAGCTAACCCTTTGTATAGCCCCATTTGACTACTTATACCAAGATAGCCCGCCTGCCGCGGACGGTTCAAAAGCGATTTCAGGTAATTCAGTCCCTGGCCCTGCATGGGTGGTACACCGTTTGCTAAGCTCACCTTTCTTCCAGGTGCTCCCGATTCCCTTTATGGAGGATTGGCCAAGCGTCCAGCGGATGAAGACGACGGCTATCTGACGCCAAGCCAGTCATCTCGCTCTCAGTCCAAGCGGCCCAAACGAGAGTCTTCGCTCAACCGCTCAGTCGGTCAGCAGCGTCTGATTCTCAAGACAAAGATGGAACAGACCCCCGATGCTTCGTCTCCAGCACCTCCTGGCTCGGGTCATCCAATCTTAAATAGATTTGTCACCGAGTCTACAATTGGGCAGCCGGCCACGGCTCGCCGACCCCGGCCACTCACTCAGCACCAGTTGGCTGTTGAACAAAATCGGCGCCAACGCATTGATTATCTGCTGGCTAAGCGTCGAAATGAGGCATACCGGATTCTCCGTGCGAAGCGGGAAAGTGAAATTCCCTTTGCACGCTACGGCCGTCTGCTGCAAAGTCTCCCAGATGGCTACGATACAGATGATGATGAAACCTCGTGGGGCAAAGGTGGTTTGATTCCTCACCACACGGAGGAGGAGGATTTCGGCGAAAGTGCGAGCTACGTCTTGTCTGTGATCCGCAAGACCTCCAGACGGCTGGATCGCTGGGATTACGAGAATGCCAATGGTCCGAAGAGAGACAGAAAGAAGGAGCGGGAAGAGCGCCAGAAAGCAAAACAGGATGGATATGCCATGGATGCCCTGGACATGAGCGGCCGCGCCTCGATGTCGGCCCGCAGCCGGGCTCGCGCTGCACGTAATGCCAGACGGAAGCTCGCGGAGGCGCAAGCGGCTGGAGCCGCTGCTGCTGCGGGTGCAACAGGTGAAGACGCCTCCAAGGGGAAGACTGCCCCGGCCTCCCGTTCCAAGAGCAGCCGAAGTCGTCCCAGTCGTGCCGCTGGAGCCACGGCGGGCTCTGCCAAGGATCACCTTGATGTTCCCTCTCGCGACCGGGAGCTATCGCCTCTACCTCCTTCCCGTTTGGGCGACGAGGATGTTGATCTCGACGGCGATGCTCTCGATGATCTCGATCGTGAACTACTCGGCGAAGGAAGCGACGATGAGGACGATGTGGCTGATCATGGTGATCGGTCGTCGCGCCCCGGCGGACCTGGCTACGAGGATAGTTTCGTCGGTGAAGGTGCGGGTGTGGATGACGACGCAGAAGGGCTCTCCTCTGACGAAGACGTTGACGATGAGGATCTGGACGGAGGTGTCGACATGGACGGGGAAGGGGATGACAATTCGTCCATTCTCGAGGGCGGAAATGGGTACGCTGGCAGCGAGACCTCCTCCATCGCCGGCGACACCACGGCTATCATGAATGATGGCCCTGAACTGTAAGGATATTGTCTTCTTCCTTTCTCTCGTCTTGCTCTCTTTTGTACTGTATGCTCTACACCCCCTGGTTTTTCTCTTTCTTCCTTGTTGTCCTGGAATATCACCACCAATTCCATCTGCATCTCATGTCCTTCTCTTCTGCTTTGTCCCGGTCCATCTCTGCATGTATCTTTCCCATGTGATGACACACGTCTTGTTACCATTGCAGGGCATCTTTTAACTGCATCGAAGCACCGGGTCCCTTTGTTTCTGTTTTCTTCTCTTTCTTTTTCTTCTTTTACTATAGGTAGCATCAACATGTACTCCTCGACACAGTTGTCTTTCCATCTACAGGACCACCAATTCCGAATTATTTATTCGAGTCCTACAGTTGCCTGTGTCAGTACCGGAGAGACCGATCAAGGCAAGGCAGATGAAGAACATCAGACAATATGCGGCCAGACCTTCAATCGGTCACTATCACGTTCATATTGATGATGAATATGTTTTCACGTTGAAGCCTCTTCGTCAGCCAAGCAAATCAGAGACATACTGGGGGAGGGGGTGCCTCCCTACCTAGTCGGTCATTCCTAGTGGCCCGATGTATGGAGGAAATCAGTCCATCCAGGCTCCATTCTGAAGGTGGTCGCAAGGATCTACAGGTTTCGGCGGAAGATATAATAGCCAGAACCAATCACGATAATCAGATCCCATAGTATAGTCTATAAAGTATTAACATGATTGATTAATTACTCGTTCTGAAGTCGTCATTTCATTAGAAAGTTGTTGGGAAGACGAGGATTTGATGATTTCATGGATGCTCATTATTGACATGTGAAAAATTCCCCCATAGAAATTTTGCTGCTTCAACACAACACAACAAACACACACTCTCTCTCTCTCTCTCTCTCTCTCTCTTTCCACTTTATACTTCGATATTGTTAGAAGTATCTGTCCGTCTATCTATCTATCTACAGGAGACAGACAGGTTTTTTTTTGAGTCATCACAGACTCTCCTCATCTTGGTGATCTATCTAGCTAGATTTCGGTCTATCTGTCAGTCACACCATCTCCTAACCCCCAGAAAATCCGCCGATCTCGTCAATCAATCAGCACCAATTCTCAGTCTGCAAGAGGTGCTCCACCCCCAACGCATTCAAAGTCCGAACAAGTCGGCGCTCTCGTTGATCCTTTTCCAAATTGCGTCGTTGACTTGTTGTCTTCCAGAGCTCAAACCTTCGCTTATTATTAGCCTGCTCGGCGACTTTGCAGTCTTTGGCTGCAGCTACTAGCTCGAGGTGCAGCTCTTCCCAGTGTCCTGCGGCAACTGCTGACAGGTCCTTGACCTCTTGCTCTTGTCTCTGCCTCTCTCTATCTATCGCCTCTTCGTCTCTCCCCACTCCGATCCCCCTCCCAGGAGATCACGTTCACTATTTGAGGAGAATTCGGTCCTTTTATTCCCTGCCAGGCGACGATATTAAATACCGCACAGCCTTCCCGATCGTGACTTGAACTCGTCATCCCCCGAAATCGCTGTTAGAGTTTGAACAACCCGCCATTCGCAAGGCTGTGTTTACCCTTACTTTCCAAGGGGAATCTGAACGATCACGGTTCAGCTCTCCTTCTGCATCACAAATCTTCTAGTCGTCGTTGACCCCACAACCATTGCCTGTCATGTCCGATGAACCTACCATCCTCCGTCCCCGTCCCCGGCGTATCTTCGACCTGACACCCTCGAACGAGTCGTCGGAGACTTCCACCCCTGCCGAACCCGCGAACCCGGACCTGCTGAACCCTAAGGAGACCAGCTCGACCAGCGTGAGCCGCAATGCGTCGATTTTGAACCTGACGTCGTCCACGCTATACGGTATTTACTCCCCGACGGCGTTCGAGAGCACCCGTGAAGAGTCCAGTCCCTGGGGCACAGAAGCGCAGACGCCCAGCTCGGAGACTCTACCGGCCATCCAGACACCGTCAGAAGGGCCGGATCCCTTGGCTTTGCAGAGGACTCGGTCGCGCCTCAGCCATGGCCTGTTCCGCGGGGTGATTCTGCCCCAGGTGGTGAGAAGTGCGCTTCTTTTTGGCTTCGGTGTGATCTACGGGGTTATCACTGTGCATCTACATGAGAACCACTGGATCACGCCGGTGAAGTTGGAGAACATCCATGATTACGACTCGTGGCAATACCTTGGGTTCTGGGGCTTCAGTGGAGTGGCGCTGGGTAACTTCCTGCCCTGGCTCGATTCTTTTGCAGAGCAGATGGATGCAAACCGTTCCCGCGCACCCAAGGGACAGGGCAACACTCGTGACCGCGAAGACCGCACGCCTGCTTGGGTTTCAGTGGCTCGAAGCGTTGGGGCGTTTGTCGGAATTGCCTTTGCTCTGGTAAGCAATCCCATGCCTTTCTTTTTACAATCTTTGTTGTCTTCTACACGATTTCAATGCTAACTGGAGTCTCATCTACAGCGAAAGCTTCCCTGGGAATCCACTACTCAGGCCTCTGCTACTCTTGCTCTCGTCAACCCTGTTCTGTGGTATCTCATCGACCGCACGAAGGCCGGGTTCCTGTTATCGACCGTGGTTGGACTGGCAGGGACCGCTGTGGTATTGGGCCTGAAGCCAGAGTTAATACCGACATCCACAGAGACTCCCGCAGCTAGCATCCCGCTACTGAACAACACGAGCCGAGACTTTGGATTGGTCTCAGGCGTCACACAAGAGGGCGCTGCGGTCCGCATCTGGTTGGCGAGTGTTCTCTTCTGCGCGTGCGTCTGCTTTGGCAACGTTGGCCGACAATTGGCCATTGGAGGTGGAGGCAAGTATGGGCTGGAATAGGTCCCATGACTTCCTCACTCTCTTATATTCGATAATTCCCCTTTGGAGTTTTTTTTTTTTTTTCTTCTTTCGTGTTTGGGTTGCAGAAATTTGGGAGGTCTGCTATGTTTCTGGCACCGTCTGTTCTTGGTAACCCAGTTATTGCCTTTGCTGGCTACCCGCATCGACAAGTGTCTCCTAGTATTGAAGGTCCATAATGAACAATGGAAATGATCACGGTAGCTCAAAGGGATAAGCCACACACATTCCTCGTAGAAGAATATACGACCCCAACCTACGAAGCTCCCGATTTCTTCCGTTTACGTCCAAGACCCTCCACGGAATCCTTTTCATGCACTGAGCAATAGCGAAGTGAAGGTACTCTACAATTTAGAAAGCTCTACGAGTTCATAAAGAAAAAGAAAAAAAAAAAAAGGCTGTAGAGCCAATCATTGCAGTCCCTTCCACCGAGCCCGTCGAAGACGAGATCAAGTCAGGCACTGCACCCAAGATCGGCCCTATGCAGAAAAGCAATCCCTCTCCATTCTCTATGACGATTTCCGTACTTCATAGGCCCATCTCAAGAAGATGAGTGGGGTCCTCGTAGGAACGCTTTTGAAAGAATGTTGTTTTTTTGCGTTGTTCATGAAGAAGAAAAAAAAAGAAGAAAAAAGGAATCAAAAGAAATGGTCGGCCGGATGGTGGTTTTGTGCTCGCGAGGGCGGTCTGAGTTGGTCTGTGCGGCGTCAGGTGATTTGCTTAGCGTGGCTCGTTTGTTGCTAGATAGACGAAGTATATGCGAGAGATGCATAATTATGTAAGCTGGTACAGCTATGTCGCTATGCAGATATGCAGCTTTAAGATTTCGAGGGCTAGTGATCATGTGGGAAACAAGGTCTTTCGTAAGTTACAGCATGTGGCGTCGAAAGAAGCACGCCGGGGGGGATAAGTTACGGTATTGCGATTACTCCGAGAACGGCGGGCAATTCTTACCGTCCCGCGAGGCGGTGATTAACCCCGCGGTGGGACATGCAAAAGATTTGACTTGTCATCCGATACTGACAGAGTATATTATTGTCTAGCTTGGTCGTCGCTGTTCATTGAGATAGTCGGCATCTTTCTTTGACTCAGTTCGAGCTACCATCTATTCTCAGGTATGTAGAAGCTTTCTGTTCTAGTCCTACTCTGATTACCCTGTGGTTCAATCGGGTTAAGGTCGTCTGTCTTCGGCGGGGGGCTTTCTCTACGACTTGTTACCTAACTATTATCTGAACTTTTTTTTTCCCGCGACTATCCCGTCATTCTGACTCTGTTGTGATCTAGTGTCCCATCACTGTCGGTGTCTCATAATGTCCCAGCAAAAGTCGGGTAGGTTCATTGCCTTGCTCTCGCATCCTCTGCTTCTTATGCGCCTTGATCGGAGCTGGGAGTCTGCTGCTCGCCCAGTACCAGAGACTGCCCTGGTTCCTTCCCCCGCACTTTCGACTCGATTGGTGTGAGCTTCAGACTGACGCGAGTTTGTACCGCTTTGATTGAATAGCTATCCTCTCCGTCTATGACAAGACCGGACTCCTTGACCTGGCCAAGGGCCTGGTTAAGCAGAATGTCCGTCTGCTTGCGTCCGGCGGCACTTCGAAGATGATTCGTGAGGCTGGATTCCCTGTTGAGTGAGTCACCGCCTGGAAAGCTCGATCTGATCTCGTTTGGATTGAATCCAGTGAGCTGATTTGGAATTGTAATCTGACAGGGATGTTTCGGCCATCACTCACGCTCCCGAGATGCTCGGTGGTCGTGTCAAGACCCTGCACCCCGCGGTTCACGGCGGTATCCTTGCCCGTGACATCGAATCCGATGAGAAGGATCTATCCGATCAGAACATCGCCAAGGTCGACTTCGTCGTCTGCAACCTATACCCCTTCAAGGAGACCGTCAACAAGGTCAACGTCACCATCGCTGAGGCCGTCGAGGAGATCGATATCGGCGGTGTGACCCTCCTCCGGGCTGCTGCCAAGAACCACGCTCGTGTCACCATTCTCTCTGATCCCAATGACTACCCTGAGTTCCTGAAGGAGCTGGAGACCGGTGAGATCTCCGAGGACAGCCGTAAGCTGTACGCCCTCAAGGCCTTCGAGCACACCGCCGACTACGACTCCGCCATCTCGGGCTTCTTCCGCAAGCAGTATGCCGGTAACGGTGAGCAGTATCTCCCCCTGCGCTACGGCACCAACCCCCACCAGAAGCCTGCCGCTGCCTACATGCAGGAAGGCAAGCTGCCCTTCAAGGCTTTAAATGGCTCCCCCGGCTATGTCAATCTGCTCGACGCTCTCAACGCGTGGGCTTTGGTCAAGGAGCTCAAGCAGGCTCTTGGTTACCCTGCTGCTGCCAGTTTCAAGCACGTCTCGCCTGCCGGCGCCGCCGTCGGTGTCCCCCTGACCGAGAAGGAGCGCAAGGTCTACATGGTCGATGACATTGCCGGTATCGAGTCCTCCGGCCTGGCTCAGGCCTATGCTCGCGCCCGTGGCGCCGACCGCATGTCCAGCTTCGGCGATTTGCTTGCCCTCAGCGACGTCTGTGACGTCCCCACTGCCAAGATCATCTCCCGTGAGGTCTCGGACGGTGTCATCGCTCCCGGTTACACTCCCGAGGCTCTGGAGATCCTGTCGAAGAAGAAGGGTGGCAAGTACCTTGTCCTGCAGATGGATGAGAGCTATGTCCCCGCCGCCGAGGAGACCCGCACTCTGTACGGTGTCCAGCTCAGCCAGCACCGCAACGACGTTGTCATCTCGCCTGAGAAGACCTTCAACACCATCATCACCCCCAAGGACCTGAAGGCCCTCCCCGACTCCGCTCTGCGGGATCTCACCGTGGCTACCATCGCCCTGAAGTACACTCAGTCCAACTCGGTTTGCTACGCCCTGAACGGTCAAATCGTCGGTCTGGGCGCTGGTCAGCAGAGCCGTATCCACTGCACTCGTCTGGCCGGCGACAAGGCTGACAACTGGTGGATGCGCTTCAACGACCGCGTTATCAACATCAAGTGGAAGGCTGGCACCAAGCGCGCTGACAAGAGCAATGCCATTGATCTGCTCTGCTCTGGACAGACTCCCCGCAACGATGCCGAGAAGGCCGAGTACGAGCGTGTCTTCGAGGAGGTTCCTGCTCCTTTCACCCAGGAAGAGCGTGACAGCTGGCTCGCGAAGTTGGGCGAGGTCGCCGTCTCCTCCGATGCTTTCGTGAGTATCCCCAATCACACTAGTCATCTGAGGCCTGTTTCACAGTGCTAACATATCATGAACCTAGTTCCCCTTCATCGACAACGTGTTCCGTGCCGCTCGCTCGGGTGTCAAGTACATCGCCGCCCCCAGCGGCAGCCAGAACGACGGCCCCGTCTTCGAGACTGCCGAGAAGCTTGGCATCGTCTTTGTTGAGCAGGGCACTCGTTTGTTCCACCATTAAGTTCGGTTATTCTGCGCGGGTAGTATGAGGTGGACCTACAGTGGTGTGCGGTCGTTTGATGATCGTACAGATATGAAAATTGATACCCTGTGGGGGGATTCGAGTCCAAAAGTGTTTGATGACTTGATGTGATATGGCATGTGTTGGCGATGACAATAGCGCCCGTAACGTACAGAACTCGTGTAGATTCAACTCAATACCATTATGTTCACTAATATCAACGAATTTCGAGACGCTGTATTCGCCTTAGATACTACTCGACACTAGGGGAGCAAATAAGAACGGATAAAAAAGGAGCTCCTCCTTTTGCCTGTTATGATATAGTGAGAGTAGAAGAAGGAGGAAAAAAAGAAATTGCTCACATGCGGATTTGAACCGCAGACCTCATGATTACTAGTCATGCGCTCTACCAACTGAGCTATGCGAGCTGCGAAAAGAAGTTGCCCTGGGACCTGCTCACATGCGGATTTGAACCGCAGACCTCATGATTACTAGTCATGCGCTCTACCAACTGAGCTATGCGAGCTAATAGAGAGGTGTACCCGGTGGACATGCTCACACGCGGATTCGAACCGCGGACCTCATGATGGCGTACCAGGCGAATTGCCGTGGTATACTAGTCATGCGCTCTACCAACTGAGCCATGCGAGCTGTGATTGGATGTCAGGGCAAATATTGTGCATTATGTCCCAATACTAACTTAGTAGGTATGGTAGATAGGTAGCCCGTGGTTGTGTAAGATGGTGCTTTTGCCTGCATGTACTATGTAAGATTCCGTTGCGGCTGCATATATGCTTATTTTATGTATGATGCTGATTGGTGCTTTTTCCGGATAGCTACACGTGCTCTGTATTAGACTTTGATCCATAAATTAGTATATCTTCGTTGGCCGCCTGGCTCGGTTCTGGTGCTGCTCTACGGTCTTTGTTGGGTCTCTGTGGGTAGATGCATGTGAGGATCCTTGGTGATCTAGCCTGTTATCCCATATTGTCATCTCCTAGCCTCTTGTACCTATACTGTTTTGTTTGGGGGTGTCTTTCTCTATTGGTGATGGCTTTATCGTTTGTTGATGTGGCCATGGCCGTACGGAGTTTGGGGTTTATTGGCAGTACATTGAGTCAATATGTTTCTGTATTGATATTCTGTCTGTTGTCTCTGTCCTCTATGTGACTAGTGGCTAGTGTCGACACTTCGTCGTGGCTTTGTGCTTGCCTAATTCATCGGGTTCGAGGTAGCTGATCATATGTTACTCAGGAGTGTTGATATATATATGGGCAGTGCTGTCAACAGCGAACGGGTATGACTAAAGTATACTGGATGTATACGGTTTAGGCCGATGCACATTTAACGAGCAGAAAACAACAGTTCAGTGTATGAAAACCGGAGTTTCCTTAGCTGGCAGAAACCCTACTACAGCCTGAGCTGGTTGAGTCAGTGTTAAGAAAGGGAGCACCAGATGATGAAATCACAAAGCATGATTGCATCCTATTTACCCAACGGGCAAGTATTAAACTAATATATAATGCATTGGTAGCTGTTGGTCTTCAATAAGTACCAGCTCGCATAGCTCAGCTGGTAGAGCGCATGACTAGTAATCATGAGGTCTGCGGTTCAAATCCGCATGTGAGCATTTCTTTTTTGGTTTCCCTTTTCTATACCCGCAATTAATGCTGTATGAAATCCAGCCCAAAGAACCAGCCCCGAAGGTCTTCTTCCTTTTCTTCTTCCTTTTCTTCGTGTTTTTTTTTTTTTTTTTTTTTCTATCCCTCTCCTTTCTTCTCCCCCTCTTCGCATATCATGCAAGCAAATACAAAACATACATGGAGTATACGAATTGAGTGGAAAGGACTACTATAACGCAGCAATGACGGTGGTAACCACGCCTACCATGGCTAAACTGGAGGTCGACTATATAACGCTTCAGGGGGGTAGCCTTCTTCACCAAGAGCAACACCCCTATCAGAAGTATACTATTGATGAGCAGCTGCCACTTACCATAGGTAATCGGCTCTGTCGCATCTGGATAAGCCAACTGCGCAAATTGGCCTGGCTCTTGACATTGGCTGTCAGACCGTCAAATTGAAAATGAAAGTTGCAGCCACCACGACTCATCGGTTTGAATCGTGAGCGCTCCATCGATCGGGCTAGATTCCCACGTGTCGGACTCTTTCCTGTTCAATATTTTTGTGTGGTGGTCCTGGTGTTATCAACCACTCGTATATTTTGACGTCATGACATTGGCGGGTATCGCGGAGTTATCAATACATCTGTGTTACGTTGTACAAATGGAAAGTCGATGAGTGTGAGCGAGGATGTCTCATAGAACAAGTAGCTGCGCATTCTCTTCGGACGACCTCTAACAGCTAGGGCGAGTAACGCCGTGAAAAGGGATGAGAATGATCGCCCCAATCTCCCTGTTGTTGATCTTCATACAGGCAATCATATGCGGTGCTTTGATATGTCCAGAAGGCAGATCGTGCCCGATGGAACTAGACAATGGAAGTGGCCGAGCTAGAGGGACTGAGAGAATGTGCGCCCATAATCCCGGGCAGACATGCCTACTCGCAACTAGGGCATCCGATTTCCGGTATAGGCTGACTGATCGTTCAGCAGTATTGGCGCCGTCTTGGAACATATACAAGCAGCTCTGCACCCGCACGAGGAAGTGAGAAGCACTGCAGGAAGGCCTCCTACCCACGACACACTCCTTCCCGCAAAGGCGACTGCCGTGGCCAATATCAAGGGATCATATGAGACCGCTGAAGCTCATAGGATAGGGGCCAATAGTGATGGCCGCGTCTGGATCTCCAGGTTTGTCTGATATTACCCAATGGCTGCACTTCAAGACTGATACACTGTCCTGGGTAGCGAGACTGGATGGGACGTCAATGTTCGCTTGAATCTGAGGTCAGTAAACTCTCCTGCAACGTGGCAAAAGTGACTAAAAGGGTCCAGGTCCAAAGAACGAAAGGTGTCAAGCCTGGACTGGGTAGCCCGATGGGAGATAATGACACAGTGCCTGTCCTTCCCTGAACCGGACAACGCGGACATGTTTGACACGGACGAGATGGCCCTTGAAGCATTCTGGGATCGAGTCTGGACGTGTTATCTGCCATATGCCACTGGGAAATGAGATCGCACGACGAGGTTACGGAGTAGCTACATGCGCGTGTGTTGGACAAATCAATACAGGTCTGAGCCAGATGTGAAGTGTGAATAGAAAGGAATACCAGCCACCAATGGACTCATTGCTACAAACATAACACTACTAGGAGGGATAATGCTGCAAGTCTGCATTACTTAAACCTCAATCCATCATCACTCCAGAATCAATTAGCTTGACCTGTCATAAAGTGGATAAAGACCAAATAAGGCAATGATCTAGCTTCAAGTGCTTAAAAGGGCATCTAGAAAGCGAGATTAGCTCCACGTGCTGCCTTGAGCCTCTTTACTACTCCTACATATCCATCGAAGAGCAGTCACAAAAATCGAGAAAAAGCAAGCATAACACAGCAATTGGAAACCTCGGAGCTTAACTGGTCTAGTTTCTCGATATCTTAACCTCTTTGACTGCAATTCACTCATTCGTCCCATCTCTGCCCTCTTCCCGAGACAAACGGCCATTATTGTTGTGTCCTCAGGCACCACCAGGAGCTTCCCCCTTTGCACGTGACGTCCCCATAAGCGACACCTCAGCAACGACAAGCAGCGCCGGTCTCCTGAGGTCACTTCCCGCTTTCCCCAGTTGCTAGTCTACCTAACCTACATACGTATCTCTCTCTCCCTCCCTCTCCCTCCAGCTTCATCTTCCACCTTTCTTTTCTACCTCACTTTCTTTCTCTCGCGTTCGCGCACTTCGCTTCAATTCTTCCGTGATTCCCTACTTTTCATCCGTGGTTCACTTGATTTCTTTGAGCGGCGTTTCGTTGGGTGGGTTTAGGTCGACTTGCGGCCTTGGTAAATATGGCTCCTCTTCCCATCAAGTTCACGGAGCTTATCAATGTATGTGCTCTGCATCCTGCGATTCTTGTATCTCACTTCTGGGACTAGAGAAAGTACTGACATCTGTTTCTTCTATGATAGCTGACAAATGCCGAAATTGCTGTATGTTGTGCCATCCGATCATAACCTGTTTCCCACCTGTTGTCAGCCCCCCGTGTGTCGCATACTGCTGGCCCACTGGACGGTCTCAGTCGTATCTGGAGCTACCGGAATCGTTGCTAACATCTCCTTACTTCTAGCCGCAATCAATTGGCTTCAACTCATGTGTGCGTATATCCTCGAAATGCTTCCCCCCCCCCTGACGCTCAAATCCGCATGGAGCCAGCACTGACCGGATATCCGTCGCTCGACAGACTCTAGAATCTGACCATTACGTTTGCGTCCGCCAAAAACTTAATGAAGATGATAAGCCTCAGGTCATCATTCTCAACCTGAAGAATAACAATGAGGTCATCAAGCGACCGATTAATGCGGACAGTGCTATCATGCACTGGTCCAAGAACATCATTGCTCTTAGAGCCCAGGGCCGAACAATCCAGATCTTCGATCTCACAGCGAAGCAGAAACTCAAGTCTGCGGTTATGAACGAAGATGTCGTCTACTGGAAGTGGTTCAGCGAAAAGTGCTTGGGTCTGGTCACAGAAGCATCCGTCTACCACTGGGATGTTTTCGATCCTACTCAAAACCAGCCCATTAAGATCTTCGACCGTTTGCCAAACCTAAGTGTATGTGCAGCAGAAGAACAATGGTCCCCTTCTTTTTTTCTGTGAGCTGTTATAACTGATTATCTGCTATCTTTCAGGGCTGCCAAATCATCAACTACCGTGTTAACGATGACGAGAAATGGATGGTCGTGGTCGGTATTAGCCAACAACAGGGACGCGTTGTGGGCTCAATGCAGCTCTATTCCAAGGACCGCGGAATATCCCAGTTCATTGAAGGTCATGCTGCAGCTTTTGCGTCGATCCGAGTGGAAGGATCTCCTCTGGAGCACAAGTTGTTCACTTTCGCTGTTCGCACGCAGACTGGCGCAAAGCTGCAAATCGCCGAGATCGACCACCAGGAGCCGAACCCCAGATTCCAAAAGAAGGCAGTCGAGGTCTACTTCCCCCAGGAAGCTGTCAACGACTTCCCGGTCGCCATGCAGGTATCCAGAAAGTACGACATTGTTTATTTGGTTACGAAGTATGGCTTTATTCATCTCTATGACCTTGAGACTGGTACCTGCATTTTTATGAACCGTATCTCCAGCGAGACCATCTTCACTACTGCCCCTGACTCCGACTCTGCCGGTCTGGTTGGTGTCAACCGTAAAGGTCAAGTCTTGTCGGTCAGCGTTGATGAGGGAACCATTATCCAGTACCTGATGGAGAATCCTGCCATGTCTGGACTCGCGGTCAAACTCGCTTCCAAGGCTGGCCTTCCCGGAGCGGATCACCTCTATCAGCAGCAGTTCGACAACCTGTTGGCGCAAGGCAATTACTCCGAAGCCGCGAAAATTGCTGCAAACTCCCCTCGCGGATTCCTTCGGACACCGGAGACAATCAACCGCTTTAAGAACGCACCACAGACTGGGCAGCAGATGTCCGTCATTCTCCAGTATTTCGGCATGCTTTTGGACAAGGGATCTCTGAACAAATACGAGAGTGTCGAGCTCGTACGCCCTGTCCTGCAGCAGAACAGAAAGCATCTTCTGGAAAAGTGGACACGTGAGAACAAGTTGGAGGCCTCTGAAGAGCTCGGAGACATCGTTCGTCCGTACGACATGAACATGGCCCTGTCGATTTACCTGCAAGCCAATGTACCCAACAAGGTTATCGCTGGTTTCGCCGAGACCGGTCAATTCGACAAGATCCTCAGCTATTCGAAGCAAGTTGGATACCAGCCGGATTACACACAACTACTGCAACACATTGTTCGCGTCAATCCCGAGAAGGGTGCCGAATTTGCAGCTCAATTGGCAAATGAGGAAAGTGGCGCGCTCATCGACCTTGACCGTGTCGTAGATGTCTTCCTGTCGCAGAACATGATTCAGCAGGCAACCTCATTCTTGCTGGATGCGCTCAAGGATAACAAGCCTGAGCATGGTCACTTGCAAACACGATTGCTTGAGATGAACTTGGTCAACGCCCCGCAGGTCGCTGATGCAATCCTTGGCAACGAGATCTTCACTCACTACGACCGTCCCAGAATCTCCCAGCTTTGCGAGAATGCTGGCCTCATTCAGCGTGCATTGGAGAACACCGACGATCCCGCGGTGATTAAGCGCAACATTGTCCGAACCGATAAGCTCAATCCCGAGTGGCTCATGAACTACTTTGGCCGTCTTTCCGTGGAGCAGACCATCGAATGCATGGATACTATGTTGGAAGTGAACATCCGTCAGAATCTACAGGCAGTTGTTCAGCTCGCTACAAAGTTTTCCGATCTCCTTGGACCCGGCCGCCTCATCAGTCTGTTTGAGAAATACCGAACTGCCGAAGGTCTCTACTATTACCTTGGAAGCATTGTCAACCTCAGCGAGGACCCTGAGGTGCACTTCAAGTATATTGAGGCTGCTACTGCCATGGGCCAGCTGACTGAGGTCGAGAGAATTTGCCGCGAGAGCAACTATTACAATCCGGAGAAGGTGAAGAACTTCCTGAAAGAAGCCCGACTGACCGAGCAGCTTCCGCTCATCATCGTCTGTGATCGTTTCAACTTCATCCACGACCTGGTCCTCTATCTGTATCAGAACCAGCAATACAAATCCATCGAGGTCTACGTGCAGCGTGTCAATCCGTCCCGCACTCCGGCAGTCGTGGGAGGATTGTTGGATGTTGACTGTGACGAAGCCATCATTAAGAATCTCCTGTCTACTGTTGAACCCTCTGTTATTCCTATCGATGAGCTTGTATCTGAGGTGGAAAGCCGTAACAGATTGAAGTTGCTCCTTCCATTCCTCGAAGCTACTCTGGCTTCCGGCAACCAACAACAAGCAGTTTACAACGCTCTCGCAAAGATCTACATTGACAGCAACAACAACCCCGAGAAGTTCCTCAAAGAGAACGACCTTTATGACACGTTGACCGTTGGTAAATACTGTGAAAAGCGTGATCCAAACCTGGCCTACGTCGCGTACAGGAAGGGACAGAATGATTTGGAGCTCATCAATATCACCAACGAGAACTCCATGTACAGAGCCCAGGCTCGTTACCTGGTTGAACGCGCCGATTCAGAGATCTGGTCGTTTGTGCTGAGTGAGAACAACCTGCATCGTCGTTCTCTTGTCGACCAGGTCATCGCGACAGCGGTCCCGGAGTCGACTGAACCCGACAAGGTATCCGTTGCTGTCAAGGCTTTCCTCGAAGCCGACCTGCCTGGCGAACTCATCGAGCTTTTGGAGAAGATCATTCTCGAGCCCTCGCCATTCAGTGACAACGGTAGCTTGCAGAATCTGCTGATGCTGACTGCCGCCAAAGCCGACAAGGGACGTCTTATGGATTACATCCACCAGCTCTCCGAGTTCAGTGCTGACGAGATCGCGGAGATGTGTATTTCTGTGGGTCTGTATGAAGAAGCGTTTGAGATCTATAAGAAGGTCAACAACTATATCGCTGCCGTCAATGTTCTCGTTGAGAACATCGTCAGTATCGATCGCGCGCAAGAATTCGCCGAACGCGTTGAATTGCCAGATGTCTGGAGCAAGGTTGCGAAAGCTCAGCTTGACGGTCTTCGTGTATCTGACTCGATCGAGTCGTACATTCGTGCCAACGATCCCTCCAATTACAACGAGGTAATTGAGACCGCAATCCACGCCGGTAAAGATGAAGATCTCGTCAAGTATCTCAAGATGGCCCGCAAGACATTGCGTGAGCCTGCCATCGACACCGCTCTTGCTTTCTGCTATGCTCGCCTTGACCAGTTGCTGGAGCTTGAGGACTTCCTGCGATCCACCAATGTGGCCGATATTGAAACATCTGGTGACAAGGCTTATGCTGAAGGATACCATCAGGCGGCTAAGATTTTCTACACCAGCATCTCGAACTGGGCCAAGCTGGCCACCACTCTGGTGCATTTGGAAGACTATCAAGCTGCAGTTGAGTGTGCCCGCAAGGCCAACAGTGTCAAGGTCTGGAAGGAGGTCAACCTGGCATGTGTTGATAAGAAGGAGTTCCGTCTCGCACAGATTTGCGGTCTCAACCTCATTGTCCATGCCGAGGAGCTGCAGGATCTTGTGCGCCAATATGAACGCCACGGCTACTTCGATGAGTTGATCAGTGTGCTCGAAGCTGGCTTGGGCCTGGAGAGAGCCCATATGGGTATGTTCACTGAGCTGGGCATTGCTCTGTCCAAATACCACCCTGACCGGGTTATGGAGCACCTCAAACTCTTCTGGTCTCGCATCAACATCCCCAAGATGATCCGAGCGTGCGAGGAAGCCAATCTCTGGCCAGAACTGGTGTTCCTGTACTGCCATTATGATGAATGGGATAACGCTGCCTTGGCTATGATGGAGCGTGCCGCTGATGCATGGGAACATCACTCGTTCAAGGATATCATCGTCAAGGTTGCCAACCTGGAGATCTATTATCGTGCTCTGAACTTCTATCTGCAGGAGCAACCCCTCCTCCTCACCGATCTGCTCCAGGTGCTGACTTCCCGGATCGATGTCAACCGTGTTGTGCGCATTTTCCAGACCTCGGATAATATCCCTCTGATCAAGCCATTCCTGTTGAATGTGCAGAACCAGAACAAGCGGACTGTCAACGATGCCATCAATGATCTGTTGATCGAGGAGGAAGACTACAAGACCCTCCGTGACTCGGTGGACAACTATGACAACTTCGATGCGGTGGAGTTGGCCCAGCGTCTCGAGAAACATGACCTCATCTTCTTCCGGCAGATTGCCGCGAACATCTACCGCAACAACAAGCGCTGGGAGAAGTCGATCGCGCTGTCGAAGCAGGACAAGCTTTACAAGGATGCTATTGAGACCGCGGCGATTTCTGGCAAATCGGACGTGGTCGAAGAACTCCTTCGCTACGTAAGTTCATTCAACACCCTCAAACGATCTCTCCTACTGCTCTCTCCTTGGAACAATCGCTAATCGTTTTATAGTTTGTCGATATTGGCAGCCGCGAGTGCTATGTTGGCATGCTGTATGCCTGCTATGATCTCATCCGGCCCGACGTGATCCTGGAGATGTCGTGGCGACACGGTCTCAATGACTTCACCATGCCCTTCATGATTAATTTCCTTTGCGAGCAGACCCGCACAATTGAGATGCTCAAGAAGGACAATGAAGAGCGCAAGTCTCGGGAAGTAACGCAGCAGAAAGAAGAGGACAACACCCCCATCTTGGGCGGCTCGCGGCTCATGTTGACACAAGGCCCATCAACGCCCGCGCCTGCTCCGATGGCATATGGACAGCCGAACGGTATTGCTCCCCAAGCGACCGGCTTCCGTCCATTCTAGATGACTTTGGTTCATTGATGTATCTTTAATAAATGCGAGCGACGGATGATTTGCGACGACACCGAGGCCATTGAAAGGGGGGGGGGTTTGAGGAGGAAGGCGGCCGCCCAGTAATTAGACCATGACACGCGGTGGATGGCGGTGGCGGAGAGCCAGCAGGGAGTGTGTACTAGTATTATTACATCTGGCTGGCGATCTCTCTTTGAGATGCGATTTTTCTTTTCATTCCTGATGGCATTTGCGTTTTCTTTCTATTATTCATTCTTATTCCGATGTATTTGATACGCTCTAAAATTCCTTGGGGGGTTTTCTTCGTCCCCTCTTTTTTTCAGCCTCTCGAATTGATCTGACATCTGTTGATAATGTACAGAGTAATGGATGCTGACCTGTTTCCCCGGGACTTCTCGACTCGCAATTCACCATCGCCATCATATTGCAATCGACTGGCCCCTGATCGGCTGTAAGGAAGTGAAATGAACTGATAGGTAGGGTGGGGATGATGAATGCGAGGGGAGACATAACTTGATAACCCCGGGGGATTCGGAGCAGAACATGCAACCTGTCATAGGATGGTTGGCTATTGTTTCGAAACGGGCTGGTTAATATCCGATTGTCGGACTGATGAAAGCGAGATACTGTGTATGTTCGCAGGATGATGCGGAGATAAGTACGATGCAGACAGATTGCAGTGCACTCTGTGATGAGCAGGTCATTTATGCATGTATGCTACCTAACTAGATCCACGCTGCAGTGAGACGAAGAATGTCCAATGGAGAGAGCTCGAGAAACTCGCGGGGTGTACTGAATCCCTGGGTGTTGAGACTTGGGGGTGAATGAATACGACGATGGTGTGGCCCTAGGGAATCTCGAGGCGCCGCCAACTGGCAAACGAAGAGGGTTAAATTAGCGATTCCGAATGATGGATGCCGAGTCGATTACGGATCTTGGTGCCACGAATCCCACGATCCTGTGGGCGTGCAGTAGTCTAGTTCTAGCTTGAGCCAGGAGTTGGAGAAGAGCTGGTCAGCGCTAACTAGGAGTACGGAGTAGCGACTAGCTAGAGCAGTTCCCCATAATATGAAGTGGTATTGATTTCAGTACCCATGAGGTTTGTTGCTTGCACAACGGCTGGGAACTTGGGAAGTCCAGCGTGACGAGGGAGGAGTCACTGGAGTCTGGAGTCCGGACACTTGGACACTGTCAGGTGACGAGTCAGATGACCTTGCACAGCGAACTAGATCATGCAACAACTCTCTACGGAGTGAGTACCTAGTGACAACGGAGTCAACAACCAAGGGCTTGTCCCGTCTTGTCAGTAGGACCAGCGAAGTCAATTGACGAGAAGAGATTTTTCTGCCAAGCGTGCTCGTCCCCAGGGACACACTATCTGTCTCTCTATCAGAGAGGGGGGGGAGTTTGATTACAATTATTGACAGGGAACTTATGATGGGAGACCGAATCGATCCGTTGATCGGTCGGGGCATTCCAGTCCGAGAAGTTATCCATAATCCAAGGACCATGATTGTGAGATGATCAGCCAGTCAGCGTGACGAAAAACGCACGGTACCTCATTTTGAGGCTGGGGACTGGGGAGCGACCTCGGTTCACGTCGACTTTTATGGAAATTGCCAGGAAAGGCAGATTCGCTTCGACGGTTGGAAGGAAAAGTGGAAAGAACTTTTTTTTTTTTTTTTTTTTTTTTGCTGTTCCATACTACTCCAGTTATGGAGTATCTATCCACTCCGAGGGGGTCGACATGACCTCACTGAACACTGACACACCCTGCAGAGGAGCAGTAGTTAGTTATGATATCTGCGGAGTTGTTCTGATTTCTCCGGTCACGATTTGTCTGTCCTCTGTCTGCCGTGTCGATCAGGTCCAGGCTAAATCACCCTTGTGCGCGCCTACCGCCGTCTATCTACGGAGATTATTGGATCGTGGACAGAGCTATGCTGAGTTGCTGGGAGCTTGTTCGAAGTAACTATTGATTTCGACAATTTCAACAGCTCCGGAGATGGTATATCACCCGAGGACCCGAGGTTGGAGGGATCATACTCATCGAAGGAGTTCCCTGGGAGAACCCGAGTCTTTCTCGACCGAGTAGGAATCCCTCTGATGGTGGATTGGAGGACTAGGGAGAAGCCTATATTCTAGTGTTCCCATGCACAGGGGTTATTATGTCATTTTCCGAGTGCGTTCTCGTCATGCCTTCATCCTACAATCCAGAGGCAGGCGGCGACAATGGCTTCTGTGTATATCTGTAGAAAAGAAAGGATCACGACAAAATCCATTAAACTAAGGATTAACTATTTCGTCCACCAATGAACTCGGGCGAACGGATAATTCGCCATCAGATAGAAATCGTTAGAGTAAGAGGATTTGATGAAAAAAAGAATGAACACAAGAGGGCCTTTCCATGGAATCCCCCGCTGCCCGGTGTACCGGTGAGCTGAATCCCAGCGCAAGGCCCAAGACTCCAAGAAGTCGATCAGAAGGATTCTGTGTATCGATTCGGTGTTGGCGAGTGCTCGTCGATCGGTCTCTTGACTTCTTTCTGGATAACTGTTTTGCAGAAAGGGATAATCGTGAAGCACTGTACTCCGTAGATAGTTATACTCCGTACTACTTGTACTTCCATACGGAGTAGGTGTATATCAATCGTGTCGGCCTTAGGCAACCTGGGTTTCTTATCATCCCTCAAAATCCCCCGCTCCAAGAGCTGCTGCTGCTGCTGCTTCTTCTTCTTCTTCTTCTTCTTCTTCTTCTTCTTCTCTCCCCCCCCTCTCTCTCTCGCTTCTCTCTCGACATTTCATTCCTCATAGTGTTGTTGTTCTGATTCAATTCATCCCACTTGATCCCGGTCCTATCTTTTGGATCATCAAATCCCTCCATTTCCCCATCTGATTCTCCTCTGTCTCGTGGAGTTGGCGGTGGTGATAGTCCGACCATCTTTCCCGCCCCTCCTGTTCTGGCCCGCTCTCCTCCTCCGCTGCCGAAACCGGTCCTTTTTCTTGCTTCTCGTCTTGCCCCGCGGGAAGCTTCTCTCATCCTCGTTCTCGTCCTCCCAAGTCCTCTTAAGGTGACTCATTTTCCTACTTATTTTCTTTCTTATTCTGGCCTTGATCCCCTTTTAAACTTTTCTCCTATATTTTTTTTTTTCCCTACCCAAATTTTCCCCAGCTTTCTAACTTTTGATACATTCTTCCAGAACTCAATCAGCCCCTCCCCCCTCCCTCTTCCTCTCTCTCCTATCTAACCATTCATCCGCCCCTCCCCTCCAACAAATACCTCGCCATCGACTTCAGTAACAGCAGCAGCAGCGGCAGCTAGCTAGCTAGCTGCTTTTAATTTCTCCTCTCCTTCCTTTTCACATCAATCACATACTACGCCCGTCATGGCTGCTTCGTTCCGCCAGCCCGAGGAGGCGGTTGATGACACCCAGTTCATCGAAGACCACCATGAGCACCTCAGAGACTCGGTCCACCGCCGGCTACGTGCCAACTCCGCTATCATGCAATTCCAGAAGATCCTCGTCGCCAACCGTGGTGAAATCCCCATTCGTATCTTCCGTACCGCCCACGAACTCTCTCTCCAGACCGTTGCCGTCTTCTCCTATGAGGATCGTCTGTCCATGCACCGTCAGAAGGCCGATGAGGCTTACATGATCGGTCACCGTGGTGAATATACCCCTGTTGGTGCTTATCTGGCCATCGACGAGATTGTCAGAATCGCCCAGGAGCACGGTGTGCACCTGATCCACCCCGGTTATGGCTTCCTGTCCGAGAACTCCGAGTTTGCTCGCAAGGTCGAGCAGGCGGGCATCGTCTTCGTCGGTCCTACTCCCGAGACCATTGAGGCTCTCGGTGACAAGGTCTCCGCTCGCCAATTGGCCATCAAGTGCGGCGTTCCCGTCGTGCCTGGTACCCCCGGCCCGGTCGAGCGCTACGAGGAAGTCAAGGAGTTCACTGACAAGTACGGCTTCCCCATCATCATCAAGGCTGCCTTCGGTGGTGGTGGTCGTGGTATGCGTGTCGTCCGCGACCAGGCCGACCTGCGTGATTCCTTTGAGCGTGCTACCTCCGAGGCCCGTTCTGCCTTCGGTAACGGCACCGTCTTCGTCGAACGTTTCCTTGACCGCCCCAAGCACATTGAAGTCCAGCTGCTCGGTGACAACCACGGCAACGTGGTCCACCTGTTCGAGCGTGACTGCTCCGTCCAGCGTCGTCACCAGAAGGTCGTTGAGATCGCTCCCGCTAAGGATCTGCCCGCGGATGTGCGCGATCGCCTGCTGGCCGACGCGGTGAAGCTCGCCAAGTCGGTCAGCTACCGCAACGCCGGTACCGCGGAGTTCCTCGTCGACCAGCAGAACCGCTACTACTTCATCGAGATCAACCCCCGTATTCAGGTCGAGCACACCATCACCGAGGAGATCACTGGTATCGACATTGTCGCTGCTCAGATCCAGATTGCTGCCGGTGCTACCCTGGAGCAGCTTGGCCTGACCCAGGACCGCATCTCCACTCGCGGGTTCGCCATCCAGTGCCGTATCACCACCGAGGACCCCGCTAACGGCTTCTCCCCGGACACCGGTAAGATCGAGGTTTACCGTTCCGCTGGTGGTAACGGTGTCCGTCTGGACGGTGGTAACGGTTTCGCCGGTGCCATCATCACCCCCCACTACGACTCCATGCTGGTCAAGTGTACCTGCCGTGGTTCTACCTATGAGATTGCGCGCCGTAAGGTCGTGCGTGCCCTTGTCGAATTCCGTATCCGCGGTGTGAAGACCAACATTCCTTTCCTCACTTCGTTGCTGAGCCACCCCACCTTCATTGATGGCACGTGCTGGACCACCTTCATCGATGATACTCCCGAGCTGTTCACGCTCGTCGGCAGCCAGAACCGTGCTCAGAAGCTTCTGGCCTACCTCGGTGACGTTGCCGTCAACGGCAGCAGCATCAAGGGTCAGATTGGCGAGCCCAAGCTCAAGGGCGATATCATCAAGCCTGTTCTGCTGGATGCCAACAACAAGCCCATTGATGTCAGCGTGCCTTGCACACAGGGCTGGAAGCAGATCCTTGACCGCGAGGGTCCTGAGGGCTTTGCCCGTGCTATCCGCGCCAACAAGGGTTGCTTGATCATGGACACCACCTGGCGTGATGCCCACCAGTCGCTGTTGGCCACTCGTGTCCGCACCATCGACCTCCAGAACATTGCCAAGGAGACCAGCTATGCCTACTCCAACGCTTACAGTCTGGAGTGCTGGGGTGGTGCCACCTTCGATGTCGCCATGCGCTTCCTCTATGAGGATCCCTGGGACCGTTTGCGTAAGCTGCGCAAGGCGGTTCCCAACATCCCCTTCCAGATGCTGCTCCGTGGTGCTAACGGTGTCGCCTACTCCTCTCTTCCCGACAACGCCATCTACCACTTCTGCAAGCAAGCCAAGAAGTGCGGTGTCGACATCTTCCGTGTCTTCGATGCTCTCAACGATGTTGACCAGCTCGAGGTTGGCATCAAGGCGGTGCAAGCCGCCGAGGGTGTCGTTGAGGCTACTCTCTGCTACAGCGGTGACATGCTGAACCCCCACAAGAAGTACAACCTCGAGTACTACCTGGCCCTGGTCGACAAGATCGTCCAGTTCAAACCCCACATCCTTGGTATCAAGGATATGGCCGGTGTGCTCAAGCCCCAGGCCGCTCGCCTGCTGATCGGCTCCATCCGTGAGCGCTACCCCGATCTTCCGATCCACGTCCACACCCACGACTCGGCCGGTACCGGTGTCGCCTCCATGATTGCCTGCGCGCAGGCGGGTGCGGATGCCGTGGACGCTGCCACCGACAGCTTGTCCGGTATGACCTCCCAGCCCAGCGTTGGTGCCATCCTTGCCTCTCTTGAGGGCACCGAGCAGGACCCCAAGCTCAACCTTGCCCACGTCCGTGCCATCGACACGTACTGGGCCCAGCTGCGCCTGCTGTACTCGCCCTTCGAGGCTGGCCTGACCGGTCCTGACCCTGAGGTCTACGAGCACGAAATCCCCGGTGGTCAGCTGACCAACCTCATCTTCCAGGCCAGTCAGCTCGGCCTGGGTCAGCAGTGGGCCGAGACCAAGAAGGCCTATGAGGCTGCCAACGACCTGCTCGGTGATATCGTCAAGGTCACTCCGACTTCCAAGGTCGTCGGTGACCTGGCCCAGTTCATGGTCTCCAACAAATTGACTCCCGAGGATGTGGTCGCGCGTGCCAGCCAGCTGGACTTCCCCGGCTCCGTGCTCGAGTTCCTCGAGGGTCTCATGGGTCAGCCCTTCGGTGGATTCCCCGAGCCTCTGCGCTCCAACGCTCTGCGCGGCCGCCGCAAGCTCGACAAGCGCCCTGGTCTCTACCTGGAGCCCATCGATCTGGCTGCAATCAAGAGCCAGATCCGAGAGAAGTTCGGCGCGGCTACTGAGTACGATGTGGCTAGTTACGCCATGTACCCCAAGGTCTTCGAGGATTACAAGAAGTTCGTGATGAAGTACGGTGACCTGTCGGTCCTGCCCACTCGCTATTTCTTGGCTAGACCCGAGATCGGCGAGGAGTTCCACGTTGAGCTCGAGAAGGGTAAGGTTCTTATCCTCAAGTTGCTGGCCATTGGTCCTCTGTCCGAGCAGACCGGCCAGCGTGAGGTCTTTTATGAAGTCAACGGTGAGGTCCGTCAGGTGGCCGTTGATGACAACAAGGCCTCCGTCGACAACACTGCCCGTCCCAAGGCCGACATCCTCGACAGCAGCCAAGTTGGTGCGCCCATGAGCGGTGTCGTTGTCGAAATCCGTGTCCACGAGGGCTCTGAGGTCAAGAAGGGTGACCCTGTCGCCGTTCTGAGCGCCATGAAGATGGTGAGTTTCTTTAGAACTCTTTCAACAAAATTTCGATTTATGCAAGTGCTAATTACATCTTTTTAGGAAATGGTTATCTCTGCTCCTCACAGCGGAAAGGTGTCTGGCTTACTCGTCAAGGAGGGAGACTCCGTCGATGGCCAGGACCTCATCTGCAGAGTCGTCAAGCCTTAAGAGTGTGGACCAGGTGGAAGAAAAAAATGTCTTGAAAAGGTGAAAGAACACAGTTTCTACCACACCCTATCAAAACCACATACATGAATCTCTGTATGCGGGAATGAAAATGTGAATGACTATTTTTGATGTCTGAATTAGAGCGTCTAGTATTCTGGGTTGGGGAATTTATTTGGCAGTTTACTTTTCTATTGTCTAAACCTATTGAGCACGCAATAAATGCATATTTCAGTATATACACCAGCTCCAGCGCCAATTCAAGTTCTTTATTAAGAGAATACTATACTTAAAGGAAGATGAGAGGTTGTCACATTAGTCAGTTCGCTTATACCAGAGTCAAAGCTTCCTCCGACTACACCCTACACCATACCAACAGAACTCTACACTACGGAATCAGCACTTCTCTCACTCAATATTCACAGCGCAAACGTCTCAATAGAGTTCTGTAACATTAGCGTCCGCCGTCCTCATCGGAGAACCCCCACTCGTAAGACTAAGGCATGAGCCATAGCCCATATGCCTTGCAAATTGCAATGCCAGGCAGCCAGACCCGCATGGCAGCATCGTCAGTCCCACCGGGCCACAAGGCAATGGGCACCAACTGGACAAACCATCCTGTCAGGCTGTCAGATCAAGGGTTCTGGAACATGGAGCCTGGACCGATCGATCGGGTCTGACGAGCCCTCGCTCGGCCGATGATCGCCCGCTACCCCCCCCCCCCCA